TTTTTTTTTTTTTTTTTTTTTTTTTTTTTTTTTTTTTTTTTGATTAAATGTTTTATTCTAAATTGTCCTCCCGTTTGTTCCAAGTGGCCAAAAAGATCTTTTATGTAACCGAGATGAAAACTCTCGCGAATATTCCACAAATACCTTCGGCTGAACTGGCTGGAGCTTATACCTATTGCCGTATTCAAAACTAACTTTAAACACTCGCTAACCAATGTGGAAATATATGCTTGAACCTTCACGCAAATGTAATGACATTGGTGAAGGAACTACATCTAGAAGGGACTTGACGAAAAGCACTCGATAAATCCCCTAATAAGGTAGTTTCAAAGGTGGGCAAAAAAAAGTAGCTGTTAAGAACTTTGAGTCGGTACGTGACGGAAGGCTTACATTTACTCTCAAGCCGGCGTCGCCGTAGCGACACAAGGTTAGTGATTTCTGGTCTGACGTAATTCCACTTATATTCAAAATGTACAAAGGGTTTAAAGTTACTACAAGATCTACCGAGAAATGAGATAGGAGCCTGCACCCTTTCATAATTCAATTAATAAACGAATGGCAACGGTTTAAAGGATTTACAACGGACCGCATTTCACTATCTAAATCTCTTAGGCCCTAGTTTGTATGCTTGCTATACGGATCTGCATCTGCGTATCTGATATCCCCCTCGAAACATTTCCCTTGTATATATCTGTTCCTTTTGCGCAATCTTGTTTGTCAGGCATGAGTAGCACCATACCGGTGGATAGTTTTGATATATTCCGCTCACCTAGTTATCTATAACCTCAGTATTCCCAGAATAAGGCATATACCACCCCCTGGCCTTGGCTTCACGACCTGGTTGGCACGTATAAACATCATTGGCCAACACACTGACATTCAAAATCCTTGTAAGTTGTAGTACGCCTCGGGTAACTCTGGTGGTCTAGATTTAGGAATAGACTCTACCTAACGTTATCTAAGAAACTGTTAAAGGAGTTGTTTTAAGCCCCCTTTGACTGGGATTGCAACACTTCCATTTTCGAAAAAGCCTGCATTCCGGTGGTCCCACTTATAGTAACAAGGAGTGCCCGTCTATGCGCTTTGATCGGATCGTGCATACACTAACCTGTTGAGCATTGTCGAAAACGTTTTGTCCCGATTGCAGGAAACCGCCTGTCTGAATGCCGAGGATACCATGCAGGACAAGAAAAAAACCAGAACCAACACAACTGGTATTTACGGGTTGAAGTTCAACCTCAATCTAAATTACGCCACTACGGTTTCGTGAATTACATAAGAATGAAGTCGATTAAATTAACAAGATAATAAGAGCGTCACGTGCTTTCAATAGAGGGTAACGGTGATTGAAATGCCGCGTCTTAGCGCGACATTTTGTCCCGCTTCAAGGGGGTTTAACGCTCCCGAAAAAGCCTTGAAGCACGTAGAAAAAGAAAAAGGTAGGCGCCAAGGTGACCTACGTTGGTCATCGCAGACACCAGCTGCAGATCCTTCATCGCCCTAGATACCTGCCCTCTACAACGCCCCAAAAAAAACAGCCCAGCTTTATGTACGTAGGCCTTGACTTGCGTTGAGGGGCATAGCCTAGAACTTTTCAGTTCACGATGCAAAACTTTGCCGAGAAGAAAAAGTTTAGAGCTTACACACTTTGCCTTAGAGGCCCCAGCAGCTTCAAATATTTCAGAATATTTATGGTCTGTAAAATGCAGCTTAATTTAGTTGTGTGTAAAAATTAAGAAATGTAATGACGCAGCCTGCCGAGAGAGCTCCAAGTCCTGGCATTGTGAGAGACAATTGGCGAATCTAAGTCTCTTTCTCCGGTCCTAATCTAGGTGGCTGCCATTTCCACGCGTATGGCTCTTGCAAAATATATATCTCGCTCGATTTGTAAATCGCCCTCATATGTATGGAATTCCGCTCTTGGCGCTATAACTGAAACCCTGGTGAGCGCTTGGATTACAAGCCCCTGGTGGGCTAAGACTATTTCTGGGCGACCAGGGCTACTGTAAAGAAGGAGTTTAGACGAGCGACTCCTGTTTCAGCTGTTGGGTATGAAATAATACGTCGGTCAAGAAAAGTAAACAGTATAGTTGAAAGGTAGCGGCATTAGAAATACATGTCTAGGTAGAGGGTTAATAAAACTTGACATAAAGCTTCCTACGAATTAGGTATCTTTGCCGATGGGTACACGTGTATACACAACCGTACCACTGCGGTGACAATAATTAATGAAAAAGATCGCTCATATTAAATAGAAAATCTGTATTATCAGAGTAATCTCTGTGGTTGATTGGGGGTGTAAACAGCAAATAAGAGTTGTCTCCGGTTTAAACTTTAAGAAATGTCTTTGAACGGGTTTCACAAGTATATTCTCGTATCAATAAGCCTTCAATCAGAGCCCTTCTAAGTGTAATAAACCCGTTTTACTATTTACCTCCTAATTCCGAGTAATTTGTGCACCACGTCCGCGTTGTTCTCGTTCACGGCAAAGTCCTCGTCCATCGGCTTTTGGTAGTACGGCAATTGGGTATAATGCACCTGGCTGTCTCTACCCATCAACGACGCGTCCTTCTCGTTGGCCTCCTCCATCAACGGCTTGATGCACATCCAGCCAGTCTCTGTGCGAAAGTGTCTCCCCAAAGCGTCCGCACGCGCAAACTTGCGGTTGCAGCCCCACGTCAGCTTTCCGTCGCGCAAGTACCCGAAACACTTGAACTTCTTTTCACCTTCGTGCAACAACTCGTGTCTCTTGCGGTCATGGGTACGTGCGAAGCGACGATTGCAGTACTGGCACGCGTGTGGTTTATCGGTGGAGTGCGTTTTCATGTGCGAACGCAAGTTGTAGGGGCGATTAAACGACTTCCCGCACTGCTCGCACGGGTATATAGACGCCACGTCTGTCTTGGGCGGCATGGCGTACGCGCGCGGCGAAACCACGGGCACAGGCGCTGGTATCACCCGGTCTCTCAAAAGCGGTTCAGCCCTTCTACGTCTCTTGCGGCGCGGAACATAGCCGATCTCTGCGGCCGAAGACGCTTCCGCAATGGCGATAGTATTTTCGAGGATTTTTTGTTGCGAGTCGGCAGAGCTACCGGCACTGTTTGCCCGTGCGTAGGGGTACGCATGGCCGTGTGAGCTGGGGCTCAACGATGACATGCGCCCGGAGTATGTACGGGTGTTCTGGTGACCTGAGAAGTCCAACGAGGGCAATACCTTAGTGGCAATGGGCTTTTGTTCTGGCGAATAGGCGCCAAACTGCAATTGCAATGCCGGAAGTGTGGTGTGTGGAGGTGCTCGCGTGGTTGGTGGGGCATATTGTGCCGGAGGGTAGTAACCTTGTGGTTGAGGCTGTGCGTATGGGTATTTGTAGTAATCATAGCCCGGTTGCTGCTCATAAACGGGAGTGCGGGCAGGGTACGGTGGATATGACGGATGGGGCGGATAGGCCTGGTAGAGGTTCTGGGGTGGCATCTGAGAATGATCGTACTGTGGATGGTACTCGGTGTAGAATGCTGGCGGGTGGTTGCTCATAGTTTCCATTGGGAAAGATTAAATGTATTATGGATTGGGGTTAATATTTGGGTGCCGTTAAAAATATTTGGGAAATAGTGTAGATAAGTATTAAGAGTAGCGATATCGGGGGAACGACTTTAGTTATATAGACGTAAGGCGATCAATTTATCTCTTGCGGGGTTTCAAACTGCGGTTTTTCTGGGTGGGTATATTTAGTAGCATTTTGTCTTACATGCGTGTGCATCGCACTGTCGGCCGTTTCTGTGCAGGGGATACGCACCCGTCGTGGGATTTGGAAAAGGGCTTGTGTGTGGGAGATACCGCTGTTTTTTGTGCATGTATTTCCCAGACACCGGCAAGCCGCCCAGGCAGTGCAACTTCATCCTGCACCATCCGCACATTATGCATAAGATCTGCGTCGATCACCGCGTGCCGGCTCTCGTCAGATTGCGTATGTACCAACGAAATGTAATACCAAACACGTAGGTCGACCAGTCAGCTGGCGCTTGTACCCTACAGTTATCGAAGAATCACGCGATTGGCGGATGCAGCAAGATGCATGCGTATAACAGGCCCGATAGTGGAATAGGTAGTTTACTTGGACGTGCGCCGCAAACTTTCCCCTCCGGGGGTGTGAAAAGTGCGCTATTCCAGCCCCCATTTTATGCTAACAATTCCTACGGAGAAAAAAAAGGTCTGGTATTGGCACTAATTCCATCTCTGAATAGTTCCAGGAGTTACGCACTCTTCTTCCGTGTCTGCCGTTACAGCTCCATATGCATGACAGGAGAGAATTTAATGTACGATTGCGTATGAGCACCGATTATAAGAATACGTGCAGTATGCATCGCTGGCCAGGTGCAGGCACTGATAAAAGTTTTAGGCCGCGTTTTACAAGAATATAACCCGACCCATGGGATTGGCATTAACGGCTCTAAATTCCGGGGCATAGTGTGTATAAAAGATATTGGAAAATCCACATTAAATGTCACTGTTCGAATTTGTTTAACTTTCGTAAAGCGCCTCTGAGCACTTAGACTGTCAGATTCTGCGATTCTATTCGTCAAAGGCTTCTCGGAACGTTGTTAATTGAAATACCGATACATTGGGTGTCATCTATATGGCCACTGTATTTGGAACAATTAGGCTTAGAATGGTACGTTTTTTTTTTGCCCTAAGCTAAAGATTGTTGGGAGATAGTGTACCAGGGGCCAAAAACTTACGCCGTGGGTCACATCTCCGAACTCGCTGTTTCGCGCATGTTCCACGGCGTTTGAAATGCCACAGATAAAACCTTCGTACCGGAAATCTGGCTACCAAATTTCCGCTATCCACGCTATAACTGATAGTAGTATTTACGTGTCTCAGCTCCAGTATTCCCCTTTGAAGATGGCATATATTTCTAGTCGATTAAATTGGTATAACACTAACTGTGTCCAATATTTAAGCGGTCAGAAGGATGTATAAAAGACAAACACTGGCCGTGTTAAGAAGGGTGTCCTGCATAACCTAGTGGATACCGCACAGTTTTCACCAATCATTTTAGCTCGGGTATAAGGATAAGCATTTCACCACGTATCGGGATTTGGTAAGAATGACTTGATGAAGTTACGTAAACGCATCTTTCTGAGATTTTGATACAGAACGTCCGGATTCTCCGAAGTTACGGCCCCTTCAAACACCAGTAGTGCGCCGGATCGATGTTTCGCCGAGAATGTGGTATATCTAGTAGGTGATAGTGGATACTGTTATCTAGCTAAGAGGATACTTCCTATGTAAGATATCTACAAGAAAGGGGTAGCCGGTGGCCTTATATACTGAGGCGGATACGATGCCAGAGTGTCCGCTTATCAGGAGTAAGGGAACAATGGCCTCCGACTTCCGTCTTGTTAAATGGCACCTTTACTACAGAGAAGCATTTATGGCTTATTTCAGTCCCTAGCCTAGTATTGCCTTTATCACACCGTAAGTTTAATGAAACAAGTAACAAGGCTTTGCGAGCGTCGAAAAGTCACATGGGGAGGGTATTTTCTTAAGCTCTAAGTAACACAGATGAAGGTATATAGAATTTGGGGTTTACAAGAGTACGCACCAGTCCTGTACCTCGGAGTTAAATCAATATAAGCTGCGTGTTCCTACTAAGGCATATGAGATAAAGATTGGGCTACGCTTTTGAAAGTTCACATCCTGTTATGTATTCCATCCACGCATCTGATCTAGAAAAATATGCCGTTTATAAATGGAATTACTCGTATAGTGTGGTACCACACTCGTTATGGTTCCTCGCAGAAATCTCCAAGTGAGCACGATCTAGGCTTTCCATGCTAGTTTAATGAATATTTACACCATAACACTGCCTTAACCACATGCGGGCTAAATATAGCCAGTATAACTGCTGTTACGGATACAGCTTTCAGGGGTTCAATTACTACCCCTCTTAAGCTCTTGTTTCACTTCCCGTTTAAGCCTTGCAATCAGGAAACGTTATTATTTGGTAATCGTGCATTTCCATGTACGGTTTGCCTTTTCTTTGCGTATTCATATTACTCTTGGTGAGCTTACATGACCAAAGCCCCTTTGTGCCCGGCACTAAACGGCCGACGGCATTTGACATATTATCATCTCGGGAAACAGGCTGCCGGTTTCCTTGGCTTTACTCTATGAGATGACCCTCAACTGTATGTAAGTAGCTGAATACTAGAGTGGGTATATTAGGGGGATAGGCAGATATCACAATACCATTGACTATCTATGGTTGGCTAATTAACTTTGGCCATTGATATACTTGGGATCCTCGGGTAGTGGCTATCTCTATAAATGGATACCGCAACCTGGTGTACCATATGGTTAGTGAAACCAATTGTGCATTCCAATTTCATCTAGGCCATGATTTCTACGTCCGGTTCATATACAGTGTACCCTCCCCGGTAATCCCCCCGGTGATTGATCTACGAGTCCCCGAGACCCCTGCTTGTATGAGTTGTATGCAGGAGTAAAATTATGCTGGGGCTCTCCCCTTTCCATAGCCCGGGGGCTATGCTAGCCCTAAAGCTATTCAAGGCTAGACGAGGTTAGGAGCTGAAGTACATTTTCGGCGTTCTTTCTGCTGTGCAAAGTTTCAGACTTTTCGTATATACAAAGATATACTTTTCAGTACATGAAAGTACGGTTATTTTTATATTAATAGCCCGTTCTGGTAACATATATCTAGTTTTAGAATAAATATAATTAGATAAAATTCGAACCGTGTTAAAATTTAAATCAATATTAACATGAATAAACTTATTAGTTAAATAACTGTATTGAAGGTGGTATTTAATATTGTCTTACCCTCGATTGGGTTATGATTATACAACTACCGATCATCGGACATTTCGGAATTATATCCTCCTTCGGTATACAAGGATATCGGCTCCTCCCCTTATATATATCTTATAGAGGAAAAGTATTCCCTTTTAGCTAGCTAATAGTATCCACTATTACCCACTAGATATACCACAATAACCGGTTGATATCAGTAGCTATAGCCGTGTATATGTAAATGTATTTGTTATCACCAGCCTGGAGCACTTGGCTGCACTGGGAAAGAAAAAAAAATGAGCCGAGTATTCTTCGAGGGACACCAATTTTGCATGCAACCCTTAGGCTCACCATCGGACTTTAATCAACACTATGAAATATTCCTTGCACAAGCCTGGCACTGCCCCGGTGACGAAATATGCATTCTGACTTCTCTCCGAAGCTACCTGGCATGACGGAGCAACAGAGAGGAAGAATTTGTTTATTCCCAGCTTTACCAACAGGATACACTGAAGGGGCCATCCACGTAGCTTACGCCAGTACTAGCTCGCTTTGAGAGAAACACGCAATCATATACAACTATCTAAATATTACAATCGGTACAAATTACTCAATTTCAATGATCAATGAACGAATTCCACCGGTGTGGCCGTGTATCCAGTGAAGATCAACGAAACTCGTATTGTAACTACCAGACTCTCGTGTTTGATGCCTTTTTTCAATTCCACAAATATCACCACTACCCTGGAAACAGCCCACGTATGCACCGCGGAAGGTGTGAATGGCATGAGCGAAATAAATAATAGATATGAAGTAGATCATCAAACTACGGGTGGGCTTGGAAGTGCGGCCAACAAACCAACGAGCAGTATGACTCTAGTATTTCCTACTCCGTAAAACCAAACCAACTTCAGTTTCTTCCAAGCCATAGTTCTCGCTACTACACAGTTTCAGAATGGTTTTTTTTCCTCTCCAGCTATTCAACTGGTGGTATATACCACTGCTTAATCCAAGTTAATTGCTATCATAACGGCAGCGGTCGTATACAACACTCCATAGTGGGACTTGTATGTACACTTTGCCATATGCAAGCCTCGAAAAAGTCGTGAAAAATCCAACCTTGCATGAAACGCTCAACCTTGCGGGGAAAAACGAGTAAAATATACCGCATCGGGCCAAGAGCTTTTGATGCAGGTAAATTCTCTACCTAAAACAGCGAGAACGAGCAAGTTTTAAACCCATTAGGCACTACCCAACCAATCAAATGCTTTATACTGAACTTTTCTCTATTTTAAGCTTTGGGGAAGCTTGTACTTACGCATGGTAAACCATTTATCAATAGCTTTATGATCCATATCTCGTCGAGGTCAGGGGCCTTGAAAAAAGAATATCCCCCTGTGAGATTGTATAAAGTCGGCCAAAATCCCCTAAAGTATTATCTTCGTAACCCTTTTGTCTCAAGCTCATCCTCAATCGGAATACCCCATTGCTACATATCACAAAAACTTCAACATGGTCCCTGTTAAATTTGCCGCGGCCACCCTTTTCTTTGCGTCAACGGCTTTAGCCCATTTCAGAATCCCATACCCCGGTGAGAGAAATGCCACCAACTGGGATACCCAAACCACTGGCCCGTGTGGCGGCGACAACAGTGTTGTCGAGCCAAGATTCCTCTTCAACCCGCTTGGCTCTCCTTTGGACTTGAACATGAAGCACAACTTGTCCGTTGGCCAAGTCCGCTTTTGTCCAGGTGACGACTGTACCACTCAGGCAGACTTTTCTGTTATTCTCGTCGATTCTTACGAGCACAAGGGTGTTGGTAACTACTGTATTCCAGCTGTATTGATTCCATTCCCGGATGGTACCAATGGTACCATCCAGGTGATCTATGCCGGTACTGGCGATGCTGAGGGCGAATACGACCACATGTTCAACTGTCTCGATGTAACTGTCTCTAGCGAGGGTGAGCAATTCTCTGGACAATGCACTAACTCTTCCAACGTGGCAATTACTCCAATCCATCTCGATTCCAACCTTGTTGCCAACGCTACCAATATCACTATTCTTAACAGTTTCTACGAATCCACTATGAGTGCCGCAGCCGCAGCTTCTGCTACCGCTACCGACGGTGGCATGGCTGGTATGGATATGAGTGACATGTGCGGTATGGCGGGTATGAGTGACATGCCTGGAATGTCTTGTCTGACTACCGCTGTTGCCTCCGCTACTCAATCTGTTGCTATCACCACTCGTGCCGTGTCATCCGCTAGTGTCTCTTCCTCTGCAAAATCTACCAGCTCTTCGAAATCCGCCGGAAGTGCCGATTCTTTAAGAATGGGCTGTTTGGCTGGTGTTGCAGCCTTCGCCGCAGCATTGCTCTAATTATGAAGCGAGTATAGATACATAGACATGAGGTCCGTTAGATAGTCAGTTGTGTTTCCGTGAACCTTCGTTTGAGTTTTATATCAATGCAAATTCTTCCTGAACCCATTCCAATTACTTTAGGTACCCCCTACTTTATGAGGTTAAAGGCACGCGGGTACATATCATGCCACTTTCTAGCTAGTACTCCTGGGAACATCCTCTGTATTATGGGTGTCTACCCCATTACTCTCAAGTCTCGGCCCTATAACTTATTACCTGAGTCTTTAATTTGTGTTTCATCTCCGGATCTGGAGGTCCGAGATTAATTGTGAGCTATAAAAATGGATGCATGTACGCACCAGTACGCTGTACTTATCTAATTTTAGTTGGTCTATAGTATAGAAAGCATCTCATACACAAAATCGTAAAATGTCTCGTTATATTCTCATTTTATTCCCTCACATCGAACCGGAAGTCTTTACAGGTCGGAACTGCGACGATATCGCTCAATGCCGGAGAGGTTGTGTCCATATCACGCACCAATATTACCAATATCCTGTACAGTATCCCACCGTTGGGCCATCGCAGAAGCTACCAGAAGGCGAAAAATTCACGAAACCGGGAGCGGTTTTGTATGCACGATGGCAAGTTGACATCAGAGATTTTTAGCATCTCCGACCCCTTGCGACGTTCGGCTCTTTATCCATTATTCTTTACACACAGCACCTATACAAAATGATGGACTTTGCTGACTTCTGGGAAGATCTCTGCCGCCAGTTTGAGGGCCCAAAGATCGTTAGATTGGTTGCCATTATCGGTGGCTACGTCTTGATCCGTTCCCTCTTCATGACCCACTTGAAAAACAAGCAGTTGAGAGACAGGATCGCCGACGACAAAAAGATGCAGGTGGAGGGTTTGATCGATAGACCAGATCTTATTGAGGCCGCCCAGGCCACCGCCAACGAGCCATTGGAGTTCGGCTGGGGTAAGAAGACCAGACGTAACATCAAGATCCAGAAGGAGATTTTCGAAAAGACCTTGGACGATTTAGCCTCTAGGGTTGACTTGGATGACGACGAAGATAAGGATATCGCCGAATTACTTGAAAACTAAGTAACTAGTTTGTTTGCATTACTGTACAATAGATTTATTATAGCACCAACTAAAGATGTTGTGTTTTTGTAGATAAGTCATAGCAAAGCCCTCCGGGAGCGTTCCTCGAGATTTTCGCGATAAATCTCAGCCTGCGTCGAAATTTTCGAAAAGCTAAATTACGTATAACTAAACGTACTCTGCCATCAGCTTATCCATAGAAACAACGCCGCTACCCACAATGAGAGTATGTATACCTTTGCCAGAACGAGCTGAATCCATCTTTTGGAATCGGACAGAGAATGTAATACTAACCGTTGCAGTCAAACAACAATAACAGAAGAGACAACAACAAGCCAGATGGCCCAAAGAGAGAAGCGATCTTGGACTTGTCCAAGTACCAGGATAAGCAGATCAGGGTCAAGTTTATCGGTGGCCGTCAAGGTACGTGAGGGAGGAATCCTATGTTGCACCCCGTAGCTCTGTACTAACATAACTTTAGTCATTGGTACCTTGAAGGGATTCGATCAATTGATGAACTTGGTTTTGGATGACGTCAAGGAAAACTTGGCCGGTAAGTAACCATAGTTTTTGCCTTCAAGTCGGAGTACTAACAAGTATTTAGATCCAGCTGACGACTCCAAGTTATTGGGAAAAGCCAGAAGCTTGGGCATGGTTGTTGTTAGAGGTCCATCGTTGTTGACTGTCTCCCCATTGGACGGCAGTGAAATCATCGACAACCCATTCGCCGCCGAGGAATAAATGCTGCACTTGGTGCAGAAAAATGGCAATATGATTAGCTTAGTGTGTGTGTTCATAGCCCCCCAAGGGTTTGTATATTATCTATGGTCCTTTTAATACAGAAGTACGAGAATGGCATTTTTATGTAGCGAGTGAATGCATTGTTTACTTACGGGGGTATCAATACATTACGAGACAGTTTATTGTAATTCCTGGTATGTTCATGGCGTTCAATTTCGGTTTTATTGCATTTGCTTGCTGACAGCATGCTATCCAAGGGTGCAAAGGAGTAGGCTTCCTAGTAGTCGCTCTGAATTTATTTAACGGGTTATTTTTGAATGCTAGATGGGAACAAGCTCTCAGTATCAGCGTGGTGTTTTATAAATTTTAGTTATACGAACAAAGGTTTGTAAGACGGGTAAGCTAAGTGGAAAATCATGGAGACAGTGACATTTTGTTTCACCAACTTCACTATTTAAAACAGCAGGCATTCACCCGACTTGAAACTAGAGACGTTTCTTGTAGCTGGGATGTCCATCAAACCAATCAGTTTTCAAACAATAATACAAGATTAAATAGCAAACCACCCATAAGAATCCAAATAAATGATATCTGTCATAAGCACCCGCCCAGTGTAGTAAGTCAACCCCAGTGCCGTTTATAGCCGTGCCGAACGCTCGTGTACATCCCGCGGGAAGTTTCCATTTCTGCGGTCGTTATCGCCAAACGAACTCTGGAATACGGCCAGAATGGCGGCTGCGTCAACAAAACCCGGCGCCTGGCGCATATCAGCCTTATATGAGCCCAACCTGCAGGATGCATTGGTAAAATTTTCTATGGGACGTTAAACGTCAGGTCACTGTTAATTCAAGTGCCCTGTCCATTCCTCATTCATCCTTGTCTATATATTAGCCTTCTGTTGATCTCGCCTTCCAGAACTATTGGACCCTATACATCATTTCACCACACATCATGCCCTCCTCTGCCGAAATTGCCGCCAAGTACGATAACATCATCTTGTTGCCGCAAACCAACCAATTGCTCGGGTTGTACTCGTAAGTAGCTTTCCCTGATACGCCACAGCTATATTAACAAACCAGCATCATTCGTGACTCCCAGACCCGTCGTCCGGACTTTGTCTTCTACGCTGACCGTATCATTCGTTTATTGGTCGAAGAGGGGTTGAACCACCTTCCGGTGGAGCCAAAGACCATCACCACCCCAACTGGGCTCCCTTATGATGGTCTCGATTTCCAGGGCAAGATCTGCGGTGTTTCCATCGTGAGAGCTGGTGAATCCATGGAACAGGGCTTGAGAGAGTGCTGTAGATCCGTCAGAATCGGGAAGATTTTGATCCAGAGGGATGAGGAGACCGCATTGCCAAAGTTGTTCTACGAGAAGTTGCCAGAAGATATTAGTGACAGATATGTGTTTTTGTTGGACCCAATGTTGGCTACTGGTGGCAGTGCTATGATGGCTGTTGAGGTGTTGTTGTCCAGAAATGTCATGCCAGAGCGAATCTTCTTTTTGAACTTGTTGGCCGCCCCTGAGGGGATCGAGACCTTCCAGGAGAAGTTTCCGCAAATCAAAATCATCACTGGTGGGATTGACGAGAAGTTGGACGAACATAAGTTCATTGTTCCGGGCTTGGGTGACTTCGGTGACAGATACTACTGTATTTAAGTCCTAATACGTATATCTAAATATCATAGAGACTGGTACAGGAGGTATAAAGCAACCAAAGAGACTAGGATTAGGTGTATTTATTTAACCATTAATGTATGAAAATGTATCGGGGCGTTGTGCATCAAAATGACATACCTATTCTATATATATAAAGATTAAACCTACCTGTAGTAATGTTGTGATGGGTGCTAACTTCATCCCTGGATATATGCTGAGGATACGCACTATTGATACCATATATCCCATCAGTCATAGTCCTTTATGGGTACCACATTCTTTAAATACACTACTGATATCCTTTACTATACCCATGTCAACTATCCCTCACTTAAAAGTTTGCTAGCACCAATGCCTAGGTGTATCAATCTCATTGCTCATGTGGAAACTATTCATACAAATCCATGTAGTTTCTATGCATTAATAGAAAACACACAAATTCTGGGTTGATCAATTTTATATCTATATACCGTCAATACCCAATATGTTATCCCCTATAGACACTTGGCATGGATAATATCCGGGTTCTCCTCGTACTCAGCAGCACTGACCCACATGCGCTTAAACGTGGAGAGTCCCGCCAAGATAGAGCCACCAATCCATGTGCTGTACTTTCGCTCGGGTGGCGCGTAGATTTTAATCTTCATGCCCTTCGGGCTAATTATCTTCAACTCAGCGAGTAACCGGTCGCCAAACCCCTTGGTGAGCGTAGTGCCTCCGCTCAACACTACCGACAGATACAACGCCGCGCGCAAGTCCAAATCCACCTTCTGGATTGACTCTTGGAGAATTTCAGGCACGGATGAACACTCTGAGCCAATCAAATCCGGCTTGAAGAGGATCTCTGGTGCTCTAAACCGCTCCGGCCCTATCTTCAATATTTGTCCATCCGGTAACTTGTAGCTACTGTACATCGATGTATCATCTGAGGCAGTCGTGTTAATGAACCGTAACGTCTCCCACTCCTTTTCGGACTTGACGGGATCAGGGGAAAGATAGCAGAACTTTTCTTTGATCGCCCGCACGATTTCTTTCTCGGCTGATGTTTGTAACGCATAGCCACTCTTCCTTAATAACAACTGCAAATGCTCTGTCACATCTCGTCCAGCGATGTCCACCCGTCTGATTGCGCTCGGTAAGGAAAACCCCTCATACACCGGCACCACATGCGTCACCCCATCCCCGCTGTCGAGAACCACGCCAGTCGTGCGACCAGAGGCGTATAATGCCAACACTGCCTGGATTGAAACGTACAAAGCTGGGGTATTGAACGTTTCAAAGAAGATCTGTGCACATCGATCGCGATGCAGCTTCGGATTCAAGGGGGCCTCTGTGAGCAACACGGGGTGGTCTTCCGTGGCGGTGTTTAAATCGTGGCGGAACACATAGGACCACAACCGCTCGATGTCGTCCCAATTCGTCACCATCCCGTGCTCCAAGGGGTAGCTGAGTTTGAGGAGCCCTCGATTCTCCTGTGCCTGGTTTCCGATGAATGTGTCTGTTTCCAAAGCTCCTGCCATCACCCTGGAATATTTGGGTCTTCCGATTCTATGTTTGTTAGTCTTATAATCCATAATGACGGTAATAATCGTTGGTGCGGTACTTACATGGACGGAGCATAGCTCTTTGGTCTTTCTTCGCCTGCAAAACCGGCTTTGATGGAGCCCGAGCCCTGGAGGTGTTAGTAGTAGTCGAAGGGAGCAGTGGTTTCACATACATTGTCTATCACGACCGGCTGATTTAAGAGAAGCTGGGACGTTTCATCCATTGTGTGGTACTGAAGAGTGAATGATAGTAATGTGAAGGCAACTGGTGAATGTTTCCTGAGATCGGTTATCAAAAACATACATCGTGTTACCATTCGAAAAAACAAAAACAATGCGATTTCTGTGGATCGAACACAGGACCTTTAGATCTTCAGTCTAACGCTCTCCCAACTGAGCTAAAGCCGCCGCTTTATGAAGCTAAAATAATAACAAATCCCCGCCCAAAAAATGAAAACACTCTTACCTATCATTCGTACAATTAAACTATATACCTAGAGCTCTTCGTCGCTGTCGCTAAATAGCGTATCTGGCGGAAAGTCTCCCACCTCTACGGTAAGTGGCTTGACAAAACTACCGTAGTTTGGCCCACACACAAAGTACCTGGTGCCCTTCACGGAACCGTTGTTCTTGCCCACCGGCTCGTCAAGTTCAATGCCGATCCAGGTAATGGCACCCTCGTCGATCTCCTTAATCTTCCCAATGTACCTGATACAACCGCGTCTCTCCAACTCCTGTGGATTGGTTGCCTTGATGCGACATCTCATGCCCACAGCCATGGTCTCTGCCTGTGATGTGCTGCTCTGAACGGCTTCCTGTTTCCTAGCCTCGAATTCTGGGTTGAAGCGGCCTAACTTCTGCTCTTTTTTCCATTGCAACACAGTATTGCTCTTCTTTTCATAGTCTTCTTCCTTCAATACAAACGCTGCATCTTCCATATCCTGTTCGTTGAAACTTTCGAGATCGTGCAACTCCGAGTCTGGTCTGGCGTCGGAAACGTGAATGCGCACAAAGGGGCGGATCTGGAACTCGTTCAAGCGTGTGGATTTGTCGTCCTTCTGCAAACTTTCGGAAGAAATCTCAGTGTTCGAGTCGTCGTTTGTGTAGGGGTACAATCGCAATTGCTGTGAGGCAGGTGGAATCCCTGTGATAAGCTCCATCTTGGCCTTGAACGCCTCCAATGTCCACTCGGTGGACACCTTTCTCTCAGAGCTGGTCAACAGAGATGTGACAAAGATGTTGATATTGCTAGTCATGACTTCGACTCGGTATTTGAACTGATGTACGTTTCAAAAGGATACGTTTGAAGAGTGACAGAAAAAGGCATGGCATTGAATGTTGACGTTTGAATCCTGTATGTAAACAAAGACCTTCGAAAGAATGATAGGGTGTCCTGCATATAATTTGTCTCTAGCCTGGTGGGGCTTATCCTGTCGTTAGCCAATATAGTTACATATTTTTCTGGCGTATCGATGAGAGCCTCTCTCCAGCCACACTCTAATGCTCCCCGTTGGCAAAAGATTCCAGACAGGTCTTCTATCAAATGTTCGTCAGCTCGCTTACACAAGCCGACTTCCCACCAGCTCGGGCGTTAATTTCTCTCAGCTTCTACACTGCACCGTGCTCACGACGCCGACGCCCCAGACGGCCCATGAGGTTCAATACATCCACCAGCAGCTTAAAGCGCTTGTGGAAAGCGACGCTAGCTTAGCTAATACAAAGATGGTTCATTTTCTGAACGCACCTACGCGCGGAAAGCCTTCTTTCTACAACGAGGTGATTTTCCACTCAAACAACGTCGAGGAATTGGCGTTGTTACGAAACAAACTAGCACCGATTATCGGACTTCTCAGATTGAGAACCTGGGACTATGTGACCGACAGACAGACCAAACTTACTACGAAACTGGACCGCACCCAGAGACCAAATGAATTAACGGCGCCCTCTGCGTTCGGGTTGAGTTTTCCGTTCAAGGAGCGGAAATATGGCTTTTTGTACAGTCACCTCCAGATTTCCGAAGCCACAATGGACGATCCGTTCTACCACCTAGAAACTGGTCCACATATTTCAAAGTTGACCAAAACCGAGTTCATAGCTCCCCGACACTTTAACTATGACAAAGCCTTCCAGGTGAACCTCGAAGAGCGCGAGGATACGCTCAAGACGTTGCAATTATTGCAGCTTCTTCCCGAGAGTCACGAGCTAGAACATACAAAAGAAGAGGTACAAAAGGACTTTGCTGCCATTTTCCAGGGCTTTACAGGATTCAACGCTAGTGCCAAAAATACTACCCCGCCATCTACAACTGACACTATGGACTATCTCTTTGCAGCAGACCGCGGGGAAATGCTACCTAATGAGGCCCCACAGCCACCACACAAGAAAGACGTGAAAAAGATAAATAAAGACCGCGTTAAGAATGCGTTAATGAAGAAGTTTCTGCGCTGAAACAGCCTGGAATCGTTATTGCTGGGGAAATACTCGAGAGTCAACATCGGGGAAGAGCCATGGAGGAAGCTTAGCTGAAATTTGCGCGTAGGTATCGACGACTTAAGACCTACCCAGAGGTTAACCCACAGAGAACCCATTGCCTTCTGGGCACGTATAAGTCAGCGCATAAGCACCAACAAGTTCAATTAACGACGGAGAAAAGTCCTAGTCGGGCAACTAAACATACATTTGACCTATACCTACGCTAGATGAAAGCCACCAACCAAAGTTTATGGATGCATTTGTATAGTGCCAGAAGTTACGGTGGGAAGTTGGATTGGATACTGGGTTCTAGCCCAAGCATAACTATATATAAATGAAAGCTTAAACGGGAAATTTACCTCTACCAGCCTTTTCCGACATGTTTTGTTGGGGTCGGTGCACAAATCACAAACGTCGGGGCTGTAGGTAATATACTTTCATTACCATTTGAAAGGCATATTCATTTTAACCACTTGATGCTAAGTCATACCCGAGAGAGACTTCTGTTTCAACCTTATTCTAATTGATTCTCTATAGGGTTAGTATCCGATACCCACGGAACTCATCCGTACGACATGGCCATTTAGAGACAACTTAGTCTACGCCCTTTTTCTTTTTTTTTCTATTCGTAAATTCACTATTTAATATTCATTAACGTTGTTGTTCGTGTCGGCGACCTTGGCAGCCTTGAGTTCGATCAAAATCAATTCGATATCACCTTCAATAAAGGCCTTGGCTTCTGGGTTCAACTTCAAGAGCAAGGCCTGGTAGGCAGCTCTCTCGTCGTCATCATTGGCCAACAACCGAGCCTGTCCCGTTAACGTGATCGATACTCTGACCAATTCGCGCTCGTTAAGCGTCTTCAACATGGCCAACAAGTTGGAGTCGGAGCACGGCGCGCCACTGGCATCTGTCGCGGCGCTGTTAGACCAGTCATGGATCAATAAAGACACATGTGGGTTGGCCTTGATGTTTTCCACCTTTACGGTGTTCTTAGGCGACGCCATGATCAAGAGGTTCTTGTTATTCGCGGCGTCGTAGACGTATGTGTAGTTCATAAGGGAAACGTGGGGAAAGCAGTTGGCCGGGTTGGCCGTGGCCAAGTGCACAAACTTGGAGGATTTCAACAAAGAGGTAACCTTTTCTGGCAATTGGTTAGTGGACATAATGGATGGAGATATCAGAGGCGTTACACAAAAAGGATTAATAATCGGCTGATATACGCGGCGTGACACAACAGATGTCAAATTTATCCCGCACACGTATCGAGATTGCCTGCATATAGTCCAACATCTACAGAAAAACATTGAGATCAGTCTGATGGGAGACATCTTTTTAACAACCATATAGCTATGAACGGAAGAGCCGACAAAAGCCTTGCTGTGAAATTTGAGTGTGATAGTGATGAACTCATGAAACCAGTCTCCGTTGATACCACGTCTGAAAGTGACGAAGAAACGCTAGTGAGCTCTAAAGACATACTGGTTTCACAGATCACATCAAGACGAAGCAAGCGTTTTCCGGGAAGAATGGAAGTTGCAGGATCAAAGAAACCACGACGAAACATACCCGACGAACCTCTAAATACTTCCGAACCAGAATTGGAAGCGGAACGCTTCGAAGGCGAGTCCGAAACAGAGATTAACGCCAGGGAAAAATCGGGTGAAACAATGGTATCCCCTGGTATTTCAGATCCAGCTAAGTGGCTGAAATTTTCCATCACCCAGGAGGAGGTGGATAAGCTCCGTTCAAAAGTGATGGCGCAGGTGACCAACCGTAACAGTTCAGGCTTACTCTATGGCCTTGACAAAGAGCAGCACGAGGTGTACAGACTTCTTGAACGCACGATTAGGGACAATGAGGGGCACTCGATTCTCCTTATCGGTCCGCGTGCCTCAGGGAAAACTGCAGTGGTGGCGAAATCATTACGCTCCTTGAGCTTGAAATACCCAAAGCAGTTCATCACAGTCAAGCTTAATGGATACCATCAGTCAAACGATAACATGGCGTTGCGTGAAATCGCCAGGCAGTTAGACGAGCAGTTAAAACTGGGCTTTGGTATTGATGCTACGGATACTTTTGAAAAGCGTGGGTTAAACGACACGTTCCAGACCATTTTGGATATTTTGGACAACAACAAGCAGTTTGTCGCCAGTGACAATGAGGAAAAGACTCTTCGCACAGTGGCCGTAGTGTTTATCATCGAAGAGTTTGAACGATTCACCTATCACAACCGACAGACGTTGTTGTATAATCTCTTTGACCTCTCGCAGAATTCCACCACCGCGGTTTCGGTAGTGGGTATCACCACCAAAATTACGGCCAGAGAAATGCTCGAGAAGAGAGTCAAGTCTCGTTTCTCGCAACGTGTGATCCAGATCGCGAACCTGAGTACGTTGGATGAATTTGTCTCCAAGTGCCAAGAGAATTTAATGATACGAGAGGTGTCTGATTTAAACCAACAGTACGTTGCATTATGGAATGAGGAAATTACACGCATGTTTCAGACGGAGATCTCGGTACGGAAGATTCTCTTCCAAAACTTTTACACAGTAAAGAATATCAAGGAGTTCCTCAATTGCGCGGTGTACCCGCTTTCCCGCATTTCCGTTGCCAGCCCGTTCCCCAAGGCCGGTGATCTTGGCAAGTATTTCCACCTGTTGACTCCAAACTATCTCCAGTCCACTGTTGATGGCCTCTCAGAGTTAGAGACTTGCTTGCTTGTGTGTGCTGCGCGACTCATTGAAAAGTTAGGGCTTGACATTGTGAACTACAACTTGGTCTACGAGGAGTACACCGCACAGATCAAACGCTTGAACGCTTCCACTTCGCTCTCGTCCACCACGAATTCGTCGGGGAATATGAATGCCGGTATGATGTTGCAAAACCACAAGGCATGGTCCAAAGATGCATGCAAGTATTGCTGGGAGAGACTCCAAGCTCAAAAGTTGATTATCGACTCAGTCAGCACCTCTGTCTTTGCGAGCGGTCCTGTGGCGGGTAAGCTCGCTTCCCTGGGGAGCGCTCGACTGAACGAGGATTCCAGAATGGTATCGGTGGCGATTAACTTGGAGGAGCTTGGCCACTTAATCCCAAGTTCCAGCTTCATCAAGTCTATGACCACCCTCTAAGAACACTCTTATCTGCATAGATGCTACAATAACTTCCGTCAAGGATTCTAATACAGACACATATATTAATGCACACCTATAGCGTCACTTGTATTTTTGTACTTTCAGGATACAGCAGAGAGGTAAGAAACTTGGGAAAGGAATCAATCTCCATCAACCGATATATTTTTCTCTCCACCTTTTCGAGCAACGGAGTGATGGTATGAAGAAAACGAGAAACCTCACTAAACTCAGTAGGGGACACAGAAACCATCGAAGCTATTGGTCCTTCCGTCACCCCGATAACCTTCGGTCCTCCACCTTGCATATCACTGGAAACCATACCCAGAAGTCTCTCTTCGGTCGTACTCGGGCTTTCCATGAAGTTGAAGTGTTGCATAATAGGTGAGTGAGGATGCACCATCACCTCTCCAATAATCTCTCTAATCTCGTGGTTAAGGTTTAACTGTAGCGGAGCTCCAATGGCGATATAAGACGTATAAATATTGTAAGCACATGATAAGCACTCGTTGGAAAGATTGGCGACGGCATCGCTCAATTGTATATTCTTGCGAATGGCCATGGATCCCTTCTGGTCTTGGAAGGGATTTACCACTTGGCTGAAAACCAGACTGTTTTCCTGTCGGAATTTCTCCGTAACCTTCATGCCTTTGAGGAGATTGAGATATGCTTGGTACAATTTTTGATATTTCTTTAGCTCAAGATACACCTCCAAATTCTCAGCACAGAAACGCTCCTCCAAGTACCTCTTGAACACGTACCGCAAACCGGGATCCCGCAAAACATCCTCAAGGTTGGTTTCCCTTTCTGCCACAGACCTGATAGAATTGGAACTTCCCTCGCCACTTGATCTGTGGATATCTCTTATACTCCCCGTCTTTAAACAATGAGTGGAATGCTCAATTTCTGACAGAGTGAGTACTACCTGCGGGCACGATAGATTCCATTCCATTTCTTCAACACCCACAATATTCAAGGCATAATATGATGTTTTAGAGACCTGAAATCCGTTAGCAGGACTGGTGGAAGGAGTTAGTCTTACTGGTCGAATCAATCCACTTGTGTGAATCAAATTAAGAACGGCCCTCGCCTCTCTCGCATACATAATGTCCGTGCAATCCATGAGCCACTGTAAGGCAGCTTTCCCGGTAAAGGTATACTGGAGCTGGGTATTATCGGACCCGAATTTCTTGTTATGGAACAACCTGACGCCTTTATCTGAAACGTAATACTGCACATGGGAATCCGATTCGGGATTAGTGAAAAACCTATGGGCAAATGGTGAGACCTGTGTTGGGGTTTCAGGCATCTGAGAAGGGTTTCCCTTACAGGTAGAGGCAGCCCCAATGTCATCCCAATGTACCATAAAACTGTCAGCCGTAGAACCAAAGTCAAACAAATCATTAAAGAGCTCCTCCTTTCCTTTTCTGATGGATATTGGATCTGGATCACTACTGGGGCTCCATACATTAGGAGAAGGACCCATGAGTTTTGCAAAGACAAGGTGAGAGAGATACTGCAGGTAGATAATCGTATCGGTAGCGATACTTCGCTCAAAGGCCAAGAGCTCCATAGAATTAAAGGGACTCAGCAAGATTGGGGGCATAAGATTCCCCTTAATCCCCAATTTTTGACAAAATATCTGAAGAACGGCCACACCCTTGGCCGTTGGTTGCAACAACACCCCATGCTTCGGCTCAGAGCGGGTTCGGTCAGCTGGTGCGTGAATCATCTTTGACTCCATAAATGATTTCAACAAGATGGTGGCAAGCTCGGTCTTAACGGTGTACGATATGACAGTACTGGTGTATTCCAGGTTTATGGTTAAGTTGAGGTGGGCCATTGTTTCGATTGCACGCTCAAGTGTGAAGGCATACGGAAAGGTCTTGGCAGACAAAGGATTAAACTTCGATTTAGGCACCTTGTCGTCGAGGTCGAGACATATGATCAACAAGGAAAAAATATCTTTTAAATCCTTGGTGTATATACATCCGTTGGGTGCTCTCTTGAGTTTTCGAGATACATCTTCGTGGAGGGTCTGAGGGCTAATCTCGATCATTGACTTCCTGCGGCTGGTGAGCATGACTGGAACTAGATATAAGCCCCCAGACCACCACGTAACAAAATATATGCGACTTTTCCTGTTTATATAGCTTTAATATCTCTTTAGAACTATTGCACGCTCAGGTACAATTCGTTTAATTATGAAACGAAGTGGCTACGCGAGAGATAAATCCTAAGGAGCCGCATGGCCTGCGAATGTATTGAACCCGTTGCAGACGGAAGGTGCATGAAGCCTCATTTCGGATCTGCTAGATTCCCACTAAGCATGAGATTTCCACTTGCCTCATATTTTATCGGTCCATGAAAATGTCGTTCCAGTCTCTTGGCTGGTATTTTTCATGTGCGAAATTAAATCACATCGCAGGATGCAATAACCATTTGTGTGTCTATCTGATTTCTGAGCCTATTTAGGTGTAAGCCATAAGTCTAACAGGAACTGTATTTCCTTTCTGCAAGGGAAGATTAGGCATTTCTGTCTTGTTTTGAGAGATTAAACTGGTCAATTTTTTATAGGTTACACTGTCCTCGTTATCTCCGCAACCAGGGTTTAGAGTGGCCTTTACCGCCACTTTACTGATTCGATACCAATCTGACTTGATACTGATCTTTCGACCCTGTTAGGATTCATGTGACATTACATCTTGTGTGTTTTACGAAAACAGATAAATAGTGGAATTGAAACATTAAGAACCATTATTTGTCACAGATAAAAGTCCAATCGTGGACAAAACGGTCACCATTCTCTAGTCCCACCACAGTTATCCTGTAATCTCTTACACTCTCAAAACGATACTATAGAATGTCCAAAATGGAATATATTGTATAAATTTCAGAAGTACAGATAGATGCTTCTAAAGACCAGACCACAAGAAACCCTTCTCCAAGGTAACACTCTGCTTCACAGTAGTATTATCAGACGAGTCACCGACAGAGATCAAGTACTCACCCTTCTCACAGTTCCACTTGCCCTCATACTCGTCGAAGAAAGCGGTGGCATACTTGATTGGCAAGGTGATTCTTACAGTCTTTGTCTCGCCGCTCTGTAATTTAACCTTGGAGAACTCTCTCAACTCCTTGATAGGTCTCTCGACCGATGAGTCAACAGCGCCGACGTAAACCTGAGCAACAGTGGAGCCAGCCTTGTCACCAGTATTCTTTACCTCGACGGAAACATTAAAGTTCTTTTCATCCTGCCCGACCTTCAAGTTCGAGAACTCGAACTTGGTGTAACTCAAACCAAAACCGAAGGGGAATAAAGCAGGTCTGTTCAACTTTTCATAATACTTGTACCCAACGTAAATGTCCTCTCCATACAAAACCTGACCCTTGTTGGACTTGAAGTTGAAGTAGGCTGGGTTGTCCTCCACTCTCTTTGGCCATGAAAGAGATAACTTTCCTGACGGGTTGACATCGCCGTACAAAACATCAGCAATACCGTTACCTAACTCGTTACCACCGAACCAAGCCTGCACTAAGCCTGGAACCTGATCAAGCCATGGAAACTCCACTGGAGTTCCCGACTGATTCACCACTACCACGTTTGGATTAACCTTGACAACGGCAGCAACCAACTCGTCGGTAAGACCTGGCAATTTCATGTTTGCTCTATCATAGCCCTCAGACTCCCATTCCTGGGTGAGACCAGTGACCAACACAACCTTATCGACGCTCTTAGCCAACTCAACAGCCTTGGTAATCTCTGTTCGAGCATCCAAAACGGCCATAGCTCCAAACTGGATCCCTCCAGCACCAGCGATCGAAGTATCAATACCCTTGTAGTGTTGGGAAGTAACTGGAGAACCCAATTCAACTCTTACCCTGTAAGGCTTGCCTTTTTCCAAGCTGATGCGACCCTTCTCCTCAATGGTACCCTGAGCAAAGAAAAAATCACCGCTTGTATGCTTGGTTTTATTGTCAACCACTAGCTTGTCATCCACAAAGATCTGAGCGTCACCAAACACGGCAGCACCAAACACGTGCTCCCCAGTAACCTCAGGGGTGAAGATGCCTTCAAAGTCCACATACAACTTGCTTTCGAACTTTTCATGCATGTAGTCGACCAAGAATATGAAAGAACTGGAGAGATTGAACGAATCAATCTTGGTCCTTCCTTCAGTTCCTCTTGGTTCGAGGTAGAAGTTACCCACAAAGCCAACCGAGCCGTCATCACGGGTCAACTGTGGACCCAAGGCCGGAAGCATCTTGTTGGCAGTGGCCCCAATGGTGTAAGGAACGTCCTTTCCGTGTCTCTTGCAGATCCCTTCGTACGGAGTAATGGTGTGGTACGGCAAAAGGGAAGCCGAGCCACCCCCAGAGTTGGCACTAACCTTGGCGTTTGGCCCGATCACCGCAATGGAATCAGACGGCTTCAATGGCAAGATACTGTTTTCATTCTTCAACAAAACAATGGAGTCCGCAGCGAGCGTTCTCAACTGAGCAGTGGTCTTAGGGGTGTTGTTATCCGCATCTTCAGGGGCGTTTTCCGGAATACCCGACTTTTGGCACCACTGCACAAGCTTCAAAACCGATCTGACTCTGTCGTCGATAGTATTCATGTGGATCTCCTTGGTTTGGACAGCGTGTGCCATGGACTTTGGAACTCTGATCATCGGCTTCCCTGGCATCTCCAAGTCTAACCCCGCATCCACAGCTTCCTTCAAGGAGTAGCAGCCGAACCAGTCACTCATGACCATTCCATCCCACTTCCACTCGTCGCGCAAAATGTCGTGCAACAAGAACTTGGATTGCGACGCGTGTTCGCCATTGACCTTGTTGTACGCAGTCATTAATGCCTTCGGGTCAGCATCTCTCATTGCGAGCTGAAACGGCATCAAGTAGATCTCTCTCAAGGCTCTTTGGGTGACCACAGAGTTGATGGAGTTTCTCTCAACCTCGATATCGTTACACACGTAGTGTTTGATAGTAGCGCCAATGTTTTCGGACTGCATTCCCAGGATGATACTGGCGGAGGAAAGTCCGGAGAGCACCGGGTCCTCAGAGAAGGACTCAAAGCCTCTACCCCCCAATGGCGAACGCTGCATGTTGCAGGTTGGACCCAAAATAACGTGTGCACCCTTGTGTTTAGCTTCAAGTGCCATCAACTTCCCCGCTTCGTGCATCAACTCCTTGTCAAAGGTGGAGGCTAGCCCGGTCCCACACGGGAAACAGGCGGCAGGAACCCCGTTGAAAAACTTGGTGCCTCTCACACCGTTTGGCCCGTCAGAAACGCGAATCAGAGGTACACTGAGTCTCTCAATCGCCTGGGTGTGCCAGAAGTCGGCACCCGCCATCAACTTGACCTTCTCGTCAAGGGTAAGCTGGGAAATGGTGGTTTCGATGTCAAATGTGGACATATTTTATAGTGAATGGAGTGAATAAAAACTTAGAGAAAGTTGACGGGAAGCTGGGTTCTTATATATAATACCTGAACGCCTAAATGGAAAAAGGCGGCCTGGATATACCCCCGTCAGCAGATGCCACAAAGACTCCGATAATTATCCAAGTAACGGGTGTAGTGCATATAACGAGGGTGGGGTACAGGATTGGTCCCCACTTGCAGGATACTCGGGGGATCTTTCTCGCCGGAGGTCATTTCTACAAACAAGGTCCTCAAAAGAAGTCCGTATACCAACGAATGTAGATAATACTTCCTTGACTCTATATTTCAACAGGGGGGTGTAGCCTATACTTTCATCGAGCTCGCCTAATGCCATACCCCCGATCTAAGCGTATGAGAAGTCTAACGTCAGGGTTAGCTATCATTTAAACACAAGCACCAAAATCTAAAGACTTTTAATGTTCCAATGGTTATCAAAATTCCTGGATACCATTTAACCAAGCGTTACACTTAATATTTAGATAGGGGGTACTGATCAACCGGACGGGTTAGAACCAAAAAGTCTCGGTTGGTTCGTGCGTCGCGAGATTGACCGCCCGAAAGGTAGGACAAGGAGGTTAGGGAATTAAGTAAGGTTTCGGAGCGGCTACATTCATCACTCCGTGTCCGGATTAGTAGACACTGCAGCGGGCTCATAGACCCCTTCGAAGTCCCTACGGATATAGGCCGGCTATAACGTTGTTGTCCAATGGCATTATTAGCTTCCCCGCACATTATTTATTGTGTCTCCCTTTCGGACTTAACAACAAAACTCAATAAATACACTGCCTCGCTACTTCCCCATGCATCGCGGGTAAATGTTTGAAAAAATCTGTACCACATCTGTCAAACCTGTAAACGGTGTACTGCAATCGTTTTACGATGCCACTAGAGTTCAAAATGAGAATCTCGGCGAATCAAAGATAGTGTAGTCACTGTTATACTGTAGAGATAATATTCAGGTCGCGTTCAAAGTTAAAAGGCGACGAAGGCCCGCCCTAGTAGTCCAATATAAACATATATGCAGAATACGCCAAGAGAACTAGGGCCGCTTCTTAAATAACTGCAGTAATAAAAACATTCGAAATGCAAAGGATAAGTAGAATTGATAAATCCCTTACCAGAGGGCTTTCCTGTTATAGTGGGCTAAAGTCATTTTACGAAAATTCTGATATAGGGACTACCACAGCCATTCGGTGGCCTTCCACTGGTGACAGTCGTAGCTATTTGCTAATACAGATGAACAATATTCAATTTAAAGAGGAAAATACAAAGCACCACCGGTGCTGTTTGTCCCTTCATACTGGAGATGATCTAGTATGAAGAGAGGAAATGACATTAGTGAGGGGGTTTAAGCGTTGACTGGCTCTAAAGTGGCACCGTTCTTGATGGTGGCCCAGCCGATCAAACGCCAGTGCTTGTCGATACGTCTGGACAAGGCAATCTTCTCGTCCACCTCAGTACAGGCAGGGGAGGTCAACTGCAATCTGGCCATATCGGCCTTGACAGCAATGACTCTGGCACCGGTAGCGGTGGAACCGATGTTAACCATCAACACCTCGTCCTTCTCCAATTTGCGCACCTTGGCTTGCTTCTGGCCGTCGGTCTTGACACCTAACAAACGACGCAACAAGAAGTAGTTGATTTCGATGTCAGTGTAGATGGATGGCAAGTGGCCCTTGGCACCCACGACCTGACCGACCAATCTATCAGCTCTACACAAGGTAGGATCGACCTTGGTACCCACACCGATCAAACCACCCGGCACGGCAAACTTCAAGTCGTTGTGTTCAGCAAAGAGGGAGACAATCTTGGAGAAAATCGGTTTACACTGGATCTTCCCGTTGTCATCCTTGGTAACGATACCCGGTCTGATTTCAATCTCGTCGCCGATCCGGAACACACCGGTCAAAATAGAGCCACCGGCAACACCACCCTTCAAGTCAGCAATCTCGGAACCCGGCTTGTTGACATCGAAGGAACGAATGACAATCAATCTAGGGGAGGCGGAGAAGTCTCTTGGTGGAACCGGAATGGTGGAGACGATGAACTGGTTGACAGCATCGATATTGTACTTCAACTGAGCGGAAATCGGCACGATCGGAGCACCATCAGCGATGGTACCTCTAATGAACTTGAGAATCGACTTCTGGTGGTCCAACGCACTTTCCTCTCTCATAAGATCGACCTTGTTCTGGAGAATGATAACGTGCTTCAACTTCATGATTTCGATGGCGGCCAAATGCTCGGAGGTCTGTGGCTGCGGACATGACTCATTACCGGCAATTAATAAAAGCGCCGCGTCCATGACGGCGGCACCAGACAACATGGTACTCATCAAGATATCGTGACCCGGACAATCGACAAAGGACACATGACGGACCAACTTGTAGCGCCCGGTACAGCCTGGGCGCTGACACCTTGGAGAGATTTCCTTGTCGGACTTGAAAGAGCGGTAGCAGTCTGGCTCTGGACAGTCGTCGCTCTCACACTTGTAGATCTTGGCGTTGGCGTAACCCAACTTGATGGTAATGTTTCTCTCTAATTCATCCTTGAAACGGACGGTCTGTACACCGGAAATTGCCTTGACCACTGTGGACTTACCGTGGGCGACGTGGCCGATGGTACCGATGTTGATGGTGGCCTGTCTGTTGATGATGTCTGGGGATAATGGCGACATGGTGGAGAAGTCTGGGTTATCTGGCTGTTCTGGTAAGCCACCGCCTTCTAAGAACTCGCGGCGAGCGTTTTCCTCCTCCTCGGCCTCATCGATGACGTCGAAAGACACGGTCTTCTTGGCGGCCTCGTCTTCAGCTACTTCGACCTCATGTTCGTCACCGCTTTCTACTTCATGTTCGTACTGGTAGGACTCTTCTTCCTCGAGGGAACCGCCGATGACGATATCTGGAGTTGCGCTTTGGAGATCGGACATGTTTATGTATATGTTAGCTGGGAGGGCAAAAGCGTGGTAGGCCTATTACTCTTTTAAGGCTTTTTTTCAGTAGGCGCCGGTGAAAAAAAAAAGGTAGGCGTGATGGATATTACGCGTGTAGAGAAGTGCGAACATCGAGGCACTAACTGAATCGCAGGTATGCACACGACATAAAGAGACACGGTCGGGAAGGTGGACTTTTGCCTGAAAAACGCTCAGATAAGGGGGAAAAGGAATCAAACCTATACAGTTGTTGGATAGGGCTCATAGAATATTGGTTGTAATACAACTAAAATTCCTGTTGAATATTTCTCGTGATTGTTACTTGTTGGGATATCTTTCGATTTAGGGGACCCCAGGTATTTGTCCTCACAGGCAAATAAAACCCAAAGCGCATACTAATAGTTTTGTATTTCAGAAACTTAATATGCAGTCTGGGGTCTTATATCTGAAAGCTGCGATACACCTTCCCCTGGTGACAAACTCCTTGGTGGCAAAACCTGCATTCAGTCTTAACGAGCTTTATGTGGCCTCTTCTCTCAGCTCCACGCAAATCCTACTTATACAGCTACACTATATAGTTCTCTTGTAAAAAAAGGTTCATGCTCTTAGTATGCACTTGATAAAATCCCTTAGGCAATCAACACGCGACATCCGCTTACTTTGGTTCTCGGTGCTTCTTCGCATGGCCGCATATGGCGTGACGAACCAGGTCCTCACGATCCACTTGACGGAAATCGGCATCCCCGAGACAAAGATTGGGCTTTTCATGTCACTCACCCTTGTCGGCGACACCGTTCTCTCCTACTTTCTCACCTGGTACGCAGACCGGATTGGGCGTCGCTTGGTGATGCGCCTCGGATGCGTAATGATGGTCCTATCTGGGACAGCCTTCGCTCTCAGTTCGAACTACTGGATCCTACTCTTTTCCGCAATTGTGGGAGTGATATCTCCTTCCGGAGACGAAACAGGGCCGTTCAAGTCAATTGAAGAGGCCTCAATCGCGCACTTAACGCCCTTGAATCACCGTCCAGAGATCTACGCCATGCACTGGATGTTTTCCACCGTGGGGGCCGCCGTGGGCTCGCTTTTCTGTGGGTTTTTGATTGACGGGTTACTTGAAGCAGACTGGACCCATCAGAGTGCCTACCGCTTTGCCTTCTTCATCTATGCTCTCATTGCATGTATGAAATTCGTCTCAATGCTCTTCCTCTCAGATGCGTGCGAGGTGCACAGCGGTGAAGAGCCCCCGTTGCTATCTAATGATGACGAGTCGCAAACCTCTACTGAATTGCAGGATGACTGCAATACTGTCACCGGTTTGTCTCGGGGTACACAGAAAATGTTGTTCAAATTCTTGGTCATCTTCATGCTTGATTCGTTTGGGTACGGCTTTATGACCCAGGCATGGGTAGTTTACTATTTCAAGACTGTGTTTAAGTTTTCGGCTGCTGCTTTGGGAACTTTGTACTTTGTCGTTAACGTCTGCAACTCGCTTTCCTCCCTTCCATCAGCGTATATGGCCAAGGCAATGGGCCCTGTGAAGGCCACCTTAGCCGCACAGGTACCGTCTGCTCTCTTTTACGCGATGATCCCGTTGTGCGGCACCAGCTGGCTTCCTGCTGCGATTTTACTCGTGCTTAACGCCGCCACATCTACTATGGACATCGTTCCGCGCCAGATTCTTCTCACTTCGCTCATGTCAAAGCACGAATTGACCCGTGTGTTGGGGGTTGTGAATATAGGGAAGACGTTTGCGCGGTGCATCGGACCAATCTTCACGGGAAAGTTAGCTAGTATCGGGCTCTTATACGTGAACTACTTTATCACCGGTGGATGCATCTTACTCAGCGACTTTATCTTGGCCGTAAACTTTGGCGGCGTTGACGCCGAAATTCTCCAGCAACAAAGTGTGGAGTATACCATATAGGTATAAGCGTTGAATATGGTTATATTATTTTTGACTATATATAAACAACGTGAACAAATATTGATCATACTAAAAGTGTTATGAAAACATACCTACCGAGGAGTTAGCTGTGATCTTGACTAGCGCCAAGAGCAGATACTGGTGATGTATCGTGAGTAATATTTCAAAGGTAAAAAGATAAAAAAAAAGTGCTAAGTGAAACATTTAATCCGGATGGTTTGTTGTAATAGGTTAAGAGAAATGGATGATAGTCATACCAGCTCAAGCCATCAAGACAGTTCTGAAATAACTTTAATAAACGATAGATCACTATAGTCTTGTACCACATAATAAAATACACAAACCTTCCAGACTCTTTACTATATCTCTAGTTTTGTTCTTCGTGGACATAACACGATACATTTATATGTACTTATCCACTAATAGTTGTGAGAGGCACTTATTTTCCTAATAATGTAGGTTCATGTAAGAGAATCACGCCCGTGCCTCATTAGTCAACACGCAGCGACCACTGTCGGCAAAAATGAAGCTTCTGGAGGTCCCTGTCTCTGTGTCACTTTCAAGTTGTCTGGCAGTCACGGCGCCAAAATTGTTGATACTTCAATCCAACCTTCATCGTTGTGTCTAGTAAACTTCCACGGGGTTCTATCCAGTGTGAGGCTCCTTTCGGTCGCCCGGAACTAATACTTTCATATGAAAACCTCACAATAAGCAATCTGACGGGCGCGCATCCGCTCACTCCTGTGCACAAAGTCCTGCTTTTTCGGAAATAATTTATTCGAGGCATTCAGATAAGACAGCTCATGATTTAGGGCTACATTGTACACAAGCCTATCCTAACCACACATCCTTTGCTTCTTATAAACATACCAATGAGTAACAATCTCAGTTCCAGCTCCAGCTCCGTGTCCCAGGAGAGGAGCCCGCGACAAACCCCAATTACCGCTAATGCCGTCCCAAGGCAGCAGAGCACGAGGGACCAGCCAGGACACGCCAACGGCCGAACTCGAGGCCGCTTTTCATGGGTCAGACGTCTTGTTATGGGCCCAACTAGACCCACAGGTAGCCAGTACACCGGTGCTGCGCGCGCGAAGGAAGGCGCTGGTCTGTCTGTACCTGTAAACAATCTGCGAGACCCAAGCGCCACGAGACAGAACCGCTTTCTGCCCACAGGAAGCGAGGGAAACGAGTCGCTTGACCTCAACTCGATCATCACGGGCGAAACGTATGGTACTCCCAACTTGAATCTCCACATGAACGACAACGTCTCCACGATGCCGTTAAAATCGCTTTCATCGTTGTCCACCACGAAATCTTCGGTCTTGGGAGGCGACTCGACAAATGTGGACTCCGCCACAATGGCGACCTCTATTACTCCATCTACTCCTATCACCATGAACCCATCGCACAGCCTTGTTTCACCAGTGTCTGACCAAACCCCCAACCATCTTACGGCGAATCCTAATAATGATGCGGCTTCAATTGTGACGTTGGCATCTAGCACGCGCGTGAGAGGGCGTGGCAGAAGTATGGAATCTACCAATGCCCTGACCGTGGGCATCCCACCAGCGTCGATTTTGGAGCGTGGAGTGCCGTCCCAGAGCCACAGCACTGGTCCAATAACCCTGACCCCAGCACACACCCAGTACGTCCCTTTGCCAGGAAATACTGGCATGAATTTCCAAGATCGGACGAGTATGGGGCGAATGAGCACGTATGCTACGTCGAGCTATTCATTCTCTCGATTTGATGACGAAGGGGAGATGGATGACGGGACATCGATGCATACCGGTGGACATGTCTTGAGAGGAGACATAGTTGCTGATGAGGATTATGATTCTGCTCCAAAGAGTATCAAGAGTTGAAGCTTAGGGGGTTGTCTAGCTTATGTTTTGGTTCACTGGGAATTATTTTTATTTATTCATTTGAGTTTAATGGAGTAGTTGAATCGCAACTTTAGATAAAGAGGGCTTTGTAAACGAGAGGTATATCGAAGCGGTTATCACTCCAAAATGCTCGGAGAAACCGCAAAGTTACATTTCCCACGAGACGAGATGCTTGATTTATCACCTAGTTAGTTAAGTATCCGGTAGAGCTTTAGCTAACTATGCGGTGAAGATTCAGTTATCCCCCCCACAGAATCGCCCTTTCTACAAAACTCAAGTTGATCGAAAAATATAATAGACATCAAATTGCATGGTCCACCGGCATGAAACTCTTCACATGGTATCCTGTCATTACTTGGCCTTGCCGAGGATTAGTAATTTTCTGGAAAAAATTCGTACAAGTTCCATATATACGGATCCAAACATGCAAGATCCGTGAAATCTGAACTAAAACCTAATCGTACCTACGTCGTCTAATACATCAATATTGGCTATAAACTGGTGTTACACAGATTCTCTCCTATAGACGCGGTCGACAACAAAATGAAAACTGAACTTCACGATAATAATGTGTATTCAATTATTCTGCCATGATCTCTGGATTAGCTGGAAGGTACATCTATATGGCTAGTCCGCCGAAATATGAATTGATATTTTACCGTTCAAGTTTTTGATTGGTCTACAGATGAGCGCCTCGTATTCAAGTTTTTACCACTAACACGCCAGCTCAACCAGGAAATCGCCCCCTAAACTCTGTCGTGGTCGGATAGTAATTCCTGCGACCCTCACCCCATTAAGTAACCCACGCCACCAGGCCCCTACCTGGAACTGTACACACTTGCGTTTCTCACAAAGACTAGTGAAAAATCGTACGATAGTTGCAGACTCTTGAAAGACGTAATCGCCATGTTGATACAGTGGGCAGAAAAGCTTCCTCCTTATAATACAGTTCTTTTAGGCTTAGGTCATGCTGAGCTTATCTGGTGTCTATAGTCCACATCTCGTTCTTTAAGGAACAGACCAGGGAAGGCACTTTTAACATGCACTACTCGTCATGTGTACCAACACCCTGATTGGGTAATATTGAGGAAGCATTTTGGAAACCACCTGCATGTCTACTATAGTTCTCCTGCACTCATTCTCACCGTCGATCCTGTATTCTTGAAGGGGGACGTTGGGACGTATATGTGATATGTAAACAATGTATGGCCTGCACCCCGACACCACTATTATTAGATCTAAAGACGTCATCTTGCTTGATGATCTGACTATGAACCGACTTTTCCTATGTACTTACAGTATGCCGCCTAGTTGGGGTAACTCATACGTTTAGGCAAGTACCTTATTTGATCTACGTTGTGACATACACAGGGCTAACCATATTGACTAACACAGATCCCCTACTTTGTATTATATACGTCGAAACAAGCCTGTAAATCTGATACACTACGATGGCCTTGGAAACTGTTTGCATGTGATCCAATTCACCAGGTGAAGGATCGTCCAGGGATTCTTTTTTAATTGGTTATGTGCGGGGAGACTGGTTGCTAGTTCGACCCGAACTTCAAAGCTAAAGTTTTATACAAGAAGCAGATTTTCAAAATGTACGGGTTAAAGTTTAGATACATATATCTACGATGAGCGTATTGCGACGGAAATTCCAGTACTCCGAAAATTGAACCGTGTTGCGACCGTTTGCTGCCGAAGGTGTCGCTGAGTCACCTATATAAATCGCGAGGGATGCCTGGGTGATCCCAGCCCTCCTATAGAAATATTAGTGCAAGGAGCGAGAGAGGCCATGATGCAACGCAGTACAGTCGTTTCGAAGATTTGGTACCACGATAAGGAAAACGTGTCGAATCATTCTGAACAGCATCACCCATGACCTCAACTCCGCTTGGTAAATGATCCCAGCGCGATCGCCCCTAAACTGTCGCATGCATTATCTGCTGTGTTTCGAATAGATGCGAGGTGCGTTTCCCCTGGTTACACATCCTAAAGGAATCGTACAGAAAAAGGAAAATACAAACACTGGTCTGTGTCATGCAGCTCTATATTTTTGGCTTTCCTACAACCAAACTGAAACAAACAAACACCCTAGCGGAGAAATTCCATCAGCCTTTAAGATTTACTTTCTTCGCTCGCTTTCTACTTGCTAGTTATATAAGATTACCTTTTGCTATAGTCGGGTGGCAGTCAGATTTGGAGAAAAAAGCTCTTCTTCAGCGTTCCCTTTGCCTCTGTCCATACTCGCAACCAGCTCTTATAGCCGCCATACCCTGGCGCCCTCAAACCGCCTGCCCTGGGATTCCTTTACTACAGTCACACATCTGTTAGATTCGTGGCCTCATTAATCCACCGAAACGAGCAGGTCCTATTAATTTGTCCAAGCAGTCAGCCATTATAACGCAATATACAGACAATGTCCCCCTTCTCCAACAACGCCAACTCTATTGAGGGCGAAATATATATGCAACGGCTTGCCGGCTACGTCCGAAGTAACGAAGCGTCTATCACAAACGGACTACAGGCCTTTGCAAAGGTCTGCGCGCTTGATCCTAGCCTCCAGCTACCTACGAAGGGCTCCGCCAGGCCGATCCGCTTGTCCTTCACCCTACACCATTTGTACTACCTCTGCGAGCGTATCCAGAACTCTGGGTTGACAGCGGACGTTGGCCCCTTGAATATGAAGCTAGAGAACCCCAACTTTGCGGTGCCCACCTTTGTGTCGTTCCTAGACACCCATAACCGAGGGTCAAACGATATCCACAGTTTCATCGATAGCAGCGACACGACATCCATCACCTCCATGTCGTCTGTGAAGTCCATTGTCACGTCAGCCTCGATGTACTGGAGGTCGTTCGGGTTCAGTAAGGACCCTAAGATTATCATGAAAGACCTTGAGTACTTGTGCTCCGTGTTCCAGGAGCTTCCGTGCCTCATTCTCTCGCCCAAGACCAAAATATACTCCATCGCCAACTACGAAGAGTATCCCTTCGACACCTCTATCCCCATGCATCTCTTCAAGAACCTACAAGTCTTGGAGATCACAAACTACGAACCCAACGAGGTGTATGGCTGGAACTTCTTGAGCGAATGCTTGCAGATCTTAGTGATCAAGAACTGCAAGATGGAAGACCTAGGCGAAGTCTTGTACAGCTTGGTGCTCGACGATGAAGATGGGCGCACCGGCTTTTTCAACCCCACTGGCACCAACGGGCCTCGGAAACACCGTTCCGCCACCCTGCCGGAACGCAAGTACAGACACAGACGACAGTACTCCGATACGGACGTTATCGGTAGCCCTCCAACAGTGTACTTCGAATCACTGCTTAACGATCCAGTAGTAATTCCGGTTTCTGGTTCACCGCGCAACTCTGCCTATTATAACGGGGCAAGATCGCCCCTCTCCAACGCCGGACTCCAGACAAGCAGCAATTACACGTATTTCAGCCTCCGCCCCGAGCCAGTGTCTTCGACGTCCTCCACCACTAAGGATCTGTCCTACGATACCAAGGGCCGCCGAAGCAGCGAAGCCAGTGCTTTGTCGCCATCCAACTCCATGTCCAGTACCAGGCGTGTCACTTCCCGCTCCACCCATTCTTCCAGGGTATCCGTCTCCACCGCTGTGGATGACTTTCCCCAATCGCGCCACGGACACCACCACTCCATGTACAACTTTACCATCCCCGGTGAGCATGCTGGAAGAAACAGAAACTCTTTCTCCCGGCCAGCCTTGGACCCTGCGAAGTGGAGCCGGTTAAAACAATTGACCATTTCCGAAACCCGTGTGTCATACATCCCCGATGACATCTTACGGCCGTTTGGAAACTTGGCCAAGCTTGACTTGTCCCACAACAATCTAAGTGAGTTGCCTATTGGGTTGAAGTACTTGACCGGGTTGAAGTTCTTGAATCTTTCGCACAATCGCATTCAGAATTTGGACAACTTGCTGGAGATTTGCTGCGTGGGCATGGAGCGCAAAGGGGTGAGTGGCATGTCCGGTTTGGTCTTTTTGGACCTTTCGTACAACAAAGTGGATAGCTTGGCCCATTTAGAGATGTTGGTCAGCTTGGAGAAATTGGATATTCGCAGGAACAGTCTTCTGTCCACCGCCATTAGCGGTCGCACCAATGCCCGGTTTTCCCGCCGTTCCTCTGCGTCCACAAACTTTGACTTGTCGGTATTCAGGCCGATTGCATTGTCCTTCAAACAAAATGCCCAAAAATTAACCAGCATTTATGTTTCCGGCAATTCTAACCTCCACAAGACCCATCGGATTGACTTGTTCAACTTGTTTAACGGATGTGGAGACGCCAAACGGACCCTGAACTTGACCATCGATAACTCTAAGCCGGGATACTTTGAGAATTCCTTGCTACTCACCCATGAATCGTGTATCGCGTTGGTCGCCCAATTGTTGGCTGTTTCAGACTCTTCTGCCGTATCATCTAGCTCGGTAGACGCAGATATGCTCACCAAGGGGTTACATCTGTTGAAGCTTTCGCTTCCGTCAAGTGCTAGTAGCTACCGAATCCTTCCTCCAAGCAGACATTCTCGCGACCGGGGCTTGCACCCTTCACCAATTATTATCAGTTCAATGAGAAAGCTGCCTTCCACGGTCGTCGCTACGCTTGCGCCTGTGCCAGCTTCGGTATTGGCGCCAAACATGAACAGCTTGAACCAGTTGAGACTGAGCCCATCATTCCTTCCCCAGTGTCTGGACCGTGCTTCTCCTGACACCCAATCGCCTCATATGTCGCCAGTCTCCAGGTTCCCGACCTCTAGCCAGAGTGAAATGTTTTTACACGAACTTTTGCGTGCTGACAGTCTTGATCCGGGTCCCCAAAAGCCGAACGTCCCGAGAAGTGAATCAAGCAGCTCTTTGATCACTGCTTTGCGCAGTGTTACCACACCTTCCCTGCCGTCTCTGGGACAGGTGACCAGCACTCCTCGCTATACAGCGTCTCCTGTTGCGTAATTCTGTTCTGTTCATTCTCCGTTATCATTTCTTATTTCGCTACGCTAAACTTTTCTTCCTTACTGCATATTTAACGATCTTTTTTTTTTCTTGTCATGACGCTTATTGATTTTTGTGTTTGGTTTAACCACCTCTGCTTTACTGCTCTATTTTGTTTTTGCATTCCAGTATCGCTGCTGTACTATGTTTTATTTCCCGTGTATAATCACCTGAATTATCTATCGACCGATTTTAATTAAACCGCATAAATGAATTTAAAATACAGTGGCCAGTTATGGGTGGCCTATCAATTCAGGTGCGGAAGGGTGGTGCAGCTCCTTGTAGCGAATACCGGATTTGCCCTGGAAACGGCAGCTGGCCCTGCCTCCCGCTCACCAGGAGGTGCGAACAATGAATAAGTGTTATTTTTAAAACTAATCACCAATTTTGTCAGTGTTGGAGTATACTTCACGATCTTGAGTCTCGGTAAATAAAAAAAAAAAGCTTTAGCCACCGTTTCAAGTGCTGATAGGAGCCTTAAACTTCTCGAGTGTCACTATATATTCATTGATTCAATAGATACTAAGATTGGGCCTAATTATCCGAGGCACCAAAAGTCTTGACAACCTTCTCATATCCTCCCCCTCATCATTTGGTATAACCGCACAGGCATTGTGTGATGTAGATCATGGATTGCTAGCTTAATACCTTCAGATGGACAAGCCAGGGTTCGCTCTTTGCTTGGCCTGCGCATTATTCGCAAACTGACCCTGTTGTTCGTTCCACTCAGCTGCGTCTGGAAGAACAGAATTCGACGGTTGGATGTGGCCCTCTTCGAGGTCCTGGTATCTCGCTCTCAACGCGTTATCGCCCGTTACCGGGGAAGTTGAATACACGATGAACATACTGTAGAACATGCCTGGTGCAACAAACAAAAACGTAAGGAGAACTGACTTAAGGAACCCTAAACTGAAGAAACCCTTACGAATAGCAACTGGAATAGGTGAGAAGAAGCCTGTCATCGCCACAATGTAAAGGATGATGTCTGAAGCAGTAAAAGCATCACCGATAGATCTGAAGTTTACTTCAGATAATATTTGTCCGAGAGATCTGAGGTTTACTTCTGGCATTGTTATGTATTGTAGTTGTTTGCGAGGTTGCTATATATTGTGGTTGTGAAGTTAAAAGATGAGTTTGTGATAAGCAGGAATTGAATACGTTCAAGCTTTAAACGCCCCTGAAATTCTGAGGTGCATGCGCTTGGAAGTTATTGATGTGCGGCATAAAGGGAAAGGGGAAACCACTCAGCCCCCAAACTACCCTGTTGCATTTATTCTCGTCTAACGAATATCGGTAGTGATTGAAATAAAATCAGAAAAGTTAATGATCGTATCACTAGTAATATTATTAATAGTATTATTGTTAATTGAGGGCGATATTTATTAATTGTAAAAAAAAAAAGGTGATTATACCGGTGAAGCGCCCCCAATTTCATCCGCACAGACACTTAACGTTGAATCTTATTATCACCCTTATGGTCGTCATGGGCCACACCATCAGAAGCGTATGCCGGCGGAATGTCACTCCTGGACGTACCTTCATCGTAGTGGTTCAAAGACGAGGCCGGGTTGGAACCCTGCTGTGGGGCTGGCGAGAAAAGTGGCGGGTTAGACACATGTGCTGGGGCGACATCGGCGTAGCCGGCACCCTGTTCAATATCGGCGTATTGGCCTCTACCGGCGTCGTCACCAGTCACTGGAGACGTGATGTACACGATGTACATACTGTAGAGTAACCCTGGAAGGTGGAAGAAGGCGGTGAGCAAGATCGACGCCCAAAACTCGCCCGATTTCCAGCCCTTGCGGATAAGCACGGAAAATGGAGGAAGGATAAAGCAAAAGACGTAAAGAATCACATCCGAGGGGTCAAAATCGTTGACGCCAATATTATTGTGGGCCATGGTAATGGAGAATGTATAGGAGTGGTATTTGGAGAGAAAAAGGGATGAAGGTTATTGATAAAAAGTAAACCTGATGTAGTTTCAACCATCCCAGGTTAATTTTAAACTTCGCCCCCTTGGATCTTCCGCTAGCGTCATACTACACGAGCTGGCATTCGCGAAAACTAGAATTTGGCGAAAGACAGTTTTCCGCGCACTGGCGGTTAGGAGCTCATCGGGGACACATATTTTTCCTCGATGTATACAGGTTAGATGAAAATTTATTTGATAGGAATCTCTGACAAAAGACTGCTAGGATTACACACAATGGGTAAAGTCGCAGCTAAGAAACAAAAGATCACCGCTGAAAAGGCCCAGTCGACCAAGAAGGTTGAGGTTGAAGAACAAAGGACCGAATCCGAGGCTGAGTTGGAAGACTTGGAAGCTTTGTCTGACGATGACCTCGCGGAAGACGATGAGTTGAACCTAGACGGTGTCAGCTCTGACGAAAGTTCTGCTGCCGAAGCCGACTCCGAAGAGGAAGAGTCTACCGACGACTTTGAAACCGAACTTCCACTGATGAAGAAGAAGAAGAACAAGGACGACGGCTCTGCTCAGTTTGCCGACGCCCTCAGCGCCATTGTGGGCTCGCGTTTGAAGGCATACGACAGAAAGGACCCGATTTTAGCGAGATCTAAACTGACTATCAAGAAGTTTGAGAACGATAAGTTGGATGCCAAGGCCAAGAGATTGATTTCTGCCGAAAAGAAGATTACCTTGGATATCGACAGAGTCAAGACTTTGTTACCAGCCGCGGATAACGAGAAAGCCGGTGAAATCCTTGCTAAGGAAAGACGATTGAAGAAGGTGGCGCAGAGAGGTGTTGTTAAGTTATTCAACGCCGTCTTGAGCACCCAGGTCAAAACCCACACGGAACTTGGTACCCAGAAGATCATCGGACAGACCAAGAAGGAGGAGATGATGACTGAAATCTCCAAGGAAAAGTTCTTGGACTTGGTTCAGGCTGCCGGTAAGTCTTAGGGATGATGAATCCCCGTGTATCATATTTAGTAATAAAACGTATTTTCAGATCGTGTAGCGCCTTAACCGAAAGCAAAAACGGCAATGAGGTGGAGTGGTATTTAGTAGCCAAGGTTGACGGTTAATATATTTATAGCTGAAGGAGTGTGTTGAAAGCTAGTTCTGCGGGCTGGGTTACGTGATTAGCTTGTATATGACAGTAAGTGGTGAATCACGGATCAGGTTCTTTTAAGGCGTACTAAAGAGAAATATTGCCGTTTAAAACTTCCTCGTGGGTATTATAATGCTGGACCAAACCAGTTATATGAATTTGCACTTTTTACGTCGGGTTATATCTATATTTCTGTGAGATTTTTGAATGGTAAGATGGAAACACCATTATCATATGTACCAGTACTCTGGATAAGCCATAAGTTGCTCATTACCGATTTTATAGAAAGATTCGAGCTCCCGTCTCGATAATTTGGCCCTTGCTTTACCATAGGCTACTTTTTTTTAACACTTCTATAGAGGCTGCCTCAGGAGTCCCAGAAAAGCTACTTGCGCTTCAGGGAATTTGAAATTGGGAGAGCTCATTGAATATATAATCCTCAGCAGACAAGACTAAGGAAGTTGATCTATAATCTCTGACTGTCTCGAAGTGATGGTTTAATATCCAACCAAATTCCACAAGAATCCTATCTCAGGTCGCAGGAGGCTTTAGAGTACGGAGTCTATAGCCACTATTATTTCCGCTATAACACGCTCTTCCTTTCCAGCCGTGCCACGTATTAAAAGTAGAGATTACACAAGCTTCAAGAGATTAAAATAAACACATATATCAGATTTAACTTCCGATTTAGTTTTTTTATGACGAAATATCCTCCCGACTTCTCCGTTTGTCCCACCCGTTTCTTATCTCACGTGTTTACGCTCCTACGCATATCCTTAGTAGTGCGCGCACTCATCGCTCGTCTTAAAACATGTGCACTGCCAGATAACACCAACTCCTCCCCCACCAACAACTACCTATACTATGGTATGCTCCACCCAATTCTATACAATGATCTACTACTAACCACCCAGTCCGAAGAAGCTTTTGACGCGTCGCTCGACCTTCTCAGAAGGCTCGACCCGCAAAACATCCAGAGCAATCTCAACAACATCTGCCGCGTGGCGCCCGGCTTGGCGGAAGACTTGTTGTCGTCCATTGACACACCGCTTTCTGCCCTGCGCGACCCGACTAACGGGAAGGCCTACTTATGCTGCGACTACAACCGCGACGGTGACTCGTACAGATCGCCGTGGTCCAACGAATACCACCCCGCGGCCGACGCAGATGCGCCTGCGCCTTCGCGCGAATTGCGCGAGCTTGAGGTGTTTGCGAACGCATCGTTCGACGTCTACCGTGACTTGTACTACGAAGGTGGGGTCTCAAGTGTCTATTTGTGGGACCAAGGAGACGGCTTGGAGAGCGATGGCTTTGCTGGCGTCGTGTTGTTGAAGAAGGACAGTGACGACAGTTCCAGTTCCTGGAACAGCATACATGTTGTGGAAGTTACCCCAGAGGGTGCCAGCGCTACCTACGCCATCACATCGACTATTATCTTGGACTTGCATTCCGCCAAGACCATTGATCTCTCTGGGAACTTGGTCAGACAGACGGAAAAGACGCTCGCGACCGGCGACTTGTCCTCCCACATCTCCAACATTGGTACCCTTATCGAAGAGATTGAGACCAAGCTCAGAAACATGTTACAGGAGGTGTACTTTGGTAAGACCAGGGATATCTTGGGCGACTTGAGAACGACAACACAAGCGTCGGCGCTTGCATCCGAGAAGCAGCGCGTGTCCGAGATGGTCAAGGGGCTCTCAGAGTTGTAGTAGCTCTGAAATTATTTGTTAAAGGACATGCGTGTTTTATAAACCAATATATGAATTAAAGAATTAGATAGAGGGGCAAAGTAGGAGACTTTTTTCTGGGTGATGGCTCTAGTAAATCACTGAGTAACTGAATACCACCGATTAACTCTTAGATGGGAATAAGCAGGACAATATAAATCCATCTTGATCTCCTGTTACCCCCCGATTATTCTACCAATTTGATATACCATTAATTCCGGCCTGTAAACCATTCCTCCTGTATCAACCCCACGGTTACCCGCCCTTGACATTTTTACATGCAGCATACTAAAGCATAGCTGAAAAATGCTTACATCCAAACGGCTAGCGATCTATACCAACCGCACTATGTCATCTCGACGGATATTGACGCAGCTCCCGCGACAGAGCCTTCGTGTGTGGACAGTTCCGTGCCCCGCATCGTTTTGTGGAACGCGTGCTGTGGTGTTTACAGGGTCGCGCTACCGCGCCGCGGCGCCGAACCACGCGCGTATGGAAGTGCGCGGCTACTCCATCCTCTCGAACACGATCGCCAAGTTGCGCAAGAAAAAGGCCGTGGTGGAAGACAAACATGTGAATAATGAACACAACGTGGTGGTGCAGAATACTGGCGATGAGCCGTTGCCCGCAGCGGTCACCGATGAGATCATCGTGCTCTTGTCTGAGATGCGCAAGTTGGTGCGCGCGCGCGTGGACCGCAACGCGCGCAACGCGCAGTTGTTAGAGAAGTTGATGCGACTCTCGGAGCTTCACGCTGCGCACCTGTGCGGGATCAACCCCAAGAACTTTCCCCTTATTAACGACGTTGTCGTGATGATCGATCACACGCGTTTCAGCGTGGAGGAGCACAAAAAGTTGTTTGCGGTGTGTATGAACGGGATGCACGACGTGGAAGACAATGCCGAGTTTCTAAAGACTATTTTCTTGAAGTTCCACAAATCCAAGCTCATTCTCACGCTAGACTTTGACGAATTCAAGTACTTTGCGCGCTACGTCTCCTTTTTGGGTGACAAGGAGGTCTTGCAGAGCATGTTCGGCGCGTACATCGCGCGCCAGCTGCAGACCCCGGGCTTTGATCCCGCGCAGACAATTGAGTACGGCATCTACCTCGAACAGGAAACGGGGTTGTTGGACGTTTGGGAGGCTAAGAAGTTTACCGAGATGCGGTTGAAGTACGATGTCTCAGACGCAATTCAACCGCTTGTGGACTTCTACGCCTTCACGCTCAACCGTAACGCGACCAAGACAGAGCCTGTGCGCGCAATGTTGGACGATATCCTCGCGACGTTGTTAAAGGACTACCCTGGCCGCTGGGGGTACTATTTGCAGTTGGCTGCGTTTTCTAGTCATTATAACTACTGGGCGTTGTACAACCAGGTAACCGCGCACTTGCTCGCGGCGTTCAGTCGTGAGCCACGCGTCCTAGAGGAGCTCACTATTCAAGAGCTTCGTGCGCTCTCGGCAATCGCGATGAAGCAGCGCGCGCGCGCGTTCGGAGACCTCCTCGTCGCACACATTGAGGGCGCGCGCGACACGGACCTCACGATCCAGATAGCCTACGTCGAGCTCTTGTTGCAGTGGAAGTTCTACCGTATGGAGGGAGAGGATTTTACCGAAATCTACGCCGCGATCGAGGATCTTTGTGCCTCGCGCCCGCAGCCCCGCGCGCGGTTCAAGACGCTCGACACGCACTTGTACAACACACTTGTCCAGACCGCGTTCTACGCATGCAAGCCTCTCGCAACGGTTGAGGCGTTCAGCGTGCACCTCCAGCTGGAGTACACATTGCAGCGTGACGAGGAGACCTTCTGGTTGTTGATCAACCACGCTTTAGACACAAAGAACACCACGAAGGCGCTTGAATACTTCGAGAACTCCTTCACTGAGGGTGTGTTGTGGATGGAACTTGAGGGCAAATACACGACGGTAGTGAACCGTTTGATGAGACAACTTGGGGAAGACCTCCTTGCGAAAGGCAACTTTGCGGCCAAAGACGATTGCAACACCATCTGGCGGTGGTTCACGCGCTTAGACCAGATTAAACATAAGTTGGACGTGTACACGGCCGCGATGTGGATGCAACTCTTTCTTAAGAATGAAAAGGAGTACGTGGGTAACGCTGTGACCATTGCTGAGCACGTTTTGCCGCCGCTTCCGGAGAAGGGCGAGTTGAATGAGATCCTCCCGAAGGAAAAGGCGGACTTTGAAACGTACAAGCCGCTCTACGATGTGTTATATGATTATACGCTCTCTTCCACGTTGGATGCCAACAGGAACTGGTCTATTTTGGGGTTCATCGATACCTTTTTCGTGATTCCAGCAGAGAATTACCTTCCGCTCATGCGCAAGTTCTGCGAAATGGACCGCCCCAACGCGGGGTTGATTTTGTTCAAAAACATGAAGCGTTACCATCGGTTCTACGGTTTACCGCCGCCGAGCGAAGAGGTCTATATCTTTTTGTTTAACAAGTTTGGGGAGATGTACTACGAAGAGGGCGTGGCACAGATGCACAAGATGATGAACATGGAAGTGGCGGTGCACATCGACGCGCGCGTCATGAACGCGGCACTCGCGGCACACGTCAACTTGCAGGACACGCTCGCCGCGCGTACGTTGTTCCACTCGATGTTGGCCATCCCCAAGGAAGTAGGTATCAACGAGGAGACGGTGTCGATCATGATGAAGAACTACGCGCTCTTGAGCATCGGCTCAGCCAGACGCTTCTGGTCCAGTTTGTCTGACTTTGACATCTTGCCGACCGCGGATAACTACAAGTGGTTTATTATCGCGCACTGCCACGCGGGCTTGCCCGACGAGGCCTTGTTGATCGCGCAATCCATGGAGGAGAACTACGTGGAGGTGACCGGGGACGTGTTGGCCACGTTGCACAACTGGACAAGCGACGCGGCCGCGCGCGCGGAGGTGGTGGCGTGGGCCTCTGCGCTGCATCCGCAGTTGTGGGCACGTATCGCGCACGACGGTTTGTTGACCAGCGGTGAAGAGAGCTTTGACCGAGACGACCCGAAGCGGAACGTCAAGTTGCTCGCCACTAGGGCGATAGAGTAGGTAGCATTGTATATAGGACCATTGCATGTATATTATGAAGAGACGCACATAACGGACTAGCGAATAGCTAGTTATTGCTTAATAGAGATGGGTGGATTGCGGGCTCGAGTAGTATCGTTAACTATATAGGTGGACCCAGGCTAAATTTATACACGGACATGAATGCCACTCCCCCGGCCCTGGGAGATAAAGCTAACAATCTGCAATGGGCATTAATTAGATGCCGACTCCTAGGCCTTGCATCATCCCTTTTTCCTCGCCAAACGGGTACTGTTCACCTTGGTGGCAAACCTGAGCGAGTTGATCGTCTCGTTGAAGTGCGCCTTGGCAGGCGAGATGTTCACAAACATAAGTGTCTTGCTTTCACCACCAAGCGAGTTCTGTAACAAGTACGTTAGCTTGGAGTTACGGTACGGAATATGCCTGTTCGGGTTTTCCGCTCTAGAGCCCAAGGCTGCGATGACATCGCCCAAGCAGCTCAATGACTTGTTGATCGCCTGGGTCTCTTTCAAACGGTCGCCGGTGGCTTGCGACTGGTTCAAGCGCTCGGACCCCGCCAAATCAATGAGGTTGAGCGTGCCCTCGCACCGCTCGCCAGTCTTGCTATTGGACCCATGAATGGTTATGACAAACACACTGTGGGATCTGGAGGACCGTTCGTTAGCCTTTGTCGCGGCAACAGAGCGGTTCTTATTCGCTCGTTCAAAGATCTCGTTCACCATAGTGGCGCTGGTCAACGCCACGGACGAGAGCCCTGTCACCTCCGTCTTGCCCTGATCGTGGCGGATTTCATACTTCGCTTTGTCTGTCTGGATAAGCAAATCATGAATAGCCTCGTTGTAGATTTCCAAGAACAGGCCACGAAAAGCGTACTCCCAGCCCTTTGCGCGGAGCACGTCACTGCTGGCGAAGAGCTGTTGTGTCGCGCGCGGAATCATCCCGTCGCCGCGTGCGGACATTGTATACGTCTTTCCGGAGCCGGTCTGGCCGTATGCAAACACGCACACATTGTAGCCGTCTAACGCGCTCTGAACCAACTGCGAGATCTCTTCAAAAATCTCCGCGTTCGTCGTAAGTGGGTCAAACACCTGGTCAAATCGGAAGCTGAGCTCGCGCGCAGCAGCTGTGGCGCCGAGCACACTCTGTGGCGCATCGCGCAAAATAATTTCCTGGTTGCAATCATCGAAATCGTCGGGGAACGCCATGTCGGACACCTCCGACGTGTCTTGGGAGAGCAACGGTCGCGCGCGGCAGAACACGCGGATATTGCCTTTGAGCTCCTGTAAGCGGTTGTGGAGGCGTCTGCGGTTGGTTTCCTCCGCGGTGAGCCGCTCATGGATGCGCGCAGTATCCATCTGTGTGTGTGCAACGTACTCGAGCATCGTCTCAATCTTCTGGCGCTTCTCTGATAGGGCCAGCTCCTGGAGCCTGAGCTCTTCTGCGAGGGCTTGCGTCTCCTGAGACTGCTCCCTGTCTTTCTGGATCGCTTCCATCAAGCTGACGCCCACAGACCGGTTCACCTGCTGCTGCTCTTCCAACATTTTCTCCTCAGCCGCTATTTCAGCCCGGATTTTCTCCATCTCGGCTCCAACCTCGCGAATTTCCGTCTCTATGAGCGCCCGCTTAGCCCCCACATGCTGCTTTGTCCCTTCCAATCGTTCCCCTTGTTCCTCATTTAGCTTCAAAACTTCGCTCCTGTACTTTGTATCCAATTCACGAAGCTCAGTTTCGACTTCCAGCAACGCTTCCTGCGCCTGAGTCCGCTCCTGCTGGAATCGCCCCACCTTTTCCTGGAGAATGTGCTCGATTTGGGTCTGAATATCGTGCTGCATTTGATGCTGATGGTTGTCTCCGTTGATCTTCATTTGTTTCACCTGAAAATCGTACTCTAAAACGAGCTCGCGTATGGCGTCCTCGCCGCCTGTCTGGAGCTCGTCCACCTCGCGCTGCTTCTCGCAGAGCGACCGCTGTAGTTTGTGGTACTTGTCTTCTAGAACGACCCGCTGGAACTCCAAATCGGCGATATATGTCTTCATGTCCATGTCTCGCTGACGCAACGCGTTGAGCTCCGCTCGCCGCACCGCTGTCTCACTGATGACGTTCCGGAGGCGGCTCTCTTGCTCGTGTTCAATCTGCGTGAGCCGCCGTGTTACTGACTCAGATACCGGCGACACGGGTCTCGTGTCCTCGTCCCAAGAACGCAACGTGCGCGCGGGAATGCGGGCGCTAAGGTCTCCGACGGGGGTAGGGATCAACGACGTCCGTCTGCCTGTTTTTGCGGGAGGCACCATCTCTGTGTCGGACGTTGCTATGGCCTGTCTCTTGAATCCAACGTTTCTGGGTTCAGGTCCCATTTTACGAGAAGAAGTTGTGCTGGAAGAGATAGCCGTGTGTTGTGTTTGTTTTGTATTTACGTCCTGTATATAACTGTAACAAACTGTAGACACTTTAACCACGTGCAGGACTTTGCCAATACACGAAAAGAAAAGGATCAAAAAGGGGAGTCTTCTCCGATGAATAAACCAAAGTTTGTTCGAGGTTAAAAAAAAATGGGTATAGGTACTTATGGTTAATAACCTGTGAAAGGATACATTAGTATTGCCCTGACGATGACACGCATCTAGTATTAGTTCATTCGGTCATTCTAGTCGGATGCGCTGAAATATGACGTAGATTCGAGCATTAGATAAGAATACGGTTTTATGTAACACATATCGTTGATCTACTAGTCACTGGCAATAACCTCTAACCTGAATCCAATTATTTTTCGGATTTTTTTAATGCTATTTAATTTAAGTCCAAAAATGACAAGAATTATATAATTCGAAGCAAGATCCTGGGAATGCTACACCGAAACTTGCATAAATACCCCAGTTTAAAACTCATCAAACCCTCTTATTGGCATTCATCTCCCAGTTTGTTTGCCATGGAAAGAACCAACCACCCGGTTAGTGCCCAAACAGCATTTTAACCTAGCGTCAAGGACACTACTCGCACTAACCGAACAGCTTGGTGGTGGTCAAGCCCGATTCTAACACAAAGCACATTGTAATAACCGTGATAAATAGATAGACATTCTTGATACTCTAAGAAAATGATAATATCTCAGTATGTTCGCAAGAACCCGGGCTTGCACCGCTCTTCGTATTCCAACACCGGCTGGAAGATCTCAATAAACTCCAAGTCACCCTCACCCTTCCCCGCAGCGTACCTATCGTACTCGTCAAAGATTCCGCTGAGGGCCCAGCCTTGGAGCAACTTGCGCATGAGGCCCACAAGCACTCCGATGCGGTGCTTCCCCTTGTTAGAATGGATGAGAATCGGATAGTTCGTGGAGTCCAAGATCAAGTGCAAGGCATTGGTCAATGCCTCGGGGTTATTGGCCTTGAACGGCTCGGAAACCGATTCCATGCGGAAATATTTGAAATTGATGCCTTGGGACTCAATCCACTCGTAGTACGCGGTGTTGTCTTCCTTGTCGCCCAAGTAGATGATCGTTTTCAACCGCAACGACGCGAGAAAGTCAAAATTTATCGGCATCGGGTGCCCCGAGCGGAAGATTCCATTCTCCACAAGCGCAAAGTTCAACGGTGGCACTGCCTTTTTCTTCTTGTCGTCAAAAATTTCAACCTCCTCTTCCGGCTCCTCTTCGCTGGGGTCTGTGTCTATTGTGCGTGACCCTACGGAATGGCTGTGGTTGGTGGTGTTGCCTGGTATGAACGGCAAAGCAGCTTGTAGGTCGGAGGTTCCAAAACTGAGGACCTGTGAATTCATAATGGAAGGGGGTATGTGGGATCAAAGGTATAATAACTGGATGTCAGAGGTTTCAATTTAATATAAATACAGACAACTGAGTCTGGAAACAACAGCAGAGGTGACTTAGCGGGATATAACGTGGTTACGGGCACGGAAGAGCTAATTATGATGCTTCTATCTATTGGCAGTGATAAGTGTTGACTTTCCTCCATCAGCGTTGCCGTACCAATTAACACGTGATCTGTAAATATGCCGGACATCTCTAACCACTTTTTTCAGGGCATCAAAAAGTTTTCAGGTGGGATCAGCTATCAGCTGATTGATAAGCACTTTCCACCGATTTTCAAAAGAAATACTCTGTTGTAACCATCAGTTGTGGTAAAAAAGGAACACATCCATTGCATTCCATGAGTTTCAGAGGTGGTGCCAAGGGTGGTAACACTCGCGCCTTGCCGTTCGGTTTGGATTTCCAAGACGTCAAGGAAAATGCCAGCGACAAGTCAGTATGTGCACTAGTATTTTCGCCCCGCTCATTACTAACATTTAGTGTTTACAACTTCCTATCAACGGTCCGTTGAACAAGCTAGAAACAAACTCCGCGAGACAGTACATCTCACTCCAGAAAGCGGTCCAGGAGGGCCCGTTCTATACAGGCTCGCTTGCGATTGCAAGCGGCGACCAGACGCTCGTGGACACATCTGGGTTCCACAAAGACGACGGGATCAAGAGATACTCGGACAAGTACCGAACCAAGCGCAAGCTTGGGCGCTCCATCGACGAGCACCCCTACGTGGTGGAGTTCTTCCCCGAAGAGTTGTACCAGGCCATGGGGATCAACAACAAGAAAAAGAAGAAGCTATTGGCCAAGAGCAGCTATAAAATTGATGGTGGCTTGAAGCTGTACACTGTCGAGGGTGACGTCAACAGCTTGGACAAGTTGAAGCAGATGGGCGACAACTTGGTAGACGACGAGAACGACAAGGAAGAGGATGAAGCCGAGGTCGAAGAAGACATCGACGATGAGTTCGAAGAGGATGATGATGATGATTACAATGCTGAGAGATACTTTGACGATGACAACGAGGTGGATGACGATGACGGTGGAGATGAAGCCGCTTTCTAAGTGTACTGTCTTATGGCTGGGATGTATACTAGGAAATATATTTGTACAATAAGCGCATAGAGTAACGTGAAAAGACGATGTCTAAGATTGAATGGATGTTAGAAACAGTTATTGAGCTTACTTGATTTAAAGGTGTCTCGAATTTCTAAGGACTAGCCTCCAACAACACTATATCGGTTGTTATATGTATACACAAATAGCGTTTTAAACCGTTTATAACTAAGTCATAAGGATATCGGTACTTATTTCTGTGACTGTGAATGGAGAGCCCGAGGTAAGTTTCTGTAACGATGGTTGAGTCAAATGGCGAGTGTAAATCCCTCAGACCATAAAGTGGTCCTAGTAATGTCACTATGGGTATTCAAAGCGTCAGCTCTGAAATAGAGACACCCAAAAGCTGGTAGTGGAATAATACTTACCGAGGAAACGGAACAGCTAATGAGGGTTAAATTATAAACTATGGTTATGAAACACACGTAGCTTTCAACGAATACAGGTTATAATTGGGCTGCAGTATTCAACTGCTCTGCTTTTAATTAATTCCAGGCTATTTTTTTTTTAACTCTATCCAGGTTTCTAGCTCATTAAGACACTTATTAGCGATTAATCACCTGCCACATTCAAATATTCCACTACAGAGATCCCTTTATAACGTTCCAATCTATCAATCCTAGGTTATACGTACTTTTCATGTTGCTTGATGAATGCTTTGCAGGTGTAAATGGTCCTGGTTATAAAAATGCAAGTCTGATCAAGCCCGCGAAGTCCACCCTCTTAACGGCCAGATCTACTACGTTGTCCAAGCCCCTAAAAGCGTCATTCCTTGGCATTATTGTACCATAAATATCAACGTAATAGTAATATACTGTCTAGTCAACGCAATTGTGAATATAACTTTCGCATTAGCTACCTCCCCATCCCACAAAGCCATGCTCTTTACGTCTCACCGTGGTAAAAATAGACGCTCGTTTCTTTTTCCTGAAAATTACGCTGCCGGATTAAGAAATTCAGATAGATTCGATCTATTTGTGCACCGCCTCATAGTCACAACATAGCACATATCTAACCCACGCTATTAGTAATGACTACCGGCCTTCCTGCAATTACAACCACCACGGGTGGCTTGCCCAAGTTGGTTACCACGGGTGCGTGGACGACGCCGCTGGTGTCTGTGCCGCCTTCGCAGAACAACCCGTATATCTACCACACTAACCGAGTCAACGGAACCGTGTTTATTGCGTTTGGCTCCATTGTGGGGGTCATCATTTTGGCTTTTATTGGCTTTCACGTGGTCAGGAGCTTGTTGGCGTCCAGCACGGCCAAGAAAAACAAGGTCAAGGAGAAGGCGTTCTACGACTCCTACAACGCGAATACCAAGGGCCGCAGCGGCACCGAGTACCAACCGTTGGGCGGCAGTATCAGTCCGATGGGCGGAAAGTATGGTAATACCTACGTTGACGCGTCGGTCGGTGACTACTCGTCGCTCTACAACGGCTCCCAGGTGGACAACAGATCGTTCAGCGTGAACTCCCCAGCCATGAAGGCGGACGTCACCAAGATGTTTGTGTCCCCGACTGCAGACATCATGAACCACAAGCGCGGTTTGAGACCAAACCCGCTCGGCTCTAACGTTTCACTCACGGGTGGCTATCCCGGTCAGAGATCCTCCTACATCCCGAGCATCTACATGAACGAGGAATTGTCCGAGTCGCAACCTAGCATTGCACCAATGTCGTCCGTCTCGCAAAACATCAACAACACCTTCGGCACTGGCAGAACACCGACTACCCCGAGAAAGGCCGTCCCATCGATGTACTTGGATGACCTTTTGGAGAAATAAACAGGTCTGTTGGTAAAAATAGAGCTAAGAATGAAGAAAGATCTATTGGAAAATACTCGGGGTAATGTAAAAACTGAATACGTATAAAGGCCATTTGAGAGCCAAAAATAGTGGAGGGGCGTTTTGACTTATAGCCATCTTAGACAACAAAAATATTTGATATACTGAAAGGGATATGAGGTTGTACAAGCCGGATGGGAGGCTCACAGTGAACTTCTCTATAACCATCCGAATCAGTTTGGGTGTGTGATGGGCGATCCAAAACACTAACGGCCAACACATCGGTTAAACATAAAGTTGTGACCTTAATACCCAGGAACTGGTTGGGTAGTAAACGAGGTACCTCGGGGTTTCAACCCTCCCGTAAACCTGTTCACGGACATGAATACACGATGGAATAATGTGCAATTCCCTAGTTGAATTACCTCATGTTACATTATGCATACTTTTAAGAGAAGCTTTTCCATGGTTAATATTATTATTAGTTTCCCACATCAGTACGACATCGTTGCCTATAAGTCTTTGCACATAAAATGACGAGATAAATTAGAGTAACGAAAGGAAAACATGAGGGTTACATAACGACACAGGAACCGCTGCTAGTATCTTCGGCGCTGGTATCGCCGTTGGCGCCCTTAGGAGTGGCACCCAAGGCGCATCTGGCGGCCTCGCTGAAGGCCTCATTGACGCCTCTGTTCTTTTTAGCACTGCATTCCAAGTATTTCATGGCACCAATCTTCTTGGCCACGGCTAAGCCCTCTTCGTACGGAATGAATCTCTTGTTCTTGCTCTTCTTGGCATACGGATTGGCATCCGTCGGTGTTTCCTCTTCAGCCTCGTCTTCGGAGTCGCCCTCGATGTTTCTCAAATCGCACTTCAAGGCCACGAGCACCACCTTGACGCCTACACAGTGGTCTACGATCTCAGACACCCATTTGGTCTGGACGTTTTCCAAGGAGTCCGGCGAGTCGATAGAGAAACATAACATGATAGTGTGTGTATCGGAGTATGATAAGGATCTCAAGCGATCAAACTCCTCCTGGCCAGCGGTGTCCCACAAGGACAACTGAATCTGTTTGTTGTCCAAGAAAATGTCGTGGACGTAGTTTTCAAACACCGTAGGCTCGTACACCTGGGGGAAGTAACCTCTGGTAAAGACATTCAAAAGCGACGTTTTACCGCAGGCACCATCGCCGAGGATGACGATCTTGCGCTGGATAGGCTTAGGGGCGGAACCGCAGAGAGGCATGTCTGGATCAGATCAACAAAAGGTAAACAGGAATGGTGGGCTTCACGGCGTCGTATAGGTGTGCCTGGGGACGTTATGGAGCTAGAGACGTTTAAGACGAACAACGAGCTAACTTGGCGGATGGTTGATTGTGTTTGTTATCGTGACCGCAGTAAACGTGTACGTTTTTTCTCAAGCGAGACAGACTGAAGTGCAGCGAAAAATACAGGAGAATATGTGGGTTCCTGAAAGGTCAATAGGTGTGAAAGTATACCAGCGCCGTTATAACATGGGGTTTGTCACCAAAAATAACTAATAGTGCCTTTATGTTTATTATCATTTTTTTAAACTTTACAAACAGCTTTCAGCGATACCGCGAGAATGTGGATACAAACTGCTCCGTGGTACTAAATGGAAACAAAACATGAACAGAATCTTGAGCCAGGGGGCCAAACGTGAAACAACTCCAACTATTCCCGTCTGATTCGTAGATAAACTAAACCCCGTGCTAATTTTTTTTTTTTAGGTGCCAAAAGGGTAATCACTAACTCACATTGGCTCTGCAACTGTGATATGGGACACCAAGGAAGCTACTGTTTATTCCTGGTGCACGTATAAACAACCCTCATTATGTAACGAGCTTGCACTCTCAGCCGAACCTAAACTGGACGCGACAAGCTGGCAAATCGTGACCCAAAACCTGTCACAAAAAAGATTTTCGGTCTTGGTACTTTACCAGTTGTGGCACCGTTTCCTCAACCTAATTGCCGCCCATAATCTAAAAGAAACAGCTAAAATGGCAGGGGCATGCTTCACCCGTACGGGATGTGTAAGATTTGCGTGTGTATAGCTTATTGCACGTGATGTTAGTGCTTAGGTAAGTACACTCCGGCTTCTGCCTGTCAGACAGCCACCGTTTCCATGCTTGCTCCCTGCAAGGCTCATGCCGCCGTAAATATTGGACATACATAAGCAAGGGTTATTCGAAGGTTGCTGCCTATAATGCACCTCAATCTGATTCATCCAGGTTACCACTATCTCGAGGCGTGACTTAATTGAGGTAATTTAACTGTATTAGAATTGTGTTCAAAGCTCATGTGAATGCTAGGTGTGTTATATTTAAGGAGTAGACTTTTAAAATTAAAGGGTACGCTATAAGTAATACGTAGAGTAAGGGAGTCACCCTTAATATATACAACAGGATGGCGGTCAGCTGGGCGAATACCAGGAAAGAATGACATAACACAAAGAACTAGAATGCATCTTTAGCGGCCTATGGGTGCCCTCAGTGTAAACTCCTGTTCCCTACACATATCAGAATATAGTTTGTATTTTGCTTGAATGACGCCACACGTGTAGTACTAATATCGGATCGGGGTTAGACCCGTGCATAGTTTTAGCGTTTTAATGACGTACCCCCACACACTCCTTGGGTTTTGCTACTCCGTAAGGCATCATCCGAGAGGCGCAGTATAAATCTATATAAGCTTGCGGTGCCCCCCTGTTCCATATCCTCGAGAAACTCTCGATCCCACCAAATCAATTGTCTCTTCCATCTCAATAGACCCTAATACTATCACAATGACAGACGACTCTCTCGTAACCCACCGTGTGACCACCACTGTTTCCCTAGCACTCTCCATCTGGGGTACCTTCAAGCATTTGATCTTTAGCGGTCACGTTCTCAAGCATGTGAATGAGCCGTTCAGAGTTTCCTTGACTCCGTTCACTGGGAATATCATCGTTCTTTTTGTGTATTGGTCCTTGCTCTATTTGTTGCAGATCGTTTTCGTGGCCCAGATCTACTTCCCCGGTAGCCATACCAACAGCACTGGCGTCAGTGGTGTTATCAGCACCACCACCAGAGCTTCCTTGACCTCGGTTGTCGGCTGGCACTTCACCATCTTCAACTTTTTGACTTACCTCTGGACCTTGACTTTCCACAAGGAGCACTACTTAACCTCCGAAATCATTCTCGTATTGAACTTGCTCAACATTTTGGCCTTGACTATCAACCACAAGACCTCCACCATTAAGCCATTGTCCAACTGGATCTTCATCCACTTGTCCACCGCCGCCTTGCCTTTCTCCTGGTTGTTGTACGCAGTGTTCTGGAACGGTGCCGTTTTGTTCCACGCCCAGACAGGCTTGTTTGCCAGAATCGTTGCTAACGTGCTTATTTGGGATTTCTTGTTCATTCCGTTGTTTTTCGTCTTGATCTGGAAGGACTGGGGTATCGGTTTGTCCTCCTCCTTGTTGACGTTCGGCTTGGGCTGGGGCCAATTGTTCACCAAGGTCATTGCTTTGCAATGGATCTTTGCCTTCATCATCTCTGGGATTTTGTTTGTTGTTAGTGTCATCACTGCTTTCAGCCAAGAAAACGGCAACGGACTTTTGATCGGCAACGACAGTGAGCAGGCCCCATTGTTGAGCAACTAGGCCACCTGAAGCCGGATTCTTACTGAACTTTTTACAATGTCTGGTGTGTATTCGTTCTTCTAAGGGACTCAAAGATCATTAGATCTTGAGCTTTTTTTTTCTTCTCTTTCTGCTATTCTGCTCTCATCAAAGCCTCTGCTATCAAAGCCTCTGCTTGGAGTGAGCCGGATCATGCAACTCTTCGCATCATGCAACTCACATGCATGCGCTATCGGTGAATTCGAGTCATTCTCCAGGACCCATTCCCTTTTTTCTCAGTACATAAGCTTTATCTTTTGTCAATTACACATTGTAGTAAACTAATTGGAACCATCACAAATTGGCTCTTCTTGCCTTCTGCGCCTTTCCTGCCTCAACCCCCTGTTTGATATCCTCAGCTACCAATTCATCGGCCGCCACAGCTCTAGGCATGTACTCTAACACCTTCTCTAATAACCCTGCCTTTTCGGCAATTCTAACCACGCCGTTAACTGCATCGGCCACGATGTAATCGCCGTCGTTGATCCGCATCTGCGTTTGCTTTCCATCCACCCCGTCGTACATTACGACGTCGATAGGTTCACCAACGGCAACTACCTTAACAGAAACTTTCGGTGCGGTGCTCCCGACACCATAGGACCACACCGGGTAGCCCAAGCTGCGGTGCTCACTCACATCTCTGATTCTTCCGAAAACGACCGACCCGCGACACTTTACATAATTAGCGCGCGTGGACATCAACCCTCCATATAACGCGTTTGTCAACGTATGGTACGGAGCGTTGGCAGTCTGCAAGTTGGGAGTGAGGCCAATCACGAGGATCCGCTCGTCGGCAGGAGAAGGAATACAGTCGATGTAGTTAAAAGCGACTGCAGGGCGGGGGTCTGAAAGAGGTGCATAGAGAACCGTAAACGCCTTCCCAGAGACCGAAGAGCCGTCGGAAGGAGAGGAGTAGTTCGTTAAGTTTGGAAAGTATCCCCCGGATTTATCGCCGAACTTCACAAGCGCGTCAGAGACATCGCACGGGGTGAATTGAGTGAGCGTTTGGAGCACTTTCTTGGTAGTGGAGACTTTAGACATTGTAATAGATATATGGAAACTGGTTTTGAAAGGTGTTGCTTTTAGAAAAGAACAGGCGGTAGAACCAAAAGGTAGTTGTATGCGTTACATGTTTAGCGAGACGAAATCCGGGGGTGAGATGTTGCCCGTTCGCCTAAGAGATGCGTAATGCATATAGGTAAAGAGCGGTGATAAATGGCCGCACCAGCGGAAGTTGATCGCCACAAGAGAGCAGCCAAGTTACAGGATCACTGGCGATGGTGATTAAATTATAAAGATAAAACCTATTGCTTCCTAAGCCCGAAACCACTACCTTAGGTATTTTCCAATCAATAACTATCCTTGGTTCACCTCTTATCTCGTTATTTAATTGGAAGCCATATTGGATCTTAAGTCTAAATCAAAATACACCCTTATGGTATCCAAAAAGCAGGCCGTGCTTCAGTTTTCAGCTGGTCTTTACACTCCGACCACACAAGGTTAATGCAAAATATATTCTCTAATTTACACTCGCAGTTATAATATACAGTCCCTCAAGCGCTTTAACCGATAACAGCCTTCAAAGTGTCGTCATCAAACATGTTGCTACCAGACTGCAAAGCCTTAGCCAACATGATCAACGACTTACCGCTCTCGGCATTGGCCAAGAAGTCAGGCTTACATCTCAACTCGTCGATGTCGGCGTCAAACGTCTGGGCCATTAATCTCAAGTAGTCGGTCTGTAAGGCTTCTCTGTCCTTCTCGATCTGAGATCGAACGTTATTCAAGTTGATATTCTGTTGGTTTTGTTTGCCACTACCGATAGAGGCACTGTTGGAGGCAGAAATGGCGGTGGAGGTCAACTTTATGGTGTTCAACTGCTCCTTGGTTTTGTCGGACAACTTCAGCTGTGCGGCGTCTTCACTGTCAGATTCGATTTCAATGTCGGCAATGTCTATTTGGGCAACGGCTTGCTTTTGATGGACAGCTGGGGCGACATCCATGTCTACGTCCCCATCGTTATCTTCCCCCTCGCTGGAAGAAGCAGAGGAAGAGGAGTCGGAATCAGAGGAAAAATCTACCAGAGTTAGTATGGCAATTAAGTAAAGGCATGAAATGGTACATACCCTCGGTTCTTCTCTTCTTTCTTCTACGGTTGTTTCTGTTCTTGCTGGCGGCCAAGTTGGCCGGGTTATTGTTAGTTGCGGCAGGCATCTTCAGTTGTGATTCTGTGATTCTGGCAAGTATTCTCGGTGGTAGGATATGAAGGGATAGATAAGGTCTGTTGGTTAGTAATGAGTGGCCGTGTAGCGCTTCAGACTAGATAAGGCCTCATTTCAAGTCTTAAGCTGTGAAAAATATGCATCACATAAAAAAAAATTCGAGTGGTATGCAGGAAACACGTGATGGAAAATATTTAGTGCATTCGATGAGACTAGGTCATGTCATGACCAGAGCTTTTTTGAGTTGGAGACCTGGATATTCGAGAATATAAAGTTCTGAAAGTTTCCTAAAACCAAAAGGTATTCTTTCCTGCTATAGCTTTGGTGACCCATTTGTGGTAAGGACGCGTCCAAAATGGGTCTATTGACGAAGAATTCCAAGTCCCTCAAGTTTAGAAAGGTTGACTCCAATCCCAGAAGAGAGCATTCCAACAAAAATACTAATGAATCATCGAATCGCGTTCCCACAACGATAAACTCCGGTAATGACTCCGTTCTTTGTCATAAAACGGCCCTCAACTCTTCCCGGCAGATACGTGTTATAAAGCCCCCCCAGCCTCAGGCCTCCATCTTCGAGAAACTCCCTGTCGAGATACTATACCACATCCAGTTCAAGCACAACCTCGACTACGACTTGCTCAATCTAGTTATGGTTAATAAGCGGGTTTTCCGTGCCCTTTCAGTGCCTCCCAGCGAGGCATCGCATCCCAGTGGGCTATTAAAGGCATTTATTCATAAATTCATCCACAACTTGAACCAAGGGCTATCACTAGAAAATTTAGCAGTACTTGACCGCTTCAAAGCAGAGACAACAAAGCGTGAGTGTGTGTTAGACATGGCCTGGAAAGCCCAAAAGCAACAACTCGAAGGTGGCAACCCCGAAATTACCCTCGACCAGTTGCAGACGTGCTGCAGGTATTTGACCTCTACCAAGTGTTTGGATAGGCACGTATTCAACTACAGGATGTGCAGTTCCAACTCTCACGACAGATACCGGTTTCTCCAACAAGTTCTCGAGACACAAGCGATCAAGTTAGTCCTACCCAGCGTTGAAGCTGTTAGGCTTGAACAGAAGGTGCGGACGGAATTGGCAATGCTCCTCACAGTTGCTTATAATGAGTTAGATTCAATTAAGGATGAACCGATTTTGACTGTGGAGTCTTCTGTCGATGCTGCGGAGCAAGTTTTCAACCAAGAACAGGCCCAAGTGTCAAATATGGACGAGTTCCTGTTATACCAACATCAGAATAGACACATCCATGAGGCGCAGCCTCTTACGAATCCTCCGAGCGTGAAAAACCTCTATATCGGAGACTTGCCACACCTGTTCCAGGTAATGGAACTAAGTCCAAAAACCATTGACAAAAAACTTTTTTACTTGAACTACCTCTTACAGGAAACCAACTTGCGGATCGCAAATGTCAACGACTTTCTCATAGGCATTTTGACACTGAACTTGAGTGTCTCTGAAAACGCACTTCTGAGGTTTGTCTCCCGGCTCATCGGTGTATACAACAAGTCCCAATCACTGGAGGAAGCAAATGGTGATATCCGGTTGAATCTCATCCCCGTTTTGATTCATGCCTACAGTCAAGACCAGTTAGTTTTGTTCGAGCATTTGCTTGTCAACCATCTCCGCCCAGACTTGATTCACAACGACCGGTTGTGGAATTCGGTCATTGAGCCAGTAGAAGAGGATGGGACCGCTGAAGCTGAGAGGAAGACCAAGATGAAAGCCTTTGTGAACTGTTTGCTAGAACACGGCGGTAAGCCCAGCTCGCAGGTCTTGAGACTAATGACTTTGAGTCGGTCTCGATAGCTGGTCGCTTTTGATAGTTCAACCTAACTCTATCATAGAAGCAGAACTAAGCCTTATAATTAGTTACCTGAATACATTAAACTAGATTAACCCCCCACCTACATCTCTGGCAGAATATGCTCTAAACACACCGCCTGTGACAGTACCGTTCCGCCCCCCACCCTCACTGGTCAACCAGGCCGGGATCCTAAACGGGTCAACGGGCCCGTCGGCCATCGCTGAAAGCTCATGGAGGCCTGCGAAAACATCACTGCCGCATAATCGTAACCGGATGTTGAGCTTGGCATTGATCTCACTCGATGGGGGGTCTGTTAACTTAAACTCAACGTTTTGGACCGGTGCGATCGACGCATATTGGGACTTACCCATGATGGTCTCTGTTTCTGTCGGCACATCCGTGCTATCCTCTGTTCGCCGTTTCTTGCGTTTGGTCTTGTCGTCAAATAGCTGTTCAGACTGTAAAACCCCGGACCTTGTGCCCTTAAACCGCAAATTTGCCATCTGAAGTCTTTGCTCGTCGCGAGTAACGCTTTCACTTGCAACCTTGGCCTGGTGGAATGACAAATCAGCCAATGGATTTATGTCTACGGCGTCGTCTGCATAGGGGATCCACATGCCGAGACACGAACTGAAGCGCGAGTTGCCCAAGGTGAAGAAGATTGACTCTAGTGATTTTACCGGAGGCAGGATCCTGAGGTCGGCACTCACCAACTTTACGGAAAGCTTCATGGAGTCGGACAATGCTGTTTCCAACGACTGCACAATGATGGAGCAGACCAAATCGGAGGCCGTCCCGAACGGGGAGTGGATCACATACGGGGTGTTGATAGGTATGACGATGAAAAAAGGTTTGTGTGAGGCAAAATTCGGCGCCCTCTTCCTGTTATGTGTGGCATTTCGGGTAGCCCTCGCCTGGAGGTCAAACACCTGGACCCGGATGATGGTTATGGGGAACTCTGGATGGCGGCAGACATAGACGTGATTGTAGTAGAACGATGAGAGGTTTGCGATGAGCAATTCCAAGAACCGTTGCGGGTTGAAAGCAATAATCTGCGTGGATGTCCTATCCTGGCTTTCTTTCAAGTAACTTTTGTAGTTATACACCGTTGAATAACTCCAGTAATACGCGTTTCCCAGGTCAACCAACAACTGGCAATCGAGCGACGCTAGTTGTAGAAGATTCAAGCCCGCAGACCAGTATTCGGCGATAATTTTGTCCACCACCGTGCGTTTTTTCGGTGGCTTTGGGGCGGCTTTGTAGGCGTCCAACTCCATAGATATTTCCTGGCATAACTGGGCGGTTGACACGTCCGATCCGACCGCTTTGTCCACTGACGGCTGGGTTTGCGGTAGAGCGGTCCAGAGCTGTGCGAGGTTGATGAGCGACTTGGTAGGAAGCCGCGATAATATGCGCACCAACTGGTGCGGGGGGTAGTTGGGATTGTATGCATTGGGAAGCACCTTTATGTTAGACATGGCAATAAGCTGAAACAGATACCAAGAAGCTTCAGTTCGCTCTAGGGGAACTCTTGCAGTGTTTGTAGGCGTTGTTTATATTTTCAGTGTGCAGGACATTTTATTTTATGTCGTGTACTAATCATCCTGGACCGGAAGGGAATATATTTGTCGTGCATTTACCACTTGCCATCTTGCCCGAAAAATGGGAGGCGTCAGACGTATTTGAGGGTGACGCCGGTGCTCCTCCCCGTTGTTTCCATTTTCCACCACTAAACACAATACAACATGTCTGCTAACGACCAATGGCAAAGATTTGCCAGAGATATGCAAAAGAGAGCGCAACAAGCCAGCGGTTCCGGCGGTCCTAAGATGCCAAAGAACCCGTTGGGAATGCTTGCTGGTGCCGGTGGGTTGATTGCTCTCGGTGGGTTGGCCTTGATCGGCCAAAATGCGTTGTTCAACGTTGACGGTGGGCAGAGAGCGCTCATCTATAGTCGTGTTGGCGGTATTCAGCCAACCATCTTGAACGAAGGAACCCACTTCGTCATCCCGTGGTTGCAGACCCCAATTATCTACGACGTCAGAGCCAAGCCAAGAAACGTCGCCTCTTTGACTGGTACCAAGGATTTACAGATGGTTAACATCACTTGCCGTGTGTTATCGAAGCCAAACATCTTGGAATTGCCAACCATCTACAGAACCTTGGGTGCCGACTACGACGAAAGAGTGTTGCCATCTATTGTCAACGAGGTTTTGAAGTCTGTGGTTGCCCAGTTCAACGCTTCCCAGTTGATCACCCAGAGAGAAAAGGTCTCCCGCTTAGTGCGCGACAACTTGCTCCGTAGAGCTGCAAAGTTCAACATTATGTTGGACGATGTCTCCATCACCTACATGACCTTCTCCCCCGAATTCACCGCCGCTGTCGAGGCGAAGCAAATCGCCCAACAGGACGCTCAGAGAGCTGCCTTCATTGTCGACAAGGCCAGACAGGAGAAGCAAGCCACTGTTGTCAAGGCTCAGGGTGAAGCCAAGTCCGCAGAGTTGATTGGTGAGGCGATCAAGAAGTCTAAGGATTACGTTGAATTGAGAAGATTGGACACCGCTAGAGAAATCGCTTCGATCTTGGCCCAATCACCAAACAAGATCTTGTTGGACAACGAAACCTTGTTGTTGAACACCGTCAGCGATAGTCGTAAGTGAGTAGCCGTATCATGCCTGGCCCTGTTTGTATATATTCCTCAATTTTATGCTTCATGATTTAAACACGTTGCTAGGTTATCATGCACATTTTTTGTGTTTTCTTCTAACTTAGAGAGACTGCTGTCAGGTGTCTAATGGAGAATAAATGTATATTTGAAGGTCGTGAAGAATACCAAAAGTCAAAGCAGCAAGGAGTATTGTATCTATATTAAATTTAAATAAAACTTTTTATTGTTCAGATATTGAGGACCATGAATCAAACCCATTCGGTCTAGCCGAAACCAACACTCGGATCCCTGTTTATTATTTAACAGAGACGCAGCGGGTTTTGCAGCATCACCGCACCTTGGTGGGGCTTACGTGCAACGTTCGGCGTATTTACCAGATAATTCTTTGTACCACGCCCGGTTCGTTTGGCCATTCAAATTCAAAATTGACAAATACAAACACCACAACGGCGTTGATGGCAAGGTTCATCACAAACTCGAGGGCAAGTCTCTGGGTGGGTGGTTGTCCATAACCCGCCAACAGCATAATAAATGGCTGCGACGACGGCTGCACAAAGAGTCTCCAGTACAAAAATGGAAGAATGTAGTATCTGGGTTCAAACAACGGCGACGGAATAATGGTCACAGCGATACAGGCGAGGTAAGCAATCGCCCCAATAGGCGATAACTTCATCGGCGGGGATGACTTCTTCACCTGTGATGGCTTCACGTCAAAGAGGTTGGTATAAAGAAGATTTCCCACAACGAAACAGCAAAAGTGGTAGATCGGCGCCAAAAGGTATCTCGAGTAAGAATTGTACGCAATAATCCGCTGCCAAATGTAGAAGACGTAATGGCGATTGTCCGCCAATAAAAAGGGATGCGCCACGGTGAAGCGGTCGATGCATCCAAGGATTGTGAGAATCAGCATAGCCGTGACTAAAGCGCTTTTGATTGACCCCACTGAGAACCTCAAATAGCTTTTGAGGAAGGCATCGGAGATCCAGATAGGCACGCTGAAGGCAGCCATGAAGGTCAAGCAGTAAAACACCTGCGCGATATGCACGCCAGCTACGTGGTTTTCCTTGTCTCCGAAAGTGATGGATCCATTGGCGAGTAAAAAGGCCCCAAAAAGGCCCCCGTCGATTGCATACGGAAGCACAAGGGTCCAGTCGCTGATCATCTGCTGAACAAAAGCCATAACGAACTGAAGCAAGTTCCCGCGGTACTTGCCGGCAGCCTGGACTCTTCTGTCAAGGAGAACAACCATGTTGAATCCTAGCCACACAATATTGGTCTGCCTGAAGGAAATGCTAATGAGGCCGATGAAGGCACTGAGATACGCGCTGGGGTGGAGTCCGAGGGGTAACGCCACCACAAGCACCAAACTGGTCAAGATAAGGACGGTAGACCAGATATCCGTGTAGAAAATAAAGTAGTAGACCACAAGCAATGGAAAAGCGGTCAAGTTGGTGCTCCAGACGCCATGGGAGTGCTTCTGTGTGAAACTGAAAAGGAGCTGGAGGCAGACCACTCCGCCCATAAGGTTCAAGCTTCTGAGGGCACTGATCCCGCAGGCATCTACAAGCCCAAGCCGGTCTAGCCCGTAGGCCCAGGCGTACCCAAGATAGTATAAACCGGGTGGAGTTGTGATTTTTGGGTCCCAGGTATAGAAGTCGCCGCCGCAGTACTGCTGGCACTGACGGAGATGGAAAATTTCATCAATGAACGGTTCTGTGACACGGTCCGAGATCGCCCTGAAAGAGATACAACAGAAGGTAAGGAACACGGGATACGCCAATCCCCAGTTTAACAGAGACATGATGAAGAAAACAGTAGAAAGGTACCTTGAATGTATATTGGCTGGGGTATTTAGCGTCCGCCATAGAGGTTAGATGGCCTGCATATTGTTTCTGTCACTTAATGACATCTCCTCCAACTTCTCGATGTAAACAGCATTCAGCCTGCCATTTTCAGGGTTAAATTCTTTTCTGTATCGACTTCATTTGCTGTCGACCTTCATTTGCTGCCAGACTCCATTTGCATTCGGGCTTCCTCTAGTCCAGTATTGCTCTGTTACGCTTCATCGTTGCCCAATATCCTTATGACTCACGTCCCTCCATCCTTCCCTATATCATACATTCCCTACTCCATGCTTTTCTTTTGCTTTGCCTTTCTATCTGTTGCGGCAGATATTGTGAACTGGCCGCAGCTCTCGAACCAGCAGCTTGTAGCGCAGCGCGCGCAGCGTGACGTGAGCTCGAACATCACGATCGACCAGTTTGGCCTCATGGGTGTCAATTTGAACACAGTGTTGTTTGACGAATTCGGCTACACATCCAATGTCTTGCTTAATGTCACTACGCTCTTGAACGTAGGGGTACTGGTGATGGAGATGGACCTCTACTGGAACGAGCTTTCGCTGGTGTGGCAGCTCTGTCCGCTGGCACTCGACACGTTCAACGTCCCGTTGACCGCGAACCAGGTAGTCCGAAAGGACAACCGCTCCATCACCTGTGAAGCTAGCTTCACCTTCAGCCTGTTGATGCGGACCATCCGGTCGTTCTTGGATTCGACCAACACCAACTTGGAGGTCAACATGCTTCAGCTTCTATTCAACTTGAAACCGTTGCAAAACAGCACCGCGTACTCCGCCGCGTACTACAACTACTACGCCGATCCAAGCTTGTCCCTCGCCCTCAACAGCTCACTAAAATCCTCTCTCTTCACCCCAGTCGATCTAGAGGAATACCGTCAGGTAAACACATCCAGCAATTCGGGGTTTCCCACGTGGTACCAATTCACATACTACGAGTTCGACCGAGTGATCCCCATAGTTCGCTACAATGGCCTCCCAACAAACTCCTCGTACAACATCACCGCCGATTTCGCAACCGTGTTCTTCGATAAATGGTCGCTCGACCTCTCCTACAGTGCGTATGTTACTGATACGGCCAATAAAAGCATCTCCACCCTCCTAGCAGAAAGCTTCCGCTTTATTTCTGACTCTGATGAGCTCAAATTTACTCCCAACACGTTTTTGGACTACATCGCCTCTGGCTACTCCCCTATTGTGAACCACACCATCCAGCCCCTCTCGGACTTTGCTCTTTTCATCAACTACTCTCTCTGGTCGTGGTCAGAGCAGGAACTCTCGGGAAAATCGGTGGTCTCTGGCTACGACAGTGACGACGATACAGACGACTACCGCTGTGCCACATTTATCGAGTCCGGCTGGTCCGTGGGTCTCTGTGACACCGCGTATCAGCTTGCCTGCCGCAACAATAACGACCCCCAGAGCTGGTCCTTCTCTACTGACATGTATGCCTACTTGGATACCAAAAAGAATGACTATTGTCCCAGCGGTACAAAGTTTTCCGTGCCACAGTCTGCCCTCGAACAGCAGGCATTACATGCAGCCATGGCCAGCCAGAATATCGCCTACCCCATCTGGATCAACCTTAATGCACTTAGCGCTGTCGACTGTTGGGTCACAGGTGGAGCCTTGGCCTCCTGCCCGTACCAAAAGGTCATCAGCTCCCACGACTACTTGGCCATGGTCACTGCCAGTTGCGTTGTCACGTTTGCCATTTTGGCACTGATTATCGGCACCCGGTTTTATCACGTGCCAGTCCAGGGCAACAGGAAACACTGGAAGAAAATCATGACCAGGATGAAAGAGGAGGAGTTCGAAGGGGTGCCGTCTTAACCTGTGGGATATAAGCTGAGAAAAGATTATGAACTTGCAAAAAGGGTTGGGTTTAGCGGAGCTTCATCTAATGAGGCCTCCGTCCTTGTCGATCCCCTCTGAAAGCTCAATGATATCGCTGCCGAGCACACCCCCTTGTTGAAAGTCGGAAATCGAGTCACGTTTAGGAGACCAAAGCTCGTAAAAGCGGACGGTTTCATCATTAGCTGCCACGCAAATCGAACTGCAGTCGGGAGAGGCAACGGCGCAGAGAGCTCGTAAATTGACGGTGGCCAGTACCTGGAGTACCGGCGTCATTTTGGGATACTGGAAAACCGACACCAACACCGGACTCTCGAGGTCTCCAAACCCGAACGCAGCAACTAGTTGCCGTTTTGATGAGGACCATATCAACGATGTGACCTGACCCTTGATGTGATGCGTGTCAAGAAGCGTCCCGGAGTTGGTGTGCCAAAATCTGATAGTGCGGTCTTTGCTGCCACCGCCAGTTGCGAGGAGTGACTTGGACCATGGGCAGTATGCAATCGCCTTTACGGCAGCCTTGTGGGGAAGCGTGTATCTTAACTTAGGCTGAGCTAAATCCCGGATATCCCAGATACTACAGCAATTGTCATTCCCACCCACCGTAATCTGAGACCCATCAGAGTTTATTGCGATACCTGCTTGGTGAGTATTTCTACAGAGAGTATAGCCTTGGTTTTACTTACCACAAATCTGCTGTTGATGGCACTTGAAGGTTTTCTTTAAGCAAATAGCGGGCTCGCTCGGGGTGGATTCGTCTATACGAAAGAACATGACTTCGCCGCTCTCGTTTCCCGCAAAAAAACCTTTTGAATCAGGCATCCAGCATATGCACACTATCCCTTTGCCGTCAAAGGTAAGGTTTTCGTCGAGCAAAGCTTCGCTACGTTGGTCGTAGAGCACAATTCGGCCAACCTTTGTCCCTACTACCAAATACACGGTAGGAGAAAAACTTGTACTGGTGATAGTTTCCTCTCCCAACCCTTCCAAGGGGTTAGCACCCCTAGTTTCCAACCAGAGATACACCTGCTTGCTAAGGCCTACGGCAACCTTTCCTGTCAGTTTGGACCAACTGACCAAGTTAGTGTAGAAGTCATTGCGTAACCCTGGGGCGTCCAAAACGCGATACGGTATGTGTGATTCGGCCTTTCGCGCCTTTTTTCGGAGATGGTTATCGGAGCGTGGGCTTCCAGGGGACTCATGGCTGCCTGGTGAAAGATATCCCACCGCCATAGGCGCAGCCAAGCTGCTTACGGTTGGACTACCGAGGTAGACGGGGCTGGGACTATTGACGGGGCTCTGGGTGCTTGCTCGAGCGCTCTGGCCACCTACCTTCCCAGGGGAAAACGTTAGTACTCTTGTGGGACTTCCAAACCCTAGTGCTTCTGCAATGGCTCCGGTATGGTTATCCAGGGAGTCCAGTCTCGCCTCCTCTGGCACGCTGTGAACATCGAAAGACATGCGTGACTGCGGCACGATGAAACTATCCTCTCTTAAGGAGAAATTGAAGATTTCGGCGGTGCTATTGGGCTGGTAGGTTGACGAAAGGGAGGGACTCAATGCATGGTACGCCTGGTGCGACGAATGGGAGGGTATGAACCGGTCCGAGAACGATCCTCTGTCGCTGTAAACTGAGTTACGTCTTGATCTGGGGGTGCTAGGGCTGGACATGGGCAATTGAGGCATGAGACCTTTGTGGTTAAACAAAGAGATTAAACAGCTGTTATTGGTTTGAGCTGTCGTTTCATATTGCCGTTGGTGTGCTAGCCGCTGTAATAAGGGGTTTAAAGTGGATGTGTTTTGCTTTAGACGCCCAAGACAGCATGCATGAGCGCGTGCATGGGGGGAGCAAAAGTGATACTTTGCTACATGAGGGAGCCCCCCAAAAAATACGGTAAAATCCATATAAAGCATAAGCTCTGTGGGTATTAAATCAATGACTGTGATATCTATTTGGCACTTTAAATGTGATATTGTTAAATATGAAAGAGAATCATCCGAAGTTGTCCCTCACGAGTACCCCCTTCCTCAGCCGCATCAAAATCACATTCTCAATGTCGTAAACCTTCATCTCCGATGTCGCACACAATTTGGGCTGCTTCTACGCTTCTCTAATACTTAGTACTGTGCCCCACCATTCATATATCAGTAAGGTTTCATAAATATTATAGAACCTAAATACTAAAGCTCTCCTCGTGAAAGTGGAACCCGTTATTCTGAGCCCACAAATGAACATTCTTCACGAGGGATGCGGGGCCGGCACCGACCACCCAAACGTTCTCCTTTTTCTCCTCTTCGTCCTCATCAACCCCAGGGAAACTGCTGGGTCCTGTATCTATGTGATTCTCCAGCGCGTGCTTCTTGGCGTCTTTGCAGCAAACAGCATCACCGTCATCGTTGTAAACAGGACCGGAGCACGAGTTGTTGACACACCAGTCGTACTGGTATCCACCCAACTTGGGTCTGCCCCTCAAGATTTTTGTACCGTACGGGATGTATGTCTTAATAGAGGAAGGCAACGAAGTGAACTCGATTGGCTGAGAAAGCAAGACGGTTGCAGAAGACGGCTTGCGCAAAAGAGCCAGCGTGGTCCGACTATCTGGTTCGGTGTACTTCGCGGAAATGTCTCTGATACCCGCAAAGGATACGGTAGACGTCTTGTTGATGGCTGGTACGTTATTATCCAGTGCATTAATCTCCGTTTCAGGCTTGTGGGGGGTGGGTTTCAAGCTGGGGTTCGAGGCCGGGACCTCTTTCGAAGGCTGGTGCTTCATAGTGTTTTGAGCAGCCTTCCTCGGCTCAAGCTTCACGGTGTGTTCCTTATTCAGCTGGTGCTTTACCGTGCTTTCAGCTGCCACCCATGATTCGATATTTACGGTGGACTCCGAGGTTGCTTTCTTCGGTTGAAATTTCGCCACATCTTCGCTCTTCTTCTGGGCAACAACCGGTACGGTCTTTCCAAATGCACCGATGTTCCCCATCGACTTGGATCTGGCATTGAAGGAGGTCTTGTCGGCGGTGGTACCGTTACTGTACAACGCGGTGAAATCGATTTCCCCGTAGTTGTCACCATCTTCGATCCCCTCCACATCTCGCATGGCATCGAATCCACAGGTCTCATCCTCGTCAAAGTCCACCTCCACGTCTTCGTCCTCGGCTTCTCTATCGACAGTAATACAACTAAGCTCACTCAACTGCGTAGATACATCACACTCGTCCCTGTTTTCCATGTCGTATGAGGCCCTGAAAGCTTCGCCGTCGCTTTCGACGCCCAGGTCTACGCCCTCGACTTCACGGAACATTGGGGTCTTGTTGATATCTAACGCTCCATAGGTGCCCACCCCACTCTCAAGAAGGAGGTGAGACTCGGTAAACTCGTCGCCGCCCTGGAGTCGCACCGAAGCCATGGCCGAAATGTGTGACTTGTAGTCTCCCGTAACGTACACTTCGATACAGTCTCCCAATACCGGAAAGAACTTCAAGATTTTCGCGTCATTGAGGTCCCTAACCACCCAAACCAACCGGCAGTCGATCCCGTTGTAGGTTAAGACCCTAACCAATGGAAGCGCAAAAGAGATGGCTGACCCACCGATGACGATAAGAACTCGCTTCGCGGATATCTTCATGTTCATGTTGAACGGAGTCGACTGGGACGTAGACGCGATCAGGTGGATGAACGGGAGTTTCATCAACCCCGAAAGACAGCTGTCTTCGTTAGACGCCCGCGAGTGGTATAACGGTAACGTTGGAACTACGAGTTTTGGCTTGATAAAGACCAACATGGGAGAGAACGAGCCGTTCACCAAGTACGTTTTGCTCTCTGATAAGCAAAAATTTGTCTTCCGGATGATTAACTTCTGTTTCGGATCGTTTGGTAAAGACGCAACGGTGTACGGGTGGTATAATGGCACGGTTTGAAGCACTAATCTGCGGAACCAGTTGGGCTTGTATTCGGCGAGTCTGACATGCGAGCCTGGACTCGAGGCGATCTGCGATAGTGCAGTATTTGGCATGGTCACCAACACCAAGTTGGGGGAGATATCTATTACCTCTATGTTTGTCTTGACGGTGTGGGCTATGCGGTAGTAGATCTGGAACAAGAGGATAGAGCCATTGAGGATGGTATAGGGCCCTATTCCGGGGCGGGCGTGGAAATGCAAGCAAATGACAATGACCCAGGTCCAGAGGTAGTGATTGATATAGAATATTCGGTAGGACCAGCGTCTCATGGGCGATAAGGATGTGACTAGGATGACGACGAATCCCATGAGCGCCACTACCCCGTACAAGTTCTCTGCTTTGTAGAGCTTGGCCCAGGTATTTTTGTGTTGGAAATAGAATAAATATATGATGGTGTGTAGTAAGCCCTGAAGAACCACGATCCGTGACAACCACTTGTGCAAGGGAATGAGAGACAAGTAGAGCACGTCCGGAAGTGGCGAAGGGCGAAGCGTGAGAAACAAAACAGTAGTGAGACAGACAGTCGAAACCCGCCCAAGCCGCTTGCCCAAGTACGAGAGATCGTAGTGGGTTTCTAGCAAGCTCAACGCCGTCAAGGCGATCAGCCAGAACGCCAAAATCTTGATGGTGTTGTAGTGGTAGAGGAAGTGCCTCAACATGCGTTTGGGGTGGTTAAATCGGTTAAACCACCCTATGACCCCCTTACTCTTCTTATCAAAGACCTTGAAGAGAAATCGGTCCGTGAGGGATCTGAAAAGCGGTAGCAACGCCACAAACGCAAATGTCAAGATCGTGGTGTAGATTCCGTACCAAGCAGTTATGTCGCGACGTTGGAGCGAGTACTCGCGCGTTTTAGACGTGGGGAAGTGCCAATTTGTGAATAGCATTGCTTCTAGGTGCCCATATAGGGCATAGATAATGTCTTTGAGGGCGGCGCCTGAACCCTCTAGCGGAAACATGCCGGGAGCAACCAGAGAACTCATGGCGTGTACGTGAGGTGTGTCTTTAGAATAGAGGGATATCTGGCCGTCGCTACTGAGTGGTCATCAGTATTGTAATCTATGTGGTTGGTGGTTTCTGGTATCAGATCAAGCGATAACGATAAACATATATAGTCTGGGGCGTGAACCCATATCACCGATAAGTTCGACGTGGTACTGTATATAAGGCCTCTTTATTATAGCGTTTGTAATTTCCGCGTCTATGCCGTCTGCATATTACGTAAATTATAAGAGACTGCATATAAGTGCCTCGGTGCCCAGCCGGTTGTCATCGTCCTCCCCTACCTGCATGAGATTTAAGTTTTTGCCGGGGGTACTTCTGCAGGATACATTCCTTATCTATAAGATCAGATGGGGTAACTAATTAGAAATGAGGTGACTGTGCCTCAAGAAAGTCGTCAAAGACCAGGAGTTTCATGCTGGAGGACGTTCTTACCAAAATCGTTGAGTCAAGTTGTAATATTTCTCCTTTGAGTGTTTTCAATTATACACCTTTAGCGATTGAATAAAGAAATCACCCCGTAATAACGCTGCGTAGTCAGTCATGTGATGTGCCACATAACCAAATGGCCTGCCAGCTGTAGTGCCGTCTCCGTACAATAATATTCAATACCAGAGTGGTATCTAGAATGGCCTGCACCGTAGGGTGTTTAAATATTTGTGGGCACATCTTTTCGCTTTTTGCATTCGCGAACGAAAAACTTGTGACTGCTTTTTTGGAAAAGGAATCTCGTTTTCGTTTTTCGCGCTGAAAATTTTCAAGCTCCTATGCCGTCCACGGCGGGTCTGCAGTAGGGCGAAAAAGGTATGAAAATTTTTTGCAGGAGCCAGCAGGGCTGCACAACCCTCACTGCCCGCACCTGACCTGGCCCTTCGAGTAGCTAGCACATTGGTAGTGTGTTGGAGTAGGGTAGGCCAGACACGCCGAATCTGGTATGGCAGAGGCGTTCACTGAGGGAGGAAACCTCCACTGTGTAGCGCGATTGTGTGTGAGAGTGCGAAAAATCTTAAAAATTTACTATTATAAATTGAATTTGCAAATTCTGCTAAAACAAACCTCGTTTTTAATGGCTTGTTAAATAACGGTTTCTCTTTTTTGACTAATATCAACAGATCAAGATGTCTTTACCTGCTTCCTTTGACTTGACTCCAGAAGACGCTAAGTTGCTCTTAGCCGCTAACGTCCACTTGGGTGCCAAGAACGTTCAAGTATGTAAAAATACTCAAGCCGGATCTAAAGGAACACCAACGTCAATTTAAAATACCCCATCGCCTCCCGGGGGAGGACTCAAAAACCACCAAATGGGCGAAGTTGAGAGCTAGCCGGATGGCAGCCCCGCCGAAAGGTGATGCACAAATTTTTCACTCAACCACAATGACCGGTCTCCCATCCGAAAGCGTCCGAATCCAGCTACCCCGTGCCCAGGTTTTCCAGATTCCAGGTGTTCCTTTAGTCCCATGAATTATCGATCTAGTTACTAACCTTATTCTAGGTTCACCAAGAACCATACGTCTACAAGACCAGACCAGACGGTGTTAACATTATTAACATCGGTAAGACCTGGGAGAAGATTGTTTTGGCCGCCAGAATCATTGCTGCCATTCCAAACGCCGCTGATGTTGTTGCCGTTTCTTCTAGAACCTTCGGTCAGAGAGCTGTCTTGAAGTTTGCTTCCAACACTGGTGCCACCGCCATTGCTGGTAGATTCACTCCAGGTTCTTTCACCAACTACATCACCCGTTCTTTCAAGGAGCCAAGATTGATCATTGTTTCTGACCCAAGAACCGATGTCCAGGCCATCAAGGAGTCCTCTTACGTCAACATCCCAGTCATTGCTTTGACCGATGTCGACTCTCCAACTGAGTACGTTGATGTTGCTATCCCATGTAACAACAAGGGTAAGCACTCTATCGGTCTTATCTGGTACTTGATCACCCGTGAAGTCTTGAGACTTAGAGGTTCTTTGGACAGATCCGCTGAATGGTCTGTTATGCCAGATTTGTTCTTCTACAGAGACCCAGAAGAGACTGAGGCCGTCGAAGAAGCCAAGGAGGAATCCGAGGAAACTGACGCCGCTGCTGCCACCGAAGCCGAAGCTGACTGGACCGCTCAACCAACTGAAGCCGACTGGGCCGCTCAGTCTTCTGGTGACTGGGCTGAACCAGTTGCTGACGAAGCCGCTGCCTGGTAAACTGCTAGCTAAACTCTTTGACAATGCTTTTGTTCTACATCTCAAGAAGGTTCTTGTCAGGAGTTAGTGTGTATTTTGCTTTGTTTTTTCTCTTCTCATGATTGCTGAGATCTAGGAGGATTGGTGCTTTCTCTTTTTTTATTATTTTGCCATATGAAACAGAAATAATAATAAATAAAATCCGTGTACTCTATACGTGCGATAAAAACTGGTTTGATGTAGCCCCCGTAAGAAATATGGTGCGTTTATCATTGTAGATTCTGGTGGTGTGATATGGCACTACGTGAAAAATAGTATGAGAAATATGCACCACTCATATCTCGTCCTTTTAGTAGAGTCCCACAAGCCACTCTTTTCCCAAGTTTGAGGCTTAGGATTCTACCGGGTCAGATATATTGGGAGAGCCAGCACCTGCCTCTGCTTAATGATAAGAGGTATTCTGGGTATCCATGGCGTACAAAATCTTGACAGGCTTCGCATAGGCGTGAGTTCTCGTTTCTTTGGACACATCAGGGCAAGGATATGTCCCAGTCCAAAACACAATACACAAACCCCTTCCGAAGATACTTCTCCCTCGATCCACGTTACAGAGCGTCAGGTGGTTACCGGATCCCCGCAAAAGCCCAAACGCATCGAAACGGAAGCCTCCGAAGAGCTCTATAGCTCAGACGGCAGAGCTTCGCAGAGCTTAACGGCTAATGCTTTGAAATCATCTGTGTTAGCATTAAAGAGAAAAAATGTGAATGATCTTTCCCTAAAGACCAGAAGTGTTACCATGCCTCGGATCTATGTTCGTGGCCTCACAGACAACAGAGGCCGCAGGCTTGAGGTGATCAAAGCTGCAACAAACGTGACTTTTGATATTCAAGACGATTCTGACTGCTCTCTGATTGTTTCTCTACACAGTTTTAGTAGAGCTGAGGTGGACGCTGGGTATGCCTTGCTAGCATCCATGATTGCTGATTTTGACCGCAGCCTGGTCAACATCCCCGTCTCATCCTCGGTGCTTCGTCTATTGATTAGACATAAGGGAGAGCTAATGAGGCGGTTGACAAAGGACACAAAAACACATATGGTGTTGCACAACGATCCTCAGCCTTCCATAACTGTGTTCTCAGTTTCCCCTGAGCACACCGGCCGTTGCGTTACGCGGGTTCAGACCTATGAAAGTAACCGGAGGGAGATAAAATTTCCGGCGTATCTCCGCCTGGGTTTGATCGGAAAGGGGGGGAGTAATAAAGAGGATATTGAAAAGAAGACAAAGACTGTAATCTTCCTCACCGTCCTGGGCTCCGAGACTGATACTCTTTGTGCCTTAGGTGAAACTCGCGAAAACGTTGACTGTGCCATAACCATGGTGGAACAGATGATTGTTCAGCTCAAATGCAGCGCTCAGTATATATACCAGTCGTCTCGAGAGGAGGGTCTTACACGAACGATCCCGATTCCCGCTAGTTTGGCCCGCCTCTTCACCCACAACAAGTTTGAGATTCTCAAGACTGTAGAGAAGGTTTCGCTGGCGGTGGTGGTGCTAGAAAAACCCCTGGTCTCGGGGAAACAAGCGTTACAAGTTCAGGGGGATGTACGGACTATGGCAAATGCAATCCAGGCATTGGCCAAATTGATAGCCAAGCACACAGAGTCTTGCGTCCAAATTCCAATCCCAGAGGCGTATATGAGTGGGATCATCGGGCAGGAGGGTGCAAATATCCGTAAGATCATGCTGGAAACGCAGACTTTTATGACAGTTGAAGGAGGAAAGTCCCTAGTTATTTATGGAGAAACTTTCAAGGCCATTCTCGCCGCATCCGAAGCGGTCAGTCTGTGTTTGGCTCGCTTTCAGAATCTGACAGCCCGTCTCAGTGTACCTGAGGGGCTTTACCGCCAGTGGGTGGCCCGCTCAAACGGCGCGACGCTCCAAAGAATACGAAATACCACCAAAACGTACATCTTCCAACCACCAAACAGTAAAGATGTGCCGATTCTCATTTATGGTGAATCGCGGGAATCGGTTCATGCCGCCAAATCCACCATCGCCAAGATTATGGAAGCGTATATTCTGTCTTGCCAGACGGTTAGTTTCCCCTCAGCAATGCGGTCTGCCCTAGTTGGTAAGGCGAGAAGTGGACTTGTCGAGATTATGGATAAATCAGGGGCATTATTGGTGGTAGATCTAAGTGATCGAAGAGTTAGGGAGCAGCTGATTTATGTCTACGGGTTGCGAGCCGATGACGTTAACGGCGCCGTGGCCCTTCTTAATGAGAAGATGGCGAAGTTGAAACGAGGCGAAGAACGTTTACGGTATAACGATTACGAATAAATTAAACGATATGATAGAAAATATTTGATTGTATAGGCCGAGGGAATAAGTGACTGAAACGGATAAGGGTTGGCTTCATGACTGAAATGGGAATTAGGATAGTGCATAATTGATTACGAGTAAAATACAGCGGGTATCTGGGCAAGAAGGATCAATCGAAATTAAGGAATAATCGGTGATGGATGAACTGTTAGGTATCTAAGTGTTATGAATAGATAAATAATTGAATGGATAGAAGGATAAATAGGTGCTACGCATAGCCGAACAAAAAGGATGATAAATCAACTATTGGCGTTGCAATGCATGTGGATAGATGGCAATCACAGGCATCTGGGTAGGATAAATAGTAATAAATAGCTGGTTGATAAATGGCAGTCCCTGGACCTAGGTGACGTGGATAAATCCTAGTGGTGAATAAACCCTGCAATAGATAAACATATAGAATAAAAACGTATTCTAGATCTTACGAGAGGTACCCTGGCTACGTGCAGATACCAACATGTTTATTTGTCTAGGGCTTATCATAAACCGTATCAAGGCTTGAATCTATCCCAGCCCTGTTCCTACCTTTTATACCCTGATGCCCACCCCACCACCATATGCCCCTACATCCACATCGAATCCCTCGTTCAACTTCGTCACGTCCCAACTGCATCCTGACAAGTTTGACCACGAGTTGGATCTCTCTCACATCGCGGAAACGACGCTCGACTCGCTCTCTGAATTGTATTCGATCATCAAGACGATCAATATCCTCGAAAAGATGTACGTGCGGGACCTCATTCCGGTGAAGGAATGGTACACCAATACCACATTGCGGCTCCTCAACCAGTACCTGACGCTATTGGGTAATCGTGCCATCCAGGACGAGTTCGGCACGTTAGAGAGCTTCGTCAGGACATACGACTTGGATGTCCCATTAGCCGTAACCAGGTTAGAGAGAGGAGTGCCTGCGACGCTAGAAAATGGTACACTTAGGGCTTCCCCCAACAGCGGTACAGCTACTCCTGTCGGCTCGGACGTTCCGGGGCGAATCTCGGCCCGCGCTGTCTCCTCTATCACGGGGGCGTTCATCACCTGCTTGGACAACATCAAGCTCAAGTTTTTGAAAAAGGAAAATCTCCACTCGTCGCTTGCAAACATCATCACTCAGATCAACTCTGCGAATGGGGATGGGAACGACTTGAACTTTCCAGGAAAGTCCAAACTCATCACATGGCTCATCAAGATTAACCAGTTGGCGAACCCCTACGACGAGTTGAGTGAGGAAGATGCGGATGAATTCATGACAGATGTTAGTTATGCGATGGAGGGATTTGTGGAGAGCCTTGAGGGGTAGCAGCATGACGTAAGCCATGCTGATTTGGTGCTGGCAAGCGGATTGTTAATACCATGGAACATACCCCTGGTAATGTAAATATATAATAAAAGATATCATTGATTGGTAAAACTAATATTAATATGCTATCAGGTTGGTAGAAACATATGTGGCAGTCCTATGGTAAACCAATTGGTTGAGTTCTAAACAGGTGCTCGTAGTTATCCAGGTTTTGGAGAGAGAGCCGGAATATCTCATGGATAAGAGTACTATAAACCGTGCACAGCTTTACATCTTTGGATATTTGTACGGAGAATATGAAAGAAAAAAAACGGCATTGCTAAAGAATTACACTGGTTCATGGGGTTTTCAAGCGTTTGCTTATCTCTGTTTTGATGGATTCTCTAGACGTCCTATCTCAATCTTGTTACATAAATTGTTTTTTTTTCTAAACAATCGTTTCAATCTCTGAGGCGTAGCCAAGCACGTTCTTAATGATTCTGGCGTGGTTGCTCTCCTCAGCGCCCTCCTCCGCCTCGGCCGCAAAGTGGACGACACCATTGTGGAGGGTCCAGCCATACTCTTCGGCAATCTTGGTCTCGATCTGAGCACCTGAGAAGTCGTGCAAGTGCAACAACTCCTTGATATTCACGACAGGCAAGCTCAGGTAGGACTTGGAAATGTTGGTAGCAATTTCGGATCTCAAAGAATCGATCAAGACACGCTCAAAGAGCTTGAATTCGGCCAACGGTAACTCGCGCTCGTCGGCGGCATACAACTGCCAGATCTTGATGTAGTTGCCCTCCATCAAGTTCTTCTCCAAGTTAGTCGGGAAACGCAAAAACTGGTCCGACGCAACCACCTCCGCCGGCCACGTGTTGTAAACAAGCTCCAATTCGCTGTGGAACTTGGAGAACTCACCCTGTGACAACAAGTACAACAAGTACAACGAGTAGATCTTGCCCACCTGGGCGTCTTTATTCATGTTTGTGATGTGCGCGTTTCCGTAAAACGCCTTCAAGTAGATGAAGTACTGTTCGAACTGCGCAAACTCGGCCAAGTTGATCGATATGAATGCACCAATCTCCAAGATCTTTTTGCTGATTCTCAAGTCATTGTAGTGGTTCTTTGTGGTGTCGGCATTGGTGAGTGGTACGAGCAACTTGTGCTTGATGAGGTGGAGCTTGATCGCCGGCAAGAACGCAGCTGCTTCCTCGTACTTTTTGGCTTCGTAGCTCTTGTACAAGCTGGCGGTTAAGGATTCTAAGGACATGGAAATTTAGGGAATTGGGATAGATGGATATGGTTGACTGTATCCCCAAGCTTAGATATGGTCGTTTTCGCTTTTGCCACGCGCTGGACGCAGGACACCAGGAAATCTGTTCCATAACCCGGAAGAGGGCCAGAAAGATATTGGGATCAAATTGACAGTATGCCTCATATTTTCTCATATAAGAGGTACATGGTGAGTTTATCTTTAGTGGGGTAAAATTTTGTCTAAAGGTGTTGCTAATAGGAAATTTTTAGTAACGGTGCACTGCTCTCTGTCATATACAGCGATTTAGCGTGTGGCCGGCGCTCATCGAAAAGTACGAGAAATCCTTGTATACCACCTCTGTCACCGCCAGCAAAACCTTTTCATCTGAGCTACAATGCAGCAAAGGGAAGCCCCTTACTGCAGTGGTGAAAAAAGAAAGTGCCTCTTCTTTGTGGCTTCCCTTGGACATCAGGCTGTGACTAGTAACCTAGAACTTTCCAATACCAACAAGTGCCAGTTATTGTGTAAGTGGTGGGAAATTAGTGGTTGTGGTATTATCGGAAAGAATTTATTGCTACAAAGTATTCAAGTAGGCTCGAATAATCTTGGTGGTCTTCAGGGCCATTTTACAATTTACTTGAATGTACATGTATTAGTCATATATTGAGGATGCCTCTTGCATCTGAACCATAAGCCCCCCCTTTTGGGGCCTAACCAAAGTAAAACGTAGAAAGTAAAGAAATTTGTTTCAGCTTATGAGTAGAAATAAAACAGCTGTAGGTATTAAAGGCATGATCAATTAATATAGTGCACAATTCCCCCACCTTTGCCCTTTTTCCCCATGTACTTCTCGCTGAGCCCTAAGCGTACCCAGTCATGGGTATTGCGGGGGCGATAGAGAATCGGTGGCTTGACAGCAAACTGTCGGATGAGCTCACTTTCGGATAGCCCATCCATGTTCCCAAACTGCTTGATACGGGACTCCCATTCCTTGAAAATCCACTTCAACAAATGGGTGGATACGATCCGGTCGTAAGGGCTGACTGTGATGGGAAGGGTGACCTCCTGGTCTTTGGCATGCGCAAACTTCAACTTGAGCACCACCTCGTATCTCACGGTAAACAATCTGCCCGTAGAGGTAAAGCCCTGAGAGTGGGTAATCGGCACGCCTATATCAGTGCTTGTATCTTCCACGAGAGTGGTATTTGTGATAACCCTGTTGAGCAAAGGATTGCCCTTCTCGGGACTCCCCTTGGAAGGTGAACCGGGAGGCATGAGCTGCGTCTTCAAGATTTCATTCTCAACGGGAAACTGGATGCTTAGTTCGTGCAAAACACCGTTGGAATCGATCGCTTGCTCGCCGAGGTCTTTTGTCACCGAAGCAATCCGCAAGGTTTTTGACGCCGGTAGTCCGCCTTCATGGCACTCAAGAATTTCATTCAACGAAAACTTGATGGCCCGGAGCCTAATCTTGTCCGTAGATGAAAACTTACTTCGCAAGTCCGAAAGCGCTTTGCGGTTATTCGCGATGATTTTCACGTACATGATCAACTCCTCGTGGGGCCCAATCGCGTTATTCGGGATGGAGTACTCGATAGTGGTCATTTTGTCTGTGGATTGGATAGTTTGGGTGATGGGTTCGTTGAATTGTCTGAAGACTGGCAATGTGTCGAACTTTTTGATCGCCACCGGGAACTCTGTGGAGCAGGTTTCTGACTTGGGGCCCCAGGATGCAGTGATCATCAAGCTGTGTGTCGTTGTGGCATTCCAACGAGGGAATTTTCCGCTGGAGGTGATATCCTTAGGCAAGGGGATTATAAACGGGATATCTAGTCCCAAGGCTTCTTCGTATAGCAAGCCAGCTGGCGGTGTGTAGGCGGTGTTATTTCTGTGGAGGTTGTAGGTTCTTACGACGTCGTTGCTCCCGAACCCAGAAGAGGGGACAGATACAAACTGGGTGGTATTTAGGTCAATCGTAACGGCCCGTACAGTAAACGGTGCGCTATCCCTGGATCGAATCTCAATGACTCCTTCTAATCGAGGCTGAAAAGACGGGTTAGTAGCTGGGCTGAAGCAGTTTCAACACGATACATACACAGGTATTGGGCACACCTGGACATCCCCGGACCATGCTTTGGTTGGAAGCTTTCAAGCTTATCACAAACGGTGCTGTTATTACCATAGTGCATGTGTATTGAAGCCTGGGGGCTTGTTCGGTGTGTTATTCGGAATAAGCCTCAGAATGATAGTAAATCAGGTTATATTGAAGCTATTAAAATCCAGAGAGATATTTATGGCGGTAATGGCCACTTGTAAGATAATTATGTTCTGTTTTCATTAATAAAATGGCAAACAAACAATAGTTCCCTCTCATAACACCCTCCCTTCTGCCCGCATGCGACGCATAGCCAGCCATGTAATTAAGCCGTCGTGATGCTTTCCTGCATAAGCCTCGTCTCCTCTCCCCATCTCGAAGGTCCTGGTGTTATTACACCGAAGGTATCCTGTACGGGAAGTGAAGAACGCGGGTGTCACCATAGGCTTCCTCCTACATCCGCGGCGGGTTAGGTGGTCATGCGGCTAGTTGACCGAAACCTATGCCTACTTTCACTAAATTTTCCCGCTGCCTGCTTGCGTATTTCGTCGGCGCTCATTGCTGAGCTAGTGCATTCCATGATTCGTATATACACAATAAATATGTACATATGGCACTCTAGGGACTATATCTAAATCTTTTAGTTATCTATTTGGTCTAATTATAACAATGTTTTTAGGTAAGGTGTATAAATATGCATTATATCACTAATAATTCGGTTTTAACCATCCGTAAGTATTTAAAAATATTTATACTTTATTTCTCATTTTATTATACATTAGCATATTTTTACAATAAATTAGATGCATTCATATACGTATAAAGGATTCAAATCCATAGATACATGTATACATGGGTAGATTGAGTCTATATATATAGATTGTCGATATTGATATCACTACTATTCGTCGTGGAAATTTTCATCGATGGATGTATAACGAGTCCCCTCCAAATATATGTCGTGAGCCGCATGTACATGCATAGCTGATGTCAGTGCTTAGAGCTCAACACCGTTTCCATTACTGTGTAAGCGCATTTGTGTTATACATGGTTGCTGTTTTACGATACTACACTAAATATATAATAAAAAAGATGTGTATGAAATTAAGTACCGTGTCTAGCCAATGTAATGAAAAAAATAACACAAGAAAAACCCTGTCCAAAGAAAATGTTAAAAAAATGAAGTGAGAGAAGAGCTATTCGTAATTGCCGAGGAGGAGGAGATGCAAGACACCACAATGTCCCTTAAAACAAGGGGTGTAATTACGGAAGGTGAGTCCCTTATAAAGATGCGAAACGATGAATCAAAATTTGAGCAGAATACCCTGACTGTCACTAGCTGGGCTGGGGGTACTCAGATCATACGATCTGCATAAGTGTTCGTAGAGAGGCCATGTAATGGACTGTTGCTCATAGAAAAGTTTTGGGAAATACGGGTTTCATTGTTGAAGGAGATAATCTCGCTTCTCAAGTATTCCAACACCGGGTCAAACTTCCCTTGGGATAACTCGCTGTGCTTGGAGATTTTTGCTTCGTAGTTTTCATTGAGCAAGAACATCAAGTTAGTCGAGGCCTTTTCCACAAAGGAGCGGATAATCATGAGCCATGTATTGGAGATTTGTTCGTAGGCGAGGAGCTTGCTGTAGTTAAATTCCGGGTTACTCCAGTTTGGCAATTTATGCAAGAAGGAGGTGATGGCTTCAAGGAATTCCAATGTGACAATGTGGTTAACCTCAACTGGCGGTAAGTAGCTGAGAGTGTAGTCGCTCAACGCCTCGTAAAAATCGTCCAAAGAGGGTTTGATTCTCAAAAATGCATAGTTGGAGGATGGGTCCACCTTATATGGCAAGCTGTTTAAGATACCGGTCAACTTGTTGGACAAGATGGTTAACGAGTTCGTCACGGACGGTTTAGGAGCGATATCCACAACTTCTTGCGCCAACTCGGGCCGCTTGTGGATGATTTGCATAACCATGCTCTGCAAGTCTTCCTTACTCATAACTTCGATCAAACGGTGAATGGGTAACTGTTGACCTCTGACATACGGGGTTCTTGATTTTTTGAACTGCGAGATCCTTCTAACCAGCGGAAGGTGTGTGCGGGACGAGCCGTGCTCAGATTCGCCATCATCATATCTTCTCTTTGGTCTGGGAGCCGACTTGGTCAACATGGCCTTGTGCCAGTTTGCTGTCGAGCTATCTTGGGCCGGAACCAGGGCAGCTGGCTGCGTGGACTTCATGCCCCAAGAGAAACCGGAAGACATCATTGTTGTGAGATAGTAATAGGGATGGACGGGGGGACAAGATGAGTCAGATGGGCGATATGTTTTTGTGACAGGTGGAGAGCACCTGAGTAACAAAGGGAAAGAGAAAGGATGTTTTATATGTATAAGGCAAAGATATGGGTTTGCAAACGTTTCCCGTAATGTAACGTGAATGTGGCACTGCTTTTGATACTCTGTCACTGTTGCAAATGGAAGCAAACTCGAACGGTGAAAATCCTTTGCATTTCGCCCCATTATCCCCGTCGTTTCTTTTTCGCTTTCTTAGCACTCTGTGCGCGCACTGCCTTACGACCGCGTGGATGGACCACGCTGACGAGCAAGCTTCTGACTGGGGTTATAATATAGGATGCTACTCGAACCTCTCAGCATACATCTATTCGCTTTTAATCTACTCGGTCACGAGTAATCTGAGGCTTTGTACTGTATCTCTCGGAGAGAGCAAATTAAGGGGACGATATCTATGCATGCGCCTACCAAACTTTAAAGATTCCTGTAGGACGGCATAGTTGAAGGTCTAAAAAAAGTCCCATTAACAGTTATCCCAAACAACAACTGCACACGTATAAAACGCATACAATGGTGTTCACTGGAATGCACAAAGATCCTGGCACCTTGAAGAGGTTGAACGAGGAGGTAGGTATGTTTTCGGAGTCTCCCCAAGAATAGAAACTAATGGTTATAGCTTATCATGTCGTTGTTCATCGGTGGGTGCAAGGGGGCAGCTATTAGTATCGCTTCCTCCATCTTTATGAGATGGAGGTATCCAACTTTCCGTAATGCCCGGTTCCAGGTGCACTTGGCCTGGCATGTGGCCTGGATCGGCGCCGCCTCCGTGTGGGTGGCTGAGTCTCACTTGATTAAGTTTGAGGAGCAGGTTCAAAGAGAGCATTTGATCAATCGGAAGAAGTACCTAGACCAATGTGCCGAGGAGGGGAGATTCATCGAGGAGTAATCCATATATACCACCAGTACCCGGGGAAAATATCCAGCATTCTACAAAGGTATTTGCTCGTTTAGCTATTACGTGTATTCCACTCTAACACAGGGATATCGTTGGGAGAAACCGAAGGTTTCCTACCAGACAAATACAAACGTTCATCGTAATCTTAGCCTTAATTTGTAGCTCGTATGGGTAGTCATTAGTCACTCATATTAGTTTATTTCCATCGCATAGCTTTCTGGTCGACACTCACTTTCATGGCCTGCTTATCGGATAACGGTCCTTTCGACACTGCTCACCTTTTCTATCAAGTCATTCATCTTCAAATCCAAGTTCCGTTCTAATTCGTTGTATTGGTCATCATCTAATTTCAACTGCCCGAGGATCCAGTTTTCCTTTAAGGTTCGTGTCACTGTCAACAACTCTTCGGCCAATCGTATGATCGTGGCAGCGTTACTCTCAATCTGTAAAATCTCCACTGCCAAGGTTTCTTTTGGCTTCCCTTCAACCTGCCTTAAGTTAGTAAGATTATCTCAGGGGAGAGGTATAATTCCCAACGTACTGTGGATAGCTCGATGATACTGAATAACTTTTGCAACATAAGAGCCGAGTTGCCGTTCACCTTCTCTACATGACTGTTAGTGACCACGGATAGATTTGCTGGAAAGATTTGCTGGAGATAACATACCTAGTAGCGCTAATGGCTTCTTGTGCATGGTGACCGAAGGGTGCGAGTAATAAGCTAGTGGTTGGTTTCTTGTGCAATGCCACTAACCGTTGCTGGTTGAAATATCAACATTGCGGCGCAGGAAAATGTGGTGAAAGACACAGGCGTGTGGGGACCCACGTGGTGCGGCACCAACCCTAACGGTTATCAGACATGACAATCTCGCTTTTGTGTATCTGTCGCACTTAATACTGAAGACTCTCCGAGGGCAGACATCTTTCCCGGGTTCCTCCGACTCCAATTGCCAACTTCCAGGTATAAAAATCGTTAAAAATGCTGGAGAGGAGTAAATGTTGAGCCCCTGTTATCCTGGATTGGTGGATCCCATAAGCAGCGAAATATGGCATCTGAGGGTCTGGAGTCGGAAGCTCACGAGAAAAACCTTTCCATGGGATATTCCAAGTTTAAGAATGGGACCGTTTTAACCTTCCAATCTTCAATCCCCCCAAGAACTCTTCCGAAATGGGAATATGGCACCACCAGGCTTGAATCAAGGGATATCTCTTCTTCCGGATCGTTCTACCCTTTGGAGTGTTCGTTTACTACCGAGATATATCCCATGTATACACAAACACTAACCCTATACAGTGGCAGGTCAATTGGTAATACCTCAGCCGGATGTAATCCAAAACCAGTTGTACCCAATTTCCCAAAATTTGGCGGACAAAATATTGAAGCATCGCAAAGCTATAGATAACTCATTATGGGTGGCCACTGAGAAGCTCTCGCAGAACTTGGTATCGCTGTTATTGATATTTCTTGGTCCAAGCAGCATTAGCGATAAAGTCCAAGCCGAAAGCTGTGCGAAGTGGATAGGTTCAGGGTTGAGAGGGGTTACGTCTCATGATGTTGACCCTCGTTCGCTACCCCCCAGCATCCAGGAGTATTACCCCTGCGACAAGTACTATTTTCATCCAGAAACTTGCAAATTCCGTCCAACCCTTCCCCTTGAATTCCCACACAGCATGAAATATCGAGACATGAAGTTCTTGATGCGAGCTAACCTTGGTGAAGCCGATTATAAGGCTAGCAACGCGGATGGAAAAAATGGTACAGTTCAGAGTTTTCTTACCCAACACGGGCTTCCACTTTGCCGGTCGATGCTATCTGAAATGGCAAAATATACGGCTATACTGGGAGATATTTCCGACATTATCGCACCCCAGTATCTTTCTGATTTGTACTCTGCGTCACTTATGGGCCCCTCTGTGATTGAGTCGCAAATACACAGGGAGTTGGTCTCTGGCGTCTCTTACTCGGTGGGGATGGGTGTCCTGAGGAACCATGCATTGTCATCGAACAAGGTAAGCTCAGAGAAGATCAGGGTGGCGGTTAATTCGATTATTTCGACGAACGAACCCCACAGCTTCCTCTCCGTGAACAAACTAGGGATGGCTTCTTGTGTAAGCACTGCTGGTAATCCTGATACGTTTATTGTTTTACCCGTAGCAGCCGTCGGTGTACTGGAATGGAAGCAGCTATTTGACATGGTATACGACGATATTCAGATCGAGTGCGGGGATGGAAAGTCGCGGTTTCGTTGGCACCAAAGCGCAAGAATCGTGATTGATATCGGGATGATCGAAAATGATACCGATCTTGAATCCAAGTTTGATATAGTGAAACAGATATTAAGGGTACCAGGGCTCCGCAGGCGGATTCTTGGGTTTCAAATTGACTCGGGAGACCACTACGTTCCCAGCAAGGAGATTCCAGTAAATCGAGAAGAAGCTGCGGTCCAGATTCCCTTACTTACCCCAAAGAGTAGCACCGAACAAGGTACTCCTAGTTTGCAGCATGTCTTGTCTCGCTTGGTATCGAAAATTTCCAAGCGACTAGTGCTCAACGAAGAAACTCTTCGCAGTAAGGCGACGGATATCGATACCCATCGGTATAGGTATTTCATTAATGCCAACCTCTTTATTGAAAGATTACTGGACTTGATAGCGACAATCAGAGGAGAATTAGAATAGAAATATTGACTGAATAGAATAAAAGCATTAATAGAAGCTAAATTGTTGAAAGTCGGATTGCCGGTAAAAGAAAACGTTATGTACGTACAACTTTTAGTTTGTCGCGCTTTTTCTCTTTTCGCGTTTGTTTTGGCACCAAATAAAATTCTAAACCATCTTGTTGCGATCTGCCAGATACCATTCACCAACAATGCCCCAGTTAGATATATCGACGGTGCACAGTTTTTCTCCCAAGACACCGAAGCCGGTTCTTTCCCCTTGCCACCGCCACATCGCCTACGTTATCGACACCAGTTTGGTGGTCAAAGAAACACAGACATTACGCACGGTCCATATCTTCCCCCTTGGTCCGGATGAAGACACGGAGGTCACAGTTTCCGCTATCAAGTGGGAGCCGCTTTACGAGGGTTCCGCCACCAAAATTGCTGTGTTGGTTGACAACCTTAACGTGGTCAAGATTTTCGATTTCAAGGACGTGAACCAAGATTCACAGGAGAACGTACCAATTACCATCAATGACTCATGGGAGGGGATAGAGAATTTTGACTGGATCCCCCCATGTGTTGGTGACGATTATAAGGAAACGGCGTACCGGGGCTCGAAGCAGCTTATGGTCTTCAGCAAAGCCAACCTTAAATGCACGTTGTATTCCTTAGACTTGGCCAAACCCGTCACCACGCTATACAAACCGAAGTTCTCTCACATTGTGGCCAGACCTAACTCGAATATATGGTCTGTCGTGCTAAGGGAACGTGCCAAAGACTATCTACTCCACTTTCAAAACCACGACAGCTACTCTACGGAGCTTTTCACTCGGGAAATACTGAACGTTTTAGATGCACGCAATATCCTATGGTCAGAAAGCGGGAAGTGGCTTCTGGTGAACCATCTGAATCTTGCTGGTATCAAGGTGTCTCTTTTCAACTCACTCGGAGTGTTTGACGAAAGTAACACCCCTGTTTTCCAGTTGACCGATTCCTGCGACAGTCTCTCGTTGGGAGCCGACGCGTTCAAATGGATATCCCACCTGGAGAAAGATATCTTGCTTGTGGGGACGCTCGAAGAGAAGATTATCGTGTTTCAGATGGACAATTTAAAAGTGGTGAAGACCATCACGCACCAGAATGCTATTTTGGGGGCCCAAGGTACGCTCTGGCGAGAGTACTACGACAGTAAGGGCGAAGAGTATTATTTTAAGAAGCTACAGGCACCATTTGAAATACCCAGCCTATTCGAACCGAACTCAGCCCTGAGGGGGATCAAGCACATCGAAACCAACGTCGCCCACACACGATTGGCGATAATCACCCATAGTATGCCCGAAACCATCTTTGTGTATGGCTCAAACTACAAACTTCTAAGCATCATTACTAGTCTCTCCGAGGTTGTTTCCATGGAATGGCATCCATCTGAGCCGGAGCTTCAGTTTGCCACCGTCTCTCATGTGTCTCTTTTCTGTGACAGCTCCTTCGAAGTGCGGGCTATTCCGACCTTGAAGAATGCCAAACGAATTCAGCACTCGCAGTTCATCATTCGACACAGTGGACCTCCTCAGTCTACCGGATTAAGGTTAAACTTGGTAATCCTTGATCACAGCTCTTTCGTCACCACGGCGTTTCACCAAGACACTGGCCTGCCATTGGTAGAGACCGAAACAAGCCCGCTCAGAAAAGGCTCACCCGAACCGTTTACCAACGACGATGCCACAGCAAGAGATTTGGCTGCGGGGGTCCAGCAAAACGAATGGGCGAACAATCTCCGGGATACCGCCGTTGATGATACGTTCAAGTTGAAACGGCCGAGAATTGTGTAGAAGCGTAATAGCCAAATAGGGCAATGCATGTACTTGCCGCTCTGGGAAATCAGTTTTCCCCGTACGGATGCACGACCTCTTTCGAAAAAATAAAACAAAACAAACACGCACCTGGTATTTGTGTAGATTTCAAGCAATACATTACTCCACACCTTTTGATCCTCTCACCTTATTTTGGTCGCTTGCCATTGTACCGTGTCATTTTACCTCTGGACCTTGGGAATAGTACAATCTATTTAGTTCTTACCGCAAGACAACATACATCTTTAACACAAAACCCTGCCCACAGTCATACCCATTATCGCTGACCCTTATACCAATGACTGGGAATGGCAAACGGCGTTCGACTCGCTTGAAAAAGAATCCCGACGAGCCGGCTCAAGCCAAGGTTCTCACTAAGAAAGTGCTTGGACGCAAGACCAACAAGCTCAATGAGTTGCTAAAACAGGGCAACACGGTACTCCCGCCTCCGGAGGCGGCACCTTCTACCAAGGAACGCCGTGCAAAGCGAAAGAGTACGTTCGAGGAAGACAATGGTTTTGTATTCAAGAGAAAGCCCGGTGCCGCTTCGGTGGAAGAGCCCGTTGATCCCTTAGAAACCATTAAAATCAATATATCGAAGAAAAACACAACAGCTGTTGCTAAAACGAAAAACACAACAGCCGCTGCCAAAGCGAAAAGCGCGACTGAGACAGCTAAACGGAAGAATAAGCCTCGAAAGACCAAGCCTGTGGCCAAGGCGAAGAAAAACTCTCAGCAGGTATCCCCCCCTGATGACGAGGCGCTCCTACGCGCCGAGAGGAAGACGTTCAGTTTCCAGATGTCCAGTCCAGACGCCAGGGCGAAACCACCGAAGGACTTACGCTCGCCGCCCTCGCCGCCCAACACGTCACCCTTAGCCGAACAGGCATCAACCTCCTACATGTCTCTACCATTGACAGAATCCCCGATACAGAGACGCAACAAGACGTTGCGTAGTGGCCAGAGACGTGCATCTTTGGGTAATCGGGGAAAACGCGTGTCGTCTATCGGTAATGGCTTTGTAGCCACGCCTCATCAGGATGTAGCCACGGGAGACTACTTCAAACACCTAGACTCCAGCTTGCCCGAACCCCACCGCATGAAGCAGTTGTTGACCTGGTGTTTTCGAAAGGTATTGGAAAACGACGCAAATGCCGAGAGCAGGGAACAGAAAATGAACAAGACCAACGACGAAACCACCGCCGCCAACATTGCCAAAGTGATCAAAGATGAGCTTATCCACGACCTCATTAACGGAAAAATCTCTGCTAGCTGGTACAGCAGAGCGGAGGAGTCGGAGCAGAAGGAGATGCAGGCCAACGATGTCCCAGAGAAGATATTGCCTAACAGCCAGAATGTGCAAAATGCCAAAAACATCGAGGAGTTTAAGATTCGGTTGAAAAACTTGCAGAGGGAGAAGGCTGAGTGGGAGACCACGGCGAATAAGAGTCTAACCTCTTTGTCGCAGACATCGGTGCAACAACTCTCCAAGACGGAGGTGTCCAAGATGGACATGGAACCTTACGTTCCTGTGCTTGATGACTCGCTCGTGGATAAGATGTCCCAGTACCAGGCGTCAGTGAGCCGAGAAGCCAAGAACACCCTTCAAGCATCGATTGACGGCTTGTACGACCGAACCCACAAGCTCAAATCGTCGTATTTTTTGATCGATCAGTTCAGCAAATCCAGTTCTGTTTCGCTCAACGAGGCCGTTAAGGGTATGTTCCTTGGTTCTACGTTGCGCACCGGAGAGGGGAAATTCGGCACGGGGACCTCCGGCCCTGCCCAGGTAGAAACCAGGGCCTTGTTGCGGGGAATTGCCAGATTAGACAAGAGCAAGCGGGTCTGAGTGAAGGTTGTATTATTATTAGCCCATTGTATATTACCGTTTGTTTTGGGGCTGTCAAACGTGCATCATTACCTTCCCGCACCCGTTTATTCTTTTTGTCATGTATTAATTTAAGACGCTATTCGTGGCGATGCCAACTATAATTTTGTAGTCATGGACGTTTTACGTTTACTTTTTTTTTTCTTTTATTAATCTATCGTATTCATTATGGCAGCTTATTTGCCGTTGAAGCCACCGGTGGAGCCAAAGGCACCCTCACCTCTGATGGTGGATTCCTCTTCGAACTGCTCGGCAGTGAGCTCCTGAATTTCCGCGTTAACAATCTTTTCCAAGACCAACTGGGCGATCCTGTCGCCCTTCTCGATTTTGAAGTCCTTTTCAGAGTGGTTGAACAAGATAACCTTTAACTCACCTCTGTAGTCGGCATCCACGACTCCGGCGCCAGTGGAGAGCCCGTGCTTGGCAGCCAAACCGGATCTTGGGGCAACTCTACCATATGTACCAACTGGTACAATGACAGTGAGATCGGTGGCGACCATGGCTTGACCGTGGCCTGGCACCAAAGAGGCCTCAGAGGAGTACAAGTCCCAGCCGGCGGCGAGAGCGGAACCTCTGGTTGGGGCGGTGGCGTTCGCAGAACGTAAGAAGACTTTCAAAGCTTGGGACATCTTTTGTTTTTTTGTTGGGGTTTCGGAATCCTGAGTCATGGTGGTGTAAGGAGATTTAAATGTAGAAGAGGAGAAGAAAACTTGACGCGAAGGCGAAATCGCGTCGCGTCAACAAATTTTTCACGCGTTACCCGTGTTGACGTGTAGATATACTGCGTGAAAGCCTTAGTGCCGCGGCATGTAGCAACTACCGTGGGTAAAAGCTAGGATAATATTAGTCAATACGACGATGAATTACTAATCAAAGGTTCCAGGCTTCCATATGTCAGAATTACACTATGAGGTCTTTAAGTCGTGTACCTCGGACTCTGACCGAATTCCAACCTCGACAAGCTAACAGGGGACATTGTAAACATTATACGGTCCTAAGAGAAGCATTATGTTGGAATCAAGTAATCTCACTGGAAATACACGCAACTGCCATCATCTCCTTATATTATCTTTCTGAATTCATTTGCTTTTGTTATGAATTTTCCTCAGACTAGATAATAACCATACATATCAGACTGTCTGAATTAAATGCGATACACTTATGAGATAGCTTTGCTGATATAGAAACATTCTCAGACGTAAAACTATCGCCCTTGATCGCCTCCCTTCAAGTACACACACCCAACCATCATAATAACCGTTTACTTAAGGACTCAGGATGTCTGCGTAACAGATGTATTTCATGATCCGGGCTGAGTTATCGCAGAATAAGAGTCGATCAAGTACTGCACAATCACATCATTCAATCATAGATTACTCTCAGTCGAGTCAAGCATTTTTTTCTTCTAAAAAAAGACCAGGTGATAACCTCAATTATAAACCACCTAATAAATACCCATTATCTCTTACGACATCAACCGGATGACCCACCACAAGAGCGCCCAGAGCGCACGCCAGACACCACGGAGGATGCGGAGCACAGATACGATGCCCCATACGGCCCAGAGCACCACCACAACGGCATTTTCGAGAACACGCGAGCGCATGTCAGCACCGACGATACCACTGGAGTGCTTGTGCGGGTCGATCTTCTCAATGCGCTCACTGATCTTCCTCAATTGAAGCGTTAATGAAGTGTTGATCTCCACAATGGAACGGTCCGCAGACGAAAGCAACGCATCGATCTGATTGGAGTAGCGATTGAACTCGTGCTTGTACGCGCCAATGACCTGGTTGTTTTCGGACAAGAACGTCTCGTACTGCGGGATCACCTTGGTCTCCATCGTTTCCGCATCACGGCGGAATTCGCTCAAGTTCGCGCGCATAGCTGGCGCGTGGCGCATGATAGCCTTTTGCTGGAGATACGGCTTGTTGATGATGTTCTTTTGACTGATGGTATTCTTCACGGAGAGGTACTTGAGGATCTGGACGAACGAGTTGGCTTTCTGAACGTCGCGCTCATCATCGCTGTCGGAGTCGTGTTGCTCGGTCGCACGCGACTGCGCGCGCCTCGCCAAGTTCAATGCGCTAGGTGTAGGCGTTTCGAGGCGCGAACTCGCCATGCTGGGCTTGATGCTGCTCACAGGAACGCTGAGCAAGGTTTCCCGTGCGTCTACCGAGGCATTCGTCTCATAGTCCGAAATGTATCGCTCCTCAGCCGAAAGATCATAGTCTTCCGCCTCGGACCCCGATGGCGAATGGGAACGAGACGATTTGAGCACCGCGGAGAGTCGCAGAAACGCCTTGTCAGTACGGCTGCGGCTGCGACTGCGATCGCCGTGGGACGAGTTCTGGCGACTGTGGGTGAGCGCGGAGAGGCTGGGCCCGCCAGATGGAACATAGTCTGGGTTGAGGAACTGCGACTCGCGGCGGTCAGGGGGTGGGCTCTGCAGGTCTTCTGACGGCGCTTTAGGCCGGCGGCGGTGCTCGTGCACGGCCCACGGGAACCACAACTCGCCATTGGGGGCTCGCAAGTCACCCCAGTGCTTGGACCGCCAACCGTAGTCCGCGAGCGCCTCGTTGATGTCCACCTGCCACACGAGATGCTGCTTGCGCATCGAGAAGCACTCGGATGCAGGCGTGATGGTTTTGACCGACAAGTCGCGTGCGAGCTCGCCGAACTGTGCACGGATCGCGCGGTTGCGTATCGTTTGGAGCGGATTGTACACGCCCACCACGCCGGGGAAGTTTGTGCGGATATCAGGTGGTTCGTCTGTGTCTGCAGCCATCGAGTACTGTGACTGTTCGAGGTTCATATAGTAGAGGCGGAACGTGGCATTGACACGCTCTGCGCGGAGGAGTGTTTGGCGCGATACATGGAGCTTGCGCAGCAGGCTCGGGGTGTCTGGTAGCGTCGTCTGGTTGGCGTTCATGTCGATGTGCGCGCCGCTCATGATAGATTTCCGCACATCGAGCAAGATCGCCGAGAGCTGGGGGATCTCTATGTTGGGCGACGTGGGGTGCACGGGTGCCTCTGTGGACTTGTGACCGGTGACTTGCGCGCCCAGTGTCTTGTGTACCTGGGGGTTTTTGAAGTCCAAGTTGAGGGCATGGGCATCAAAGCGGCGGGATGTGCTGTGCCTACGGACGGACTTGAGTTGTTTCGCGATGATGGGCGCTTCGTCTGATAGCGCAAGGCCCTGTAGCGGCTGGGCCGGCGATACCAAGCGCGTTCCTCGCAGAGAGGCTTGGGAGGATACTGGATCTGACATGAATGAGTATAAAGGTAAACAGAGTAAGGATGAATGGGGTAAGAATGAATGGGGTAAGGATTAATGGGGTAAGGATTAATGGGGTAAGGATGAATTAGATGGGGTCTGGGTAGGATAAGGTGAAGGGGAGATTATGAAAATGGAATGAGGATGAAGCAAAAAACGAAATGCGAATGAATAATTGCAATATAGAATGTGTAAATTATAGCAGTATCAACGGATTAGTTAGTTACCAGAGCATATTAGTCCTAGGGATGCTAATCAATAATCCCACCTGCTGAGCTGAGGCTATGCGAAGGAATAGCGGTAGCGTTTTGACCTGCACATGCGCCGGCACTACAACATGAGTATGTGACGAATACACGGTACCCGATGTCACGTTCCCATAGTTGTGCTCCCCGATACCCAATATCACATTCCAACACACTTTCCGACCATAACACAGATATATAGCTGTTCTTTCCAAGTATATACATTTCTTTTAATCCGGGCACATTCTTCAAATCATTCGCCATGTCGTACTACCTTGCCATGATTGGTACCCAGGACAACCCCATCTACGAGCTCGAGTTTGGATCGTTCAGACAGGGCAACGATGGAACATCCAAGTTCAACCCCGAGATGAAGGAATTGAACCCGTTCATCTTGCACGCCGCATTGGATATCATCGAAGACGTGCAATGGGAGACTAACACCCTGTACCTAAAGGCCATCGACAACTTCTATGGCCACTTGATCAGCGCATACGTTACGCCGGGGAACGTCAAGTTTCTTTTGCTCCATGAAACCAAGAATGAGGAGGCAATCAGACATTTTTTTACAGACATCAATGACCTTTATGTTAAGGTTTTACTCTCGCCGTTTTACAACGCCAACGACCCGATCATCAGTCCATCTTTCGATGTGAAGGTGAAGACGCTTGCTAAAAAATACTTGTAAGGCCCCACCTTTTGATATGGGCCGCTGAGGCCAATGCTGCAGAGTGTGACTAAGAGAGGCCAAACGGAGACAGGTTTCCTTTTAATGTCCGAGCTCTCTTAATTAAATATGAATGGGCCAGAATGACCCAAAATATTACTGTACAATAAATGAATTCATGTAAATTGAACCGTGTACAAATTACGGTGTCACCGTAAGTGCTGCCTTTTTGTAGTGCTGTAACCGATGCCCAGAACGGTAACCCCGAATTTCGCCCCTGCCAATAGATAACTATGCCGCCTTATTACAGATAAAGGCACAGCCCTTGTACACATCTCCTAATAACCACAAACACATACAATGGAATCCGATAGACTCTTTAAATTTGGTGGACTCAAACTCCCAAATGTCGCAAAGATGCGCAGCGCAGGGGTCTACATCTCCGGTGCCCTTGTAAGTACTCCAATCTTATGTGTCTAGCCACTTACTAACGCCTCTAGTACGCAATCGGGTTCTGGTTCTTCATAGACGCCGTCATCTACTCCAAAACGGTCAATGCTTCTGTCGTCCATGTCACGTTTGTGGATTGGATCCCCGCTATCTGTTCCACTCTCGGGATGCTCATGTATGTATTCAAGGAGACTGATACCACGTATTTCCCCACTTACTCTTACTAACCTTTCAGTGTGAACTCGATTGAAAAGTCACGTCTCTTGAACGATGCCCTTGCGTCCTCTTCGTTTGCCGGGTCTCCCCAAACCATCTGGCAGGCGCGCATTATCTTGTTCCTCGGCTTTGCCTTGTTGGCCGGTGGGTTGGCCGGCTCGGTTGTTGTGTTGATTTTGAAGTTTTTGATGGAGCGGTACACCTACCCAACCTTGGGTATGGGTGTTTCGAATGTGATCTGCAACGTCTGCATCATGTTGAGTTGCGTGGTGTTATGGATTGTCCAGAACGTTGAAGACGAGTACAGCTACAGCTTGAGCTTGTAAGCCCGAGCTATTTTGATTAACGATATCTTGGAGACTGCAACCGTTCAAGAAACCATCAAGCTCTCACAGATTTATGTCATCCTGCCCGATCACTGTTAAGATACCCAGGATGTTTGTGTCTTCTCCTTGCCACTTATGGCGTTGGGTTATATTCCCGGTATTCACGATAAGATTGATAGCTCTCTTAACCTCTATGTATTGACTCAATATAGGTATCAAACTATTGGTAATTTTACGTATGGATTTACTCATCCTGCCCTCTGAGTGCGCTTCCCGCATAGATAGTGGGCAGTCTATTCCCATTCATGTTTATACCATTCTGAGTACATATTACACCATCTAGAGAGTAACCTTAAAGACGTGACATTATAGAAAGGAATTCCAGAGACAAAAGTTATTTAACTTAGAATGATGTATTATTATATAACAAAGCAGGGAAAATCGTAACTAATTTAGATGTACCCGATCTTGTTGGCAATGTCAAGAGCATCGTAGTCAGCAGTCAATCTGACGTAAGCCTTCTTGGTACCGTTTGGTCTGATCAAGGTGTTGACGTACAAAGCTTCAACCTCGTACAATTCCTTGACGGCCTGCTTGATCTGCTGCTTGTTAGACTTGAGGTCAACCTGGAAGACCAAGGTGTTACCGTCTTCAACCTTCTTGATGGCGGTTTCAGAAGCGATTGGGGCAACAATGACCTTGTAAGCATCCAATCTGTTAGCGTGTGGGACAGCCTTTCTGGCGTACTTAGGAGCTCTGGTCAACTTCAAAGTCTTTGGCAATCTGAAGGTGGTAGAGGTTCTAACCTTAATAGACTTAGAAGCGTTAGCACCCTTCAAAGCAGACTTCTTGGCAGCGGTGGCCTTAGCGGTGGCTATAACAGGGTTAGTATTTCGTTCGCGTACGGACTAGAGCATTCAGAGATTTGAGATATAGGCCGTTGACCTTAGACAAATTTGACGAGAGGTGTTTCAAAGGCTAGGAATCGTTTCCAAAGGAATTCTTGAAGGCCTTCCACATGGGGCCATCACAATGGAGGTGAGACATATACGGGCATTTTAGCCTCGCCGTGAAACGGTCATATGGGGATGGTAGCGGCCCTTCCGACTGGTTGACCATAAGTCTTGACCTTGGAGCTTTGGCTGGTCTCGCCGATTCGTCCTTAGCCCAAACCGACAATTTTCACCCATCTTCCCGTTCTCAAAATCTGCGAATGCTGTAGTCTGTCGTAGTGTGATCATTCACTTACATTGTGGAGCCATTTTGATCTATCTTACTGTAACCTAAATCAAGAGAATCTATATCTAGTACCTGTTTTTCAACTTTTTTTCAATAACTTTTAGTATTTTCGCCAAACCAAAACCTGCTGGCACACATCCCTGTGTCACAGTATGGAGCTGCTCACTATGGGAGATAGGTAGTATCCAGACTCCACTGTCAATACTATGGGCAGGAGCTACTGGGGGTAACCCGGCTAGGGCAATTTTCCACAGGAAAAATTTTCCCCTCCGTTACCCGCATACGCTACAACCACCACCTATAAAAAAGAAATTTTCTGGTAGGCGCGCGCACTTATACCGTTGCTGACCGAGAGATCATCGAAATTGACATTCGCGAAGTGACTGTGTTTATTCAAAAAGCCCTATGTATGTACACGTGATATCCAGGCTGCGAGAAAAACGGGCTCAGTCACCGGTATATAGCACAACAATACGGTAAGGGGGGTTGGCGGATGGTTATCAAGGGCTATCATATATTTGGGGTTTAGTTATATACAGACATAAACATATGGTGCTGGCAGCTAACACATAGTACCTTGATGTGGAATAAATACTATCCACTATTATACAGCTGAGTTCCCTCAGGGGACGACAAGACTCCACTCAAGCGAGGAAAGGTGCTTGTCTAGAATGTGAATCGAAATATTCATGCAAAAGCGGGGCATACAGAGAATGCATGCGGTTTACAAACGACGGCGTCTTGGAGATCTGTTACCACCAAACTTGATCTTAGTGTGGTCGCTGACTCTGATGATATTGTCTCTGATCTTGTTACCCTCCTTACCTTCTAAGGCGGCGATGAACGCTTGCCTACCCTTACCGAACTCACTCAAGACAAGCTCAAGCGGCTTGTCCAAACATCCCTTCTCTTCCATCTTCTTGAAGAAAGAGGCCGCGGTCTGGAAAGCAGCTTCGTATTCACCTCTCTGAGACTTTCTAAAGCCGAAGTGACCGGTAGCGTGGGACATGACGACCTTTTCTTGCAAAGTTAAGTAATACAAGACCTTTTGGTTGTAAGTTAAGCCGGCCTTTCTTTCCAAGAAGTTCAAGTCTTCGATTTCGGCAGTAAGGGTCATGTGGGTGTTATTCTTGGAGAAACCACAGTGGAGGACGTACTTGTTAATGTTGAGCGATGGCTTGATTTTGGAGGAGGTCTTCTTGTTGGCAACCTCCTTCTTTGGGGCGTCTGGGGACCGCGGAGTTTCAATGGTTTTGCCGACGCTGGCAAAGTCGGCTTGGAACAAGGATCTGGTGGAAGTGAGGGCTATGCATGTTAGTTCTCTGGTCGAGGTGACGGCTCATTGATGAGGTACTTACATCTCAACGGGTTGATGGACACGGCTATTTGAGGCCCCATGCGGAGGGCACCACTGAAAGGCTTCATATACATCATTGTACAGATAGAGGTACGGAAGGTGGACGTGTTGTATATCCTTTTCGTGATACCTTCTATACCAAATTAACGATTTTTCATTCCAGGTTGCATGAAGTAGGGTAACAGACTTAGGCGATACTCAATGGTCGGTGAAGACGTGCTCCCATCACTAGGTTTGCCTCTACACGACCATTGTTTTTGTCGTGTTTCCGGCCTGTGCCGACTTTCGGCCTTGGCAGGGGGCGTGCCGTTACAAATCCTCACCATGAGGATTAGGCGCTCATGTAAGAGATAAACAAGCAATACACAATCAGTTCGGGATCAAATGCTAGCCCTAGTTCGCCTGTTTATCCCAGTTTATAGTTTGCATATCCCGGCTAAACTATCTCCATTCTGTTTGAAAGCTTGATATACGGCTGAAGCATTCATTATTCCATCCAATTGGTCCTGTTGAAGCTCATTTAGATCCTCTCACCCACGAAAAAGCCACATAGGCCGGATTTACTGAGTGGCCTACCAAATTACGCGCGTCTCCGGGATCAAACCACCTTAACGAATCCGCATTCCCGCTTCCACCTGTGACGGCCCGATCTCCTTGAATCATTCCGTTTCAACGTATAAAGCACATTGATTGATATCCTGATGTCGTCGCGCCCTGCCCAATTGCCACAAGCCACGGCTTACACAATGGACAGCGTCACAGATAACCACACCGGGTTAAGCAGTCCAATGGTTGTTAAGGAATACAATGAAATCGGTAAAGGTGCCTTTGGTACTGTCGTTCAAGCAAAGTTGAAGTTTGATTCCGCTCCTGATACGCCTGACAGCTGGTACGGCCCTTTTGCCATCAAGAGAGTTCCGGCACAAACCGAGTACAAAAGCAGAGAATTGGAAACCTTAAGGGCAGTCAATCATCCGAACGTTATCCAGTTGAAGTACTTTTTTGATAAGCTGGACCCAAGAGACAATATTGTGTATCAAAACTTGGTCATGGAATGCTTACCATCGACCTTGCAAATAGAAATCAAGAACTACAGGGTTCACCAGTTGATCCTTCCATTATCACACATCAAAGTCTATTCCTACCAAATAGCCAGAGCCATGATGTATCTACATGCTCAGGGCATCTGCCACAGGGATATCAAGCCCTCGAACATCTTAATCGATCCAAAGACCTTGGTGTTGAAGATTTGTGATTTTGGCAGCGCCAAAAAGTTAGAGCCCAACGCCCCCTCGGTGAGTTACATCTGTTCCAGATTTTACAGAGCTCCGGAATTGATTGTCGGGTGTCAGATTTACTCCACGAAAATTGATATCTGGGGCTTAGGGTGTGTTATTGCCGAGATGTTTTTGGGCAGAGCGATTTTCCAAGGTGAAGATCCTTATTTGCAGTTAAGAGAGATCTCTAAGTTGTTGGGCCCACCGGGTAAGGAGTTCGTATACAGATCCAACCCAGGTTACGACGGTCCAACATACAGCACGAAACTCTTTTCTTCGAGCATCCCCACTAGATTTGCCAAGGTCTTCAATAATGCATCTACGGACGCTGTTGACTTATTGATGCATGTTTTGGTTTATGAACCGGAATTGAGACCAACCCCGAGACGGATCATGTGCCATCAGTTCTTTGACGATTTGAAGAATCGAGAATTCAGAGTGCGCCCAAGGAACAGAACTGATGAGTTGTCGGTTGAACATTTATTCCGCTTCAGTGACTATGAGCTGCAGGTTTTAGGATCCTTGACCTCACACCTCCAATTGTATTGAGAGGAAAAGAAAGTCCCGTGCTAACTCCTTGTTTTACTCCTAGTCTGATCTTTTCGTTTCTGCTTTTTTTTATTTTCCTATTCTTTTGGTTCCTTTCATCCGTATTGTCTTGTGACTATTTCCCCTTCACTTCTTAAGAAACGCCGTTTTATGCATTCTGCCTTACCCCATTTAATGATTTCTCCTTGGTATTCATGGTACGCCTCTTTTTTTTTCTTTTAATATAAACTCTTGTTTTTGTCTGTCGCTCCTAATTCCTGGCTATTGGTTAGCCTTTGTATTTTAATCTAATGACGTTTCACACAGATGTCCGCAGAAATCTAAATGATTTTTGCCACTTACCTGGATTAAAACGGTGTATACTTGTATTCATCGATTGTATCTTATTGACCGTAGTCTAGACTTAATCATAGATATCAAACGCAATAACCTTTCTTCCCAGCAATTCGACTTCAAGCAACTGTTTCACACATCTTACCCAAATCTTGCAATTGGTAACCTCCCCAAGCCACATACCTCCCCCTAGTATATAGAAGATGGAATTTGAGTCACCGTTAGCGAAACATGCATCCAACTGGGTTGTGATATTTCTAAGATCAGCCGTTGGTAACTTGTATACTTTTATAAGCAAGGGAAGCATAAGGATAAACTTGTACCGGGCAGTGAGGAGGCACTTCAACCGCTGGGAGGATGTAAGCTGCTCGGCTGAAGCGGATGGAGGCTGGAGTAAGGCGCTGATAAAGGGAAGAACCAGGTAGAGGTATTGTGTTTCCATTGGTTCCGGCTTCGGTATAGACCTGCTGGGAGGTGGAAACAAGGAACAGTACTCAAATTGTACCTGATCATTGATATGCGAAATAACCAACCATTTTGAAAGATTTCGGACTTTAAACTCACTAGAACCAAGTGAAATGACGATTTTGTGAAGAATACGGAACGTGAGTTCTGGATGGTTTTTTGAGGTCCGGTGAATCACGTTGTGCACGGATTTAAACTCTTGTTCAGTGAAATCCTTATTGTCGGCTTCAATCTTGTTTGAGTTGTGGTCAATGAACCACCGGAAGAGTCTCTCAAGGAAGGACAGGATTTGATCTTGTAGCGTGCTTTCAAGAGACAACCTTTTATCAAGTAACAACAAGCATGTGATTTGGAATAGCAAGCAAAATGTCCTTAGATCATATCTTGTGCAATTAACAGTGAACTCTACTAAATTCGAGATTTTAGCTAAAATTAGAGGGAAGTTGTGATAACAATAGGACCGAATAGCCAAATGATGATCGATAATGCCGGCTTCGTTTCCTCGGATATTCGTGGCTGATGTCAAGACTTTTCCTTCGTCGTATGGCTTTCCGTTCCAACCATCGGAGTGTGCTACCTCACGCAAAACTTGCACGTTGCATCCCAAAAGTTTCATAAACTTCAAAATAAAGTCTGGCTTTGGGTTCAAAGGCACATTTTCCGGGCTAACATGGTCTTTATATGCTAGGAAACAGTGACGGTATCCTTCCAAGATTTTGGGCTCATCGCAAATCAATGATCCCCAGAGAAATCTCAAACTGGCATGAAATGACCCATTCAATTGTGGCGGTTGTTTAGGGGTGGGAAAGTTCTTGCGGGACATGTAGAACCCGCACTTTCGATCTTGCTCCGCTCTTTCCTGGTCTTCCCCGTAGAGCGACTCGATGCTTCGCAACTTCTCTAACGCATGATTCACCTCATCAGTGGGGGAAGCGTTGAATAGATATACATCCTTGAGCATTCTAGCGCTATATTCGCCGGCTTTCTCCTTAGCGTCGGCTTCATCTAGTTGGAAAAAGAGATTATCAGCGAATAGGTTCCACTGCTTATCCTGCTTTACGCCTTCGTGAACAGTGTCGGAGATAATGGCTTTTAACCCTTGGGCTCGAAGGAGCTTTGCTTGGCTCTCGCTCCTATCCTTTTCGAGTTTGGCTGTTAAAAGTTCGTCTTGGGCTAGCGTGTGGGCTAGGTTTGTATCAAAGTTATATTTCTGTGTTAAAGGATGTTTGAACATGTTGCTAATCGAATCGAGAAGCGGATCATCAGCTTCACCGTTAAATGTTTTGGCTGAAAGTCCAAATAGTGGCTTCACCTTGTTCGAGCGGGTTGGTTTTTTGTTAGAGTGGATTGGGGAAGCGTGAAGCTCGTCATCAGACGATGGGGGTGATCGCTTGGACCTGGAACGGAAGCTTTGCGGTATCTTTTTGAGCGGAGTGGATGATTTGGGTAGGGATGATCTTGTTACCAGCGAAGGGAGGAAGTCGAGGTCGCCAAATAGTCCCTTGGTGTTGTAGGCTAGATCCTCCTCTTCTCCGGGCGATGAAAAGTCCGAGTAGTCACTCATCATTGTTTCTGTGGCTCTCCGAAAGGATACAGATGGGTGGGGTTAATAATAGATGACAATATGAATGGATGATATTTGAGAACCTTTGAAATGGACAATCGTTGGCTTTTCGGCGATCCCAAGTTAGAATGTGGTTTATCCATAGCTACCATGCAGACGCTACATCGAAAACTCACGACTTCGCGTTTCCCAAATAATTATGCGTTAACTTCGTAGGTGCATATGTAACTTACGAGCTGATACATTTGAAAGCAACCTCCATGTAATTGATGGCGTCACTCAGTGCTTCTAGCCCTAAAGAACTAGATAGTATCATCCGAGCTGAGCTGACTCTCGCCAAAAACAACAACATTTTAAACCTCTATAAGTCTATGCGACAGCTTTACATCGCGCTAGGTAAGACCAGTCTTAAAAGACGAGAAGGAACTGTTTACCATCTCTTAAGATGGCGCCTGCGAAAAGAAGTTAACTTGAAAAGAAAAACCCTACATCAGATAATTGAGCAAAATAAATTGGGAATTATATATGGTAAAATGCAATGAGAAGGAAGACTAACTAAAATGGTTTGTAATTTGTATCTTTCAACGAGTGATCTTTAAAAAGCCAGTACCTCGATCGGAAATCAAAACAGAGGAAAGACAAAGGAGAAACTTGGAACCCGATCAATTGTTGATAATTCAATGATAGGTTCAATGTCACTGCTTTCTGCCATTCTGCTTTTTTTTGCATAGGCACGGCCCTAACATGAAATCAGTGAATGTCTATGCCGCTGGATATGTATTCGTGCAGCAAAGTCAGGGACCAACTCCAACTATGGCATCGTTTTGGAGTTGGCTTTGATGTAACCGGGGGATTGAGGTTTTCTCGTTATTCTATACATTTAACCAACGCCCAAGCACTTCCTGCTGCAAACCCACCAATAAGCATCATTTGTAGCCCTTCGTTGACTTTCTTCCATCTACCACAGCCGTCCAAAGAAATAGAAGTCTTTACGTAGCCAAAAATAAACAACGTAACACCCATGATAAGGACAGAAATGAGCAACCCAGTGTGAACAAGCGTGGTAAAAAAGTACGGAATCAACGGAATGAAGCCACCCAAGAAATATGAGATACCGATAGTCAAAGCGGAGGTTAATTGACGACCTTCGGCCGGCTCCTCTAGCCCCTTACCGAAGCGGATAACGAAATCCACCATATTGGAAGGTTGGTGCTGGACGTCCTTCAAGAAGGAGTTGATAGTACCCTGGGAGGCACCGGTTTCTAACAAAACATCGCCGATCTCTTCAGCCAAGATATCCGGGTTTTGAAAGAATTCTTGTTTGCACGATTTTACTTGGGCCAGGTAGTATTCAGCTTCTGATCTGGCGGCCAAGAAACCACCGAGACCCATGGAAATGGAGCCAGAAACCAATTCAGCTAAACCACCGGTGATGACCAATTTAGAGTCACCAAGAGAAGATAAGCCAGCCGTCAAGGCAAAGGGAACAGTCAAGCCATCAGATAACCCAATGATGACGTCTGACATGACCCTCGGATCAAACTTGCTCAAAAAGCCAGTACCCTGAGACTCAGCCTTACTTTTGGCCAATTGAGATTCAGCACGTTCCAAGTCTTGGTGAAAATCGGGGGCAGCAGTGCCATATGGAGTCTGGTGGGATTGGGTCAAATTTGCTTGTTCGGGGGTCTTATCTGTTGAAGAGACCACTGCCGCAATGGCATTCTTTAAGCCGACCAACGACATAGTGTGTGTAAGGTGAAGTGTTTCAGGTAGAATCAGTTACCAAGTCGGACAGATGCCTTTGACGTACGAATGGGGTATCTGTGACAGTAAAGAAATTAAGTAAATTAATCTCTGAAATAATGAGAAGTTATTAGCAAAGGTAAAGACCGAAAGAAATAGTGGTAAAGGATAAAGGGTACTAAAATCAGGGCAGTCTATACCAGGTGATCTAGACTATATATATTGCTAATCGGCCGACGTGTATTGTGCTTGTGTGTACCCTGCACTGAAAATTACTGCAAAAGTATAACATTGTACTGCATAATAGATATATACCGGATGGATTTGCAGCCCTGGAGCCTTACAAAAACCGTTTAAGGTAAGCAGATGACAAATTCAAAGGCTTTCATTGGTTAAACTTGGCACGCAGGCAAAGACACTGCACGGGGTGCGGCGCTTGTTTACTTTTTCACCATATTCCGTTGTAACTATTGATGAAGATATACTGCCCACGGGCCATTTGTATCACAGTAAGTGGGCTTACAAACGCCTGTCACTGATAGAAATAATAAATCATGCTGCTCCAGAACGATGTACTGACCTTCACTTTTTATATGTGAGGGTGTCTTCGGTAATATCTTATGTCATACCTTTGAAGATTTAGATAGTTTCATAAATATAGGTTGCCTTCGTGTAGATAGTCCGAGTTCACTCTCTTTTGGCGCAGTATGTTTGCTCTTTGTTAATTGAGAATTTACGATTTGGCCTAGTGATGACTTTAGCACTGACGGGGAGTTTATCTTAGTGTAAATACGGCGTACAATAGTACTCGGCAAAAACTGAGATCGTCGAACTTTCGCTACATTCATTGCCGATCATTTGCATAATAGCGATTCCAATTTGCCAATAATCAGGTTCTCTTCATTCTAGACATTAATTTCCCGATATTGGAGCTGCTTCAGTTTTTTTTTAACACTGAGTGTACGCCAAGTATGAGTCAGCTTAGTGTCCGTTTGTGACCAGTTACAAAGCAATTTGCATGTAAGGAGGTGCAGGAAGTATACCGCACGGTTTATATAGAACATTACGCTTGCATATAACTTGCTCATAGGGACAACGTTAGCTCCACATAGCTACTTTAATATCTATTTGGGTAATACTAAGCTGGTTACTCTGTTTACAGCATATAAAACACATTTCTTTAATTAACTATAATATTAAATATTATATTTAATCTTAATGTTTACTATGTAAAGTTGAAATTCTTTATAAAAGTTTCGCGTATACGCTAATGTTAGTAAAAATATACGTAGCACGTTATTTGATTAAATCAATTATCAATTCGCATGGGGCATCTTTAACACAATTGCTAAAGGCGTGAACCTCATACAGTAAATATCGTTATACAGTTATTTGCTTACAAAAATACCCGTTTTACACTAGAGACATACAGGTCGTTGGCGATACTATCCCGTGACACCCTGTTCTGGAAACATGGGAAATGCTTTCATTAGACTATATTTTAGTCTTCCACGACTAAAAGACAAACTAAACACGAAGGGCTTGCCGCATCGACTGGCTTGTATCGTACCGGTATGTATCAAGTGAGTTGACTCGCAATGGACGTTTGCGCGATCTACCATTTTAATAGGCAATCAGGGGCATATCACGTTTTGTGCACATGTAGCCGCTCGTCTGACAGCTACACAGTCATCAGTTCCGTAGTTGGCTACTAGCTTTTTCATGCATGCATATGCATATAGCACCTTTCCCAGTGATGCAACCCAAAACAGTATCCTTACTTCCAAATAAAGCTGAGAACTATGATGCCTACCGCAGGATATGCATATAGCTACATACCTCAGCAGCAGGGATGTATTATGTACAGAATATATGCCTGACCCAGGGTGCTTATATAACGTACATTTGTATGTGCATCTCTTTCACTAGTCTAAATAAATAACACATATTCTGTCTGACATGTGTGCGAAACCCAGTCATCCTTCCTAATATGGGAATTTCTGAACGACACAGGCAGTAGGCTATTATGCACTCCTCCAAATTCGGATCTCTTTCTCTATAGTTCATGCATGCTTCGTGGCGTTCCCCCCATGTATTGGTAGAGTCATGACTCTAGGGGTATATGCGCTATTGTCTTGATTCCGTGATCGGTATGCATCTACCTTACTTTGAATGTTATTGTTTCGATGGTTTGAGGATAGAAATTACCTTTCTAGCTTTTAGTCGTAGCTGCATGATCTCGCCCGATCCGTGCAAGGAGAAAAATACCCCTGCACTTCCAGCTACAATTCTCGTACGGCGTCGACCAATCCAGAAATAAAAAGAAATAACCACAGCTAGTTCCACAGCTACATGAGAGCTAATGCACTTTTAGCCACATCTCGGACGCTATGGTTATGAATCTTGAATACTTATTCCCATTTGCTTAGCAGGTTCTCACTCCCTCGAAGCAGAACCACCATCCAACGTGATGGTAGCATTCCATTCGCTAGGTTCATATTTGAAACTCGTTTATTTTCGACAACTATCAATAACACTTTCTCTTCTCCATATATCCAACCCCAGTCACTCCTTTAACCCCCTCAGCTCTCTTTATCATCCTTTGTTGTTGATTTATTTGTCAAAAAAAACAACTACATACTTGTCTTTTTTTGCTCTCCAACCACTCACTATTAACTACCACAAGTCGCGTTCTTCCTACGTCTGTTATACCCCTTTTCCCAGTTAGCTATGATTTTCAACAAAAGCTATATCCCGTTTGCGCTTGCCGCTCTTCCTTACTTGGCTAAGGCCGATGTGACCACCACCTCCATTATTTATGTCACTGTCACCGAAACCTTGTTGACCCCAAGCGAGTCTGCTGCCGCTCTCGCGGAGTCATCTGTTTCTGCTGCCAGTGCTGCGTCAGCTGCGTCAGCTTCTTCTGCCTCTGCCGCGTCAGTCGCGTCAGTTTCTGCTGCTTCTGCCGCCTCTGCTGCCTCTGCTGCCTCTGCTATTTCTGCTATTTCTGCTGCTTCTGTTATTTCTGCTATTTCTGCTGCTTCTGTTGCTTCAGCTGCATCAGCCGCGTCTGCTTCAACTGCATCAGTTGCCTCTGTTTCCTCCGTATCAGCTGCTTCCGTCGCGTCTGTCATTTCTGCTTCCATTGCTTCAGTCGCGTCTGTATCATCTGCCTCCGCGGCTATGGCTTCCGCTCTCTCCTCTGCTTCTGCTGCCTCGATTGCTTCCGATGTATTCTACAAGTCGTATGAATCTGTGTTGGCCAAGTCGTCTGCTTCTGCTGCTTCTGTTGCCTCGGCCTCGTCTGTCTCTATAGCCTCGGTTTCCTCAGCTTCCGCTGCCTCTGCTTCTCGTGCCTCCGTAGCTTCTCGCTCTTCCGAGGCCATGATATCTGCCCAAGGTTTGATTGCCATTGCTTCTGATATCTCGAACTCCACCAGTCATTCATTCTCCTCCTACGCCAACTCTACTACCGCCTTTTCCAGTCAGTGGAGTACCACCGCGGTTTCTGCTACCACTACCGGACAACCTTTGTCTGCTGTTACTGCCGCCTCCGTAGCGAGTTCGTCTACCTCAAAGGCTGGTGCTAACGATCTCCGCATCCCAATGATGGGTGCTGGTGTCGTGGGCGCTTTGATCGCCGTCTTGTTGTAAGGTTTCTGAAAGCTCAACCTGAAAAGAAAGTATGAAGGTAAAATGGGGTAAGCTGGAAACATTTGGTTTCTGACTCTCCGCGTTACCACCCGCAGCTTCTTTTCATGATACGCCTATCGAGACCTCCCTCTCTTTTTCTTTGGCTAGCCCATTTCTGCTGGCATGTTTTTACCTCTTGTTCGTCTTCTGGTGTTTTTCTTCGCTTTTTCCCCTCTCCGGCACTTGTCATGTTGTATTATTATCCTTTTTTGCTTTTTTTGCTCGTTCTATTCCCTGGTTTTCCGTATTGTATCTGCAAGTCCCTCTAAAAACCTCTTGGAGTGTTGATTTTTCGACTTGAGTGCCCAGAACATACATCCATTTTCTTCAAGTTTGTCGGCTCTCTTTTTTACATATACCATCTGTTTTCTCTGTTACTTCTGTCTGAGTAGATTTGGCGTAAACGTAGTGGAACCTAGCTAGAAGTTGACAATTAAGCGTATAAGGTAAGCATTTCCTATAGAGCTTACGTATATGTTGGAATAATTTCTTCACTCGTATTTTATCACTCTCCTTTTCACCTTTATTTTGTAATATCGGATCTGAATACTACCATTTCAGTATCACTTTACTTGATTCAGCGGTTTTCCAATATTTTGGTTTTTGCCATACGTAGTAAGGCGTTCTGTATGATGCTAGGTCTGCTAGCAGTTGGGATGTCATTGCCACCCGGATGTCCAGTCAGAGCCCAAGCTAAACTCATTACCGATACTAGCCTTTCGGGTCGCATGCAACACCATGTATAGACTAGACATACACAACCACCACTAACTAGGGTGTCGTAGCCCTTTCCTCACCTCACCGAGGTATTGCTCAATGGTCACAAAATATTGCCTTTATCTGGCATTGCTTTTATCGTTCTTGATTTTTTACAGTCACGGTTGACCTGATTAAGGGGTTTTCTTTATGAGGTAATGTACAATTGAGTATATCTATACGGACGATGCAATGGGTGGTTATTTTTGCTTGGCGATGACGGCAGAGTATAATGCGTTTCTCCCACCTGGGACCTTGCACCATCTACCCAAACGATGCTCTTTGCTCATGCTACCGACGACTTTGATGTATTCGCCATCGTCGCTCTTGCCCTCGAACATTTCCAACTTGGTAACCAAGCCCTTGGCGCCGTCCAACTCTTTTAACAACGTGAACTGACGCAAGTTTGCCTCCAACTTCCAGAGACGGAGCTTACCGTCCCACGAACCGGAGACAAAGATGTCCGAGTACGGCAACGCGTAGATCGACGTGATCCAGTAGGGGCTCTTTGGCGGAAGTTCCTCCGGCTTGCCGGAATACTCTGCTTCAGCCGAATAGACACGTTCTTGGGGGATAAGCCCGTGAGCCTGGCGCATCGTGTAAAGAGCCTTCTTCTTAGCAAGAGACCAGAGAGAAATATTTCCGTTATCGGAACCGGTAACAAAATGGGTATCGTCTAGCATGGAAACACAGTCCATACTGCCCTCCGCGTAGAACGCTGGACGGACAACGTCCTTCGGTTTGTCGCTCTTGTCCTTGGTGTACTTGCTGCTTCTTCTGGCTGCGGGGTCGGTGTCACCACCTCGGAAGGTCAATCTGGATTCCTCGGAGATCTTCCACAACATGGCGGTCTTGTCTCTGCTGCCCACAGTCACGCATCTCTCCTGGATCAATGAGCTAATATCCACAACCAAGTCCTGGTGTCCGTACAACGTCTCTAACTGTGCCATCTGGTTGATGGAGTATGTGCGGATTCTTAAGTCGGCGCACGCCACGTACAACTGGTCGCTGTTACGGCGGAACACCATCGCCAAAACATCACCGTTGTTTCTGACGCCGCCCTTTCTGGTCTCGAGCACCTTCACAGGAGTCAATGACTCAGTACTCCACACGATGATTCTGTTGTCTCGTCCACCGGTGACGACATATTTGCCATCTGGCGACGCAGCCACGCATAATATCTCGTCGGAATGGCCGTTCAAAGACGGGTCACTGGCGAGCTCAGCGAACTTCGGACCACCCTTGGTATGCTTGACTCTCACCGCTTTCTTGTTCTTATCATCAATGTTCCATTTAATCAACTCCATGTCTTTTGAGACCGTGTAAGCGTGGGGGTAGCAAACAGACACCCCCGTCAAGCCCTTGGACCCGATGCGCGTAAACTGCTGTCTTATAGCCTCATCATCCACGATCAATGACGCCGCAAAGAACTTGTAGATCATCCCCTTGTTTTCCGCCACATCACGCTGCAAACGGCTGGCCAAAATATCGTCGTCCAAGTCTTGTGCATCGAAGTCGTAGTTATCACCCGCCATCGTCTCCAGCTTCAAGTTGTCCAAGTACTGCTTCGCCAATCTTCTTCTCTTGTCGGCCGCACTCTCGTCCTGAAACTCCTCTTCGGAGTCTAATGCATCTTCATCCGCCTCTTCACTCTCGTTGGCGGAGACATTGCCCTGCTCGTCGTTCTCGGACTCGGAGTCGGTGATTTCCACGTCATGTTTGTCTGGGGTCGGGGTGGCCTGCTTCTTGTGCGGAGCCCGCATTGTGGTGGGACGCTTGCGCTTTCTAGAATCTGATAAAAACGGATCTGAAACCATAATGCTAGGTAGGTCTATGTTGGGTAATCTTTGATTTGACGACCTCTGTATTACTTTTCTTTTATGCATCATACTAGAAAAAATAATTTTTCACTGCAGGCGTGTTACCCGGGACGGGATGCGATGAGCAGCACAGCGGAAAGTTACTGTTTTAGGCAGCATTCAGGGTACCTCGATGTGGTCCAGTCTTACCCACACATTTAATCCTATTCCAGGCCCCTTTACCATTTCCCCTCTTATATAAACGTTAATATTCCGGTACTCTCAGTACACTGGTAAATGGCTTTTCAGACTGTTTGGTCTTATAGGAAGTCTTTTCTAGACATTCAATTCCTGCATTTTACCTAAGATATACAACATAAGTTTCCGATTCGGTCTCCACACACCGTCTTAGTTGGCCCCGAACGTACTTCCTTACCAATCCCTCATCCACACACCGTTTACCTTTTATTCATCATTTATAACCTCCGTCCTAATATTATACCACCCCATTTACAGGTGATTAAATGAATTAAAAGTCCAAGGCGGACCTTGTAGAAAGTAAAAAGGCATTGAGGAATAAAAAAACAGCATTATTCAAACAGGTTTCTGGCGCTTTTAAACTGGTGGTGGAGCTTAACACTGATTTCAAGCTTCAGCACCAGTTAATTCTCGGGTTATAAAATTATTTATTCTTAAGGCTAATAATAATTTACTATATTCCTAGGGCCATCCAAGATGGATGTGCCATGTCAAACGGACCCTCACAAGTCTAAGCCAGGCCCTTATCGTGCAGTCCATGTTTGCACCTTCCCAAAACAAGTAAAATCTAGTTTAAATCGAAATCCTCGTGCAAATACCGATATTTAAGTTTGCTCTTACACCCAAGTAGGCTGATCAGATACTGGGCAGTTAAGGACAAGCACATTGACCTCACGCCGGTTTTGCCTCCGAATTTCACGTTATACTAACGCTTTTCTTGTCCCAAGTTACCGAATGACAATACCCAGTATGAACTACGCTTCTCCCTTGATCAACCGTAACGCCTTAGCCCCCTCACCAATTACCGTATACGCCTCTAAGAGCTGCAAAACGCGCAGGTCGGATGCATCACGAAGCGATTGCGTCAATTGCTCGTCCAAAACTGTGTGGAACTCGAAGCGCAAGCGGTTCACCTTGGGCGTGAGAACAGTGGTTAAAAAGACGTTATCAAAGCCTGAAACCACTGCGTAGAGCTTGTGGATGATGAGAAATAACGAGAGGACCTGCTTGACGCTGAAGTTCGCCTGCGAAAAGACCAGCTCGAAGTGGGTCAATTGCTCGTCAAGGAGGAGAAGTAGCTGCGCTTTGTACTTGAGCTCGAACGTAGCGTATTGAAACTTCACATCACTGCCTACCAACTTGGCAGACAGGGAGAGTTTTTCGCGCTCGACCAGCAACTGCTTTTCATAGCTGCTCAAGTCGATCTCGATGCTGTTGATGATGTCCAACCCGCCGTCGATGGAGTGGCCGAGAGAGATGAAATCGTTGTAGTCGTTGTTCACCAAGTTAAGCAACTCTGTATCCAATTGTTGGAGTAACTTTCCGAGCTCGTCGTGGAGGTCGTCCAAGGCGGAAAATCTGTGGTGCTTGTACAAGAACTCGTCGGGGCTGAAGTCGCCTACAGTGCCCTCTGCAAACGACTCGCGCGACACAGCCCGTGGGAAGGGAAAGTCTTCGGTATCAAATTCGCTGTCCATGGCAGTGGGATGAACAACGGGAAAATGCAATAACTGCTCTTGTAAGGTAAAGATGTAGGAGTGCGAAGCCATTACAAAGTATGCATGTGGCAGATTCAGATGTTGCCAAAGGTCGCGTATGCACCGGAGGGTTCAGATATAGGCATCGAGGATTTGCCCTTCCCAATTAAGGCTATTGTGATATTTCTAAGACCATTATCGGCTAAGTTGAATAGGCTCATTTTCGCACTAAATACATAGACAGAGAGGGTAAGATTCATGTCCCTCTTTATACTAAGAGGTGTCGGCGTTAGTCTGTCATCCGTGGATGACTAACAAATGGGGGTTGTGACATGATACTCATGAAGGATCATACTATCAACAATTATATTTTAAAAAAAATTTTTTTTTCATTAAAATCGAAGAATTTAAAAAGAATTGTTTTATCAAAAAAACTATTAACGTAATACGGTAACGATGTATCCTGGTCCATCGGAGCAAAGCACCACCAGGATTCGTAGCCATTCTACATTGCGTTACAAATTACCCTGAGGGATGTACCCCACTGTAAAAAGATAACAATAGAGATTCTTGGCGTTTAATTATGACTTATAACCAAATTATAACGCTAATGCCACTATCTACAGCTTTTCTCTCAGCCTCTCATCCGAGATCGTTTCTCAATCACGTGACCATTAGGTAACGTGACCTAGAGACTATGATCCACTACATGCTAGCCAGATGAAACAACCCTTGAAAGCCACTTCTTTCTGCCAACCTTTTACCAACCCCTGAATAAGTATCTTCTGTTTCATCTTCCATGGATCTTCTTCGAATTCTTGATGGCACGCCGGAGCCACCGATCATCAACCCTGACCTCTCGCACCCTAACCTGTCGGGGGACTATTCGCTTCTCGCAGGGATGCTGGACTTTCAGAAGGAGTTAACCGACCAGATCGTATCTTCGCACTACTCCGACATCTTGAAGTTCTCAGAACTTGTCAAGACCGAGGTTTCCAAGGAAAACAGCTATCTCATCGATTCCATGAAGACAATGCACTTGAACCTCTCGCTCGTGGCGTCGCACCCCTACTTGCTCATCAAGCACTTCATGCCCAAGACCCTCACGGCCAGAGACATGCCTAACCGTTTGAAGGAGACCTCGGGGAAGTTCAAGGTCTTGGGTGACTTGATGCGCTGCATCCAGGACATTCCGGAGTTCCGGAACGTCGGCATCATCTCCCGGACTGCGAACCGCACCCACGACATGCTCGAGGCAATGTTGATTGGCTACAAGTGCAATGTGAAACGTTACGAAGGGACCACGTTGAAAAAGGAGACGCTGAAGAAAAAGACTCACGACTTTACCGTCCACGTCTTGCCCTCCACGTACGACGTGGTCAACGTGGAATTTGACTTTTCCGGCAAGTTGGACCTACTCATCTCGTTCGACATCTCCACCAACACAGAGTCGTACCAGCCACTCCTTCACCAGCGCGCCAACGGCCAGCGCGCCTCTGTCATCCGCATAATCCCCAGCAACACCGTTGACCACATTGCGCTCAACTTTCAGCCCCACGCCAAGCAATACGACGCGAGTTCCATCGGGATGGATACACTCAAGGATATCACCAATGCCGCGGTGATTCTTCGCGACAGGGTTGGCCTAATTCCCCCGGACTTGAGACCCATCTACAACACCGATTTGAAATTTCTCTCCGAGTGGTTCCGCTCGCTCGTCATGGAGCAGCCGCATGCGCCTCGCCTCGCATGGCCGCTCCCGGAGCTCCACGCAATTCCGAAGTACTCGTCCTGGGACGTGGAAAAATCACTCTTAACGGAGGTCAAGTTCGACTTCAACTACGACGAGGAGGTGGAGGGCGAGCCAACGCCGGAGCCCGCTCCTCAGAAGAACCAGACTGCTTACTATGAATCCAAACGATTGAGGAAGGACTACATTGAGAATCCTTTGAAACAGGACCCTCAGGAGTTGTCTGGGATCAATCTCAACACCAACCAGGGCGAAACCCGGCGCTTTCTCAACCCCAACGTCCTAACCCACCGTCTCATCTACGAGCTTAGTCGTGAGTACCGCCGTTTTGAGCTTGCCACAAGGGAGTTACGATCATTTGAAGACCACGAGGCTAAGCGAGCTGAGACGACACGGCAAAACACAGTTGTCCAGGCGGCGATTTTGAGAGAGATTAACGATATGAAGTTTCTGATTGAAGCGGGCAATATCAAATATGGCAAGTATGAATGCAATATCGCGGTGGCGCGGGAAAAGATCGTCAGCTTACAGGCGGAGATTCAAAAAATTAGAGATGAAGTTGGTACTGATCCCCCAAACGAAGCTGTCAAAGGATCCTCGGACAAACGGCAGGAGATTCAGAACCTGATACACATTGAGGACTTGAAGCTGGAGGTTCTTGAGGCCTCCAACCGATCCGCCAGCTTGAAACAGGAGTCAGAGTACATGTCGAATGAGATCCAACGCGCGCAGGATGCCACCCGGGACTCGGAGGCTGAAATCGTCCGTTTGGCAACGGAAAACGCAGAGCTTGAGCGGAAATTCGCGGCGTTATTCAGCGACATTGACCAGGCGGATATCAGCGAGGAGATGATAAAATTACAGACTAGCATTACTGAGCTTTCCCTCGCAAACACGGCCTTGGAAGAGAAAATGAACCAGGGGTTGACGATTTTGGTGCATAGACGAAATTAGCCTTGAATGATTGTGTTAGTGTGTATACAAGTCAACTTAGGGTATAAACGAATGCGTGTGGATGATTATGTCAGTGTATGTACCCTGATAACCATAAGGGCATACCGGAGTAGGTAAACGCATAGTGAGGACTGTTAACGCATAAGTGTGTACACAGGATAATTTATGAAGCTCGGGGTTTTTAAATCCGCATCCTATAGAGGTCCCGGGGAGAGGAAACATACCCTAAGGAGTCAAAACCTAATTTTATGTTGACTGTAACGGTTATATATGGCGGAAAGAGCTCGCCGGGGTGCTTAGAGCAGTGGAAAGGACTGGGGGCAGGTTCTGCAAAGCCCTCGTTTGTAACATGCCTGATTACGGGAAGCAGTATAAACTAAGGCTTAAATGATTCTTTAAAGATAGGTCGGCGAGAAAAGAGACAAATCTGAATGTAAGATCGTGGTATTGTATGCAACTACAGGAATATTCCACTTTTTCAAATGGATAATTAACGGAATATGCATGCAGATACTCCCAGAACGCGCGGCTGTTGCATAATTAACTCTCGTTCCAGAGGCATCGGTTGCCTAAGTACATATTAGTGAATTATTTTCCTAAGGCCTTCAATCTGTAACCTCCATATTTAAGGAGAATATGTCTTTAAAGCTTTATTTGCAAATTCCAGCCGGTAGACACTTAGGTACACCAACGATTCTCCGACCTCAACCACAAACATGTCCGAAAAAGGAGAGCAAATGCCTATCAAGGTCGACAGCAATGTCTCCCACGTTTTCGAATCAGTGGATGAATCAACGGTACCACGCACTTCCTTCCAAAACCTAGTGCATACTCCTGGAGTCTGGGGTAAGTCTCTTTACATGATACAAAACATTGATACCTTGTTTGGGATTGAAACAGGTGGATTCAAGCGCGTGCTCCCGGAAGCTAGAGAGCCAAACGTCACCAAACAACTCATTTCAGTGACCGGCTTGTGGTTTTCTGCCTGTGGCGGGCTTACCTCCATGGAGTCTTTCCTCCTCGGTTCCCTCTTGTTCAATTTGGGATTGAAACAGTCCATGACTGTGGGTATCATCACTCAAGCAATTGGTTGCTTTGTTGCCGCATATGCTTCCACTATGGGTCCAAAGTCCGGATTAAGACAAATCGTCTCTACTCGCTTCGTTCTCGGGTGGTGGCTCGTTCGTTTCGGTGCTTTGGTCAACATCGTTGGGCTCGCTGGTTGGAGTATTGTTAACGCGGTTATCGGTGGTCAGATCTTACAAACCGTCTCGGGCGATCAAATTAACTTGGTGTTGGGAATTGTCTTGCTTTCGGTATTTGCCTTCCTTGTGGCTGTGTTTGGTATTAGATACTTGCTCAAGGTGGAAACTATCTTTGCAATTCCCGTTTTTATCTCGATCATATTGATGTACGTTGTCTGCTCCGACAAGTACCAGTATGCCTCCAACACAAACATGACATCCAGCCCGAGCGAGCTCGTTGGTAACTCCTTGTCATATGCTGCGATCGGTTATACCGTTACCGGGTCCTGGAGTGGTATTACTTCCGATTACTACGTTCTCTTTCCAGAGAAGACGCCGTCGTCGCACATTTTTACCGTCACCTTCCTCGGTCTTCTCATCCCTACCACTTTTGTCGCGGTGATCGGTACGTATATCGGGAACATTGCGCTCAACTACCCACCGTGGCTAGATGAGTACAACATTAATGGTATTGGTGGATTGATCAACATAGTCTTTGCTGGTAGATGGCACGGACTCGGCAAATTCTTGGTGGTAATTCTTTTTGTTTCCTTGATTGCCAATTCCGTTTTGAACCTATACAGTTTTGCCTTCAGTGTCCAGATGACCATTTCTTACTGCGGGAAGGTTCCGAGATGGATGTGGACGTTTGCCATCTCCGCTATTACCCTTATCTGCGCATTAGCAGGTAGAAACAAAGCCTCTATTATTTTGAGCAACATGTTGCCGATGTTAGGCTACTGGACATCCATGTACATGACGTTGTTAGCGGAAGAGAACCTCATTTTCCGCACCAAGTGGTTCCACCACTTGTACACCAAGGAGAACGAAGACAGAATAGACAGAGAGAAGGCTTCTGGTGAGATCAGCGCTGTTTCCTACTACAACTGGGCCGTATGGAACGACCGAACCAAGGTGACTAACGGATTGGCTGCCGGTGCGGCCATTTCCTGTGGGATTGTGGGGGCAGTTTTGGGCATGGACCAAGTGTACTTTGTCGGGCCGTTAGCTGTCAAGGCTGCTGGTGATGTGGGTATCTGGGTGTCGGTGGGAATGGTAGGAGTCGTCTATCCTGGGCTTAGATTCTTGGAGTTGAAGAAATTTGGGCGTTAGCCCAGAGGTTTGCCGTAAACTAAGAAATTTCCAATGATCTTTAGCGATCGTGTTTATTATGTGAATGTCTAAAGTTTATGGATTGTCTACCGGCAAGAGGTTGGGAACTATTAGCTTTTTCGCCGATGTAGTAGATTAGATACCCACCATTGGAAACACAAGACTGAAATCCAGATTACACGATTGGTAATAACCAGTATGCCCTCTCCGTATATCCATATATTAAAGTTCCGAGCTCCTTTGTGTTGTAGCTAATATTTTTTTAATCCGGTTTATCCCTTTCCACCTAGTTATTCTGCTAGATCAATACATTTGGACATTAACTGTGACGGTTGCCGTTGTTGTTACTGGCAGCTGATTGGTGGTGTGCCAATACATTTTTGCCGTGAGACGCTTCACTTAATATTTATTCCGTTGCATTCTTTCCGACCGGACTTTAAGCTTCGCCAGACCGTGAATACGGAAATGCATATAGCTAGCAGGCTAGAAGCATTCGAATTAATAACACATAAACCGAAATTCAGATTCATTTGAAGTCTAATCAGTGGTCGGATCAATAAAACCTTGGCTGGCAATAATGTAGAACTTATTTGGTTCGTGCCCCCTGTCAACATCTCGTATTTAACAGCTTGATGCGAGATTTCTAATGCTAACGCGCATCTCTCGCATGCGCGTGCGCGTCGCGAAAATTTCTCCACTCTTAAACACGCCATTTAAACAACAACCAAACACGGCAATTCTTTTGCTGCAAAGCCTTTGACGACTCGCAATGAACCACACTGACGAGAATCCGGGATATCTCCAGACAGACCCAAGGCCCGCGCCTAGAACCCCGGAACGCGTCCGTCCCGCTGACTTCGGGCCTGACTCGCATGTGGCACCTCCTAGCCCAACGCTCTCTGAACCGCGAACCCCACGCGCGCCACCCAGCCCGACGTTATCAGAATCACCGGTCACATCTCCGCGCTTAAGCGCGCTGGCCCCCCCCGTGCGCAAGAAGCGCGGTCCATACAAGAAGAGCACGAAGAAGCGGAAACGCGCGTACACGACACCGCTCGAGATGCCGATGGAGCGGAAGGGGAACTGGGTCACCAAATACATGGTCCCTAGTTTGTTTGAGAATCCGCGCCCGGTGAGCGAGGACTTCGAAGCGACGCTTTTCGGGCTCTACAGCGCTAAGCGCGCGCGCGTGAGCGTGAGGTACGGGGCGGAAGTCAAGGACACGATGGCAGCCCTCGGGCGGGCGGCTGACGCAGCGCCGCTCGAGTTTATGCCGCTCCCCACGACGCAGCGGATTTTGTCGGAATATCTTCCAGGCGATGTTCAGGAGTTCCCCTCGTGCCCTAAGGCATGCTCATTGTTTGTGGGTGAGTACGACGGCGAAAAGTGTACGGTATGCGGAATGGCAAAGGACCCGACAATGTCGCTCAAGTACAACAAAATCTCTGTCTGGGTACAGTCAATGCTCGCGAACGCGCAGCTCGCGCCTCTTCTCCATGCGCATGAGTCGGAAGACGCGCGCGATACTCAAACCGTCGACTCTTTCTACACTTCTGACACCTACCATGATTTGAAAGCTCTCAAGGACAAACACGGTACCGCATACTACACGGACTTTACGGTCACGCTCATGTTACAGATGGGCGCGGGCCAGTGGTCGCCGCGGAGCAACTCACAGTTCTGGACCGTTTCGCTTATCAACCTCAACCTCCCGGAAGCCCTCAGACAGAAGGAGGAACTTTCGCATATTCTCTTCTCTATTGGCGGGTTCCCCGAGCGGTTGGAGCTGTACCTTTTACCGGTGCACGACGAGTTAGAAGAGCTCAGCGAGAACGGGTTCATGACGTACGATGCGTCGCTTGGGCGCGAGGTGCGGGTGCGGGTAGTGCTCGCAGGTGTCAGTGGCACTTTCCCCACGCTATGCGTGCCGCACGGCGTGTGTCGTGATTGCGGCTCGACGCGCCACACGCAGCGTAGTAGCGGCTGGCTTAAATGCACAGCACACCTCCATCGTCAGCTCATGGATGAATCCCAGCAGACCAATAAGATCAGTGCAGCGGCGCTCGATAACAGCGACGCTGGTACCGGCGCATACGCGCCGCTTCTCGCGCTCCGATCCATCTCGCTGCGCTCATTTGTGCCGGACCTCAAGCTCGTGCTTCACGAGCGGTGTATGGGTGCGGTGCTCAACCTTCTCGGCGGGTTTCTGAACGCTCCGCTCCTCCCGTCACAGAGTGCCGAGGTGTTTGGGCCGACGTGTGATGAGTGGTACGTCGTGCAAACGCGTCTCGCGCGTGCGATGTGGCCCGCAGTTTTGGGGCCACTCCCCAAATTAAGCGAAGCGTACTCCGCGGAGCACTTTGATACCGCCTTGATGCTTCTTCCGATTATCTTGGAGCACCTCTCGGTGTCGGATGACCTCAAGGCGGTGCTCTATGACTTTTGCGCCATTGCACGGTACCTCCAAGCCCTGTCGTTGACCACAGAGAAGCTCCGGTTTTTAAAGTACACGGCATTGCCACGGTTCGCGGCGAGGTTCGAGCGTGCAACGTGCCACTTCGGGGTTGAGTCGCTGCAGGGGCGCATCCTGACGCTTCAGCTTTTGGGTGTGCCGTTCCAGCACTTGGACGCGCTTGTGGACGCATACCTTGAGTTCGGGCCCCTTCGTGGCTACTGGGGCTACGGCAACGACCACCTTTGCGAGGTGGTTACGCGCACGCAGCGCCGTGTGAAGAAGCGCCAGTCAATCGTCTACCGCACACCACTCCTCTCGCGATACAACTTGCTCCGCAACATTGGTCTTGTTTCGCCGACCTGGGACTATTTCCGCTCCGAGACCGTCCAGAGCGGGAGTCTAGCAGACCCAATCACGTTTGCCAGCAAGAAGTACCACTACCGCATCGCCGCGGCGCTCAAGTACCTGCACCCAGAACACAAGCTGGTTAGGCGGATTCTCGACACAGGGTTTGATGTTACGGGCTATGCTTCCGGCATGACCGTGTTGAGGAACCAAACGGTACCACTCACTACGGACTCTGTGGTGAAGTTTGTGCGTGCGGGGCAGCAGGCGTTTGGTGTCGTGCGCGCGTTCGTCACGGTAAAGTTTGCAGAACATATAGATTCATTCTGTTTGGTTGATGAGTACACTGACATTTCGATAAAGGGCCATACCCTTGAGGATGACGACCACGAGTTTCCTCTATTTAGATCGCGGAAGGACACACCGGAGGGCCTTAAGCCAGAATGTCTCGAGTTAGACGAGATCGTGCGGCCGATGGGGGTGGTATATCTTCCGGGAGAGGAACAGCAGGACATTATGTATTTCTTTCAAAAGTAATATCTTTGGTGCTGCTAAAGCTATGGGTTCTCGGAGCATGACTCAGGGGCGTGACTATAGATTTATTTAGTGTCTGCGGTGTGCAAATGATACGACTAAAATGATGCCATTATTCGTGTGTAGCTCCATTAGATCTGATCCTCAGTGGTTCCTTTAATCGGACTTAACCCTTTTTCACAAAGTCGTACTTGTTCTGGATACCATGTGCTACCCCACTGGAGTATTTTTACAATCCACGTGCTTTATTTACTTAGATTAGGTGATAAATGGGTGAACATCAGAATACCCTGTGGTTCAAGGATGGAGAAATGCCCTTTTACTATAGGAACAAGGAAACAAAGACCTGGCTTCGTCTCACCCCCAGAGCAGAAAATTTAGATCATGTCCTTTCCGACAACGGGTTAGCCTAACCATTACCGGCCACCGAAAGAGATGCGAAGTTTGCCGTCAAAAAGTTCGTCCGCCGTTCCAAACTTTGTGCTTGTTGAATTTGAGCCAATCAAGTTGCAGATCGCTCAAGACACTTTTTAGATTGTGTATCATCGACAGTAATAAGGACCAAAAGCTCGCCTTGATCCCACCAGAGGAGCCACTGAAGGTATCGTTACTAAAAAACAGACAATAGAACGGTGCCAGAGACATGTTGAGAAGTGAGTATAACGACTTAATCTGGAATGAGGCTGCCCTATATCTCCAGGAGACATTACCAACACTTCGATCGGTATTCAATTGGCTGGTAAGAGATTCCACAATGTGGTTTTGAATGTCAGCCAATACTTAGACGACAACTGCAAGGGTAATATCTAAGTTTTAGTGAATGTCGGCTGCTTGGTAAACAAAGGATCTTAACCGCTGTAGCTTACAAGTTCAATGCCTGCGCCTGAGTTTTAATATACCCCAAAAATAAATACATCACTCGTAATTGTGTTTGTAGTGGTGATATGCTTATGAAATGATATCTTTTGGATAATGAATTGCTGTATGTGTTCTGGGAGTAATTCCAAAGCTTTTGGTATATTAGAAAAGTAGCCTGCGAATCTGTGGCAGTGTGCGGAGCCACAAGGAAGTTCCGAGGGTTGAGAATCAGTTGCAGCCTATGGCTTTCATAATTCTCTAAATTTTTACAATGCTATTCGTGTTACCGACTTAGGGTTGTTTCAACTTGTTTGTATGGGATATGCGACGAATAGAGGTTTTCAGTTGATTTGTCTGTGGGGAACACAAGGGACTAATGTACCCATGCTAGTTATCAATATCCTGCATTTAACTCGCAAATGGCTGCCGTTAGGGTGCGTGGGGGCTTTAAGAGCTTAGTGGGGGTATACAAGTGCTAGTGGCGTATTATCGAACTGTATCGATACTGTGGACAGGGGACCAGACCCGCAGTTGGTTTCCCACGCTCCCATTCGGCTCTGACCCAGGCTCTGGTATCCAACTTGAACCATACCAAAAAAAAGGTATACCTTTACGTTTTCACACCCGATGGCTATTAAAATAGAACTAAGAACCTGAAATATGTCACCAGTACATAAAAACAGCTTTTATCTGTGCCTTTACTGGTATCAAGGATAGCATCGGGCGTATTCTAAAACTGGGCTAAGGAGACTACAGTAGTGATACTCTGGTGGACATTCATCTTTGAGAATAGTCAAAATTGAACCTACAACACAGAAGCAAAATGTCTGATATATCTAGAGAAGTACTATTAAACGCAAATCCTTTTGGGTCAGGTATTAGTGACCCTTATCGGCTATTTACACTCGTTTTCAGCGAGACCTGTTATCCAGCCTATATGCCAGCCCCTTAACGCCACACATATTTCCTAATCAGGCAAGTAAACCCCAATTTTTCACTCCGCGTCTGGCCTCAGCGGCATTTTAACCAGATAAGGATGCAGATGTGGGGGGGGGAGAAGCCGCGCGCATCGCTTCCTCTCTTTCCGAGGAGGGGAATAGTGAAGCTCGAATCCTTGTAAAGTACTTAAGTGGCTCCTTCCCCCATTCCAAGACTGTCGAATAAAAACCTCACATACACACTATTACCCCCCTAACCTTTACTTTATACTATGACTGCCAGCATTAACTTTATTCCAAAGGTGAAAGACACATACAACAAGGAGTTGTTTGAGACTGAATGGGTGCCTAGAATCAAGAAATACCAGGAAGCGTTGGCAGCCTCGATTCCAAAGGAATTGGCCTTGGATGAATCCCAGATCCCATCTGACTTGGACACTAAAGCTTTCAATGCCATCCAGTTCATGTACGACCAAAAGCTCTTGACTGAGAAGGAGTTTGCCTTCACAGATTTGAAGTGTGTGGACTTGGCAGCCAAGATTGCCAGCGGTGAATTGACGTCTGTGGAGGTTTTCAAGGCCTTTGCTAAGAAAGCCGTCATCTGCCACCAGTTCACTCACTGTGCCAACGAATTTTTCATTGACGAGGGTTTGGCCAGAGCCAAGGAATTGGACGCTTACTTTGCCGAGCACGGTAAGACCGTGGGTCCGTTCCACGGGTTGCCAATCTCATTGAAGGAACAGTTGGGCTATAAGGGAAAAATTACCCACGCTGGTTACGTTGCCAAGTTGGTTAACGTTCCAGAAGAGTCTGCCGTGACCATCCAGATCTTGGAAAAATTGGGCGGTGTCTTCTACATCAGAACCGTACAGCCACAGACGTTGATGCATTTGGATTCTATGAACAACATCACCGGGAGAGCCAGAAACCCATACAACTCCACCTTGTCCCCCGGTGGCTCCTCTTCGGGTGAGGGTTCTATCTCTGCCTTCAGAGCGGCTGCCTTGTCTGTGGGTACCGATATTGGTGGTTCTGTTCGTGGTCCAGCTGCATTTTCTGGCTCTCAGGGGTTGAGATGCACCACTAGAAGAGTTTCTACGTTGGGTGGGCTTTCGAGCGGTCTTGGCCAGGAGTCGGTGTTGGGGATTGCTGGCCCAATGTCTACCCACATTGACGATTTAAGATTTTTCATGGAAAACTACATCAACCTTGGTAAGCCATGGGAGTATGATGCTTGGAGTTTGCCAATCCCATGGAGAACCGGTCTTGTGCCAGGTAAGGACCAGAAGAAGGTGAAGATTGCCATCATGTATGATGATGAGGTCGTCAAGCCGTTGCCTCCGATTGAAAGAGGGTTGAAGTACGCCGCGGAGAAGTTGGGTAAGGTGTCGAACATCGAACTTGTGGAGTTCAAGCCAATTAAGACCCAGTTGGCCAACGAAACTGTTCTTAAGTTGTACTCGATCGACGGTAACTATAGACAAAAGTCACTTCTTGCCCCTTCAGGCGAGCCAATGGTGTACTTGAGCAAATGGTCTTTATCTTACGGCGACGGTGACGAAGCTGGATCTGTCACCGACAACAGAAACTTAAACTCCACCAGGGACTCGTTGAGAAACGAGTACAACAAGTTCATGGTGGACAACCAGATCGACTTCATCTTGACTGCCAACTACAACAATGTGGCTCCTAAGCCAGAAAGAATTTATAACTGGTCCTACACCAGTTTGTTCAACCTTTTGGACATGCCTGCTTTGGCCTTCCAAACTGGATTATTCCAGGACCCAACGGTGGACGTGATCAAAAAGCCAAGAACAAAGTTCAGATCTGATGTTGAAGAATTGGAGTGGTCGTTGTACAACCCGGAAGACTTCAGAGGCGCTCCGATTGCTTTGCAGCTTGTGGGGAGAAGATACTTCGACGAAGAGGTGCTTAACGGTGGGCAGTACGTGTTTGATATCTTGAACCAGCATTAGACTGAGGGAGGGATTCCAAGAGGATTACAATCTGATCTATAATGCATTATAGCTGATGAGTATAATTTGAGCCAACCGGACGTATCTACGTTGGGTATATGTATGATACATATAGTCAGATGTAGCCTCGTAGGTTCAGTAAAGTTCTGATTTTAGCGTCAAACCTTCATCATAAATTATTAAGGACATAGGGGTCGTGAGCGTCCATTTGTATTTATCTACAAATAGAACATAATTATTTAAGAATATTATTTTGATTGCATTGAAAATTTCAACTATTGAACAACCGCCTAGGGTTTCCTAGTATTCTAGGTACACGGGAACTAACCACTCACCGCTCTTTTTGTGCAACACACCATTAAACTTCTTTGCAAGTTGCCCGCCGCTCGACGAGGGCTGTGAAAAGGCAATCTGCTGCCTTTTAATCATTGCAATCCCGTATATCGAATGTGCCTGGATCAACCGGAGCATTTTCGCAGCAATTTGATTGCGTCTGTACTTTTTCATCACAAAAATTCGAGAGATACCCACCAAAATGGGAAATTCTTGGTTGGGGATAACCTGACCCGTTCGGAGAATCATCCACCGACCAGTGCTTTTCGTTTCGGGAAACGATGTTTCGAAGCTAACTAAACCAATTACCTTTGCACGCAAAACGCAAACATATACTTTACCCCGGGCCAGCAGGGGTTTTGACAGGCTTGGAGTCTTTTGGAGCTTCCAGAATCCGCTATCCTGGGGTGCATTTAGCTCGACATTAGCCAAATGTAACAACTCGTCGCCTACTCTTACCTCGGTTTTCTTCAGGGGATCGATTTCCAACACCGCCACAACCTGGCTGGCCCCTTTGGCGACTTGGATGCTGAAACTCCCCACCTCTTTCCCCCAGCTGTCTTGCCAGTCACGTCCGTTGACCGCACGGTCGTGGTGTTTCGCGTGTACTTGCCGGTCCAATGGGAGATGGGATCGGTACGACATATTACAATCGGGGCACGTTTTTTGTAAATTTGGCACGTTTAACGCGAGGTATGACTGCACCATAGAAGTACCTTTGGAGACGGTATCTACAAGACGGGGACTATCTCGCAGCCGCATAGGAGAGCTGGCAAGAGATTCAGGAGGGGAAGGGTGGGAAACATTGCTAGTTGAATTTGTATCGCTTATGGGCTCACTTGTGGGTACCTCGCTTTGAGAAGAGATGTCCGATGGTGGAGGGGTGGAGATCGCGTCACGCTTTGACGCGTCCGTACGCGATCTCTTTACCGCGCGCATCTCTTTCTCGTTAGCGATATTTTCACTGGCTATTGTTTTGGAATGAGATTCTAGCAACGTGAATACATCCCGCTTTGTGTTTCTAGTGTTCATGGTATGAGAGTTGTGGATCAATCTATATCATAGACTTATGACAGACTGACGCGTTTTGTAGGCGCTGCAAGACATGCCCATTTCCATTTCGCGCCAGTCACGTGCGAGTAACTGGCCAGGGAGTGTAGTGGGGAAGATTCAAGATCTAGAAGGGTACGCTAGATCCAAATATTATGCCTAAAGCTGAAGTTGTTTTAGCTAGCGACTTGACCGAAGGCTTACAGAGCACCCTTTCCGCACCAAATTGGGTAATATCATTAACACAGGTGGATGTCACTTTAGATACGACTATCCTGTAAACGGAGGCTGTTTGCCCTTTGGTCTTGTATACTGAATTATTTCACCGTACCAACCAGGCCTCTCGCATAGCTATATAACATGTTAAGGGAAGGGGGAGGTCCTTTGACACATGACAAACAGTTACTATTTTTGATGTATAAATTTCCTCGAGATAGCACATCCTATTTACAACATGTATCCAACTCACAGACTATGTCCCAGCCGTAGTTTAATTCTTCGCCGCGACTTTTCAGGCTATACGTCTAACCTCAGCCCCAGGCTACCCATGCCTCGCGTGGCGGGTGTGGCGCATCCTGTACTGAAACTTGTGGCGCCAGTTGGCGGCAAGTCAAATTGCGCCCCTTAAAACTTATACTCCTAGACCAACCCGACGCCTCACTAACACACAATGAAGTCTCCATTGATTGCCGTCCCACTCAAAAAGACCGAGCCGACGGACTGGAGTCACCCGTTAAAGTCTTACCTCCGCAGCCACTATGGCGGCGTGCTCGACCTTGAAGCCAATATCGAGCAGTTCCAGCGCCTGCGCACCGACTTGCAGGGTGCCAACGCGGACGCCACGGGGCGTGACATCTACTACCGGTACTATGGCCAGTTGGAGTTGCTCGATCTTCGCTTGGTGAGTTCTGCGCTCCCGAAGATCGAGTTCACCTGGCACGATGCGTTCCTCCCGACTGAATCTGCGCGCCAATCCACGTTTGCGTTTGAAAAGGCCAACATTTTGTTCAATCTTGGCGCTATTCTCTCGAAAATCGGTCACGATGCCATGTGTGACGGCAATTTCAAGGATGCGTACGCGGCGTACCAACAGGCCGCGGGGGTCTTTGAATACGTTGGCGAGAGCTTCTTGCACGCGCCGTCAGTTGATTTGCACGTGGACACTGTCAAGTCGTTGGCGAAGCTCATGCTTGCGCAGGCCCAAGAGGTATTTATTCTCAAGATGGTGGGCGAGGGCAAAACCGTGACGGCGTTGTTCCCGCGCTTGCTCCAGTGCTGCGCGGCGTTGTACCGCGCCGCGCACGAGCAGCTCACAACTGCGAATGCCACGCGCGTGGTGGTTGCGACGAACTTGCTTCAATACGTCTATATCAAGGCGCATTTTTACGTTGCGGCGGTCAATTATCACCAGGCATTGGTCTTGGAGACCAGTAAGCCTGGCGAGGCAATCGCCTATCTTAAGGCTGCTTCCTCCGCGTTGAAGGACCACTGCAACGAATACACGTTGGTGGCGGAGTACAAGCCATTTCAGGAAACGCTCAAGGATTACAACGAGCTAATCCACACGACATTAGCCCGTTTAGAAAAGGACAATGACTTTGTGTACCACGCGGTGGTTCCAGCCGCGACCAGTTTACCGGAAATCAAGCCCATGGAGTCTGCAAAAGCCCTCCCATTGACACAGCACCCGGTGTTTATTGCACTCAACCTGGAGATGCGCGACTTATTTGAGAAGATTATCCCCTTGGACGTGCACGAGTTGAATAGTTTGTATTCCGAGGAGAAGGCGCAGTTGATCCGCGATGAGAGCGAGGCCATTGATGTAAGCAATGAGATGTTGGCATCGATCTTTGAGTACTTGAATTTGCCCAAGGCGCTCCACGAGATTAAGCACAGGCAGACGGAGGATGAGACGGACCCCCAGGTGTTATCGATGGCGTATGAGATCAGCCACGGGGCGAATTTGTTTGATGAAAGGGACAAGACTGAGTATTCCAAGAAAAGGGTGTATGACCTGCTTGCTGAGGCGGAGACGAAGCTCCGGGGTGTGCCTGAGGGAGAGCGGTTCAGACAGGAGTTGACCGGGATCAAGAAGTCGTTGTTGGAGGCCACGGAAAACGACGCAAAGTTGTCAGAGGCTCTTAAGGAGGTTGAGGCTGACTTACGGTTTATCCTCAAGCACGGAAGGGATGAGGAGGCAATGAAGAAGTACTATCTGGGAGGGGAAGCTGACGTGAGCTTGCTTGACATGGAGCAAAGTAGCACTCTTGAGGTCAAAATTAGTGCTCTTGAGACCCACATGTTGGATCTTACCAATCTTCGTAAGGAGCGCACAAAGCTCTACGATTCGTTGAAACAGATGACGATGGATGACGACATCTCCCAGATCCTCATTCTTAACAAGAAGGCTCTCGCCACCAACGTAGGCTTGCAGGCGACAATTTTCCAGGACGCGTTGCTCAAGTACAAACCGTACCAGGACCGCATCAACCTCAACATTGCAAAACAATCGCAGTTGATCTCAGCCTTGAAGCGCGTCTGGAACGAAATCCTTGCCGAGCCATCCATAAAGCAGTACCAGACAGCCAGTCAGGCGCGCACGTTACAGGCGCAGACTGCGTTTCAGCGCGTTCTGCTGGCGTACCAGGTCTGGCAGGCTGTTGCTCTGGGCATCTCCCAGGGCGCTCTGTACTACACGCAGCTCCTTGGGCTTGTTAAGTCACTTGGGGAAAATATCGATGCCTCCGCCAGACGCGCCAGTGCCACAGCTCCTAATGTTGGAGATCTTTCTGCTCGTCTCTCGCTGTTGAGTGTGAACGAGTCACCCCGTTCGCTGTTGAGCGGGGGTATTCCATCTCTTCCCAGTCGTCCGGATAAGCCGTTCCAACAAGGCAGCTATCAAAACCAGTACCAAGCTCCTCCGACCCAGGCTTCTCAGTACCATGCTCCTCCGGCTCAGACTTCCCAATATCTGGCTCCTCAGTTATCTCTGTACCAGTCTCCTCAGCAGTATCTGAATCAGCCATCCCAGTCTTCTCAACAGCCCCTGTACCAGACTCAACCCTATCAGATTCAACCGCAACAGGCCCTCGGTCATTCACAGCCGCCCCGGGACCAACCACAAGGACCTGGGTTGATCTACAACGAACCAAGTGTATTTGACAGAAGTTTGTACACATCATATTCGAATACTTCGCAGCCACAGCCAGCACAACCACCACAGCAGCCTCCATATGATGGAAACACCTATGACACAAGCAAGTTTCACTCTCCGTATTAAGCCGTGCAGGGGATTTTGCTAACCATGGAGGGCATGTGTTTATATCATTATGAAAGCAAGACCTGTAGAGGAAAGCAATGATTATACGTTAACTGTATTATGAAATCTGGCGTAGAGTAAATCCAGTTGTATTTCACCCTTGTGTAACTACAAATTCCCTAACTAGCCCAGGGATATTTAGGCCCATGCGTAACTAAGATGATAGATATATTCGTTTGAGTAACGATACGTCAATTACAGTCACAAAACTGCTCTGTTTAAATCTTCCGCTTGGCAACTTCCAATTTAGTAAGTTTACGACTCCAACCTCAATGTGACCGATCCATGGCACCTCCATGAGTTAAACTAGATTGTGTGCCTCTTGGATCAAACCGCAGCTTGCCCGGCGAAAGCTACAAAATTCTTTATGAAATGCATTGCGAACCAACACTACAGACTCTTGTTATCATACTATTGGATCTATTACTAGCTAGAGGCTTATTTTTCAACGAACGAAACGCCCTTGGCAACGTTACCCTTCAAGGTGACCTTAGCGATTTCAAACAAGGCCTTTTCTTCATCGTTCAACTGGTCCAAGATCTGGTACTTGATCTCTTCGACACCCTTGGCGCCGAATTTAACTGGCAAGGAGACAAAGTCCAACTCACCGCCCAACTTGGCCCTGGCCTCCTTAGCACCAGCGATGCTTTCGTCCAAGTAGACGAAAGTGCACTCCACGACATCGGAAGCACCGGTGATGGCTTCAATGATGCGTTCGGCCAACTTGTAACCGGCGTAGGCCATAGACAAAGTGGCCGAGCCTGCACCGTTCTTCGCTTGGACAACTTCGTCACCACCGAACTGGACTCTGTGGACGAGCTTGGCCTTGGCGTCGGCATCCAACTTGGCGTACAAGCTTGGGGTGCCGACAGAGAAGACTGGGACAATGGTTTCACCGGAGTGGCCACCGATGACTGGGACGTTGATGTTGGAGACGTTGGCGTCGGTCAAAGTGGAGATGAAAGTGTTAGCACGGACAATGTCCAAGGTGGTGACACCGAGAACCTTTCTTGGGTTAAAGACACCCTTGGCCTTCAAGACAGAGGCAAAGATTGGAACGGTGGAGTTGACTGGGTTAGAGATAACGAGCACGAAGGCGTCTGGACAGTATTCGGCGACACCCTCAGCTAAGGTCTTGACGATCCCGGCGTTGATGTTGAACAAATCGTCTCTGGTCATACCTGGCTTTCTTGGAACACCGGCTGGAATGATGACTATCTGGGAGCCCTTCAAGGAAAAAGCCAAACCGTCGTTCTTATCACCTGGCACGAAAGCGCTGGTTTCAGCTGGGGTGGAGATGTGAGACAAGTCAGCACCGACACCTGGCGCATTGACGACATCGTAGAGTGACAACTGGGTGATCTTAGGGTTAAGCTTGAGCAAAAGAGAAAGTGGTTGACCGATACCACCGGCAGCACCGCAGACTGTGACCTTCATTATATATATATCTGTGTGTGTGTAAAAAGTTAGTTAGGCTAAATTGGCTTGCAATTGAGTTAAAGGGAAGAGCAAAAGGAATGAAAATGATCTGGGGCGCGCGCTCTTATATAGCTGGAAAATTGACGCCCGACTCCGGAGGGGCTTGAAGGGAGCAATATCCTCACATGGTGCCAGCTGCCCCTCGGAAGGGGGGGGGGAGCGGATGTTGGGGACGCCGGGTCGGTGCAGGATACCCCATAGCCTTACTATGGAGAACTTTAGTGGCTGTATTTACCCCACGTAGTGGGACGATTTGGAATTACCTCACAATTCCCTCCGAAGTTCCGAGTACGGCGTAGAAGGTTGGTGCAACTTTTTACCATTATTAACCGATTCTTATAATTCCGGCGTACTTTCCTTTACAGTTGATGCATTTCCCCGGGTTTAGTGAGATAAGACTACTCAGGAAAAACATTTGCGGTTCGGAGACACAAAGTGATCGAAGGGAAGTCTGGGGGTGTATGGGTGAATTCATAAGAGATTGGGAATACGTGTCCCGGGTTTTCCCATCAGGTACATGCAACATCCCACCTGTCCGATTTCCCCCGGGTAGCTGCCCGAGATAAAAACGCACATGCACTACCGCTAACTACATATCGCTTATGTAAGAGACAAACCATAAAGCGTACCAAGTACTTTTACATATGATGGAGGCAGAAGGCACGATCGCAGGCGCTTTATTCGACTCTATGAAATAATAAATATAGATATATATATATATATTATAATTACCATTTTATAAATACAAACATAGAGACGGTCCTAAAATTTGAATTCACGTTCATCAATATTAAGCGAGATATACAATGCTAGCTTTAACCGCTGAAATGTCAAGATCGACACTCTGACCCCTCCACAAAGCTCAACTTATATCAACACATCGTCATCATCATCAAGTTCGAGCTGACAAGAATGGGCCAAATCATCGCCGCCATAGTCGGCGCTTCTTCTGGCGTTGCTATGGCGCACCTCACGTCTGTGGGGAGACAACATGTGGTTTAACTCACTGAAAAACGGCAGCTGGAGGGCTTCCAGGGCAGTGACACGTTTGCGCGGATCCATCTCGAAGCAGCCGTCGAGTAACTCGAGCGCTCCGCTATAATCCAGCGATAGCTGCCTGAATCTGTCCACTACCTCTTCAGTCTCCCCAGCATTCGGGTCGTCTAGGGCGGCCGCCTTTTGGTTCTTGGTGAACGTTTCCTGGTCTACCAAGTCGCCATTGACATCCAACACCTGTAACACCTCGTAGGCCACACTATCCTTTGGCAAGGTATCATTAACCCGCTCGTTATTCACCGTCCAGTGAATGAGCTGCCCCATCAGATAACCGCTGCCACGGCTCATTCCCGGGATGCTCGTTTCCAAGCCCAACCCGTGCAAGCGGGCACACTTCTTCAACACCCCTAAACCAAAAATCATCGTCAACTCGCAGAGAGCATCGATATCATCGGGAGAGTTGAAGAAGGGGAACCGCCTAGTGAGCAAACTAAGAAGAATCACACCCGCAGACCAGATGTCGATCTGAGTGGATTGGTTTGAGCATTTGAATAAAACCTCTGGCGCCCTGAAGCCCCTCGTACCAGCCCTGTTTGCCCTTCTACCGGGCCTGGTGTCGTCTTTCGGATACCCCTGGATCGAATAAGAGTTGATCTTGATGATTTCGTCGGCAGAGGGGCCACCCACAAGACAGGGACACATCTTCCAGCTGTTGCCAGAAGCGTGCGCAGGCAGCGCCATCTGTTCTGCAAGACCAAAATCCAACAAAACACCCTTACGTTTGAACGGATCATATAAGAAGTTGGTGGGCTTGATGTCACGGTGGATGATCTTCTTGGCATGGATAAAGTCAAGGGCCAGAAGAAGCTCAAACATGTAGATCTTGATCCCTTCAATCGGCAAGTCCCGGTAGAAATCACGGAAGTCGGAATGTTCATAGAACGGCGTAACTGCAACCACCTGGTCCTGGTAGCGAAGAATATCGAGAAGTGTGGCCACACGTGAACACCCTTCGAGCATGTACAAAAGCATGAGCTCATTGTGAATGCGCTGGGGAGAAGAGGTAACATAGATTCGCTTGAGAGCAACTACAGGTGTCTTGACAACCATATTACTGCCTCTAAGACTTTCCTTTGCACCATTTTTGCGCAAAGGAGGAGATTGCCAGCCACCGATGCCTGTGCTGTCATCCACCGTCACGGAGCTTTTCAATGCTTCGGCTTTGTACACAGACGAGAATGTGCCTTCCCCGATCTTGTCCATAAGACGATACTTTTCTGTTAAACCCTTGAACGATTTCTCGAACCCAAGCATCTCTTCGAGGATCTCTTCGGGAATTTCAGCCTCTTCGGGTTCAACATCCGGGCCGGGATGGTTGAATGGTTCGATTTCAGCGATCGGTGGAGCAGGGGCTGCTTCAGGCTCGACAGAGCTTTCTTCTTTGTCTGTCTCATCATCGGGAGGAGTAGTTTGGCGAAGCGGGGTGTGGTTTTCATTTTTTTTCGATTTAATCTCATTCGATGCAAGTACTAGTCTGGTTTGGGGCTCTTGCTCAGCTTTTGCAGGTGTGGCAGAATCGGTTCTAATCGAAGTCAGCTCCGAGGATACACTGTTTTCAACACCAACGTTGACATTACCAGAATTCGGTTTGTCCACTCCAACAAGGTCAACTGGCAATATAACAGGAACCGAAGCGTGTGCGTCAATGCTGGCGGGTACAACCAAAGGTACAGTAGCCACACCCGCAGAAAGTTCACTGGAGTTGGCAATTTCAAGAGTTTCAGGTTGACCTTGGATTGGAGTAATACCGTCGGTGATAATAGCACCAGCGACTTTGGGAATCTGATCAAGACCAATATCCGACGTAGTGTTATTAATATCCATAGCAGTATCCTCAACAGAGGCGGCAGTGTCTGTTTTCCTAGCACCATGAAGCAGGGGTTCGATCAGGGTTGGGTTTGTGATGTCCAGCTTCTCAGTTTGTTTGCTAACAACGATAGGAATGTTCTCTTTGTCAGCATCCGCGACGACAGGGACGGGGATAATTTCTTTTCTTCGCCCAACCGCAGAAACAGGAATGGTCTCCTTACCCAGCTCTGTGGCGAGGGAGCTATTAGAGACATTTGTATTTTCCTTTCTGGCAACCTTTACAGGAATCAAGCCAAGGTTCGTATAGGGCCTGTGCGCAAGTTTCAGGGGAGAAGGCGCACCAGTGGCAACCTGGATGGGAGAAAGCTCTTTCTGCGAAACCACAGCAGGAGAACACTCGGTGTAGACCTTACCACATGTCACAGGGGTTCGGCTCGGTCTCACGTAGAACGGAGAAACCATTGGCCTGAAGACCCGACCAACCGATTTCTTTGGAGTAACGTCGACAGCATGTGGCTGACTCGTTTCAGACGAAGGGTTTAAGCCTTCTGCCAGATGAACTTCTTTTTTCTCCGTTCGTGTATCGGCAGCAACAGCTACCCGCAGGCGAAAGATTGGATTAGGAACATGCTGGTATAATGTGGTTGCGTCTATGGCGTCGTTACCTGGCAAAATTTCGTTAAACTGGAGCTTTCTGTGACGTTTCGGAGCTGACCCGAGGTTTTCTCGCAATGAATGGGCGGGAAAGGCAGAGTGAATCAGGAAGGCTTTTACCAGTGTGGAGTTTCCGTTATCCCGGAACGGATTATCCTCCAGTTTCCCCCTCTGCAGAGTTCGGGATTCTGTCTCCAAACCTCTCTTTCTTGATAAAACGGGATTTTCAACAGCTCGAACCATTTGTTCACTGGCATCTGCAACAAGCACAGGTTTCGTAGTTTTGTACGTCCCTTGAGATGACACAACATGCACCTCTTTCGCTTGGTGAACAACAGGTTTCAATACTGTTGCACGGGCTATATATGGCAGAGCTTCCATGTCAACCTGAGCCACCTGGCCAGCTCCGGTTTTCGTCTCTTGGGGATATGGAGCCACATCACTGGCGCCTGCTTCTATCAGCGCGAGATAATATGGCTTGAGGGTTAGAGTTTCCTCCTCCACTTCCAGGTCTTCTATCGTGCTCTGGGAATCATCAGATTCGTATGAAACTGCTTCTAGAGGCTTTTCTGCTCGCTTGGCTTCGTTCCTGGCGTGCCAGCCTGGTCTATGGGGAGACCTGGCGTCAGACACCTTTCCAATGATGTTGGTGAGGTTCATTACAAAAACAAGTATGCAGAGAACGTGAGAATATCAAGGGATTGGTAATATGACTGGATAAAGATTTGACCGCCAAAGCTTGGAATATGGGGTTGTCGTGTATGTATATCCTATGTGATCTGGCACTGCTCTGAACAGCCAGCGATTGACGCGCTTGCAAAAACAGACTGGAATTTTTTATGCGTACAAAGTGCGACGCGTAGTCAGCTCTTAGGTAATCGTGCCAACGCGTTGGTAAGTACCAGTAGCGGATTGAGATCCACTTAAGAAAGAGAAGAAAACAGAAAATAAATAATACAGAATTAATTTATCAAGCCGAAAGTAGAATGTTATGGCAGATGCTGGTTGAGAAAGACTGGGGAGTCGTAAATACCTTGTTCTGGGGCGTGGATTATTCCTTTATACTTTCTCCGCGAAGAAAGGGAGGAGTTAGAACCTGACCCCATTCATACAAATTCTCGAAAATTGACAAATAGGCAATACAGGAAGACTTGGGCGCCCTTGGAGATAGGTACTTGTATAACTGTACTATAAGCCCGACCCATTGGAATGCAAACGTCGTTCCAAGAGCGACTGGTCTATATCCAAACCTTAAATGTGTGTCGCAAACCCAAACACACAGTCTGTATGACCCCAGGAGGAATGGGCCAGGTCTCTGAACAAAGATAAAGAGCTGATTTCGATAAACTAGTCCAAAAAAGCACGTCAAATACGTTAAAATGACGGATCTAGAATTTTATGCTCAGCTAACTCTTGATATCTACGCGGAGGTGGATTAACTAGCCATCCTGCATATCATAAGGTGTAGGCTCGTTACACATCTAAACATGGTGAAATCGTGCTCCCGTACTTGCATTTGTCATAAACATAGCTGAAACCCACAAGGGCGGCATTAAAATAGTTTATGGTGTGGAAGAGCGAACCTTGTTTCTGAAGAACCGACCTAAAAAGCTGACCCAAAGAGTTGGGTTGATGCCCAAAAGAGTATTCTTCCTTTCACATGATTATTAAAGAATCTCACGGCATAGAGGATGTCTGGTATGGACTATAGCATCCTTTTAAATGTCTAATATCCCGGATATCTCTTGGTTTTCTCATTTCCTTCTCTCCGCAGAGTTTCTAGGACAGTATAAATTGATAATGCAAGATAAAATTTAGGCTTGGCTAAGAATATGACACGGCCACACACGAATGTTGATATATCCTGTACATTACTAACATCTCATGTCTTACGCGTTTGCTGGGGCAGCTAGTGTGGGTATGACCGAGATTTACATTTCTCGCAATGGGTCTAGTTTAGCCTTAAATCGAATCCTCCAACAAGTTAGAGAGGGTGGCAAAAATACCAAATTTAGTATCCCTACCTTTATCGTACCCGAGAAAGACCCCAGGATACTATAAATAGATCGAGGTGGGGCTCAATCCATTAATCACGTGATGAGCTTACATAATCACCATCCATGAAACCTTTAAGCCACGCGTTTCGTTCTCGGGACAGACAACAGGCGCGATCAGCATTGATTTGTACATATATCGTCACCTTTGTTAGTGCCCTTACTTCACCCTCAGATCCCCAGCAGAAAGAAAAATGAAGTCCTCAATTATCGCCTTTTTCGCATGTCTCACCTTGGTCAATGCCTCGGCTTTGACCTTTGTGCTCGGTGCCCATGACAGAGCGTGCTACTACATCCAGACGACCAAGCCTAACACAAACATCGCCTACTATTTTGCCGTCCAGTCTGGTGGTGACTTTGATGTAGACTATACCGTCCGTTCGCCAAAGAATGTGTTTATTGTGGATGAAAAGAAGGTGAGACAGGGTGACTGGATCTTCAACGGTGACGACGCTGGTGAGTACGAGTTCTGCTTCTTCAACGGGGCCGCCTCGTACGTGGAGAAGGTTCTCGACTTTGAACTTAAGTTGGAGAACGACTTCAGAGCCGCCATTCCACTGAGCCAAGACTCTCCTATTGCTGTCGAAGGGATGCAGGATACCATCACCAAAATCGGCTTCAAGCTCGACGATTTACTCAAGTCGTTGTACTACTACAAGGCCAGAACCAACAGAAATGAGGCCACCGTCAAGTCCACTGAGTCTAGAATCTTCTGGTTCTCCTTCTTGGAGGTTGTGTTGATGGTTGGCATGGGTGTGTTGCAGGTCGTTATCGTCCAATTATTCTTCAAAGGATCTAGAAAGCAGCTCGTGTAGTGCTTGAAACACGAATAAAATCTTATGCGTATTTAAATGTAGAAGAAATAGAAGGTTGAAATCCGATTGGGAGTAGAAGATCGCATTCTTAAGTACCGGCATTTTATTGAAGCTGAACCAATCGATCGGCCATGGACCATACGGATTCTTCACCAAGCACCACGTTGCCATTAAGTCACTGTACTTTATTTAGCCAAGGGAGGCTTTCCACATAGTTACATCATTCTTACGTTTGACCTTATACATTCCTCAAAAGAGGATTGGCCGTCAATGTAAGCACTTCCTCCGCGCCAGTTTACAGAGCTTCATTAACATCTTTAATATACATTACTTTTCAAGCTTTGCTAACGTTTCCTTGTCTTTCTCCAAAACGTCGTTCAAATACTGCAACCCCACCTGCTGTTTGCTTAACACACCCAAAATCTTGTTGATAGATTCCGAGTTCTTCTTCTCCGCTTCAGCGCCGTCGTTGTCTTGCCCGAGCTTCTGGTCTAACTGAGTCGACAAGTTGCTCGCTCTGTCTTTCAAGATTGCCAAACGCGCAAATATCTCGTTCACCCGGCCCAAACCTGTTGGGTTGACTAAGGTTTTGTTCAATTCCTCAAACTGCTTGGCCAACACTTCCTCCTCTGGAGACAACGGGTAGCCCTTGGACTTGATGACTGCAAGGATCGCCGCGAGGCGTAAGATCCGTCTTGCCAACTGTGTGTGCTTCTGCTTGGCATGGGCCACGCGCGTGGCGGTGTCCAACTCGTGCTTCTCGGCTAATTGTTTCTGCTTTTCATTGATCTGGTTCAACAACATTCTGCTGGAAGCCACAAACTGAGTCTGTGTTTCGACTCTCTTCGACACGTCTTCGAAACCAGAGGCGCGGACTGGAACGGTAGTTTTTGGATCTGGTCTGTTCTGCATAGCCTTTTCCCAGGACTCTGGAGTCTCATTCTGGGGGCGCTGCTGGGCGTATGCAAGCGCCTCATTCTCAGACACCTTGTTGTAGAAATGGGTGCGGAGGAGACACGTGTCTGAGTTGGCGTTCCAGGCACTGGTTAACTTCATGAGCTGGTCTGCAATTGACGGGTTGTATATGTTGCTAGGGTTGGAAATCTGGAGCTGCTGTTGTGGCTGTTGCGGCTGTGTGGTCTGTGGTTGGGCTTGGCTTGACCAGGCAAACGATGGCTGTGACGACTGCAAAGCGTTCGAAGCAGTTGGGGCGTTGGCTTGGGTTGCTGTATTGTTCTGACCAAACATACCGGTGCTTGTGTTCAGACTGGTATTGGCCGTACCTCCAAAAAAGCCACCGGTGGTTCCAGTGGCGGCCGGAGTACTACCAAATAAACTGCCAGACGTACCAGCGTTAGCGAATAGACCACCAGTGCTGCCAGTAGCATTGGTACCCGTATTACCACCAAATAGGCCGCCAGTAGTACTAGCGACTGCAGCAGGGGTGCCTAAGGAGAAACCACCGGTGGTGGCAGCCGGCTTGTTGCCAAAGGAAATTCCACTGCTTGGGGCGGCACTGGCCCCAAAGCTGAACCCAGTAGAAGGGGCGGAGTTAGATGCAGTATTGGCAGCACCAAATCCAGTGGAAGGGGAAGCAGTGGGGGCGGAAGAGCCAAACGAGAAACTATTGTTGACACCAGCGGTAGGAGCAGCAGCAGTAGGAGCAGCGGGAGCGGTGGAGCCAAACGAGAAACTGGTGTTGGTACCAGCGGTAGGAGCAGCGGGAGCAGTGGAGCCAAACGAGAAGCTGGTGTTGGCAGCAGTGGTTGCCGGTTTAGCTGCGCTGCTCCCGAAGGAGAAACCACCAGAGGCTGGTGCGGCGGCAGTATTACCAGAGCCGAAAGAAAATCCACCTGTAGTGCCAGAGTTTTGATTGAACATTGTTCAGCGGTATCTCTGTAGTGGGCACGTAATTGAGAATAGTCTCCATCTCTGATTTCGATATCTGATCTTCCTGTGTTGATTTTTTTCGGGATAGAAAACTGATGCGGTATGGGAACGACCTCAACCGGTAAGCGCGAGAGGCCGGAGAGAGGAGAATGTGGATATACGATAGTGGTACCAGGAGGTTTATTTTATAAATAGATCGAATTATGGGTAAACCAATTTCTGGACTACTTCGAATTTTGCGTATTTGAAAAATAGATACATGGCTGGGGATCTTTGTAAGGGTTTTAGTCGGGCTGGAGGTTCTATATGCACCAATGTCGCTTACGTTGTTATTGACCAGCTTGACGATAAAGATATACTCACGGTATTGGGGAACTACGAGTATATTGTGGAGAATAGAGCTGAGGCTTTCAGCCATTTATTCTGCAAATTGTGGGAGTAAGTGGGTATTCGCAACCAAAGCGCACATCATCAAGTGCGGTCTATCGAAGCACTTGTCGTCTCACCTTAAAGAAAACCATATGGCAGATAAGTAGACGGTGGAAAATAAAATAGTACAAGTGTAGCAAGCCATCATTATTTATGGTTAAAAGTATAACTTGTCAAGTTATTACGGAAGAGGTTCCATCAAGTATATGTAATTGAAAGCAGGCACTTCAGTGGAGACTTCTCCTTGTGACTTAGAGAACTGGGAGTACTCTGATATACTGAATGTGGAAAACGAGCTGCGATAGCCATGCCGGAAAACGATGTACCCGGACAATAACCATGTTTCTGGCAGATGGTAGTTCTGGAAAAACTCTCCAAACTCCTTCACTCGGAAAAAGTCGCAGCATCAAAGATTTAGAGAGTGTAGCTCAGTCATCGCTTTGTGAGTCACGCAGTTAATACCACCTCACTGGTTCAGTCTCTTTTGCTCAGCTTCTCCCTCTCTGTTATTCTCTTTTACGCTGTCTCGACTTTTGTGCCGATCTGAGCTGCGGTGAGAGTGAGATCTCAGACCCTTAGTGAGGTACGCCTTCATTGGATCTTCGTCTGCCGGGTCCTCCTCATCTTTTCCATCCGGAGAACGATGATCACGATCTCTAGATCTTCGAGATGACTCATGGCCTCTTTCCTTGTCGTCGCTGCGACTCCCCTTATGGCCGTCCCGATCTCTATACTCTCGATGACCATCTCGATCCCTGTGCTTTTCTCTGTGGTTGCTCCGATCGTTATGGCGATTGCTTCTAATCCTCTTTCTACTGCCCTCCCCTTTCTCCTCCTCGCTGTACTCCACGGCAAAATCACTCTCGCGTTCTCCCTCGCGTAGTTTGTAGTAGCCGTGGTCCACGAGGATTTTCCTTCCAGAAATGTCGATCCCGTTCAAGTTATCCACGGCTAGCACACACGACCTGTAGTCTTCGTACTTTAAATACCCAAATCCCATGCTTTTGCCGGACTCAGGGTCTCTCACCAACTTGATATTGCTTGGGACCCCGTACTGCGAGAACACCGTGAGAAGATCCCCCTCAGTCAATTCATACGGCAACTGGCCAATATAGATATATGAGGTATCCTTGTAGTCGGCATGCCAGGAAGCTGACGCCGAAATGTTCGCATCGAGCTCCTGCTGGTTGAGTTTCTGGATGCTCTTGATCTTGCTTAGGAGGTTAGGAATGTGAGGGTATAATTAATAAGGTAATACGCACTTCATCGAATCTGAGACTCGGTTGGGAGTAAACTTTATGTAGCACCGGCTATGGCTAGACGGGTGGTAGATCAGGATGAAGAAAGGCAACGGTTCTCTCCTAGCTATAGGTTAGCCCTGGGCGTAATGACGCATGGATACAGGCAGCTTCTAGCGCATCTGATATGGTAGTGCATCGTTAAACCACGTGCAATACCTATATTTACTCGGGGTTGCATACATTCTCTTCGTCCCGCGTAAATTACCGCACCAACCACCATTCTTCTTTTCGTCACCATTCACTTTTCACCTATGCACATTAAAGATAGGGCATAATAACAGAGCTAACTTTTGCGCCATCCATCTCTAACAGCAACCTCACAATGTCAGACAAGGAAGAAAAGAAGGTTGAATACACCGAAATGAACGAGAACGTCGTGTTCGTCGTTGGTAGAGACGGCAAGAGATACCCAGTGGACAAGCGCGGGCACAAGTGGTTCACCTCCGAGTTCAACCAGGGGGACGAGCAGTTCACCAAAGCCAAGCACAACTCGTCGATGGGCCTTGAGGGCATTTCCGACGGCCACAACCACAGTGCCCCGGGTATGCGTAGATTGCGTTTCGACATTGTGTCCAAGGTCTTTGAGCCTTCGCCAATGCCTGCCCACATTCCAGACGTCCCAGAGGTCGGTGCCTCCAGTGCTCCATTGAAGAGTGCCGCTTACTTCATTGGTGCCCGCTGCAAGCCGTACAACGACGACTACCTCTTGTGTAAGAAAGAGGACGGCGAGTTCCAATGCTTGAAGGAGGGCAGAAGAGTCACCCGTTGTGCTATTTCTGTCATCGAAGACATGAACAAGCACTGCTACGACTATTTCAAGTTGCACTGGGAGTGTTTGGAAAACAGAGAACACAGATTGAGTGGGTGCAGAAAGGCCGAGACCTTGTTGAACAAGTGTGTGTTCCAGAACTTGGGCTTGGAGAAGAAGATTCCAGGTGTCAAAGAGCAGATCCACTTGAAGACTAGTCCTATTCAGAAATTCGACGCCGAGTATTCCCCAGCCGTCGCCGCCTGGGAACAGGCCAAGAAGGATGGTAGCATCTAAACAGCCATACCCAAAGCATCCTATTTCACCCCATTCACGCATCCCGTGCCCCACATCGCTTAGACTCTAGGCATCTGGAACTTGTTCCGCTTATATTTCCATACTGCTCGGGCAGTCTATAGTCCGTTTATTTATTCCGCTGTTTCACAGGTTATATGCTTCTATAATGTTTTCTTTTCTTTCAATGTCATCTGTTTATAATGGAAGGGTATAAACCAGAATTATCTGGACCTAAGGATAAGCCAACGGGGTCTAATACTGAGGCTAAGATCGATCGAAATCCGCTGAGCGAATGCTAGTTGCATTATAATCAGCACAGTGGAACAAGCAGTTGAGATGAAGGGTATCGAACGGCCGATGAAATAGTCACTTGATTCCTAAGTCAATGCTTATATTTGACCGTTTCCCATGAAATCATAAGCCATGAGAGGTGATAATTTTTTTAAGGGATCAGATCATAAACAAACATTCTTTCTATTTAGCTCAAACTCCCCCCCCCCCCCTTTGCAAAACAAATATATTTCAATATATGGATAACCCCGCTCGATATCATGTTAATTTCAGTGCGGCTGGACTAACATGGTGCAGTGTCAACATTTTTCATTCACACACGACTTCATTTTTTCAAAAACTTCTGTATCAAACCCTACTTGTCTCTCGCTCTTTGTTTGCCTACACGCTATTCCACACATACTAGGCTTCCCATGAGTGATTACGACACTCGTAACTCTGCGAGTCCAAAGATGAATCCCGATCTCTCACGGGCCGGCACGCCTCTCGCGGAGCGCAGCAGGCCTATCAACACCTCAAAGCCACCGGTAAGGCCAGTTTCGATGAAGATACCGACTAGACCCAGCACGTGCACGGCGAAAGACACACCGTATGTGAACAAGCTCAAAAGTCTTTCGAGCTACAAAGTGACCAAACAGCTCGGCGAAGGGTCGTTTGGGACGGTGAAACAGGCAACAGACGACCGGGGCCGCTTAGTGGCGCTCAAGCAGATGCTCCATAAGAACAACAAAGACGGGTTCCCCGTGACATCACTCCGGGAAATCAACATCATGCGAAAACTCAAGCATCGTAACGTGCTCATTCTTATCGAAATGCTTTACGAGCCAGGTGACCCACTAAGAAAGACCACCGCGTCGTGGTTTATGGCGATGCCCTACATGTCGCATGATCTTGCGGGGGTCTTATCCAACCCGCGGATTACCTTGGCAGTTCCCCAGTTGAAGACGCTCATGAAACAGATCCTTGAGGGCATTCAGTACATCCACGAGCAGCGATTTTTCCACCGTGACATCAAGACCGCCAATCTTTTGCTCGATTTCAAGGGTACGTTGAAGATTGCTGACTTGGGGCTAGCTAGACCCTACAAGGGGCATGTCCCCACGTTGAACTCTGGTCCATCTGGTGGACAGGGACGCTACACAGGTCTTGTGGTGACGAGATGGTACCGGCCACCGGAGCTCCTTTTAGGAGAGCGGAGTTACACCACGGCCGTAGATTTGTGGGGAATTGGGTGTGTGTTTGGTGAAATGTACGAGAAGAAACCGATTCTCAAGGGCCCATCTGACATTGAACAGGCATACTACATCTTCAACTTGGTTGGGGGTCCAACCGCGGAAAATTGGCCCAGGCACAAGGAGTTGCCTGGAAACGATGTGGACTTACACAAGGTCTACGAGCAGCCCACGCTCAAGAGACGTTTTGGTGCGTTGATGGATCCTCTTGCGATAGACTTGATGGAGAAATTGCTCATGTTAGATCCGGTTAGACGTTTCAACGCGTTGGATGCACTCAACCACAAATGGTTCTCCACCGAGCCGTTGCCATGTCTGGAAGAGTACTTGACGGGCTGGGAAGAGTCACATGAACAGGACAAGAAAAAGTTTGAGGCTGAGGGCACTCAGACCCGTCCGACAGCCCCTCCGATGACCATCGTTCCTAGACCGCCAAAGACTGTGCCAAAGCTTCCCAGACCACCCCAGTCGCGAGAGCGGATCCTGAAGGGTGGTAGTTCGTACAGGCCAGGTCTCGGGGAGCTTCCTAAACACCCCTATCCGGATGACCGTCGGAGGCCTCAGCCTGAAAAGAGACCATTTTCCAATCTGCTCTATGACGACCCTCCAAGTAGGACCACCAGAGACAAAAGAGAGAGCCTCAATTCCCGGAATAGATCTCCAATGGTTGAAAGAGCCTCCTCGGCGAGGTTCACCCCTATCGGGCCGCGGAACGGGATCCCGACCGGCCCAGCCGGGCTCAGAAGAAGCGAGAGTCCGAGTCAGGCACCACCCCAGCGCTCCAAGACCTTGGATATCTCGTCGATGCTCAACTCTGTATCACAGAGCATCATGCATAAGGATGGGAGAAAGGACGAGGGTGAGAGCAAGAGACGGAGAGACGAGCCGGTTGCGAGTGATAATAAACAGAAAGATCGCTGAATCGTTTTTCTGGTCCAAGGCACAAAGGCTGTTACTATATTAGAAAGCATGATAGACTTAGTTATTGCAAGCAAAGTTGGGGGAAAACGTGGACAGCTGTAGATGTGAATGTGGGCATGTTCGGTAACACTAGAGTCGTAAAAACCAGGCAGAAATTTCTTAATACTGGTTTGAAGCGCCTACCCTCAGAACTAAGACTAGTCTTGGCCGGATTTGTATCCAATTCACAGTGAACCAAGTATGCTTTAATATATTAACTATCAGCTATGTATCTAAAAGTCTGTCAGAAAATATCTTAACACTAAAGCTTATAGCATCGTACTGAACTGAATAGTGCACCGAGAATGGTACCTCATACGTACAATCACTTCAATCGTTTATTTAAGGCTAAACTAGTATTTCTAGGTATTCCAAGGGTGGTTACAAGAACTAATGTTAGCCGCGCTGTGGCTCTCAGGATGGACGTCTGGGCCATAATGGCAACTTCTGAGCTGAATAGTGGATGCACCGAGATCCCAATGCCGTTAATCTTGGGAAACCTGCTCCGCAAGCAAAGCAAGGGACTGGATAAACCTGCTCAACAATTCAAGCTACGCGCTTGGACAAAACATACTCCACAAGCAGAATCGAGGCGGGATAAGCGTTCCCCGCACAAGGTCTTTAAGTTGAACAAACTTGAATGAACGTGCTCCCAGGTTTTCTTAGTTCCCCATCATCGTCACTCTCTGCAACTTATTTAACCGGAACAAACTGAACCCAAATAACCCACCAACGCACACAAACGACCCCACCACTACCACCCCCATGCCGTAGTCAGTCTCTTCGATAAAGTTCTCCAAGTTCATTCCGTACAACGCGGAAATATAGACACCGATTCCGAGACTGAGCAAACCGATACTGAAGCGAAGACTCAAAAGCATCAACTGATTGCGGTTCGAGTCGAGAATGATGTTGATGATCTCTTCGGTGGTTTTTACATCAGCAACGCTCGTTTCAGTGGCTCTGACAATCTCGTCCACGTGCTTGTAGTACGACTCCAAGAGCATTTCCACTTCTGCATGATCGGTTCCGCATCGCGGTGTGCCCTGGGACCTGGCGGTGAGGTACAATCCGTTCAATTCGTCATCCTGCTCTAGAATCTCATCAATAATATCCCTGATCAAGGTGGCTTTTTGGTAAAAAGCGGTGAGCTTCTTTGATTCGATCAACAAATACCGCAACTTTGTCTTGTCAATGTCCTCCTCGAGATCTCCCAAGATGTTCTTGATCAACGTGGAGTGGACCTTGATCTCCGTTGCGAGATTGGATACCGCGTTGATGAAAATCGCCTCGAGCGCGCGGATCTCGTACGGAATCCCCGCCGCCTGCGTCGTCGTCTTCAACTTGCTCTCCAAGTCCATCATGAACAAGTTCAGCGAGTGGGTATCGGTGGTGCCGTAGACGTTGAACAAGATGACTTCGTCAGACTTGATCAACGCACGGATGTTAAGAAGCGTGATTAGAATCGAGTTGGGCCGGATAAGAATCAGCGGCACGATATCCCGGGCATCCTTGTCGAGATTACGCAAGTCTCTGGGGAGCAAGCCGTGCCTTGTGAAGAGCTCCGACTTTTTCATGTCTTTAGAGTGATATGTGAGCGAGCCGTCTTCCGCAAATACTGTGCATCGGAACACATCAGAAATGGTATTGGAGCGGTTGGTGAGGTTTTTCTCCAAGAGTAGCGAGCTGAACGAGGAATCGGAGTTGTACCACCGGAGGGATCGCGCCGTGTGTATGGGGCTAAGCTGAAGCGGCAATAGTCTGTGGCTAAATAGGCTCGAAGTTAAAAACCGCATTAATGCGAAATAACAAGAGAGATAAATGAATGAAACTGATATGCTAGTTAGCGGTGTGGTAGAGAAGTTAATAATTTCACGTTATCCTGCACTTGATTTGCCTTCAACGAAAACTCGATAACGGTTGGAAAGTCATGAGGCATACACCTTTCAGGTTATTTTTAGGATTATCTCCACTCTTTTGGGCTGGTCAGCGCTACACACTTATAAGTTCGTTGTAGATCTCACCCTAGCATCTTACACCTGAATTTTAATTATTCAACTCCGTATAGAAACTATATGTACTACTGGATAATATGGAGTGCATTCGTTGAGACGAATCCATTCTATGCATAATTTGCAGTGCGATATACCCTCGATCTTAATTCCGGCCCAAAGTTTCAAAGGATAATCATGGAACGTTAAGTAATTCAGTCAACCAAGGACATATTACTTCACTGGGGAATCAGGGGGAAAAAAACTTCTCACAAGCATCATTTCTTCCGAGAAAACAGTCTCTATTAGGTATCTCACCAAGAAATTCATAAATAGCTCATCTTGCGACCTCTTAGCTCTCATCGAGAAAGCTACCTGTAGAACCCCATCGAACTCTTACTCCGCTGCAACGAAGCACTGCTGGTATTGTCCCCGCTGAAAAGTGCAGACTTTGTCGCCTGTGGACTGGCATAAAACCCCCGCGGTTCTGTATCCTGCTCTCCCAACTGGTTCAAATTCATGATGGAGCGCGTACGGAGACCCGGGGCATTTCTCACAGGTTCTTCATAGAACAACCCCTCCTCCAAGCTGATATCCACATCCTCCTCGAACCCCATTCGCGACTGCATCGCCACCGGAAGGTACTGCAGAGCCTTCCGCGGAAAACACTTGTAGATCTTATACGGAAGCCTCATAGGCATCTTTGCAAACCGCACCGCAAAATAAACCAATGCACAAAACACCAACCCGGCAAAAATCAATCTCAAGCTGTTTCCCTTGTCGGCCAATCCTCCAGGAATAAACTGAACGCCGCGAGCTCGCTCGATTTTGCTGGGGAGAATTCCGACGCCGCCCGCTACCTGCGACGAGGCAAACAAAACCATCTTCCCTAATGTCCACGAAAGCTCTTCCCCGTTAATCTCATTAGCAGAAGAAAACGGCACATGTGATTCATCATCACTGTCGTCCTCCTTGTGGGTCTCAAAGTCTAGCCGCGGCAAACTGAAGCCGTCGTGGAGGATGTTAACAATCCAAGAGGCCTTGAAACAGGCGTCCTGGAGGGTCTTCTCGCTGAGCTTTCTTCCGTGGAACTCCTTGCCTGCTACCTCCTTCCAGTCGCTGTGACAGAACAGCTTTGTGGCGGCATTAAACTTCTGGAAACTATAGTCACCCCCAAGATCGAAGAGGTCGTGCACCGTATACCAATACTCCAGGATACCCACAAACTTATCCTTTGTGAAGTCCATGTGCGGGGTGTGGACTCCGTTAAAGAGGCACGGATCGTCTGTGCATGGAAGGTGCTTCTGGAGAAGCGGATACATTGTCTCGAGACACTGATCATAGTTCCCTGTCCCCAGGAATGTGTGCGAGTTGTAGGTGATGGTGGCCCCCTGGAGGAGGCACGGGTCGTAGAGCACCTCTGATGAGATTTCATCAACCTCTCTCTTAATTTCATTGGTGACTCCGTTGGAGGGGGCGGAGACAGCAGAATCTATCGCACCGCTGGAAAGGGTGAAATCCAATGTGGTGGCTGACTTGATATGGGCGGAAGGAACAGACTCACGGTCGAGACCTTCGCTGAAACTTTGACTAATACCAATATCGCTTAAACTTCTCTTTCCGGCACTCTCTATCAACAGATCCAAGTACCGCTTACGCGCTTCATTGGCACCAAATCCGAGCCACGTGGATACAAAAACGTTCCATTCTTGGACATCGCCGTTCACGCTCCGCAACGTCACCTTTCGGAGATCCTCCTGGTGCCTGGAAATTTCCTTCTTCGACGGAACAAACGCGATCTGCGTAGATGCCCCGCCCATATCCATAAACCCAATCGATCGCTGCTCTTTGCGAGGGTCAACGTTGTTAAACGTTTCTGACAAGTAGTTTAATCCGATCCACCCGTACACCCCCTCTGTCTCGCCATCAATCGTCTGCACAAAGTCGGCGCAGTCGGGTAAATAGAACAGGGTGTGGGTCTGGAGTACCCGACAGGTTTCGGCCTTGATGGCTTCCTGCTGGGTAACTGGTAAAAGCCGCATTCCTGCCGTTGACAAGACGTAGATGGGTGTTTCGCTCCACTTGTCAGGGGGTATGATTGATTCGGCGTGCGCGGCGAGTTTTTTAAAATGGTCTTCCCATAAATTCTGGGGGGTTTCGGTAAAAGAGGAGATACCTGGCGAGATCTTCAAGTTCCAGCCCTCTTCCTGGGTGATCTCAGGCACAGAGCGAAGTATTGAGGTCTTTCCGGAGGCCTTGGAGGCCTTTGGGTCGGTCCAGCGGTAGACCTGGAGTCGCGAGCCCAGCGACCCCGCGTCAACCGCAATACCGTAGTGATAGTCTCTCAGCATGATGAATAATATCCTGGGTAGCGAAACCGTAAAGAGAAAAAGTTGAGATTGATTAATAGACCGGATGTAGGTCGACAATTTTCGTCTCACGCGGCGCGTCGATTTCGCGGCCAGACTGGTAAGATAGGGTGATGATATATATGGCATGGAAAAAAAAAAGGATTCGATGGATGAAATAAAGGTTCAAAACGGATGAGTTTCATTTGGTAGAGCGTTATTTTCTATTTTAGCTAAAATAAATTAATTACAGGGTTAGTGGCGAACAGGGTTACACGTGTGGGTTATAACAGAGTGGCTGCGTTGGCCAGGGGAGCTGCATAGTGCGGAACTAGATTACTAAGCCGTGAAGGGAGAAGCACCGTAGGGAGAGAGAAAGGTGGATTGTTGCGAATATTTATGTTTTGTCAATTCCGGTTGGATTATTTCTCTGGCGAAAAGGTCAGCTAAATGTGAGCTTTGTGATTTAGCAGAAATTTATTGAGTGTTCCGTTGGCGAGAATTGTGCATAAAACAGACGGAACTGGAAATGAGCCAGAAGAAATATCGTTAAATGGTTCTATTCACCAGCTTCTTAGTTGATTAATAAAGATTAGAAACCTTAGCCCCCCTCGATACAGATTTGGGGCTCAAGGTCTGAATAAAAAAATTCACGGCCCGGCCGACGCTCCTAGATACAAAGATTTGGGTTGTTGTTATGGTACCATGTTTTTGAGATCGTCAACGCCAGCGAACAGAACCCGATACTAAATGCGAATGAGCATCGAAGAGGTTACCATACTAAACCATTTATGAAAAAAACATAAAGATACGGGTACGACTAAAACATGGGATTTCACTTATTATGCGAAGCCCCTAAAGCAATGTGAATTATTGAAATAGAAACAATGTGGTTTTACATAAATGTTTGAGAGCGGGTCCAGACCCACAACGGATGAATTAGATGTATAATATGCAATCATCCCGACAAGTCTCCTATCTCTTTACTTGTACATGTCCTTCAACACGCCCTCAAAGACCGCGAGCATCACCTCGGCGTGTTTGCCCTCGAACCACAATCCTGGACGCAACCGGACAGCACGTGCGCCGCTGCCACCGGCGTTGACACCGGCATGTCTACACTTGACCAAAAACGCATCACGTTCCTTGCCGCTTGGCAAATCGAATGCAAGGAACGTAGCTCTGTTCTTTCCGCGCAAGTTGGATACCTGGGGGAAACGCACGCTGATCTCGGCCAACGAATCGTATAAGTTTCTGCCGGTGACGGCCGCGCGCGCCAACAAGTCGTAATCCTTGATCTGCTCGATAATGCCCTTCGCAAGAAGTGCCTTGGATGGGTCCCCACACCAGGTGTTGAACTGTCTGTAGCCCTCCTTGGTACGACCGATCTTTCCTGAGTAGAAAAACCCTGCGGCCTGCACCTTCTTCGAGAAAGTGACCATGTCTGGAGGCATGTCTAAGTTCCAGTGCTCGTGCGCCCAAAACTTTCCGGTGCCCAACCCGGTCTGAACCTCATCCACAATCATGAGCACGTTGTACTTCTTAGTAAGGGTGCGGACTTGCTGGAAGAACCACGCAGACGCGTGGTTATCCCCGCCCTCGGCCTGGATCGGCTCGACAATCACAGCTGCAATGTCCTTAGGGTAGGTCTCAAAAATCTGGGTGAGCTCCAGAATACACCGCTGTTCCTCTGCCCTGTTTTCCGAGATAAACTCCTCCAACGGATACCGCAACTGTGGGAACGGCGCTACCGGCCAGTCGAACGCCGGAATGTCCAACTTGTGAATCTCCTTAGACCTGGTTGTCGAAAGCGACCCGAAAAGTCTGCCGTGGAAACCCTTGGAGAAGGAGAGAATAGTGGAGACCGGCGCACCAGGCGTTTGATTGAGCATCACGGAAGAGAGTTCCTCCGCGGTGAAAGATGCATCCCCGCGTTTGCGCGCAGCCTGGTGCATGAATGCAGCCTTGAACGCACATTCGTTCGCGTCGGATCCAGAGAGCGTGGTCCAGATTTGGTCCATACCTGGGGGCGCGGCTGAAAGCAAGCCCTGAGAAAGAATTTCATAGTAATCAGTCGAGGGAAACACGCCGAGCGCCGGACGGTTGACAATTGCGTTCACCATCTGCGGTGAGCGCGCCAACTCCGCAAGTTTCGGATTGCTGTAGCCCAAGGGGATACTTGCGATCTGCGAGTACACGTCAAGGAACTTGTTTCCATCGACATCCGCAATGTAGTTACCGACAGACTGGTAGTAGTCAGTGAGGAAATACGCGGTAGTGGTGTCATATACACGTGCGAGGCTCGCGAGCTCCTGCTTGGATTTAGGACCCGGGAACGTGTTCACGGTTGGCACGGAAGGCTCGTTTGGGAAAATAGTGGCTGCCGTGGTGACCCCTCTGAGGGTCTGGCCGAGGCATCTGGTTGCTCTTCTGGAGCTGGCTGTTAACATCGATAGGTGGCTTGCTATGGGAGCAGGTTACTTGGGAGTAGAGCAGGGAATGGGTGTATATATACCCCCGTTTCGAAAGATTCCCGGGCGAAGTCAGGATATGCCACACAAAGTGGGGTGTGACTGGGATATGTTGTACACCACGCATAAGCGACAGGCGCGCGGGTGGCTCGATGCGGCAATCGCAGGAGAGATTAGATTGTGTGTGCGTGGGGTCGAGCTTCCCAATGTGGTGACAAAGACATGACGCTGCAGTGGAAATTGAGGGGAAACAGTTTTTTTTTTCAGTGGTGGGGATCATAGGGTGATACTCGGGTTCTTAGGGGTAGATTATGGAACTATGATAGATGGGCTTCTTCACACGCGGTATAGATACTCTGGTGAGGCATTTTAGCAGAGATGACTTCAAACAGTGGGTCGATAGAAACGTGAACCTTTGCTTCTGTATAACGCAAGTAAAAGTATTGGTAAAGACAAAAAGTAAAAATCACTGAAGTTCAGCTGTACGAGCCAGCTAGCAATCCATGTTAAGCATGAGTAAACCATGTGATCGGATTACTCATCGCATATACAAGACGGCATTACTATTTAAAGTGGGATTTCGAATGACTTTGTTAGTCGTTCATTTCCTTGGCTGATTCCTATACGTCCAATTTAACTTGTACCTTTTCCATAAGATTGGACTTGCTGGCATCGTATTCCCGTGCCACTTCACCTTAATCATCGTTATTGAATCCTAGACGTCTGCTGTCGCAGCCTGAGTGTCGCTTAGAGCATTCTTTAACTATAACTGGTGCCCGAACCTTGGGCATTTACGTCGTAAATTTAAGCCATCATTTTATACAAAGATTATTGTTATACCCCTGAAACCCTTCTAAAAAACATGCAACACATCAAACAAGCTTCTGACCCTGTTGGCCAACGCGATGGAGTTCACCTCGGAACTCTGCAAGTTCTTCAATTCCGACAACTCACTGGCTAACAATAATTCCTCCTCCTTACCCTTAACATCGTCTCGGTTGGCCTTGTCTAATAAAATCGCATTGTTGCGCTTCATGTCTTGGATTCCTTCCAACAACTGCCCAATGTTATACATCAACGAGTTGGAGATAAGCTCCATGGTGAGCTCGCTCTTGAACCGGTACAAGTACACGGCTCTGGCGGCGGATCTGTCCACGGATCTGGGCACCTCCTGCACTTCGATGATATTCAACCGCATTAATGGAACCACACACGAACGGAAGTCCTTTTCCTTGATGAGCGCAGCCGCACATAACTGCTTCTCTTCCACCAAGCGAAATTCGCGGATGCACCTCAAGATACGAAGACTGGCAGGGTTTTCAGTGAGGGTACCCTGCAACAACGCATCATAGGTGAACTGCTTCAAGGAGGCTGTAAGCTTATTGAAGGGAATAACAAAGTTACCCGGAGTGGTTTCGAGAAGGAACGGAACAGAGTTGGAGGACATTAATTTCAAATGGGATTGCACGAGGGAAGCGGACACCAGAACGGTTGTATCCACATAGCCGTTCTGAGACACACACTCCTCATCGTCATCGTTTTCCGAAAGGTTGTAGGGCTCAGACTGGGGGGTGGCAGGCGGCATGGCAGCACCATACTCAGTTTTGACCCTCTTGGCCTGTTTTCCCTCCTTTACACGGGGTCTCTTCCCACTGATCGGGGCAGAGACAATAGACTTTCGGAGGTCTATGGTCTTTGGTAATTGCTTCATGACATCGTTGGCGTTGAAAGTTAACCATTTGGCGGTTTCCTTCTCCTCGCGGGAGTATGTAAAGTGTCTCAAGTCGTCAGGATCAGTTAACAAGCCAGGAATTTTTTGGAACGGATGCTGGATGTCTGGGCTGAGCTTTTCCAAATGGGATAGGATAGCCTTGTAGACCTGGGAGGTCAAAGAACCTACTCTCGCAGTAGCGAAGGACACCAAGCTCTCGGTTCTCAAGGATTTTTGGAATCGCGCAAGGTTGAAGGTCAACGGCAAGTCAGGGTTGATCACCTTTCCCAAAGCGTTGTGGCTAACAAATACCTCCATGGCTTTGGGGGTCTCCAAAAGCTCCAAGAGTTTGTCCTTTGCGATTTTTGTCGCCTCCGCAAGTCTCTTGGTTTCGCTGATAGTGGCAGAGAAGGGGAGGGAGTCCTTAGCAATTTTCATCGTTCTTAACCAGACATCGTTAATCGGGCTGAAGTGGATGCTTCGTAAGGGAATGAGGTACCCATCCTGGAACAAGGTGGAGAACTTCTTTTGGATTTCGATCTGCAACTTCTTATCGCCAGTGCTCAAGTAGTCACCCACTCGCAAATGACCCATGGACAAGACATTTTGCACAATTTCAGCACTTACACCGTCGTTATACTTTCCCTCAATCATCGACACAATATCCCCGCTGTACAACAACTTATCGAGCCCCTCCTCATGGAAACAGTAGTATGTCGCAGTGTCTGCCTTCCAATACAACACACACTGCAACTGAACAAGTGAAACAAGCGAAGTCTTAACCACACTAACCGGTAATCTGCTCTTCTGGGCAAGCTCACGCGCAGATAAGCGCCCAAAAGAGATCAAGGTGCTAATGATGAGTGCGGCCCGTTCGCCCAAGTGAGTTTGTGCTAGCGTTGTGTAGAGGAAGGATCTAGGGGACTGGCTCTTGGCAGAGACCGGAATGCTCGGCGGTGCCGCTTTAAGTGGGGGCATGACAAAACGTTGGAGCTGATTGCAGGCAGAGAATCGAGATAACCGGAGCAAAATAGATCAAGAAGGATCAAAATACTCTGAGCGTCAGATATTTTTCAGCTCGGGAAAAAAAAGCACGTGAAAAAGTCACGTGACTGAAACAGGCGTGACCTCCGCCACATCAAGTTTCGGGCGTTTTTTTTTCACCAGCCACAATGTACAGGTTCGTTGCCAGCAGCTACAAAGCATTAAACAACCGAGGTATAGCTTGAAAGTGTATAATAAACTACAGAGAGCACCGTACAAAAATACTTTGCTATCACAAAATATTCAAAAGGCTTTCAAGTGACTGGTTTAAGGTAAACTATAACCAGTTGCACCTCGTCAATGGCCTCCACCGGCTTGCAACGCTTTCCTTCCGTACTGTGGAGGCTTTAACCATTAGATAGATTATGTAATGTTCCTCCTCTTTGTGGTTTACGCCTAAAGTTAGATCTACACCAATTGCCTAACAAACGCAAAGCACCTAAAGTTACTTCCCTTCAATATAAAATCTTTGTTGCGTTAAGTTACACACCCCTTGAGGGCCAACAACCCGGCTGGGGCGCCAGGGGACAAGAACAACCCTCTCTGGATCTCTCTCATCGTACCCACTTTAATATACGTCTCACTCAATTCAGCTGAATGGACCTTGGCCGAGATGAGAGCCGTTTGCAAGCTCATATTCTTATCAAGCTTCGCCCAGATCTTGTTGTCGTGGGGAAACAAGAAACCACTTCTTTGCCAGACCTGTGTCTTTACTTCCAATCTCGCATTAATCTCGGAGAGCAAGCTCGGAACAGATCTGAAGCTGTCACTGCTCAATTTAGCAAGAGGCAAGTTGCACAACTCCTCTTTAATAGCAGGAAGGTAGTCTGCCAAGTTTTCGTTGACACAAATCGCACCGATGGTCAACGCAACCATGAGCGACGAGCCAAACTCCTCGATATACGAAAACAACTGATCCAACGCTGCTTGCTTGGTCTCCTCGTCGTTGTAAGCGTACAAAATCTGCGCAATTAACACCACTAAGCGCTGAGACTCTGGCGACTGCGACAAAATCGTCTTCAACTGCTCCAATGATTCGTCAAAGCCGTCGTTGAAGAAGAAGCAGAGGCCAATCACTACTCGAGAAGACAAGACACATTTCAAGGCCTCTGCGGAGTTGTCTTCACAGATATCAAGCACAAACTGGGCGTGTTCGAGGGCGGACTCGAAGTTTTCCTGGCCCAAGTACAATCTCGCCAACTGGGTCTTCACCTTGGCAATCTGAAACAAAATGCTCTGGCTATCGTTCTCCTCGTATTGTGCTTCCAAAAGGCTGGACAACTTCTCCCCAAGGGCCACCCCAGTATCATAGTCACCGCACCTTTCAACAATGGACAACGCCAAGGCCAATCCGAGCGGGTCGTTCGGGTAGGACTTTAAGTAGTCCAACATGGCGTGGTGGGCGTTACTCAACTCTTGGCCCGCCACCACGTCCCTGGCATCATCGCCCTTGCCCATTCGCCTTTGAAAGATGGTGTGCCCGAAGAGCAAGTGCGCCAACGGGGAGCGGCCGTTGGACAACACGTACGAATGCGTGGACAAGCGGTTTGCCAAGTCGGTGTCTCCCTTTGCCTCGGCCGTCAAAGCGTGCCCCGACCACGACTGCGACTGTTCTGGAGCGATCGACTGAGCACGCTTGAAGGTTTCTTCCGCCAAGTCGGCATCACCGTATCTGAGATAAAGGGCAGCCAAATTCGTCCAGATGACGGGGTCGCGCGGCGCATACGTACAGGCCTTGATAAAGCAGTGCTGGGAGATACGCGGATTCACAGACAAGGATGCATTACCCAAGGCAGTCCAGAAGGATGGATTGTTAGTCTCCAAGGTGATAGCTTTCCTGAGCGTCTTGATCGCGGAGTCTCTGTAAACAGCGGTTTTGGTGTAGTTGAATGCTTCCAAGTATGCGAGTCCCAAGTTGAAGTATACGCACGCACGAAGAGCTTTGGCCGATTTAAGAGGGAGGACGGCAATGGCGGTCGAGCACACGTTGATCAACACCACACACGCGGCTTCGAGACTCTTCTGTGGAAGCAACGCGTCCACACCGGCGAGAGAAGTTTCGGCGGTGGAGAGATCGCTCAACAATTGATTTTCATGCCCCTGGGTGGTGTGAAGGAGGGCAAGAAGCTTGGCAAACGGAAACTTCAGCAAGTGCTCCTGAATGCTCAAGAAGCTGTTAATGACGTCAGCCAACGCCTTCCATGCAGCTTGGGACTGGTTATCGACGGTCAAGACCTCTACGAGTATGTCTGTGCACTCAAGCGCAGCGTCGATGGCTCGGCCAAAGAAGCCACCAGCAATATAGTGACTGGCCGTAGCGAGCAACGTCTCGTACAACGCGGTGAGCGCACAATGGCGGTCCCCCAGTACCAAGAGCTTTCGCAAGAGCACCGCACTCTCAGCGTGCTCCCCGATCCTGTTCAACGCGACACCGAGCAAGTACTGAGTGTGCCAGTTGGCCGGGTCCAAGGTTAACGAATGGTTAAACACCTTGATAGAGGATTCAAGCCTGCCACAGCCAGTGTAGGCTTCACCCAAGCCGATCCACGATTCGTTATCGTTCGGGTTCAACCGCAAAGAGGACTGGAACCACTCGATCGCCTTGGCGTTGTCTTGAGCCTCCAAGCAAGCCACCCCAAGTACGCGGTATGGCCACGACGGATCCAGTTGGAACAACACGAGCAAGGCGCGTCTGGCCTTCTCCGACGCCACCACTCTGTCTGACAAAATAGACGCAGTGTCCCACTCTGCGTCCCGGGAGAATGCCTCCACTAAGTAGTGCGCGGAGACCACCTCTCCCGCGTCCAACTCAAAGGCCTTGTAGAAACACTTGGTGGCACGCTTGGTGTCCCTGTAGAAGTCTTGGTACAACACTCCAAGCGAGGTGTATGCCGGGGCATAGTTCTTCAGTGATTTCAAACTGATGATTAGGTAGTTGTAGGAAGTTTGGGAGTACTCCTCGCTTAGCGACGGGTCCTCCTGCGCCTCGAGCATGTAGCTTTCAGCAAGGCGCCAGTTGATAATGGCACGGCGCTCGTAAGAGTACAAATCTGTCCCCAGCACCGTTTCTAAAGACCGTGACAACCCGTCCCGGCCCTCTTGGTAGCGACCAAACTTGATCTTGCACCAACTAAGCTCCAACAATGCAGTATGATTTTCAGGGTACTCGCGACTGACGTCCTCAAACAACGCCATGGCACTTTGGAGGTCCTTGTTCTCAATCAAAATGAACCCCTTGCCCACACGCGCATCCATATTTGATGGATTAGTCTCCAACACCTTGTCGAAGATCTGCATCGCCTTGGAAAAATTCTTTGGCGCCTCGTAGAACGTGTAAATGGTGCCTAGGTTAACGAGCATCTCCTCCTTCGTGTGTGCGAGCTCCAAGCCGAAGCTGCGCGACATTGCCGCGAGTAAGCTAATGGCATTGCGCGTTTTCTCCAATGCCGGGGCAAACTCCTTGAGGTGGATGTAGTAGGAGGAAACAATCCGGTTCGCAAGAATAGAGCCGGAAGCCTTGCTATAGCCGTCGAGCAAGAGCACCAATACCTCTTCTTGAGTTAAGGTCACCTTGTCCACGTCAACTTCCTCTTCCTCAACGAAAGCCGCTTCCATCTCGTCATCCTTATCACCCTCCTGCTCTTTTTCCTTTTCTTCCCTTTGCTTCTGACTCTTTCTCAATTTCCGCTTACACCTGACCTCCTTTTTCTGCTTTTCCGTCTGCAAATTCAAGATCTGGGCCTTGTCGAAAGTGGAGATGTCGCTCATCACGAGTGCGTACAAGATGATCCCCACGCCCTCATCACCGTACATCTGGAGGTAGTTCGCAAGGTAGCTCGGAGGAAGATCGCTCAACCGCACGGGGTCGCACCAGTCCCAGTAGATGGTCCAGGCAAGTAAGGATGTGTGATTAACAACAACCATGCCCTCGACCATGGTCCAGATCTCAGCCTGCAACCGCTTCTGCACACTGTTCGACACGGGGGCGTACTTGATCAAAAACTCGTACTGGTACTGCAAATATTCGTGCTCATACGCCCGTCTTTCCTCGTCAGAATCGCAAATGCTGATCAACATGGCGTACCTTTCCCCAACGGTCGATTTTCTAAGCACCAGCTCCCAGATGTGCTCGTTCAACTTGTTTAATTCCGTGCCTGTCGTGTGGAGCGAGTACTTCACCTTCTCGCGCGCGTAGAGCCGCGACACCTGCTGTTTCTCGCGCGGTACCAACACCTCAGCTACCAATTTGTGCAAATTACGCTCAGGCGAACCGAGCAACGAGCCACAGAGATCGTATAATGTGCTCCCTGGCACGATCTTGGTCAAGTAGTACTCATACAAATCGTCGTAGTCGGCATCTTTTTCGCACTTTTTGAGATACAACTCGAACTCGCGCACAACTTCAGTGAACGGCTCCAGGTTGTTGATTAATGCCTGGAGGTACTTCTCTGTCACCTCAAAAAACATGCGGTATTTGTCGGTAAAGCTCATCTTGTCGTCAAAGTGCGGAATCGAGTGATTGCTCTTTGCAAGAAGAAAGTACCCCTTCCAGCAGAGGAGGTTATCAGGCTCTATGGTGGTGGCAATTTTGTAGTAGTGACACGCAAGCCTGTAGTTCTTCATCAACTCATGGCATTTTCCGGCAAATACGTTGGCAAAGTAGTTCTGTGGGTCTTCTTCGAGAGCCTGGTCCACGAACCCTAAGGCGGTTTCGGGGTCTTTGGCTGAAAGAGCGTCTTTTGCCTCCTTTAAGGTTTTCTTAATCGACATGGATAAAGTTGTAGGTGGAGCCAAGGGTTTTTGTTTGAGATGATGAAGCAAGATAGTTTAGGTCAGTGAATTAAAATGTGATATGCTGGGACAAATGCACAGGATATCGTGGCGAGTTTTTAGTGTTTTACAGGCAGGAATGCGGCTCTTCGATGGGGATAATTTTGTGTGTTGGCGATATAGATTTCATCTGACGCCAGGTATTGCCATTGGCCCGGTAACAAAAGGTGAAGAATGGTTTTACTTTAAGATCGTGACTTTGGCATCTATGATGTGTATATAGTGGAAATTCTGTGATATTACTAAAATTCCATCGGTTGTACTACCTGACATATGTTGGTCGGGTGTCAATTACTGGCATAAAATGATATTTAGTTCACTAAAACTCCTGTTCCGTATCTCAACAATTCTGTGACATAACTCTGAGCACCGAAATACGGCATTTTTTCGGGTCGGGTCACTGGCAACGTAACCAATTAGGATAGTTTGTTCTCAATTATACCCAAATGTTCTCAGATTTAATAGGCCCATTGTCATGGATTCGACGTTTGCAGTTCATCCGCGCACGCTTGGCATCAACCGGGATGCTGCCTTTATTCGTCCTGTCCCACTTGGTTCACAAACTTTGTGTAGTTGAAAATAACCTCCCCAGTTATCTCCTTCGCCTTGCTAAACTCGGAAAACACCATTTTGATCGCCTTTTGTGATTCCGGGTCGTTCTGGTTGATGCTTGCCAAATACTCACTGAATGTCACCGCATCGATCTCCTTCTCGCTGTCACCATGGAAGTACAGCAACGCGCTGTTCAAGTCGTCCTTCCCGGAAAACTGGTTTAACCGCTCATCCATTACTGACAACAATGTATTGAAGTTGATGGTGTTGGCCGTGGGGTCGGGTCCGGCATCTTTGATCATTTGGCGCACTTCCTCCACGGGAATGTCGTAGTTGATCGATTTGAACATTCGCTGGAGATCCGCATGGCCGATTAGGCCGTCGGCATCTTCGTCGATCAACAGGAAGAAGTCATGCAACTGCTTGATGGTGGACTCTGGAAGCGAAATGGTTGTCTAGATGAATTAGTTTAGGTCTTTAACACAAGGGTTTGGCGTCACTTACCATAACTATAGAGATATAAATCAGAGCGCCATATAGGTTTCTTAATCGGCGGTTCTGGCTTAATAAGAGTTGATTTATCCAGATAACAACCCGTAAACCTACACGATATGTTTTTTTTTAGCTTTTCTCCATTGTTTGTTTGCAAGCCGCTGGCCGACGCGCCTAATTCCCAATCGGTACGACCCATAACAGCTTGCGTCACGGGCTCTTTGGGTGGCAGCCATTTTACATTGCCAACCGATAGAATAACAAAGGTGTAACCTCGGAGCGAATCTTTATTAGCATCTGGAATTACGTGAGGGTGCTCACAACTTTAGAGGGAAGCCACTGGCTGAGGGGAAGCTGATCCGTGCTAACCATCGCTTCGAATATCCCAAAGCGGAAGGAGGCAGCCTCTTTCGATGCCCTGGTACGTTGGAAAGTGGGGGTTCTAGTTAGATAAGCTGTGCCATTTATCTTCTCGGCTTAATTGCATCGCTCCGAGTATCTCTGTTTAGACAATTCCCTTAGTTATATAAAGAAGCGCCTTTTCCTCAATTTCTGTGTTCCCCACGTCTCTAAAGTACCGAAATGAAGATTAGCAAGCTTACAACTGGAGCTTCCTTGTTAGGAAACGCCATCTCTGCCAGCCTATCCACCGGTCAACATATCTTCCACAACGATGAAATCCCAGTGGAGGTCTACTCAACTTTGCCAGACTCTTTCATCGATGATATCTACGGCGGTTTGGTCAACACTCCAGTTGTGGTCAACCACAGATTGAGGCGCTTGAACACTGGCCAGTTAACTTTTGGCAATGAGTTCCAGGCTCTTTCCCGGAGAAGAAACAGATACCAACCCTACGAGGACGCGGTGTTTGGTGACTATCCCTACGACTCCTACGCCGAGGCTTACTTCCTGCAGTCGACCAACCTTTTGAAACAGAATCAGATCAAGTACCCTGACGACGACAACCTTGAGGATATGGACAGTGTCAGTCTTTTCGGGGGAATTGTCACGTTCGCACACTTTCCTACCAAAAACTGCTTTGCCAACCTTGCCCTGGAAATTGACATAGCAATTGTGGGAGCACCCTTTGACACGGGCGTTTCCTACCGCACCAGTGCACGCTTCGGGCCAAACGTGTTGAGACAGGCGTCCAGACGGTTGGGTCAAGGATTGACTCCTGTTCGTGGAAAGAAGGGGTCAAAATTATCCAAAGTCAACCCTTATGAAACCAACTTGACGATAATAGATTGTGGAGACATTCCGATGACGCCATTCGACAACCGTCTCGCGTTGAACCAGTTATATAGAGGGGAAAGGGCAATACACCGTCATCCAACATCCAACCGAACGGCAACGACGGTTCCAAAGATCATCACCTTAGGCGGGGACCATACCATCACCTTAATGGCTCTCAAATCTAGTTTCGAAAAACACGGCCCTGTCACGGTTCTCCATTTCGATTCGCACATTGATACCTGGGACCCGAAGGTATTGGGTGGGGGTATCACCAAGTATTCTTCGTTGAACCATGGTACTTTCTTGCACTACGCCCACGAATTAGGCTACTTGGCTGGCAAAAACTGGCACTTGGGCTTGCGTGCGCCATTAATCGTGGCCGCTGACGGTCCTCATGACGTTGAGTGTGGGTTTAATACCATTACCGCGAGAGAAATTGACACCCTTGGGGCTCAAGGCATAGCAAAGAAAATCATGGCTAGCGTAGGAACCTCAAACCCCGTGTATATCTCGGTGGACATTGACGTGTTGGATCCGGCGTTTGCACCAGGAACCGGTACGGCTGAGCCTGGGGGATGGAGCACGCGTGAGTTGTTGACCGTATTGGATGCGCTAGAGGGTTTGAATGTGATTGGGGCGGATGTAGTTGAAGTTGGTGATGGGTATGAGGATAGGGCAGGTACCACCGGCTTGGCTGGAACCGCGGTCATTGATTCCATTCTCGGGCTCATGGTTGTAGATGACTACGAAGTTTGATTGTGTTGGTAGCTATTTAGAGCAATATACATTTTTACATAATTTTCATACCTGAAAGACGGATAGCTGTATGTTATTCAAGCTGACCTTAGGTGTGACCACCTTATTGCGTGTGTATGTGTGGTTTAACTACATATGAAGATGGATTGGTGAGCTCGAGTCAGTAGCCTTTCTCTACTGGTTACGATTTGTAATGTAAATGTCAGAAAATAACCAATCTATTAGGTTATCAATTCCAGAGGCTCCTCGGTCACTCTTAGATTTAGCCACACGTGTGGTATACTTTCACAAAGTCTAGGAGAACGAAACCCATACCACGCTTAAAGCGTTATAGGACAAATGATGCGCGCCTCTGGGGAAAAATAAGCACGCGTGCGCGATGAAATCCGCAAGGCACATCGAAGAGAAGCGAATACAAAGGTCTCGCGTGTTGAAAAGTTACCCATACAAAGTACTTGGATATAAAGTCAGTTTCCACAAGCTTAGTCAGTAAGCAACCACTCCACACATCATTTGCCTCGCAACACCATGGATCTTTACGCTGAACTACCCACATCTTCCCTTCACTTGGATCAATCGTTTGAGAAACTCCACCAAGCTTTGTCTAAGAGCTGCATAACCACATTCGAATTGCTAACCCTCGCACCCATTGTTATATCCAAGAAGTGTGGCAGATCTATCAACGAGATCAACAAATTTATCAGCGTCTTGCGTAGCGAGTTGGAGGAAGATTTGTGTATACAGAAAGCTGACCATTCTGAACTGAAACCGTTTAGGAAATTCACGGTTGGAGACGATGCCATCGATGAGTTACTTGGGGGCGGAATATCTCTTGGGAGGATCACAGAGGTTGTCGGTGCCAGCTCCACGGGGAAATCACACTTGCTTATGCAAATTACCAGCACGGTCCAGCTTCCGGTTGAACTTAAGGGGTTGTCTGAGTTCTGCCTGGAGAGTGGAGCGTGGACTGCGGCAAAAGCTGTTTACATCAGTACTGAAGGTAACTTGGAGACGCGAAGACTACAGGCTATATCAGAATACTACTCGCAAAACTACACGAAGAAGTACGTTGAGCATATTCTGGGTTCTCTCCCAAGTATAGATAACGTTTTCCAGATCCAAACCAACGACCTAGAAGCACAAGACCATATCATCTTTGTGCAGCTCCCCATCTTGCTACTGACGTCTAAAGACATCAGACTTGTGATTATTGACAGTATAGCGCATCACATCAGAGTGGAGAATGTCGGTACAGCCGAGTCGGCCTCAGCCATCAAGAAGGAGTCCCATTGGATAGAGGCGAAACGAAAGAACGACTACGTCACGAAACTTGGGTCGTTTCTAAACGAACTTGCCGTAAACCGCGACGTCGCAATTGTGGTGTCCAACCAAGTAAGTGACATGCCGCTACCAGAGGAACCACTTAACCTCCAACGCCATCCTGAGTATAAGCTTAGTATGGACTACCAGGTGGGCTGGATGGCTGGCTGGAACAAGCAAACCATCCTTCACGCCCAAGGAAGACCGGGTAGCCATGCCGATTCGTTCCACGTCCACAACACCCAGGTCCCTGCTTTAGGGCTGCGTTGGTCCACGCATCTCTCCCTGCGAGTCCTCCTCAAAAAGACTTATAAGCCGGTAATCTTTCATTCCAGCGACGGTGAGGTATACGAGGATGTTTCGCTAGACTCCATCAACCCCAATCCGTACGAAAAGCCGAAATGGAATAACCAAGCGTCGACACAGGGACAACCAAATGGGAGTGGCACACCAAAGCCGGCACCTGTGGCCCAGCCTCCAATGATAGATTTGCACGAGTTGGATTGGAAAGTTAAGCGTGTCATTGGTTGTGTCTTCAACGACGACCATGAACATGGAGGAGGCAATGCCTCAAACGGGCAAGTGCAAGAATTTGTTATCGGCCAGGGTGGGATTAGGAGCGTCTAAAATATAAAACTACGCGCCGAATATTTTGTAGTTGAATAGGAGCAAAAATCAGCAGACCGTTTCTCCGATATCGTCTAGTCCGTAACGGTTTCAATACCAAAATTCACCTGCGTAGACGAGATGAACCGTAGAACCAGGGTATCCCTTAGACGATACAGAACGATGACATGATCTTGGACCTCTGGCTATACGAAACTATAATTAATATATTAAATGAGAGCAGGTAACCCTAAAAGGGAAGTATAATTAAAACAATAGATTTAAAGGAACGAAGAATAGTAGTACAAAGAAACCACTCGTGTAATCAAGTTCTGATGGCTTCCTCGTAGTCTGGAGGTGGGCCTTGCCAGGTAATCTTACCCTGGGCATCCATCACGGTCTCATTATCCGTCACATCAACGTTCTTAGCTTGGGCCTTGGCGCATTCTGTCGCCGACAAACCCAATGGGTCTCTGGCAACCCAAATGTGGGGTACATCATTGTAGACTGCTGGATCCTCATAAGCGGTCTTCAAGAACTCCGGTTTGTACGTCAAGTAGTCGTTTAAAACCATAGGTAACATGTTACGAGCAGCCTCAAAGGTGTAGGTGGTGCGAGGATGGATGAAACGACTGAAGGCAGCCGTGGTGGAGCCCTTTTCGGCGGCCTCAATACCACCGCCAACCATGGTGGCAGTCATTTCGGATGGAGCCTGGGGCTCGGTTTCTGGGAGAGAGCCAGTGTCGTCAGCAAACGGAGATGGATTACGCAAATTAGTCTCGCTACCAACCACAGGGGGTGGGTTGCCGTTAAGGCCGTCTTGAGACTCCACGTCCTTCTCAGAAGGGGAGGAGTGACCTTCAGTAGCAACCTTCTTGGCTTCTGTTTCGCCTTCGCCCTCTTCACCTACCCCTAAGGCGTTGCCACCGTTGGTGAAGTAGTTTTTACCCTCGTTCTTGATCTCCTTCAACCCTTGATCGTAGTCTGGGTACGCGGAACCGTTGTTCAAGAGTGCGGAAACAGGCACAATGTCGAAAAGGGGAAGGAAAATCCACTTAAAGTAAAGATGGGCAGCGACAGTGAGACCAAGTAAAATACCTTCAAAGACAATTGCCGGAACACAGATGGACGTAATGAACAATCCCAACAAACAGATCTCGGCCAAATACAAGCCCACGAAAACTTGGAACAAGGCAAGCGGGTAGTGGCGGCCCCTAGAGTCCGACTTATTGTGGCCCATAACGTAGGTCAAATTGTACACATAGGCAATGTAGAAGAGGAAGAACCCAATGGCACCGAAACCCAAAATAATAGGCGAAATGATGCCGTAACACATCATGATCACAGCGATCAACCCGTAAACCGGATAGATGGTACCCCAACCAGGAGAACCCAAACTGGAGGCTCTGTTGAACATGGCCCGCGGGGTTTTATCCAAAACGCGGCCCAAGATGTGAGACAAAATCAACGCAACCAACTGCAACAACGCACCAGAAGAGACAGACAAGCCCTGCAACATAACGTACGCAATGTAGAAGTTGGAAGACTTTGGCAAGTTATTGGATAAAAGTTCCATCGCAGAGCTAGGATCGTCCACAATCTTGACGGCAACAGAGGTGGCAGCAGATGCCAAAGTGGTCACAAGGAAGACCTGAACAACCTGGAATGCGTAGTACCACTGGTGGCACCACATCTCTACTTCCTGGACCGTGAGGCACCCACCAAACTTACCCATAAACTTGATAAATGGAGGCAAAAGCGACATCAAAACGGCTAACGCAACCGTTGGCAAAAGACCGGTGATGATACCTAACAATTTGTGTGGCATTTTAAGGATGAAACGCAAAAAGTGGACCTTTTCAGTCAAGTAGTTGATATTAGAAATCGAACCAACAACGGCAACAGGAATGGCCCAGAAGATGATAAGCACACACAAAACGATAATCGCGACCAAATGCTTGATGTAACGAACGCTAGTGGACAAATCCAAATTGGCCCAAATAATATCCTCTGGGGCAACACCGATCACACGTCTACCCTTCTTCAATTGCTTGTGGTATGGAATAGCCTGGTAAGCCTTTTGCAATTGGAGCTCACTTGGAAACTCCATAAAGACAGACAGCAATTGTTTGGCGGCAGTGTATTTCGACTGAGACTCGATAATCTCCTCGTTCAACTTTTGTAAGTGTTCAGGGGCATATTCGAGGGTTTCCACCTTCTTCCCAATGAGCATCTTCAAACGGTGGGTTGGTGGCTTCTTTAAGTAGGTGAGCACCTGATTGGGCTCACCCTCAAACTTCTGGCCCTTTTCAGCCTTTTTATCGGCCTTGGCCTTGATCTTGACAGCCTTGGCGATAGATTTGTTGAGTGTGCCTTCGTAAGTCTTGGCCAACTTGGTTCTTTCCTTGACTTTCTCCGCCAACTCCTTCTGGCTTCTAGCGTACCAAATGTTGGAGGCCGCCGGGAACAATTCTCTCAAGTTCGTTTCGTCCATCAAATCGTCTGGTAACTCGGTTAACAAGATGGTTCTGGAAGACAAGGCGGTGGACAAAAGCGGAGAGGCCTGCGCGGCATGTCTGACGGAAATGTAATAGATCATCTCACGGTAGATGGTGTAGATAATCCCACCGAAAACAATCCAGCTGCACAAGGCGTGGGCAATCAAGCGGTACTTGTTAGGCTTGGACACATTCGCCATGGTCAAGATGTCAAATCCCGTCCCCGTATCGCCGCCGGTAGCGTTAAGTGGGAAAAGCAACGGCCAGACAAGACAGGAGGTAAGGAAACAGAAGAGGGAAAAGAGTGCAATGTAGCGAAGGAAGAAGTAACCATCGAGGCCACATTGTTGGATCAAGAAAGATCTAGGCTTGTGGATCAAGTGGGTGGCCCAGGCAAAAGCGCCGGTAGGCGCCTCGTCCGGGTGTAAAGACTCTGGGTTGTTGTACTTGACAATTGTTCTAGGGGTATAGACTCGCTTTTGTCTGTTACGCAAAAGGATGAAAAGGCCAATGAAAACGACAAAGACAACAAAGTTTACGATGAAGGTCGTCAAAAACGCCGATACGGAGGTGGAGTTAGTGTCCGAGGGGCTTGCCATTGTGAATTATAATTGCTTAAAACTCAGAGCAGATATAATAAATGTCAAGATAAGAGAATCAGCAATGTAGGTGTAGCAAAGAGTGTTCAATTGCGGAACTCGCGCTGCTGGGGCCGCGTAACTATATATAAAGAATTGCAGCGTGTAATTTTTGTGTGAAAAAAAGAAAGAAAAAAAAACAACAAAGAGCAAGGCTGATCGTAAAGACTGATTAGGCCTGAATTCCTACAAGGCTGTAGCATGTGCATATGCAGCAAGATGCGCAAGCAACCTTAAATGAGAGAATCACTCCTGTTAACGTAAATTTCAGGTGGGAAAATTCTGCAGCTAAGTGTCTTAAGTCCTAGACTAGGCGCCATACGGTGCGTTTTCCCCTAATTGAAGATGTTTACGTGCGCGTACTGCGTCACGCATGTGACGACTGCCTGGAACTGGGATGGCTGTGCGTTTCCACACAGCAATATGGAAGAGTTTAAGGTGTTAGGAGTCTGTGAGGTCTGTGAGGTACGCCCGGTCGGATGCAGTTGAAGCATGCACGGTGACACAAATCACCTGGAATAAAAACGGTGATGGAATCCTGGTACACGAAACGCAGGGAGGTCGCTATGGTAGGCGTGCTCTCCAGGAATTTGTGACTCCATCAGTAAATGAGGGTATACGCGTTGGCAAGGACTTGGTAGAGATCTGGTATGCCAGTAACGAGAATATTGAAGCGTTGCGGTTCGAAAACACTGCCTCTGTTGGACTAGTCACGTGTAGAGCTATGACATCTTAGTGCAGATTCAGTTACTTTAGAGGTGCGTTAGGCCGAATCGCAAAGAAGCTACACTTGCTATGATTTGGATTTGGAGTTTGCGGTGTTGCTGTTGGTTGCAGGGTTTTTGAGGCTTTTCTGGAAGGTTTTTCAGGGCGGTGTCGGTACCCCTCCGGCTAGTATTTTTTTTTTTTTGTGCAAAGATCAGGTTTGGCAAACTTGCTCTCCTTTTTTGTAAGCGCACATAATTCCCTATAATTAAGGTTTTTGGCGATTACCTACGCGATATGGCTTCCCTTACGTCATTTTTTCGATCTGTAACATTATGGTTGCTCCTTACCCTGGAAAAAAAGGATATGATCCATTTATGGGGTCTTTGAATAACAGCGAAGAACTCGGGATTTGCATCGAGTATTCGGAGAGGTCCATCCAGGCGTTGCGCGTTCTAAGTTTGCTGCAACATATGCATCGCACTTAACTCGGAGGAGCACCTGACATGCACGTTTTGGTTTCACGCTACCAGTACGACCGTCAGATCTAGGCTTCTCGGCATATTTTGGGGTTTTAACTGGGTTAATCGTGGTATCCGCTTGATATATTGCGGGGAATTTTCGTCGGTTGGAATGATTTGCCGTGGAGTGGGCTAAACATTTCCTTGGAAATGAAATGAGTTAGTCAGGGTACACAGCTGTATAATGGTCCGATCCTATGAATACCTGATACGCTAATAATGTATTTAGTATTCAAATCATATTTTAGCTTGTCTGAAAGGGATTGGAAGAGAGCATAAATGCGTGTTTAGAACCGATGCTATGAGCTAAGACTTACAGGTTTTATACTTTGGGTGAGGTATAATTATGCCTTTTTCACGTCTTGGGGTGGTTGGGGTTGTTTGTACGGGTTTGGGGGATGAGGGTCAAGGTTTGGTGACGAGCCAAGATACAGGTGGTAACGGGGAACTTTAGAAGTTCTGAATCTGTAGCACATCCACGGGTTTAGACGCGTAGGGTGCTAGCAGTTTTCAGCACCCTGGATAAGGTGCTAATTATCTTGTGGTACGGATAATTTACATGACCTCTCAGCATTCAATTCGCCTAATAATGCATGCTTAGTCTGGATAGCCGGTCAAATGAGACGTCTGGAACTTACTAAAAGGCTTTTTGCTTGTCCGTACCTCACAACTGAGTATTGAGGCCGAAAAACTGAAAAATGTAATTGTAATCGGCCAATCTCATTATTCAAAATTTATATACTCTATCGGCAACCGTCAGTACACCTCAAGCGAGACGTAGGACCTTTCTAAGGACTACCAGCGTTAATTGCATCGATATACACCACACGGCTGTTGATGTTGGTTACAGATCCACAGTGCTTCCCTTTTCCGGGAGACCTTTGGGCTGAGAAAAAGAATCAAAGGAACATATTTCTCAGTCATACCAGAATGCCTAATACGGTTTAGGCGACATACCGGTATATAACCTACCAAGTATACATTCTAACACACCCAGTTAAACGCTTGTCTCTCGGTCCCAGCGCAATCGTTTACATCGCAAAGCTCTAGATCACCCTGACGCCTCATCGCAGCCGGGCGAGCGGATAGGTTCCCCAGACTAGCCACAGCAATCCATGCTTCAAAATAGCGGGGGTGGCCCAGTCAGAAGTGCGCCGCACTTCAGTCTGACTACCATTCCGACGTGCACTGACCACACCGCACGTGTTGTTGGACAACCAGTGGTCGAGATTTTCCACCCCTGGATCGACACTGGCCCAACACCGCCCGATGCAATTCCTCCGCGATTTAAAACACGCACTTGCGCTATTCCAATTGCCTACTCTCTCCTTCTCCAGTCAAAATGTCTTACACAACCCGTCAAGTTGGTGCTGCCAACACCTTAGATTTCAAGCTTTACATCGAGAAGGATGGTAAGCCAGTCTCCCCCTTCCACGACATCCCATTGTTCGCCGATGAGTCCAAGCAGATCTTGAACATGGTTGTCGAAGTCCCAAGATGGACCAACGCCAAGTTGGAAATCTCTAAGGAACAGAAGTTGAACCCAATTGTCCAGGACGTCAAGAAGGGCAAGTTGAGATTTGTCCGCAACTGTTTCCCACACCACGGGTACATCCACAACTACGGTGCCTTCCCACAGACCTGGGAAGACCCTAACCACACCCACCCGGAAACCAAGGCCAAGGGTGACAATGATCCTTTGGACGTCTGTGAGATCGGTGAAGCTGTCGGTTACGTCGGTCAGGTTAAGCAGGTCAAGGTCTTGGGTGTTATGGCTTTGTTGGACGAAGGTGAGACTGACTGGAAGGTTATTGTTATCGATGTCAACGATCCATTGGCCTCCAAGTTGAACGATATCGAAGACGTTGAAAAGCACCAGCCAGGGATTCTTAAGGCCACCAACGAGTGGTTCAGAATCTACAAGATTCCAGATGGCAAGCCAGAAAACCAGTTTGCCTTCTCCGGTGAGTGCAAGAACAAGAAGTACGCCGACGAAGTTGTTGCTGAATGTCGTGCCGCTTGGGAATCCTTGGTTTCCGGCAAGTCTGACCCAAACACCATTGACTTGACTAACACCACCTTGGAAACCGCCACCATCGCCGACATCCAGGAGGCCTCCCCATTGCCAGCCGCTCCAATCGACAAGTCTGTCGACAAGTGGTTCTTCATTTCCGGTGCCAATTAGTTTGTCATTTGTAAGCCTGTCGTTTAGGTATAGTGTTTAGTTTGAGTACCGAGCGCAATACACGAGTGCGAGAGATGATAGCTGTAGAAAGAACATAGCTTTTGGTTTCAAGCGAATCGCATGTGAATGAGAATATTTATTTGGAAGCAGTTAACTGGCACCATATACAACCAATTGTAAACCAGAGCCTAAGTTCCAGGGATTATTTGTGCAAGTCGCTTTCTTTACCGGGACATTCTCCGAAGCAAACGGGAGTATTAAAGGGATGGAATTTAGGGTTAGTATTTAGATATTATAGCAATCCTCTGGAACCATTCTAGAGGTTCATATTGAATTTTAGTATCTCTGGTATATCTATTGACCTCAGTCTGAGCTCACAGTCAAGAACCGCAATGGTGTTAGGCTAACCAGCAACAGACCGTACTGATCAGATCACTCTACATTCATCCCTCTAACATTTACAACCTTTAAATTCCAATGCACAATACGTAAATCCCTATTTACTTCCCCCACGCCTTGGCGTTTTCGACAAACTGTCTGATTTTACGCATATCCTTCTTGCCGTCAGTTTCCACGCCGCCGCTGACGTCCACGCCCAACACCCCCGCGGAATTCTCTTCCAACGCGGCTTGTACGTTATCCGGCGTTAATCCGCCTGCCAAAATGTATTTAGTCTTGCTGAGCTCGTAGAAGCGCGCGCACGAGCTCCAGTCAATGGTCTTTCCTTCACCGCCCACCTCGCTGTCCATCAACACAAGTGCGTGGTTACGCGGGGTGCACGCCAAAGAAAGGTTCAAGTGGTTATCCTCCACCAGAGTCTGTTCTCTCTGGAGGTCCGCTAAGTTGTCGTTGGTGAGTACAACGCGGCTGATCACAGGCACAACGTACTGCGCAATGGAGGCGCGCGAGCGCGACTCCTTGCCGTGAATTTGGATAAAGTCAAGCCCTATGGTAATGGCGAGCTTATTTATCAGCCCAATCGTCTGATTCTGCACGACTCCTACCAAGTAGGGGCCGTTGTGGATGAGCGCCTGTGCAATGGTCTGGAAATAGACGTGGTCCGGGTCGGCATTTTCGTCATAGGTGGCGTTGACAGTCTTTATCAATTTGGTGGAGGCAACAGCATTCTTGCGCCTTTTTCTCTGTACCAACTGCGCAATTTGCTGGGCCACAGCCGTATCGATGGTCCGTGAACGGCCGGGCACGAGAATGATCCCAAGCAAGTCGGCACCGGAGTCGAGGGCCACCTGGGCCGCTTCGACTGATTGGAGACCGCAGATTTTTACCAATGGAAGTGATGCCATTATACGGGGTTTTTTTCGCTATCTAGGAGATGTAAGGATGGAGTAGCGGTAGAATAGTGGAGAAGATCGAGTTTGTATTCTGATATTACTCATTAGAGGCGTAGAAGGTGCATTTCTCAGTCACGTGAAATGCTGCACGACTGAAATGCACGCAGGGTTGCGGGTGAGACAAGGAAATATCTGGTTTGATATTAAGTCGAAAATTAGGATTAAAAATATTCGGTAATCATGCGTAGGAAATTATAAAGAAACTACAAGGAAATTACAGTATATAAATGTATTGCCTCTCCAAAAATTACCACAAGGGCATTTTGTGTTTGGGATGAGGTACTTTTTAGAGACTGCAACCCTTCCCTCGTACCGAAAGTGGAGTCCAAGCTAAAAGACGCCCGCTACTTCAACCGAGTCATGCTCAAGCGAAACTGGATTGAAGCACAGACATAAAAGACGTTGAATTGGACCAATCATCATAATAACAATATCCGTATTTCCTCATAAAACTCTTCATGTCGTATGGTCTCTCTTCCCAGCCCCCAATGCTGGGCCTGATGCCTAAAACTTGACCTCATCCGGCAACACATACACCTTATGCCCATTCTCCCGCACCGTTTCCTTTTTCACGTCTCTCGGCAAGCTCAACCGCATATCAAACCCGTCGCTCGCGTCGTCCAACTTGTTCCTATCAGACGGATAGCTCGAGCCGTAGTACCCCACCACACGCCGGTAGATGCTGTAACCGAGTTTCTCATATAGATTGATGGCCAACTTGTTCGTCACACGCACAAACAAGTCCACGAAGTACGCATTGTGGGGTTCCACCGACGTGGACTCTTGCAAGTAGAGACACAAGTACGATGCGAGACCCAAGCGCCGATAATGCGAGTTCACGGTCACTGCTGTGATGTGAGTATGCCAGTTGATTCCTGAGCCTTCGGTCTTGCCCATCATGTAACCCGAGCAGACATCGGTGGGAGCAGCCGCTGGTGCCGTGATCTCGGTGGATTTGAAGAACAAGGACGGCCACTCCGTGAGATACTGGAGATAGAAGGCCGGTTGGAAGTTTTCCGTCAACGGATCGAGATTTATTGGGTTCAATTCAAAGATATCAGTCGCCTGGAAAGGTTTAATAGAAGTCATAGCAATGGAGGTATAGCAAATATTGTATATGGTTAGAAACCGATAGGTGGAAACTTCTGTGTCTTGCTGCAGGAACTTTTTCACAAGTCTCGACGGTTGCCATGGAACGATAACCACGTAGATACTTTGAACAAAAAGTGGATAAGTTTGGCATGACGATGGATTATTTTTCTTTTTTATGAATTAATAGTTTACGCATTTAGTTACCTAGTCACACTAATTTTTTTAGAGCCAGGTATCGGGCCCTATATAGCCTCTTTCAGCGGAGACCCTGATACTACAGAATCATCCCCAGACATCGCATATGAATCATATTCATATCTAGTTGGTTTCCATAACAAGCTTCACCTCAATTAATTCAATAAAATTTTATAAGTCAAATAAAATACCCGGGCTCGCAAATGGTGGATGCTAGTCCCTTCTCCAAAGGTCGTGCCCCGACGATGCCTCTCGGTGAATGCCACCATATTAATGTTATGCTAAACGTCATCATCACCAATCTCACATATGCCCACAGATATACACAATGTCTAACTACATCGGCAAGACCATCTCGTTGATTTCCAACAAGAGCATCCGCTACATCGGGATTCTCGACAACATCAACGGTGAGGAAGGGACCGTGGCGTTGAAGCAGGTCAGATCCTTCGGTACCGAAGGCAGACTCGGCGGCGATATGACCAAGGAAATCTTGCCTACCGATGCTGTTTACGAATACGTGGTTTTCAGAGGCTCGGACGTGAAGGATTTGACCGTTTTGGACGTTCCTATTGACCAGGTGAAGCCGGAGCCAATCCAGGCCGCACCACAATGGGCTCCCCAGGCCTACCAGCAGCCACAGGAGCCCGAAAAAGCGCCAGAACAGGCATACCAGCAGTACCTGACGCCAGCCCCCGTTGTTTCCCCAGTCTCACAGGTAGAGTCCCCGGTTTCATCTGGGGTTTCCCAGGTTGCCCCGGTGGCCCAATCTCTGGGGGCTCCGAGAGAGGTCTCAAGTGAGGCCCAATACTCCCAAAGAGAGACTCAGAACAGAGATGCTCCAAACTACCGTCAAAACAACCGCCAACAGTACAACAACAACAACAACAACAACAATGGTAGTGGTAACAACACCCGTCGTCGCTCGTCAGCGCAGCCGCAGATTCCAAACGACGCGTTCGACTTTGAGGCCAACAACGCCAGGTTCCAGAACGATAACGAACCGGTTCAGGAGACCGCCCCGCCTACCTACAACAAGACATCGTCCTTCTTCGATACCTTGTCTTCGTCCACCGAGGGTGGCTCTAATGGTATGAGGTGGGTTGAGGAAAAGAACCTCAACTACGACACCTTCGGTCAGTCCAGTTTGTCTAGAGGCAGAGGCAACTACAGAGGTGGCAGGGGTAACGGTAGAGGCAGAGGCAACGGTAGAGGCAGAGGCGGAAGAGGCAGAGGCAACTTCGGCAGCTCTGACGCCAAGCCTGAGTGGGCGTAGATTCCACGGTATATAAAATAAGGTCTTTTTGTCCCTTCCACGTTTTTATATATTTGTATATTAGACTTTCTGATTGACAGAGTAGGAATGGGAGCTCGAACTTGGTTATATGTTCTTGTTCTTGTATGTGACTCACCGTCGGAAAACGTACAGTTGCCAGGCCTGATTGGTGAGAGTTAAAATTAATTAAATGCTCAATAGTTATCAGATATTCTTCATCTAGGAGCTGCGCTTTTGTCAGCAGGCCAAAAATTAACCACCATTGTTCAACTCCTGTTTTGATGTATTTAAGACTATCGAACCGCAAAACAAGTGTAATATTCTACTGATATTTGGTGAGGTTGTTTAATCTGTTCACCATCTGGCACCTGATTTGCCAGACTTTATATATACCGGCATTAAATGCTAAAATTCAAATCCATTTCCCGCGTGATTTATACTTCTCTTGCCTACTATACGAAAGTTAACTTACGCTTGAAATTTACCTACAAACCCGTTGTTCATTTCTTATCATTCCTGGATCATATTGTAGATCGGATTTTCAGGTAGCCTGAGCATTTTCTGGCGTGGTTTAGTTTCTAATACCGGATCTCACCTGGATAAGGCTTCGTCTGTTTCGTTTCTTCATTAGCATCTTAATTTAGTTAAAGGCGGGGGCTAAGATCGAGCGCAACCAGAGGCCACACCGAACGCCATTGCCTATGATCAAGTTTCTAACGGGTCCCAAGGAGAGAAGGAACCCGGTCCACAAGAAGCTCTGCAACAATGGCATCATGATCTGGTTCTTCCATATCACCCACAACACTATGGTAGGGGTGATTGGCGGTGGAGGCAAATCCTCGACATCCTCGGCTTCCCCGGCTTCTTTCAACCCCAAGGCCTGCGTGTGGTTCTTAAGTTGCACGGACTTGGCATAGTCGCTGATGGAGTTGGTGACGCCGTGTTCATAGCGGAGGTCAGGCACAGGAATAGAGCCCGGTTGGAAAGAGCTGAATTTCCTTGTGTGTTTCTTCTCAGGCATTATCGAATAAGCGTGGTGGCTAGGGCGGTGTCAGTATAGCCCATCCGTCAGACTCCATAACTGAATAAAGTCTCATAAAGCCTCGACACATACGGGTCATGTGACCGGGGCTTGCTTAGTGAATAGCCAGTCTCCCTCACGAGCTTTTGACAAAATGATTCGCTAAAAATAAAACTTTTTGTGTTCTAGTATTATTAGATTATTACGTGATATATCACGTAAAAGACAATACACCTGGTAAACGTTTCTGTCAGTTAGTGCCACGTTTGGATGGAGTGTCAATGCCTCTTTGCTCGCCCCCAGTGAGATTGCTTGTAGACTCCATTACGACGTTAAAAACTAATAAATAGTTGTTTCTCAATATAATTTCCTCTAATATCAACTACGATCAAACGGTCCAATACCAATTCATGATAAATTTTACCTCCAGGCCCTGCTATTTATCCTTATAGTATCCATCAGAATCGCACGCCTCTATATTTGCATGGTAGTGCTCCAACCAGACGGGTAACTTGCACAATTCGTGAAATCTTCAGATAAACAGGCATCACCTCCACCACTGATATTCACCCCAACCACATCCAAACCATATCCACTATGTCCAACCCCAGCGTGAAGATCAGAGAAATCGAGCGCGATGCCATCGACTTCTACTTCCTGGACATGGACCTTGCACTCGCGAACAGTTTGCGCCGCGTGATGCTCGCGGAAATCCCCACCTTGACCATCGACTTGGTGGAGATCGAAATCAACACCACGGTGCTCGCGGATGAGTTTCTCTCGCACCGTTTGGGGCTCATTCCTTTAGATAGTGTTGACATCGAACACTTGGAGTACACGCGTGACTGCACGTGCGACGAGTACTGCGAAAAGTGCTCGGTGATTCTCGAACTCGACGCCAAGTGCACGGACGACCTGACGTTATCGATCTATACGCGCGACTTTATCGTGCACAAGCCGAACGACCAGACCAACTTGGGCGAGCCTGTGGTGAGAGACCCAGCCGGACGGGGTATTTTGATTGCCAAGTTGAGAAAGAACCAAGAGTTGAAGCTTAAATGTATTGCGAAGAAGGGGATTGCCAAGGAGCACGCAAAGTGGTCGCCGTGTTCTGCTGTCGCGTTCGAGTACGATCCATACAATAAATTGAAGCACACGGACTACTGGTACGAGGAGGACGCCGTGGAGGAATGGCCCGCCTCTGAGAACTGCGAGTGGGAGGAGCGTCCTATGGAGGACGAGGCGTTCAATTACGCCGCCAAACCAGAGCAGTTCTACATGAACGTGGAAACTGTCGGCTCCTTGGACCCAAAGCAGGTTGTCACCCGCGGGATGGAGGTGTTGCAGAAGAAGTTGGCCGCGGTCGTGCTAGCCCTTGGGGACATTAACGACGGGAGAGTCCAGCGCAAGGATGACGCCGGTGGGTTTACCACTTACGGCCAGCGCACTGACTATGAAGCCGGAGCGAACTCCGCATATGGCGGTACCTCTGCGTACGCCGGCGGCCAGAGTGCCTATGGGCAGGGCTTTGGCTATTAAACATGTATATTAATTAAGGTCTAGGCTTATTTTTTTTCCTTCGGGAGGGGGTTTCACGCAGAACGAGTCGCTCGTCGTGGCAGGGAGTGTTTTAGAGATCTAGCTGGTTGTGTTTAATCGCAGAAGGTTAATGATTAGAAGGATTGGTTGGTATTTAAATGGCGTTGAGGTAGAGCAGCATTCAACGTCGGGTTGTGTTCTGATTCATGAAGCAAAAATTAGCCGAGTGTTTTAGACTCTTAGGATGAGGTTCGGGTAGATCTGGTTTGGTTTACCTTAATTATAAAGCTGCTAGAATCGTCGGTTTCGGCTCGGATTTATCTTTGCTAATTTCACCTATTGAGACCATATGTGCTTGTATTATATTTCTATCTGTGTCAATTAATCCCCCATAAGAGGAATGGGTCAAAAGTCCTTTAGACGATGATATTCAGGGTATGCGTAGCATTTGCTGCCCTATTTCCAGTTTCAGTCTCTTACCTGGCCTTTTTTTTTAACATAATTGGTTTGTCGGTGTGGTATATGGCTGGACAGAGTCTGCCCCACCGTATCATTCTATATTGATAATCGGTTTCAATTTCGCGGGTGTAATATCGTATATTCTAGTTCCCACCTCGGTGGTTTTGGATCACAGTTGTAAGGAGAAGCGAAGCGGTTATAAAAGACTCCTCCCACGTCTATCCAGACAGTTCTCTACTCTCTATTGATTGTAAAACTACCAAAAGTGTATAATACAGTACATTAAACGACATGAGCTATTTGATAAGAATCAAACGAGTAGGCATATTATTAAGTAACGCATTCTTTTCTTAACGAAAATTTTCAGTGCTGAACTAAAATGAGCATGGAATTTATTGTTGTAGGAAAAATGTAAGGTATGTCAATCAGAGGGAAGTTGAACATGGGCGTTACCTAAGCCTGCGGTAGTTGTCTTGCCCGATGGTTTGAAAATCCATGCTCTGGTGCTTTGTCATGTTCTTGACAAACTCTGTAAAATAGGGCCATTCGTTTTACAACCTCTATCCACCAGGTGAGTCATCTAAGACAAGTGGAATATGCCCCGAGACGGGCTCAACCCAAACCTTACGACATCCTAAATAGGTACCCAGATACAACATTTACTGCTCTGGCTAGGGCTCAGTCCTTAAGAGTCGGAGATCTAGACCCAACCGTGACTACGAATTGTCCATCTCTTTTAATTCGTTTTGATTCAACCTAGCTACGCCTTACCGGTGACCTTGATCTTGTTCATCATCTCCTCCTTGGTGATCATGTGGCCGATGGTTTCGACATGGTCCAACAACGAGTCGATGTCATTGCACCAGTCGTTCAAGAGATCGTTCTGATCCTTCGGCTTGCTGAAGGAGATGATTCTAGCCGGACGGTTTATTCTAGCATAGATAATGCCCTTGGTGACCAAGTCACTGATGAACTGCTCGCTTTCAGATTCGGTCAAGTCCAACAAAGTGGTCAAGCGCTTAGTGGAGATCTGTGAGTAGTATTCAGACACCACACGCAAGTTGTGCTCGATAACGCGACTCTTCAAGTCCTTGTAGTGCTGGGCGCCGGCGGCAGTCTTGAGGTCGAATGTCACGGACGCAAAGAGCACGGTGTCAAAGTTTTCCTGTAAAATCGGCCACCTGGTCAACTCCTTGGTTGTGAACAATTTAACCAACTCAAAGTGCGGGGTAACCTTCTGAAAGAGCGGATTCACCTTGATTTTGTTGATGAGGTCCGATTGGAGGTTGTCGTATGGCGACAAGATCACAAAGTAGATGATTGCGACCAAGATCTGCTGGTATTCCGTTGCGGAGGGCATCAAGTCTGGGTGCGCCTTGAGAATGTCCACGATCGCGAGGTAGTGAGTCACCACCGCGAGGTACTCGTGTGCGTGGAGACTGATCTCAATCGCAAGCTTGTAGTATCTGATCTTTAAGTCCGCAAATTTGGCGATGGTCTTCACGAGGATCTTCTTGGATATAATCTTGGCCTGCGTGAAGTCCTTCTGCAACACAGTCAACTGCACCTGTTGTAAGATGAACTCCGTCTTCTCCCTCAACTCCATCAGCCCGTAGGTCTCGACCTGTAAGTCGCACAAAATCTCAACTGCCTTGTCCAAATCTCCCTTGGCAAAGTAGATTTCAGACAACTTTTTCGACACTCTCGCACGCTCCACCTCCACGTGTATCTTGTTTTCTGTCACATTTCGGATGTTCTCAATCGTTGCAATGGTCAACTTTTCGTTGCCTGCAATCGTCTCCAAGTGGTTGATCACCTCCTGAACCATCGCCTGCACCGCGTTCTTTAACTGCCCGTGCTTCTTCGCCAACAACGTCACCTGTTCATTCAACAACTCCCAGTCGTTGTTGGCCACCAACAACTGCACAATCTTGAGCAACACGCGCTTGGACGACGCCAAATCGGAAGATTGTCTCGTCTGCTTCTCCAAGAGCAACAACTTGTCCAACGCCGATTTGTAGTCGCTGGCACCTAACACGTCAATCTGCGGGAACTGCTCATCCAACGTGGCGGTAAAGTCCTTTTCAGCTTTCAATGGGTCTTCTCTGGACATTGTGGGATATGGGGAATGGGTGCTAAACTCTGATGGTTGAGACTAAGGTGTGATAGTTTAAGTGGCAATCTCAGTGTCGGTTTTGAATGAGGGATGGCGGTAAAGGCACGACCGAAATGGCCATCTGCCATGTCTATCGTAGAGTGATAATATCTTTACACCGGTCGTAACTTCAACATAATCTATCATGTATATTCCAGGAAGCATTGTTAGCTATCTGTGACTTAGATTTTTGAAGTGATTGTTATAAAGCAGATATTACATGTTGCCCGGGTTGACACATAGCTGTGGCGCGCAGATCCCCAGGGCTGTACCTCCAAAAAACACTGGGAAATTTAATTGTGGTAACTTCCGTGTTCCGGCACATATTCATATATATATATATACATTTATTGAATTCATAACTTTAGGATTAATACATTTAAAAGATCGCACCCGAGTCTTCAAAACCTACTGGAGAAAACTCCTCCAGTCCTCAGGTCTAAACTTAGAGTGTGTAGAAGCGTAAGCGCAGTCTTTAACCAATTAGGTGTTAACGCCCCTTCGCCGCCGTTTGAGACTAGTACTTCTACCAATTGATGACTAATAATAACGACATGCATATCGATCAAGCTTCCGCGGATTAGTTCATAGACAATAGGGGTAGACACTTAAATGAAACTACCGGTGGAAAAGTCATATATAGTATTTAGATAGCTAAAAGATAAATGATTAATGAAGCTGAGTTAATTACGCATAAAAATTCAAGTACAGAGAACTCAAACTGGACCCCTTACACATCTATAGCCTCGGTATCCGAATTGTCCTCGTCGCTTTCACTCCCCTTGGCATCACTCGGCTTCACCTTGCGCCGCTGGAAGTCCTTCATATGGGCATGGCCCAACACCTCGCTAAACTTGGAGAAGATACTATGTGTCTTCTTGGGTTCATGATGAACTTCAATCACTTCCTCGTCAGCCATTCTTGGAACACGAGAATGCTGGGGGAGGAGCGAAGGAGCACCCAAGTCGGCCTCTGCCTGGGTAATCTTCTTCATCCGAGTCATAGGGTAAGGCAATGGCGAGTCACGAGACGCCCTGAAAACGCGCACATTCGTGCAGTGCTCATTCTCCATGCGGAAAAAGACCCAGATAAAGCGGCGGAAGATCTCTGCGAGGGCGATGCAGAAACTTGTTACCATGGATTGTTCGATCTGCTTGCTGAACAACGCGTAGAAGATCCACTGAAAGCGCAAAATTACATTCACCACGATAGCCGCGTAGTAGAAGAGCGGGTTCTTGAAGGCGAGGTCATTGCGCAAGAGCCGGTTCTTGGAGTTGGCCTGCATCAACGACCAGTCCATGAAGATGTCCCAGGCAGCACTGTAGATGGAGTTGATAATGGCAAACACAATGAAAATAGCACGGTGGGAGGTGGTGTTATCGATACGGTAAATGCTGAGGCACATGTAATACATAGCGGAGATGGTGTATTTGAGCATGTTAGCAAGGTGAGGGAACCAGTCGCCCGAGTCGCAATAACGGCGCCAGCACTGCAAGAACCGCCAGATGGACGGAAGAGTAGACAAGAAGCCCATGGCACGAGACTTGGACGATCCACAGTTCGAGGTGTTTGTCCCGTCGATGACCCCACGCCAGTCCGTGGCGTAGAGACAGATGAAGAATGAGATATTTCCCATGGTATAGGTCAACAGGCAAAAGATATCTCCCAAGAAGAAATCACGAAATTCTACCGGGTAGAACCCGCTGAAGAGGAGCCGCCAGAGAGCCACCTGCAACCACCGCCGACTGGAGCGGTAAAGCTGGTTGAAGGGCCAGAAGAAGATCCCAAGAAAGATTCCAATGTACATCCACGGCCAGTGGCGACCGGGAAACCGCGCAGGCCAGAAGTCGCTGAAACAAAACCAGCCGAACAACGCGATCATCACGAGCGAAAGTGAGGGGAGGAGAAAGTACTGGTGGAAATTGAGGTTGTCGTTCGGGTTGAACTCGAAGATAAACTTATAGTTCACCTTGAAATGCGCCCACACGATAAGATTCACCCCAAGGAGCAACGCCATGAGCGTTGCGAGAAGAAACCCGCCCCAGATCTGGAACATGAACCTGCCCTCGGGGTATGAATGAGCTAGCGTCACTTCAAGACCGCGGATTATCCCGAGCACAAGAAGAGGGATGGAAACCCCTATAAAGATGCCCGAGAGGAAAAGCGACATGTAGTGGTACTCCTCCTTCTCCTTGGAGCGGAGCATCTCTACTGCTTGCTTGCGGTTGCCGTTTTCAAAATAAATTGCGTACAAATCCCCCACGCGCGTGAACAAGTTGTCTAAAATCTCCGACGTGGAGAAGTATGAAGCGTTGATCTTCTCCATGTAGACGGGAAGAATCTTTGAACCAGTGGTCTTGTCAAACTTCTTAACCATCTTGCGGAATGCGGTGCGGTTAACAGTGCGGTACGACTTGAGTAACTCCAACCCACGGTGATACTCCAACATGGCGGTTTTGAGCATTCGTCTGGCGGTGAGGTATGGCACCTTGGACTTTTTTACCACATAATCGCCACGGTCTTCGCTCAACAGCTCGTTAGAACCATTCAAAAGCTCTACTGGGACGCCAATCTCCTCGATCTCCACTTCGGTCTTCCTCAAAAATCGGAGACGTGGCAACGTCGGCAATTCGAACCGATTCACCACCTCAAATATGTCCCGCGTCTTCTGCCCCAAGTCCGTAATGTTTTCTGCCAAGTTGTGGTCGATACCAAAGTGCGCGTCGGCTGGCACATGTCTAAGATGAATTTTGTGTTCACGTAATTGATACAACTGGTCCTGGAGCACGAGAAAGCGCTCTAGGAAGTCAGTCTCCTTCTCCTTGTAGAAGCGGTCGATCTTCGCGAATTCTGTGTCCAACCACTCCACAAAGAGTCGTTTCTCTCGCTCATACTGGAGTTCAAAGCCGTCCATCGAGTTTCGGCGCCCAAAGTTCATCGCAAAAGACTTGGCACGCTCTCGAAGTCGTGGAAATGGGTCTTCCGTGGCCGTGGTCGTGGCCCGTGACACTGACGTAAGCACTCGCTTTAGAGGCGTCCCCTCGCTGATATTCTGCACGATCGATTGCCTAATCATAGATGGGTGGGGGTGAATGTCTGAGTCGTGGTTATCCTCGGTGTATGCGATGTGGTCCTGCTCCAACAACGGCGTTACGTCCGTGTCTGAGCGCGGGTTACGGAGAGGCTCGCGAAACGTAACCGAGTGGGCCTCGCTTTGAATGCTGGCTTCTTCCACATCGGGATTAAGCGTGGTGGATAGGCGCCGACCAGAGGCAGCGGTTTTTTTGCTACGTAAGCTCTCCACGTCCTGCGACTGTGAAATGATCTTCTTCAACTTCTTTTTTCCAACCTGCTGGGATTAGTCACGGTACCCGGGGCGGCGAGTGCTACTTACCTTGTAGTCCAAATACTGGACCTTCCACTCGGGGACCAAGTCCTCGTTCAATTGTTGTGCGAACTTCATGAGGAAAGTGGCTAAGAGTAACAATATGATAGCCTGGTCATTTTACTTTATCTGGAGTAATATCTGGCCGCGCGGCTAGTAGCGCCAAATGCAGGTCAGCGATAAATGTGTGCGTATACGGGGCGGATTAATTAATGGGGGAATTTTCGTGAGGTAGAATATATATGCATAATATATTCTAGAGAATTCAAAGTCTCAGGGGTATCACTGTAGATATACTATCTTCGAATGAGAAAGCTCAACTGTTTAGCTAAACGGTGTATATATGTGTGGTATGTATAAGTGTCTTCTTAATATGAGCGTAAATTAAGTTATATATATATCCGAAATTAATTGAATAATATCGAGTTCATGATAGCACCTCTCAACGAACCACCTCTTAATCCTGCTGGACCTTGGCGTAGTTCGGCGGACGCAATTTACGTCTGATGGCCTTGGCGGCCCAGACAGGGAACAAGGAAATGGCAATAATCACTAACGTCTGCCAGATGAAGCTGACGCTCTGGACGTATTCTAAATCAAAATACTCGGTCAAAAACGGAATGGAGAAGAAGTAGAGCGCAAAGGTAACGACCTCCGAAATGACCATAGCCTTGCGCCAGGTATTAATCTCGATCCCCACCATAATCAACTCATTCAAAATCAACGCAGAGAAGGAAACGGCCACCATGCGTGTGAACACTTTCTCATCAAAGCCGCAAAAGACCTGTGCCAACCCCTGGATAACGGCGCCCTGGTAAACCGAGACCAACACCCACACAAAGAAGGTCTTGTAGGAGAGCGACTTTCCCTCAGTCAACTCCTTGTACAACTCGGGGTATACGGTGACCAAGCCCTCACTCACATCTGTATCAAGCACCATGGAGAACACCGGCATCATGGTGTAGACGGTCGAATAGCCCACCATTAACCAGCCCTTGTACAACGCGAGCGGCTCGAAGTGTGATGAAACCGAGTACACGGCTTGGCAGATGGAGATGAGCAAACCGCGGTGGATCACAAACTGCGCCACCTTGGCCGAGCGCTTGTACGAGTTGCGCCCGTGCCACAAGGTCAACTGCGTAAGGTGACAAAACTGCGTGATGGAAAAGTCGGCCGCGAGGGATGCCTGTTTGCCCTCCTTGCCGACGATGCCCACACCCACGTCTGCGCTGCGGATCATGCTGACGTCGTTGCCACCGTCACCGATGCAACACACGCGCTTGTTTGTAGCCGCACGGATGAGAAGCGCCACATCCGCCTTCTGCTGCGGCGTGCACCGGCACGCCACCACCACGGGAAGGCTCACGACAACCGCAAAGAACTCAGTCGGGAAGTAGCGAAGGTACACTGCAAGCGACTCGCCGTCAATCACGAGGCACGCGGACGGGTTTGCGCGGAGGTAGTCGAGCGCGCCAAGCGCGCTATCGGGCCGCACCATGCGTGTGATCGTGTGCACGATCTGGCCACGGCTGATCAACTTGGCACTAATGGCCACACACTTGGCCGTCTCGACCTTGTCACCTGTGAGCATCCAGATCTTGGCGCCCGCGTTGCGCAACAACTCGATGGAAAGCTTGACATCCTTCTGAAGCTTATCCTCAACCCCGGTCAACCCCAAGAGCTCGAGATCCGTCTCGAGGTACCGGGCTACGACCGTCTGCATCTGCTGGTCGCGGCCCGCCATCGCCAACGACGCCGTATAGTACTTGTCCGCAAACTCGCGGTAGAGGTTTTCAGTCAACCGCTTGCGCGCAACCACCAACGTACGCAAGCCCTCGCGCGCCATGTTACCCGTTTCTTCCTCGAGCCAGTCGTTCTTCTGCACGATCCCCGCCATGACCGTGTCCGCACCCTTCTGAAGGAACCAGAGTTCGTCACGCTCATTACGCACCACAATTCCCATGCGCTTGGTGTCGGATGTGAACGGAAACGTCTGGAGAATTTCGAAGCCCTCGGGCCTGTGCGTGGCCTCATGGATGAGCGTCATGGAGTGACGGTCGCGGCGATACAACGCCAAACCCATGCGTTCGGTGAAGGTGACGATGGCCACCTCATCGGGTGATGCTGCCTGGTACGTGACGGTGCCGTCCTCCACGGTCGGTGTGACATTGTGGCAGAGCGCCAACGCGGTTACGAGGTCTCGCACACGCGCACCCATATCGCGCCGGCTCTTGGGCGCACCACCGCCACGCACATACTCGTCAACCATGTCGAACGACTCACCCGCGTACGAAACCGTCCCCAAGTGGAGCTTCTTCATCTCCATGTCGTTCTGCGTCAACGTACCCGTCTTGTCGCTGAGAAGATACTCGATACGCCCGAGATCCTCTGGGATCGTTGATGTCCGCACGATCGTGTCAGGAATATTGGAGTCTCGTTCGATCTGGTACGCGTACACAGTCTTGCCCAAATCAAGATTCACGCGCAAGCTCACGGGGATGATGGTGGAGAAGAGGATCAAAAAGCGCATAATATCGAGGTACCAGAGCTTTTGGAAGCCCTCGCATGCCACGAGCACCACCGATAGCACCAACACCACCGCGCAGAGAATCTTCGACAACCGGTTAATCTCCTCCTCGAGGAGCCCGGTCTTGGCCCCTGCCTGCGTTGTGTTCATCACCTGTCGAGTGTCCGCACCCGTGTAAACAACAATCCCGACCGCCGTCCCGGACGCAAGCACCGTGTTAGCCCACAACGTCTGGTCGACGGATAAGGCGAGAGTGTGGCCCTGGAACGTGAGTGTACCGAGGAAGGCATCGATCTCTTTTGACGGCGCGGACGCCACCACCGCCACCTGCTGCAACTGCGCGGCCACCGCGCCCTGTGTCGCAGCAGGTGCAACACGCAACTTCCAGTCGGTCTCGCCGTCAAGCTGGTCCGTCTTGACGAATGCTTCGCCAGTGGCCTCGGAAGATTGAAGTAACACCATATCCGCAGGCACGCGGCGGCCCTTGGGGAGCTTGACCACGTCACCGACAACGAGGCTGCGCGCGGGCACAAGCGACCCCTCGAGCATCTCATACATTTCATTGTTCTGTTCGCTGTCACGGCGCCGGCGGCGGATGTCGTCGAGCGCCTCTTTGAACATTGTCACAGAGAGCACGAACGCCAAGGGCACAATGTAGGATGAGAGGTAGCCGATGCGCAACTGCGGTATCGCCTGTGAGAGCGCGACAACGAGGAAGTAGAGGTTGAAGAAAAACTTGAATTGCTCGTAGAGCACTATCGGGATAAACGATGCGGCGTTGTACTTGGAGTTGGAGATCGCGTTGGAGGGGTACTTGGCGGTGTTCATGCCAGGGTAGACGTCCCGAGAGCGAGTACTCGCCTGTTCCTCATCTCCATGTTGCAGAGGAGTATTGTGCTGTGGAATCTCTGAGAGTGTGATGTTTTTGCGGAAAATTTTGGCAAAAAGCGCCGCGAGACCAAGTCGCGTCGAGGGCGAGTGCGCGTGCACGTTCATAAGTGGCGCGTGGTCGTCAAACGAGGTCTTTGGCAGGCCGTCCATGGAGGTTAAGGGGATTGCCACCAGATCGATAGAATAGCTGTGTGAATAAAGCGACGCGTGGCTGGGCTCGGCCTCGAGAGAATAGTCCAAGTCGCCAAAGGAGTCTGTGAGGGAGTGCGTGCTGGAGCGGCGTGACATCGAGGATGGCAATTAGACAGCAAGACGAAGACACAATTGGCGAAATAGTTACAAGTGTACGTCTGCGGGCTAACACGTATGTGTAGGTTATCGGTAAATTTCTGGGCGTGTGTTGAGTCGTACCAGCAAACTGCGTTTTATTCTCAGCTTTAAGTTAACAGGTATATGGAGCTCAGCCGAGTGACAATGCTACCGTGGCACGACACGTGACTGGAGAAGGGCTACCAGCAAGGTAACACTGCTTTGGTCTAACGTGATTGACGAGTTTCTCAGGATGTATAGTAGAAACACTGTCCATTTAAGAGCCAACAGTGGGCAATGTTATTATTGTGATATAGGCCTACTGGCCTGTATAAGGATGATAAGCAATGCTAAGGGAACATTTATGCACCCCCATAAATACGCCATGGGCATTTGAACAGCTGTCTCGCACTCATTTGTAGTGGAAAACTGTGAATCAGCGGAAAGTTTTATCGAAAAATAATTCTTGCCTAAATGCTATAGTGATGGTTTTTTTTAAAAAAAAATCGGGATATTCTCTCATATTCATCCTGATTACCTGCTGTCTGAACTGAAGCTGAATGTGACATTTGGCCCAAATAACCAATTATTCCTGTACAATTTCCCGGTATATGGCCATAAAAGTATCGTTGATAAAACACTAAACGGGGGACTTGCCATCTTTTTACTAAATTTGTGAGTTCTTCCCTACGCATCAGTATATCACATCGTGGTCTAGCCATGTTTGAGCGACCAGTTGAAGCGTGGGCATAATCACTGGGCGTAACTTTCAAGCTATGTGAGTTGGACCGCGAAACCAATGGCATACAAATGACACGCTACATCGAGGCTTGGTCCACGGGTTTAAGCGGTGGTAACCGTAATATGCACCCTGGCATTCATGCATGACACATCTGTAATCGACTCTCAGCCCAGTACCAATAAGTGTTGGTTCATACATCTACTCAATGTAATTTCATAGCTTTGATTAATACATAACTCCGCGTCTCCATAGGTACGATTCTATAATAGCCACAGCCGGTGCCTCTATCTACAATTCGTCCTCGGTATACTTTTTCGGTCCCTCACGTCTATCTCAAGGCACCAGCCTTCTGCAAGGAAATCCACTGGAGCAATTGGATAAACACTAAGTCCAACTGGTCCTTGCAGCTGAACAACAACCCCTGGACAATTACTCCCTTGCTCAACTGCGGCAACACTCCCTTCCACAATCCGCGTGGGCCATCGGTCTGGTACAAGTAGATCAACGCCTCGTTGAACGTCTTGAACTTGCGGTTCCCGGTTTCGGCACCGTCTTCGGCCTCCTTACCACTGCCTGATCTGTGTTTCTTCTGTAACAACGCCTTGGAAATGATTAATGGTTGGGTGGCAATGGTTGCACAGGTCTTGGAGACCATCCCGGCAACGAAGCTCTCCCATGGCTTCAAGTGCTTCCTGTTCTGGAACGCAACAGTTCTTAATCTCTCAAACACCCCATAGGTGATGGATGGGTTAATGCACAAGATCTGGCTGACCTTCAAGCCGGCCCAGAACCCGGTGATCCCGTCTTCCTTGTAAATGTCCTGGATGACTCCGATGATGGACTTTTGCTGGGGGTCGGTCTGCTGCTTGGTGGAGATGACGCCGACCGGCAATGTGAACATGTTGGAGATGGCCGCGGCAGCCATACCTAACAACAACTCCACCGAAGTGGAATTGCTGGTGCTGCCGCCTCTTTTGGCCACCCAAGACGCGTAGACCCTGCGCACAACCGTATACCAGTAGAAGTAGCCAAAGTTCTGCACGGCACAGCCTGCTAAACTGGAGAAGAGACCGTGGTACAAGCCCGGAATCCCGCGCTTCGCGTACACCTTCTTGAACACATCCATAGTGTTCTTGAACTCCTTATTATCGTGCTGCTGCGTCTGGATGACTGTCTTTGCCAAATCCAACGGGTATACGGAGGCGTTGGCGACCATGGCCGCCAAGGCGCCAGACGCCGCTTTTTCTGCTGGTGTTAAAGACATTATGGAAGTCTTGTAAATCGTGGGTTAAATGTGTGCTATGGCGTGTGCGGTGGAGAATCGACGGAGACTAGTGTATTTATACAGAGCCTTCCCCGCTAACTTTGGAAATCAGAGCCGGCCCGCATGATCGGCCTGAAGGCTCTGTTTTTCTTTTTTCCGAATTATCGGGGAAATCCTTATGCAACAGGCTTTTCCCATCTCACACGCCATTATCTCACGCGCCTTTCCGCTGTACCGCCCAGAGAAAGTCGGTAGGATTGTACCAAGCGTATATGTATTGACCGCCCCCTTTAAAATGGTCCTTGTAGGGATACCTGGATTTATTTCCGCAAAAGTTCCGCAGGGGCCGTGTTGTGTCAGGTTTTCACCGCCACGTGAGGATTGCCCGCCTTTAGCCCCTCTCGCACTATCGCTGGGTCTCGGGGAAGTGTGGAGCTGCGGCTTAGACCGAATTCTACCTTATGGTCAAAACTCAAATATCACACCCGACAGAGGGTTTATAGAGACTACGCGGCTTAAGACTAGGATATGTGCTACAAGTTTCAGGTTTATTTTCAACCATACTTTTCAGCCTCCTGGTGTGAACATTTCATTCATCACCCCCCCCTTCATTGAACGATTCGCCACACTTCATGGATGTGGCTGGGTTATCTCGGATAAGGTTCGGTAAGCGGACTTCGGTGAGTGACATGCCGACGTAGAGGGAAAAGGGATGGGCAACTGCAGCCAGAATTTTTTTTTCGAAAGGGGTAAAAACCTTACCGTCTCGGCTCCGGGTGGTAGATCGGTCCGCGCTAGCGAAATCTATAGTATTAACCCGACGTTACCTTTACCCTTCAATTTCTTTAAAGGCGCACCCTTCTCAAAAAGATAATCGTAGTTTGGAAAGGGTTTATCTGCTGTAACAGCTCTCGTATCATGCCCTAAATGCCTTATCTGCACCCTCCCCCCACGATACCACGCTAACTAACCGTGGAAACATTCAGCTATCGACAGGGGGAAATGGCTCCGGTTCATGCAGGACGATATATCACGTGTGTGTACTCAGCCCTAGTTTTTCTCACATGACTTACGGCATGCCTCGTATAAACAAGTCACAAAGCGAGCGTCAAAAAATTGGTTAACGAAAAAATTTTCCACTACCTCCTGCATACACCCTTCCTGGTCCTTCTCCTGCCTCTGCCAGCCGCCTCCTTCTTGTCTCAAAATCTTCATGCTTGTGTGCCGGATCATTCACTTTAGTATTGCGGACATGCTGTCTGTGCGCGGTACCTGTTCTCTATGGTAGTGTACCGTACTGAGCGAAGGCCCGAGTGTTAGGCAGGCGCATACTGTGAGGGCGAGAAACCTTCGCTGTCCCACTGTCCGTTTGCTACTACCAGAAAAAATATTTCAGGCTACTTCAAAAGTATTTGAAAAAGGACCGTTTTTAATCCTTCTTACACACTAAAGACAATTATCAAAAATGGGTAAAGGTAAGCCAAGAGGTCTTAACGCCGCCAGAAAGTTGCGTGTCCACCGTCGTGACAACAGATGGGCTGATCAACAGTACAAGGCCAGATTGTTAGGGACCGCCTTCAAGTCCTCTCCATTCGGTGGTTCTTCCCACGCCAAGGGTATTGTGTTGGAAAAGATTGGGATTGAGTCCAAGCAGCCAAACTCCGCTATCAGAAAGTGTGTCAGAGTCCAGTTGATCAAGAACGGTAAGAAAGTCACCGCCTTCGTGCCAAATGATGGTTGTTTGAACTTTGTCGACGAAAACGACGAAGTCTTGTTGTCCGGGTTCGGTAGAAGAGGTAAGGCTAAGGGTGATATTCCAGGTGTCCGTTTCAAGGTCGTCAAGGTCTCCGGTGTCTCCTTGTTGGCTTTGTGGAAGGAGAAGAAGGAAAAGCCAAGATCTTAAGTTATGTCAAATGCTGTTTATTATCGTTACGCCTTATTTGATTCCTTATTGATCCACGCATATTACTACCTATGTTGTTAATTTTTTTTCCAACGTGCTGCTTATGTTAATGGTTCCTACTTCCGCTATATCTATGAATATAAAACTTATTAAAGATCTACGAAATGATGAATCCAGAAGGGGGTAGCGAGTAACATGCTCATTCTGTCATCCTATTGTATTTTACTCTCGTAGTGCTTCATAGTTTCGCATCTCTGAGGGAGGGACATTAACCCTGTTGGTAGCCAGGCTGTTCAGCTAGCGAGAGGGTTCGTTGAACCAAAAACCGCTTTCTCTTTTAGCCGACTTGAAGATCGAGTGATGGCCAAAACCCACTACGGTATGCTGTAAGAAACTCTCCATCCCAGGGCAACGTGTTACCACTTGTGTTTTGATCGCTAAGCTCCAACAGCCTTGATGTACGCTGTCTTGTTACTATCCTATAGACAGGGCAATGGCACGTATAGTATATAATTGTAGGCTTGAACCGATTTTAATGTGTCGTTGGTACAGATCTGACATCCTTGCATCCATATGCGTAAAGTATGCTTCCTGCAAACACCTGTACTACGTAAATCGGGCGACAGACACTTTCATAGCAAATATGCGATCAATACCAATACTAAATGATTATCAGCACAAATAACATTCAAAACTACAAATTATATATATGTAATTTTGCAGTCGATATTGATCTTACAACCATGTCGATGATATTATTAATAATATTAAATTTTTGCTTATTAACCTTTTAAATTATCACAGTATATAGGATATACATTTTGTAAAATTCATTACAAATTTCATTCTTCGTTGGAATGTTCATTTAAATAAATTTACCAACAATTATAGCGGATATTATTCATGTATACTCTTCAAGCATATTAGTAAATGATACGAGTTGCTGTTTTAAACTTGTATATATGCTATTCTGTCTCATATATATAGGTATTATCGAAGTCTACGCGTATGTACACCATGGTACCGCAACACGCTTATCGGATGCCGATTTGAGCCTGAACTCCGACATAACACCAAACTGCATCTTCAGGCTCAAATCTTTGTCCAAGTCAGTTTCTCACACGCCATTAAGCTCGTAATAGACCACTGCCAACCAATTAGTTCGCTATTCACAGCTTGTCGAGAACGATTTCAGCCCTTCCAATAAACGTCACGTGGGAAACGCGCTTTCGATTCCTGTGCAGTCGCGCGAATCAGTACGTGGGGAAAATAAGAAAAATACACGGCTACCACGACGCGTCAAAATCGTTACAAAAAGCCCCTCAAAAACGCCATAACGGGACCTTCTTCCTTCCACCCTCTTAACCAGCATCTGTCCCACGAAATGTCGAGCGCCAGACCAGATTTGAAGTTCTCAGATTCCTCTGATGAGAGAAACTTCTACAAGAAGTTCACTCAGTTACCGCCAAAGCCAAACCCCGATGCCACCTTACGAATCATCGACAACAGAGACTATTACATTCTCATTGAAGAAGACGCGATTGCTGTGGCGGAAACGATCTACAAAACCTTAGCCGTTATCAAAACATCCACGAGCTTCGGCAAGACATACAAGTACCTTACCTTGTCGCCGGCGGTTTTGGCCAACGTGTTAAAGATCTTTGTGGTGGCGATGAACTTCAAGGTTGAAATCTACGACAAAAACAACCAGTTTTCTATGATTCATCTCATCACCCCAGGGAATTACTTGGAAAGCATTGAAGATTTGAACATTGCGGGCGCCGCCGTGACGGCTGATGACGTCTCTGTCTCCGCTGCTGCGCCTATCACCGCTGCCTTGAAGTACAGGACCAACGCTAAGGATGGCTCGCTCAACTTTGGGGTGTGCTTCATCGACTTGTTTAACAAAGAGATCGGGCTCTGCGAGTTCATCGACAACGAACACTTCGGGAACTTGGAGTCATGCTTGTTGCAGCTAGGTGTGAAGGAGTGCATCGTGCAGGCTGCCAAGGACGATCTCTCTGCGAAGTTGAGGCAGGTGATTGACAGAATTGGGATTGTCATCTCTGAAAGCAGCGCTAGAACGTCTACAGACGATGGCTCGATCGAATCGGACTTGCTCAAGTTGGTGGACGAAGAGTACCACGGTGTGGTAGTTACTGCGAACGGGAAGAACCAGCAGGACACACTGAGACTCGCCTTCCACGCGTCGCACCTCCTCATGAGTTACTTGAACTTGTTAAACAGCGATGCCAACCAGGGGATCTACAAACTCTTTCAGCACAACTTGTCGAGCTTTGTGAAGTTGGATTCGTCAACGGTCAAAGCGTTAAACATTTTTCCTAATCCCTCCACCGCGTCGTCCAGCCCCGCCACTTCTTCCTTGTTTGGACTCTTGAACAAGTGCAAGTCTATGGCTGGCAGCCGGTTGTTGTCCACCTGGTTGAAGCAGCCGTTGACCAACGTCCGTGAGATTAACGAAAGATTGAACTTGGTGGAGACGTTGATCAACGACCAGCAACTCCTTCTCAGCTTGGTGAATGACAATTTGAGCATGGTTCCTGACTTGAAAAAGATCATCAAGAAGATTCTCGCCGCCACCGAAATGTATGGCAACAACTCCCGCGCGCGAGCCACATTGGAAGATGTGGTCCGAATCTACCAGTTGATCATCAAATTGCCCGACTTCTTGGCCACGCTTGAGTACGGCGTGGGGGATGTGGACGCCAATAACGAGACCGAAACCGAGGCCAAGAAGGACTTGGTACAGCGTTTCTGGATGGCCCCCTTGACAGAGTGCAACCTGCACTTGGTAAAATTGCAGGAGTTGATCGAAACAACGATTGACTTGGAGGCGTTGGACAACCACGAATTCATCATCAAGCCTGAGTTTGATGACGAATTGTTGACCATCAGAGACCAGATCCAGCAGGTGAACAACGAAATCGCCCAAATTCATAGCCAGGCTGCAGATGACTTGAATATCGACGGCGCCAAGTTGAAGTTGGACAGCCACCAGCAGCATGGCTGGTGCTTGCGCTTAACGCGAATCGACTCCGCCGTGTTGAGAAAGTCGTCTGCCAAATTCATCGAGCTCCAGACGATCAAGGCCGGTGTTTTCTTCACCAACAAGGAGTTGAAGGCCAAGTCTGAGGAGTACAGGGTCTTGAATGCGGACTATGAAGCGAAGCAGTCGGTTTTGGTCAAGGAAATCATCGGCATCACCGCTTCCTACACCCCCATCTTGAACAAACTTTCGGAGGTTTTGGCTCATTTGGATGTCATCTGCGCGTTTGCCAACGTCTCCACCACCGTCGCCCCGATTCCGTACGTCAAGCCTACCATCACTACGTTTGCCTCGGATGCCGACGCCAAGGTGGTCTTGAAGGACTCCAGACACCCGTTGTTGGAGCTCCAGGATGACGTCTCCTTTATTGCCAACGACATCGAGCTCGTTAGAGATGAACAGGACTTTCTTATCATTACCGGGCCCAACATGGGGGGCAAGTCGACTTACATCCGCCAGTTGGGCTGCATCTCGCTTTTAGCACAGTGTGGCTGCTTCGTGCCGTGTTCCAGCGCCGAATTGAGCATCTTCGACTGCATCTTATCGCGTGTGGGCGCCTCCGACTCGCAATTGAAGGGATTGTCCACCTTCATGGCGGAAATGCTCGAGACGTCTAACATTTTGAGACAGGCTACGGCTAATTCATTGATAATTATCGATGAGTTGGGCAGAGGTACGTCGACCTACGATGGGTTTGGTTTGGCGTACGCCATTTCGGAGCATATCGCCACTACTTTACGATGCTTCACGTTGTTTGCGACGCATTTCCACGAGTTGACCGCGTTGTCTACGAAGATCTCTTCGATTAAGAACTACCATGTGGTGGCTCACATCAACGAGAAGGAGACCCCTATGGATGGGGTCAAGAACGATGACATCACGTTGTTGTACAAGGTGGAGCCGGGCATCTCCGATCAGTCGTTTGGTATCCACGTCGCGGAGTTGGTCAAGTTCCCTACCAAAATCGTGAACATGGCCAAGCGGAAGGCCTCGGAGTTGGAAGACTACGTCAACGGAGACATCAGCGACGCCCGGCAGCGCGAAGAGGACCCTTATATCAAGGACAAGAAGACCAAATGCAGCCCTGCGGAAATTTCCAAGGGCGAGGCCGCATTGAAGGAGATCTTGATCGCTTGGAAGGCTCAGGTGGGAGAGTCCTACACCAGCGCCGAGGCCGTCCAGGTCTTGAAAGAGGTATTCGAGGCTCGTAGGGAGGAAGCAGAAAACAATAAGTTTCTTCAGGAGATTGTCTCCATGCTTTAGTATATGTGTGTTTATTTTATGATAGTAACTGGTATATTCGTTCGGATATATGTAAGCTGCCCACGACGTATACTAAATGAGACCGTGTGGTTTGTCTCTCCACAACATGCGTGTACAGCGTAGGAAATGAGGTTATACGATTATTTAAACCAGCGGCGCCAGACTTTCATCAATGTTGGTAAAAAAAAAAACGATATGCCAATCCTACCCCCTAAGACAGCAAACTTAGTCTGTAAATATGATTACAAAAGCTCAGGGTTGTAATGTGAAACAATGCATGTGGCAATACATACACGTGGGTAACAAGACTTGGGCCGGGGTAAATTATGCTCTCACATTTGCCAGCATTGCAGCTCGGAGGAGTACTCATAATGAAGATATTTTAGGGGAGGTACACCTTTGGGATGTTCAGCTATAAGGCATAATTAACACATTATGATTGGGCCCAAATTAAAGTAGTTTGTCCCTGTGAAGGTTATAAAGCTTGCAGGTGTACCCCCCCGATCTATTGCGATCCCTACGTTCAGAAGTGTGTCTGCGTGGCCCGAGGGAGAGACAGATTCTGTCAGGAGTGCTTAGGTCATCCCACATGAATATCTCACCTTCCTGCCCCCCTCTGGATACTATGCGTTATAATGTCAATTATCCCCTGAACGAAATTACGAACCGGCCTAAAGCGCAAATTGGTACCTGCTGCACCTCCAGACCACATTCCGATCCTCACCCCGCGCTTTGGCCACACAAAGAAAAACTGCGGCTTTTCAAAGTAAAGTCCTGTGTGCCGGAGGAATATTCATACGCCTAGATTCAGCCCGGCGGTTGGATCCCTGCCCCCAGAGCTAATATAGCCGTGACCCTTATCCCATTTGTAGCTGTAATTTCGTGTTATTCTCTAATCCATTTTATCATCTGTTACTATACCTTCAAACCTTTGCTTTGAACATTAAAAGAACATCAAATATGCCAGGATTGCGCCGTTCCGCCAGAGTTGCCTCCAGAACCGATGTCGTTGTCGTCTCTGCGCCACCAGCCAAGAAACAAAAGGCTGTGAAGGCCAAGAAGGAAGAAATCGCCAATGGTGGTGCCAAATCCAAGGAACAAGCTAAGGAATCGGAAAAGGAAGAAGAAGAGGAAGTTTCTAAGGAATTGGAAGAGGGCGACAAGCTCCCAGAAAATATCACCTTAAAGGATGATAACTCCAACGACATCAACCTCTTCAAGCTCACCGAGGATTCCGATGACAAGAGACGCATTGTTGTGTTGTTTTCCTACCCAAAGGCTTCTACCCCGGGATGCACCAGACAGGCGCAGGGCTACAGAGACAACTACGAGGAATTGAAGTCCAAGGCGTATGTGTTCGGGATCTCCGCCGACTCCATTACTTCCCAGAGAAACTTTGCGCAGAAGCATGGCTTCCAGTACCCATTGCTCTCTGACCCTAAGCGGGAGTTGGTGGGCATCTTGGGCGGTAAGAAGAGTCCAGCCAGCGGCGTGGCCAGATCCCACTGGGTCTTTGTCGACGGTGTTTTGAAGCACAAGCACGTTGGGATTTCCCCGGAAAACTCTGTCAAGCTCGGAAAGCAAGAAGTCGACGCATTGTTCGAGGAATTGAACAAGGCTTAGGTACTAAAAGTTGGCAGCTGCCATTCTCATTGTGTATTTTCATCAACGTTGTAACTCAAGCAAAGGATATGGAGACAATAGCAAGGGGTCAGTGTATGAATGGAGCGGTGGAAACGGTGCGCGAGACTGTTTCGCGGCTGGCCCTATTTTTTCATCTTCAGAGCCGTGTACCTCTTGGTCTACAAGCTTTGCATGTCGATAGACTAATATTATATATACAGATTTTATACGTCAACAGTGAGCCAAACACTGGATGGACTTTGAAGGCATTATCAATCTAGAACTGTCTCTTGACAAAGTGGTAGACGATTGGGGTCACGTACAAGGCGGCGGCAACGAGACCAGCAAACTTCAAGGTCTCGTTGGTGGCTTGTTGAAGCATCTTCTTTTCTTCTTCGGTTGGTTGAGGTTGGCCGCCGAACATTTTGATTGATTATGGATAAGATACACCTTTTTCCAGGCTCTCGCTGCTCTTCACCTGCTTAAAATCGCCATCGAATTTTCCGCCGACGTTCCTTTTTGCTGGTGAGCACACGACCGTTATTTTTCAATTACCCGCTGTATCGTACATGTTACCACTGATTAATAGCAACAGGGAAACAAGGGATACAAGACTAACAGACTACAAACACAGAATGTCCGATAACGAATTATCCCCACCCAACGATGATAACTCCGACTTTTCCGACTTGTCGGATGTCGACGAAGAGCAGGTATTGGAGGATGACGTGGCGCAGGACTTGATTCGTGACTTACAGTCGCAAAAGAGAAGTAAACCGGAGGGCTCACAGGCGCCGAAGAAGAAAGTCCGCAGGGTTCGGGACGATGACAGAGAGTTGAGCGCCAGGGGCTTGCGCGATGAAGATGAGGGTGACTATGCACCGGTCATGGGCACCCAGGAGGGGTTGAGGGGCATCCACGCCAAGATGGACGCCGCCTTAAGAGGCAACAAGACGTCGAGAAGAAAGAAGGACGAACACGATCTCGAGCAGATTCAGGATGAATTGATCGACAATTTGCGCCGCCGCATGACCGACGCCGCTAGACAGGACGCGGAGGCGGTGGAGAAGGGAGAGATTGCAGCGAACAAATTGTCGCTCTTGCCAGAGGTGAGGGACGTGCTCTTGCGCTCCAACTATGCGGTGGCAATTTTAGACAACAATTTGCTCGATGCTGTCAGATTGTGGTTGGAGCCGTTGCCGGACAGATCCTTGCCTGCATACGAGATCCAGAAGACGTTGTTGAGCGCGGTGCAAAACTTGCCCATCTCCACCGACCACTTGTCGGCGTCTGGGTTGGGCAAGATAATGGTGTTTTATCAGCGCTCTAAGAAGGTGGAGCCTGCGTTGAAGAAGATCGCGGAGAGCCTCATTGGTGAATGGACCAGACCGATCATGAAGAAGTCGGACAACTACAGAAACAAGCAGATCGAAACCACTGACTTTGACGTGAACAAGTTCTTGAACAACTATGCGTTGAACAAGAACAAACTCACCGCCGCTGCCGAGAGTGAGCAGAAGACGTTGTACCAGGAGTCTGCCGAGAGACGTAAGAGAGCCGCGGCCCCGACCGCCAGATCGACCGCCTACAAAATCGCGCCAAAGGTGGACCTCTCGTCGCTTAGAAGTAACAAACCAAACGAGATTGGCAGTGGTGCCTTGAAGGGCGAGACCTACAGAAACATCAACAGCAGGTTGCAGAGTTTGGGTGGCAGAAAGAAGACCACCAAGAAAGGCGGTGTCAGTATCGAGGGCAGAGGTGTCAAGTTGGCGTAGCCCCTGTGTATTAATAAATGTATTTTAATTACGAGAACTGGTGCGTATCTATGGAAAGCTGGATATTTGAGGAGGTCAGAGTAGGGTCCGTGGGAGAGAGATAATATTAGGTATATGTTATATATGCTCGACACCCCGATACTTAGATCATCTCCACCTGGTCCCACTACCGGTTCTCAGCTAGGGTGCTTATCGCAGATAGAGAATTAGGAGAAACCTTACGGGAGATAAGCTTGTTCGATGGTTGGATAATGTAGTTCTGCAATCCTTGAGTTTAATACGGATATTTGCAGAAAGTTTCGAAAAATGGCGGGTATTTATATTATGGATATTACTGTAAATTGGTTGGTGACTCAGTATATCATCCTGCATATAACTGTTTAGAAGCGCATCGGATATGAACCATCACCGAAGTTGGATATTTGATCTTTGCACTAAAACACTCAAGTATGACCAAATTCAGAGGCTGTATAGATATCCACTCAGGCCAAGTCAAGCAAATTGTCGGTGGGACCTTGGTGTCTGACGATAGAGACGACCCCAACGACGTCCAGACCAACTTTACGTCAGAAAAGCCGTCCTCTTACTACGCGCAGCTCTACAAGCAGAGCCAATTGACTGGCTGCCACGTCATTAAGCTTGGGTCACTTCCAACGAATGACGAAGCGGCCTTGAGCGCCGTGAAAACCTGGCCCCACGGCCTCCAGGTGGGCGGTGGGATTACTGACGCGAATGCCAAATGGTGGATCGAACAGGGCGCCTCTCACGTTATCATCACTTCGTGGCTCTTTCCTGCCGGCGAGTTTTCGCTTGAAAGGTTGCAGAACGTTTCCAAGAGCGTTGGCAAGAAGCATTTAGTCGTTGACTTGAGCTGCCGCACTGTGGTCAACGCCGCTGGAGATAATGAATGGGTCGTGGCCATGAACAAGTGGCAGACCTTGACATCCAGCAAGCTCTCCGCTCAGTTTTTCAGAGACCTTAGTAAGTACTGTGATGAGTTTTTAGTCCACGCTGCCGACGTTGAGGGGTTATGCAACGGGATCGACGAGGAGTTGGTGACCAGATTGGGCGAATGGTGTGGCAAGTTGGACGTTCCGGTCACCTACGCCGGTGGTGCAAAGAGTATCAATGACTTGGCGCTTGTCCAGAAGTTGAGTAACGGTAGCGTTGATTTGACATTTGGCAGTGCTTTGGACATCTTTGGGGGGGAACTCGTCACCTTCGACGATCTTATCAAGTGGAACCAGGAACATTGAGCTGTGAATACGAATAATTGTAATGAAATTGAGTCGGGTGTAAACCTACCAGAAACTGTTCAGGATCTTGATACGCATATGGCAGCTCAAGAGCCTGTTGATGGCTAACTCCTAAGCTGTTTGTTTTAGGCATTAAATTCATAAAACTACTCCCCCACATCTGGCACGAATCTATCTACCAATAAAGTTGAGCATGCTCTATATTTATTATACCCTTAAATGCAGATGGAACGATCATGTAAATAGGAAACGTGGAGGTATGCCTCTGCGTACCTTCTCCACCAGTCTCACGATTGGCTCCCGACTCCACCGGCTAGCTTGTGAACATAGTAGTTTATTAGCGAATCATACGCACGCTTGTCCAATCTGTACAAGTTTGCGGCATCAATGTTCAACGGACTGTCGGGCTCCGGATCCGTCAATAACAGAACAATCGCCATGGCCGCGTTTAGGAGGTTCCACGCGGGAGACCAGCCTCCATCCTTGGCACTGGCGTCGAGCAAGCTAAGACAGATCTCACCGGTCTCGAAGTTGATGTTCGGATGGATGATTTGGGTCACAAAGGATATTTTCGGAGGCTGGGTGGGATAAGTGGGCGGCACATCAATTTTGAGCACCCAGGTCCCACCCTCGTAAGGAGAGTCTTCCGGCCCGCTGATCGTGCAATCCCAATGGTGCATGTCAACCTCGGCGTCAGGAGAAGGTTTACTGGGCTGTAGATCAACAATATTTGGTGGGAGTGTGTTGGCAGACTGGTGGTCCTGGACGGATTTGTACTCCTTCATCAAGCGTTTTAACGAGTTCATAGTGGCGGGATATGCCGAAGGAATTCCCTGGGATCGAGTCGGTATAAAGTGTGGTCAAGACAAGAGCGTGATAAGGGTTAAGCACGTAACGGCGTTCGGCAGGATTTTCAGCACTTTTTGTGGAGAATCACACTGTGACGAGCGTCGTATCTTATCGTAGAACTACCAGGAATATTAATTTCGCGAACATAATAATTTTCGCGAATAAACAACGCCCGTTCACCCAGACCTACAGCATTTGCATGAGCAGACATGAGTATTGAGTTTCGACACTATTCAGATTTGATTTGCCGATGGCTTGATACTTCTAGGATAGGGGGAACCACCCCGCTGGCCCACGTTTTGAACACTTCGAGAAAATCGTCCACACTCTCCGCATCTAAAAGCTCCTTTTTCGGGATTGACTCCTTCGCCAACCGTTTCCATTTACTATCGGCCACAGACGACCGACTTAATTCCAATAGCGTAGAAAGATAAATTCCAAGTTCCGGCATCACCTGTTTTTCTTGATCGCACAAGGTTCTCTCATTGTCCATGGAAAACCTGGCCGTCAACCAGAGAAGGGTTTGGAAGCGGGGAAAAGTGAATTTCCGGGGAACTTTGGTCGCTTGTTCAATGCGCGCTAGCTTGACCTGCTGGGGGATGTTAAATATCGTCAAGAAGTTACCCCCTATGACGACGGTATCGACGGGTGTGTAAACGGCATGGATCCAACCAGAGGGGATGATAAACGCATCGCCCTCATACAAGTCTACCCTGATACCACCAGTGACAAAGTCGCCGAGCCAGACTTGGTTCTGGTCCCCTCTCAAGCACCACGTTTCATATGCCTTCAAATTAGTGGTGGAAGGCGGGTACATGAGAAACGTTTTCTGGCCCTTGATTACCGTGTAGTACACAGAACTTCCTCCAAAATCGACGTGAAAGTCTGTAAACGACTTTGCCACAGACATCAAACAATACATCGTAACTTGGGGTCTTTCCTTGAACAACACCTCATCGGGACTGGTCAAATCCCACACCCGGTCAACCAAGTCCTGCGTCTGCACGTAGTGGGGCCTTTGCACGCGGGAACTCAACTCGGGAAACTGCGATATCTCCAAGCTGATCACATTGCGGATCCGGTCCCGGTCTTCCGACGGGGAATTAAAGTAATCTCGCCACATTCCAGCGGTCCAGTTGGGGCACCCGTTCTGTGTAAGCACATCCATGACCTCTATCGGCGCGTCTTCGCCAATAAACCCCACCACCTCTGTCACCGTAAGCGTGGTCGGTACCTCAAGGCCAAGTCCATCGCGTTTAGCTCGCGGGATGTATACCGGGGTTGGTAGACCCGTGACCATGGCGTAATCCGAGGTGAATGTTTTCCCGTGTAGAGTGACGACCGCATCTGTACCTGTAAATGACAAAAGCTTCAGGATGTGAGGGTGGTTGAACTTGTCAAGCGCTAGCACGTTCCCGTTGCCTTCATTGAGCGCGACATAATCTATCTGCACCCTCTGTCGCTTGGATTTGCGCTTGTAAACCGATGGTCCGTTTGCGTCGAAACACTTCGAGCAATGATATTCGGAGATGCTGTCTCCCTCCAGGGCGGTGAGGTGCACGCAGTGGTTGTGGTACCACTGGTCGCAGATATTGCACTGGATCCAATTGATTCGTATCTTCTGGGACTCATCAGAGCATAATGGACATTCTTCGAGGGAAAACATAGCCTGTAGGTCTTGTCTCAACCACTAATCGCAAAACCTTTCAAGACGAACCAGCACAATTACTATTGCTGCATGTCGCGACATGCAGCACCCCAAAGGGTCGTGCGTAGATCACACTTTAGCTACCTGTTTCGAATCTCAATTTTTCCAATAAGTGCATTGACTGAAAAATGCTGTGAGCTTGGAGATATGATTCCAGTTATCGACCGTATCCACCAGATGTTGTCACTTAACAGGTCCATTATACAGGTATCTAAAATCCAGAGCCGTGCCTTCTCTCAGTCTTTGAGAGCGGCCAACGAAGCCAAGGCGGAAGCGCCAGAAGCGGCCAACTTTGCACACGCCAAGAGATGGGTCAAGCCATCCAAGTCCGCCATGCACGAGGTATTTGACTTGGCCTCTAAGAACTCCAAGGCTACCGAGGAGTCCCCAACTAACACAATCAACGACAGATTCCACCGTTCCTTCAACTCCGGAGCCACCGTTGACCCATACGACTTCAACTATGCCTCCATCAAGTGGCTGTCAAAGCAGAACTACGAGACGAAGCGCTCCAAGGGTGACATCATGAAGAAGCTTAACATTAATCCGCAGGACTTGTACGTGTGCACCACCTTGTTGTCTAACTACACATCAGAAACTGGTAGAATTCACTCCGCCGAAGTTAACAACTTTAACGCTATCACCCAAAAGAGATTATCGAAGGCCATAAAGAGAGCCCAGAGCATCGGTTTGTTGTCCAAGTGGCACAAGGATATCCAGAGTTTGTTACCGCGTTCCAGCAGACAGCTCCGTCGTTTCTAAACGGTGAAACTTCATTCCTTTTCTCAGCGAGAAGCTTGTAAATATATATGTTGCGATAATGGATTATTGCGTCGAATCGATGTAGAAAGAATCACAGTGTCCACTGAGGACTGAAAGACTCAACCGACGTCAAATTACAATTCCTACCCTCACACTAATCCGAAGTGTGAATTATGATCATTTCTTTTTAGAGCCACGAATATGCCAATAGTAACGGACAATTAAATATTACATAAAGAAAAGGATATTATATAAAGCGAAGTACAAATTAATTTCCATTCAGCAGATAATATCATACAAAAATGTACAAGTATGAGCAGTAATTTGTACCAGCAGACAAAGACGTCAGTTTCATATGCATGGAGAAATTCGATGAGTATTCCTCTATCCTCCAGGTAGTAAGCCACCCTGTGAGACTAGTCAAAGTATCTACAAAATAATGGAAAGATATAACCTTCCTAAAGTCTTTTCTAAAACAACACCCTTTGAATACGCATCGCGCGGCTCCAATCAGAGTACAATCGCCCCCAAATACGATGAATCATACTTCATGGGAATACTTCAATCATTTTAAAGGCCTATTCTAATACAAATTTACGGGTAGAGCCTCCTTCCGCTCCCTCGCCTGTGCAATGAGCCTCAGGTCTGGCCCATTCAATCTAATGTACACATCCGTACCCATGCCAAAATACGTCTGCACGCTCATCTTTCCGCCAAACATTTCCACATAGGCACGGCTCAAGGGTAACCCGTACCCCATGCCCGCAACGATATTGCCCGCGACGCCTGGCGGGGCGTTCAATGTCTTGTACGCTTCGCCCTCGCCGCTCTGATATGTCGAGAAACTGAAGTCAAACATCTTGGCCACCGTTTCTGGGGGGATTCCGCTACCCTCGTCTCTGACTCTGATTTCCAAGGTTTGGTGGTTATCTTCTGCGTAGCTGGGCACGATGGTGACCCGGATAGGCTTTGCGACACCCCCCTCGATCAACGCGCGACTGGAGTTCTTCAAGACTTCGGTGAGCACGTACTCGATATGGGTGGGAATGTACGGGAACACAACGTCCTCACCGCTGTCAATGACAAGGGAGCATTTATCGTCGTACTTCAATTCACACATATCGTTAACATACTCCGAACAGCGACGCACCAACTTAGCGGGCTCCAACTGCAAGTCTATCACTCCCAGATAGTTGTCCGTGGGCGGCTGGAAAATCTGGGTATGCTGGCGCGAGATGAGCCTCATGAAGATGCGCTCTTTCAAGTGCTGGTCGAGGAATTCGGACGTCTGGGTCTCAGTCAAAAACGTGCCGGTTACCTCCTGAAACCCCTTTGACAATGTGGGTATCGTGTCGGAGTGCATCTCGTTGAATTCCTCTAGCTTCGACACAATGAACAGGTTATCCGTGCTGTGCGGCAGGGTGAATATGGACAATAAGTTTCGCATGGTGTCGAGGTACAAGTTGTAGTTCTCGGCGATGTTTGGATTCAACACCGCAATGTATGGCAAGCTTCGAAACGCCTTGATACGCCGCGCGTTGTATATCAACAAGGTGTCGACTGTCTGGTAGGCGTGCTTGAGGAGAATAGCATCGCGCTGGGTCACAGAGATGTCTTTGTCCGTGAAACTGTCCGATAAGAAGTCGTTGATGCTGAGAGATTTGAGGGACTTGGAGGCGTATTCCCGCACGATCAAGTCGAGCGACAATCTCGTTTGGTACTGCATCTGGAACGCTTCCGCCTTCGTGGCGTATGTTCTCAGTAGCGTGAGTGCGGCCCATCGACACGCGACCTTAGGGGTGTGGAGGAGTCTCGGAAGCATAAAGAAAGACAAATATTGAATAAGGCAAGCAATGAGGGTGAGTGTTATGAATGAATGAGAATGAATAGAAAGGTTAGTGAGCGGGACGTGAGTGAGAAGGGTCAAAAGTTGGGGTGATGTCGTCACGCTAAGATCACCTGCGGGCTGTATGAATACGCTCATGTACCCTTCAGAGGCATGAAAAGAGTCATTTGCGCCGGAGTAGGCGTGGCGGCACACGACCTTCGGGCCGTTGAACAGTCAGACACTTAGGCCCTACGACGAACGCCACTCCTCGTACTAGTTGTTATAAGAGGCTGGTCATTACAATCCAATCAGACTTTATAACGACAGGCCTGATCTGGCCGGTCATACTAATGCAGCGGTCAAATTCCCAACGATTCTACAGGGTGTAACAAATATGTGTATTGATGCAAATAGAGTAGACATAACCGAGAAGCTAAAGAATTAAACGGTAGGAATACCTGAGAGTGGACGGGGAGAAGAGAGAGATTTAAAATCAGCTTGCCCTGGCCATACAACCAGCTGGCAAGTGGCGCTTCACGCAACAGATAAGCCAAGAGAGCTTAACGCAATCTTCTGGCTTCTCTTTCGGACTCCATCAAGGACAAGATGTCATTTTCTCTGACTGGGCCCTTGACATTTCTGACAATGGTTCTGGAAGAGTCGTCCAAGAACTCAACTCTGACTTGGGTAACACCACCTCTGGAACCGGTTCTGCCGAGAACCTTGATGACCTTGGCCAAAGTGACTTGAGTTTTAGTATCCATTTTGTGTAGCGTGTGGAGATTAGAGAGAGAAAAAAACAACTTCCCCAAACGGGGCTGGAAGACACATATACATCGTGTTTGTATATGGTGGTTGAGGTTGGCGATGGCCAGGACAACAGGCGGGAGAGGTTTCCTGGGTGAAAATTTTCGACCAGCGCGTGGACGTGAAAATCTCGTCCGTCAACATGCAGGACAAATATTCTAGATGTTCTCCACGGAATATCACATGATTTACCGCGGGCACGACGACGACCCAACTTAGCCCACGTGAATGGGTGACTCAGCTCTACCCGATCTTACAATGGTTATTATCGGCGTGCAGCATCGCGCTTAGGGGAAAATTTGGTGAGGTTCGAAAACTCGATGACACACCTGGAGTATCACACTCCAGCCCCCCTGAATCCTTTATGTAAAAACATTTATATCCGAATAAACTGGTCTTAACCCCCCATATATTTAATTACCCCCTTACGTACCTGCCATGGATTTAGTCAACCACTTAACCGATAGATTGTTGTTCGCTGTCCCAAAGAAGGGCAGACTCAACGAAAAGGCCGTTGCCTTGTTAAACGGCTCCGATATCAAGTTCCGCAGATCTAACAGATTGGACATTGCTCTATCCACAAACTTGCCGATTGCCCTTATCTTCTTGCCAGCCGCCGACATTCCAACCTTCGTGGGTGAGGGTAAGTGTGACTTGGGTATTACTGGTGTGGACCAAGTGCAAGAGTCTGGCGTTGAGGTCGACTTGGTCATGGACTTGTTGTTCGGCTACTGTAGGTTACAGGTCCAGGTTCCGGTTAACGGGCCATACAAGAAGCCAGAAGAGCTAATCGGGAAGACCATCACAACCAGCTTCACCAACTTGGCCACCGAGTACTTCATGAAGTTGGAAGGTGTTACTGACGCCAAGGATATGAAGACAACCATCAAGTTTGTTGGTGGTTCTGTCGAAGCCTCTTGTGCCTTGGGTGTTGCTGATGCCATTGTGGATTTAGTTGAAAGCGGTGAGACCATGAAGGCTGCCGGGTTGATCGACATTGACACTGTCTTGCCAACCTCTGCGTATTTGATTGCCTCTAAGAACCCATCCAGGCCAGACTTGGTCAAGATTATCGAGGACAGAATGCTTGGTGTTATGACTGCCCAAAAATACGTCTTGTGTAACTACAACGCCCCTAGAACCAATTTGAAGGAAATCTTGGCTGTCACTCCAGGCAGAAGAGCCGCCACTGTGTCCCCATTGGACGATGAAGAGTGGGTTGCCGTCAGTGCCATGGTTGAGAAGAAGAACCTCGGTAACGTAATGGATGAATTGAAGAGTAAGGGTGCCACTGATATTTTAATCTTCGACATCCAGAATTCCCGTGTTTAGTCTGGTGGCATTTGTGGATGCCATAAAGAAAATATAGTCATTGATAGATAGGTGCCGTGAGACATGTAGGGTTGCGTGGATTAGCCAGCAGAATGTGCAACCAGAAAGTTTACAAGTAGAGCTACAAATCTCAGTCCACAGAACATTACAACGGTTATTTATTGTCCCTTAGACACCAGAGCATGTAACCTCCGTTCAAGCGTCTTGATGGCCAGATCAACCCGGGATTTGTCATTCCCGGTAACTATAAAGGTGACGAAATCACTAGCATTTCCAGAACTTTCAGTCAGGGTAAGGTCGCTTCCAAAAGTAATCACCCTGTCCGGCTGTACTGAAACGGTATTATTATTATCCATGTAAAACATGCACCCGGTATCGTCGATCAATTTCTGAAGATTAACGGCTTTGGGTCCAAGCAATGCGGCTATATGGGTTTGGTGTATTCTCAATGCCCGAATATTTGAGTTGATAGAAGTGATATTGTGGCAGACCATTTCTTTAACTGCCATTAAGCTTTGATCTCGTCCAACCCCATCATTGCTATGAACAACGATTACCGGGGATGAGGAGTCAGAAGTCCAAGTGATGGTTAAGCTCGGATTTAGCCTTTGCATGTCAATGAGGCCAAATCCATACTTTATGGTGGCCAAGCAACGCATCACTCGAGGGTTGAGCGGTAAAAGTACAGGAGCAAGAGGAATATGAACCGAATCCTTAGTGATAGTGTCCAAGCGCGCGCGGATTTCGGTTACACCGCTTTGAAGAGCATGCTTGGTCGGTCCGTAGACAATAATATTGACAAACGGCGATAACTTCTCCTTGTATTCGTGTATCAGTTCAGTCAATTCATCAGTAAACTCGATCATCGCGCCAGTTTGATCTCGAATTTTCAAAACGTTGAGGGCATTTTGGCCGATTAACGGGTAGGCCACTCTCCGCGAGATATGGGTAAATATGTAGAAGTTCTTGGGCGAAAGATGTCTCAGGATAAGTCTCAGGGCGATCTTTCTCATTCGTTGTATGTTTGTTTCATTATTTGCCCTTGTAGAAGTGATGACAACATCCTGGTCCACTCTCCGGAACCCAAGGTATACCCCCTTTAGGTCGGAGTACTTTGCGGAGGCATTTCTTAACACGTTATAGATACCCATCAAATGACTATTGTGTATGGAGAAAGCTTGGATTTGAGGGGTTATATTTAATGGAAGTTTGCATACCACTGAATTCTTGTCAAAATTATCAATCATTTTGCGTAACACTTCCAGTGCTAAGTTGATGTCTGCATCATTATCAGCGGAAATCCGGAGTGTATGGGACTTGTTAATGACATGAGACTTCATCGGGTAGATGTCTTTTTCCTGCTTGGTAATTCGCGTTTTGGTGGCATCTTCAACGGAATGGAGTAACCGGCCTTTGTTAGCCATAAATGCATGGAAGTACTCATCGGGAACCTCAACCACGCAAGGCTTGGATTTTTGAGACAACCGCGCAACCTTCTGGTTGAGAATGGTTTCGACTTGCCGTACCTGTTCAGGATCGGTCCCGTATATCTTGATTTTCCTGAAATCGCTGGCCGAGCCGGTAACCTGGCTTGAATCATAATTGTCAAATTCAATATTCACCCCATACGTTTCAATTAATACATTGATATTCGAGAGGCCAGGACCCTTAATGAGCGGTGTATGATACTCCGGTATCAACAAAGTCAGAGTATGTGCGATTCGGCCATTGAACATTCGCTCAGCGATATCTGACATCGAAGACTGCGCGTTTTGCACTGGCGAAACAACCAAACCCTTCAATTTGGCAATACGTTTTTCGACCATGTCATAGGCATCTTGAAGAAACAGGTTGTCGGTTTTACGTCTTATTAAAATTTCTGCTTCACTCACGGAGATGTCGGTGCTAGTAACATCTTGGATTCGCTCCAACTCTCTCGTGAACGTCTTCCATTCCTTCGTCGACTTGCGATGTGGGCCAAGCGATAAATGCTTGACGGAATCCTTCAATGCATGGTATTTACCTCTTAACATTGTAGCCGCCTCCCTGACAGCGGTTCTATTGGCACCTGTGACGTAAAGTGTGTGCGTATTGCGGCCTGATCTCTGTATGGATACAGAAACACCATACCGTTGGATCAATCCCTTTACGAACCAATCTCCCGCTCCGTATAGATTTTCCTTATAGTATGCCTCGATCAGCATAACAATGGCATTGGAAGTAACGTCATTTACTTTTTGCAACGTGGCTTCAAACAACTTGGTAAAGTCTTGTTCGTTCATGGCGCGAGGACGTTGCAATAAAATGGTGGCCTCACCCAGGTTGTAGAAATGCAAGCGGTTCTTTAAAGCAAGTGACTTAGCCCCTGTCTCTGGAGGCATGAATATTGTAATACCTTCCAATTTTAAACCATCCTTAAACAATGGAACGTATTCTTTTCTGATGGAAATGACTTTCAGTCTCGTACGAAACTCTGCCACCCATTGGTTTAATCTGGACCGAAGCTGTTTTACATGACCAAATTCTGAGCCAGAAAGATGGCAGGTGACGCCCCCAAACTCAAACTTGGCGTGCGATTCACGAGCGCCCTTCCGTAACCTGTTATTGTATAGTTTTCGGAAGATGGAGGTCTTGACCGGGTCAAAAAGCCTCACACTAATGTTGTGGGGTTCCTTGTTTGAAATTTTGGAAGAGAAATCCGTATCTGATAGGATACTCACCTTGGTCGTAGAGCTCGAACCACCAAACAAATCGTCGTCTGTCCAATCTGAAGCATTCTGAGGCATGTGGAATAGGTAGTGCTGGATGGGAATAAAAGGTAGGGAGAGGCTCGAGGGCCTTGTGCCACGTCTCACTGTTAAACGGATGAGCATACTCTGAGCTATCTGCCCCGATACATCGATCTTAGTGGATAACGTTGAATGGGTTAGGCTTTAGATGTGATGCTTTCATCGCTTTTTCAAAGAATTTTCGTGCATATTCATCGCCTGCATGCCCATTACATGAGCCGCTCCATTTTTTAAGCATGCATTAGAGAGTTACCATGAGTTGATCTTTATCTTTCATACACTAGAGGGGGGGAAAAAAAAACCAACACCTACGCGGAAGATTAGAGACCAACTTTTTTTTAAAAATAGACGTTGAAGTTACTGGTGATACTCGGAGCCTCCTTGCTGCGTTGTTTGGGCATAGCTAGACTGGTCGTTTCCAGTGTTGGGGTTGTTGCTCTGAGTTTCGCCTGCAACGCTATCCTTGAAGTTCTGTCTGGCCCAGAATCGCAATAGCAAGTCACCATACTTCTGCAATTCGTTCAAACTAATCAATAACTTGAAATCAATCAATAGCAAGAACTGGATCTCGAGATAGTTCAACTCGTCTAAGGGCAACCCACCGACCTTGGCATAACGTGAGTTCTTGTAGAAAATGTCCGAGAAGAACTTTGAAGACACAGTGATACCACTGATGATCAACCTGTGGATGTTGAAGCTGTCCATAACAAACTGGTCTGTCTTTGGTGGCATACCAGACGCACTCCCAGCAGAACCAGGAGACGTAAACTGGTTCGGGGTGCCTGTGCTGGACGATAATCCGAACTGTTGCTGCTGGTTATTGCCTGCGAGTGCAGTCGCCTTCTTCGCAATTCTGTCGAAATACACCAACAAGCTCAAAAAAACCTCATTGGTCACAGGACAATACTTTAAAACTCTGGTGAGGTACGAGTGTAAACTTATGGCCGGAACATTCTTTCCGTGAAACGCTAAAACGTTAGCCAAGTATCGATTTTCCGCGGAGGCTGCTGAATTGTTTCCGTCGCCGGAATTTAGGTCTTGGCTCTGCTGCTGCTGTTGAGACAACTCGTTGAAGTGGTTCGGATGAAGCTTGTCGTTGGCATCAATAATTTTGGTCAAAAGGGACGAGAGCATTACCAATAACTTGTCCACGGGATATGTGGCGATATTCAAGTGCTCTTCATTGGGGTCCAACGACCCCAAAAAGTCTTGGTACGACATCTTTGATTCATCCTCTTCATCTGCAAGACCATAGAAATCATACATATTGGCTTGCTCCGAATACTGTTCCGGGGTGAAATCACTGTTAGAGTACAGTTGATCGTAGGTCTCACTGGGAAGCTGAGGGAAGTTGCCGCTAGAGCTGCCATTTTGATTTAAGGATTGCCCTAGCCTTTGGTTGTCGAACCCCGAGGCTGGCAGAGGCTGTTGGATTTGGAGTCCGCCATTGCTAGTAACTGGAGAAAAGTGATTCGACTCTTGGTACGCAAACGCGTTGATGTTATCGGTGTTGATAGTGGTGGTTGGTATGCTATGGTTGGTGCTCAACGGCTGGAAGAAGTTGTTGCCCGAGGACGATGACATTAAGTTGTTAGGGTTGGTGAAGGAGTTCAGCGGAGGGATGGACGTGTATGAGTTGGATACAACGGTCGGGGTATTGTGGAAGGGGATGGGAATGTTGTTATGCAGTTGAGATAAGGCTGATTGTGGCTCTAGCCGGTCAAAGTCTGCAAAATTGCGTTGTTGCGAGAAAGAGCCAGTCTGAGACGGGTTGGCGGGGTACTGGATAAATCCATTGCTGGCCGATCCAAATTGTGCGTTGTTCTGTTGAACGTGATAGCTTGGCTGCTGTGGCTGCGGGGTGGTTTGTTGAGAGCGCAACAAATTCTGGGTGAGGTTGGAGGTACGGGATAAGTTTGAGTTTGAGTGGTACAAGTCGCCCAAGGAGGGCCTATGGTGGACAGGTATGAACTGGTTGCCATTACCCACGGAGGTGGAAGCCTGGTAACTGGGTGGCTCTGCTCGGGGGCTGAAGTTTGAAGGGGAGTTGTGGAAGCCGTGGCTCGAACTCATAGACGAGGATAGGTACGGGTCGGCAGCATAGACGTCGCCGGTTTGCGGGTGCTGTGCTTGGTTGTCGAGCTGTGGCTGACCCTGGAAGTACTGGGGCTGATCGACATTCATATCATTATGGCCGATAGGGATTCCAATGGGGTTGGATTCGGACATGCTATGGTATTGGATGTGTGGCGGCTGTTGAACAGAAGAGAGGTACTAATGCAAATTGATACAGTAAGCGGGGCGTAACGGGAGCAGAACGGTGTAATTCCCGAATTCAAGTGTCAGCCCTGGTATACTCAGTGCGACGTGGTTGGAAGTGGAGACAGGACGGGAGGTACCTTACTGGGCCGAGTCGAGCTATCTCTATGGGGAGGTTCATGAGTACACCCAAGACTATAGCATTGGCTTGTGAACGGGCTTGCATGGAATCATAGGCCTGTCGAAGGGCGGGTAACCTCAGGTGGTTCGCGTTCTGGCTACTTTCGACCCGCTCTTTCGCGGAACGTTTTACCTGCGAAATTGACCTTCGCGAAATTAAAGATCACGTGGAATATTTGCTCGCTTTTAATTTCCGTCATAGTTGCAGAACTCGATCGCACATAATTGTTTCACGACTATAGACAAGTATCGCCGTTCTACACGGCTCAAGAAAGCACTATACACCACACCATGTCTACTGGTTCTAAGATTACCTTTGGTTCCTCTTGTGTCCTTGCCGTCGGGACCATGTTATGGGTCCACTCTGTGCACAGAACCGAGAGATTGAACTTGCAACAGGGCCCAATCAAGGATGCAGCCAGAGTGGCCGCCAAGCAAGAAAGGAGGGAGTTGAAGAAGACCAGCGAGGAAGCCGCTGTTATTTCCAGAAAGAAGATGTTGAACGAGCAAGAGCATCTCTTACAGTTGGAGTTGAGAGAGAAGTACGCCAAGTTACAGCCTTTGGATGGCGAGATTGTCCAAGGTGAGATGGCGTCGAGAAAGGATTGAGATCCGTCCATCTTGCTATGAATATCTTCCTGTATATAGATGAATAAATTTAAGACGTTTGACCGTGACGGCGGCGATGTAGTTCCGACTTTATTCATGGAAGGCCTTGCAGGCATCCCGGACATTAACCTGCGCGATCTCGGGCTGCCACCAGAGACTGTATAAAACAGAAGTAATTCCCAGTATGGGCTCTGTGAACTTTAATTTACCCTTTTTTTTTGACCACCCCTGACCCGTTTCAATGCTTGCCTCTACTGTTTTAAAGAGATCCTCCAACTTAGCCAGAGTTTCCATCATGTCCGCCAGATCTGCCCACACTTTGACTCCAGTATGTAACTATATTTAAGGGTGAACCTTCTCTTTTGCGTTTTATCGAGAAGTCGCACCAACATCCCATTCTCAATTTTGATCAACTAACAGACTCTTCAGGTCAGAACTTACGACGCCCCTCCACCAGCTGCTTCCTACTCCCAGGCCATTAAGGCTAATGGGTTCGTCTACGTCAGTGGCCAGATTCCTTTTAACTCTGATAACAAGCCAGTCGGCGGCTCTGTCGCTAACCAGGCTGAGCAGTGTATCAAAAACGTCTCTTCCGTTTTGGAAGCCGCCAACTCTGGCTTGAAGCACATTGTGAAGGTCAATGTCTTTTTGACTGATATGGCCGACTTTGCTGAGTTCAACGGCGTCTATGCCAAGTACTTCAACGACCACAAGCCTGCTAGATCCTGTGTTGCCGTCAAGGCCTTGCCAATGGGGGTCCCAGTCGAAATTGAGGCTGTTGCCGTTGAAAAAGACTAAACGTTGAGAGTGTCTATAGTGGATGTGGAATATCCCACTCTTCTAGTTAAGACTGTGCCGTACGATGAATTGGTCTACATGCACTTGTAGGTGCTAATATCGGCGGGATTACCAGTCTTGTGTCTAAATATTAATTATTTAATCTAGATGTTCTCAACCTGCTGTTGTTACCCCCTCGTACTGTAAGGTAACTCGTACATGATGAAAGGTGCTCCCAGTAGATAACCAGAGCTAATCTCATTAATGGGCTTAATGCATTGTGAAGCTCCCCTGTGTGAGCCGTATTGTTATCATCATCTACACGGGTTTCTGACTTGGACCATAAGTGGTATATTTTCAATCCTTAAACATCTACCGAACTTTTTGGCCAACTCAGTTTTTCTCCATTGGGTTGGCTTAGTGCGGGGTGAGAAACGTTGGGTGTCATAAACGGGCTGCGTACAGGACAACGTTCTCTAATATGCGTGTCTTTACCGTACTCTGTTGAAGGACCGGGTAATACCGCCTTTCTTTTTTTCGCTCGAAAATCAAATGGAAAATTTACCGTGCACACGTACAGAAAAATACAAAGGCGGCCATACCTTTGGTATTTAGTTGGTAGTCTATCTATACTGACAATTTTTCAAAATGGCTCAACGTGTTACCTACAGAAGAAGAAATCCTTGTATGTCCTTATCTTCTATTTTCTTGGGGAGCGAAGATGCGAAATTAGGGGGTGTCAGAAAGATAGCACCGGCAATGACGATGAAATATCTTTGGCACCATACGAAAGAGAACGAACGGGAAGAGCCACACGGGAATTGACCAGGTAATGATTCAGAAAGGTTACTTACCACTTTGGGGCCGTAATGGATTCAAAGAGAGCCAGAAATCGTACCTCGAGACCAATTTTTTTTTGCTCAGGACCCTTATCATGGATGGTGCCACACCCCGTCAAAGCACCGACAATAGTGCTCGAAGCCAGCAGTATTATGGCTTATTGACAAAGTCTCAATGAGTCCCCCGTTTCCCAAGATCCAAATAGATCCATGAAAGGCAACTCACTAGCCGCATATACGAACCTTCGCTTCCCCCATCGTTTGAACCAGTTACTAACACCCTTTAGACAACACCAAGTCCAACCAAATCAAGGTTGTTAAGACTCCAGGTGGTAAGTTGGTTGCCCAGCACGTCAAGAAGTCCGGTTCCCGCGTCAAGTGTGGTGACTGTGGCCTCGCTTTGGCCGGTATCTCCTCTTTGAGACCAAGAGAATACGCTCAGGTTTCTAAGACCCACAAGACCGTTTCCAGATCTTACGGTGGCTCCAGATGTGCCACCTGTGTTAAGGAAAGAATCGTTAGAGCTTTCTTGATTGAGGAACAAAAGATCGTCAAGAGAGTCTTGAAGGATGCTGCTGAAAAGGAAAAGAAGGCTGAAAAGAAGACTGCCAAGAAGTCTACCAAATAGGTCTTGCCATACTGCTACGTGCTAGCGACCAGGATAACCTTTACCGATATCTCTGTCTCTTGTATGTACCATTGTTCTTATTTTCTCCCCACTCTCGAATCAACTCTACAATTTAACCGATCCGTAATGTATGTAACTTTTCTTAAGCGGCTAGCGTGAAGCATCATTGTCCATGGTAATCTTGCCCACGTCTAGTTTAAACTCAATCTTGGAGATTGCCTCATGTATACCAGCTTTGTCGATGCTATCGAATTTAAGCACCAAGTCGTTGGCATTTTTTTCTTTGATGATAGTGATGCTGGTGGCAGTGTCCCTCACAATCGCCCTAAATTCGTCCTTTTGAACCCTAGTCTTCATGGGGAAGCACTTCTGGAAAAGCTCCCGGTCTACGCTGATTGATCTGGTGTTATCATAAAACCTTTTCAAGTATCTGTTAACTTGGGCGTATGAATTGTCAAACTGGGCTTTAGTAGGGGCTTGGATTAACAATCGATGCCTGTTCTTTATCCGTTTGGCGAGATTCTTATCGACGAAAACAATTGAATCGTTCTCATCTCTATTGGTCTGCAAAATGTGTGCGTTTTCAGCCTTTCTGAGCCACCATGCAAACCCCTCAGGGATAGGAAATTCCTGAGAATACGCGGTCAAGTTGGATAGTTGGTGGTTAATTAAGAGAATACAATCAGCAACGTTTTCGGGGGACTCACCCGTGATATAAGCCTCTGTCTCGTTTTGGTGGGAAATCACATGCAGAAGCTGGACACTGGTGTTTGTCTGTATTTGCATGTTGTTAATGTGTGCCCCTCCTGGCCCGACTAACTTGTGCACAATGGGTAACTGTAGTTGAATAGTTTTGCCATTCAAAGCCAAGGCAGTGATGAGCTGAGAGATGAGGGAGCTTGCCTTCTCGATGCGTTCGATGCTATTGCCTGTGACCAAAATCTCGCTCAGGCTGAATGGCTGCTCGGAGGTTTCCCTTAGACAAGTGGTCGGTTTCTGGCAAAGCGTGATGCAGGTTCCCGTGTCATTCATGATGTCAGATAAGCGATAACCATAGAACCCAGATAGCGCCCTTGCTACGTTGATAGAAGGGAGGGGTATTCTTGGACTGATAATCTCCATCAGAGTGCTCAAATCCTTGATTCTCTGGCTAACTGTCTCAGAAATCCCTTCTTTATCACCAACAATGTGCACAATCAGCATTCTGGTGTGAGGCAGTCCATCGCCTCTTAGCGTGACTTTGAATTCCGATTCCAAGCGCGAGAAGACGGATCGTTTCTGAAGCGACTTGTATGCGGAATCGTCTATTTCAATCTCTGCTGAGTGGATGGTATATCTTTCGATAAGACTCGAAAGCTCTAAGAACTTTGCGGATACGATACCGTACTCGTAGCTAGTGAGGGTATACAGGCACAGACCAGGAGCGTCGTTGAAGTGAACCAAAATCCGGTTGTCGCTAAGCCTTCTAATTGCAGAGCTATTTGGCGAGAGAACCGTGTGACCTATAACCGCCGGTATTGGACTAGTTGTCATTGTGTTTTGGCTCAATTTTGCTATAAAAGCCAGTAGTTTCACGATGGCCCGGCTGACTTGGATGGAGTCGGGGTGGGATACCACAAGTTCAGTTGTATTACTGGCGTTGCACAGAGCCCCTGCCTGAATGCTGATATCTGGGGTGTTAGAGAAAACCGTTCTAATGTTTCTGAAGACGAGTCTAAGATATTCCAGAGGGATGGAAACCTCTTGCCTGTGGTTTGTTACAGACTGGATTATCTTCTCTACCTCGGACACTGCGTGAGTAATAGTAGCTGCGGATTCATCCTTCATAGGACTAAAGAGTAGGCGATCTGCGAGGGGCGTTATTCTTACGTGGCAGTTTTTCGATATGGTGCTGATCCATGGCGATTTGGTCAAGGTGGTGAGCATCTCCGGCAGGACAGGTAGTTCTTGGGGTATCACAGCTTTAGGTATCCCCAGGAGCCTGTGTTGCTTGCACGTCTTTGTAGAAAAACGGCAGTATGGTAGATTTACCACCCTTAGCGAAGGCTTTAACATTGTATATTCAGTCAAAGGAATGGGGCGACATCAGTCCGATCAGGTATAAGCATGTGAGAAACGTTTCACTTTATCTAAATAAGCTTGGTGCGTATTTTTGTTGCTGACGCGCACGATACATCTGCGTAGACATTCCATGTTATTAGCCGTGACACATCTAAAATATGGCGCGGGTTCCAATGAAATCCTGGGGGATTATTTGCTTCAAAGGATATTTTCAGATGAAATGCTTACTGATACAGGTACATTGTATTCTAATTAGAGATTTAAATAAGCATGAGAGAAAGGGCAAAGAGGAAACCGGCGGAAATCCATTGCTTCAAGGAGCTAACATCACCTCTCAAGCCGTGGGCGGCATTGCTGGAGGAGGAGGTCTTCTTGGTGCTTTGGACAAACCCGGTGACAGCAGCGGCAGTGGTGGTAGCAGCGTTATTGGCGGTATTGGCGGAGTTGGCGGCAGTGTTACCCTCACCCTGGACGTTACCCACACCAATACCGACTGGGATCACATTCGCAGTGGCAGTGCTAGTGGAAGAGCCACTATTTGTGCCCGAGGAGGATGAGGAATTCTCGTCAGCCGGTTCACCTGGGTCCAATCCGGTTTTGTCCAAAGAGCCGAGGTCGGTTCTGTTGTTGGTGATTTCGATGGAGTTTTCGGTAGCGGCGGTGCTGTTGAAGATGTATGCAGTGTTACCGGTGGTCTTGATGTTGGGTGGCGGAGGGTAACACTGAATCGAAGCATTCTTCAAGATGGCGTAGTAGTAGCCAGGGTTGGTGAGATCAGGAGCATTCCAGTTAATTTCACCACCGGCCCAGTCCACGGTACCGATAGGGTTAGACGCTGCACCACCTGGCCATAAGGAAAACTGGACTCTGGCAGGGGTCTGTGGGTAGAAGTAGGTTTTGTTGACGACATTCCAGGTGTCGCTCTTCTTAAGCGTACGGGAAACGACGCCATCAACGCTCCAGCTCATCTGGGACTCGGTCCATTCAAACTCATACGTGTGGTAGTTGTCGAAGGTATCGTCGACGGTGACATTCTGGGAGTTGGTGAAGTTCAACACACCCTGGTAGTAGTAGTTGGTCTGCACTTTTTCCAAGTCCGCACCAACGAATTCATAATCGAATTCATCCTTGGCGTTCGAGAATAAAATAAACGCAGTAACCACACCCTGAAGATGCGACGATTTTACAGTTGCAGATACCTTCCCGTACCACATGTAGTGGGTGGAGGAGATAACAGTACCGGCGGTATTAGCAGGCATGGCCATAATGAGCGCATCTTCGTCCTCGTAGTCCACGAGATACCCCAGGTATACCCAGTCAGCTTCGGAGGCGTTACCGAGGTAGGTGTCCATGTTGGCAAGCGCGGATTTGTTGTTGAATTGCGTGGTAATGTTTTTACACACAGGCATGGCCATACAGGCTCCGATGCTGAAGGAGAATCTTGGGTCGCACCCACCGAGACAGTACGCACCGACTCCACACTCACCGTACTGGGAGCAGCATGGCAAAGATTCGGGGCAGCTCTGAGTTCCGTTACAGATGATCGCACTCGCGGCTGCGTTCACGTAGCTGGCAAACGCCAACATCAACGCCGCAACGACGATGTGTGTAATTGATTTCATGGTAAGCCGTGAAAATGGGGCTGTATTGAGGGGGAGCTAAAATTCAGAAAGGGGATAAATTTCAGAGCCAAGGAAAATAAAAGGTAAGAGCCTGAAGCTTGGATTTTGGCAAAGAAACAGCTCCAGGGACGTCGTAATTTCTAGATTCTAGTTTGTGGTACTATAAATAGTGATGAAAAAAAAAAACCACGCGTAAGCCTCGTATCAGGTTGGATCATGACCCGGAAAAAGAAATTCAGCGTGACACTTGCCCAGTGCCGGATTGACATTTGTCCCGATAGAGTAAACGGGCATTCCGAGGGGCGTTCCTGGAACGCCCACAGCGTTATTTTCGCTGCACCTCCTTGCACGCCCCCTCCAAGCTGCCAACAATACGTATAGTGTGGGCTTTTCATTGTATAGAACACAGCCTCCCGAGGTATTTACCGGAAATACTATGATGCATGCACGACTGAGAATATTTGCATGATGATTCGTCGACGGTGACATTTATTATGGATATCTGCAGGTATAATATAAATAAAGTTCAAGCATGAATAGGAATCGCATATGGCGTCAAGAAATCAGAATAAGAGGTCGTACAAGTTGGTATCTCCGAACGGAAATAACCAGTAGAACTCTGCAGTTAGGAACCAAAAAAAGTATGATGGGTGAAGAGCGGGATACCTTATTATGGCATTTGGCGTTTGCAAGTTCCTTTCACCTTCACCCAGTATCGGTCTACATCCAGCTACAAAACTGCCGCTTTCGGTAACGCTGTATAAAGCAATTTTAACACTATAAAAAGGAAGTAGTATAACAGGGAAAGAAAGGGGTAGGGAGAGAAGAGAACATGGTTAGGCAATAACGCGCAAACCAGAAGCCGATGCACCGATGGCAGTGATTCCGGTAATGAAATCGATCTTGCCCTTCTCGCTTGGCTGGTACTTGGCACCGGTCAAGGCTTCAGAAACGAACGGCGCATCCTTGAAGATTGGGGTAAACGTGGCAGGGCAGATCTCGAACTCGGCAAACGGATTGAATTCGATATCCAAAGCATCGTACGGCGACTGGTCCGCCTTGGTCTTGATCTTTTGCGCCTGCTCGGCTCTAGGACCCGTCGAAACCACCTTCAAGAACTCGCCTGCAAAGTAAGACGCCGAGGCAAAGTTCTTGTTCTTAAACGCCTGCGTCATGGCCACTTGCAAGGCGTTGACTCTGTGGGCTGGCTGGAGCTGGGCCTTGGTAAAGTACGCGGCAAGTTCCAAGTTACGCTTGATGTCTGCAGGGTCAAGCGCACGACGGGCTAACTCAATCGACAAACCCAAGATATACTCCCTGCAGACGGTGAGAATCTCCTTGCACTTGTCTTCTTCTTCGGTGCTCGGAACCGCAGAAACGGTGATGGTGTAGATAATGTCACGGAAGATCGCAATGGCCTCCTCTAGTTTATTGGAACGGAATTGCTTGAACCCCTCATGTAATCTGGCCTCCACGTTCTCGTAGCCCGGAATGTATGGGTGCACATTCTTGTTTTCGGTTTCGGTAAAGTCAGCGCGGATAAACACCTGAGAGGATGGCAACCCTGGAGTTCCCGGAACGTAGAGCTTGTTGGCCTGGTAGACCTCAAGGAAACGTTTACGCAACGGCTCAAAGTTGACAACACCCACTTGACGGTTCAACAACTGCGCTGCAGTTTCGAAGGAACCGGCAGCAACGTGTCCAGCGGCACTGTGCGAGTTACGCAACCAAAGGTTCAACTCCGCCGCGGCACTCAGGGATTCTTCAACCACCACCTCTTCTTCAACCTCGATATCCAAGTCCTCATCGCCAAGGTCCCAGGCGTCCTCACCAGCAAGATCTTCGTCGTCGAAAATAGCTTCGGATTCAAAGTCGTTGGTGATTTGTCTGGTTTCAACCTCGGTTTCGTTGAGGTTGAGGTCTTCTACCTGGCCCAATAGCGCCTGTTCAAAGAAAGAAAGGGAAGACTCTCTCAATGGCCAGTTGCCCACGACCCCACGAGATTCCGGCAAGGTAATAGGAGCACCCAACTCCGGAAGCACGATCGACGCCTCGTCAATTCCAGTTTGTTCCACAATCTGTTCTACGAGTTCATCCAAACCGTTGGCCTTGGCGGTAGCGTACGCCAATGGGTGTAACCCGGAGGCCATCAACACCTGGACACGCTTCTCCACCGAGTTACGGTAAAATGTGTTTTGCACCAACGAAGAGTAGTCGCCAAGGTGCTCGGCAATCGCCTCCATCTTGGCAAGCTTGGCAGATTCACCAGTGGCAAGATACAAGAACGACAACTTCTCAAACTGTTTCAATCTTTGCAAACCTAACTCGACGGTAGCATAGTTACCCTGGACCAAGGCTTCCTTGGCCAACTTTTCCCAGGAGGACTTGCTGTTCAAGGTCTTGGCCTCAGCCAACGCAACGTCCAAGTTTCCGCACTCAATGGCCAACTCGAACCTGGTTTCCGGGTCCTGCACGAACTGCAACGCGATTTCCGGGTAGCCCTTCTTTTCGAGGTACGCGATAATGCTCTGCCCAACCAAGTTGGAGTTCTTGATGATGCGCAATACCTCCGAGAAGTTCTTGTTGACGAGCGCCTTCTTGAAGCGGTACTCAGTCGGGTCGATGGTGAGGTTTTCCACGTTACCCGCGCGATTCAAACAGAACACCTGCTTTCCCTGGACCCGGGTGATGTACAAGGTGTTTTCCAAGGTCTTGATGATCCCGTTGTCACCGTTAAGTAACGTGTACTTAATGTGGTTCAAGGTGGAGTACAATAAGACCCCAGTGTCGTCCCAAGCAGCGCTCTTGACTCTGATAGTTTCGTGCATAGAGGAGATGAGTTCCAAGGATTTGGAGGCAATAGTAATGGTGTGCTTGGACAACAATGCCACGTAGTTCCCGTCATTGGACCAGGTGACATACTTCACGTTGTTGGCCAGGATTTCCGCAAGCTCCTTACGTTGCTGCACGTCGTAGTGCACGACGGAAGTGGCCTTCAAAAGCAAGATAGTGCCTGGACCGGCGCTGACAATGTCCTTAACACCGTCAAGCTTGATCGACTTGGTGGTGTTGTTGGTCAAGTCCTTAACGTCCAAGGTTTGGGTAGACTTGGTGAAGGCGACGAAACGATTACGCGCAATAAAGGTGGCCGAGTTGCCCTCACCCTGACGAACATCCGTCGGCTCGATAGCGCCAGTAACGTCCTTTGGAAGCAGGATCAACGCATACGTGGAGGCGTCCGCCTCGCCCATAGTGACCAAAATGGACCTCTCGGCAGGGTTGTAGGATAAGGTTCTGATGGAGGACCAGGACTTGCCAATTTTCTTCAACGTCAACATTGGTAAGGAGGTGGAGGCCTTGTCGTAGTCGTAGTACTGCACTTGCTTCTCGCCATTGATGAAGAACATCTTGTTCTGGGAGACAGCGTGGGCTGGTCTCTCTCTGTCCAACTTGAACACCATGACACCCGAGTCGTGACAGGATGCGAACAAGTTCATCGATGGATGGGCGGTGGTCAACCAGAAGCGGTCGTTGTCGCGCTTAAACTGCTTGACTGGAGTTCTCTTGTTCAAGTCCCAGGTTCTGATGGTCTTGTCTTCGCCGACAGAGATGATCAAGTCCTGGGTTGGGTGGAAAAGCACACACGGCACGTTGTTGGTGTGGCCGCGACAGGTGTCAACCTCCCAGGCCTTGGTTTCACTCATTCTCCAGAGCTTGATCAACCTGTCGTCACCACCAGAGACGATGAGCGGCAACTTCGGGTGAAACGTGGCCCAGTTGACACCTCTGTCGTGGCCCTCCAACACGTACTTGACAATGGCATCGGTGTTGCCGAAAATGTCTTGTTGCTGGGCGTTCTGGCGTGCCAACTGGTCCTCAAACGATCTGGCAGAGGAGGTTGGCGCGGAGTGTTTCTTTCTCAAACCAGAGATATCCCATACACGGACGGTCTGATCCAAAGAGGCGGAAACAATGAGGTCGTCTGACGGATGGAACTGGGCGCACATGACGTAGTGGTTGTGGCCGGTCAAACAGGCAATCTCCTGGCGGTTTTGCCAGTTCCAGATTCTGATTGTTTGATCATCCGACGCGGAGATAATCCACGGCAACTCATGATGGAAGAACACGGTCCGCACGTAGTCCAAATGGCCACTGAGGGTGAACATGCACTTGCGGGTCTGCAAGGACCACACCTTGATGGTGTAGTCATCGCCACCGGAGGCGAAAATCGGCTGGGAGGGGTGGAACGCAACGGATCTCACAGGGCCCTCATGGTCCTCGAAACGGTCGATGAGCGTGCCCATACGGTAGTCCCAGAGCTGGATGGTGGAGGAGTGGAGGGAGACGAGAAGCCACGGTCTAGTGGCGTGGAAAGCCACACCCTTCGCCCGCGACGACTTCGATTCAAACTTCGTTAACATCTTCATCTTGAATTGGTAAGCAGCAAAGAGAAACGGAGAATGCGTTGGTGGAGACTAAGATGAATTGGCGCGAATTGCGGCACTTTTGGCTCCGCGTGTAAATTGATACCAGATCGATACACGCTCGATGTTGTGGCACGCAGTGTGCTGGCATCTAGCGTGTTACCCGGATATCACGTGATGAGTTGAGTATCAAAAAGTTTCAAGCTGCGAGATATACGCAGGGGAACCGCCAAAGAGGCTTAACGGCCCCTTTTTAATTACCGGAGTTAGACAGGTGAGTGGGTTCCCTGAGACGGACAGAATGGTGTAGCTTGGAGGTTTGTTAAGAACTCAGGGCTTTCGAGAGCTGCACGTGATTGCCCCAAGGAAAATGGTTCGCGAATTCAGCAAAATGCAAAGAACCTCCTGGTGTGTTTTTTTGAGCGTTGGATGGATAGAGCTTGGACAAAACTGGCATGTTTGACACCGACTGGAGTTGTGGTAATGAATATGGAGATTGAATTTGGTTTAAATATTCATATGATGGGACCAAAGATTAAGCCATTGTTTGGCAAACTTAATTATTGAAACAGCTGGCTTTGGCCAAAGATAGGTAATCGTGAACCAGTAGTGGGGGTAGTGCCTACGTAGCCTGAAATTCAAGTAATAGAATCCGGAGCAATAGAGGGTTTAACAATAATTCCTCACAGAATCGCCATATCCACCGTAAGGTAACCTGATCGATCATGAAAATTTCTAAGAGATCTTTTCAGACACTAATAACTTTGCGCATGTGCACTTATCTACTATATCAGAAAACGACCACCTTCCCCATCGCTTCCATCTGCACATTTTGGGCTATTTAGATTTTCAAATAAATTTTCGGGAGTTTATTGAGCCTATAACAAAACAACCTGTATTCCTACATGTCCCCAGCTTATCTCCGACCCTCCTCTATTCATAGTTCCCCACGTGACACCCTGTACATAGCGCCTCCAGAAAAAATTACGTGCAACTTCGAGGCCGATATCTGAGCTACCTGGCAGAATCGCTTATCTCAATTGAAGCGACGTAACGGTTTATCATTACTGCAGGGAAAGATTGGTCAGGCATAAGAGTAGCATTCCATTTACCCAAAGACACAAGACCTAGAAGAGGCAAACCCCACACACCATACCAGACGTACATTGCGTGCACATACTCTATTTCACGCCCTCTATCACTATCGTCACCACCTAATCATACCCGATCACATCAACCAAAACATCCATATTCCATTACTGTCCATACTTATTAATACATAACCCCACACATATGTCCGACTCTGAACACAGCTTTGCGGTGGACCTCCCGCTCCACTGCGTAAATGCGGTAGAATTGAAATGCAAGCGCCACCGCACGTTGTGCCGAGTACTCGGGATCGAGGCGCGCCTCACACGGCGGATCTTTGTACTCGCGGCCGGTTTGTGTGACCCGTTTACACAGCCGGAGGAAAACGACGACGCGATTCTCTCTCTTGATACACTCTCGGACGTGCTCATCGCGCTCAGCTTCCAACAGACGTTTCCCAGCAGCGACAGCGAGAGCGAGGGCGAGGGTGAGTCGCCCACGCCACACTTCGACCTTGCGTACCATTTCATGGCGCTCCTCGAGCAGATCCACTTCAAGCTCAACTGCTACGACGATGCGTTTCTCCGTAGCATCGACAACGGTGCTGCGCACGAACGCGCGAACCTCCGACTATGGACGCTGCTGGGTGTATGTTCGACGGACCTCGCACTCCTCTACGCGGTCACGTGTGTTACCACTCTCGCCATCCACAAGCTCTACGCCGCAACCGACAACATCTTCCTCAACCCGTTCCTCGGCTACTTGCTCAAGCTCTGGAAGTGTCACACCAATATTGTGGTGCTTGGGCTCGACGTGGACCGCCGCGACGAGGCCGCAGGCGGTCCGGGCACGCCTGAGTCTGTTCGTGCAGCCGTGCACGGCTCTGCGGCGGTGCGTGCGGTTGTGGCAAGTATCCTCAACGGGGATATCAAGAAGGCGCTCGTACACGACTTTGAGCATGAAACGCTCCTCTCTTTTATGAATCCTTTGGGTCGCAAGCTCGCCAGCGGTTCGCTCACGTGCGACATCCGCTGGTACGTGACTGCGATGTTGTCGCTTGGCGCGGACCTCGTGGAGGTGACCGAGCTCCTCTACGACATGGAACCAAACGACGTGTACGATGAGGATGTGAAATACATGTTTGACATTGAGTATGAGGATGAAAGCGACGACGACGGATACGAGCCACCGCGACGCTGCGACTGTGAGTTTGACTACGACTACTTCGAGGAGGAACCCGTTCCCGCAGACAAGCCCGCGCCGACGGCGGTACGTTCGCGCGCGGGCGAGCTTGACTACGACGAGGACGGCCGCGACTGGCGCGATATTCCGCGCGGCGAGAACATGCAATTCAACCCGACGCTCGCGCGCGGCGATGTGATGAGCTGGTCTGAGATCACGGCTGCGTTCACCCACATGGCAGACCGTGTGGTCAGTGACACATTGGGTCAGAAGGCGATTCGCACCGTCGCGGGCAGCGTCAAGCACGAGTTTGACGAGCAGATACAGTTAGCTGCCCTCGGCCCTGCTGCGCGTGATGCGTTTGAGCGTGCGCGTGTGCCTGACCCCGAGGTCGTCACTCCTGACAAGATCTACGACGTCTGGTCTGTGGGTGCGCAGTTTGAGCCGATCTTGCGGCTTAACCCGGCGGTCGCGTCATGCATGATGGATGAGATGCTCATGGCGCACGGCTACCGGCGGGTATTGATCTGGTTCTTGACCCACTTGGAGGTGAGCCACGCGTTAATCAACTACATCCACGAACTCATCACGGGCCAGCGCGGTGCGGTGCCGCTGAACCGCTATCAATTCTCGCGACTTGGAGCGCTCACGCTCAGCGATGTGGAGCGCAACATGTTGCTCCACGAGTTTTTGAGCAATGCCGCAACGTACCTCACCGCGATGCCCGAGACGCGCGCTGACAACGATGCGCGTGCGTGGAACCGTTTCCATACGCGCGGTGCCGCCAAGCGTCTCATGGAGATCCTCTGCTTGATGGTAGAGTCATTGGTCAACAAGGGCGTGTTATCGATCACAGACCCCGAGTACCGTGCGGAGTTGCAGACGCTTTTGATCCAGTGGGTCGGACTCTTGCCTCACGCGCGTAACTTGTTCTTTCGCACACGCGGTGGCGAGCCCGACGACGACCTCCTCGCAAACTTTGACGCCGTCCACAGCCAGCTCGTTGGTAGCACGCAGCAGACACTGGAGGAGGGTGTGCGTCGTCTCATGGATGTAAAGACCGATTCTACGGGCTCGCAGACTGACCTCGCGCGCACAAGCGTGTATTCTGACCCAGCGCGCTCGCAGACGCTCACGCGTGCGGTGTCATCTGCGTGCGCCACCATTGACAATATCGACACCCTCTGCAGCAAGATGATCAATGGTTTGCCAGATGAGTTTAGCGAGGAGTTACTCGACTTCCTCACGCAGTTCAAGGCGCTCAGCGGCACTATCCCAGACGACGCAGCCGGCGCCATGGACCGCATTGAGGACTGGGTAAAACCGCAGGACCTACAGAAACTTGAGCAGTTGTTGGAGCGCGCAAGCAAGATCAGCCGCGAGGGCTTGGAGGCACGCATCCTGGAGCTCGATAGCAGCGCGTCTATGTGGACCGTACACCGTGATGACTCCTCCCACTCCGAGGGCGAGGGTGAGTTTGCACAGGTCATTGCTGGTGTTAAAAAGAAGCCCAAGAAGAAGAAGCCCAAGAAAAAGAAGAAGTGAGTCAAAGATTTATTGCATGATGAGGCGTAATAAGGTTAAAGTGGAGTGTTGGTTTACGGTTTATCCAGATCCTCTAACAGTTTAGTTGAACTTGCACCAGCATGGTTGTTCTAGCTGATAAGTTGATATTTAGAACACTAAAGTTATACAATTTTATTGTATGTGTGAGGCTAGCGGGTTTTATTATGGTGACCTGTAGTAGGTTATGGTTTGTTGGTAGTACGACGTTAAATGGATTATGCAACAATAATCTATCGATTTATAACTCGCGATCGAGTGTACATGGCGTATTATATATACTTTATAAGGATCATGTGGTATATCGATCAATAACAATAGTCTGTTCGGACTAACCTAAGCTACTTTTTATATAAACATATGGCAAGCGAGTATGGGGGTATCTCCTATTGGCTAAGGTGGACAAAGTGCCTAGGTTAATGTAACATGAGGGTCGCATAACGATGTTAAATGACTAGATTACGTGACTTGATAGCACTAACCAGATCGGATACTTCAACAGGATTATTTGTAATAACGTTGTAAACATGTATTTAAACCGTCGCTCTTGGAGTCTTAGGTGGCGTAACGGGGTGTCGCCTTAGGTCTTTAGGTTTTAAGATTTAGCCGGGCTACTTTTGTCACTTCTGTTTTTTTTTAGCTAGATTTAAATCTTCGTGCTCCGTAAAAGTTTGGCATACCTGTGTTATCAGAAGGACGCCACGCTAATGACCTAAATCTAGAAATCTACAGTAATTTGCAGCTTTCTTGTCGTTGCTTCAGACACTAGATCGTTAACCACCTTGCTTAGAGGCTGAGCTTGACTGGGTTTTGTGACAGGTCCGCGTAAAGCTTGAACTTTTCGGAAATCCCGGCACGATTGTACCTCGGAGTAAATGGTCTCAACTGAATTGTGTATACTTTCAGCATTACTCTAGGCTGGTGTTAACTGAGAGTGCACATACCGTCACCCCCTCGGGGTAGTTGTGAGTCTATTTCGGGTAAACTATATAGAGTTTAAATCCGCACCTAAGATGCATTTTGTTTCCTAGGGCCTCGACTGCTATATGCGAGATTTAAGAATAACGTTCCGTACGAGACGTATGCTTCCCACCGGATAAATATCTAATAAAAAGATAAGGTATTAGTTGACTATTAAAGACCACATATCAAATATAGTCCCTACTAATTCTGACTGACTTGTAAAATACACACCTCGGGAACATCTAATATTCCGTAGCGCCAGCATTGGGTACCAAGGGCGCGTGCACGTGGTATGGAATCTGACACACGGCGCGCTCTAAAACGACGTCATAGTCTGCATTGATCAGACATCCTGAGCCTTCCTATCCTCAACACTTGACAACCACTATGTATTTTTAGAACATCCCGAGAATACTTTGCTCATCAGGTTGTTACGCCTTGGTGTCCCAGTATACAGGACTATTGTTAAGCCCATGATATGTGTTGGGAGCTTACCCCTGTTGGATCTAGGTCGCTCTATTTACCTCGCACGCACCGCAGTTATCTCCAGCACCGATCCTCCTATGCTTAGCATCTGCCATTCAAATGAATATCGCAGTAACAGCACGGAAACTATTCTCATGATAAAATATGTATTTCAGCACTGGCCAATCATATTACAAACAAAGAGTTAGTAATATCCTCAGCCATGCGCCACCGGACCTTCCATCCTTTCCCCGGTTCACGCCTGCAGTTATCACTTCCCATTACGTCAGAGCCGCGGTACGACACCCGCAGCGCTACCACGGTAAAGACCACGGAACATTCCTGCAGACGTTGATAGACGTTGCAACGTACCACAATTACATCCGTTCAGCCAGAACTCTTCCCTATGCCTTCCTGAGTGTAGCTGTGATCCGTGAGGGATATTAACTCAGTCATTTCTCATCTTCCGCTCGAATATCGCCCCCCTCCGCTCCATTCCTTCTACTTTAACATTCGTTAGCTTCCGAACCACTATTCCCGGCTTTCCTCGGTTAGTTTATAAATCAACATGGAAACTGTGACCACGCCGGTCGATACCACGACACAAATCTTGCCCGCCTCGCACATTCAGTCACCGTACCACATCAACATCCCGGTCAATGCGCTTCCCACGGAAGAGTTGATTAAGCGATTGACCATCTGGCGCAAAATCCTCAAGCAGTTGATCTACTACTTCAAGGAAACGTCGCTCGTCAAGGAATACAACTCCAAGATCAACACTCAGATGTTGAAAAGCGTGCAGTTTCCTTCAAACCAGGGTAACAACCTCAGCTTTAATATCAAGACTGCGTCTGCCAACAAGGTCAACAAGCTTGGGGCAAAGATCGCGGCCTCGAAACATGGACTTGGGCAAGTGGCGAACAATGCAACCTCTAAGCCGAATCCAACCGTAGCCGGCGAGAAGGGCCATTCCCGGAACAAATCGGGCGGAAGCTTGGTCAATCTCATGATGTCGGAACGTAACGCCTCTACCAGCACCCTCGCTTCGGAGCCTTGTCTCCCCCTGGGCGCACCTACTAGTCCCGAAACCCCCCTCAACAATGATTTCAAGATCCCTGACACGTATTTTACCAGCCAGGGTGCTGGGGGTATCATGGATCTTTCTTCTATCCTTAGCAACTACCACAAAAACCTTAACGTGAAGGAACAACAAACCGCCGTTCAGTTGGTGACCAAGGTCATTCCGCGGTTGGAAAACCTCCGGAAGGACTTGGTGGTTAAAATCAAGGAGATCCGATCCATCACGCCGAAAGACTTCAAGGTTACCAGTCTCAAGACTGAGGTGGCGATTACGGGAAAGTTGCTCGCGCAGTTTATCAAATCTATTCAGTATTTCTCTAACGAGTATGGCTTGGGAATTGCAACGCGAAGTGTGTCGGTGGATGAGTACCAGTACTCTCCGAAGGATGATCCGTATTTGTTGAAGTTGCGCTTGGAATTACAGCTCCGAAAGCAGTTGATTGAGGAGAACTACATCAAGGAAAACTTTGTCAGCTTGCAGTCTGCTGGGGAGCAACTAGACAAGATCATTTTCAAGGAGATCTCCAACGCATTGAACAAGTACAGCGTGTGCCTCTGTCAGGAAATGGACTCTCCGGTGAACCATTTGTTGAAAGAGTTGAAAACCACAATCTTGTCCAAACCTGCCAACTTCGAGTGGGAAAACTTCATCATGCAGAACCCCCAGCATTTCATGGTGGCCGCCCAGGTGCACCCACGAAAACTCTCTTCCATCCTCTATCCGCATAAGGAGGTCTTTTTGAACAAGTGTATCAGATCGGGCTACTTGTTGAAAAAGAACAAAATTTTGAAGAACTACGCCACCAACTTTTACGTCTTGACCCCCAATTTCATCCACGAGTTCAAAACCCCGGATAGAAAAAATGATCCGTATCCAACCATGTCTCTCAACTTGAGCGACATTATCGTGGCGAACTTGAACCAGTCCCTGGGTAAATTCTCCATCAACGTGACCGTTTCATCCTCAAGCAAGTCAAAGTCGACCATGGTGTTGGCCAGTGGCGCCACTTCCGCAATTACCAAAACCTCCTTCGTCTTCAAGTGTACCGACCCCGTGGACTTGGCCAAGTGGTTTAATGACTTGAACAACTTGACGTCGTTTGATTCAATAGAGGAGAGGTTTGGGTACGTAGAATCCAAGTTGATGGTGAAGAATAAGACCTTTACCCAGAGTGACCATATTCTCCAACAGACCCCGATCGCCGAAGAACGCAACATGTTTGAAGATGTGGGTAAGACCAAGGAACTCCTCGGAAAGTTGGGCCTCGGATCCAAAACTGCCGAAACTCCTAAACGTGTACTTGAGTCGTCTTCTAATTCTGGGTTCTCTTTATCCAACCTCAATTACCAATTCGGTGGCAACAAAAACCTTGACCAGGATGGCCTTTCTGTGGTAGGAATCCAGTCTCACCCTCTCTCTCCGATGATTTCTCCAAACATTGAGCGTGTCTTTGAAAGAAACCCCTTTGACACGAGTTTTAATCCCGTGGAAGACTCTGAGATCCTGGCGAAGGATAATGAGGTGGAAAGCCCTGTTTGGAGTATTGATAGTACGCCAAAGTCTGGCGGGGTATCCCCTGTTTGTGACCTGAGCGCATCGCAGGATCTCACCTCCCAGCTTATGATGCAACAGCAGCAGGCAATCATCCAGTATCATCAGCAGCAATTAGAGCAGATGCAAAGAACCTCCCAGAAGATCCATCAGCAACAGGTACAACCCCAGGCTGTGGCACGCGCTGTCTCCCCTCGTCCTGGCTTTTCCCCTACCGAAAATGTCTTCAGTTTTATTCAGCAGCCGGTGCAAGCGGCCAGCCGTGGAGGCTCCCATCAGTCTGTGCATCACCGCTCAACTTCTTCTGGCTCGGTTGTATCCAACCTCAGCGATGGTCTGGGGTTTTCTTTTGGCCCTAAGGTGACAACCCCACCTGTGGCCGGAGCCACCAACACGATCTTTCTCAATCCAAAGCATAACATGAGCACTGGCTCTGTTATTTCCGCTACTCAAGCCTCCCAGATAAAGCATGTATTGCACGGTGGCACGGGCTCCACCGGCGATGTTGGTGGGGCCAGTAACATCGGTGCTGTTTTGCAGGGGTTCGTGACGGAAGCCCATTCCAGTGAGGGTACTTCTCCTGAGGGGGGCTTTCCGGAAATTCCTAGTGTCACGGTTACCCCCTATCATTGATTTAAACGAGCAGGACTTAATAAATAATTAAGCATGCGGTTATGAGTATTAGATCTGTAAAGAGGTGTAAGTGATTGTATGGAGAAATACTTGTGATATATTGCTAAAGTCGGGGAATTCTCTACAAGATAAATGGAAAGGTATTGGAATTTCCACAGAATAAATGGAAAGGTATTGTAATTTCCACAGAGTATATGATAATGTATTGAAAGTTCCACGGATACCGTTAAAATGTTATGATAAAAGTACGACAACCTCACAGTTTAAGATTCCCCTCGTCTCTACGTTTTCTCGCGCTCTTCACCAAGTTATTCCACTTGCGTTCGTATTTTGCCAAGTAACTGAGCTTCAAGCGGAAATTGTTCACTATATTCCCAAAATCTGTCTGCAAAGCCTGCGCTCTCACTGGCTGGGTCTTCAAAATCCGCGACTCCTTATCGATAAGCCCCTGCTTGTACCGCAGCATCGTCGACTTGAGCTTCTCCTTGAGAGCTTTGTCTTCCGATTCGTCCAATTGCCTGCCCACTTCCTCGATCATTTGCAAGTGCAAGCTGCTGAAGAACCGGATATCCGCTAGGTAGTCGTCGTTGAGCTTCTGGGTCTGGGAGAGATGGTGCCGCAAGTTCTGCTCCTGAATTTCGTTAGGAGAGTACGGAAGCTCTTTTTCTTTATTGTGCAGCTGGATAATGATAGGGTCGTCGAATCTCGGGTACGTGGAGTCTTCTTCAAGAAGCGCTTCGTTGTGGAGGTCATTTCCAGTCGCACCCTGGGCCTGGTGCTCAATGGCTGCTGCCTCCAATAATCGCACCAGCAAATCCAGTATTCGCTGCAAGTTACTTCGCTGGATCAGGGAAACGGTATGGATGATCATCTCATCTCCGTCATACGCATCAAGAATGCCCTGCGTGCAGTTGTTAGCCAACGTAAGAAGACTGATGGCAAGCTGGAGGTTGCCTGTCTGCACGTGTCTGTCCGCCAAGTCTGTATACGTGTACACCTATCGTGTTAGAATTCATCAGTCTGTATATCACAAATTTCGTATGATATTCGTATAATCCATACCTCTGTCAACTTAATCATTGCTGTGCAAGAGCCGGAGATGCTTTCTGTGTCAACTGTTATCAGATATAGATATGCCGCAGGAGGTGCATATTTTTCAAGTGGGGCATCTTAGCGCGACCTGACGCCTCGCGGCCTTGTCACGCGGCCCATATACCTATGCTTGCTGGACCCCTTCTCGAGTGAACATATAACCGCGCCTTGAATTTCTGTGGACACTACCAATTGTGCCTTTCTCATTGCGACTTGATTGTTGCCCTGCATCCGATGGACGATACAGAAATCAGCCAGCTCTCGTGTGAGGACTTCCACACCCTCATCACCAACATTTTGGAGGACCCGCGCTGCCACGACAGTACCTGCCCAGACGATGGTGAAATCTTGAACTCTCACCTTATAATCTACTTTAAGGTTATTGTCTGCAACTTGCACTCTCCTCATATATTCCCCGAGACACAGTCACGCGACCGAAAGACACTGGAAAAGATTGTAATGCGCTATAGTGTGCGGTTGATCAATTCTCCGTTTTTTGTGCTGAACAACGCATTCATCCTCAGCAAGATTCTCTCCATGCTAGGGGTTCCCTCCCTAGATGTTCATCTCAAGTGCTTTCTCATCTGCGTACTCAAGGCGTTGCTACAGCGCGAGGATAAGTATTTAGCTAACCAGGCCTCCCACGATACACGGGGGGTGCTCATGACATATCTAGATGACTTGGGCTTTAAGCGGATCTTGTTCCAGGCAATTTTAGATAGCCGCACTGACGCAAAGGTGTTGCACTTTCTCCAGGACCTTCTCCTGGCGGTGATAAGGTTAGAAGCGTTTCTGCTCGAAGACTTGACTCTCATCAACAATGCGTACCTCGAGCGCTTGATCGACTTTAAGGAGTTCAACTTGAAGCAATCCTTGTACAATGAAGAGGTGAATGAGCAGAACGAACTGTTTGAGGACGAGTATCTGTACGAATGGGACGATGTGAACTACATCGTCTTTCGCATTTTGCTAGTGCTCAACGAGCAGTTTGTGATCAAGTTCTACCAGCTTGAGAAGGCGGAAAAGCCGCATTTTATCAACAGCGTGTTCAAATTTGTCATCTCCCACTCACAGAACAACTTTCCCGAGTTGTTGATCTACTACTTTAACCGCGAGCAGTCACACTTCATCAAGATCCTCATTCTCAAATTTCTCTATCTCATGTTCACCACCAGCTTCACCGTCGACTACTTCTACATCAACGACCTAAAGATATTGATCGATATTTTCATTCGCGAGCTTCTGGACTTGTCGACCGAACAGGAGCCGTTGATAAATATCTATCTTAAGGTACTCTACCCCATGTTGACCTACTCTGCCCTCCCACATTTGTGCTACAAAACTGACGATATTCGCGTTTTGTTGGAAAACTTGGCCTACAACTTCGAGTCCGACGCCACCAAACGGCTAGCCGTCAATTGCATGAACGTTGCGTGGCTCAAAGACGGGGGGTCTGACGATGAACTGGACGAAGATATCAGCCAGAATCTCCAAGCAGTAAACTTGAACTCTCACCGCCTCTTGAGCCCCGAAAACGAGCATTCGACTGAATCTCTTAACTTCCCTCTCGCACGAAGTGCCACCTCCTTTATGGACACCCAATCCATCGAGTCCACATCGCTGGGCTCCTCTTCCCTCGGCGATTTCAGAGCCCCGCCTCCGCCGGTGAAGCTCAGAAGCTCCTCGGCTGTTCGGGCAGCTCCGTATAGAAGGAAACCGCCTCCCCCACCTCCACCCATATACTCGGGTGGAAAAGCATCGCTGTTCAGACTGGATAAACCGTTGCCGCGGCCCCCTCCGCCAGCTCCGCGGAAAAACCACCTGTGTTTGAATTAGCGGCATTCAGCATTATGAACCATGAATTTGACTAGCCTTCAGTATGCCTCTAAACAATATTATTGTATAATCGGTTATAAAAGGGCGGTCAGAGTAATCAAAGGGTGGTTAAATCTGTCTTTTGAATTAATGGTATCGACATTCCCAGACGTTTAATAATGTAAAATTAATCAGGTTTCATCTATAGACCTACAAGTTGAACTCTACAATACTTGCTACAAAAGGGGGCTATCCAAGGGTTGTTATTTCTGTTTTAGAGCTGGATACAGCGGTCTCTGGCATTTAGGCAGATCCAGATCCGAATGGAATAGTCCCTTGAACCTACAATCCAAAGAATAGAACGCTGTAAAATGTCTAGTTTATAAAAAGAACGATTGGTTACATGTTGCTATACATATAATGATTCAAAGGGGAGGTATCTTCAAGGACCGTTCAGTATTTAATACAGTTTTCCTGCCTCAGATATTTTTATGCAATCTTCAGAGTACGCAAAGTTCGCCACTTATAGCTATCTTTAGAGAAGGTGCTTCTACAAATCTGTTGTCACCTATGGCTTGGGAATGTGCAAACTCTTGCTGACCATGGCACAGCCGAGCAAGGCGAATAACGCGGAAACCTTGTGAAACTCGAAGAAGCCGCCTTCAAAGACAACACCGAGGGGTAAGTTATCGAGAATCCAGCCCTTGCTGACCCAGTATGCCATAGTACCGACCAATGTCAAAGAAGTTGGGATGGGCGTACCTTCGAAGTACTTAGATTTACCAGAGGTATCCTTCGGCAACTTGGACACGGTGACGTTGAATCTGGCCAATCTGGTCAATCCGCACAACACAAAGAAGGTCAAAAACAAGCAGTCAACGGTGGATCTCAAGCCAATGGCAAAGGCAATTGAGGCAGGGGCAACGCCGAACGACACCAAGTCAGCCAAGGAATCCAACTCCTGGCCGATTAAGGAAGACTTGTTTCTCATTCTAGCCACACGACCATCAAAAAAGTCAAAGAACAAACCCAATCCAATGAAGATATGGGCTCTCTGGACGTAATGCGTGGAACCCGTCAAGGTGTATCTCAAACAAGAGATGATGGAGTAGAATCCCGAGAACCCGTTGAGCAACGTAATGAAATCAGCCATGTGCAAGTTCCTGACAAGGGAAAAGTGTCTGTCATCCAAGTCAAAGGCAATGAAGTCCTTTTCCTCAGGTGGGGGCAATGGTTCCTCGTGAAAAGAGGACAAAGAGAAGAGAGACGAGGAACGTCTGATTGGTGCTCTGGCCTTCAATTCGAAGTCAGCTTCGTCACCGCTCTCAATGGCGGAGGACACAGCGTTGGGTGGGGGGCTGGAAGGCATCTTAATTTATCGGAGGATGGTTTAAGATCTTGTAGTTACAGTACTACGGTTCCTAGATGTCTACTTTATATAATTGAGCGGTCTCTAGGGGCACGCAGCAATCCAACAAAATAAGAAGTTGGACCCAGCCTCCCCCACAGCAAGCGCAAACAGAGTGAGAGAAAAAAACCGATTAAAGCCGTTTTGTCCACTTTCCGTGCGTGTAATACATACCCTGAAGACAGATTTGGTGCAGTTTGCTACCAGCGTGTTTCATATTTCTTGATCACCAAAGATATCATAACTTCCACAACTTGCTATGACTATGGTATATATAGAATTTCAATAAAATGAAACTGGAGATTTAACCGTGAGCATGACCGCTCCATCGGCCCAACGATACGCAAGGGAAAAGATGGAAACGTCTCCCAGGTGCAGGCTGTCAAATCTGCATGTGATACGTGGAATCAGCCGCAGGAACGAATTGATGGGTGTGGTCCGTACTCAACATTGCGAGTGTAAAGCTGTTCAAAAAGGGTTTGTATATGGAGAGCATGGGAAGATGCTAGGTTTATAGTTACTCCTTCGCGTTGGTTTTTGATCAGAAGCAAGTATATGTTTTTATGCTTATCGCTACCACCCAGGATCTTTTACATAACGTCTTTGAGTATATATACTTTCTGTGATATATATACGTTCTGTAGCATATATAATAGGTAATAGTGGATATTGTTAACTAGCTAAAAGAGAATACTTTTCATATGTAACATATACGCAAGAGAAGGGTAATCAGTGGTCTTATATACTGAGGCGGGTACGATGCCAGAGTGTCCGCTTATTGGAGGTGAGAAGATAATGAACTCCGACTTCCATCTAGTTAAATGGCACCTTTACTACACTTTCATTATTTTATCAATACGGTTAATAGCACATATGCAAGTAATTGTTCGTTTAATTTATTTATATCTTTTGTGCCTTTGAAAATGGACATCTTGACAAACAAACTTATACATATGTATTGTATACTATCGGTTATAAGTACACATTTATGGCATAAAAACTGATGTAAACATAAATATATGTATGTAGAATTACAAATAGCACTAAACATGGAATTAGTACGGACTACATACAATATTTACAGTCGTTGGATTTGATTAATCCAGAGGTCCAAAATTATGGAATAGCAGAAGGGCCGGCATAATAAGCTCCGAACACGTACATATTCCGCTGCACCGAACAGGTCAGTAGCCGAAACCCCACATTTGAATAAAATCATGAACCACAGACACCTGTTTTCGAGGTACAATTATAAATAGTCAGGCCGCTCGACATTAAAGGAACAAAACTTGCCGTGTTGATATATTTAGGGAACGACTTTCTATTTCATATCTACAAATATTTCGATACGGGAAGCCTCGCCTTGTGGTTTCATATTCTCTAACCTCTGACATTTCTGGGGAAGGCTTTGGGCGTTTTTTTTAACCAAGGTTTACAGTGAGTCATTCGCGCGAAGATAACTGAGCAAGGTTCCGTCAGGTGGTGCAAATGCTTACAAAAACATGCCAGCGCGGCGGCCCGCTACCGGAGACATACTAATTTCATGCATATGCTCCCACTTGATGACGCTCATGCATCAGTAAATTTTTCCGCTAGCTGGCTTGCATACAGGGCTGCACGATAGGTTCGGACTTCAGACGCTGTTTGAGCAGTTATAGTACCTATTCTCTTCTACTGAGATAGATCCAGCCAACTAACGCACAATCCATTTCATTTAACCCGTTACCACAATAACTTAACCTTACGACGTGAACGATTCAGAATACATCTTACCGAGTACCGAGCCCGAAATTGAACCTCTAACCACCAAATCACACATGGCATCAAATCACAAACCACACGAGCCCTCAAATAGCCACAGTCGCCGGCCCAGGTCTCAGGGTATCGAACCGAGCCTCTACTCCAGCATCGATGTCCCCGGGCAGACGCACTCGTCTATCTCTCCCAACGGAATCATTGAAAACGACATGAACTCCAAGTTGGTGATCGTGATGGTGGGGTTGCCGGCGCGAGGAAAGTCTTATATTGCCAAAAAAGTGTTGAAATACATAAACTGGCTCCAGTACTCGTGCCGGGTATTTAACGTGGGCAACACCCGGAGATCCGCGCGGCACGACGAGCTGGAAGAGCCCGAAACCGACACGGCCCACGATGCGTCTTTTTTCGACCATAAAAACGTAAAGAACGCGGCAAAACGCGAGGAATGGGCCATGGACACGCTAAATGACTTGCTCGACTGGTTAATCGACGGATCGGGTTCCGTCGCCATTTTCGATGCCACCAACACAACCAAACAGAGACGGCGGAAAGTGTACAACCACGTGAAAAGTCGTTCATCCTCTATCAACGTGCTCTTTTTAGAGAGCATCTGCACCAACACGGAGTTGATTGAGAAAAACATCCGCATGAAGTTGTCTGGCCCAGACTACGTCACGATGAACAAGGCTAAGGCGCTTACAGACTTTAAAGAACGCTTACAGAACTACGAACGGGCATACGAGACGATAGACCCGGAGCTGGAGACAGCAAACGAGGGAGAAGCAGGGGAGGACGATCTATCATATGTCAAGGTCATTAACGCGGGGAAAAAGGTTATCTCCTACAACATCAAGGGCTTTCTCTCATCGCAGGCCGTTTTCTACTTGTTGAATATCAATTTGACAGAGAAACAGATCTGGTTGACCCGAGTGGGGGAGACCGACAACGACGTGGATGGAATAATGGGTGGTGACTGCCACTTGACCTCCCTCGGCAAGAAGTATTCCAAGGCGTTGGCTAAGTTTATCAAGACGAAGAAAAAAGAATTCAGACTAGACCAGTTGAACAAGGCATATATCAACAACGTCGATGTGGCCCATTCCAGAACGAACTACGACCCAGATGTATCTGTTTTCACGTCCATGACCGCGCGCGCGCTCGAAACGGCGCAATACTTGGAGAAAAATGACCAGGCTGGCAGTCGGAATAGCAGCGTTGAGCGTAAAGAAACCAACAAAGTGTTCCAGGTGAAACAATTGCGTATGTTGAACGAACTATCGTTCGGACAATTTGAAAACACCTCCGTTTCGGACTTCAGGATAAATAGCCCGAAAGAGTTTGAACTCTACCAGCACAACAAGCTCTTGTACCGGTTTCCAGGGGTGGGTGGTGAGTCCTATCTCGATGTCATCAATCGTGTACGGCCGTTGATCACGGAGTTGGAACGCAGTGACAATCACGTCTTGCTCATCACCCACAAGGTCATCACCCGCATCCTTTTGGCTTATTTCATGAACTTTGACAAGGAGTTGATCACGGATATCAGCATTCCCTCACATTCGGTTTACTGCTTGGTTCCGAAACCGTACGGGGTCAGCATGGAAATGTACCAATACGACGAAACAGTGGACTTGTTCTTCCGCGTCCCGGAGGAAGTCATGCTCAGAAGGGGATCTGTGTCCACCAACAGCTGTTCCCGTCCGCGATTTTCGTTGGGGGGCTACCCCAAGTACAACATCCAAGACGAGTCCGTGGATGAGGAAGATGACGATCCGTTCTACAGTTCGTCAGAAGAGGAAGAGGAGTACGACGAAGGTGTGGACGATTACAGTTTCCAGCCGCGGCACCAGCCGTCTGCGTCTTTCTCTTCACTCAACATGCAGATTGAGTTTAGAGAGTTGTCCCACTCTTCTGTCGCGACGCTTAGCGATAAGGGCTCGTTGTACCGGACACCGTCATCCGAAACGGCTTTTGCGAAGCTCACACCTGCATCCTCGCTCCCTGAGGATTCTGGGCCCATCTTCAAGTGTGAAAGCGATGAATCAGAGTATTTACTCAACTCGGAGGTTAGACAGAAGTTGAGCCGGTTTGTGTTTCAGGACGTGAACGTCTAGAATATCCAAATAGATGGATGCACCTCGAATGCTTCAATCGCTAGGGATGTTTCTTTGCTTGGGGACGGCCCTTAGTGGTTCGGCTCATCGGTGCTTATGTTTATGTTAGAATTCAGGTATCTATCCGTTAGATACTCATTAAATGTTTACCATTCTACACCTTATTTCTAATCCGTCCATTTCAATGTAGTTTAGGTCACCAGGGCCAATTAGTTATACGCTGAGGAAACCTGCTCAACGCAGGAGGAGGGCGGATCAAGGGGAGAGAAGGGCAAGTAAGCGGCATGGACAGTGCTGGATAGGCATCGTCTACACTAGCAGAGTATCTTAGAATATACCCTTATGCCGTATTATCGTAATTAAGAATGATATCCCCCCAAAATCTGTCTGCAATACTACCTCTCTTTCCCCCCTGATACTCACGTTATGCTTCCCTTGGGTGCCATTTTTACCACAAACAAGCTTTTGTTGGTGACCCCGTATAGTACACCAATAGCCTGGTAAATTCATCTGAAAAAGAAATTAGGAATACTAGGAAGCTTAAAGAGATAAGATTAAGCAAATAAATAATAAATTAGAATATAAAAGTCCTGTAATCGTCACTTACATCGTCCCATAACTTAAAGGCAGCCCATAGGTGCAGTACCAATTATGATTCTTTTTCACCTCAAGTCTGCGTTATCCTTCCTTACACTATTTTCCCGCTACTCTGTGCCCGTACGATGCTATCTGTACTTAGAACATCCAGATACGCCTTAAGAGCAGGGGTTCCCGCTCGTGCGATACTTCCAGGCTACCATCTTGCCAGACCCTACAAAACCTCCACCATCGACTGGGAGCCAGTCAAGCAAAAGTCAGGCAACGACACCACGAGCAAGCGCGTGTTTCTCTCGTTATTGGTCTTGATGCCGGTGGTTTCGTTTTTCCTTGGTTGTTGGCAGGTTAGGCGGTTACAGTGGAAGACGAAGTTGATCGCGGACTCGGAAGAGCGGCTTGCGGCACGGCCGTTACAGCTTCCCGAGGAGGTTGATCCCCAAGCGTGCAACGAGTACGAGTACAGAAAAGTACTTGTGAACGGGAAGTTTGACTACGATGGGGAGATTTTTGTGGGCCCTCGAGTCAGGGATGGTGTGAAGGGCTACCTTCTCGTGTGCCCGCTTGTCAGACCCAACGGCGACCGCATCTTGGTGGAGAGAGGCTGGATCTCCAGTGATATGGTCATTCCCGAGAGGCGTGGAATGACCTATTTATCCAGGCCGACAAATGAAATCACGATTCCATGCCTCTTGAGAAACCCGCCCCCAAAAACGTCACTCCAACACAACCACGAGTACGGCAGCAGATTATTTAACTTTATCGACATCACCGTGATGACCAAACAGTCCAAATGCTTACCAATGTACTTGCAAGCGAACTACGACATGAGAGACCATCCGGAGTATATCCACGAAGAGCCCAGCCAGTCCCCAGCTGTCAAAGTCAAGAAGCACTGGTGGAGCAAGAACGATAAGCCAGAAGAGACTGGGATTCAGAAGATCATCACCGAGGGCCCTAACAAGGGGCTTATTGGTGTGGACGAGTTTGACGCGTCGTTGGAGTTCTCAGAGCAACAGTTTATTAATGCTGGTGTGCCTATCGCCAAGCCAGCCAAAGTGGAGTTCAAAAACAATCATTTAAACTACTTGGTCACCTGGTACGGGTTGAGCATTCTTTCTACCATCGCGTTGTTCAGTGTGTTGAAGAAGTACAACAAAAAGGTGGACGCTAAGGCGGAGAAGTTGAGGCACTCCAAGAAGCACTTCTCATAGACATCCAGCCCTCGTAATATTTATAAGTCTCGCCCTTGTACATAAACCGGGCACCAATATAGTATAATAATATTGTTTGCACTTTGCTGATTATATTAAGCATATGTTATAGTAGCTCTTTGGCAAATTGTATGCAGATCCTTGGGTTACAGTAAACGCCAATATAGACTCCTATCCGTATGTGCGATTCATTATCGTGGCCTCCGCTCAACGTACCTAATTTGCTGCTCAGAGCTTCATTTAAAGCGTATACTCCTTGAATACGAAAGCTTTTTATGGACGAATGTTTTTAGCGCCCCGAGTAGAAAGAATATCACGTGGGTTCAACAGAATGCTGTTTTGGCATGTCTGTTGGGGTAGCTCTTGCCTACTTCGAGAGGTATTAGGGTGCTATAGCTCTATACCTCCTTTCGTGTTAGGTCCTAAACCTCATTATCTAGTATCCTTATCAGTTTGCTAGTATAGTTGGGGTATTTTGGTCTATTTTTTCCACAGTTATTTATCGCCATTGCCATGTTTCAGGAGATAAGATCGGCGTAGGTTCCTGCGGAACACCATCAGTGAGTGCTTGATAGCACTCAAAAATGTGGGGGGCTTTTTGTATCCCAAACCCGGCACAAAATTTCCCAGTGATTTTCAAATATATGACTCAAGCCCACAGTCATTTATTAATAAGGTATTACTATGTTATAGAACTATCTTGTCTAATCATTTCATTCGTATAACACACCAACATTTCGCTTAGTAAATCCACGTTCAAAGCTGCGTCGAAAAACAACGCGTGAAAAAGTAAACAAGCAGAAACAATTCTAACCCACCACAACCTACATTCTATCCATCTTGGACACATCAGAAGTCTCTAATAGAAACAAAGAACTTTTTCCTCGCCTACGTTCTTCTATTCCGAGTCAGCACTGTTGAGACTCTATTGATTATCACCTTCATCGGAATTGTATCTTTATCCAGACTTTCCCTCTACCCGGACTTTACCTCCATCGATTATTCTACAATGTCCAGGAGACTCTCGCGCCCCTCCACTCCCCACCGGATGTCATCCCGCCTGTCAGCCATTTTGCCGCAGTCACCGCGGATCCACTACCCAGTGGACCCCGAGAACTTGCCCCTCGACAATGTTCTCACACAACAGATCTTCTCGGAGCTTTCTGACTCGATGGGCGACTTGGATCTCAACTGCCAGAACTTACAGATTGTCCACGAGTCACTCACCTCGTTCAACGAGTCCTTTGCCTCCTTCTTGTACGGCTTGCAGATGAACGCGTGGTGCGTTGAGTTCACTGAAGGGCCCACGAAGGAGAGCTTTCTGCACCTTGAGAAGATGAAGAACTTGGAAGCCCAGATCCATGAGGCTGAGACAGATTTGGCTGAGCTTATGGAGGCCAGCAAGAGTCAGGCAGCGGCCGATATGCCGCCACCGGCCCCTAAGCCCAGGGAAGAGGACGACAGTTCGGATGCATATGGGGCCAACGAATCATTTATTGTTCAACCGAAAACAAAACTCCCAAGGCCGAACTTGCACCAGCCCCCGCGGTATATGCGCGGCATCACCCCGAAGGGATCCAGAATTCCGGCGTTGGACAAGCCAGGCAGGAAGGTGTCTCCAAACGGACAGTACATTTCCAGGAAGACAGCCCTCAACCCTCGCCCTCCATTCCGCTAAGAATATGGCAAAACGATCAAACTATGAAAAGTTGGTTACAGGATTATAGATTACTTGCTAGGATTGCTAGTTATCCAAATTACCAAACAAATACCAGATTCAAATGGGGTATCAAGTTCCCACCGCGTGAAATAACTACAAAATGGTTAAACCGCAGAAATAGGTTATAACCAACTAGGTTGACAAACTACAAAAGTGGGCAAAGGTTATCCAAAAATAACCCTTCTCAGGTGGTATGTATAAGCTCATCACACTTTTGACAAGCCATCCGAGGAGATTACGCCCCAACCCATTTTGTGGCACTATTGGATCGTTTCAACTTATCCACTGTGCCCGGTGTCTATTCCTCTTCCAGGTCCAGATCCTCCTCATCTTCCTTGACCATCAATGACTGCCACTTCATGGCAAGCTCGGCCATCCTGGACGAATCCAAGCTGGCATCGACAATGTCCTTCGGCACTTGGTTTTCCGAATGCTCCTTCGAGGCAAAGCGACCGATGTTGGCTTCGCTGAGGAGCCTAAATTCGTAATCAAAGTCGTCCGCTTCTGGTTGCTTCTGAAGCAACTCGTACCAGGTAAATAAAAGCGGATCCGTGGTACGGGCAAATGGATTGATGTCCACCAAGACGACCTTGTCGAACGGTCTTGGCACATACACGTCGAAGGCGAAGCTGGGGCTGTCGAAGTTGTCGTATAAGACCTCGTCGTAGAAGCGCTCGATGGCCAATGTGAGGTCGTCCTTCAAGGCTTCTAAGTAGTCGTAGAAATTCAAATCTCTCTGCGAAATCCCAATAATGTGTTTGTCCTTCACGTAGACTCTGAACTCCAACGCCGGATTTAAATCGGCCTCCCACTCCCGCAACACCAACTCAAACGTCGGCTCAGCCGTGTCCTCGCACTCGTCAAATGCGTGGTTGAGGTCGTGGTTGATATGGCTAGATGACTTGAGCATGAGATACACGTCATCCACAGATTTGCATTCCATCGTGTTGTTGAGCATGATCCAGGTGGCATCCTTCGGGGCCGACCAGTTCAACTTCGGGGTATACGCCCGCGACCGCTTGGGCGTAAAGAGGGCTTCTAGCTGCGCATGAAAGGCAGCAAACGGTATGGTGGGGTCGTTTACCGAGGACTCGCTCGGTGGGAGCTTGATCCCATCGTCGTTTAAGTACCGCACAAACTCTGCTGGTAATGGCTTGAGGATATGCGACGCAAAGGCATGCTTCAGGAATTTGGGGTACCACGCGGAGTACGCACAGAGGAGCACGTCTTGCGCGGTAAGGGTGAGTTTATTGAACACGTGGGGTTTGGAATCCATGGTAAATGCTGAATGAATCTGGGCAGGTGGCAATGGAGGGAGTCATATTTATGTTGCATAAGCCAACCTGCATAGTGCAGACTTTTCACTCAGTTGTATGCAGACGGCCGTTAAGATCTGACAGAAGGGACGAAAGGGCCATTGATCGGTCATACTATTTGGTATCGTCCCAATCTGCAAATTTTGCAATTAAATTTGGGACAGAATTGAAAGGGGAAATAATCGAATTGAAGTGTAGGGGTGATAAATGGTGCAACGTGCCATCTAGATTTGTTCTACTTGGCTGACAAATGTTCTGGTGCCACGCATGAAACACCGGCTGTCAAAACTCCATATTACCTTTAGACTGTCGTTTAGTTATGAACGCCAAGCTGCTTATTGAAGTCCCAGAACAAGCTTGAAGATATCTTTGATTCTTTCAGTGCTTGGTAGCTAGTTCCGGAGGCCAAGCAGTCCGCTGACACACCCCATTAACGTAGCAGATAATAATATATACTTATATTCAAATATTTTAATTTCCATTTCTTTATCAGAAAAAATACGATCTAAAACAGAAACAGCGGGACAAGTGAGCCTTCCAGAAGGGAATGTAGATAAAAGAAACTCAGGGTAGCTTTAAACAAATGACGTTATCGTTTTCAATCGGGAAATTTAGACGGTGACGAAAGATTCGACGAAGGTACCGGTGACGGTCTTCAATCTAGCCAACAATTCCTTGGACAATTCACCCTTGTCTCTGATAGCGGCCAAGATTTCTTCTTCGTTGGACTTCAAGTGGGCCATGAAGTCAACTTCGAACTGACCGATCTTGTCCAATGGAACGTTATCCAAGAAACCGTTAACACCAGCGTAAATAACTGGAACCTGTTCTTCGGCAGCCAATGGGGAGTACTGCTTCTGCTTTAACAACTGGGTCAAACGTTCACCTCTGTTCAAGGTCTGCTTGGTGGAGGCGTCCAAGTCGGAACCGAACTGGGCAAAGGCAGCAACTTCTCTGTACTGGGCCAAGAAAAGCTTCAAGGAACCGGCAACCTGCTTCATGGCCTTGACCTGGGCAGCGGAACCGACACGGGAGACGGAAAGACCGACGTTGATAGCTGGTCTAATACCCTTGTAGAACAATTCAGCTTCCAAGAAAATCTGACCATCGGTAATGGAAATAACGTTGGTTGGAATGTAAGCGGAAACGTCACCACCCTGGGTCTCAATGACTGGCAAGGCGGTCAAAGAACCACCGCCCAACTTGTCGGACATCTTGGCAGCTCTCTCCAAAAGTCTGGAATGCAAGTAGAAAACGTCACCTGGGTAGGCTTCTCTACCAGGTGGACGTCTCAACAACAAAGACAACTGTCTGTAGGCAACGGCCTGCTTGGACAAATCATCGTAGACAATCAAGGCGTGCTTACCGTTGTCTCTGAACCATTCGGCGATGGCACAAGCGGTGAAAGGAGACAAGTACTGCAATGGAGCGGCTTCGGAGGCGGTGGCGGCAACAATGATGGAGTACTTCAAGGCGTCGTGCTGTTCCAAGGTCTGGACCAACTGGGCGACGGTGGATCTCTTCTGACCAACGGCAACGTAGACACAGTACAACTTCTTGGACTCGTCAGCACCATCGTTCCATCTCTTCTGGTTCAAAATGGTGTCCAAGGCGACAGCGGTCTTACCAGTTTGACGATCACCAATGATCAATTCTCTCTGGCCTCTACCAATTGGGACCAACGCATCGACGGACTTCAAACCGGTCTGCATTGGCTCGTGGACGGAGGTTCTTGGCAAAATACCTGGAGCCTTCAACTGGGCTCTGGAGTAACCAGCAGCCTCAATTGGACCCTTACCATCAATTGGGTTACCCAAAGCGTCGACAACACGACCCAACATGGCTGGACCGACTGGGACATCGACAATCTTACCGGTTCTCTTGACGGTTTCACCCTCCTTGACCAATCTGTCAGAACCGAACAAGACAATACCGACCTGACCTGGTTCCAAGTTAAGGGCCATACCCTTGACACCAGAGGCGAATTCAACCAATTCTTCGGCCTGACAGTTGTTCAAACCGAAAACACGGGCGATACCATCACCAACGGACAAAACTCTACCGGTTTCGTTCAAGTTGGCTTCCTCAGAGACACCTCTGATCTTTTCTTCCAAGATGGAGGAGACCTCAGTTGGCTGTGGCTTCGCAGAAGCGAATCTGACGGTCTGGGCGACAGAAGCTCTCAATGGGGCCTGTACATGTTAGTATCAGAAATGAAAAATGCAATCGAAGCGGGGGCTCGGACATCTCGGATTTATCGATATTAGCCCGGAAGCGCAACGGGGAAACTTTGGCATAGCAAGACATATTTGGTGTAGATATGAGTTCAAGTGGATCCGTACGTTTGAGGGGTTTCAATCAACGGAGGATTTTTCAATAGGGGGAAAGGAGAATTTTCACCATGGAAGTGATGGATTGGGGTTGATAGACAGGACCAGCCACGAAACTATCACAGGCTGTCATAAGGCGAGATGCTTCAGAGGGTATCTGGCTACCCTTCGATTGATGTTTGTTTGTCTGGTAAGATACATACTCTGACGGCTTGTCTACCCAAAACGGAGGCAGAACGAGCAGCAGCTCTCAAAATAGGACGGGCTGATAACATTGTGATTAAATATTAACTGTTAATATCAAAGGAGACTCGATATGGCTTAACAAGGGGAGAGGGGCGTAATAAATAGTAAGGGTATGAGAAAAGATGTGTGAAAAATGGACCGCGCCCACTAAGGAGGTTAAAGGGAGGCTCGGGCACCGGTGGATCTTGGGCTACCCAAAATCGCGGAATTTTATTGGATGATGACGCGAATTACGCGCATCTCAGTGTAAAACATATCCCATAAGTCATGTGACCTGTAGGTATTTTCAGTCCTGCATTGAAGTATTATCTGGAAGCGTACTGGTCAACACCATGGATCAGCCGCGGGGGAGACGGCGCTTGAGCTACATCTATTACAGAGCCAAGGACTCAATTCATCACGCAGCGGGAATGTTTAGGTCTCAATTAGTATGTAAAGTCATGTTTTTGGTCAAATTCATCCGCTTTAAGGGACGTAGAGTGGTGTAGTTCAGATCTCGGTGGTTTCCCGGTCCCGGGTACGTATGCATCATAGACATTTTTCTGTGTGTGGTAGCTAATCATTAGAGATCAAATGGAGAAGTAGATCGCTGGCCCTATCGGCTGGTTAACCAAACATATCTCAAACTCCATTATTCTCTTATTGGATGCAGCTCTTCGGGCATATCGTGGTTGGGTAAATTGCACCCTTGTACGATTCGTGATTAAGCATTAATGAATGTTACTGATGGCCAATTGACCCTCAAGCTATTAGCTGTGCTATTCCCCAGTCTTCACGAAGGACGAGTGGACCTCTGGAAATCAGGAAGCCTGGAAATTTGTCACCATGCTTTACATCTACAACAGGTTCTCCCAACCTAATTCCATGACCCCAATCAAATCCCCGCTAATCGTCTGACCGGAACTGACCAGAACACGAGCAGCTCTTCACTGCCACGTATCATACATAATGCAATAATAGAAATCTAAACCGTTTGTAATTCCCATCTTTTTTCATCTTTTCCCTTTTTTTTTCAGTGTGCAATTTCTGCTTTTGGTGCTGGAGCTGTCAAGCCAATTGTAACACCGATATGCTTATCTGAGTCGTTCGTGCACCAGCAAAATAGGTTCTGTAGATACAAGCGCTATAAAATTTTCCTGGTACATTCTTCCATTCTTTCCCTATAGCAATGACTAAAACTCCAGATCCTGAGATTAAGGTGACCAAAGTTCCCAAAACGACGTCCACCTCCGTGAGGATCTCTGCAGATGACTTGTACAGACAGTCCACCCAGTTTCGATACTGGTCCTACAGAAAGCAGGACTTGGACAAATTGCGCGTCCAGATCAACGATGTGGGAGCCGAAATGACTGCCCAAAACATTGCCAATGCGTTAAAGAGCGAGGAGTTCAAGGAGCAGTATGTGCCGGGGTCCATAGAACCCCTCACCCCTGACGAAGAAAACGCCATTGTGACGTTTTACGCCCGCAAGATTCCGAATACGGGCCAATTTTTTCAGATGAATTCCCAGATAAAAGCCACGGGGATAGCCTTTTTTCGACGTTTCTACTTAGTAAACAGCGTCATGGAGTTCCATCCCAAGCTTATCTTGCACACCTGTCTCTACCTCGCTTCCAAGTCGGAAAACCACTTTATTTCAATCAACTCCTATAGCAAGCGCATCCCCAAGTCCACCCCCGAGTCCCTTTTGCGGTTCGAGTTCGATATCACCACCGCACTACAGTTTTCCTTGATGTGCCACCATCCATACAAGGCGATGTATGGCTTCTATCTCGACATCCAGACCTACATCTCTGACGTGGACCATGACCGCTTGAACAAGTGCTACGACAAGGGGAAAGGTTTCATCAACGAGCTGTTATTTAGTGATACCCAGTTTCTTTTCTCGCCCCCACACATTGCGTTATCCTGCTTGTGGGAGGCCGACAACGAATTGATCTCCAGGTATTTAAAGAGACGATTTGGGGGGAATGAGAAGAAGACGAAAACTACGGCGGTCAAAGAGGAAGGTGACCCGGCGGTGGAAGATTCCTCAAATAATGGAATAGATGTATCCGTCAAGCTCGAGGATACCATAAGCCTTGAAGAAAACTCCGTTGAACTCGAGGAGGGTGTGAAGGTTGGAGTTTCTGCAAAGCTTGAGGACAACGTAAAACTCGAAGATTCTGTCAAGCCTGAAAATGACAAGGAAGATGAGGTGAATGGTGAAAAGGATGAAGCCGCGGAATCGGAGGCGGCAAAAGTTCGTGAGGTGACATTTGACGATATGCGGAGAATCATAAAGCAGTGCTCGACGATCATTAAGAGGGCGTTGAATCCAACCATCACCGATGCCCGTGCCATCGACAAAAAATTGCACTATTGCATGCACCCGGAGAAGACCTTAAAAAGAAAGCGTGAAGATACAGGCACCCCGGACCCGGCGAATGTGAAGGCAAAGATGGAGAGTACCCAAGCACAAGACCCCAACCAGGTGTGATGAAGATTAGTGCATCTTGGTAGGGCGAGGTACGCCCAAAGGATATGATTAGTCCGTTATCGGGACCAATAGAGGAGCAACAAGGAAATATTAACTGATACGGCCAGTTTGTTCTTTAGGCTTTAATACGTGTTGTAGAATGGTTATTATACCTAGTAATGAATGATATGTTTCAAATAGCCTTCCGTATACCTCTTTATCTAAGGTCTAGAAACATAAGTCTATGTTGGATGTTATCCGAGGGGTAGAGACATGGCCATTACATCCTACCGGTCAGGCTACAATAGAAGCTCGTCAGGAGCTAGGCTGCACAATAATACTTATACTATATATTTTGAAAAAAAAATACCGGTACGAATCTTCTACGCTCCATAAAAGACATAGATCTGATCATCGAAGTGCATTTATTGTACACTAGGCGTGACGGAAATCTATATGATAAGCTAAGCCACAATATGTCCTATCTCCGGAATGCTTTTTTGTTTTTGTATGTTCCAGATACGTCTCATTTTTACCACTTCCATAATGTATCTGATTAATCAAAATCTGAAAATGGTATAGTTTAATTATTAACTTTGTTTATAGAGCATAAAGTCAAGTAATTCGATTTACTGTCCCTCGTCTCCGTAACATGATCACATTAGACTTCACCGTCGTTATCACGGTAAAACGTCATACCAATCTACGGTTGTAGCTTTCTAATAACACAGAGAATTCCAATTTATAGACATTTCAAATAGGTTCTGTAAAGCAATGGATAGATAATTAAACCCCTATATCTGCCACACTATCTCTTCGTGCACTCATACCTTACCATGACCCAAAACTAATTCCACAATTGTACAGAGTGTTCACCACTTCACGTTTCCTGGAAGCGGCTCTCATGTCACCACCACCCCCTTCTTACCCCTCAAAGCCTATTCAGCATTATTATGTTCAATTTGCAATCTTATAATACAAGTTAATATACACCTAGTAAAACCGTGGGGTGACGATGACTTTTTCATCGATGTGGCCCAACGAGTAGGCCCTGCTCTCGGACGAGTTGCGGTTGACCAACACCACATCCTGCAAAAAGTTTGCCTTGGCACCTCTATCAACATCCATAACGACGTTGCCCACCTTCATGGTGATCTTTCCGGACTTGTGGAAGCGCAACTTCCCAACCTGGCCCTCCAAAGCAGCTTCGGGCTTGACATCGGCCTCAGACTTTGCCTCAACCTCAACTACATCCTCTTCCTTCTCCTTGGCCACCATCTCAAACAATGGCAACTGCTTCGGCAACTGGAACAAAATGAATTTTCTGCTGGTCGGCTTCGCCTCGTCGGTCTCCATCGCCACATCGCCCAAGTCCAACGCCTTTATCAACGCAGTCAACCTGGCATGGTCAGACACCACGCGTTTATCCTCTGTGTCGTGCAATTTATCCACCATATCGTCTAAAGGCCTCCCCTTGATCGGTTTGTCATCGGACTCTGGTGACAAGGACCGCACGTCTTCAACCTCCAGCTTCACCTCCTCTTCCGGTTCTGGTGACGCCTCATCGCGCAACGCTCTGACAGGGAACAAGACCGTCTCGTTGTCATCGAAACGGTACTCCTTGCTCATGTCAATGCGTTTGGGGTCGTTCGGGTCTTCGTCATCATCCTCGCCGTGCGAAATACGCTCCGTCTTCAACTTCAAGCCGGCAATGTAGTCTGGGGTCGGTGAGCTCGAGCAGGTGCGGCTGGGCGTCGCACGCGCACTGAAGGCGTCGCCCGAGGCCAAGGGCCCGGTAGAGACCATATGTGTTCCGGTCATGCCACCTCTGCCGCCGCGACCGCGCCCTCTGCCACGTATGCCCCCACGCGTTGCACGCACTGGCTTGGCCTCTACCATTACTGGCGCGTCTGCATCACGCTCCTCCTTGGTCCGTCTTGCGACAGTCTTAGGCTTGAACTTGAGCCCGCCCCTGGCGGCGGGTGTCGCCGCAGGCGTTCTGCGCGCGAGCGAGTCAAGACGCGCCACAGGCGGTTTAACGTCTTTTAGTGGAGCAGACATGTTGGATGAATATACCGTATGAGGATGAAACAGAGCGTAACGTAGTGTCTAACTTTCAGCAGTGAATTGGCTTTTGATCCGAACCTTCTGACATCTCACGATTACCCGGCGCATCGAGAAAAATTTGTGAGCCGCACCAAAATATTTTTAATAGAACGGCAAATTTTATAAGCGATGAGGCTCTATTCAGTTCCCCACTGACAACTTGTTCTTTATTTTTCACACAACATGGCGCGTAAGAACGGATCCAAGCCGAAACAACAATATAGGGATGATGTGGAGCTTGACGAGGTCGACGCATTCAGTGCGGACAAGGAAAAGGTGCTTTTGGAGCAAGCGCAATTTGCGGCTCCCGACTCCAGCGACGATTCCGAGGAGGAGGTGATGGGGATTGACTCTGAATCCGATGCGGACGGCATGGACAGCGATATTGATGCGGAGTACTTTGGCAAAAAAGACGAAGTGGCGGAGTTGGAAGATGAGGCCGAGCAGGGCTGGGGAAAGAACGCTTACTACGGCGCGGACAACGCCGAGGACGACGAGACAGCCAAGCACATCGAAAAGGAGGCGATTCGCCAACAGAAGCAGCACCTCCAGGACTTGAACATGGACGATTATGTGGACGAGGACATGATGACGGAGTGGACCAAGACGGAGGCACGCGAAGACGCGGCGAACAATATCCTCGCGGGGGCGCAACCGGACGTATCGCAGATGGACGTGCAGGCGAAGCTTTCCTTATTAAAGACACAACACCCGGAATTCATCCCGCTTGCGAAGGAGTACCAGGCGTTGAAGCAGGAGCTCCAGATGTTGGGCCAGGCGAACGTGGTGGATCGGGTCAGATACACCGCGTTGTCGACGTATTTGGGGACGGTGGCGAGCTACTTTGCCATCTTCATGGCGCAGGTGCGGGCAGAGGATGTATTTTCCATGAAAGAGCACCCAGTGATGGAGAGCATTTTGAGCACCCGAGAGGTCTGGAGACAGGCGAAGGAGTTGCCGGAGTACAATGAAGCAATGATCATCGATTCTGAAGGCGAGACCGACGAGTCAGATGATTTGGAAGTCAAGATGTCTGACGATGGATCGGAAGCGGTGTCCGGTGACGAAGCGTCTGAAGTGTCTGGTGAAGCGGAAAGCGAATCTGATCTCACACTCGACGTTAAGTCCAAGAGGCAGATCAAACAGCGCAAGAACACCGGGGATGACTTTGTGGAGGGCGAGATGGACGACGTGGACCGCGAGGAGAAGCGTGCGCGCAGAAGAACGTTGCGTTTCTACACATCCAAGATCGACCAAGCGGCCAACAAGAAGGACGCGCGGTTTACCGGGGACGACGACTTGCCATACAAGGAGCGCTTGTTCGAGAGACAACAGCGTCTCGTGGAGGAGGCCAGAAAGCGCGGGTTATCGGACGCCAACGGCGCAGACCTCGATGACAACGAGTTTAACTCGGACGACGAAAAGGCCGCGAAAACCATCAACGAAAAGGAGAGCAATGATTACTACAGCACCGTCAAGGCCGGCAGAGCCGCGCAGAAGGCGGGCAGAGCCGATGCGCACACCGCAGCGGTGCAAGCCGCGAAGGCAGGCAAGTTGGAAGAATTGCAGGAGACCATTGGCAACGATGGGAAGCGTGCCATCAATTACCAGATCCTCAAGAACAAGGGACTCACGCCGCACAGGAAGAAGGAAAACAGAAATGCGCGTGTCAAGAAGAGAAACAAGTACGAGAAGGCCAAGAAGAAGCTTGGGTCTGTTCGCTCAGTCTTCAAGCAACCGTCTAGTTCGTATGCCGGTGAGAAGACGGGGATCAAGAAGGGGATCACCCGGTCGGTCAAGCTTGTGTAAAGGAAAGTCCTATATGGAATGTTGTATTTTAGCAAAAAAAAACTGCCAGCGCGTAGCTGGGTGTAGGAAGGCGCTGGTGGGTTTGGGCAGCGAAGCACGAAGAGAAGTCAAACGTGACATAGCTTTACGCTGTATATTGATCTCCCAACTTCGAGAAATGGGTGACCTAGTCATATAATTGATCATTACCAGGCGAAGTCATGTGCTGACAGTGGTGGTCAAGTAATAAACTTATATAATTATAATATTGAACGTTCTTATGCAGGAAATCTTAAGAAAAAAAAATTGAATGGAAAATGGAGATGTGGGGTCAGAGTTTCCAAGGTTGATTTTCAAAGGTATGCACGAACAGACAATGAATTTTTAATATACCAAGGGAAGCCGAGTTATCGCTCGCGTAATTTGAAGTGGTGGGAATCATCACCGCCTTGGGAGTTAAAACTCTGCAGAATCATTTGTCTTATCTTTGACGATTTGTGCATGATGGGTCCCAAATATTGAATATTCCATGAACAATATTTCGTCGTAGCTACGCATGCAAGGTCTCGGCGGACCAGATGGGGGCACGCAACAACTATTAGAGGAAGATTTTTAAACCACTACGAATTCAATTAAAACAGCTTATTTCCGTACTATATTTCAAACCGCTAGTTAAAGACGTGTGAATTCTCGGTACATGTAATGCTTAACGCTCCCCGCAAATCACATATGCCTCATAACATAAGTAAATCACGTACCAAATGCTAATAATGCCACAGTTCCACACCTTCACTCTCATAACGATTACAAACGCTGTTCCCCGAGAAATTAGTGGTGGACCATTTACGTAAAACAATACTATGGACTATTTCCATGTCTTGCTACTGAAAGACCTAGGACCTCACTCCTTTATGTCTGCCGAAACTGCCCATACCACATTCTTTGGTAACATCGAAGCCTATGATGTACATGTTTACTATGATAACGACAATCCTGGGGAAAAACAATTTGCCTTGGACCTTCATGAGTCCTTCAAGACCGAGCTAGCCGATTTAGTCGCCAAAGGTGATATTCGTCTTCTTAAATTTATTGACCATTCAGTGGGGCCCCACCCGACTGGTATGTTTAAGGTTGACCTCCGGACAACCGAAGCTTTTGTTAGAGCCGTCCCTTTTTTCCAAATTAGTCACGGGAACTTGAGTGTGTTGATCCATCCTATTTCTGATCAAGGTGATCTAGCTGACCACACCAAACACGCTTTGTGGTTGGGTGAAAAACAGCCATTGTTATTGCATGTATTGAAGTAAAGAGGGGCCCCTATGGCCACCTTCCCTTAATTACAGTCATTAAAGATATTGAACTATAGCTGTATCTAAAGATATATTCTTAGTTAAGCAATGAACCAAGACTTTATAACCGTACTCGGGCTTTAGCTGAACCCTACCCCATGACCATGCAAAGCCATTGTAACCTAAAAGCCTCTTTAGCTGCAGGTGTTTTACCTTCGTTGGGGTTTGCCGTCGTAAACTCTCCAGTATTTTGAAAAAAAAAACAAAAAAAACATACATCACACCGATGGCGGTTAATGAATAAACCTCTCACGTTACGGCTATGAAAAACAGTGCCTCCAGCCAGATTCGAACTGACGATCTCCTCATTACTAGTGAGGTGCCTTACCAACTTGGCCATAGAGGCTAGCTCTGAATTCATAATATTATGCAGCACATTCAGTCCGACGAAGAACTAAAATTATGGTACCAGTAGTCGCTTAATCGTCACCGGTTGATGATCATGTATAGTGGACGTTCAGATACTGTCGAATATAGATCTGCATTTTTTTAAATCTCTTTGTTAAGCCTTCAATGCGAGTCTCTGGTCGGGTCATATCATCAACACACTGAGCTATACTCCCATTAGTTCTCTCCATAAGGTAGTGTTGGGCTCCGCTGTATAACAAAAGAGGCTGCATCGCTTATGGAAAAAAAATTGACAACTTTGACACGTTAGTAAAGTATTATTTACTTCCGTTGGAGTGCGCACTTTGTGAAAGACTGATGCTCATCAGGCCAAAGAGATCTACCCACCTATAGCATCATACTTGGAAAGTGCATCCCATCGGTCCCTAAAAGCCCGGCTCATGAAGAATTTTAACCCACTATAGAATAAAGCCAAGAGCGTAAGCCAAGAGCGTAAGCTAAGAGCGTAAATCAAGAGCGTAACCAGATGGTTATGTACATATATGAAGATCTCAATCACCAAAAATTTCACGCACGTACACCCACGGCTATTGTACCATTGGTAATTCCACCTGTACATCGGAACTTGTTCTACATTTATCTAAAAGAAAGCACGCTTATTGTGCGTAAAATTGGTCTAAAAAGAAAGTATTGCGCTATGAACACGCCGTGTTGATAATAAACCTCACTGAGGGACTAAGAGGAAACTCCGTTTGCACGTTCGTTCCGCTTACTTCACAATCAGTCGTAGTACTTCTCTTTCTCCTCCGGTCTCAACGCCCCAAAGAACACATGCGGTGGGGTGCACGTGCCTAATGCACGCTCTGCGTGGTTGTCCAAAAACGACACCCCAAACACATAACTCGTGTTCACCCACCCGAACCCCTCGGTGGCTACTCCCTTGAAATCAGAACCCTGGTTACCATACTCGGCCTCGACCTTGTGCGGCGCCTTGCCACTGGTCACGTCGTACTTCTCCACAACAATCCCGTTATAATCAACAAACGCCTTGGTCATCAAATAGAGCCAGCGGTACGCTAACCGCGACGCAGTGGCCTTGTAGCCATAGTTCGTCAAGCCAACCCACGCCATAATCTGCTGCGGCGCCCAGCCAAATGGATAGTCCCATTGGCGCGACGGCCGGTCTAAGCCCACCAGGCCTCTGCTCTCCTCAGTGCCCGCTGCGAGCCCACCCAACATCTCAAACTTCGGCAAGCCCTTGGTGACCATCAACTCAGCCTGGTGCGGCGACGCAACCCCGGCCCAGAGCGCCCAGTAGGTGGTGGCCGATTCGTATGGGTTCTGTGTCTTGGTCTTGATGTTATAATCGTGGTAGATCCCGGCTTCCTCGTCCCAGCAGAGGCGGTTGATGCGCTCCTTGCGCAACTCCGCCTGTTCGCGCCACCACGCAGCGGTCTCAAAGTGCCCACACTCGCCGTCGCATGATGCGTCAAAGGTCCCACCGTGAGAATCGATGTACGCGGCGATATCCACCTCGTACTTATACAATAAAGTATTAAGGTCAATGGTGGCGAGGTCCGCACATTTGCCCTCCAACCGATAGGACGTGTCGTGGCCTGACTCACGGACAGCCCTGTCGTGCACAAAGTACTCGTCCAATTCGGGCTCGCTGATCTCATCTGCATTGTACATCCGCTGGAACTCCGTAAATGACACATTGTGCTTCTTCTCATACGGCGCAAGGAGCGCCTCGAAGTGCGAAGCCTCCGTCTCCGGCGGGATCCCTACCCCATCTGGGTGGTAGCACGACAAGCCGGAGGCAAAATCCAACCTTGGCGCGGCCATCCACACCGTCTTGTACTCCTTGATAGCAGCCCTGAAGGCTCTCGCCAAGAAGTCCTTGGCATCAGCAATATCTCCATAGTCCATCAACTTGTTGTACACCTTGTTGGCCATGTCGGTGAGAAACGGTGGCTGCGAGCGACACAAGTAGTACGACCGGTTGGCGTTCAAAATCTTGCCGTAGTGGGTGATCTCAAACACAAAGTTTTCAACCATTCCGCGTGCAAGCCCGATCTTGGTCTCGTCGAGGCCCTCCTCCACGAGCAACCCGATCGTCTCCATGTAAGAGTCCCAGCCGTACAACTCGTTGAAACGACCGCCAGGAACAATGTATGGGTACCCGGTCAATTTTCCGTCCACCTTGCGCATCGCCAAGGCCAAGAGTCCAGGCCGGTGGTTGATGGAACGGACATACTCAGGCGTGATATCCTTTGGCAAGTACACCACCTCAAGCTTCGCCTCAGGGTCCTTGCTCGCCTGTTCGGTGAAGTACTCATACTGCTCGGCGCAATCATACGGGACGTAGATCCGCGGGTTTTCAGCCTCTGGACCCTTGATCTTGGTGTCGTGGGCCATGTGGGCGATGTTCTCTGCGTCCAACTGGCGCGTCAAGTTCTTCCAGAAAGTGGTCTTAATCAAGCGGCACAACCGCGAAACCGGGTTTTCATTTAAGCGGCGCTCGTCGAGCACCATCTGGTTGCGGCCAAGGCGCTTGGCGATGGTTAACTCCTGAAGGAGGTTCGACAACATATACGTTCCGCGGATGTCGTACTTGTTGATACCGTTGGAGTTGGCGGTACCCAACTGCAACACCTTTGGCCCAGAGTCCTCGATGGTGATCTGGCAGTTGTGATCCGTGTCCTCTGTTTTAAGGAGCTGGTTCAAGGTCAGGTCGATATCGGCAATGAAGAAGCGGCGCGCCAAGCCCGTAGTGTCGTCGGTGGACGCGCGGCGCTTGAGCGGCGAGCTGGTGCTGCGGTTGTCGTCTTCGTTCCACAAATCGTTGTAGACAGAGTCCACGGCAGAGCGCATGTTGAAAAACGACATGGTACGGGTCCGCGCGATCTTGGAAGACGCGGGGACCTTGGAGGGGTCCGTAGTGGCGCCGTAGTATACGTCCGCGGACTCGAATGGCAGGATCTCAAAGCTCCCAGAGGAGGACTTTCTTCTGTGGCGGTCGGGCATTTGGTTTTAAAGTAGATTCTGGTGGATTTGCTCTAGGAATGTATGTAGTACAGTGGCACGATGAAATAGATTCAATAAGCCAAGTTTGGGTTGCGGTCAGAGATAAGATTACGTGGGTCTGTGCAGGAAGCAAAATGGGGGTGTATAAAATCGCGGGTGCTGGGAAATCAGTAAAGGCTGGCCGGAATCAGAGAGATAAAAAATTAAAGTGATTGATCAGAGTGCTTAGAGGACTTATCACTATCAGCTTGGTTGTTGAGGGAAATCCAAGTGATTCTTAGACGATAGCTTTCCTGATAGAGAAGAAAAAAAATCTGGCCTGGTAGAAGTTTGGAAATTCCTTGGTTTAGATACTTATATGTCGTCGAAAAATTCAGTGACTCAACCTGGTCTAAACCTATGCCTCAAGTAGCGCTGCTGGTCTGTCTAAATCACCGGCCTCGGCGTTTTTAGGGGGATCGCTTCTCGAAGCGGAAATCTTGTGATGAGTTTTTCGCTAGTCTGTGGAGTGGTCAGGCCAGCTGTGCTGTAAGAGTGGGCGAATCGCCGTGGTAAAAAACGCGATACGAGTGGGGAAAAGAGCGGAGCCAATTTTAGTATGTCTACAGAACAGGGATAGGGGCTTTGTATACCCTGGCCTTGGGCATCAGTCCACCGCTGGCCGATTAGTGAAGGTAATGTTTTCGGTCAAGGATCGATGCTATTTCCAGAGACCTCATATTACATACGTGTTACAACCGCGCGATGTCATGGTACCGCGTCGCATTATGGTCGGTCCATTTCGGCCTAAAGAGGTACTATTGAGAGAAAATATACATATACGTCTATGGTTTACTGTTTCATCAATGGTATTTTGATAAAGGCTGGGCGGGTGGATGAAATCTAATGCCGGAACTAAGGTACGGCCGAGACACATCATCGCCAAGGAAACACGCACTAAGTGGTCTGTAGGCGTCCTGCATCCGCGCACCAGGCGGGCTGACAATGACTCCAAGTTCCGAGGCCTAAAGGGCCGGCTCCGGCTAATAATAGATTTCAGTTGACATAAATCCCGAAATAAGTCGTCCTCGGGTGTGGAGTTAAATATAAACTTCAAATACGGAACTGCAAACAGAGCAGCGTCCATGGGCTTTTTTCCTCCTTAATAATAGGTAGTTTGCATAAATGTGCTGGAAACCTTTCATAATCTTCACATCACGCTCTAGTACAGCCACTTTCGAGCCTCCACAAACTAGGGTTATACTGGGTTACTATCCTGTATGAATAAGCATGAAATATGTTCCTACTGATTGCACCATCTAAAATTCAACCGTCGTTGAGAAAGAACTTCCCAGCAACCTGGATGCGGCATGTATATGATCACGTGACCACAACACACACAGGCGGTGGCGACAAGACCTGATATTCGATAGTTCCTATTTATTCATCGAGAAGACTTAAGTCAATATTGATTTTAAAAAGAATCGAATCATCGGGGATGAAGGGATTTGGGGAAAGGTATCTTGTATTGCAAAAATACTGTGACAACGGGGACGTGATACCTTGTATCCCAAGGCTTGCCCGTATAGCTTACTGCCACCTCAGCCATGACGTTTTCTTACGCTCTAGTATAGTCTCAGGTCTGTAGATATTAATACAGGGAACGGGGGGATAGTGCCTCGGTAGGGAGCACATAAATTCCCCCAAGCTTTTTTAAGCATTTAATTTTCTAAAAGCCTCACCAAAGGGTCCCGTCAGTTTCGCTCATGTTCTCTCTTGGATATCAGTGTTTCTGCTAATCCCTACCGAGTCTACGTTTACAGATAACACCCAGTTCAATAGGGAGATATATTTCATACATATACACCATAAAACGTATTACTAACGGGGATGCTTAAGCTTTGTTGGCGGTTTGGGCCTTCTCGAACTCAGCCTTGAAGTTGTCGGCATTTTCCTTGGAACCGAATCTGATAGCCAAGGTCTGGGCCTCTGGTTCACCCTCGGCAATGTCGGCGGTAACGGAGTAAACCCAAGATCTGTCAGAACCAACGTTTGGCTTCAATTCGTAGTCTGGGGAGATGAAGTGGTTGGCGCAGATCTTCAAGGTCTTGTCTCTTCTCATCAACAATCTAGTCTTACCGGATTCCTTGTGCTTCAAGAATTTGACATCACCGGTACCTCTTTCCTTCCATTCCTTGGCTTCCGAGTGGAACTTAAACAATTTGGCTCTGACCTTCAAGGTAACCTCTTCGTCCTCTTCGTTGGTCTTGATTTCAACCTTTTCTAACTTGACCAATGGCTCAAAGTGCACATCTGGGGACTCTGGGGCTTCCTCGTCATCGTCTTCGGCCTTCTTAGCACCGGACTCTTCCTTGACGTCTTCTTCCTTGGCCTCGTCAGCCTTTGGCGCCTTCTTGGCACCGAACATGGAGAACACGTTGGAGGTTGGTGGGGTAGCAACTTCTGGAGTTGGGGAGGCAGCCTTGACTTCTTCGGACATGGTGGATAGGTATGTGTGCGGAGAACAGGGAGTAGCGGTGGGTTTGCTCAGGATCGAGTTTTTATGCGTGCAAAATTTGAGATTCGATGTTATGTAATTTTTCGCCCACCGTGTGGTGTTGAGCAATATGCAGGATTTCGCGAGTCTGGTAGCATGGGAGGCTGGATTTCGCGAAGTTACATAAGAGACGGTCAGTCCTAAGGTGAAAACTTCAGGCTGGGTTGAATCTGAGGGCGACTTTATGTTCTTTCGTTGTTCTACCGTCTTGTACTCAAAGAAGAAAAGCCTGGCCGGTATCATCATTTTAAAATTTTCGAAGATGCTGTAGCATAGCCGAACGAATGGGATGGCTCACCTTTTACACCCCTTTACTGATTGGTCCTAACTGAAGGGGCAATAATACTGCTTTATTCACTAGATAGGAAATGTCTGCTTCCTCTGTGTATTATTTGACAGTCTGTAGGCGGTGAAGCGTGCTGGTAATGCACCCCAAAAGCATATTACTGCTGGAGTCCTAATAGGTGCTCATAAAACCAACTTTTTTTCTTCAATGGAGAAACGGTACCCGTCTCAACAGGTTTACAGAACTTTTCTTGGATAGGTACGTGAAATAGGACAGATCTCGGGCAAACAGGCATTTGAGTCCGAGACATTCGTACACTTTCTAGTTCATAGTAAAGGGATTGGGTATCTTCATCCCGAGCAACGAATCTATCCATACGGTACACTGCTTGCCTTTTAGCATTTACAAAGTCGATTATGCATTCACTATCAACTGCTGTTAAGGTCCAATCTCGACACTCAGACATAAAGGTATATACAAACTTCTGATTCAATCCATCTACTATTTATCTTTGCGGTCTTCAGTGTTGCGATACGCGCCAGAATAGGTCTTCAAGTAACTCCACTTCAACAAGACCCAGGCCATGCGGAACGGACCGAACTCGGGCCACAAACAGTTGACAAACTCAACCACCACGCGCGGCGCCTCATTAACGGTCTGCCACAACAAGAAATCACTCAAGCGATTGGTGTTGCTGGTTCTGACTACCAAGTCTAACGGTGGGCAATCACGCGTATAGAGGTTTGCGTCGATAGTCTCGGCAGAGATCTCGTCAAGCGCAAGGCCATCGCGTGCCTGGCCCACCACAGCCTTGATGGCCTCGGTCATCTCGTCGCGCGAGGTGTAGGGAAAGCACACGTTGAGCGTCGCGCGCGTGTTGTTCTTAGTGATCTCCTCGCTCGCACGCAACACCTCGAGCACGTCTTGTGGTAATAAAGCAGTGTTCCCCAAGATACGGATGCGCACGCCGTACTCCTCCGCTAACTCGCCGTGTTCACACATGACGCGGAATTTGGCCTTCGCGAGCGACATCAAACAGCTGACCTCGTAGTCAGAGCGGTTGAAGTTCTCGATAGAAAATGCGTACACCGTTACGGTGTCTACACCACACTCGTAGCATAACTCGAGTAACGGCGCCATGCTTTCGGATCCCGCGTTGTGCCCTTCTTTCACCTCAATCTTAGACTTGCGCGCGTAGCGACGATTGCCATCCATGATAAACCCAATGTGCTGCGGCACCCGCCCCGTCTGTAAGATGCGCCCGTATACTTTTTTCGTCTGGGCTATTAACGATTTGTAGCCGGGAAATGTGCTAAGCCACGTGTCGGGCATGATAAATAAAGGTTAATTGGGAACTGGGGTGGGTTCTGGTTGTAGAATCTGGGTAGAGCAGAATGAAATCTAATAGCCAGCCTGTTCCGATGCTAGCTCTTGTTCTGTGTTAGGGGCTACTAAAATGGAATAACTAGAAGGTGGCACTGATAGGATCCAGTTTTCTGCGCGCTTAGGTGAAACGGTAGAAACTTAACCACCCGGCCATCTCATCTCTCGTTGCGAGTGCGTGGCACAACTTTCAGCGCTTCTGTACCGGACATCTACTGCCCGGGGTTCGGCAAGTGCAGGTCCAGTCAATGGAGAGTAAAGGCGACGCTATAGCCTTCTATGGATAGAGTTTGAGGTGATTGATTAGTTTTACATAGCTGGTTATTGTGGCTTCCAATCGTCCCAGAATCATCCCAGTGTTTCTGATCCTCCCTTTGGCCGTATGTTAGCCACCTTCACTTATATGCAGGCCTTCTCGGTAAAATTTCACTGTTAGACAAACTCGCACTCCCTATATCAAGACAGTATTTCTTGGTAGCAGATAACTTTTGGTAAACTCCATCAATAAACACACCATGTTAAGAAGCCGAATGATTAAGGTGAGACCGCTTTTGCAAGAAACCAGAGCGCTTCGCAGAACCGTTTCCTCGTTCAACACCGCGGTGGAAACGGCAGAGAAGCTTGTGACGCCTGTCAAGACCAAGTTCGAAGACCCTTTTTCCATTGTGTCGCATGAGATGTCTGGACTCGCCAAAAATATTGCCTCCTTAATTGGGTCTGGCCACCCGACGCTCAACCGTGTGTCCTCGTACTACTTCGAGGCTGAGGGCAAGAACGTGCGGCCATTGATTGTGTTGTTGATGTCGAAGGCGTTAGCGAAAATCCCGCGCGACCAGAGAACCAGAATCCCCATCGATGAGTACGACACCACCGACCAGCCAAAGTTTGCCGGGACTGTCTCGGAAACCTCCATTGCTGGACGCTCTGTAGACGATTCCTTGTCGCCATTGCGCATCTTGCACGGGATCAACCCAAGGGTTATTTTGGACCCGTTGAGTAAGCCTATGGACAAGCTCCCGGAGTTTGACGCCGAAAACGGGATCTTGCCGAAGCAGCGCCGTCTCGCGGAGATTGTCGAGATGATCCACACTGCCTCACTCTTGCATGATGATGTCATCGATCTTTCCGACGCCAGAAGAGGCAGGCCGTCTGGCAATGTGGCCTTCACCAACAAGATGGCTGTTTTGGCCGGTGACTTTCTCTTGGGGCGTGCGTCTGTCGCAATTGCCCGGTTGAGAAACTCCGAGGTTATCGAGTTGTTGTCCACCACCATCGCCAACTTGGTCGAGGGCGAATTCATGCAGTTGAAAAACACTGTTTTGCTGCCAAACGCCGACATGGTGGGCAGCAAGCAGCTCCCAACGCCCACCGGTAAAGTTCCGACCACGGTCCACGAGTACTCCGTCGCCAGTCACGCCATTACCCACGAGCAGAACGTAGCTGCTGCCTTCGAGTACTACTTGCATAAGACCTACTTGAAGACCGCTTCCTTGATGTCCAAGTCTTCCAGAGCTGCTGCTGTCTTATCTGGCGCAGAATTGGAGATTGTTGAGCAGATGTACGACTTTGGTCGTAACTTGGGCTTGTGCTTCCAGATCGTCGATGATATGTTGGACTACACCGCGAATAACGCCGAGTTGGGCAAACCAGCTGGCGCGGACTTGAAGTTGGGCTTAGCTACCGCACCAATCTTGTTCGCGTGGCAGGAGCAGCCGGGGTTGGGTGAGTTAATCTCCAGGAAATTCAAGAATCCGGGCGACGTCGAGCTTGCCAGAGCGGCTGTCAGAGACTGCCAGGGTGTAGAAAAGACGAGGTTGATGGCAGAGAAGTACTGTGCCGGCGCCTTGGCGAATTTGCGTGTGTTGCCAGAGTCCGACGCTAGAAGCGCGTTGGAGCTTTTGACCAACTCTGTGTTGACCAGAACCAAGTAGACGTCCAGCGTCCCGCTTCGTATGCGGGGCGGGGCCCCTTTGGAGAGCTTTCTCTTCCACTGGGTAGTGCCACTGTATATAGCTAGATTTCGGGAGTGAATGAATCATATAATTCCCGTAGAAATTGTGGAGGCTTTCATGTTACTCGTCAAACGTATGGTTCTGAGTTCATCAGAAATCTGGGTGGGCCTACTACGGTACAGCCGTGGTAAAAAAAAAATTATAGTCCCGTATATATAAAAACACAAGTTTTTATACTATAGTATCAATGAAAATCCATATGTATTGACAGTAAGATAAGAGAGAGCCCGTGCATTTTGTCAGTTTTCTTGTCCTGCCCGCGGGAATTACTTATGTGCAAATATATCGATCTAAAAGACATCTCTCACTTTTCTCCCCTGTTACTTTCTCTCTGATTGAAAAAAATACTAGCACTATATACATCTGCTCTGGTGGTTATAACGATTTAATGTTCGGAAGATATACGAAGCCTCTTCCTTCGTACATGTCAGTTAAAACTCAATTTTATTTAATTTACAGTATGTACGTCAAACACAACAGCAAGAGCTGGAAATGAAAAAGAAGCAGTACATAAGCCAAGAAACCAGAAGCGACGAAGCGTCATATCTAGTTATTCTTGTTGTTACTCTCAGGGTCGTAAGTAGGTGAGCCCGGAGTGTATTGTGGAGATGTAGGGGAGTAACTTGGGGATGTTGGAGAGTATGATGGAGAGGTTGGAGAGTACGATGGAGAGGTTGGAGAGTACTGCGGGGAGGTTGGCGAGTACGATGGGGAGGTAGGAGAGTAAGAAGGAGAGGTAGGAGAGTAGGAAGGAGAGGTAGGAGAGTAGGAAGGAGAGGTAGGAGAGTAGGAAGGAGAGGTTGGGGAGTAGGAAGGAGAGGTTGGAGAGTATGATGGAGAGGTTGGGGAGTACGATGGGGAGGTTGGAGAGTATGACGGAGAGGTTGGGGAGTACGATGGGGAGGTTGGAGAGTACGATGGGGAGGTTGGGGAGTACGACGGAGAGGTTGGGGAGTACGACGGGGAGGTTGGGGAGTAGCTTGGCGACGTTGGGGAGTAAGATGGCGAGGTAGGAGAGTAGGTAGGTGACGTTGGGGAGTAGGTTGGGGAAGTGACACCAAAGCTTGGCGAGGTGACACCGTAGCCTGGGGAGGTAGGCGCATAGCTGAAGGGTGAAGTCGCAGACATACCTGGGGAAGTTGGCTGGTAAGCACTTTGGTCACCATAGGCAGTAAGACCACCACGCTCCTCGTCACCGTGACCGGCATCAGCCATAGGAGAAAACATAATGTCATCGCCACCTTGCACCCAATCATCCTGGTCCGCACCATGGTTGTCGTACGGAGTAGCAGCACCATCAGAAGCCTGGTTACCAATAGGAACCACTTGCAAGTTGTTGTTTATTGGAAGAGAGCTCAACATACTCTCATCGACCATGACATCGAACGCACCGGTACCCAACGGAGCAATTTGGCCTAACATAACGTTCTCGGAAATACCACGACAATCGTCCAACTCGGCAGCAGCACCGGCTTCGAGAAGAATCTCAACGGTTTCCTCAAACGAACAACGCATAAGAGCACCCGTATCGTTTCTGTTGATACCGTGACGAGTAATGGCCATAAGGTGGCCACGAGACGTCATGACATCGACCAAAATAGCCATATGGCGGTAGTTGACGTAAGAACCATCGAAACCCAACACGTTCTGGATTTCTCTGTACAAAGCTGCACGAGTCGCTTCGATCCCGAGAACAGTAAGCACCTCAACGAACGAGTTGGAGTAAATACGGCTCGAGTCGACACCAGGCACGGACATCACATCGGCCAAGTTACATCCATCCGTTTCAAGCACCCACTCCATGCCTTGCTTGTACTCACCGGTGGCATCCGGCTCATTTCTCTTGTGTTGCATCATAAACACTCTGGTGATACCTGGGATACCCCTAAGAGAGATCTCTTCAAGCATGTTGGCCTCGATAAGCTTAAGCATCTGATCTTCTTCAGCGTCAGCATCCTCATCCATGTCCTTTGGATCACGAACTACACGACAACGGATGATAAGCTTGTCAGCATTATCTTCGGACCAGATGACGAAAAGATCCTTCCCAAACGATTTGGAGATCTTCTCCGCAACTTGACTCATTGTCAACTCTTTATCCAACATTTTGGCACGATCAAGCTCAAGACGAAGCAACCACGGCGACTGCTTGTCGATGGATTCCTCAACCTTCTCATCCGGAATGGCAAAGAAAGACTCGACAGTGTCGAGATCCTCCTCAATAACAGTGGTTCTTGGATCGGGGTCGTAGTAAATTTCAGTGGCAGACGTCACGTTCTTCAAAGAAGTGTGTTCGATAGCAGACTGGATAACCTTGGCCTTTTCGATGTCAGCAGCGATTTCCGGCTCCAAGTACACCGTAAGAGCCGGCGTCTTGATGTTCTTCGCGACGTTAAGAATTTCCTTAAGACGAGGCACACCAAGAGTCACGTTCTTGGACGATACACCCGCGTAATGGAAAGTGTTCAAGGTCATCTGGGTAGCCGGTTCACCAATGGACTGGGCGGCAACCACACCAACCATCTCACCGGGGTGGACAATAGACTTCTGGAACTGGGCCTCAACCTCACCGACAATCCAGTCAAAGGCCAAACGGTTAAGTCTGTACTCCTCCAAGACACGACGGGCAGAAAGACGGGAACGCAAAAGGCACAGGAACAACAAGGTAGCGTTGGACTGGGCCTCCTGCATAAGCTCAGTCTTACCGCGAATCACGAGAAGCTTGGAACACAAGACTTGGACCTTGGTCACAATCTCGTCGAGGGTCAAATCACTGGCTTTAGCACGGTCAACGTGGAAAATCTGCTGAGCGTTTTGAACAACACGACGGAGGTTGACTGGCAAAGGCCAGTTGTGGTCACCGTTAGGGAAACACACCTCTCTCAAGTACTTACGGTCAGACAACAACTGGTTGTACTCCTCGTCCACAATCTTCTGCAACTTCACGTCACCGACAATTTCACTGCCGGACTCCAACAAAGATGGGTTGATGCCGTGGGTATTGTCCAAAAGGTCGATACGGTAACGACGGTCAAACACAACATCGGAACCCGGAATGGTGTCGATGGTCTGCTTCTCCACCTGGGTACCATCAATACCATCTTCACCGTACACGAACTGGATCACATCACCCAACGAGTTTCTGGCGGTGGAATCGTAGTGCACCATGATGTCTTCCAAGGCCTTAACCAAACGACGCTGGATGTAACCGGTTTCGGCAGTCTTCACAGCGGTATCGATAAGACCTTCACGACCAGCCATGGCGTGGAAGAAGAACTCCTGTGGCGTCAACCCTCTAAGGTACGAGTTCTCAACGAAACCCTTGGACTCTGGAGAGTAGTCATCCTTTGTGAAATGCGGTAAGGTACGGTCGGCAAACCCGAACGGAATACGCCTACCTTCAACAATCTGCTGCCCAACGCAGGCGGACATCTGGGAAATATTAATAAACGAACCCTTGGACCCACACACAACCATCTGCTTCACATTGTTCAAATCCTTCAAGTTCATTTCAGCAGAACGACCAGCAGTATCACGAGCCTGGTTCAACACACGAGAGACGTTATTCTCGAAAGACTCACGCAAGGTCATACCTGGCTCCGGCTCCAAGGTGTTGAGGTGGGCCAGTAAGATGATCTCCTGCACCTTCTCCTTGGCCTCGGAAATGGTGTTGGTGATTTCTCTCATGGTACTTGCATCGGCAATGGTGTCACCGATACCAATGGAGAACCCGTTGTGCAACAACCAGAAGTTTACCACTTTCTGCATGTTACCAAACAACTTGGCACAGACGGCAGACCCCTTCTCTCTCATGACTGTGTGGATCAAACCGCCGGCGGTAGCACCGACGGTCTTCTTGTCAACAACGCCAAACAAGACCTCACCGTCGATGATAAGCATCCCCGAATCGGTCGGACTGGACCACGAGGCGCCACCGTCAAACCTCTGTAAGTGGATACCCTTTGGAATACACAAGGATAACAACTGCTTACCGGTCCACAACGGCTTTGGCTTCAAGATCGCCGGCTCTGGGATCACTCCATCCCAGTCTGGAATCCAGAAACACATGTTCATCACCTGGTCGTACTCCACGAAGTTGTCACGGAGAGTCATCTTACGCACACCACATAAAGTGTCTTGCACGATACCCATGATCGGCTTGTTGGATTGTGGAGAGATGATCTGCAACGGAACGGCACAGATCTGGGACAACTCCGCTCTCGTCTCCTCGGACTGCGGTACGTGCAAGTTCATCTCATCACCGTCGAAATCGGCGTTGTACGGAGAGGTGACGGACAAGTTAAGCCTGAAGGTGGAGTAAGGCATGACCTTAACTCTATGCGCCATCATGGACATCTTGTGCAAGGACGGCTGACGGTTGAACAATACGGGGTCGTCATCCATAAGGTGGCGCTCCACCTTCCAGCCGTACTGCAACGCAATGTCACCAGCCCTCTTGTGGTACCGGAGATCGATACGGTCACCGGTATCACGGATCACATACTTGGCGCCCGGATGTTCGTTCGGACCGTTACGCACCAACTCTGTAAGGCGGTGAATGTTGTAAGGGGTGACGATTTCGGGGTAGGTCAAGGTACGGGCAATCGACTTTGGCACACCGACTTGGTCCAAGTCCAAGTTAGGGTCACCGGAAATGACGGTACGGGCCGAGAAATCCACACGCTTCCCCATCAAGTTACCTCTAAGACGACCTTCCTTACCCTTTAATCTGGCTCTGATGGACTTGATCGGACGACCAGATTTCTGCATAGCCTGCGGCTGCCCGGCAATGTCGTTATCCATGTAGGTCGCGACGTGGAACTGGAGCAAGGTCTCGATTTCACTGATGACGTGCTGTGGGGACCCATCCATCTCCAACTTCTGGACAGAAATGTTCGTCTTCAAGACTTCGGCAAGCTTGTAGGTCAAATCATCCTCACCTCTGGCGGTTTCGTTGAACGCAATCGACGGACGGACTGGCGGCGGAGGAACAGGCAACACGGTGATCAACATCCATTCGGGACGTGCGTAGTCTTCGTTGAACCCCAATCTGTGGCAGTCCTCAGGGCTGATGTGCTTGAAAACGTTGAGAATCTCCGTCGGGGTCAAGACGCGACGTTCCGGCTGCTCGTTCTCCTCGTAGTTCTTGTCCTTCTTCCAGGTACCCCACAACTTCAACCCATCCTTACGGACGGTCGGCTGCGAATTACCGCACCCACCACGGGTCACCGGCTTGTCAAAGGCATCGTCGGAGGGCAAGTCAGCCTCACAGACCATTTTAGTTTTACATAAGTTCCAGACAGCGTTGAAACGCTTCTTCGGGTCTCTGATCTTCATTGCCTGGAACATCATTGGGTTAGTGTCGTCCAAAAGTAACTTACCACAGTTCATACAGATACACTCGCAAACCTTCTTGATCTTGGCGATGAACCCGATGTGGAAAACCGGCTTGGCGAGCTCTATGTGCCCGAAATGCCCGGGACACTCGTTCATGTCTTCACCACAAGTCTGGCACTTGAAGTTACGGTCGATGGAGCCTAACCTCGGATCGTTCAAACCACTTTCTCTCGGTTTCTGACGGGACTCATCCATGGTTTCAGGGTACTCAATCTTGGCAACGGAAATTGCGCGAATTTCTTCCGGGGAAAGAAGACCAAATTGGACCTAGACGGCGTTAGTATGGCACGAGACAAAGGGACTCGGGGGGTAGACTTACTTCCTTGACGGAACGGAGCGGGGCACTGGAGTATGGGATAGAACGGCCACTCATGTTAGGGTACTAAATATAAATATCAAGCGGGTGTAATAATACAGAGGAAGGCAGCAAAACGGGGTAAGTGGCTCCTTGTGACGGCTGGTGTAGGGAGCACGTATGAGTCGTTAGACAAAGCTTTTTTGGGGGAGAGTTAGGGGGGTTGGTTTTTTTTGGGTGTTTTGGGGTTTTCTTCAGTATAAATATATAAAAAAAGAGCGGTCTATGGCTTCTGGCGGATTCGGATTACTGAGGCGTCTCTGGGAGAAAATCAGCAGCAACAAGCCAATGTGTGCGAATTCGGAACAGAGTGTACGGGCCGACGGGGATCAGAATCAACGGAGCAAACACAAAAATCACCAACAGTAGAGCGTGATGGTTTAGGGTTGGATGGCTTGGGGTGGGGCGAATGGTGGGAGGTATTGTTTTCACGGCGTCTAATTTTCAATTATGGCGGCGAGTCGCAAAGTTCGACCCATTCTGGCTCCTACGCCGGGGCCCGAAATTACGCGCAGGCTGCGTACACAGCAGAAGCATAACCCCCATGAAGGGATTCACATCACCAAAAATAATAGTCCCCTGAAAGTTTGCATAACTGAAAGTTAAAGACCGTTTGGGGTTATAGGCTGCGTATACTGTTTATTGAGGGCAAGGCGGTTATTACAGAGCGTCCCGGTGGTGAGCGAAATGGTCGTCTGGGCTCTAGTGGCACGTTTCGCGAGTAATTTCGCGACTTTGCTTTTCGTTATATTTTTTTACAGCTTGTTTCGCGAAACTCTGGGCCGATAAAATACGATCTATTTATCAGAAGTATTGGCACAACCCCCCTGCTCACGACCCAGGAAGTAGCGGAATGTCAGACCAGCAGAACCCCAGCTTGACCGCATCCAAATTAAGATACCCCCGGCGACCAACTGAGGGCCCCGGTATCAATGCCGTGCACATCAACCGTGCCAGGGAGATGGCGGCGGTCACCGCAAATGCGCGACTCCCGTCACACATGCAGAGCAGAGGCCAGACCGCCAGGCCAGAAACTACACACAGCTTCACCCCACCCAGAGCTGTAAAGGTGCCGGTATCGCTTGGAAGCATTGCCGGGTCTAGGGTGTCGATTCCGGGCCCTATCCACCCCTCAGGCTGCCAAAACCCGCAGTGTGCCGACTGCGGGTCGATCATCATCCCGGCCCCGAGATCGTCGTTTCCGGTCCAGGACTCCCCTGTGATCAAGGTGAACAACTGGTGTATCTACTCGCTCAAAAAGCCGATCTTGAACGCCCAGGAGATCGAGGCGATGGAGGAGCGCTTGGACTTTCCCGTGCCCGAAATGATCTTCGGAAACAACCACATCTTTATCAAGCACGAAGCGGAAGGTAAGAGCTGGGAAATCAGCTTCAACTGCTATGATGCCATCAAGGACTGTGACACCATCTCCAATTTGAAGGTGTCGTACCACAAGGAGTGGTCGTCCTACCGGTCGAATGAAAAATCGGAGGTGCCTTCGTTCACCTCCCAGTTGCTTAAGCAAGCATCGCCATCTCCCTCGCCCTCCGGTGAAACTCTCCAGTTGTCCGCAGTCAAGCCGTACGACTGGACATACTCAACAAAGTACAAGGGGACCGTGGGAGGGCAAGGCCCGCAGTTTTCTCGCAACCAGGAGGCAGAGATTCCAATTTCCAAGCTCACGCGGCCGGATCCCATTCTCTACTTCGATGAGATGGTTTTGTATGAGGATGAATTAGCCGATAATGGGATCTCTATTGTGTCGCTCAAGATTCGCGTTATGCCCACGTGTCTCTTACTTCTCCAGCGCTTCTATCTCCGCATCGACCAGGTGATCTTCCGCATTCGCGACACCCGTGTGTACATTGATCTTAACACGAATGAGGTGATTAGAGAGTACAAGGAGCAGGAGCTCCTGTACGATGAGGTGATGCGCATGGCCAAGAACGACTTCAAGAGTGCTGGCGATCCCGGGAAGTTGTTACGCGACCCTAACTGGTGTAGTCAGATGTTGCCTGTGTTGCGCACCGAGCGTGAGTACTTGAAGATCTAAAGGTGCAAGGCTATTCGAGCATAAGTGCGGTGTAACCGGAAATGTGTCATCCAATTCGCTCCTGTTTGAAATCAATGTTGCATCAAGATGGAGTCAATCATACTTTTAATGCCGGATTAGCAGACTTCTAAAGCTGTGCTTAGGTTCTGATTTTCCAGATATGATAAATATATCATTGGTGAGCGATATCAAGTGCATATACGTTTTTACCGTCAATAATTCTCTACGTGTATATTTATCTCGGCAATCAGGGTATAGTGTGCCAACTTTAATAACCAATATACTTCTTCGGCAATCCGTAAGCTTACACCGCCACACCTTCCAGTATAAACTATGCTTCCGAGATGTGGAATAAAATCCGGGTTTATCTTTGGCCATAGAACCTTAGGGGTCGACGTAACCAAAGGTATTGCTACAACGCAATAACCTTTAGCTCAAGCAAAAAATTTGGAGAACGCGGCCTTTTCCTTGTCGCGACGAGCCTTGATGCTCTTCTTGACGTCATCCAACCCCTTAAGAATGGCAGCATCGCCCGGAGAGAGTGCAAGAGCGTCTTCCAAGTCCTTCTGGGCAGCAGTCTCGTCTTTCGCCTTAACGTATCCCATACCTCTTCTGTAGTAGGCCTTGGCCTTTGACTTGTCGTCAATCTCCTCCACGTCCAACGCCTTCGATGCGGCGTCGATGGTTTCCTTGCTCCTGGACAACTTCATAGCCATCAAAGCAGCGTTCAAGTAACATGAGAGCTTGAGGGTGTACAAGGTCTTCAAGTCAGCCTCAGACAAGTCGTCTGGGAAGTACTCCTCCAAGTAGCTGGCAGCCTTTTGATACTTTGCCAACGCTCTGGTGACGTCACTGGCCTTAAACAAGGTGGTACCGATATCCTTGATATGTGTAACAGCCTTGAAAACAGAGTCAGGGTTCTTCACATCCACCTTAGACTCGTCAGCCAAGCACTCCTCGTAAACGTCGCCGGTGCCATCGTCCACAGGCTGCACCTCGTAGTCCACTGGCAACTCACCAGAGTCGGTAATCACAACAGGGTGCAACGGTGCGTCGCCTTCGCCCTTTTCGCAGCGTTCCATCGCGCGAACAATTGATTTTCCCGACAAGACCTCACCAAACACAACGTGCTTGCCGTTGAGATGGGGGGTCGCAACGGTGGTGATGAAGAACTGCGATCCATTGGTGTTAGGGCCGGAGTTAGCCATGGACAACAAGAAAGGCTTGTCGTGGGTCAATGGGAACGCCTCATCCTCAAACTTCTCGCCGTAGATGGACTCACCCCCGGTCCCGTTGCCGGCAGTAAAGTCACCACCCTGGCACATGAAGTCCTTGATGATACGGTGAAACGTAGAGCCCTTGTAGTGCAAGGGCTTTCCGAGTTTTCCCACGCCCTTTTCACCGGTACACAAGGCTCTAAAGTTCTCGGCGGTTTTTGGCACCGCGTCTTGGTACTGTTTCTGTTAGCGTCGTCTGGAGGTGTTCACATTGGTACATACGAGTTCGAAAACAATGCGCCCCTTGGGAACATCGCCAATGGAGATATCAAAAAAGACTTTTGGGTTAGACATTGCTACTATGGTTATAGATTGCTGTTGGGTCGATACTTCGTGGAATCGAGGCTAGCTACGACCTTAAATGTGTTTGCCGATACCTGCACGTGCAGCTCGTGGAAAATTCCAGAAATTGGAGAAGGCTCATAACGGAAATGCAAAATGATCCATCTGGGCCAAAACAAGCTATCTCTAACTGAATGAGAATCACCTTCCACGTCTGAACATGACCGAATTCGAGAAAAAGCCAGTGGATGTGCAGGAAGATGACGAACCCGATGACTGGGACAAGCGGATCATCGATACCGGCTGTGCCGATGAAAACTTGAAGTTGCAGCTCTGCCACGCCGACTCTGGCGACTGGAGAAAGTGCACCCAGGAGGTGAGTACAAAGGTGTGCTGATTGAGCGAGTGACTAACTGGATTTTAGATGGAGGCATTCCGCAAGTGCTGGGACGAGCACCAGAACAACATCCGCACCAGAACCAAGAACAACTAGATCCTGGGAGAGCAACGTGTGAAGCTATCTTTTCTGACTCACTCTGGTAATCCCTTTCCATCCAACCCTGTATATATCTGGGTGAGATTTGGGTATGCCATAATAAATATTGTAAGAATGACAAATGTGAAAGGTATAAAAAGGAGCGGCAGTAAGGATCGTACAAAGGCTGTATCGATCATTCACAGATTGAAAGGCAGAGCACTGATACGGTAAAAAAAAATTACTGCGTATGCTCTGTTCTTGTGTATACTACATGATATAGTTTTATTAAATTTTCCGATTCACTGGGGAATTCTGATACGAACCATGATGTGGTCGGCCAATTCGGTTAAAACGCAAGACTATTGCTATCTAAGACAATAGCTGGAGTGTTTGACTCGACATTGAATGAAAAAATGGGGATGTAGATGTGAAAAATATACGAATATTTCGCCAAATCAATTACCTGTAACTCACTTGAAAATCCGGCTGTACTGCTGAAACCTGTACAGACTATAATAAAAAGCTGAATATATACCTATAAAATCTGGATATCTACCTAAGAATACAGAAACCCCTCCAGCTTTTATTGTCAGCGGAGTATTATTTTTTTACGATGTCTAACTCCGTTTTCCTGTAAATCTCCTTGGTTAGGAAAGTAGCTAATAAGACGGCTTTTACGCCCAGCGCATGCTCTGTGTTATCGGAGTTTCCTCCCGTAACAAGTTGGAATTCTACGTAAAACTTGAGACACTTATCGAAGCTTGCAGTTTTTGCTACATTTCTCGAACGTCACACCATTTCTAAGCTAATAATACAGACTCATCTCTTTTATGAATAAATATTAACGGTCAGGGTCAATAAACAGTTAGCTTACCAGAGTACCGTGCCGGATATCTGCTTGGCATTTCATGGGGTTAATCAAATCCCAGTTCATCACTGACCCTTTCTCTACACCTCCTCAACCATGAACACTAGCCCCAGCCTAGGATGGCAACGTCTTGACGACGTCTACTACCGCCTTAGAGAATGCTACGCCTGGACGGTCCCCCACGAAACCCATGCCCTTAGCAAAACGTCCCTTGCGCCGATAACGTCGACACTTCTCGCGCAGAAAGAAGGCAGTGCGTACGCTTATTCATCCGTGGGTGCACCCTTAGCGCAACTCAACTGGAATGCCGCAAAGAGCGGCAACTTGGTCAGCTGCGAATGGTCGGGTGACTGCCGGGAAGATGTGTACTTTGTGTCCGCCACCGGGGTAATACGGCAAGTGTACGACTACATGAACAACAACTTCCGCGATTTCCGGATTTCGATCGATGGATGCCATATCCTAGAGGTCAAGCACTGGGAGAAAGGTATTGTGATCCGCTTGTCTAACCGAAAGTTCTTTGCCCTTTTCTATAACCAGTTTCTGACTGACTCGGTACTCCCAGTAGAAATAGATCTTTCAGATAGCCTCCAAACAGCTGATGTCATTTATGGCTGGACCGTCATGGCTGGAACAGACAATTCCTTTGAACTCTTAATCGGAAAGGACCGCACGGTGATGACGGTTCAGTACAACGCTTCCCTTGCGCGTTGGCTGGTCGTGGATAAGGCGCTTACGGAGGGTCCCTTTCGCCACATCAGCGTCTCTCCGAACCGCAAGCTCGTGTCGCTCTACAACGTAGAGACCGGTAAGAACTATATTGTTTCCAGCGACTTGGAGCAGTTCTACGCGGAGTACACTAACAATGACGAAGCCCCTGGTGCCGTCGCGTGGTGTGGAAGCGACGCCGTCATTCTTGTCTACAAGGAAGAAATAAAGCTCGTGGGGCCGTCCAGCGAGGCTCTCACGTTCTACTTGAATGAGGAAGAGAACCTGACCTTCACCGTTGACACCTACAGCTACGAGGAGTATCCGCTTGTGCGGACAGAGTGCGACGGCTTGAAGATGTTCTACAAGAACAAAGTGTCATTTTTGTCCCGCGTAGGTGACGCCTCGGTCGATGCCTTTCTTATCGGCTCCACCTCGCCCGCAGCCATTCTCCTTGACTCCTCCTCCAGCTTGCACCAGCAGTTGACCAACAACAACTCATTGTTCAATTTGCAGGAAACCGGGACCCTTGAGCCCGCGATAACCGACTTGGTGGAATCTGCCAGGGACGAGTTCGGTATCCTCTGGCAAAAGCGTTTGCTCAAGTCCATCCAGCTTGGGCGGTTGTACTTTGATAAGGACACCACCCAAACGTCCGCCTTGGCCGCTATCAACGACGCGTATCTCGAAACGGTCACCAAGCTCCGCATCCTCAACCAGCTCAGAGCCAGGGAGATTGGTGTGTACATCACCTACCAACAGTTCCAGCTGTTGCTCGACGACCACGCGGCAAAGCTCTTGGGGTTACTTTTGAAACGAAACTTGCACTATTTATGTTTGAAGTTGTTAATGGAACTACGCAAGATCAACGTCAGCGCCGATCGCTGGTTCGACACAATTGTCAATCATTGGTTCAACCTCAAGATCAAGCAGTCCAATTCTGCGAGCGACCAAGAGTTGTACGAGCTCATCATTGCCAAATTGGGCCAGTTTTCCGTGCAGTGCCAGCCTTTCAACGGCCGCAAAGACGTTGTGATGTCTTTAAATGAGATTTGCGACTTAGCCTACCGTGAGGGAAGATTGACCTTGTGCAAACAATTGCTCAACCACACCGCAGCTGACCGGAAGTATCCCCTCGTCATCACCACAGACGCACAGTTTGTTATGAAATTCTTGACTAACCTCGAGGAGCACGAACTCGTGTTGCTGAAGCTCTTTCCGGTACTCACAGATGATGGAGACTCAGCCATAGCTTACAGTTACGATCTCAGCTTGCTCAGCCTCTATATTCTCCAGCAAAAGGTCACCTTGCCCCATTTTTTCAAGTTGCTCAACCTAACCCAGTTCAACAGCAACGGCTCTATTATCTCTATTGCTAACAGCTCATTGATCAGCAGCTTCTGGGTCCAGAACGTGGGAAGAAAAGAGGCCGGTATGACGGGTCAGTCTGACGTTGAGAAATGGTACTACCAGCAAGATAACAAGTTTGAGCTCGAAAACGAGAGGTTTGAAACGGAGTTGAAGGCAATTGATCCCAAGGTAGAGAATAGCACGGTATTTCGCGAATTCTCCATTGAGGATGTCAGGGCCAGCTACGAGAAACGAAAGCAGATCTACGAAGCCATGGTCAATGAATACAGCCAATCTGCGTACAAATCCGACACCGGCTACCTCAAAAGAGAGCTCTTGTTGCTTGACTACACGTATGACTTGTCGAAGACCTACCAGAGTGATTTCATACAATACAAGACCATCATCGACGTCATCAAGGTGCTCATAGGTCCAACCTTCAATCTCCCGTACTCCAAATTGGCCAAAGTCCAAAAGCAGTTCAAGGTAAACGACCAAAAGCTCTGGTACACGATTTTAGACACCTTCACGGTACAGTCCAACAGTTTCATCAAGTTACATGAGTTTGTGGTGGACCACATCTCGATGTACTCCAGTAACCAACCCCCGATCGGTTTCGAGCCGATCATCGAGCGTTGTATCGTGCGGGGAAGCCACTTGAACATGGAATTTTATGTCTCAGAGTGCAAGACATTGACCTACAAACAGAAAATCGAGATATATCTCAACGTGCGGGAGTACTTGAAGGCCAGTACTTTGGCCTTTGAGAACAAAAACTCAGCCCTCTTGTTAGAGATCTACGAAACCGCCATGGAAGACGGACAATCCAATGAGAGAACCAGGACCAGCATTAAGAGGTATGTGGACCAGTTAAAACGATGAGCGCAATGGATGCTGACTTTGTGTTCATTTCTTTATATAGACTATAAAAGATGGCCTAGTTGGAAAATGTATGTAAAGAATTGTAGCTGTGAGGCTGGGGAACGAATGGAATACTCCACTCCAACTCCTGGGAGCTACGACTGTTCGAAGGCAGGGGGGTGACAGCTTGGCGAGCGCTCTTCGCCGTCAATCTCTTTTCAAGTGCTCTTTTTCTTTTCTTGCTGCAGTTATTCCTCCGGTTGTAAATCTTTCGTCTCTCGGATTTCCATCTCTCCTCGTTGCGCCGACGCTCCTCTTCTTGCTTGATTTCTTCCTCGGTCACCAGAACCATGCCTCGCAAATGTTTTGGTTTCGCATAGGGATTGCAGGCTCTTGCGTTGGGCTCATCTGACCCTTCACCACTTCCAGAGCTATCATCCTGAGGAGATGATTGTAAGTGGTTGTTAATCCCTAGACGTTTCAAATCGATTGCATTACTGGTAAAATCGAAAACGTTTGAGAGGGTACTGCTGGTGAGCGATTTAGGATTGAAAAATAAGATATTTTCTCCGAAGTTGGTGAGCGTGCTGCCTGGAATTTGTACGTCTTGTGTAAGGTCGGCAAAATCTGAATACTTTAACGATGAGGAAGGGGAGATATTTAAATCTAAATCTAAGAATCTTTCGTCCGTGGCGAGGAAAGACCCGAATATCCCATCATCAAAGTTAAGTGGTCTCCCTTCCTCTACGATTGAATTTCGGGGCTGCGCCGTATCCAAGTTGGGATCATTGAATATAGCCTCTGCTGAGGTATCAATGGTGGAAACAAAATCACTTTCAAGAATTTCAGAAAAATCAAATTCAGACAAGCTGAGCGATTTGACGGTTGGCATGGTGATGGATAAATGAGCCAAGTGAAAATCAAGGACCTTAGGTTGAATGTTAACGACCTCCCAGAAGGTGGTATAAATCCCACTCCGGATAGGGGCCTTTTATATTGAAAGATATGCTTTGTGTGTTCTGCTTGAAGGGGAGATCCTATGCTTGGCTATCCAAGCTAACTATACCTCGAGCTAATTTGTAATAAAGGGAGACTTCGGAAAGTTATAGCAATGGGCTGGGATCAAACTCCCAGACGGGGAACTTCTTGGGAATACTGATTGGTTTTTCTATTTTCTAACCATGAGTTAGCTGCGACGATAAAGAGAGTCGGATCTGGTATCTTAAACATGGTGCTGGCGTAAGAGCTAGGATCTGTCCAAATCCGGAAAGACGCATGCACAGAAACGATCGTCGTGTGATGAGTTCTAGAATCAGACCTGACGTACGAAATTTAAGTCTGTTAAGACATCACCCAATCCTTACATGTATATGTCTGAGAAAATCTTTAAGCTAAACTACCTATATACCTCACCAATTTCTTATTTATAGAGCTAGTTATAGATTGGTTCAAAATTTGTACCTGGGATGAATACTGCTGTATTGGTCACTAAAAATGTGTCTAGCTGAGTATAACATGCGGTTAGGCTAAGAAAATGAAGTATATGTACTGTGATATATCTAGTAGGTGATAGCGGATACTGTTAGCTGGTTAAAAGAGAAACCCTTCTATCCGTAAGATATACACAGAGAGGAAAGGTCAATGTCTTTGGGTCGGCTTAAGATATGGTACCGAAATATCTAATAATCGGTAGTTGTATGAAATATAATTTGATCGGAAGTAAGATATTAGTTGATAATGTATGTGATTATATAACACCCCTGATAAATTTCAATTCAAATAGTTTGTAAACATAGACTTAATACATACAATATAAAATGAAAGTGATTACATGTCTCAATATATACGTATAAATAATTTATTTCCAATATCCAAATTAGTGCTATAGGATTACAAAAGCTTAAACAATACAACTGTATTCTGGATATGTATGCAGATTTCAATATATTCCATATGTATATTTTGTTCTATATCTGTAATATACACCATGGGATGTATAGTCATGCTGTAGGACGAAAATTCTAGAGCCCACTACGGATTCTGAAAACCTCTCATACCAAGGCGATATGTAACCCTAACATGCAGCATCATTCTAACAGAGATCATTACAGAGCACCAGAGTTCGTAACCCCATGTAGTTTCTGTTTTAGTCTTCGATAGAGATAGGTTTTCGTTATATTAAAGGCCCTTCTTGTAGAGCAAAACAGTAAATGAAATTACTATAATCAACTTTACGTAATTTAACAGGCTACAATTCATTTTATATCATCGATTATAGCAAATGATCGTCGAAAGTTAGACAGTCTGGTGGGTATATCTCATTTTGCTGGATAACGATTCCATGCACGAACAGAATAATTCAACTTGAAAAAGTTTCGCCGAACATTATAGAATAGGAAAGAAGGTTAAGAGAAAAAAAAACACTACTGTATTGTGTACGAGGAAGTGTAATAAGCATCTGGAGAAAACCAAATCGGAAAGCTTCAAATACTGAGCTAGATCCCTTCCAGAGAGTGCCAGAAATCCCGTAACAAAGTAATAATCATGCCTGTTAAACGAGGAGATAGATGAACAAGCTGGCCATACCAATTTTTGGCATCTAGTACTACACGAAAACCTAGATGACTGGATTTCCACTTTATGGAGAAAGTCGATGATATTAACCTTGAGTACCTGACACCCAGCCCTATGAACTAGTATCAAAATATGCCATTTATGGAAAGTTCATGTAAAAACATGTTTATACTTAGATTATACTTCTGTATAGTTCGATATGGGATATGACAAGTGAGAATACAGGCCAAAAACAGTATGTCTGCCTCACAGAATAGCTAAACGTGAAACTAGGATAGCACAACCGGCCACTATTAGCTAGATCGAAAGTATAAGGCCACAATATCAGAACATAACTGCGCACCCAGAACCTTTTCTGCTACGCTTCCATCTACGTGAATTCACGGAGGATCCGACTTCCACTCAATACATAAAAGAGCCCCCGGCGACATGTCTTTTATTCCAACCCTCTCTATACCCAGTATAACCCTTCGGAGTTTGCCCTTGCAGCTACAGAAAGTTGAAAAAAAAAATCGAAAATGTCAAACAGCCATCAGTTCATGCACCGTTTTGCCAACCAGCGAGTCGCCCAGGTCGATTATGAGGCCGAAAATGATGAAAATATTCATCCAACCACCCTTCGCAGTCAAACGTTCTATATAAATAGAAGATCGATAGTCACGGTGAATCGCTCAGCGCCGCAAAATGTTCACGTATCGGAACAGGAGGCAAGTTTCTTGGAACACCTCGCCATCTCCAACTTACCATCAATCAGCCAATTGGATGATGCTTCCGCTGATAGTATCCGAGATAGGCTTGACGGCGTGTACATGTCACATCGTCGCTTGCAAACTAGCAACAGAGCAGCCACCATGTTTAACTCAAGCGGAATCCCATATACCGCCTCCGTAATCACTCCTCTTTCAGGATTTGCCCTGTTCCAGCTCACCGGTCCCGATCCAAGTAGACACCAGGAGGAGCGGGAATTTACCCTGGGACCGTACAGTTCTGAAACAGTTGCTCCTACTCGAATTTATTCTTCTTCCTACAAACGGGCTCGATCGCATAACGTTAACGCTCGATATCCGCTTTTCTAAACAAACTTTAGAAAATTTTATACCTATATAGCTTTTTAGCATAAAATAATAGAGAACTAAACCCAGGTATATAAGGAAGGGCAGACCCAACCAAACTAATACGAGCAACATGAATTTAGAGAAGGATCCAGGTTGACTTTAACAGTGCAAATGGTCGACTTGGTCAGCTCAATCGGTAGAGCGTGTAAACCCCCTCATATCGGGCTTGATTACCTTTCTTTTCCCAGCAGATTTGATAATTGTGAACGAAACTCACAGAATCTACCGGAAACCTACAGGCTGCAGATAGTCATAGCTAAGCATCTGTTTGTCTTAAGAATACTTCAAAGTACCCACAAACAATCATAACTACAACCCCAACGTTTCAACCTGGGCGGTCATAGTGTCTTCCTCAAATGACTGAAAGGCGGCAGAGAAATCCTGAATCAAGTCCTCAGCATCCTCCAACCCGACACTGACTCTGAGCAAAGATTGACTGACGCTTTCGTCGCTCATGGCCCTCCACTCGATCAAACTTTCGACCCCACCCAAAGAGGTTGCATGTTGGAAGTACTTTAGCTTCGAAGGCAAGCTGCGTGCGATCTCGGCATTAGTGACTTCGATAGAAAACGTGGCAGGACCGCCGAGAGGCAACTGCTTTCTCACAAACTCCTCGGTCTGCAAGGACGAATGGTATACACCGGCTAAAACCTCAAAAGTATTGATGTTTTCGTGCAAATACTTTACCAACTTTTCGGCGTTTTTAACCTGCTGACGCACACGTAAGTCGAAGCTTCTGAGAGAGCGTAACAACAAGTAAGACTCCAAGTTGGCAATGTTGGTGCCGAGGAATATTCTGTCTTCAAGCAACGCCTTCTTTACTTTCGCGTCTTTGGTGGCCAAGACCCCCGCCAACAAGTCTGAGTGGCCACCTAAGTACTTGGTGGCGGAGTGCATGATGATATCAACACCAAAATCAAACGGCTTCTGCAACGGAGGAGGGGCAAAGGTAGAATCAATCAGCAAAAGTGCACCCCTGGAGTGTGCTTTATTTGCGTAGTCTTCGATGTCAAAGGATGTTCCCTCTGGGTTGACAGGGCTCTCCAAGTGCAAGATATCACCCGGGCCGAGCTGTTCCCAGTCTTCCAAGCTGAGCTGCTGCAAGCCGGAAATCCGAGTAAATATGTTGGCAATGCCGTGGCAGCCGTGGTAGCCCTTCCCAATGGCTAATTTCTTCGGGTTAAAGTGCGTGAGCATGGCGTAGAACGAGGATAACCCTGAATTGTACACCACCGCGTGGCCGTCTAAAATTTGGCCCAAAACGTCCTCACAGCTCTCAGAAGCCGGGTGGGAAATGCGGGAGTACACTGGGTTCCCTACCCAGGCGCATTCATCGGTAGATGTGGCGATCAAGTCCTTGGCAGGTACCAACTCAGCTGGGTCTGTGCTGTAGCGGTACGTGGTGGAGGTCTGAATTGGCTGTGTGACGTCCGAAACGCGTTGGTTTGCGTCTGCATGCATCAATTGGGTGTTAAAGCCGGCCATATCAGTCGTAGGTTAATCCAAGGATAATTGGTTATATGAAGAGAGAGAGAGTCCGGGGAAGAGGTGGTTTAAATAGGCTTACATCCTCTGCATGCATTTGACTTCCCCTCATTCACATGACTTAGCAAGATAGGCCAAGGAGGTGGATTTAGTGCGTGACACCAGGGTAGGCTACTCCCATTGTCTAATTTCGTACGGCGATAGAACGGGGCAGTAAAACTGACTCATATGTGGTGGCAATATAAGGTTGTACTAAGGTTGTACCGGTACGACTTACGAACCCCCCGCTGTCAGATAAGACAAACGCTTATGTAGATCTATAATTTTGGCGACTCGTAGATTTCAGGGCTTGAATATTTAATCATTGAGGGGGCCAAGATAATAACCTCAACAAAATGGAGATAATGAACGGTATACAGTCATATTTAAAGCGACATGCATTGAGCTATAGTTTTAGTAAATACACTAAAATGTCCACTATTATTGATATTACATCAACAATCTGAGGAGACTGATTGAAGGAATAAGTTTACTATGCTTTACCCCTCCACGTACCCAAAGCCAACCATTGAACAGAACAGCCTGCACGCATCCTCATGTGCGCGTAGATCTTTCAGACCCTCAAACCCTACGAGGTTGTGAGTATCGTCTCACACACACGATTTAGGATTTCCCTTATTTCACAATAAAGGCCCGTTTAACCAAAACAGTATAACACGCAATCCTTATTCATGTCCCGATCTGCTTCTAACGACAGACTACTTGGCCTCTCGAGGCTCTCCGCGCGCGCGCAGCTCGGCGACAACGCGGTCATCCTCGCCAGCCCCAACCAGAACCTCCCAGAACCAACCATAGGATGCATTACATGCTTTGACTCCGACTCTTTTGCGTCCCTAGAGATCCTTTACGCGGACATTCTCTGGGCGGAGTGTCTCGCGGCAGACGATTCAGACATCTCGCCGCAGGTGGAACTCACGTACGTGGGCTCCGAGCTCCGGGTCTACAAGTGCGTGTTGTCGATCGATACCCTTCCGGGCTCCAAAGATGCTGCGACGCAAATTCTCGCGCGCGCATACCGCCACGAGATGCACCGCAAGCGCTTTTTGGTTATCATTAACCCCCATGGTGGCCAGGGGAACGCAGAGAACCTTTACAATGAGCAGTGCAAGCCGCTCCTCCAGGCGGCGCATGTATCCGTAGATGTGATCAAGACAACGTACCAGGGCCACGCCACGGCCATCGTGGCGGATTTGCCTCTCAGCCAGTATGATGTCATAGTGTGTGCATCGGGTGATGGGATCCCCCATGAGGTGGTTAACGGAATGCGTAGCCGTAAGGACTATGTGGCGGCGTTTAACCGCTGGACCGTGGCCCAATTACCCTGTGGCTCGGGAAACGCAATGGCGGCGTCGTGTCTTGGGACCGTGCGTCCCGGCGCGGCGACACTTGCGCTTCTCAAGGCGCAGGAGCGCCGTGTCGACCTTATGGGAGTCTCCCAAGCAGGCCAGCCGCCTAAACTCTCTTTTTTGTCGCAGACATATGGGGTCATCGCGTGTTCGGACATCTGCACTGAGTTTCTCCGCTTCATGGGCGCCGTGCGCTTCGATCTCGGCGTGTTGTACCAGGTGGTCAGACGGTCAAAGTTTCCGTGCGAGATTAGTATCAAGTATGCATGTGAGACAAAAGAAGGGGTCTCTGAATTTTACAGTCAGAGAAAGGGAGAAAATCCTGAAGATGTTGATGTATCTTCTAAGAACTTCCAGCTTAGGTTCCCTGACGTGGAGGCACCGGTTCCGGAAGATTGGACTGTGGTTGACCCACAGGTGACAGCCAATCTCGGGATCTTCTACAGCGGAAAGATGCCGTACGTCGCTGATGGGGTGCAGTTTTTCCCGGCCGCGCTCCCGGACGACGGCACCATCGATATTGTCGTCACCGACGCGCGTGACCCGTTTACAAAGACTGCTGCGTACCTTACGCGGGTGGGAAGTGGCGGACATTTTGATTTCTCAGAGGTGCACTACGCCAAGGCTGAGGCCTTTAGGCTTACACCGCGGCTGCGCGACAGTGTAATCTCTGTGGACGGAGAGAACTTTCCGTTTCAGGCTCTACAGGTGGAGGTATTGAAGGGGGTGTGCAAGACGTTGTTGAAGGATGGGGAATTCGCCGAAACGAGAAACCTCTAAGATGAAGCTTCCGATTTTAGTGAGCGATAAAAAAAAGAAGGTACAGGGAAGACAGAAAAGGTAAAATCACATTGAGGTGAAGTCTAAAACGATGTTTGAACTGAGAAGAGACCCGGTGGCTTGCTTAAGGTAGTCCTAGACGACATATAAATCTACTAGAGGTACGTATGGAGTAGGATGTGGGTTAGGATTTCAGGCAAATGGCCCCAGAAGGCCAAGCTCGGGTTGAGGAATCGCGGACGGAGTCTTAGGTATTTATGCCGTTAAAATGTCCACCATTACTCAAAGAGCTGACATAAATATTATACAGCATTTGTAAACGTTGCAATGGAGATCCGAGACGATCTATTTGGACAGAACTAGTAAGGAATTTAGGCACAGGGCGGAATCTTCATGTAAACTTATCGACTAAGATGTACGGAACTGAGAATTTTACCGAAGGATATAAATGAAATCTAAGGACTGAAAAAAGACCTCCGCCATCTCTACTCCATGAATTCTCATACTGGGAAGCAGACGTAGGAACAAAGCCGTTATATTTCTCCAGGGGATTCCATTTGTTGTATCTATGATAATGGTTATGCACACCACATTCCCTCCACACTACACCTCTTTGGCTATTTTACCAACATTAGGATACTATATGTAAACTCTGGAACGGAAGCTACTCACCTTCTATATCATTAGTTTAATCCTATTACGGTTCTTCCATCTTTAGAATGATTATGGTAGTCTAGATAACAGCCTGACCAACCACTGCACTACACCCAACCCGGAGAAATTGATCTAAGGGCTCTTTACGAGAGAAATATCAATATCTAATCATGGACCTCGTTGACATTCCTTCCTTCATCAACTAAACCAATTATTACAAAGATCTCATATCACCTTCACCCATACCCACATTCAAATATTCACCTAAATCTAATAAACAATCCGTTTATTTACAAGCCCAACATTCACAATATAAGCTCCAGATACTTAATTAAATTGAAGGCCCAACCAGGTAACCCCTTGTATTCCGGTTATGTGCCCTTACCCTCACGTGCGCGAAAAAATTGGCGGCAATTTTCACTTGATCGAATTGCGACTGAGACTTTTAAACACGTTCTTTGTTTTTGCTCCCTTTCTTTCTTGCCTTACTCTCCATCAACATGTCCGAAAACGCCCAAGGGTCTACCCCAGAAAGCTTGTCTAATGACATGCAGAACGCTTCCATTAGCACTCCTGGGAACAGGTTTGACAGTGCCAAGGCACCAGTTTTCACTCCAGGTGCCTCTTTCACTCCAGGCGAGCCAGCGGCCTTCGTCCCGGGCCAGGGCCAGTACACCAACTACAACCAAGGGTACAATGCCCAGCAGGGATACAATTCTAATCAGGGCGGCTACAAGAACTACAACCAAGGCCAAGGCTACAACAACTACAACCAGGGCCAACAGGGCGGATACAAGAACTACAACCAGGGCCAACAGGGCGGGTACAACAACTACCAGCAGGGGTACAACCAGCAACAAGGATACAACCAGCAACAGGGGTACAACAACTACAACCAGCAACAGGGGTATAACAACAACCGTGGGTACAACCAAGGCGGGTACACCAATTACAACCAGCAGCAGCCACAACAGGGTGGTGCTATGTCCTTGGAGGATTACAAGAAGCAGCAGCAGGCCTCACTCAACTCTTTGAACAAGCCAATCAAGAAGACCGTGTTAAAGTTGGACGCGTCCTCCGGGATCAAGCTCGCCAACGCAACCAAGCCGGCCGAGAAGAAGGAGGAGTCCCCAAAGGAGGAAGCGAAGGAAGCTGCAGTCGAAAAGGAGGAGGTTAAGGTAGCTAAGGAAGCCAAGATTGCTCCTCCTGCTGCTACCGCGGCTCCGGCCGCTGCCGTCGCCCCAGCCGCTGCCGTCGCCCCAGCCGCTGCCGTCGCCCCAGCCGCTGCCGTCTCCGCGTCCCCAGCTGTTTCCGCCCTTCCATCAAAGGCGTCCACCCCAGTTGCCTCTGTCGACGCGCTCATCAAGGAACAGGAAGATGAAGTTGACGTGGAAGTTGTCAACGACATGTTCGGCGGTAAGGACCACGTTTCTATCATCTTCATGGGCCACGTCGATGCGGGTAAGTCCACCATGGGTGGTAACATTCTCTATCTCACCGGCTCCGTCGACAAGAGAACCGTCGACAAGTACGAGCGTGAGGCTAAGGAGGCTGGTAGACAGGGCTGGTACCTTTCCTGGGTCATGGACACCAACAAGGAGGAGAGAAACGACGGTAAGACCATCGAGGTGGGGAAGGCGTACTTCGAGACCGAAAAGAGACGTTACACGCTTTTGGACGCGCCTGGCCACAAGATGTACGTTTCCGAAATGATCGGGGGTGCGTCTCAGGCAGATATCGGGATTCTCGTCATCTCAGCCAGAAAGGGTGAATATGAGACCGGGTTCGAGAAGGGTGGCCAGACTCGTGAGCACGCATTGTTGGCCAAGACCCAGGGCGTGAACAAGATTATCGTGGCGATCAACAAGATGGATGACGTGACTGTAGCTTGGTCCAAGGAACGCTACGATGAGTGTTGCTCCAAGTTGGGTCAATACCTCAGAGGTATTGGCTACGCCAAGGACGATATCATCTTTATGCCTGTGTCTGGGTACACCGGTGCCGGGTTGAAGGAGCGCGTGTCGCCAGAGGAGTGCCCATGGTACTCGGGCCCAGCGCTCTTGGAGTACTTGGACACCATGAAGACCCTTGACAGACACATTAACGCGCCGTTCATGTTGCCGATTGCGGGCAAGATGAAGGATATGGGGACCATTGTTGAGGGTAAGATCGAGTCGGGACACGTGAAGAAGGGTCAGAACTTGGTGGTCATGCCAAACAAGACCACTATCGAGGTGTTGTCCATCTTCAACGAGACCGAGCAGGAGTGTGACATCGCATACTGTGGTGAGCAGGTCAGAATGAAGTTGAGGGGGATCGAGGAAGAAGACTTGTCCCAGGGCTACGTCTTGACTTCGGTGAAGAACCCAGTCAAGACCGTCACCAGATTCGAGGCCCAGGTCGCCATGGTTGAGTTGAAGTCCATTTTGTCCAACGGTTTCTCGTGTGTTATGCACGTGCACACGGCCATTGAGGAGGTCACTTTCGTCGAATTGAAGCACAAGTTGGAGAAGGGGACTAACAGAAAATCCAAGAAGCCTCCTGCTTTTGCCAAGAAGGGGATGAAGATCATTGCCATCTTGGAGACTACCGAGCCGGTCTGTATGGAGACCTACGCCGAATACCCGCAGATGGGGAGATTCACCTTGAGAGACCAGGGTACCACCATTGCCATTGGTAAAATCACCAAGTTATTGTAAGGGGTTTGTATATTTAATCGCGATGCGAAGATGAAATAATGAGGCGCAATGTAGTAGCGGAAGTACGAAAGAGAAATTAAGCTGAAAATGATAAATGCAGCGAAATTCAACCGATAATGGGCTGGAGGTGGGCATGAAAAGGAACTTTCAAAAATCTACCCGAGATCGAGCAGTCCTAAAGCTAGACAGATGTAGAATAAACATAATGGGGGAAATTGGGGAATCACAAATGAGATAACTGCCAGTTGCGGATGAAACGTAAAATGATTGAGAGGGAGGCCATACTCAAGCTCCCTATTCAGTGCTTTTATAATTTTAAAAGTACTAAGCGTACTAGACCTTGGGAGCAGATATCATTTATATTCTGATCGATATACTAATGAAGATACGTGTAAACATGTGTACGGTATTGATATACGTGTAGATAGCATCTACGCCCTTTATGCTTGAACAATGAAGTCGCGTGTAAAAGTATTGCGTGCGAGAAGTACCTAGTATCTGGCCTATTATCAGTGATTACCCCAAGCTTCACTTTTCATACTCTGATAAGTTTTGGAAAATGCCAATTAAATTCTCCACTCCCTCCACAATCTCCTCATCGCAGCCCTCACCCAGAACGCGCTTTGAATGGGCAAAATCGATAAACTTTAGCGTACTCAAAGGGGCATCCTCTTCATCATCGTCCTCATCCTCGTTGATCAACTGTTCATGCACTAAGGGATCCTCACACTCCATCTCGTGCCATCTCGCCACATCATTTTCAAATACAAAGAGCAAACTGCCCCCAACAATGCGCACCTCCTCATCTAACAAACAGTTATAGAGTAACTGTAGCCGGTGAAAGAAGCTCTCCACGATCTTGTGCCTAATAGGGGTGTTTTCTGACCGGCAAAGCTCGGGGTTGAGGTTGAAAAACTGGGCAATTCCAAGCTCCGCTGTCTCATCGGTCAACAGGCGGCCATATGTCTTGTCAAATGAGACATATCTCCCCAGGGCGTCTTCAGAAAACTTACAACAATCGTTACTGACACCAGGAATATCGGCTAAGGGGGCTGTCGTGTCAGTGTAGCATTTCATCCCGCAGACACGGAAGTGGAGGGACCCCGAGGTCGTCAGCTCGCTCACGTTAACCATTCGCGTGCGCTTCTCGGCACTGGAGGAGTCGTCGTAAAGAACAGAGCCAAGTTTGATGTCCATGATTGAGGGCTTCCGGAACCCGTGCAACACACTTTGGAGAACAATGTATTGTTTGTCCGAGAGCGGTGCAGCAGCAGCCAAATCAGCAGCCAGAACCGAGTCGAGGTTATGGGCCTGCAGAGATACTCCAGGGGTCAAAGTTCCCCAGAATTTAGGCATCCAATCCCGCAACTTGTTTCCTGGGTAATGCTCCACGTGTAGCTCGTTCACTGTTTCACGGAAGCTTTCTTGGTAGAAGTCGATTTCTCGCTGGTTGGTGAGCTTGGCAAAGAATACACCGTCTTCTGTGGTCAATGGTCCCTCATGTCCGGCGGCAATATGCGGGAGCGAAACAAAGCCATCCATAGTAGAAGAGAGTGAGGTGCGAGGCGGTGGTTCCCGACTGAGGTATTCTCCAAGAAGAGCTGAATTATGCTACTCATGTGGGAGTGCGTATACCATTAGTCATGTGATGGTTTGGCCTCTGCTTAGCGTACCCTTCGCCTTACTACACTCATTAGGTGGCTGTTTTTTAAATGTCTAAACTAAGAGGTTAAGCTTGTTATCGAAATATTGCGAGATTTATGAAATTAGTAAGAAACTAAACGAAATTGAGCCTTTCTCTTTGATTCTGTTACCGTTATGTCCACAGCTCATTAGATGGAGGTTTAGACCTGCGATATACACGCACATGAAGGTTGATGCGCGTCAGTGTTTATGATTTAGGAAGAGTCAGCCGTGTTTCTATAATGGAAACACCCAAAAGGGTCTTGGCTCAAAAAATACATTCTGGTCAGTCCTCAACTGATGATTAAAAGAGAACTGACTGTGACACGCAGACGTAAGGAACGTCACTGTCAAGGAGTACTATTCCTCACCACGATACCAACTTATACTATTAGCTACATCTGTTTACGTGAACAAGATCTTAAAGTATAAGAGTCCTAACAATGCACTTTAGTTTATTTATTCATATTCAATATTCTGAAATTTGGGACGGGATGAGTCACGGAAACAATGCTTTTCCCAGAAACCAAAAGGACTGAGAAATATTTTCTTTATCGCGGCAACTTGTATTAAAATCCTTCTAATTAGCTGATCAGTACCATGGCATAGCCCACTACCACAGCTGTCTCGTATGTTATGACCCGTGACGCCACTGTTCACGAACCCTATTATAAGTACTAAGCTGCCAATTTGTCGAGCAAAGCGAAAACTAATCGTCCCAGATTTCGAATAGCAAACGGGCTTCGCCATGCGGACGCAGTTGGCTCTGGCTAAGATATCCGGACCCATGTGACTGTCGGGAATACGGATATGCTGATGATATGCAAAGGTTATCGACGTTAGAATAATTAGTCACACGGATTAAGTTTTCATGGTTTTATTTATAGATTAGTGCACAGTGCTCCTGCATAATGGATGTATTACGTGGGACGTAAACCAAAAATTGTCTGATTGTCTAGTCTTCTGTGTGGTACAGTTGTACCTGTACGCAAGGCCCTCTAACTGTGCAGTTAAATTACACGCAGAACTCCGCCCACTTCCGCCGCAGATGAAATAGCAATGGTGTAAGACTTATCTTTCTATTATTAGATGTACGAGTACGGGAGAGAGTCACGGAAAGGTCCAGAAATAAACAAATGCTTGTTATAGGGCTCAGTTTATACTGAGCTTAGTCGCTTGTGATGTTCTAAAAATGCCACCCCTTCCGCTGTCCACCAGTCGTGCACTGTCCACCGGTCGTGCACGCCCAAACCCTCGAACGCGACAATATTTCCCGATCGGGTGCACCGGCTGTGTTTCTATTTTTCAGCCACAAATGGGTCGGAATAATAACAGATTATTTGAGAATATTAAAGTCAAAAGATAAAGTCGGATATGAAACAATATCATTTTAATATATAATAGGTCAAGATATAACAAGTAACAAGGTGGTACCATACCCTGTCGTTGTCAGATATCCCAGGAACGCGGTCATGGCCACATGCATGCCGGATCACAATGGAACTTTTGCGCCTCTTTTCAGAAAAAGTAAAACCAAACGACGTAACGCATAAAAAGAGATTCTTTTCTCGCCTTTCAGCATTCTTTTAGCTCCGATACATAGAATACCTAGACAATGAATCACGATTCATCCAACCCATATGCTCAGACGCAGAGCTACGAAATGGACAGTTATGACAACAACGCCCACGGGCAGGACTTTAATGACCTCCTCAATGACATGGACAACAACCTTGCGCAGTACTCGCAGCTCATCAGAACATTAGAGCAGCAGGAATCCGCTTTGGTGAACGAGATCAATGGTGAGCGCGAAAATCAGCTCACCCAGGAGACCAACCGCTTGCAGGCCCAGATCCAGTCCTTGCAAGCGACCATCCAGCCGCAGCTCCAACAGATTTTGAACCAGTCCCAGAAGGATGCGGGTAAGGCGGGCCAGGCGGAATACTACAAGCAGAAGTTTGCGCAGCTCATCAAGCAGTACCGGACGGTCCAGTTGGACTACAAAGAGAAGCAGAAGGGTGAGGCTGCCAGAATGTACCGCACTATCAATCCAGCCGCGACCGACGAGGAGGTTCGTGACGTGGTCGAAGACTACTCCGGGAAGCAGATCTTTGCGCAGGCTGCTTTGCAGTCCAACAGACGCGGTGAGGCACAGACTGCGCTCAACGAGGTACTCCAGAGAAACCGGGATGTCGCGAAGTTGGAGAAGTCGTTGCAGGAGTTGTTGCAGTTGTTCACCCAGGTCGAGGACATGGTTGCTGAGCAGGATGTGCAAGTTCAGGAGGTGTACCAAAATGTGAAGGTCGCGCATGTGGACGTGGAGAAGGGTACCAAGCAGACCGAACAGGGTGCCGTCTACGCGAAGAAGGCGTGGAAGAAAAAGTGGTGGTTGTTCGGCGTGATCGCGTTGATCATCATCATCATCGTTGTGGTTGTATTGTGCACGAAGTTGATAAACAAGAGCTAATATTTCACTTCCCTCCTACAGTTTTAATTTCCCTTTAATATTCTTTGTTCTCCATCTGTCTAATACATTAGTTAATTTTTAGCCAAAGTTTGTAGTTAAATCAGATATAGGCGGTTGAAAGGTTATCTCACAAGCTAGCACCTAGAATCTAAATTTGGACATATGGCCTCTGGACTGAATGATTAGGGCTTGCTTGATGCTCTATTACCCTTCAATAACGGTCTAATACTACAATCAATTATTTTTATAGGAATTATTTTTGTAGTTGGCTCCGCCGTAGGCGTGGCTCTTTTTAAATAACCCCTGGTAACTTAGAATGCGTTCAGCCTTAACGTAAAAGCTTGTATGCTTTTCCGATCTGGTTGTAAAACCCCGGCATACTCTTCTATTTGCTTTTGGTGGGCCATAAGTGCCATCTGGGAGGGTCTTGATATCCACGGATCAACCTTTCTCTGACTTGTGCTGTTTTGTGCCAAGCTGACACGGTACTCTAAAACTTATTATGAGCTATGGTGCTTAGTTCCACGAGAAGAGGTTGTTGATCCGTGGATACCAAGGCCAATCCACCAAAAGGATGCTAACGCCACATAGCTCATTTGGTCACGTATAAGCATGGAGGGTTTTGCTTTGATCGTAGTAGGAAATACTTCTGCTGGAACACGTGGGCTTTAATACTTTAGTGTAGACTTTAAGAGTAAGCCATTCTGTAGGACGGAATCACTAAAAATCAGCGTTACACCCGTTGAAGCCCCTAAGATATCGATATCTGAACTACTCAGAGCATGCAAATATACAAGAGAAATATAAAACCGTATAGTAGTCCCGTAATGATACAAAAGCACTACCGTGGCCAACCTGCCACTCGGAGAGCGGAAGGTTTCCACGATAATCAAGACAGGGTGGAGAGGTTAGATGTTGATCTTCCAAATGCAAGTATTCCCATAGGTCAAGTTTACTGAATAGAAATGAATCTAAGCAGGACAGACGGGAAGGCATTGTGTTAAACATTTGGGCAGTGAAAAGATGTAAAGAGAAAGAAAAAAGATCGGGTTAAAGTATACAGTTTTGCCAGGCAAAAAAGATTTGGAATAACCGTGTATTATCGTTATATACTAGACCGTAGTCATTATTTGGATATGGAGTAAGAGGGGCTATACACATGACGTGAAAACAGGAAATCACGTTTCTTAAATAGTTTTCTGGGGGACTGTGCGGCTCACAACGAGTGAAAAAATTGTTCGATAAAAATGTTACGGAAATGGCTAGGGCTCGAGGACGTCACGTGAGGGAAAAATTGAGGGTGTTACTACGCTCCATAATTAATTACTCCGGTGCAAATACGCGGACATAGATTGTCAAGACTCATCGTATGTTTGAACTAGGCCTATTTATAGCCTCGCACTCCAATTTATGAATTTTAGGAGTTAAAAATAAGCCTTCCATTTGTAAGAAACTAACACGAACCCTTATAAATTTCAACGTACTGGCCTGGTGTGTATCATCGAACATTATTCGGGGTACCACGTACATCCCAGGTAGCTATCCTATTACTATGAGCTCATTTATTCTTTGGGGCTTGTATAGCCCTCAGAAGTTGTGATCCTGACCACCAGATAGAATTATCACAAACTCTGTGATACCCTCTATTTTGATTCACCCTCGAGGGCAGGGCCAAAAATCTGGAGACTGAACTATTGAGGTTAGGCTTCATATGAATATTGCCATTTCGTGGTAATTTTTAGATCTAGCGTGGCTTGGATTTAAAATATGAATGGCTACCCTTAACTTTCCCTACTCTCGCTTACCGTCTGCGTCAACAAACCCGAAGGATAGCTCAACCTATGCGCAGACATAACTAGCCGGCTTGTATAAGTCCAGGCTCTACCGAGCTGACTTTAACCCAACATCTTCCATGCAGGCTGCTCATCCCTCTGTGTCGGATATCCAACAAAAAGTTTTGGGTTGAGAAGTTACACTTTGTTGTCCTGCACGCCAACTCCGAAAGGCATAAAACTACTCGCTCTTCCTCTTTAATGACCCTTGCTTCTTCTTTCACTATCTACTTCTGTAGCTTATTCACACCATGCGTCCAGAAATTGAACAAGAGCTCTCCCATGTGTTGCTCACCGAGCTTTTAGCTTTCCAATTCGCCTCTCCAGTCCGCTGGATCGAGACCCAGGATGTGTTCTTGAAGGACAACAACACCGAGAGGGTGGTGGAAATCGGACCTTCCCCAACTCTCGCCGGTATGGCCTCCCGTACTATCAAGGCCAAGTACGAGTCCTACGATGCCGCTTTGTCCCTCCAGCGTCTGGTCTTGTGCTACGCCAAGGACGCCAAAGAAATCTACTACACCCCAGATCCAGTTGAGGTTGAGGCTCCAAAGGAGGAGGCCGCTCCAGCTGCTGTCCCTACCACCTCTGCCCTTACCCCAGCTGCTGCTCCAGTCGCCGCTGCTCCAGCGGCTGCAGCTGCCGAGATTCCAGACGAACCGGTCAAGGCCTCCCTTTTAATCCATGTCCTCGTTGCCCAGAAGCTCAAGAAGCCGCTCGACTCCGTCCCAATGTCGAAGCCTATTAAGGACCTTGTCGGTGGTAAGTCTACGGTCCAGAACGAAATTCTCGGTGACTTGGGTAAGGAATTCGGTTCCACCCCAGAGAAGCCAGAAGACACTCCGCTCGAGGAGCTCGCTGAGCAGTTCCAGGACACCTTCAACGGCCAGTTAGGTAAGACCTCGTCTGCACTTGTCGCCCGTTTGATGTCCTCCAAGATGCCGGGTGGTTTCTCCGTCACCGTTGCCCGTAAGTACCTTGAGTCTCGGTACGGGTTGGGTGCCGGAAGACAGGACTCTACGCTCCTTGTGGCGCTCACCATGGAACCAGCTGCCCGTTTGGGCGGTGAAGGTGACGCAAAGACCTTCTTGGATACCGTTGCTGCCAAATACGCCGCTGTTGCCGGGGTCTCCCTCTCCTCCGGTGGTGCTGGGGCCGCCGGTGCCGCAGCCTCCGGTGGTGCTGTCGTCGACTCTGCCGCCTTGGACGCTGTCACCAAGCAGCAAAATGCGTTGGCTAGACAACAGTTGGAAGTTCTTGCCAGATACTTGAAGATTGATTTGATGAAGGGTGAAACCTCGTATCTCAAGGAAAAAGAGGCCTCCCAGGTCTTGCAGTCCGAGCTCGACTTGTGGAATGCCGAGCACGGTGATTTCTACGCCTCTGGAATTAAGCCAACTTTCTCTGCCGCCAAGGCCAGAGTCTACGATTCCTACTGGAACTGGGCCCGCCAGGATGCTCTCTCCATGTACTTTGACATCATTTTCGGTCGTCTTTCCTCTGTCGACCGTGAGACCGTGTCTCAGTGCATCCAGCTTATGAACAGAGCCAACCCAACCTTGATCAAGTTCATGCAGTACCACATCGACCACTGTCCTACCGAGCGCGGTGAAACCTACCAGCTCGCCAAGAAGCTTGGCCAGCAGTTGATTGACAACTGTAAGCAGACCGTCGGATCCGACCCAGTCTACAAGGAGGTCGGCTACCCAACCGCGCCAAAGACCTCCATCGACAAAAAGGGTAACATGTCCTACGAGGAGGTGCCACGTTCACACGTCCGCAAGCTCGAGGAATATGTCTCCGAGATGGCCCAGGGCGGTGAGCTCACCAAGCAAGTCGAGCCAACCATCCAGGAGGATCTTGCCAGAGTCTACAAGGCCATTGGCAAGACCGCCGACTCCACCACCAAATTGGAGTTGTCACAGTTGTACACCCAGCTCATCTCCGTCATCGAGAAGAGCGAGCTTGACGTCAAGCAGGCCACCAAGACTGTCTTAGAGCACTCTGACTCTGACACCGAGACCCCATCTCCAGAGGACGACGCTGACGAAATCGCGTCCTTGGCCTCTTACTCCCGTGTCGAGAAGCCAGTCTCCTCCACCATTCCTCCAGAGACCGTGCCATTCCTCCACACCAGAACCAAGGACGCCTCTGGTGCCTGGAACTACGACCGTGAGTCTTCTGCCTCGTTCTTGGACGGCTTGGAGAAGGGTGCTGTTAATGGGTTCACCTACAAGGGCAAGTCTGTGCTCATCACCGGTGCCGGTGCTGGCTCTATCGGTGCCGAGGTCTTGCAGGGTTTGCTCGCCGGTGGTGCCCAGGTCATTGTCACCACGTCTCGTTTCTCTAAGAAGGTCACCGAGTACTACCAGGCCATGTACTCCCGCTTCGGCTCCGCCGGCTCCTCCCTTGTTGTCGTTCCATTCAACCAGGGTTCCAAGCAGGACACCGAGGCGTTGATCGACTATATCTACGACACCAAGAACGGTCTCGGCTGGGACTTGGACGCTGTGATTCCATTTGCTGCCATTCCGGAGCAGGGAATCGAGATTGATGGGATCGATTCCAAGTCTGAGTTGGCCCACAGAATTATGTTGACCAACCTCTTGAGACTCTTAGGTTGCATCAAGAAGAGAAAGACCACCGAGACCAGACCAGCTCAGGTCATTCTCCCACTTTCGCCAAACCACGGTACCTTTGGTTCCGACGGTTTGTACTCCGAGTCCAAGCTTGGATTGGAGACCTTGTTCAACAGATGGCACTCTGAATCCTGGTCTGCCCAGTTGACTATCTGTGGTGCGATCATCGGCTGGACTCGTGGTACCGGTTTGATGTCCGGTAACAACTCTATCGCCGAGGGCGTTGAGAAGTACGGTGTCCGTACCTTCTCCCAGAAGGAAATGGCCTTCAACTTACTCGGGTTGTTGACTCCAGAAGTTCTGCAGATGTGCCAGAACGCTCCAGTCATGGCCGACTTGAACGGTGGTTTGCAGTACATCGAGAACCTCCGCGACGTCACCAATAGCTTGAGATCCGACTTGATGTCCACCTCTGAGATTAGACGTGCCGTTTCCGTTGAGACCGCCTTGGAACACAAATGTGTCAACGGTGCTGATGCCGATGCGCCATTTGCCAAGGTTGAAGTCCAGGCTCGTGCCAACATGAAGTTCGACTTCCCAACCCTCAAGAGCTACAGTGAAATCAAGGCCATGGCCCCAGAACTTGAAGGGATGTTAGATCTTGAACGTGTTATCGTTGTGACTGGTTTCTCCGAAGTTGGTCCATGGGGTAACGCCCGTACCAGATGGGAGATGGAAGCCTTTGGCGAGTTCTCTCTCGAAGGTGCCATCGAAATGGCCTGGATCATGGGCTTGATCAAGTACCACAACGGTAACTTGAAGGGAAAACAGTATGCCGGTTGGGTGGATGCTAAGTCTAACGAGCCAGTGGATGACAAGGACATCAAGAAGCGCTATGAGGAGACCATCTTGGATCACACTGGTATCCGTTTGATCGAGCCAGAGTTGTTCAACAGCTACGACCCTAACAAGAAGCAGTTAATCCAGGAGATTGTCATCGAGCATGACTTGGAAGCCTTCGAATCCTCCAAGGAGACCGCCCAGCACTTCAAGCTCGAACACGGTGAAAAGTGTGAGATCTTTGAGATCCCCGAAACCGGCGAGTACACCGTCAAGCTTCTCAAGGGTGCCACCTTGTACGTGCCAAAGGCCTTGAGATTTGACCGTCTTGTTGCTGGCCAGATCCCAACTGGCTGGAACGCTGCCCGTTACGGTATCTCCGAAGACACCATCAACCAAGTCGATCCAATCACCTTGTACGTCTTGGTATCTACCGTTGAAGCTCTCTTGAGTGCCGGTGTCACCGACCCATACGAGTTTTACAAGTATGTCCACGTTTCCGAGGTCGGAAACTGTTCCGGCTCCGGTATGGGTGGTGTTTCTGCCCTCCGTGGTATGTTTAAGGACCGTTTTGCTGATCGTGAGGTCCAGAACGATATTCTCCAGGAGTCGTTCATCAATACTATGTCTGCTTGGGTTAACATGTTGTTGTTGTCGGCATCCGGCCCTATCAAGACTCCAGTCGGTGCTTGTGCTACCTCCGTCGAATCTCTTGACATCGGTATGGAAACCATTCTTTCCGGCAAGGCCAAGATCTGTATTGTCGGTGGTTATGATGATTTCCAGGAGGAGGGCTCTTACGAGTTTGCCAATATGAACGCTACTTCTAACTCCCTCGAAGAGTTCGAGAAGGGTAGAACTCCAGCCGAGATGTCCAGACCGGCCACCACCTCCCGCTCCGGTTTTATGGAGGCCCAGGGTGCGGGTATCCAGGTTATCATGTCCGCTGAGTTGGCCATCAAGATGGGTGTTCCAATCTACGGTATTTTGGCCATGACTGCCACCGCTACCGACAAGATCGGCCGTTCTGTCCCAGCTCCAGGTAAGGGTATTTTGACTACTGCCCGCGAACACCACGGTGACTTGAAGTACCCATCTTCCATGATGAACATCAAGTACAGGGCCAGACAGTTGAAGAAGGCCATCAGCCAGATCAAGCAATGGCACGAGGATGAGCTCGAAGCGTTGGCTGACGATTTGGAATACGCCAAGGCTGAGTTTGGTGCTGGCTTCTCTGAGGCTGAGTACTTCCAGGAGAAGACCGAGGAGATTGAGCGCGAGTCTAAGAAGCAGATCAAGGCGGCCCAAAGGCTCTGGGGTAATGAGTTTTACAAGAACGACCCAAGAATCGCCCCTCTTCGCGGGGCTTTGGCCACCTTCAATTTGACCATCGATGACCTTGGTGTGGCTTCCTTCCACGGTACCTCCACCAAGGCCAATGACAAGAACGAAACCGCCACCGTCAACAAGATGATGCAGCACTTGGGTAGAACTGAGGGTAACGCTGTCTTTGGTGTGTTCCAGAAATACCTTACTGGTCATCCAAAGGGTGCTGCTGGTGCCTGGATGATGAACGGTGTCTTGCAGATCTTGAACTCTGGTATTGTTCCAGGTAACAGAAACGCTGACAACATCGACCACATTTTGGAGGAGTTCAAACACGTTTTGTTCCCATCCAGATCTATTCAGACCGATGGTATCAAGGCTGCTTCCGTCACTTCCTTCGGTTTCGGCCAGAAGGGCGCCCAGGCCGTTGCCATCCACGCTGACTATCTTTACGCTGTCTTGGATTCGGCCACCTACGCCGAGTATGTCACCAAGGTTACTGCTAGACAGAAGCGTGCTTATAGATACCAGCACAACGCCATTATCCGTAACACCATATTTGTTGCCAAGGAACATGCTCCTTATGCCGATGAGTTGGAACAACCAGTCTACTTGGACCCACTTGTCAGAGCTGCCGGATCTTCTGAGTTGACCTTTTCTAATAAGGCCATCCAGGGTAAGGCTTACGTGTCTAACAACGCTGACAAGACCGCCAAGGCTCTTGCTGGGTTGAACAAGTCTGGTAAGGGTGTTGGTGTGGATGTTGAGTTGCTTTCTGCTCTTAACATTGACAATGCAACTTTTATCGAGAGAAACTTCACCGAGAGCGAAATTGCTTATTGTAACAAGGCCGCTTCTCCGCATGCTTCTTACACCGGTACTTGGTCCGCCAAGGAGGCTGTGTTTAAGGCTTTGGGTGTCAAGAGTGAGGGTGCTGGTGCTTCGTTGAAGGACATTGAGATTTTCAGAAACGCCAACGGTGCTCCGGAAGTCAAGTTAGCAGGCGCTGCCGCCAAGGCCGCTTCCTCTGCTGGTGTCAAGAAGGTTAATGTTTCTATTTCTCATGACGAGTTCCAGGCTACTGCTGTTGCTTTGAGCGAGTATTAGATATACGTTTCGTGTCTAGGATTAACTTTTTTTTGTGTATTCAGTATATTGTCTTATCCAATTGTAAGCTCTGTGGTTTAGGCTGGCGTCTCCACTTGTTCGGTTATGGTGGAAATAATTTGCATATACACCGTAGAATATATTCATTTTATCTGGGGTCGAATCCTGTTTACTCTGGCTACTTCAGGTATGCGACTTCCAAGTAGCCTCAGATACCTCATATATACCTTACTAAATAGGAACGACAGATTATGAAGTGCTGTGCTTCTGCATTTTTTTTATTTTTATTTTTTTTATTTTCTTATAACGTAAAATACAAAATTACACTATACGGGGAAACGTGAAAACAAAGGGACCCTTTTGTTTCGGAAAGTCTCAAGAACTTTTCTTTCGTGAGAGCTAGGGACAATCAAACGGAATGAAACAGCCATATAACACAGAGTGAGAAGCTTAGTTCAAGGCTGGGAAGTTGACGTCGTCGACAACAGCCTTCTTGGAGGAAGAGCTCTTGGCGACTGGCTTCTTACCACCGCGGGCTGGCTTGGCACCACCTCTGGTTGGCTTAGCACCTCTAGTGAAGGCTGGAACCTCCTTTCTCTCGGTTGGCTTTTCGTCAGCAAAAGAAGCGTCGAAGGACAAGAAGTTCTTTTCCTTCTTGGCCTTAGATCTGAGCTTCTTGAGGTTAGAGGCTTCGACGAACTTTTCGTCTTCCTTGACAAAGGTCTCGGAAGCGGTCCACTTGTCTTCAGCACCTTCATTGGCCTGTCTGACTGGCTTGGTGGCCAAGGCGGTGGCGGCCTGCTCGGCCAAGAATTCCTGCAAGGACTTGCCAGCTGGGGTAGGTGGGGCAGCCTCAACAACTTCCTCGTCAGAGGCTTCAGCGTCAGCGGCAGCAGCAACTTCGGTTTCCAATTCCTTCTTGTTATCACCCCAAGCCTGCTTGACCTTCTTGTCAGAGTCAGTCTTACCGGTACGGGACTTGCGGTCGCCAGCTGGCTTGGCACTCTTTCTCTGGGTAGAGGCTGGGGCAACCTTTTCACGGTTGTTGGCCTTGGCCTTGATGGCACCTTCGTTACCGGTTGGCTTGGCCTTTGGCTTGCCAGCACGGGCTGGGTCGGCGGATGGTGGAGGAGCGTCGGCCTTCTTGGAAGAAGTGGACTTCTTGACGAGCTCCCTTGGCAAGGTGACCTGGTTGTCGTTCTGGTCTTCAACGTCGTTACCTAAAAGGGCGAAAAGGTTCTAACATGTTAGTGGCTGTTCAATTGTGGGGGTGGATGGGGAACGTCCGTAAAGGTTGTGGTGCGTTCTCCACACTGCCTTGCTTTCAGACGGCCGCTCCCAATTTCGCCGGATCTCTAGATTCGGCTGTTTCGAGACATACCTTGTTGTTAAAGGACATTGTGTATGGTGTTTACTTTGATTCAGTATCTAGAGCCTTCAAAACCGGGCGCTTCGCACTTATATTTGCTCGGCGCTCTGAAAAATTTTTGGTGGGCACAGATTCAGTCGACGTTCCCAGCAAAAATCTCGTGCCGCGTATGTCTGGGCATGCGCCGTATTTATGGGCATGAGAACGGTTGCCACGTCCTGCTTCCTGCAAGCTCCCGCGTAGGTGTGTCGCGGGGCTGCAGAGACACTGCCGGGCCGGTAGCCACCTTAAGGTTCACTCAACAACGGGCAACGAACCTTATCAAAAAGGTATAAAAACTAAGATAAAAAGACATCTCTAGGTGGAAATTGAGTGTTGATAAAATGGCAATGATTTTTCCGGCTCCGATGTAGGTGGTTGGGTAGGTCAGAGGCGCCAGAGAGGGGGGAAACTGTCCAGGGGTGCATGCAAGATTTTAGCTCGCCGCGAATATATTTGCCACCATAAAGTTTTATTGTACCAATCGTACAGATATAGGGAATAAGTGGCTTGGTGTGTCTCGCATAAGGATATTAAAAGATCCTGTTTTATAGCATTTTTTTTTTTGGGAAAGGGGGATCAACTTGGTCAAAGCCCGGCCTTGCATGTGATATAAAAAGTATCTGAACGAGTTGGAGGTCTGGAGACACAGCGTTTCTGAGTAGTAGCATAAGGGGCTTTGCGCGTGGGGCCTTTGGTACGGCTGTGAAAGTGAGTTATACAGACCAGATCGAGTGGTTTATGCGGAAATATTGACCACCACTCTAAGAAACAAAAATATGTAGAGGAATTAGGGGATATCACACCTCGAGTCTTTGACAAGAATTTACAACTGGCAGCAGCTTCTTCAACTTGCAAATAGACTGACTATTCACGCACGAAACGGAATTAAAGCGCTTCGAATCCCAAAGAGAGCAGCCACCAAAGATTAATAGAAATGACATGATATTCCAACATAACTAAAGCAAGAGAACGAAAACAAGTATGGAATGAAAATACAGGAAACAGAAGGGTTTTCAGGAAAATAAAATAAAAGGCCACCATACCTTATTTTCTATCAAGATACAAGTCACCCACACGGGAAAAGAAACCCTTCATTGCAAGTCTCAAGTCAGCCTGGATATTGCGGTCAAATATGCGCAACGCCAAATCGTGGATCACGGGACAGAACTCGACAAAATCTTCCTCCTCGAGTTCGTAGTAACCCTGCAAGATTTCCACCACCACCGGTCTCCAGGTGACAATGTTCTTCAGCTGTGACTGCTCGTCGAAAGTGACAAATCTGTCGATAAGATCATTGCACATTGGCACCAAGGCATCTATAAGTTGCTTGCGGTGAACTGGTTCTACCTTGGCTGTGTCACAGTAGAGTCTGAACTGGATACCGATAAACACAGCAGCAGAGGATGACTCCTGCTTCAACAAGTTAGGCAAGCGGTCAATGACCCCAGAGTTAAACAACCGAACTCGCAAGTTGTAATCGTCGTTAAAGTCACGAGCGAAGCGGAACGAGGTTTCGAGTAAGCCGGTGAGCTGAACCATGCACAGAAACGGAATAACTCCGTAAAACTCATCGTTCAGAAGCAATTCTGACAAACTCTCGATCATCAACAACTGTAACACGCATTTAACGACAATCGCCGACTTGTCTTTCGCCTTTTGGAGCTGGATTTGGGTCCTGACCTCAAGCAGCACTGAGTCATCGTCCAAATTGAGGTTGGCAATGTCGTGGACGATGTCCACGCCGTCAGCACCCGTGGTGATGTAGGTACTGTTCAACGGATCCGCCTTAAACAACTCCTTAGCGGTGGTCAAGTCAAAAAGTCTGACGTACCCTTCGGTGATTTGATTCCAGTGGGCTGGTGAAAACCTGCTCATGTTTTCAACCACCAACAGCTGCAAGCAGGAGCGCCCGATACGCGCAATGGTGTCGTTCTCCTGGCACACACAAGAGATGAGAAGTTCCAAGAAACCGTCCAACATACGAGACAACGCCTCAAAATAGTGGGTAAATAACGCCACCATGTTACGTAAGGCCTGGATCAAGGTGGTAGAGAGCCAGACAGAGAGCTCGTCGTCGCTGCCAAACTGATTGATATCCCAGTGCTTGCTCAAGACTCCAAACAACGGGAAGAGCAACTGGCGACACACTGAGTCCCAGAACGAAGGTTCAAAGTGCTTGCCGTAGTCCACAAGCGCATCAAACATGTAGTTCAACGCCCTTGAGCGGATTTCCAAGTCCACTCCCTTCATGATCACCTCATGAAGACCCGATAATATCGGGAACCACAGCTTGTTTTCACTGTCGGTTTCGGTGATCAACATCGACACTTCCTCTTCGTCCGTAGGCTCGTCTTCGAACTTCTTGTCAGCCACCTGTATGATCATCTTCTTCAATACGTTCAAGGCATGAAGGCCAACTTTCGGAAAACCGCGGTTCATGGCCAATGTCACGTACACGCCAATCATGTCCGAGAACGCGCCTTGATCATAGATACAGTCAAAGCTTTGGTCGTAGATCCGAGTCAATATCTTATCCGTCTTGAAAACAATCTTGGCATGGGAGCTGTTCGCACCGGTGGTGAGCACTACAAGCATGGCCTTCCACCCAGAACGGATCTTGTCAGACTTTGCCAAGATCATGTTCCCGAGGCACTCCAAGACCATTTCCTGGATCTCCACGCTTGGGTTATTGATCATGATGTGCTCAAACGGCTTCAAAAACTCCTTCTGAAACTTAAAGTGTGCGAGCTCTTCAATCTCCATGAAGCGCATCGACAACTGTCTGAGCGAGTCAAGCGCAAAGAACACAATTACTGGGTTGGAATGGCACCCAAACTTGTTGAACTTATCGCCCATAATCGCCCAGAGGCCGGTCCACTCGAGACGGATACGGTCCATGTTATAATAGCACACATCCACCATCTTCTGGAGCGAGAACATGCGTGGGTGGGAGCTGTTGCCGGACGATTCAACCTCCTCCGACGAAACGGCAGTCAAGGCCTTAACAAACTCGATGATCCCAGAGCCGGAAAGATACGACGACTGCTCGAAGATGCGGTCCACATCCACCCCCAACTGGGTAGCGGCGAGCAAGTTCATCACCTGCGCGCTCATATTCTGGTTGAAGTGCTTCTGTGACGCCTGCTGGGACTGTGTGGAGGAGGAGCCAAAGAAGGAGGAGCCGAAAAACGAGCTTTGCGTGCGGGTACTGTCGATGGACTCGCGGTTGGCCAACTTTGCCATGCTCACATCCGGAATGGAGTCTGAATCCACACCTCGCGCAATTAACTGCAAGCGCTCGAGCTGGGAAATGGAGCGCAAAACTAACTCCCAGGAGGTTTTGAGTTGGTCACCCTCGGTGGCAGCAATGTCCAACAACACATAAATCGCCTCCACGTTCTTTGGCTGCATCTCCTCGATGTTGCTGAGGTTGGCGAACTGCACCAACGCCCCGATGAAAGACGTACGCGCGTAGTCGAGCTCAAACATACCGGCAATCTTGATGGCCAACTTGATTCCCTCGAGACACCGTCTGGTGGTGTCCTCGTCGTCGTATTCTTTGAACGGAGGGGTTAAGCCGGCGAGGAGAGACATCCACAAGGTGTCGAAAATGGACTTGACGTGCGACACGTGGGAGGCAGCATAGAACACCGAACGGCTGGGCTCTTTGGTGCGTTGGCGGCCCAATGTTCTAAACAACTCGGTGGTTTTCGACGAAAGCTCCTTGGAGATCTGCATATACGCCTCACGGGACGTGTCCCTGGCAAAAAAGCCTTGGGCCGTCGGTGCGGTGGAACCTGCAATCATCGCCGCGTGTTGCTCGGAGTGCAACTTGATCTCGTTGTTCTGGATCTCCGTGTACACCTCCTCTAAAAACTCCCGTGGTAAGTCCTTACCGTCGTCAATACCCCTATTATTCTTGATGAATTCCTCTGGGGTCATGCGATTCTTCACCTGCGCCGAGTGCTGGTCGGTGTTGAGCATCACCACGGAGTAGGCCAAAATATAAGCGGTATCGGCATTAGCAAAGATGGTTGGATTGCCAAGCACGTATCGCTCGGCAAACTTCAACATGAACCGGTCAATCTTCTGGGATTCGCCCGGAAGGCGGAAGCTCTGGAGAAAGACGCGCATCGCGTCAACAAAGCGCAGTTGGTTGAAGTCCATCTGGTTGACAAATGCGTGCATAATTGCAATGTGCTCCTCGTCGCCCTCCCCGAGGAACTCCCCGAGCTGGGCCTTGTCCAAGCCATCTGTCGCCAAGATAAACTTGGCAATCTCCTCGGGCGCGTCGGTGGTAAAGCCGTCGCTAATCAACTTGTCCAAACCGCGTTTGGGCTTGTAGTTGAAGAGCTTGATACCTTCAAGAAGCATCGTCTTGCGTTGCTTCAAGCTGGCAAACTGAGAGGGATCGTCCTTCTCCATAGCCGCCATGAGCGGATCGCCGATGAAGGAGGTGGACTCCAGGAGGGAGGGGGTGACGGAGTGTGAGCCCACGGTGCTAGCTCGCTTTCTATCCTTAAGCGCGTCCACTGAGATACCTTTTTGGGCCCAGGAATGGAGCGACTGCAACACTCCGACGATGCACTTGATGGAGACCATTTTGAGACTGAAATCAGTTGGAAACGGCAACGGTGCATCGATATGGGCGTGTTTGGAGCCCACAGAGGCAATGGCCTGCGACGGCACCTGTGAAAGGTTGTAGAACGCGATCGAGCGGTCCGCCGTGTCCCAGTATGCCTGCTTCTGGGACAGAGTGGCCTCCACGCGGGTTAAAGAGAGTCTTGTGAGATAATCAATCAACCGCTCGCAAATGTTTGGCATGCTGGTGTCGCAGTCGTAGTTCAAGTAGAACTCGATCAATACCCGCGGATCGTAGCAGATCCGCTGCATGACGGACAAGAGGTAGCGTTTCTGATGGGGCGAAGACGTCTTTGTCTCCGCGACGGGGAAGTAGATTTCGTCCAAAAATACGGGAATGGCGTTCTTGAACTCGGACCGGAGGTTTGAGACAAGTAACCAGAAGATCTCGAGGCAGATCTCGTACACCGGTGAGACAGCCAGGGCGGCGTTTTTCGACAACACGAGACACAAGTACTGTTTGATGGAGTCGATGAAGCGCGTGCTATCTCTCCCGGAAGCCGAAACGAGTTCAATGTCTGCAAGGAACAAGTCGATGTGCTCCTTTAAGATGGAATGCACCACATGAAGTGCCAATAGCTTGGATCTGACGGCCTGCGAGCGCATGTCCTCACCGTCGACAATATCCTTAACGGAAAGCTTACACAACGTGCGGAAGAGCAAGAAAGCGTCCTTGACGAAAAGTTCGTCCTCGGACCCTTCACCATCAGCCACTCGTTCGTCGTCCGGAACCGTGGCCAAGGTGTCAAGCGTGAGCTTTGCAGACTCTTCCTTCTCGCTGATATCGGTCGCTGGGAGGTTTTCTGCTGAAACAATAGCGGAGCGGTCGGCTCTGGAGGTCCTGACCCGGTCATAAACGCTAGCAATTACCTGAGTCAAACTGGCCTGGGCGATCCCCTGGTTGGACGTGGACAAGGAGAGGAGAAAGATGTTATACAACTGTCTGACAGCAGTCAAAAGCGAGGAACCGTGGGCCGGAATCTTTTCGTTGAGCACGGCGCTCATCAACGCCCTGATCACCTGAAGCTCCATTTTCGCGTCGAATGTCTCCACCTGGAAGCTGTCGGTGATGGACTGGATGGCTGCATCCACTAGCCTAACACGCGGCGGCGGGGTCACAATGGAGTTAGGGTCCTCGGGTGACGTCAGCGTGATGGCGCCGGCAGGAGGCACATCCACGGTGTCGCCAAACAAAGAGAAGGAAAACAACTTGCTTAAGCAGTCCAATGCGAGGATCTTGGCGTCTACGTTGCCGACCTTGAGAGTCAAGCGCAACGTTTCGAACATGGCCGCCCCCTCGGGCAACTGACCAGTCTTGAGCTTCTCCAGCGCCTTTTTGAGCGAGCTGTGGAGCGTTACGTTCTTTTTGTTGACAAGTTTGGCGATATTGCCAAAGGTGGTGAGAATATACACGGAGGTCGAGTTGGGAGTGAAGCTGGGGACGGGGACAGAGGTAAGGGCGGGGGCGGTGACCGAGATTGACGGAACATCGGTCTCCTGCGAAGATGGGCTTTCCTGCAAATGGGAATCCGACGGGCTCAGCTTAGATTCGATAGCGGATTCGACCACGGAGGTTGTCGGGGTTAGCGCTGGAAGGACATTGGCCTTTGGCTCCGGCACGCTATTCGAGTCTGAAACAGGGACCGGCAGAGAAGTTCCATTGATTTGAGCCTTGTTGGTGGGATCATCCGCAGCAGCAGTGGCATCATTGCCATTAGCATCCTTATCTTTCAAAGTATGAGCAATAACGCCATTAGCAATGCTTTCTTCCTTGGTATTATTTTTCGTATCAGTGCTTCCTTCTACGGCAATTTCTCCCGAGGTCAATTTCCGCGGGTGGTCAATGTGTACGGGATCAACGCCAGAGTCTGATCGGGACGGAGACCCTAGAGAGATGTCTTCCATCGCAGAATCGGGGCTATCAGTTGTTTCCATTGTAAGATCAGAAGTGTGATGGTCTGGTGCTTCAATCATAACAGTGTGGGGAGAGAATGGCAAGACGTGAGGCCGGCGTTTATCTACTCTTCAATTCGTAGAAGGAGCACATAGCGCCCAGCCTAGTTGGGTGGTAGGTGCACGCCTGAGCATAGTGACGGGTAAACTTCTGAACCGAGACAGATTGAGAAATAAACTTCAGGGTTTACTTCGCAGTTTATTAATCATCTGATAACTCTGGAATTAAAAAAAAAAAAAAAAAGTAAAATAAAAAAAGTACTTTCATCATAGAAAATACCTTGTATGGGTAGTGAGAGGTATGGAGATGTAGCGAATGGAGATGTCGGTATTGTGCGGCTGGTGGATTGACTAAATGGAATTTTTAGAGATGCGCAGCAGCACGCGACAGCTGAACGTCAGGTATCAGGGCTGATAGTTGGAGGGTGATGGTTCAGCTGAAGAAGGTTTAGAGAGTAATTGGCTATAATAGCGCTTATATTACAAATTCTATCCCCTTTATGACATACTGTTTGGCACCAAGGGATAAATCAAACCAGGGATATGCGTAATTGCCGACTAGTTTCTGGGCGCAAATTCAGCATATCTGTGTGAGATGACTGCCGATTATAAATAGCGAATAATAAAATTAACGCAGTTTAGCAGATAATGTTAGATATAAGGAGACGAGAGTAAGACCATTATCTGCATTATACCAGAATACATATACATAGGCAGTCTAGGGAATACCAGAAATATTGTGCATTCAAAGCACCAAAATTGGTGTGAAACACATCCAAAAGATAGCAATAAAAACGTTTATTGGTAGAAACTGCACATCTTATAGCCCCCAAATATGCACATCTATCGATATCATCACCAGTCCCAACTCGATTGCCTTCAACCATTTAAATCAGAAACAGCTCAACCGCTCTTTCCACTGGTTTTGCCTTGCCTCAATCGACGTCCAGTAAAATACAGTGTCCTTTATTTCTTAACCTTCTTGACTTCCAAGGTGTTGACAGGGGCCTTTCTTTTTTTCACCATCCCGGTCAAATCGTTTACTGGGGCGGAGCTGACAGGCTTCTCCTCACCAGTCGCCTCGCCCAAGATGCCTTGCATGATACGTAACTTCTCAGCCTCCATTTCGGCAACCGGGTCTTTCTTGAGCTCGGCGACTCGGTCTTCCAAATCCTGGACCAATTCATCGTCCAGCTCGCCTGAGAGCTCGATTCTGGCCTTCACAGACACCAACGCAAGCTCCATCTGTTCCACGGCCCTGGCCCTGGCAGTGGCGTCGTCCACACAGAACTCCAACGCGAGGGACAACTTGTAGTGGGATTCAGACACCAAAGAGGAAAGTGCTGGATAGAGTTCGAGTCTCAAGACTAAAGTCTGTTCAAAGTCCAAGGCTGCCTGCTTGAAGTTTTCTGCTTCCAAAGAAACCTCTCCTAACAAGTCGTACGTCTCGGACAACTTCTTCTTCAACGTCACTACAGGAGAAACTGGCTCCTCAGTATCTGATTTAAGCAACGGGATGACAGTTTCGGCCGCCGGGGCTTCTTTTTGTGCGTCGTGTAACTGCTTCTCAAACAACGTGCGTGCCAAGTCGAGAATCTCCCATGCGACCTCAAAGTCAGTTTGATCCTCACCTTCTGGCTCTTCTTCCTCCTCGCTGTTTTCCTCTTCAGCTGCCTTTTCAAAAGCATCGTCTTCTTCTTCGGCTAACGGAACGTCTTCGCTGAACTGGAACATGCCGCTTTCCTTGGCAGTCTTGGCGTCCTCGTTTTCGTTTTCATCATCATTCTGCTCAGCTGAACCGCCAAATACCTCAGATTTGGATACAGCGGCCTGGAAAAGCGTTTTTCCGTACAAAAACAACAAATCCGCGTTATCAGCCTCTGCCTGCTCGTTGTACACCTGGCACGCTTCTGCGTACTTGTCGGCAGATTGCTCAAATTCTTGCGCAGCATATAACTTAGCACCATCGGCTATCAAAGTAGAAATTTCAGGCGAGAAAGACATGTTGTGTGTAATGAGAGGAAACCATAGGGGCAACAGTTTATGCAAATCCGACGCGTATAAAAACTCCTGTACGCGTCGCTGAAAAATCAAGCGTGCAGGCCTGTTCAAAACGCTGGAGGTTTTCGCGATCATTGTTTTCCGGCACACAGCTATTTAGACCAGCATAATTGTAGTTTATTCTAGGTATGCAATATTGCTATAGAAATATAAGAGGAGTTTTACCTCTCAATAGCAAAGGTTCTGATTAAAGGCAGTATGATTTCATAGTCTACACGGTCTTCCTAGGCCTGTAAGTACTACAGTTGCTTTGCCCTGAAACATGCCCTTTTCGGCCAGTAGTTCTTTTCCTCTCCCACCGATGGTTGTAGGTAGCTAAACGGAAGATTCTGAACGGAGACCACCTCTAATTGTGAGTAAAAGACGTACCAACTGGTTCAACGTATTAAACGGACAGTTGGAGTTTCAAGCGTACTGTAGCTAGAATGGCAATACGTTTCACGTGAAGGAAATTTCCTGTTCGGAAGGTAAACAGGTTATAACAAGCCTCCTTGCTTGACCATACCCTATTTGATTAACCGTAGTATATCTACACATCCCGCCAGTGTTTATTTAGCATAGACCTTTTAATCATCTGACCTAGTTATGAAAAATGATTCTTATTGTCCATACTCAATTACAACCATAATTCCTACATCCTACATTCCAATCGAGTAAATTTCCAGCCCCGCGTTCCCACGCTAAAAGCCGCATCATAATGCTGCATATTGCTACCCTCAGACGTACGGGGGATATCTCTCAGTTTCCATACAATAGTAACGGTTGCAATTGAAATTGAATCATTAAAGCAGCTAGATATTATATCCAGGTGATAAATGAGAAAAAGTTGTCAATTCGACTCTATAACCTCACTAGCAAGCACCAGGTGTAACATTGTGCATCCTCACTTCTCCTAGGTGTCTTTCCGGCAACCCTCCACGGTGCAATTGTTTTACAATAGAGGATATGATTAGGTTCCTCTCAAACATACAAGATAGACCAGACAACATATGCCAATTTATGTTAAAGTAAACTCAAATAACTGGTCATAAAGGTTTTCAGAAGCCGCCGTGGACTTCCCCGTTCCACCTATGAGGCACAGGTCGTGCACCTCCCGATAACCGTGTGTTTGTGTCTTGATCCAAAGATTTACGTGTCTTGAGAAACAACACCTAAAAGTTTGTCTCCACTACACACAGACCTATACTGATCTGCAGACACTCATTACACAATGGCTAGTAAGTAACAATATCCTTGATGTCAATTTTGCGACACTAACGTTTAGCCGAACACTCAGCGCACGCTTCGAAGGAGTCCCTTGGGATCACTTCCGCACCGCTTTCCGAAAAGCCGGCACCAGCCCGCGAGGTGAAGGTGATTCGCCGCAAACTCAACGGTTACGTCGGGTTTGCCAACTTGCCTAAGCAATGGCACCGCAAGTCCATCAGACGCGGCTTCAACTTGAATGTCATGGTGGTGGGCGAGAGCGGATTGGGCAAATCCACCTTGATGAACACCTTGTTCAACCGCAACTTGTACTCCGCGTCCTCTGCTGCCATTCCTGCAACTGAAAAGCCTAGTGCGGTGGAAATTGAGTCCTTGAGCGCGGACATTGAGGAGAACGGCGTCAGATTGCACTTGACCATCATCGACACCCCAGGTTTTGGTGATGCGATCAACAACACCGACTCTTGGACCTCGATTGTGTCCGATATCAACAACCGCTTTGACACGTACTTGGAGGCGGAGAGCAAGGTTACCAGAAATACCATCGCGGACACGCGTGTACACGCGTTGATCTATTTCATTGAGCCCACTGGTCACTCGTTGAAGCCGTTGGACATTACGTTTATGAAGCAGGTGCACGGGAAGGTGAACTTGGTACCAGTTATCGCCAAGTCCGACACCATGACGGAGGAGGAGATTGTCGAGTTTAAGCAGCGAATCAACGACGACATCATCACCCATAACATCAACATCTTCAAGCCGGCGCAATTCGAAAATGATGACGACGACACGATCTTGAGCACCCAGGACTTGATAGCGAAAATTCCATTCGCAGTTGTGGGCTCCACCACGGCAGTGACGACCGCTGACGACAGACAGGTCCGCGGTAGAAGCTACCCGTGGGGTGTGATCGAGGTGGACAACGAGGAACACTGCGATTTTGTCAGATTACGCGACTTGTTAGTGAGGAACTTTTTGGAAGAGTTAAGAGAGAGGACCGGCAACGTGTTGTACGAGAACTACAGAACAGAGAAGTTGAAGAAGATGGGCATCGATCAGGACAACTCGGTGTTCCGCGAGTTTGACCCGAACTTAAAGCAGGAGGAGGAGAAGGTGTTACACGAAGCCAAGTTGGCCAAGATGGAGGCGGAGATGAAGACGGTCTTCCAGCAGAAGGTGTCGGAGAAGGAGAAGAAGTTGCAGATGTCCGAGAGTGAGTTGTTTGCCAGACACAAGGAGATGAAGGACAAGTTGTTGAAGCAGGTGAAGGTATTGGAGGAAAAGAAAAGTCAGCTTGAGAAGTCGAAGACAACGACGGGGGATGGGTCACTGCAGCCAGCGCAGAAGACGCGTAAGGGGTTCTTGCGCTAAGTTTAGGCACCACCGAAAGGTATCTTGGCCTGTATCTTCTGACATTTATACCGAAGTCTATTTCTGTTCCAGTGAAGCTGACCTGGATGTCAATCCAGAGAGCCCAACCATCCATGTCTAGATACCCAAATCTCCGCGTTATGCTTTATTTTTTATCTATTTTATTTCTTTGTTTTCTTTTTAGGCAATGTTAGTACTTATCTTTTTTTGATCAGATTAGAAAGGGCTTTGTCATGGTCTTTACCGAAGGGTTTATTGCCTAAAAGGCATATATGACAGGGCTCAGCTGAAGGCTCTACCGAAAGCTAGTGCCGTAGGACGTACCCCAAAATGCTTCGATATTGGATATTTAAGCGCTTTTAGCATAGGATAATTTATATTTTAACAACGTAAACGTCAGTATAGATATTTACGGATGGCTCCGAAAATCCGCCATATCCAGACTAAGCAGCCATAGATCTCTTGTACATCAGCTGATAGACTACCCTGCTTATCTACCAAATATAAAACCCTTACTGAAAAAGTGACAAGCTAGCCTGGGATCAGTATTTGTGGTTAACATGAGGGGATATACGTAGACTCTTCTGTCCACTTAGTATGTACCGAACAGGGATTGAACGTAAACCGATGTGAAACTGTTCAAGTATCATGCCACTTGATTATTGTTACGTCTTGACCTTCAACCTTTAAATTTAAACAATCGACGTCTTGGGCTATCTCCATATTTACCCTTTGAATAATTCAAGTCTACGACTTCAAAAAGTCTACAATCTTGATGTGACGAATTTCGAGCCGCGCGTCGGAAAAATGCGACCACTGAAATTTAAACGGTTCATATGTCAGACTGAACCTCCCCATCCTTGCTCACCGACTCCCATGTCTACTGAAACACCAGAAACCGGAAAGACCCCGGTCTCCACTTTCAACCAAGCGCAGATAATTGCCACCATCCAAGTATGTGCTTTATATCAGGTGGATAAGCCCTTCCTGAACCACTACTAACGTCTAGACTACTCAATTTGCCTGGTTTACTGGTATGTAACCACACATCAAGCTAAACGTCAACTAACACCTATAGGCCATGTTCTCACGCTCATCTTTGGCTTGTTGTACCTCGTAACCTTTTGGCGAGGGAGTAAGGCCGTGGGCTTCTTCTACAACGTGGCGTTTGTCGGTGCCTCCTTCTCCTTCGGGATCGTTTTTGTGAACGATGTTGTCAAAGCGAAGCGTTTTAGGGTACCACGTGCCTTATTGTCCGACGATAACGTTCATTACTTTGTATTGGCCAGTTTCTGGCTCCTCCTCGCGCCGGTGACCACCTTGGCGTTGCCTCCGTTCGTGTTGTTTTCCTTCTTCCATGTCTTGACTTACACTAGATCCACCTTGTTACCGCTTTTTCTGACCTCCACTAGTCTCTCTGACAGGATTTACAGATTTGTGCGCGAATACAATGACAAGTCATTGGAAGCTGCGGCGTTCTTAGAGTTAGTTTTGTTAATGTGGCTCATTGCCAGGTGTGTTGCCTTTCGCCACAAGTCTCTTGCCACGTTGCTTGTCTTCTCTTTCTTTGCCAAGTTGAGATACGAAAACTCCATCTTCACCCGCCAGGTCATAAAGAGCTGGGAGTTTCAGGTAGACACAATGGTGGCCAAGCACGAACTTCCCCCTGCTGTTAAGAGCACTTGGATCAGTGTCAAGCAGATCATCAGAAACTACGTGGGGCATCCATTGGCCGCCAAGGTCGAGGAGAAGACTAAGTAAATCGATAGGGGAGTGCAATGTTCAGAAAAAACGCACTATGGCTAAGTTTGAAGTGACAGACTTCATGACCAACTATCTCCAGCTCCTGGTAGTGCTGCCAGATTGACAAAAGATGCCTGCAACAGGTGTCTGATGGCAATTTGGGACGGCATAACATCCAAATATCTGTTGACCAAAGGGTGTTAATAAACTAGTAACACGGGTTAATAAATTATTATGATTATTAGCCATGTAGAACAGATGCACGGGTTGAAGTACCTGGTGTAAAAATGACACCAGAACATCTCTTGCTCTATCTGCATGTGCAGCGTTGTGACTCACTTGCCTGCGTTCCGTGCGTCATACCAATTACGTCTTTCAAGGGTCTTCTCACACCTCAGACACCTCATGGTGGCGTTCAGCGTGACAGTCACAGAAGACGGTTCCTCTACTGTTGAAAAATCTATATAAGGCTGGGGCATCTACACCGCACTCTAGCAGCAATGCGCCAATTCCGCATCCCCTTCGTTACATTGCACCCTTATCATGAATAACAATGCAATTACCCCTATGTGGGATACGTTTCCGTTAGAGATTACCGAGAAGATCTTTTCTCACCTACCACTTCCCCTAGTTGGCATACTGATGAAATCAGAGAACACTACACTTGCTTCCATGGCACGGAGGTGCTACTACTCAAACATTAAATTGACCATCGGTAGACCATCAGGAGTCAATTTATGCTTCGGTATAAAAAGTAATGTCCTCCATATGGAGTCTTCTGAGTTTGAAGCGTTCGCAGATAGTGATATGTCAGACCATTTTCGGATTAAGAAGCTTTCAGTTTTTGCGCGGGAGACCAAAGATTATGGGTTTCTCCACGAAAAAGCGTTCATCAAAGCGTCTTCAATTGTGACCGATATCATGTTAGAGCATGACATGCACAGAGATGAAGAAATATTTGACTGGGCCTGTTTGCCATTGTTGCCCCTGGTCCGGGAGTGCATCCGAGAGATATCCGTCAAATCCAGGCTAATTGATCCTAACGTTCCACCTTTACCTTCTAACTTGCGCAGACTTGAAATTATTCATTCTGGTACATATATTCCCGATAAAGGTGCTCCACCGATTCAGTTTCCACCTAGCCTCCAAGAGTTTATCTTTCACAGACCCTGGGGACCGATATCAGTGTATGCTGGCCTCCCTTCAACTTTACAAAAATTGGAGCTCGTGGGGGTTTTGAACTTCTCTATTGAGAGTTTCAATGGGCTAAAGTTACCCCATTTGAAGGATTTGCGATTGGTAGACATCTCTATTGAAGGTTTCAATGAGTTAAGGTTGCCCAATTTGAAATTTTTGGAATTGTTAGATATTGCTGGCGTGACGGAGATCAACAAGCTGTTTGAGTTTCCCTCGCTGTTGGAAACCTTAGCCCTAGAGTGGCTGAATCTGTGCCTGTGGGAACTGAACTTTCATAGTTTCGAGCAACGGCAATTGCCTCTGGCATTGCAGAAATTATCCATCACCATGTGTCCGTTGAAGAAGTTTCGTGTGGATACCTTTTCAAATTGCTTTAAAGACTTGATATTACACGATACGGAAATTCCATCGTCCGAAATCTGCATGCTCAAGTTCCCTTCGAGCTTGGTTTCCTTACTGGTCAGGGATTCCTGGTTAACATCACTAGACTTCGTCAGCTCACTACCTGGGTCTTTAGAAATCCTCAACCTCAGCCGTAATTCCCTTGGCTATTTAAGCCCAACCGATGCAGACACTGCCAGATCATGCCGAATCAGGTTTCCCGAGAGTCTCCAGGTCCTTAATCTTGCGCAGAATGGCTCGTTATTTACCCTGTACTCGCTAAGTAACGTTGTATTACCTCCAAGTTTGACGGATTTGAATCTCACGAGAACAAATATGAGTTCAGTGGAGGGATTGAAAAACCTTCCGTTTCTTCGATTTCTCAGCCTTGAGCTCAATAATTTGGTCTCTGTCGAGGGGCTTGGTATTCCATCAACATTGATCTATTTAAACTTGAGCCGTAACAATTTGGTCTCAGTTGAGGAGCTCGATATTCCGCCAACGTTGACCTGTTTAGACTTGAGAGTCAATAACCTCCAGCTGTTTTCAAAGAAACTACCTGACAGCGTTACATGTATCGACCTTGAGTATAACCGGTTGAGAGAATTGGTGAATTTCCGCATTCCGGTGAATTGCATCACTCTTAAGCTCTCGGCAAATCCCCTCCAAAAGCTTCAAATCACCAACGCCTACGATCCAAATTTGAAACTCCGGGATCTCAGGTTGAACAATGTTGCGATTACCACTCTCCGTGACGTATCTCCCCTCCCACAATGCCTCACCCGCTTCGAGATAAGCTGCTCACACGTATTCTCCTTGTCGGAAGTCTCGTTACCTATGAGATTGAACCACCTCGAAGCCACCAATAACATGATAACGTCGTTGGAAAATGTCGAGTTTCCACCACGCTTGGAAACGTTACGTCTCCGGAAAAATCAAATATCCAGCTTGGCTAATGTCCATTTTCCGGACGGTCTACTTACTTTGGAGCTTGGTGATAACAAGATAACATCATTAGACAATGTCAAATTCCCGCCACTCTTAGAAACGTTGCATCTCTGGAAAAACCAAATATCTAGTTTGGTCAATGCCTATTTTCCAGACAGCTTACTTGCGTTAGACCTTAATGCTAACAACCTTACATCAATTGATACCATCCAGTTCCCCCCCAGATTGAACGTATTGAACCTTGGGAAAAACCTAATTAGTGCGGTTAACGAATTGCATCTACCGGACTCTCTCGAAATGTTGACCTTGGCGAACCAAAAGTATGATACTTTGCTTAACCGTGCTTCCACGCGTGAAAAGCTTCCAGAGGAATCCTACACTTCCGAACGGAAAGGCTTAACCTATCTCGCAGGGTTATCCAAACTCCCCTCAAAGTTACATCGTTTGGAACTATTCCACAACGGTTTGTCAGAGCAGGCCATCCAACACTTAGACTTCCCTGCCAGTTTGAAAAGGCTAATTATACATAGCAACGCGTTTGAAAACTACTATGGGTGGAAAGAAGGAATTAGGTTGGCATATCCGGGGGTGAAGCTTGATTGGGGAATGTAGCTGGGGATATCCAGGGACGGACCCCTTTTGGACTTTGACGACGGTATGGGTAGCAATGGCGAGATATTATAACGGAGAGATGTGTAGTAAAGGTTCCATTTAACTGGACGGAAGTCGGAATCCATTATTTCCTTACCTCCGATAAGCGGACACCCTGGCGTCGTACTCGCCTCAGTATATAAGGCCACCGACCACCCTTCTCTTGCGTATATGTTACATATGAAATGTATTTCCCTTTGACTAGCAGTATCCACTATTACCTACCACATATACCACAAGATGCATCCCAAGGTGAATTGTTTTACCAATGATAGGTGAGTCTGTTAACCCTTTTTAGCGTGATTTGGTCTTTAGAAATACGATCTGAGAACGACCTCTGTGTGATATATCCAATAATAATGCATACCATTATCTAAAAAAATAACCCAGGATATAATCTGGAGGCCGACCCCAACTACATGCTCAATAACAACGGAAAACACCATCTCATATGAAATATTCCGTCAAATTATGATAATAGGGCCCCTCTAGTACACCAACTTAAAACTTTCGCATAATCTTTTTCCGTTGCTTCAACATATGCCCATACAAGAGAGAAAATCCCGGGATGTACAACAAAAGTAGCGTGTAGAAAAAGAGCTCAGCAGCCCTGGAGCCCCCAAGTGCGGCAACAAAATCAGGAAAATTACCGAGCAAGATGGAAACCTCACAAAAGAGCCCCAATGGATACATTACCAAAAAGGTGTTGTAGCGCAACCACGTCAAGACTTTACCAGGTTCCCCCTGAAAAATCATATTGGCCGCATAGTAATTGTATCTGATAACTTCTGTCACCGACCATGCCACTACCATGTAGTAGTAACAAGAAGTGCTGTTGTTAAAATCAGAGTCCGAGAAAGGATAGAGCAACCCCCAGATGATGGAAAAGCGCGCATAGAGCTGTATGAAAGTGGTGAACACTGATGACTTCACAATGCCCGCGGCCGCATTGTAAAGCTCTACCAATGCAAGGGTTTCAATGACAAGTAAGTTGGAGTACGTCGCTTGGAAGAGTCGCGGCTGCCCTCCCAGCGGCTTGAATTGGAGATAAGAGGTTTGAATGAGAAGGAGTCCCCAGAGAAAGCCCGAAAGGAGGTTATAGTTGCAGAGCCAGAAGGGGAACACGCTTGTTTTGGTCAGGGTTTTTGGTTTCATGATTTCGTTATCTCTGTGGTGAAAAATACGCTTGATTCCAATAGCCTGTAGATATTTAATCAATAGATTCGTCAGGCTTGTATCTTTTATCCTCAGATTAGTGTATTGGTTATCATTCGCGAACAGTTCCATTTCATGCATACAGGGCATTCCGACTTCCGATAAGATTACCGTATATTCACTTGGAAGGTAAGAGAATGAAGAATTTTCCAGTTGAGTTAGCTCCTCGGAGCATTTTATGGTTGGACCATGTTTAATATACGACTATTTTTGGGGGATTAGATCTTTGAAAGTGTCAGGAATTACATTACCGGTGCTGGGATAGCTGTCAGAAAATCAACAATCTAGGGAATTACTAAATTTGTAATATGTCTAGTAACAATACTATCGCTGACTAGGTGAGATAATACTTTTTATGTTTAATACACAAATAAGGAGTATTGACCGCGGTCCTTTAACTATTTTGAGGCATCATTACTAACCTATCGTCCGTGGTTCATTGACAAGTGGGGTTCGTGGCGCAATATGCACTAAAGATTGTGCCATTAATATTTCAGCGTTAACGCCGACATCATTTGGTAGCACGGTAAAAAAAATAAAAAATCGATCCTAATTTCCAAGATCTGAGTGTTCACCTCGTATCTGATTAAATCAGACTTGGGATAATACATTTGGAAGTCAAGTTACACAACCTGACGCGGTTTATCGCCGATCTAGGTCAAATAACGGATAGCCACTCTACCAAGCTGTATTCTTTTGCAGGCCCCTTCTCTACAGCATTAACCACGTGTATACACCATACAAGAATATTAATATTACACTTTGTTACCGATCAAACAATAAATAATGTTTTGAGGTAAAATAATGTAAATTTCTCCGAGTTATCCCCGCCTCGAGACTGCAGCAGCGCAACACCTCCTACAAACATACCCATGACCAAATCAGGCAATCCCTAATTTGGAAGTCGGCAAAAGGCCAGCACTGCATCCAACCACTTGGAGATTCGGCTTTGACGCCAGCACATGCTTTGTTTTACTCCTGATATAAGCCATCTGAGCACCCTCTGCTATCAATTCCCTCCACCAACCAACCTTACCTCCACCATGGACTTTGAAGAAAACGAGGACATCAACGGTGTGCGCTTCTCTTGGAACCAGTTCCCTTCGACCCGCGTGGAAGCCTCGCGCACGGTGGTGCCGATGGGTGCGCTCTACACGCCGCTCAAGTACCGTGAAGACCTCCCAACTGCTGCCTACGATCCTGTTTTGTGCCACCAGCAAAATTGTAAAGCGCTCTTGAATCCCTACTGCCAGATCGACCTCCGTGCAAACCTCTGGATCTGTCCGCTCTGCCAGAACCGCAACCCGTTGCCGCCACACTACCAGAACATCACGCCGGAGTTTTTGCCTTTGGAGCTCAATGTGCTGTCTTCCACCATGGAATATGTCTTGACAAGACCGGTGCAGCAGCCGCCAATCTTCCTCTTTGTGGTGGACTTGTGCCAGGATGAGGAAAACCTTGCCGCCATGAAGGAGACCTTGGTCGTTTCGCTTTCGCTCTTGCCACCAAACGCACTTGTTGGTTTAATCACCTACGGCTCGACCGTCCAGGTGCACGACCTCGCATCCTACGACCACATCTCCAAGCAATACGTGCTCCGCGGTGACAAGGAGTACACCATGGAGCTGTTGACCGCCATGTTGGCCGGCGTTGCGCTCGACCCGAAGGCTGCTGCTCCACACTTGGGCGCCAATCCAACAGCAAAGTTTTTCGTTCCATTGGAAGCGGTCGAGTTTCAGTTGACCACCATCCTCGAAACCCTCAAGCGGGATCCCTGGAAGGTTGCCAGCAACCGCAGAGCGTTGAGGTCTACGGGTTCCGCATTGAACATTGCTAGTCTCATGTTGAAGGCCAACTTCATGGGCTTCGGTGCGCGCATCATGTTGTTCGCTGCCGGTCCATCGACCCTCAACCCGGGCTTGATCGTGTCTGACGAGTTGAAGGAGCCAATCAGATCGCACTCTGAGATCGACAAGGACACCGCCAAGCACTACAAGAAGGCGTCCAAGTTCTACGACTCTATCGGCCAGAGGTGTGTGGCTAGCTCCCACACCATTGACCTCTTCGCCGGGTGCTACGACCAAATCGGGATGGCCGAGATGAAAAACTTGTGCCACATGACTGGGGGTACCTTGTTGCTTTCCGATGCCTTCACCACCTCCATCTTCAAGCAGTCCTTTATCCGCTTGTTCAACAAGGATGAGGAGGGGTATTTGCTCATGGGCTTTAACGCGAACTTTGAGGTCAAGACGTCCAACCACATCAAGGTTAGCGGCTTGATCGGCCACGCGGCATCCTTAGAAAAGAAATCGGCTAACGTGGCCGAAACCGCTGTCGGGATCGGTGGCACCAACGCCTGGAAGATGTGTGCCATTGCGCCAAACAACACCTATGCGGTCTTTTTCGACGTTGCCAACACCCAGCCTCTCGCCCAGCCAACCACTTCCTACATCCAGTTTGTTACGCACTACCAGCATGCCTCGGGCACGTACCGCATCCGTGTCACTACCTTGCCACAGCAGATGGGACCATCTACGGATGTGAACTTGGCGCAGAGCTTCGACCAAGAGGCGGCGGCTGTGTTGATGTCGCGTATTGCGATCCAGAAATCGGAGGAAGACGACAGTGCTGACGTGTTGAGATGGATCGACCGCATGTTGATCCGCTTGTGCTCCCGCTACGCCGACTACAATAAGGACGATGCCAACTCCTTCAGATTGAACGCGCAGTTCTCGTTGTACCCGCAGTTCATGTTCTACCTCCGTCGTTCGCAGTTCCTCCAGATCTTCAACAACTCGCCGGATGAAACGTCCTTCTACAGACACATCTTCTTGTCCGAGGACACCAACAACTCTCTCATCATGATCCAACCGACGTTAACAGCGTTTTCGCTTGAGTTGGAGGAGCCAGAACCAGTGTTGCTTGACTCTGTGTCGATCAAGCCAGACAGAATCTTGCTCTTGGACACTTTCTTCCACATTTTGATCTACCACGGCTCCACCGTTGCTGCCTGGCGCAAGGCCGGTTACCAGGACCAGCCAGAGTACGCGTCCTTTGCTTCGTTGTTGCAGGACCCGAAGCGTGAGGCCGCCGAATTGTTGGTAGACCGTTTCCCGTTGCCGAGATTCATCGACTGTGACGAGGGCGGGTCACAGGCCAGATTCTTGTATTCGAGATTGAACCCGTCGACTGCGTATAACAAGCCGGACGATCCGTTTGGGATGAGTGGCGGGGCTGGTGCAGTTGTGTTGACCGATGATGTTTCGTTGCAGACCTTCATGGGGCACTTACAAAAGTTGGCTGTCAGCGGGTCGTCATAGGTAGCTCCGCAGTAGAGGGCTTGGTCCCATCTGATGGTTCGGCGGGCATAAACTGCTGGGCTGCGTAGACCCGTAGGTAGCATGTTGCTTCTATGGTAACCCCATTGTTCTTTCTCCCAGCGTGCGTCGTTGGATAATATATTTTAAAAGTTGTTATGCACTAGTTCGTAGGAATATGATATCTTTGGTAAATTATAGTGTACCAGGTATGATCTAATAGATGTGCTAGAGTTAACAGCGCTTGATATGATATATCTGCATTTCACCTGTTTTTTTTAACCTATACAAGTAGACTCTGCAGAAGCTAAATGTAGAAATTGGAAGTCACTTCCAAGCCCATGCTTGTGAGGACTCTTATATTTTGATCTAACGCCCGTATCAAATTCTCAATTATAAGATCAAATTTAAACTGAGCCAAATATTGTTTTTAGAGATCTAGCTAAAGTATCTTAATAATATAGTTTTATAATTGTACAATAGTTCATCCATCCCGCCAATGTCCACTTTAAAGCTCGCCTTCCTTGCTAGTCTATATCGCGTCGTGACGCGTCGTATTCGCCACGTGATCACACTTGCTCCATAATTTTTCACCTTACAACTCTTTTCTCTCTTTCCCCAAGCATCTACCAACATCTGAAAGGACGCCGGTTAGCATGTCTGCAAAGCTCACAAACGACGAAATAGCGCTCTATGACCGCCAGATTCGCCTCTGGGGCATGGAGGCGCAGCAGCGTTTGCGCTCCGCCAACATCCTCCTCATTAACCTCAGCGGGGTCGGGACGGAGGTGGCCAAAAACCTCGTACTCGGGGGTATCGGGGCACTCACGGTCTTGGATTCACACACAGTCATTGCTGAGGACTTGTCATGCCAGTTTTTCCAGACAGAAGCGGATATCGGAACGTCCCGTGTGGGGGCTGCGCTTGCAAGAATCCAGGAGTTGAATAACCGTGTAGTATTAACGAGCGAAACCAGATCCTTATCGGATGTTGATGAAGTCTGGTTTGGCCAGTTTGATATAGTGATAGCCACAGAATTGGGACGGAATGAGATTGTGGCAGTGAATGACGCGTGTCGTCGGCACAGAGTTCCGTTCTACGCCGCCGGCTTACACGGGCTTTTTGGATACGTCTTTGTGGACTTAATCGAGCACCGATCAACCAAGGTGAAACCTGTGAATAACAAGAAGCTCACCCCTGTGGGAACTGTGGTCAACGGCGTAAAAACAGTGGTGGCAGTGGAGGCAGTGGAAGATAAAAAGGTGAAACCGACTGAGGAAAGAGTCACGGTGTTGGATACTTACAGACCGTTCAGGGATACTTTTTTGTCGACCCAGTTACCCCAGCAGCTAAACCGACGCCAGTTAAAGCAGCTTACCCCGGCGTTGCCTATCATTCTTGCGCTCTTTTCGCAGCCCAGACCGGCCCACGTCTCGCAAACCATCGAGACATTTGCTCTTTCAAAAGAGGAGGTTTTCCGTGCCACAGAGAATGAGAGGCAGAATTTAAAGATCCCAACGGAAAATACGGAAAAGGAGAGCAGGTACGTGGAGATGCTCTCTACGCAGGCGTTTTGCGAGTTCAGTCCCGTGGCGGCCATCTTGGGAGGTAGTTTGGCTCAGGATGTGATCAATATGTTGGCCGGAAAGGAGAGTCCAATAAATAATTTCATGGTATTGGACGGGACGACGAGTGAGATGCCAATCTTTCACTTGTAGAGTGGAGATGCGATGGGACGGTTGCTAATCCGAAAAGACGGGCAAGATGTAATATAGTCGGGGTTGAATGTAACTGACAGATCTGTAGTATATTTGCGATTGTAATTTACAATTTTCCAACCATAAACATTGATTATACGTTCAGCGAGCGATGAGTCCTCTCAATCGTGAAACGCATGTTGGGAAGCTCGCTGGATAAGATCAACGTCTGTGCGGCAATCCAAGCCAATCTGACAGGCGGTTGCCTAGTATATATATCCATGGATGTTTCGCCAAATACTAGAAAACGAGGGAGGGGAGGCAGACCATGCCTGGGATATATATTGGTCTACATCAAACTTCCTGAGGCATGTTTCAGTCTTTTAAAAAAAAACCCAATCGGAATATTGAGCGTCAAAGACTTTACACTAAGGGGCATGGTGGCCGGAAAGTACTAGGAATATTAGTTAGAGGGAGTGAGCTAGCTTTTTGTTTTAGTTCCCATCACCCATAGCTTGACTACAGTATTTTATGAGATTAATTGAATATAGTACATACGCACAGAATTAAAGGATATAGAAAATATTAGAAATGAGAACAGAAAACAGTAAACAAGGAGATTAGTACGAGGAGATACGAAATAAACAGAATAAAAATAAAAGTAAAACAGCCGAATAAAGAGACGAAGTAGGCTAGCACGCGAAGAGGACGAATGGAGACGACAAATAGGAACCTGAAAATCATCGGACGAACTCGAATGGAAATAGCGGATAATCACACAAACGAGAAACCCTTACCCCCGAATACAGTTTTTTTTCGTATACGGAGAAACTAGATGACACCTGCAGTCACATTCAGTCTCCTCTAGACTACTCCCGAGTTCTTCTCGAGAACCTCCAGCCGCAAGGTTGCAGCGCCCATACTCTTCCAGTCCTCCTCATCTGTGTTCTCTTCCGGCTCCTCCGAGTGCGAGTGTGAGTTGGCATTTGAATGTGAGCGCGACTCAGACTCAGACCACGACTCAACCGCGTGCTCGTCGACCATCGCGTCAAAGTCGGCTGCAGTTCCTCCAGCCTCGGCAATTGCCGTCGCGAGCACTAAGTCGTTAAGCGAACGGAAGTGCTGTGAGTGGAGCAGGTGCGAACCTGTTGCGGTTGCACCCGGACTAGTACTAGTGCTCGGGTTTGCACTCGCGACCCGTTCGCTCGCTCCAGTGCTACGTAAAAATGACTGCCGCCCCGATGCCAGCACACTAGAAAACGAGCCACGGTTCGTACGGTGCGGCAACGCGGCCGCGTCGAGGATAAACCCGGCGTGGAGCGGTGAGTTGGGGATCGAGCCGATGGTTCCCGTAGGCCGTCTGCCACGGCTACTGCTGCGGACATCTTCAACGTCAATGAAGTCAGCGTCAAAGGATGAATCAGGTGACCCGAACGAGCCGAGGCGCGAGCGGAACCCGTGGCTCGGTTTGGCGATGCGGTTGTTGTAGGATGCCAGCGAGTTGGTCGAATGGCGGCGCGAGCGAATATTTGGTGGCGCGAGCGTGGCGCGGGTCGGGGACGTGAACCGTGGCGAGCGGGTCGCACTTGTAGGTTTACTCGCGTCATCATCGTCAAACATAAACACCTCTTCGTCTGCATCGTCCTCGCTTTCCGATGAGCTTGTCACCGCCAGAGACAACGTGCCATCAATCAGCGGTGCGAGTGGCACCTTGGCCGCGTGCGGTGTAATGCTCTCGCGGCGTGCAACTCGCAACGCCGTGGAACTCACAGGTTTGGTCATGGTCCGCTTCGCCGGCTCGTCTTCCATGTCCACATCCTCATCGTTCTTCCCCCAGCCCATTTTCGGCTTGGAAGAGCGAATTTCCTGGAGAGAAATCGCCTGTTTTCCCTCGATGACGTCGGAGCCCTGCTTGCGCGCGGCCCATTGGCCCCAACCAACCTTCTCAAATACGCAGGTTGTGACAGGGTCTTGCAGCTCCAAGGCTGCCATGATAAGACGCCTTTGTTTGGAGAGTGAGAGCTGGCTGAAGCCAGGGATTGCCTTGGAAAGATGGTTAGTGATATGGCGAATGGGCAACGGGCCGTTGGTGATAAGGATCTGCGCGAGACGAGTCGCGTTGACTTGCAGAGCAGCAGCGATACCGACAGGGGAGGAGGTTGAGAGCGGTTTCTGGTGGGCGCCGGGTTTTTGGATGGGAGAGGTCCAGGAATGGCGGCGCGCAGAGACATCGTTACTCGCGGTACGTGAGTTGGCGTTTGCCATGGCACGCGAGTTTTCATCCAGGTGAGTAATCTTACTTGCAACACGAGAGTTTGAATCCAGGTGCGTTATCACAACTCGCGGCTTTTCATCCAAGTGCGTCGCGTTTTGTGTATTTGCAATCGTGCGAGGCGTGTTCAGGTGGACGGGACGTGTGGGTGGGGGCATCAGTGTCGTGCCGATGGCTATTGGGACTGGACTGGTACTATTGGTAGTTGAAGCTGTGGTGGCACCATCTTTGGCTGGGACGGGGCTTCCGTTGTTTGGTGTTGGCGACATTGTTTTGAAGGGGGTGTATGTGCGAATACGTGATATTGAGGGTGATGGTGTTGCTGAATATTTTTCTGGGTACTTTGCAAGGTAATTTTATGGGTGTTATTTTTGTATTATTCAGTGGCCAATGGAGGTTCAAGAATTGTTATTTAGTTTCGCGTCACCCTGGGGGTTGAAATTTCAGGGCGTGTTTTTCAAAAGATAAGGCGGGAGATTAGGCACGTGTTGTGGGGCAGCTCCTGTGTTGTATAGTTTGTATTGGCTGTTTGAAGACCAGTGAGGTTCTTTTTGTGGAAGTTGGTAGATGTTTGTGAGTTTTGTGTTGGTGGAGTCGTTTTGAGGGTGAAGTGGCAGGTGAAATTTCGTGTCTCGAAAAAGTGTGGGTGACGAATATTTCACTCGTCCTGGTTCCGAAAGCTGGGGCACCGAGCCGCAGGCGCATACGTGCGTTTCGCATTTTGTGTGCGCGACCGCAATATCCGCTACAGTGAAGTTTGGTCATTTACGACTGCGCCACGTTACCCTGTCCCACATTATGACTCAGTTGTATCGAGATCTGCAGTAATATGGAATGATGCTAAATTTATCTGCTGAGTGTTCAGTGGATGCTCTAGACCCTGCTTGTAGTTTATCTGTCTAATCTGTCAATGCATGGGGCAGCCAATTACGTAACGCGACAGGGAGCGGGGAACTCTAGCCAAGTGGCTTCATACCCGTTGGGCTTTGGCTGGCACACGTCTTATGCAAACCTAATACCAGCACTCAGCCACTGTATCCGAAACACGCACTACAGTGGTCATTGATGTCAGAAACTGTACGACAGCTAGTATCAATGTAAAAGGTTATCTGTTGACAAGCACATGAGTGACTGCAATAACTAGTTACCGGATAATTTACGAGAAACCAGAGAAGCTCCAACGTGACCAAACGTATAATCCCGGCCAATATGGTGACGACGCATTCCCGAGAATGACGTATTGGGTGAGATTCGAAACATTTCCTTGGCGCTATTTGTGATATAAGTTCAGTTTATGCAGATAGGCATACAAATCCATGGCAAATCTTCTGACAGGAAACAAGAAAGGACTTGCCACAGTTAAGCAGGTCTGAAAACCTGGGGTGACTGGCTACATCGGCTGGGCTATATATATACATTCAAGATAAGCCTCAGTCCTAGGACCGCAAGTAGCTATTAGACGGTGCTAGGCATTGGTGTTCTGGCCCCAATAGTATCCATATTATAAGTGCTGGCGCTTAATCTCGACTAGAGTAAACCTTTCAACCATTTCTTATATTCGACGGTAATTGTGCTTGGGGTTAGTTATCTGGACTCCAGTTTTCGGGCAGTTTACAGAATTGGAGCTTAGTATAAGGCAATAAGACTGACATCAGAGAGATTGTAATTGATTGTTAATAGTAGATGTTTTATATATACAATATTATTCGTGGAGAGTATTTTTGCTCCGTAGGTATAGATTCCTACCTTTCAATTGGTCAGATCTTTAAGCTATTCAGTGTGATTTTATTAAAGTGTCTGTTTAACTCTAAGCCATGGCTTAGATACAACTCTCGTTTCCGGTGTAACAGTTTTTTTTCAAGAGTAATCGCCAGTGTATGCTCTAGACAATGGGGTGGCCATACCTTGGATACTTCTAGCACCATTGACTCTAAAGTAGTTATTTGCTAATCCTAGATTATACCTATATTATTTCTCACTTGTGGGTCAGCGCCAGTTTGGTTTACGAAATCCCCTTCCATAAAAGTTTCTAAATGACTCTGCATTTGACATTCCAACAAACTCAATAAGGTTGTTCAGAAAATAACAATCCCTAGAGCTTCACAATGTATCAGGGAGGCGAATTTACTGGCCGTACCTACAGACATCAATTGTAACAAATCCTCACAAATAGCAACATTCCTCACAGTACAAACTACATAGAAAATATTAGACCAAAGTCGCAGACACGATGTATCGCATTTACTCGTATTAATCCAGACCATGCTTGCTATTGAATACATAGATTTAATGGTCCAGTGTGCATACACCAAAAATGAAGGTGCACATCCCCAGGTTATATTGTTAGAGAGCCACCCAGGTGCCTGGTACATGAACCTGTCAAGACCCATTCCTTGACAGCATATCGGCTAGAGCCTGTAGGGGTCATATCTTTGATAACACCCGAGAGTATGTCTCTGTGCCCATAACCCTTCCCACTAACGTCTATAGCAGCATTACAATAAATATCTATTAACCTATACAAGTCTGTTGACTTCACAAACTGCTCCGTTGCAGTTCCTTGTTTTGACACATCGCTTATTTCTTGATAAACTGCTCCGTAACGGCAGCGATAATGCCATCCACACTCTGCGGGTTGGCCAAGGTGGACATATCACCTAAGGAGTCAGCTTCGCCGGCACAAACCTTTCTCAAAACTCTTCTCATGATTTTACCAGATCTGGTCTTCGGCAAGTCGGCGACAATAACAACACCCTTTGGCGCGGCAAATGGCCCGATCTCGCCTCTAACCTGCAACACTAACTCGCGTCTCAAGACATCAAGATCACCGCCCTCGGCCTTCAAGGCAACAAAGGCAACAACAGCCTGTCCCGTCAAATCGTCATTGATACCAACCACAGCGGCTTCGGCAACGCCCTGGTGTCCAAGCAAGGCAGTTTCGATCTCAGCAGTGGACAATCTGTGGCCAGACACATTGACAACGTCATCGACTCTTCCTCTGATCCAATAATAACCATCGTGGTCACGGGCAGCACCGTCACCGGTGAAGTAGTAGCCCGGGTATGGGTTAAGATAAGTGTCCATATACTTAGTGTGGTTGTTCCAGACGGTACGGGCCATGGATGGCCACGCAGACTTGACTGCCAAGACGCCCTCGACGTCGTTACCCTTGAGCTCTTCCCCGGAGACCGGGTCAATCAAGCAGGCGTCGATCCCGAAGAACGGCAAGGAGGCGGAGCCAGGCTTGTTTGGGGTAATCCCGGCGAGCGGCGCGATAAAGTGCGATCCCGACTCGGTCTGCCAGTAGGTGTCTGCGATATGACACTTGCCGTAGCCAATCTTCTCGTTGTACCAGGCCCAGACGTCTGGGGAGATTGGCTCACCGACGGAGCCGAGGGTTCTGAGAGAGGAGATGTCGTACTTGGCAATCTCCTGTTCACCGGCCTTCTTCAAGAGACGCAAGGCGGTTGGCGCGACGTAGAAGTGGGTGGCCCTATGGCGCTGAACGATCGACCAGTAGCGGCCGTAGTCTGGGAAGGCTGGGGTACCCTCGAAAATGATGGTAGTGGTCCCAAGGGCCAATGGGCCGTAGAGCGAGTACGTGTGGCCTGTAATCCAACCGACATCACCGGCAGTGAATAAAACATCCTCTGGGTGGACGTCAAAGACATATTTGGTGGTCAAGGCGGCACCCAACAAGTACCCACCAGTGGTGTGGACCACACCCTTTGGCGTACCAGTAGAACCGGAAGTGTACAACAAGAACAATGGGTCTTCAGCAGAGACCGGAACCGGCGGGAAGTAACCGCGCTGGTTCTTGGTCTCCTCGTGCCACCAGAAGTCTCTGCCTTCCTCCATGTTGATCTCGCCCTGGGTTCTCTGGAACACAAGAACCTTCTCCACGGAGGGAGATTGCTTCAAGCCCTCGTCGACAATCTTCTTCAACTGGACAGACTTACCACCTCTTCTGCCTTCGTTGCAGGTGATGACGGCCTTGCATTGGGCGTCAACCACTCTGTCACGCAAGGAACCGGATGAAAAACCAGCAAACACCACGGAGTGGATAGCGCCGATTCTGGCAACCGCAAGCATAGCCACAATGGTTTCTGGAATCATTGGCATGTAGATGGCAACGGTGTCACCCTTCTTAATGCCCCACTTGTTCAACACACCAGCAACCTCGGAGACCTGCTTCAACAATTGGCCGAAGGTGAGGATCTTGTTGTCTTTTTCTTCATCCGCCTCGTAGATCAATGCGGTCTTGTCTGGATTGGCGAACGCGTGGCGATCCACACAGTTGTACGACGCGTTCAACTCACCGCCAAGGAACCAGGAGATGTCTCCTTCGGCCATGGATCCAGACTTTACCTGGGAAAAGTCCTTGTCCCAATGGAGGTACTCCTTGGCCAACGGACCGAAAAAGCCCGCTGGATCAGAGATGGACTGTGCGTACATCTCGTGGTAGTGGTCGAGGTCGCGAAGGAACCCGGTGTTTGGCTGTTTGGTGAAGAATTCCTCTGGGGTAGGCACGGCAGTAATGCCGTTGGCCTCGTGCACAACAGTATGGGTGGACATGCTGGGATTGGTGAAGAGGAATGTATATGTGGTAGAATAAAGGGTACTGGTGTCTAATATACGTTAGTATCGTATAGCTGGGAACGACGAAGGCTGTTTTTGGAATTTTCCATGGCCCACCGGGGCCCGGAAAATTGCCCATGCACCATCGTGCGGCGGGCTGCGTGAAAAATTCAACAAAATGGTGCATATTGTCTGGTACTTGCCAGTCAGATTAATAAATACGTACGTTTCTGTAAAATAAAGTCAATTCCTCAAGGTACTTTTTTTTCTTCTTTTAGTTTGAAAGGATGAATAAAATCTGAGAGGATTCAGTTCGGTGACAGGAGATGCGGGAGGTACTTCTTTTATATGCAAGTCTGCTACATACGTCGAAGATAAAGAGGATGCCCGCGAGAAACTTACAAGTCCGCTTAGCGGTAAACGATTCGGACAAATGGTAGGTACTGGAATATGTACAAGGGGGCCGAGTTTCAGTCCAATCCATCTGCCTAAGCGTTTTGTCTTTACCGAAGGTGGATGATGGCTCAGGTGGCCCAACGGAACCCATTGTGGCGCGGCTTCCTCCCACTATGGTTTGTTTCCCTCTCTGGGGTTGGTCAGCAATGGGATGGGCGAATGGAGTGATGTGGAAGCTGCCACCATTGGCAGATGACCTATCTTGTTAGCTATGGATAGAGTTGGTTGGGTCATTACTTTATGGTGACGAAACCGGATAACCGGAAGTTACATGCTTCCGGTATAGAAACTTGACCGAATAAGGCTATGGAACAGTCGCTTTTCCGGAAGTTTTGTAAACCAGAGCCATAGTTTCAACAAAGGGCAGTACTCACAAGCAGAGGTTATCATCTAATATAAATAAAAAATGCCTGGAAATTAGTTCCCATTTCTGATAAGACGCCCCCAAATTGTAAGGACTAGAAAAGATTAATAAGGTTTTGACGCTTTTCCACGCGCCAAAATTTAAAAAATAAGTGGTACCGGCGGCCGGAAAACGGCCGAAAAAGAAATACCGGGAATTGGCACAGTTAAGGCTTGGTCACCGTTACGCACGCATCTACGGACGAGCGCATCAAATCGGAGGTTGTGAGGCTTCGGGACTAATGGAAGAGAATGGGTCAAAAGCTGGGGGGTCATCTCTCAAACACGACAGGGGTTGTAGAGGCAATTTAAGTAACGAGATAGGAATAATCTACCAGTGTATCCACAATTGAATATGTAGCGGGTAAATTTCTATTGAAGTTTCTCCATTAAGGTTTCATAAATCTTTTAGAGAACTAGTAAGCTTCGATCGATGGACGGATAATTGTGGGCAGGCCGATCCCCATCTGTCGTTAACTCCTACTGACCTCCCCTGGACTTTCGGTACCGTGGTGGAAGCTTGGACAGCCTCTGTGTGTGGCGTGCTTAAACAAACCCGCTCATCCATATCTAAAGGCCGTACTGGTTTATAATCTTGTTATTGGCAGAACAACCCGTACCATCGACTCCAAGCCTATATAAAGAGTTTACCTGTTCCGCTTATCCACGGAGACGCCACATAAACTGGTAAGAATTATGTGTCCGGTGAAGCTGCTATTCTGGGCTTGAAGTTTAATGCGCCGGGTTTGAGGTATTAGACCAAGAGCTATGTGTCCGCTTGGTCTAAAACTGTCAAGGTTACTAGGCGGTCAGAAGAAACTATATGCTCGACCTATACGTCAACTCAAGGTAATATTTACGACTATGTTGCCTCTGCTGTAAGGAAACAGAGGTTACGATATAAGGATTACAAACTGGGATTAGACTTATCACGACATAGTCGGTTATAGGAGCCTCTCCTCTCGGTTTCCTCAGTGTAATCAACGAAATCTGTCTGTTAGGAAATAGCTCAGAGCTAACAGTCTCTTATGTTCCACCTCACTATGAACGACCCCGGATTTCCCCCACCCCCGACGGCCAGGAGTATAGGCCTCCTGCCTCTGGCATAGCCGATTTTACACGTCACGAGACGGGGTGGCGCATAAACCGGGACGGAAATTTGTTGGGCTATAGTTGCTGGGCGGTTAGCCGCACCGTCTATGTGTTTGGGTCACGTGGTTTGGTATACCCTTGATCGGGAATGCAAAGCTTTTCCTATTTAGGGGTAACTATCTTATCAATAATGACAAAATATCGATGAAGGATTCGAGGTACGCCAACACGAAGCTTAGGTTTAGAGGCTCGTATGGTAACTGGTAGATCTGGTCTGAATTGCATAATCTGCCCAGTACTATCGTAGATTTGGGATTACCGAAAGATTTCGGCAATGCCTAGGTATATCTCGCTTCAAAATTAGCCCGTATCCAGATCAATGGTTCCATCTAACATGTAGTCTCAGAACATGAAGCTACTCCCGTGGGCTCGCTCTGCCTAGACCCTCCTAACCATGTTTGTTGTACCACATACAGGAGATTAAGTGAAAAATCACCGAGCATAATACCCCTCTCATGGTTCTATTAGCTTTTTTTTTTTTTTATCTAAAAGTATATTAATGTAGAGAGAAAAAAATAAAATCTATACAAACGATGCGAGCGGTCTAAATGATTTAATCGACTTCTTCGACGGTTGGACCAGAGGCTTCTGGTTCTGGAGCAGAAGCGCCTGGGAAACCACCTGGGGCAGCACCACCTGGGGCAGCACCGTTCTGGTAGGCCTTAGTCATGATTGGGTTGGCAACGGTTTCCAACTCCTTCTGCTTGTCACCGAATTCTTCGGCGGTGGCAGTGGTGTTGGCGTCCAACCATTCAATGGTTTCGTCAGCAGCCTTGGTCAAGGCTTCGACGTCTTCAGCACCCAAAGCTTCCTTCAACTTTTCCTCGTTGAGAGAGTTCTTCAAGGAGTAGGCGTAAGACTCCAAACCGTTCTTGGCGGCGATTCTGGCAGCTTCCTGCTCATCCTCGTCCTTGTACTTTTCGGCTTCAGAGACCATTCTTTCAATGTCTTCCTTGGACAATCTACCCTTGTCGTTGGTAATGGTGATCTTCTGAGTCTTACCGGTACCCTTCTCCAACGCGGAGACGTTAAGAATACCGTTGGCATCAATATCGAAAGTGACTTCGATCTGTGGAACACCTCTTGGGGCTGGTGGAATACCAGACAATTCGAACTTACCGAGCAAGTTGTTGTCCTTGGTTCTGGTACGTTCACCTTCGAAGACCTGGATCAACACACCTGGCTGGTTGTCGGCGTAGGTGGAGAAGGTTTCAGACTTCTTGGTTGGGATGGTGGAGTTTCTTGGAATCAACTTGGTCATGACACCACCAGCGGTCTCAATCCCGAGGGACAATGGAGCGACATCCAACAACAACAAGTCCTGGGTCTTGGAAGAGGTGTCACCGGTCAAGATAGCGGCCTGGACAGCGGCACCGTAGGCCACAGCCTCATCTGGGTTGATGGATCTGTTTGGCTCCTTACCGTTGAAGAAGTCGGAAACCAACTTCTGGACCTTTGGGATTCTGGTAGAACCACCAACAAGGACAATCTCGTTGACAGCAGACTTGTCCAACTTGGCGTCTCTCAAAACCTTTTCAACTGGTTCCAAGGTGTTTCTGAACAAGTCACCACACATCTCTTCGAATCTAGCTCTGGTGATGGAGGTGTAGAAGTCAACACCCTCGTAAAGGGAGTCGATTTCAATAGAGGTCTGGGCAGAAGAAGACAAGGTTCTCTTCGCACGTTCACAGGCGGTTCTCAATCTTCTTAAGGCACGCTGGTTGGTGGACAAGTCCTTCTTGTTCTTACGCTTGAACTCGTTGACAAAGTGGGTAACCAATCTGTTGTCGAAATCTTCACCACCCAAGTGAGTGTCACCGGCGGTAGACTTGACCTCGAAGATACCGTCTTCGATGGACAACAACGAGACATCGAAAGTACCACCACCCAAATCGAAGATAAGAACGTTCTTTTCACCCTCGTCCTTCTTGTCCAAACCGTAGGCAATAGCGGCGGCAGTTGGCTCGTTAATGATACGCAAGACGTTCAACCCGGAAATCAAACCAGCATCCTTGGTAGCCTGACGCTGAGAATCGTTGAAGTAGGCTGGAACGGTGATAACGGCGTCGTTGACTGGGACACCCAAAAAGTTCTCGGCGGTTTCCTTCATCTTGATCAAGATCATAGAAGAAATCTCTTCTGGGGAGAAAACCTTGTTTTCACCCTTGAAGTCGACCTGGATCATTGGCTTACCACCCTTGTCGATAACAGCAAATGGGAAGTGCTTCATGTCACCCTGGACTTCTTCGTCGGTGAACTTTCTACCGATCAAACGCTTGGCGTCGAAAACGGTGTTTGCCGGGTTCATGGCGGCCTGGTTCTTGGCAGAGTCACCAATCAAACGTTCAGTGTCGGTGAAGGCAACGAAAGATGGGGTAGTTCTGTTACCTTGGTCATTGGCGATAATCTCGACACGGTCGTTGGCGAAGTGAGCCACACAGGAGTAGGTAGTACCTAAATCAATACCAACAGCAGTAACCATCTTGAATTAAGTTGTATGAGTTGTGTTGGAGAAAGAGGAAAGAAAAAGGGAATAAAAGATGTGGTTAAATAGAAAGAAAGGGGTGAGGGAAAAGCGAAAGGGGCCGGCAAACGCTCTGGACTTTATACTCACGGCTGGGCGTCTAATCGTCGTCGACGATGTTGTCCTGCATTTAAGATGACCTTCGATGAGGTTCCATGGAAATTTCCAGATTTTTCATGCCCATGCCAGAAGTTGAAATTTCTAGAACCGAATAGAAAAAGTGAAAATACCACGTGACGTGGGATACGTAAGTGCGCAGATTGCGAAGCTCACATGCAACGGCACGTGTCGAAGGCCGAGTGTCGTGCCATTGGCATGTGTAGGGTGCTCTATGACAGATGAGGAGGCATTGTCGTGTGCAGCGATCGTGCTCTAGATAGCTTGGAACCCTAGAGATCGTGCGATTAGCCTTTCACTTTGATGGAATCAGTAACCTCAAGCTATTAGAGATGCCGCCATTTAGTAGCCATTTTCGATTCGGCAATGACCCAATGTATAGTGATATTTGGCTACTAACTTGATCCTAATTGTTTTTTTTAGCAACCCTAGTTACAACTGGGTAGGGCGTAAAAGTTTCTACGCTAGTTGACTCTCACGATTGAAAACTGTAAAGCAAGATTCGAGCAGTGCTTGTGGTCAGTGATATCGATATGGATGTTACCGAAAAGTAGTTTTTCCATATCTCTGTTGAACATCAATAAGGTAGTGCGGACCAAAGAGGGCCTTGCTTAGTTCTCAGATAAACCTACACACCGGTATATAAAGTACTGGAGAAGCAGTCAAGTCAGTTAATCATCTCGCTAATACTCTGTTGTTTCAGTGATAATTCCTTTGTCAGACTGAGTACGTTGGAATATACTGTAAGACACTCGATATACTCTACCTATACATCATCTCATGCCCACCCTCATGGTTTTATTCTGGGACTAGCTGATTTGGCTATCTCGCACCATCGCAAAAGTATATCCATCTGCTTTGGCATCATCTGGTTTATCACGCTCATATCAGTTCCCAGGAATTTACTCTAGTATTGCCTCTACACAACAAGTCGTAAGACATGTGGCAGAATCAGGCGATAGCGACAAACCAATGGTCCGACGTGCGTCGCTTACCAATGTGCGCTTGTGAACAGGTGGCTCACAACTGGCGGAGCGACACTAACCATTCTAATTACAGCCACAAATATATTTCAACGGTATTGCAAGCCTACATAATAATTGTTTAGCATTTGGGTGCATACTTATTATTTTAAATGGGTTGATTCAACCGATGTTATAGAAAAATTGCTATCGTTCACGCGACTCTGCAGATCGCCTAGCTCCGTGAAGCAAAATCTTCCAACGCGCATACGACATACGACGCTCGCGCGAATTGTCAATACATACATAAAAGACCCATTTTGCGCCAAACAAACTATTTCCTAACACCCCTCATCATCATCATGGCGCTAATTGCTGACTCGCTCCTTATAACAAAGGCCTCCGCTGAATACGTGCTTGCGCTCTTTCTTGGGCTTCCGCTCTTGCAAAAGGTGTCCGTCGTAGTGGTGCTTCCGTTCCTCTACAACCTCGTGTGGCAACTCCTCTACTCACTCCGCAAGGACCGCGCGCCGCTTGTGTTCCACTGGATCCCGTGGTTCGGGTCCGCGATTCCATACGGGATGCAGCCGTACGAGTTCTTCCAGGACTGCCAGGCAAAGTACGGCGACGTATTTGCGTTTGTGTTGTTGGGCAAGGTCATGACCGTGTACCTCGGTCCTAAAGGCCACGAGTTCGTGTTGAACTCGAAACTTGCCGATGTTTCTGCTGAGGCCGCGTACCAGCACTTGACGACACCAATCTTCGGGAAAGGTGTCATCTATGACTGTCCTAACCACCGCTTGATGGACCAGAAGAAGTTTGTGAAGGGCTCGCTCACCCGTGATGCCTTCAGAACCTACGTCCCGCAGATCAAGCAGGAAATTTTGAACTACTTTAAGACATCGGCCAACTTTGAGATCGAGGCCCACTCCGGCGGCGTGGCCAACGTCATGGAAACCCAGCCAGAAATCACCATCTTCACCGCTTCCAGATCACTTTTGGGCCAGGAGATGAGAGACAAATTCGACGCCTCTTTCGCACAGTTATACTCGGACTTGGACAAGGGGTTCACCCCAATCAACTTTGTGTTTCCCAACCTCCCGTTGCCATCGTACCGCAAGCGTGACTTGGCCCAGCAGAAGATTTCTCGCACCTACATGTCCTTGATCTCCAAGAGAAGAGCTGAGAACGACATCCAGGACAGGGACTTGATCGACACCTTGATGCAGACCTCCACCTACAAGGACGGTGTCAAGATGACCGATCAAGAGATTGCCAACTTGTTGATTGGTGTCTTGATGGGCGGCCAGCACACCTCCGCCTCCACCTCCTCGTGGTTCTTGTTGCATCTTGCTGCGAACCAGGACTTACAGGAGGAATTGTATAAGGAGATTGTCACAGTTTTGGGCAGCGAGGGCTTGGACGGCCTCTCCTACGACAAGCTCCAGGACATGCTGTTGGTTAATAACACCATCAAGGAGACCCTCAGAATGCACATGCCGTTGCACTCCATCTTCCGCAAGGTCATGAACGCGTTGCAGGTCCCGGGCACCTCCTATGTGGTTCCAGTTGGTCACCACGTGTTGGTTTCTCCGGGTTTCGCCATGACAAACGAGAAGTACTTCCCGCAGGCTGCGACCTTCGATCCGCACCGTTGGGACTCTGAGGCCTCCACTGCTCTGGCCGACACCGTGGACTACGGGTTCGGTGCTGTCTCCAAGGGTGTGTCCTCGCCATATTTGCCTTTCGGCGGTGGAAGACACAGATGTATCGGTGAGCAGTTCGCATACGTGCAGTTGGGGACCATCTTGACAACTTTTGTGTACAACTTGAAGCTCTCTACGCCAAACGGCAAGGCTGATGTTCCGCCTGTTGACTACGCCAGTATGGTAACCTTGCCCATCGACCCAGCTGAAGTTAAGTGGGAGAAGAGACAGACCTGTGTGTTGTAAGAATGTATTTATTATGAGAGATTTGTAAGTATAGGGAAGGGTTTATGTGAGTAATATCTGATTTAAACGTACTTGAATTATTTGGGGATATTTTATTTATTTATTGGGTGAATGGAAGCATCTGCATTGTTACGATGCGGCAAAGATTGGAATAAAGTGAGATACCAAGAATAAACAATTGAATAGTAATGTTAACCATGAAATCTTTCTCTCTATTCTTGGGTAGCACCCAGCCGTGAGGAATGCATGTTCGGTTTCCACGGTAAATCATAGGGGCTGTAGTATTCCCAGGAGGATCTATAAAATCGCAGACATCCCTTGTACCTCAATAGAAAGCTATTTGACTGGGTTAGAAATCAGACTACTGAGTCACTGGATGCTTAGAATTCAACTTTAACCCTCCTTTATGCTGGAGCTGACATACCCGCGCTTGAAAGGACGCACATAGATTGTTTTCAGTTACTTTTATCTTTTCAATCAAGGCCTTGAATGCCGAAAATATGTCACTGTATTGAAATTCTGGGTTTAAATCTCGACGCCGTGAGCTGAATTCAAGGAGCTTTCTATAGCAGTCTAAGTTTGATCTTTGATTTACTTTTTAGGGGCTTCTGAATAACGGTTATCCGTCTATATTTCACCGAATAGATGTAGCTATTGTGATTTGTATTCTTCATTGTTACCATTATGATTATAGTGAAGGTGCCATTTAATCGGACAGAAGATAGCGTCCATTATCTCCTTACCTCCGATAAGCGGACACCCTGGAATCATATCCGTCTCAGTATATAAGGCTGTTAACCACCCTTCTCTTGTGGATATCTTACATATGAAAAGTACTCTCTTTTAGCTAGCTAACGGTATCTACTATTACCTACTAGATATACCACAAGGATGGAGTATTTCATGTACATACCTGCCTGAATCGCGCGAACTGTCCGCTCGCGGAATATTCCAAGATAAGCCCCTTTCAGTAGTATACATACAAACAGAATAAACGGTATAAAAAAGTAAATATATAACTTTGCTGATTTTGCGATTTATGGTAATGGTGCAACGAGTTATCAGAGTCGTTCACAGACAACTTCAGTTTTGTCCTACAAGTTAAAGACGAAGCGCTCTAAGTCGGCCGTAAAAAAGATAACCATACCATTGACAATCATTATTTTGAATTCCCACAAACCTATCCAATTAGTAACAAATACTCCATTTTCATTCCTGACTTTGACTCGCCCGGGTCTAGTCTCCCCTCTATCAGATCTCCTGCACTGTCACAGCCCGCGCCGAACCTCAACCTCAAAAGGAAAAAAATAATAATGCTGAAACCCTCGCATACGTTACTACAACAATCAAAGACCCTTCGCATTTATTCATCACTCCTGATACAACCCACCCCCGATGCGCACACAATGGGCTCTGAACTTCCAAGAAAGCGTCTAAGTGTAGCCGCCAGTTTCTCTCGGACTCCCCAAAACCGATTGGGGACGAAACAGGCCCGGAGCAAAGGAACCCCCATCAGAGTGCCGACGTCTTCCGAGATATGCGTTGTGGAAGATGACTACGTCACGCTTGACCCCAAAAAGCAAAAGACGTCCGAGAACCCGTTGAGGTTCGATTTTAGTGTCTTCCACCCCGCCAGGGTTTCCCGGACGTACAAGGGTATTAAGCGTAGCGCACTTGACATGAATGGCCAGGAAATCACGTACTTCACCGGGGCCGTCACAGAATGCACGTTAATGCCGCTGGCGGTTTGTTTTGAGGGTAAAAAAAGAACGGATATTTCCAGCATAGAGTTAACTGCGGAATATCTCTTTCTCATGAATAAGGAGAGAGACGCGCGATGCATCATCCCCAAACACGACCTCCTCCTGATACACTACGCGGCTGAGGATCTTCTCATGGCGTTCCGGTGCAAGAGGAATGGGGTCTCCATCGTGAGCTTCCTCCACGTGCGCGCGCCAGGCACGCGTGACTTTTGCCGTACCATTGATCCGTTAATGAAGAAGGTCAACCGCAAGTGGACTACGAGCAGAGTTCTGAGTAAAGAAATGTGTAAAGAGGTAGCCAGACTCACTGCGTTGGCCAAGAATGATAAATACCCAACGTTCGCTACATGGGCCCGTGACACTGGTGTGGCAGATAGCGAGGTTGAACTGGTTGGGGATCGCTACGTTGAAGTGGTCGACGAGGTATTTGAGGATAGTCAGCTTGAAGAGCGTAGCCAAACTGATGTTGTTGAGGTTTCCGGGATCACTGGTTTGGTTGAGAGCTCCAGCATCAATGACAGAGAGCTCAGTCGTGAGCTTATCGAGGGACATAATCATGAGCTGGTTGAGGAATACCGTCGCACATATGTGATTGGGCTGCCGCACCCCAAGAAAGAAACACCAAGTTCACGAAAGCTGAGCACCCCCTCGTCCACGGTAAAGGAAAAGCCTCTTCCGGAACGGAAGTTAAGACTGACCAAGGATGGTGGTAAAAAGCACCAGAGTTTAGGCGATTTGAGGTTCCTGAATTTCCCCTTTGATCATTCGCTCAATTACAAGTTCAGGGACAATTCCCAGATCACCATCACTGTGGCTGACCACGGCAGTTTGGCCCCTAGGACTTGGGTCAACGACACCGTGATCGACTTTTTTGCCAAATACTATGCTGACCAGGCGACTGAAGACCCCTGCAATACACTCCAAGAAACTGATGTTTTTGTGCTATCGGCCTTTGTCTTCACCAAGATCATGGCGAGCGGAGGCGACTACACCGATGTGTTGCGGTGGGTAGGCAAAGCGACCCCCGATCTTTTCCAGTACAAAAGCGTCATTTTGCCCATCAACCAGAAAGACCATTGGTATTGTGCCGTTATAGTTGGCTTACTGGGATTATGGAATCCCCCGAAGGCTAAAAACCTGGAAAGGGTGTCAAAATACTCTACTCACAAGAAATCTCCCTCTGAAAAACCTAAGACCTCGCGGTCCGACCAGCCCATTAAGTCGCAAATTTTAGAAACTTTCATGCAGTCGAAAGTTGTTGCGGAAAAGCCTGGGCAAAAATCGTACAAAAGACAAGCGCCTAATAAATTAGATTGCTCCACGCCAGAAATCATCGACAGCGATGACGACAATGATGAGGTGCTGTGTCTCGAGGATTTACAGCCTCCATCCCCAGATCCAACCCCCAGTCTGCTACCCCATGCCACGATCTACGTATGCGATTCTCTTGGGATTCCACATCCTAAAATTGAGGACCCGCTTCGCAACTTTTTGGCCGCTGCCTTGTTGAGCAAACACAACGTCACGTTGGCGGATCCGGAAAAGCAGCTTGTGGTGAAAAGGGCCGACGTTCCACATCAAAAAAACTACATCGACTGTGGGGTTCGCGTGATTCACAACCTCCAAAAGTTTTTAGACCATCCAGACGCAATGGTTGCGTACTGGGAGAGCGAGACTAAAGATAGCTCCTTTTTCGGTAGAGTAACGGGTGGAATCATTCGAGCGAAGTATCAAGGCGTTTTGTCTGGGTTACTCGAAAGCCAAGTTGCCAAGGTTGGCCATCCGAGAGATTTGGGAACAGAGGTGACAAGTGGCAATTTGAGCGACGATAGTGACATTGAAATGGTGGACGAGAAAACCCTTTCTAATGTGAATGATCCGAGTCGGAAGTCGGAAGGTGGAGCGGATGATGGGGCAGAGAGGAAAGGTGTTGACAAAAGTCGGAGCAGAAAGGCAGGAACGAACACCTCGCTGAGTGGGCTTTTGCTCGATAAAAAAGCCACCTTCCAAGAGTTAATGCAGCATGCCTCTTCTGCAACTCTAACTCGGAGCACACCCTGGGCCTTCGGCCTTCATGACGCTGCATCCAACACCGATATACTTTCGCGTCTTTTGTTGGTTTATGGTCGAAACAAACAGGTGGTTCCAATTGTTAACAAGGATATCAAGAACATAGTGACCACCAGCGCTTCAAGGCATATTCATCCTTCCCATTACAAGGTTTTGAACACGCTCTTTCCATCTCCTCACACAAAGGTCACACGCCAACTGGAGATTATCATCAAGGAGTTTCTAAAAAAGGAAGTACTGGATTATTCTGGGGTTCGTGAAATAATCCTCAAGGATCTACTCTCCGGTTTGGATAATAGTTGTAATTAATGCGGCATTTCTGGCCGCGGGCCGGCATAACCTGGAGTGCTGGCTATATTCGATAACCGAAACATACTTAGAGTTTGTATAATCAGGAGTGTATATGTGTGATTGATTATATAAAGCATTAATATATTATAATGACAATAGTTCGGTATGATTGATTTAGAGGATATAATGAGTTTTAAATAAGATAAGCTTCAATATATGTTTGTAAATTATACGTATTTAATAATATCCAACAATATATATATAGATATGAGATATAACAGTTATATGCGGGTAATGCCAAAATATCGGTTTTCATCGATATTATCACCTCTTCCCTCCTACATGTATTGTAAGTAAAGTAAGCTGTTACCATTTTCCAAGTAGGTACAAATGCACAAAGATGTTAATATTCAGCGCGATATATAACGGCATGTGTTGGATACACTGTAAACAAGGACAGCATAAGTTCATTGTAAACCAATACACACCGGTAGGCAAGAACTATACTTATCAAAGCACATATCTCTTAGTTCAGCTATGCGCTGTTGAGGTTGCTGGAAGACTAATAGGTTGTATTTTGGATGGATATGTGAGATAGAAGTCAGGTAGAGGGCAGCAACGTTTACTGGAAAGGCGAGAATTAAGCGAAGCCTTCACTCCATTAAGACCCTTACTACTACACTAAGGTATTATATCGTGCATTTCATTAAAATCACTAGCACTGTATGTCAGGTTACACTTTGGTAGAAACCATAAGGAAGAGATTGTTTTAAGAGGATAGAGCGTAGATCATTGTCCCAGGGCCCCGGGAGAAGAGCTGAAACCTATGAGAGAACATCTTGCAATAGTAGCATCGCCGACAGGAGTTTGCCACAGGAATCAAAGAATTAGAGAATGGTTTTAGGGTAATGGAGATATCAAGCATACTACAGACTACTGTGCTGCGCTTAGAAGAGACAGATGTCCAAGGTAAGTAGGACACAGCATCCTGCGCAACAGGCGGTCATAAAGTCATCTTGGCCCGACCGCTGCGCCGGCTGCTGGATATAGACCGGTTGGGGCTGAGGCTGATAGTAGCCACGCTGTTGCTGAGGATAGTAGCCGCCTTGCTGGTGCTGAGTGTAGCCCTGCTGATACTGAGGATAGTCCTGCTGAGGATAGCCCTGCTGAGGATAGCCCTGCTGATAACCCCCCTGGTTGGGTCCTTGCTGGTAGCTATGCTGCTGCTGGTAACTCTCCTGGTTGGATTCTTGTTGATAGCTATGCTGTTGATGGTGGGCCTGCTGGGGATAGGAACTCAGGTGGGTGTCGTTCTCTGCACTGTATGTTGGTGGGGCTTGCTCTTTATTTCCCCATGTGGGAGGAACACCCGTAGGTGGCGTGTAGTCTTGGCCCATATTAATTTGCGGGAGACGTTCGGATAGTTTGGGGGTAAAAATGTAAAAACTTTCCAGGTAGAACCGAAGTTTTCAAGCAATAAACCTGTTTGTGGGATGACTCGGAAATATCCATAAACCGTTGATCTCGGCAGGGCTCAGTTAGATTACATCACGTGATTAATATAGGGGCTACATAGCCGCCTCACGTGCCGTAAGTCAGAATGGGGGGTACTGTACCTACCGGAACGGTTTGGAGTCCCACGTACCAAGATGTCTTACAGCTTACAAGGATCGGGAGGGTATTTCTACGTATCATTTCATTCATTAATACAAGGACTCTGATTTATAACCTTGGAGTTTTTGTGGTACCCATTCTATTCTTGGAGGGAGCCGTAGTCTTGAAACTCGCTCTCGGAGTCAGAAGTTTCCTCAGGAGAGTACATGAAGAATTGTGCGAAAATCATCAAGTCTAACCCTAAGGTGCCGATACTGCCGGACAACCAGGAGCCATTGATGAGAATATACTTGGGGGAGGTGCTGATGCACAAGATGGAGATGGTGTAGGTCATGTTACCTAAGCAGGCAAAGAGGAAAAACATGAAGGAAATACCCTCGCAGGACTTGCGCTTGTAGTTGAGAACAATCTGCGGGATACGAGAGCCGAGGTAGAAGATGGCGCAAAGCCAGCCGAAAAACTGTGCCAACGGATCAAACACCAATTCCGGCTGCTCTGGTAATGGTAAGTCAGATCCAGCCGGTAAGGTAAGGGCCCAACCGATTAAGCCACTGGAGATGACAAGCACAACCATCAAGGTGTTGATGAGCACGCTGCGCATTGTGGAAGTACGGGGAGCGGCTTTGGCAGCGGAAACACCGAACGGGTCAGTTTCCAAGGAGGTATCGTTGATGTCAGTTTCTTCTTCGCGGGTGCTGCAGCGGGAGATGACGGTTTCCAAAACATCGCCACCCAAAGGCTTCGCAGGGGAAAGATGGGAGGCGTCAATCCTGATCTCGGTGCGGTCGCGGTAGGCCAAACACTGCCACAACAATACGACGTCAGCCAAGGTGTAGTAGACAGCCAAGATGATCATGGTAGGCAACACATGCTGTAAAACGGCTCCTAAAATGTTGAAAACGTCACCGATGAGCCAGAGCACGAGAAAGGAAAGTGACAACCCTTCAGAGGACTTGCGCGAGAAGTTTTCGTAGATTTGCGGGGCGAAAACGATGATCCAGCAGGCTAAGGAGATGGAGCCAGTGATTCCGCTGACGGCCTGGGCGTCTATGATGATTGGGGGAGGAGGGGCCATGAGTATAAACGAAGAGCAGATATTCAGAAATAAAGAAAAGCAGAAGCGATAGCGATATTTACATCTCTACAAAATTTTCATGAAAGGCGCATATGTAGGTGACTGCAAGTGGCACAGCGATTTGTGGAACTTGCTCGTCGGAGCGATAGGTAGGGGTGGTTGGGTGACTCCAGCTTGTGAGAAAACGGAAATATATAGCGAAAAAAGTTATGTACAGGCTTCGAGTCATACTGGCCCTACGTTGGCTGTTCACACTGTAAGCTAAGAGAGCCTATGCGCCTTATGCGACTTCCAAAATTGTATTGAAACACATGAATCTAAATAAAAGATGTTTTATAGCCAATAAATTGCCCTACAAAGCTTTGTAGATTTGTAGATTTACCAGAGTCTAAGAATATCGACGTTTTGCCCTATCATTCAACGAATGTCACATGATTATACGCCTGTCTGTTTTAGAAACCCATCCGTGCAGGGCATTAAAACATGATATTACCCGTACAAGAGATATCGCATAACCTGCCGTTTCTCGTAACATAGATCACATATAAGCATCACACATGTCTGTTGACGAATACCTCCAGCAGATCTACTACCACTTCCAGACGCTGGTGTTAGAGCCGCAGCAGCTCTCGCCGCTTCTTCTGCCTGACCCGATGATCAATAGACGGCTCCCCGCGCTCCAGCAGGAACTCCAGCGGTACGGGACACCCCAGCAGCTCAATGCTCTCATAAACGCCAACAACGGCCGCAATGAAATTCACGCGCTAAATAACCTAGTTGCTGCGTTGCTCCGATACATCCGGGATGTGGCACCGTCCTCGAAGCTCGCGTCGGTGGATCTCGTTGTTGAGTATTTCCAGGCGCTCTGTACTGCGTTTAATAACCCGAAGCTCGCGCCGAAACTCACGCTAACGGTTGTGGAAATGACCAAGTTTGCCATGGCGTTGTGCAAGCAGTGCGATCGCGCGACCGGCGGCGGAGAGAATGGCTTTCCACGGCTCACATTCCTCAAGTCTGCCTTGACGAGTGTCTTCACGGGTGTGGTGATGGAGATGAAACAGGAATTCACCACCAATCCAAACTACGTCATCGATCCCGCGCTCCACCCCACTGACCGCAAGTGCATTATCGTCTTCTTGGTCAACCAACTCTGCCGCGTGTACTTCACCATCGGCGCACCCATGTCGTGCGCCAACATCTTCCTGAACCTCCGCACGATTCCCTTGGCTTGGGGTTCGTTTTCGCTCGCGTTGCAGCTCGAATATAAGTACTGGCTTGGGCGCTACTACTTGATCAACCAGAATTTGGTCCAGGCGTATGATGCGTTGAAATGGGCCTGGGACCACTGTCCGCACGTCCCAGGACCCAACCACACCCGAATTTTGCGCTACTTGGTTCCTTGCGGTCTTGTGCTCGGCAAGAAACTCAATTTCAACTCAGTTTTGGCCGACCGCACCATTCTTCAGCTCTACCAGCCTTTATACCACCATCTGGCACGTGGAAACATCTACGCATTCAACGCGCACCTTCATCAGCACGAGGCCATCTTCACGCAGCACCAGGTGCTTACCTTGCTCGTTTCCAAGACCCAGATCCTCATCGTGCGCAACCTCTTCCGCAAAATCTACCTCAATCTTGGAGCCTCGCCAAAGCTCCACTACGACGCCTTGCTCGTGGGGTTACGCGTCGCCGCGACACCGTCCCTGGGTCAACCCCCGCTCCCTGCGTTGTACGACTTTTTTTCCCATACCAGCGGTCAAACAGGTCCCCAGAATGACTTGCTCCTCGAGAATATATTGGTCGCGCTCATAGACCAAGGCTTGATGAAGGCGCATATTTTTAACTCCCTTCGCTTGGCCAACTGCGCCAAGACCGACGATAAGGCCTGGGTCCACGTACCAACCGTCTACCGCACCCGGTTTGTGCAAAAGCAATGATAGAGTTTTTTTCTTCAATGAATATTTAATGTAGGTAATTTAATTTTAAATGGTCGGGACTGCCAATAAACCTGACTAACAAGTTATTTTGACTTTGGAGTATTTGGTTTGTATTAAATATAATGGGGGTCTGCAAGATTTGTCCGTCTTGTCGTCCTAGATATGTATTGTGCGGCTGGTATCATTCTTCAGCCTAAGTCTCTGTTTCCCGCTCTGATAAAGATCTATAGCTACATTGCTTCCAATTATAGTCATATAGCCCAGCAGTGTGATGGTTTAACAAACCTAGACCAATATTCCGAATATACTTACCCAACCTATCCCTCGGACATGCTTACAAGACCATCTCCATATCAGGAGATCAGGTTATTACCTATTTAAGTAATTTAGTGAACGAAAAAAATCCCACCACAGGGCGTGCGCGACCGAGCCCGTGCCAAAGCGGCCCAATCACAGACCGTTCGTTTGGCAGCCAGAAAATCTTAGCCGCTCACTATCGAAAAATCAACGGTTACGCGACCTAACTTCAAGATGTACAAATTGCCCGATTCGTAGTACGACCTATTCATCTCCATCCTCTAGCCTATACCATGCTTTCTTCCAGAATTGCTACCCGCTCTTTCGCCTCTGCTGCCTCGCCAGTCAAGTTGACCACCAGAGAGTCCTCTGGCAAGTTGTCCAAGTTGTCCGTTGTCATCAACGGCGGTTCCAAGACCGGCAAGTCTGGTCTCGCCCACTTGTTGTCCAGATATCAGTTCCAAAGAAACGGTGCCAAGTCTGACTTGAGATTCATCAGAGAGGCTGAGCTTTTGGGTGCCTCTTTCAACGCTCAGGTCACCAGAGATGCCATTGTGCTCAACACTGTCTTTTTCAAGCAAGACTTGCCATACTTTGTTGAGAGTTTGGCCAACAACTTGAAGTCTGGTGCCTTTAGACCTCATTACTTTGACGAGATTGTCCTCCCAACCGCCTTGAACGACGCCGCCGTCGCTAACTCCGACAACCAGTTCAAGGCCCTTGAGAAGTTGCACGAATTGGCCTTCAGAAAGGGCTACGGCCAGCCATTATACTTTGACGGTAAGGCTGCAATCTCCAATGAGGAGGTTGTCCAGTCCGCCAAGGAATTGTTCACCACTTCCAACATCGAGATTGTCGCTTCCGGTGTCGACCAGGCCGACTTGACGTCATTCGTCTCTGAATTCGGCTTCGCCCAGTTGCCAGCCGGCTCCCCAGCTGCCTCCTCCCAGGCCTTCTTCCAGGGTGAATCCAGAATCAGAGCCTCTGGCCAGAACGTCGCCACTATTGGTGTTCCAGTCAAGACCGCTGACTTTGCTGCCTACGAAGTCTTGGCTGCCACCTTGGGTTCTGTCTTCCTCCCATCCGCCGTCTCCCCGTTGGGCCAGATCCAGGGCGGTGTCAACGCCTCTTCCCAATTATACAAGTACAATGACGCTGGTTTGTTCACCATCACCGTTTCCGGCGCCAACGCCTCCGCTGTCGCCGCCGGCATCAAGGAAGCTGCCAAGTTGGCCAAGGCCGCCCCTGCTTCCAACCTCAAGTTGGCCGAATTGGCCGTTGCTTTGCAGAAGGACCAGACCTTGACCGGCTCTGTCAACGTCAATGTTGCCGGCGCCGAAGCTGCCAAACTCGGTAAGTTCTCCTACGTTGCCGTTGGTAACACCGATATCTTACCATTCGCCGATGAATTGTAAATATCTCATATCACATCCATTCCACCCCCAGACGATCCGCAAGATGGCTTACAAGTTGTGTCCTGACCGGGGCAGTGTCTGAGACGCTCGTTACGGTGACTGGGGTCCAAAAATCCTTCGTCTTTTCCCCTTATTTATATATAGCATTCTAGATAGAAAGCACCTTTCTGAAACCAAATCAAGATGTAGGACAGCAACGACATGTTGAAACACCCTGGGAAGAATTTAGCTAATACGGGGAAGCCGGATAGGGTCCGATTTCGACGAGCTGACAAACTGATCTGTATGAAAAAACGAAAAGCTTTGTTAATAACGTTGAAAGAGTAACACCAGGAGGCAAGTTAGGGAGTTGGACAGACAGACAAACCTGATTGATCATATAGTGGCGATTGACGCGGTATAGGTTTACTTTGCAACAGAATGCTACATTCCCTTGGATATGAATATGCCCACCAAAACCGGTTTGTAAAGATCCTTTCGTCTGCAAATCAAACCCGATTGCTGGTTAGTCTCCTGATATTCATACGTACTCTGAATCTCCCTGAGAATCACTTGGCTCATAGTGACATTCATGCCCGCTAAAACATCTTGGTCATCCGGACTAGCTCTTCCTAAAGTTGACACCAGCCCTGAACTACAGGTTACACATCTCTAATTCTAATAATACATTAATGCACATTTTGCTAAAGGCCCATCGCAGACGCGAGACTTCTTCCTGCGGGCGACCGGGATCTTCTTCTAACCTCTTTATCGGTCTGGCTGTTGCGTGATCTAGATCTCTCTCTGACGGCAGACTTTTTCAACGGGAACAAATCATCTTCATCGGCAGCAGTCGCCCGGGAGGGTCTCTCGGTGTATCTCTTTGGCGGAAGGCGGTTTTCGAGCGAGCCAAAAAGATCGTTCTTGGACTCCGCCTTTTCGGCAATCACAGCAGGGTCTACACCAAGCTTGACAGGGAACAAGTCTTCTGAAGGGTCAGTCTTCTCTGTTTCCCTATGCGAGTGTCTGTCGCTGCGTTTGTTCCGGTGCCCACCCTGTCTCTCTCTGTAGTTGGGCTCACCATTCAACAAGTAATAACGGGAGTATTCTTTAGCGTTTTTCACCTTTTTGTCTGAATCCATCGCTCTTCTTACAGTCAAAACACCCGGTGACTCATCGGTCGCCATAGCATCCTCGTCTTGGGCTGGCATCGCCGCGAACAGGTTCTTAACAAACGGCTTGCACTTCTTGCCCACCAACGTTTCGGCTTCCATCTCAACCTGCAGATCGGTCTCCGAAAGTTTGTACAACGCGGTCAACGCGGTCTCTTCGGACTTGAAAGCCAACACAATGGAGGCATCATCCACCCATTCGATCTTGAATGTCATATCCAAGTCTGCTTCGCTCAAGTGCGATCTGACGTAAGCTTGGATGTCGCGGGTGCTGAGGTTGTTCACCCCGCTCAAAAGTAACGCCTCTGGTCTTAATGACATTATGGGATTATATGACAGGGATGATGATTGGGGTTGGTTAAGATCCAGTAGCCCCGATAAATGTAACCGTAAATATGCCTTTGCTTGCAGAATTGCCAGACACCAGGTCTAAGTAATACGCACGGTAAAGGACTTTGCCAGAAACAGGTTGAGGCTCTGTACTGTTACAAGAATTTACAAGGGAAAATAAATAGCCCATTTATATTTAAGGACCAGAGGAGTATTATTGGCAGTACGCCAACAATGATAGTTTTTGAATTTGAAGAATAAAACCTGGCTTTTGCTATTCGGCACTCAAGTTTTCGAGCAAAGCGTTGACGTTTTAAACTGAGCACTCTATATACATAGTGCTGTCTGTATTCCAAACCCTCCAGTATTTTGTCTTTCACCTCATCTTGAAGTGGTTCCCTCGCTTCTACACCTATTGTTCGATATGTCCCCAAGTGTATTAATGATTCACTCTAACCAAGCACAATGCGCTTCTAATGTACAAAACTCTACAGTCTCTAGGCCATGACTTCATCCTCCTGTAAATTGGCAGCTTCGGCAATCTTGTCAGGCTTATCCTCTGCGGCCTCTCTGATATACAACACGTTGTTGCATCTGATGAACAATTCCCCCAAGAGGTCCTTTTTGACACCGTCAACGTATTCCACCGCCTCGTCCAATTGGAGGTTCATATAGGAATCGATGGAAATGAGGGTTCCCTTGTATTCCGTCATGTTCCACTTCAATCTCACGATGACTGGCCTGTTGATAAGTGACTTCAAGAACGGCTTAGGGTTGGTGGGCGTAAACTGGCGGTGTTAGTATTGTGAAAATGCGGCTGAAAAAGAGCAGGTGGCGTGATCAGACATACAGACATGATTCGTAGTTTTATACGGAAGAACTAGTACGGTATAAGGTATTGGTTTGGAGGGGATCAAAAATCAAGCCGATGCGAGATCTGCGTGATGTAAACCTTTCACTCAGTGCACGTGATAATTAACAACCGCACGTACTAACAGGCTAGTTCTACAGTGCAGTATCTTCGGACTATGTGAAAGCAACCAGTACGATATTTTTTATGGCCCATGAAAACAACTTTTAAGAAATTGGTCGAAAACAACCCTCATCTGAAAATATGGAGTATAGTATCTGAATTTGGGATCAGGGTAAAAACAAGATTCCCCCATCTGAACGTGTCTACTCGGTTGCTGTTTATAGGGTTCGCACGTCTGAGTGCATAAAGTGGTAGAGCTTACACGACGCATGTTCTTATTACTTGCGGGGGTCTTTCAACCTATCTCTGTGGATTAGTAATCCACCATAAAAGGCCATGACCAATCAACGGGAAGAAATTGAGAGACCTTTGCGATTGATTACTAATTGACAAGGGGAGATAGACACTTTCGGGGCTAACCCTTTTGCCAGCTCAATTCCCTTTATCTCACGGGACTTCAGATAGGCTTCCGGAAAACTAACTTCTACGAGATACTCACCAGACGCCTAAACTGTAGGTATATATAGGCTGATCAACCCCAGGATTATTGCGTTTATTTCACCTACAGTATACTACAATCCAAACATACTCTACAATGGCACCAGCCCATACCAACAAATTACTTACCGACGTGTCCTTCACCCTTAACAACGGCAAGAAGATGCCTGCGTTGGGGTTGGGAACTGCCAATATGGGCCCCCACATGGCTAAGACCACCGAAGCAGTCATTGCTGCTATCGAAGCCGGGTACCGTCACATTGACACTGCTAGGATGTACGGTTCGGAGGAGTATGTCGGTGCTGCCATCAAAGATGTGATTGCTAGGGGTATCGTCAAGAGAGAAGACTTGTTTATTACCACCAAAATTTGGTGTACGTACTTTGATAACCCGGCCAAGTGTCTTGATATTTCGTTGAAAGCCTTAGGCTTGGACTATGTCGATCTTTTGTTACAACACTGGCCGTTGTGTATGGAAGGAGACGAAGACGGAAATTCTATTAAACGTGAGGACGGCACCTTTGTCTTCAATCCAAATGGAAGCTACATCAAGTTTTACCAGAAAATGGAGGACCTTTACCGCACTACTGATAAGGCCAGATCTCTCGGGGTTTCCAACTACAGTAATGCGTTTCTTACTGAATTATTGAAGGTTGCTAGAGTGAAGCCGGTAGTGAACCAAATTGAGTGCCATCCGCGCTTACCTCTGAAGGATATTGTCGAGTTTGACAAATCGCTCGATATTTTGATCACTGCCTATTCTCCATTAGGTGCTGCGGGTGCACCTAACTTGAAACTTCCGTTGGTCCAGGAATTGGCCCAGAAGTATAACGTCACTGGCAACGAAGTTTTAGCATCATACCATGTGCAGAGCGGTAGAAGTGTGATTCCTAGATCGGTTAATATTTCCAGAGTGAAGGAAAACATTCACTTGGCGCCATTAACCGCGGAGGATCTCGCTGGTTTGGACCAAATTGGGATTGATGAACCTCACTCTGTGATGATGCCGGAGATTTGGGCCAAGATGATTGGATTTACAACTTACACCAAGAGCGAGTAAATTTTGGGGAGGATTCCCTGATACAGAATTCTGAAGGAGGTTATATAACCAGGTATTTACTTTATCGAGTACTGGGGACAGGTGGGTGGTCTAAATGCATAGATGACTATCATCGCACTCTGTGGGTGCTTTAAAGACATACACGTTATTACTCAACTCTTATATTGTGCAGAGTTACCAATTAGACTTTCCGTCGGCTGAAACTTATACTTAGCAAAAACGTAACTAGAAAGACGCGGTGCGGCACGATTAGCCTATCTACATAGCTCTGACCAAAGATACGGCTGCTCTCAAACTTTAGAGATGAGCAAGAATTATCTATCGCCATCAATCCGCAAGATTCTATTCACGGAGCTTCCAACACCCCAAATGCATAACGTTGGAGCCGTTTTTTACCCAAACTTCCTTCTCAACTGCAAACTGTTGGGCCAACATCCCAAACCAACAGATGTCGTTCGCCAAATCACGGAACTTGTGTCCTAAGATGACTCTGGTATTCTTATCGCCCTTCACCTGCTTGATGATAATGCTGAGTAGCGCATCGTAATAAGTAGGATTGTAAGTGCAATCAGCGATGACGATATAGGACCACACCGGAGGTAAGTCAGGGAACTCAGTAGCCTCCCAATCAAGCTCATCAAACTTGATCAATATGGGTTCGGCCAGCCTTCGCACAGTCCTGGGACCGTAGTTCATACCGATATTGAACTCGCAAATCTCCTTGGCGTCGTACAAATCGGTCAAGTAGTAGTTAGCGTTCGGAAAGACAATAGACAGGGCGATAGATACAATTCCGATCCCGGTACCCAACTCCAAGATATCGGGTTTGCTGCCCGCCGGAAAGCCGTGATACAACTTCGGGAGCGACTTGGCGACAACAATCCCCGCGTCCCATAAGTGGCGCGCAATGCCATTGGAGAGCTCCTCGAGCAAGACCACACCCTTAGCTTCGAGTTTCAAGTCCTTGGGAGACTCGTCAAGCGAAGTTTTCGGCGGAATGCCAATAGGTAAGTACCGCACACAGTACTTGTCTGAGACAAAACGCTCGAGCACCGTGACATCTGCGCCTTGAAAAAGGGTGATCTGTAAAGGCAACGAAACTACATCGAGCACCGTTGTATCCTCAAGCTCCATAACTGTGCTCTGTTCCGGGGCCGCTACAATGTTTTCCGCCTCGAACAGAGAGCGGATTTCTGCATACGTACCCTTGATACCAGCGGCAGCATTATCAAGTTTTGACGGCGGGGCGAAACGGGAGGTTTTCTTAGGGACATTGAGGACGCGAAGAGAGAGGAACAACTCATCTTGGAGAGGGTCGAACACAGATTTTGCCTTTTTCGAGAGGCGATGCTTCACGTTGTAGTTCATCAATTTGATTTCCAACTCCTTCAATTTCGGCACCAATGTGTGGGCCGGCACACCAAACTCCAACCTTGTCTCCCGCATCTTTCCGTCCCACTTGATAGGAGTCTTGGAGGTGCTAAAAAGCACACTCTTTTCCTGGAAATCCTCATAGGTGAGTGGAGTCGTGTCGAGGTACAAGGGCTCGTTAGAGTCGGAGTCGGCATCTGTAGGGGAGCTCTGGTAGTGGAGGAACAACTGTGCCGTAAGATCCAAGTTACCCGGGTAGAAATCCTCTCCCAAATCGTTCGTGACCATCACCAAGGTGGAAATTTTGAACGAGGAGTTGAGGGCACGGGTGTTGCTCGGGTTGAGGAGTGAAGAGAGCAATGTTTCGGGGACCTTCACACCCGCACGTCTTGCCTGGACCGGCTGGATAAATTCACATATCGGCGCCTTGACGAACTTGATTTGGTACATGACGTAGATTTCTGTGGGTGAGGTGAAGAATTATGTCAAGTGAAAAATCTTGAAAAAAAATTATGTATGCTTATCGTGCATATCAGCAGGATATCGATCGGCGAGGATGACGTACAGAGGTGAACAGGTTTAAGACAGCGTCTATTGAGTTTAAATCCCTAAGGTGTAGACTCGTAATCTTGTCGAATGGCTAAGATATTATTCAATAAACCCTTCAGCAATAATATTGTTATTCTCTTGATCCATAACTACAGAAAGGAAGCTCAAATATGCATATCTCCTTTCTAGATCCAGATCATATCTAAGGAACTATACGAGACTTTTGCCTAACCCTTTTTACTGCATGCTCTAAAATCCAAGGGAAGGGCCATTCTATAAAAACCAAGGGGTCTTTTCATTGAACCATCTTTACAAAACATCCACTTCTAAAAAGTAACCCCTGCGAGAGTTGGCCACTACCTTGACCTTGGTCATGTCTTTGATAGCATACGTGCAGCCCGCAGAGAGCAATGCCTCCTTGTCAAACGTGCTGGTGATCCCAATAACCGTGGCACCGGAGGACACACCGGCCTTGATACCAGCAGGAGCATCCTCAAAGACAATCGCCTCCAAGTTTTCCTCAGGTGCATGGTCCAACTGCTTTCTAAGTAACTCAAACCCGCGGTTGTACCCCTCCGGGTCAGGCTTGCCCTTGGTGACTTGTTCGGCGGTGATAAATACGCGCGGCGGACGGTTCAATTTGAGAACCTTGGAGATGGAGGTAGTGGCCAAGCCACGGGTACCAGAGGTGACAATACCCCATTTCTGTGTGAGCGCCGCGTCGCCGTCCAAAGCACGGAGCAACTCGCGCGAGCCCATGATCTCCTCCGCATCGTCAGCATAGTCTCCATAGATAGTGCTTTCAAAGGCAGCAATGGAGCGCTGGTCTGCTGGAATGTTTGGGAAGTGTGCCTTGAACACCTCTTCCGTTCTGACTCCGTGAGAGTGCTCGAATAAGTACTCGGCGTCCACGTCGTGCTCTTTGCAAATTACGCGCCACGCCTTTTCCACGCAGCGGGTGGAGTTCACAAGCGTTCCATCAAGGTCAAAGAGGATAACTTTGGGTCTGAGAGAAACTAGCATGGTAAGGGGCTTGGTTGTAGAGATATCTAGGAGGAAACAGAACGTGTTATCATGGACAACACTATAATCGGGTATGATACAGGTCATTCGGGTTATATCACGTGATGTAATTCCTTACGGCTTGGGTTCAATATGAAACATATACATTCATGTTGATCATGTAATTGGTGACACATGATATGTTTGAAGTTTCATATTGACAAAGGAGAACGTATTTTTGGATACTAGTCCTAACCGATACAGCATGTATAAGACTCTGGTTGTAGATGGATTCTGTATTGTCTTGTTACTTGCGAGCCTAGCCTGTTGCTTTTCGCAGAGCACACCTATATTTGGAATGTCATAATTCAGAATCTTAAAAACCATTCATCTGGTAATGAAGAAACTTAAAATACCTCTCTACATGACGTTGTATAGGTTTATTTTTATTGTCCTTTTGTATGACCAAGTATGAGAATTGGTTCTGCCTTTTTCGTGCTGACCATAATGCAGGACATCCCGTCCATCTTTCATATATCCCTCCTACTTTTCACCCAGGAAACACCCCCAGCTGCTCACCCACCCTTCCCCCTCAACCTTTCTTAGTTTCCTGGAATGGCCGAAGTAGAGATAAAACGAGGAAGACTGGTTGAAAATGCCCCTCAAGCGAAGTTCAAGGTGGTGGTGCGGTTGATCCCGCCGGTAATGAAAGCAGCCGAGTTCTTTGAGCTGGTGAAGGACCACGTCAATGAGAGTTCGGTGGCAGAACAATATTATTTCCAGGGTCACCATTCGTCCAAGCCCTACAAGCTTCCGACCTTTTCACGCGCCTACGTCAATTTCAAAACCCATGCGGCCATGGCTCAGTTCGTCAGTATCTACCAGCACCTTCAGTTGAAGGACGATTCAACCGGAGAGGTGTTCAAAGTACTCATCCAGATGTCGCTCTATCCACGAATGCCTGGCTATGCTGGAGACACCGAACCGGCTCCGACCGTGCTGCTTGCGGATGACGTAACCTTCCAGAACTTTGCGAAGTTTAAGAGCGGCGAGTTGAAGGAAATGCCGTCCATTTCGCCAGTGGCGAATGTCAATTCCCGAAAATTACGCTTAAAGGAAAAGCGTAGACAAAAAGTCAAAGAAAAACGCGAACAGGTCAGGAAAACAGCCAAGCCTGAAGATAAGGATGCCGAGAAGAAGAAGAGATCGAAGAGATCGAGAAAGAAGAAGGGCAAAGAAGAGAGTACACCTGGTCAAGCACCGAAACTAAACGAGGTCAAGGCTAAAAAGCCAAAGCCAAAGAAGATGACCCCAGAGGGCGAAAAGAAGGAAAAGCTGGCGACCACTAAAGCCGGTAACCCTAAGCCGAAAAAATCTAAAGATGCGGATGCCACGGTCTCCAGGACTAAACCAAAGCCAGCAAAGACACTGGAAGGGAAGCAGTCGCAGAAGCAACAACCGGCAAAAACCAGCACCTAAATATGTGGACCTTGCGAAGTCATTCTAGTGTTGCTCTTATCGAAGCCAAAATTTCAGCCTGCTGATCCCTGCGTTCCGACTATTGTGTATTACATTCTGATTCAGTTATGATCAGCTGGAACGTCATTTTGAGACTCATTCCGACATCTCTATCTCCTAGTAGACGTTTGACGCTGAAGAACACGCACGCAAAATTTTCTAATGAAAATCCACGGCACGGTCAAACAATTGTTGAATGATACTGTTACTATTTGGGTTGGTGGTATTTCTAAGAGTTGGATTGATACTCTGCTTGACTACTGAGATCTTTGAAGGCTATAACCACTTATCAATGTAATCACTTATCAATGTAATCACTCGAAGAACTCGACAGAAAAAAAAAATATAAATGTACTAATTATCTGGATTACTATCAACCTCTTTGCCACTAAAGTTAATTGAATGTGGGCTTGTGGTTTAGCAGGAAGACTAATAGGGAAGTGAGCCGAGAGTACCGCACGAGCCACGCCGCTACCCAAATGCATCCCCAGCGGTATTAATACCCCCACTACCAGATTATAAAAGTTTATGATAAAGATATCAAACACAAGCTATAAAATGGTTAACGTGAAGCTTATATTCGCCGTGATCCATTGGGTTAGTCTCACCTTACGACAGTTCAGCCATAGATATGTTCTAACATGTCTAGCTTTCCCACGTGCCGAGCTCCACAATAGCTGAAAACGACAAGCCCCATAACCTCCCCAAGCCGCCTGTGGTGATCGAGACTTTGGGGATCCTTTTGGATGAATCTTTCGAGGTAGAGGAATTCCCATGGAGGTACCCCAATCCATCGATGAAATTCAAGCACTTGGATCGCGAAACGCAAAAGTCCACCTTAGAGCAATATGAATACATCTTCAACACGATTAGGTCAAACTTGAAGAGGCAAATTGCAGAACAAAGTGTATCATTTCCTCGCCATAACAATTTTGGCCCTATTCTTGACGAAGCAGTGCTTATTTACAGAGTAAACACTTATCTTGAGGGATTTAACAAGATAAGTCTCTATAACGGTGACATCAACCAGGTGACAAAGCTCTGTGAATTGTATATTCTTCTAGGTACCACGTGCAAAATGGCTGGGTGGTGTATCACGTTGATCAGCTGTCTTGACGATGATTTTAAGAAGGAAATAAACCACTTCATTGACAGAGGGTACGGTTCGATTCAGTACGAGATAGGGAGGGGTGGAATGGCTATGGAGGACGTTGAGTTGGACCCCGACATGTCGGTGTACGACACTGCCCCGAATAGTCCCACAAAGAAAATTCTCCCCGGGGTAGAAGCCACCCAACCCTTGATCCGTAACCGGATATTGCTAGATCAACGGGAGGATAAAGAGGTTGAGGAACTAAACAGGAAGATTTCTCAGCTTGAAAGGAGGCTAGACATGGTGGAGGACTTTTATTCTCGTAAAATCTCAGACATAACTGCCCAACACGAAGCGGCCATGCAGAACTACAGAGAACGTGCTGTTCACCAAGAAAGTGAAACGAGAACTTTGCAACCGGGATTAGCCATTTATTCAAAAGAGATCTTGTCCAACAAGACCGTGAGTTCGAGAAATGAGGCGAACGAATCTAGCCGGCATAGCATGATGTTAAAGGAAAGCGAACACCCCACGACAAGATATGGCTTGAGGTTTAGCTGCCTAAACTCGGATGGGCTAAAAGTTAGCTGCCTGAACTCTGATGGGCTGAAAGTTGAGTTGGTTAGAGCCGGGCATGGTGATTTTTACCAAATTTTGGACGAGGTGGAAACAATGCGTTGGGAGTTGGATTTGATGAACTATTACGTGTATTCGTTGTGCTTTGAGGGGGGGCGTTAATTTTTTATATGAAACGGACAATACATATTAATGATTATCCGATTTCGGCGTAGAGGATTTGCTTAGCGCTGTAGCTGTTAAAAGTGACTTTAAAGTAACTTAAACCTTTAAGTAAGATTCCGCGGGATTCCAAGTATGTCTCGATTTGTTTGAGACGCCTAATACATTTTAGATTTCGCATACTTTGAATGTCTCTCACTACGAAGTCATTCTTTCAAGGGTGAGACCAAGGACTATAACTTGGCCGCCTCACTTTAGCATTCGGACGATTAATAGATGATATTTTGCACATGCCTTCCATCGGCACTAGCGGCGTACTCCTTTTACAAGGGCCAATAATGATAAAAGTGTACACATGTAAACTATGCGCCTATACCCAACAATTCCGCTTGGCGGAAGCAGCTCCGTTTTAACCATCACACTTTGTGTTATCTCAATCACAGTTTAATAGTTTAACTGCATTAACAACCATCTCAATATGCATGCCCCTACTATGCCTCTTCGACCAGGGACTCGAACTATTTAACAATAGCCGGGAACTAACAGATAAATATGCTACATGCGGGTGCTCTTCAAAACTAAAGCCATTCCCAGTGCTTCCCCGCTACGACGGGCGGTGGCCCTGCCTAGGCCAACAAAGACATCTCGCAACCTCCCTGGAGCTGTTAGTCAACCGTCATGTATCTTACGCCAGAAGCTTGGAACGTCTATATCAATGCAGGCAGCAATCTTACTACCCAATGGATTCATTACTGTGATGCTGTACTTCCAATGAGTAAAGGTGTTCCCGATGGCTTAATCCAATGTTTCAAGATTCCTCTCAGTCAGCAACGGACGAGTCAATTATTAATTAACCAACGAACGTGCAGAATGCCGGGCATTCACGCAAATCCACCGAGAGATGACGCACGCTTAGAAATTCCTAAACGTGATGCGAAGGCCTGCAGCCGCTCTAACGCATGCAGTAGCATGGGAGCTACGTGACTGTCTAACGTGTTGCAGATGCCCGACTAGAACTAGGGATCCTTTGTAATGCTTTTCCAGAACGTAGTGGTTGACCCACGTCATGAAGCTCTGGCGATCTTGGCTTCTCCCTTATATATAAGCAAGCAGAAATAACCGTGATAAGCACCGATATCTTATGCAACAACGCCGGAACTTGGCCACAAATGAAGCAATAGGAAATGACGCTGAAAAGAGCGGCATACGTAACTTCCCATTTAGATGACTAGCTCCTGTAAAGATTTTTCATTGCTTTCACAGCACCGAAATTCCTGTCTCCCCTTATTCTCTCCCGGAGAGATTATTTCGCAAGAATGGGTTGTTGCTAAGACTACGCATGGTCTACAGGTATTCTGCGTCGCTTCAAGGACTACCTAGTTAGAAGCGTTTATATATGCCCTCATTAATGCGATTTGCAATTAAAATCGCAATATTGATATGTAGAAAGGGGTGCCTCTTAAAAAATTAAGGATATTGGGATTGAGGTGTACTACACGTACGTGTCTTGAGATATACTCACGATTCCTAGTAGACATTTAAGGACTACTGGTAGGATTATGTTTCAGTTTAATTCCATGGCATCTAAGATCTAAAAAGTTACGATTTGAGACTCTTTTCGAGGAAATAAGAGTTGATGCCGAAGCAATGATAACATTAGTCTGATTGTATGGGGTTACCTTGCCGTCTTTTAACTAGCTTTTCACTTTTTTTTTCGTATTTTTTTGGCTGGGAAACTGAGGGAATTCCTTTCAGAAAAAAGTTGCTGTGGTTCCTTCTCCTGGTTTTGTCGAAAATATGAGGTGGTCCGAGCTTTTCAAAGTTATTACAAGCTCTGGGACTGCAGTCACTGCAACAGAGAGCCTAGGGGATGCAGGCCTATGTTTATTCTCGTGACACCATCAAAATCGCGCCATGCGGCTTGCACGCCTTGTGAAGTACTTACGCAACCAAATTTCGACGGCAGGGTACACTGGACAGCACTTCATTACTATCACTTCCAGGAGGAGGGAGAGCCTAATGTTTGAGATCAGAAATTAATATACCATCTTGCCCTATAATACTCGGTGTTGTTGAATGTATCTGAGGATCTGTTTGGAACTGCTTCTTGCAATATAGAAATCGCTTACGCCCATATCCGGAAGGCCATCCCTAGAACATTTGAAATGCACTTCGAGTAAGGAGGAGGTCACGCTACTATTGCATACTTTACCAGGGGAAGGGTCAAAACCACATGTACCATTATGTCAGACCTTTTCGTATGTGCTGTGACGCTCCATCAACTCTTACCTGAGACAGGGATTGCTTACTCGTCCGGCTAGTGTCAAAAAAAAAAAACTGGCCAAGACCCGAACTGGCCTCTAACCTTATTATCCACATATATGGATCCTCGGAGGAAATGGCGAATATACGAGCATAGCTACGACATAGCTTTTCAGGCACCAACGTTCAGATATATTGAGCGCCCCTGGCTAGCTCGCGAAAAGAATAGTCTAGACTAACTTAAAGATGGGATACATGAATTTCTGCGCCGTGCCCCCCCCCAAACGAGTAGATATAAAGGCGGCAGGGTTTACTGCTTCGATTGCTGTAGTAGAGTTTCCAGCTGTAAGGAACGCTGTGCGAGTTCTAGCGAGCCACTCAAGCTTTCAGCGCACTTCTGTAGATCGTGAATACGAAGATATGCAAACAGGAGTATGTACGAAAGGCTGGTACTGCGGGGTCAGTTTCATACGGGCATGCACTCCCCGTGCCCTATTAACCGTCACAAGGACATGACTAAGTATTACGAAAGGCGCATAGTACCAGGAGTATAACATGCAATTCTAAGGTTATACTTACCGATTCTAAGCCCGGACGCCTTCCAATGTTGTCGTCACCACTCGCAACCGTGCGTTACTTGAGGGAGGCACTATTTACACACACTAACACATCGTACTTGGCAATTCCGATCCCAACAGTTTCATGTCACGTCATTCATATGCACAATTGATTTATCCCAGTACAGGACATCCTTGCCCTCGGACCACCACCAGCGTACGTACACGCCTGGCATTGAGCATTTGGCTCGTAATTCTGTTCTTTTTTTTCGCTCGCGATCCCTATGCACAATTAGCTTCCGTAGCTGCCAAGAGTGAAAGGGAGGAATTTTCAAACGACAGGGTGGAAATGCACGTACGCCGCGTCATCATGCAAGGAACTCAAACAATATTGCTTCTGGATTTAATCACACTTCTCCGGTTTGGTGCGACCCGTCTAGTCCTATCGCCGCCCGATCCGTTTGTGCATTATGCACTTCTACCCATGCAAAAGTCTACTGCATCAGTGTTCTTCGGTTTGGTTGCATATCCTGCATATTAATTTCTTTTTAGAGCCCTCCGATTATGTTTCTCTGCTTGTTTTACACTTGCATACGCACACTACACACTAATCTCCGTTTTGAAAGTCTGTTCTCCGACGCCGCCTACTACAAACCGGAATTTTCAGTTTACCGGATCGTAAAATCATACGCGGGGAGATGCACAACGGCACTTAGTCTACATACTATCTGCAGACAAGAGGTACAAGTTTTCATATTCCGCCAGCAACGTTGGCGACGAAAAAGCGGTTTTCGGCACAAGTCCCTATCGCCTAAAATGTTAACGACAAGATACTTAGTTCCGATACTATAGAACAGCCTGCCTTATTCTGGTCATCGCAACCCCTCCCCCGGAGTGTACCCTTCCCCAATCTATAGCGTGCCAAATAACCAGATGCACTAACGGAATCTGTACATGTGACTTCTAATCCTGTAAACGTGCGAATGCTCTATTGAACAAGCAACCGGCCCTCCCCTGTCGTGTTCTTGACGGGCTTTACTTTTAGACCAGCATTCATTTACTTATAGATGCATGGGGGCTTATTCGAAGACTCACTTTAATAGGAAAAAAAGTAACTTTCGGGATAAAAAAGAAACCCGACGGTTTCAGTTCCCTGTGCAGCTGAGGGCTTGAGATCTGACTACGGCTAGTCACACAGGCAAATTAGGCACGTCAGACACATTTCAGGAATTGCACCAACCGCGCTTTCAAGAATCGAAGTCATTGTCGAGGCAAGTGTTTGCTATTTACATATCATTCGTGGTCACCAGATCATCCTTTATATGGTTACCCTTTGTAAGGCTTTTTCCCACCTCCACCTGCGCATTTTCCTTAACGTATTCATACACATCTTGCTATCGTTGATCTAAACCTCTAGTTCTCGTCTTTCAGTCCACCCTCGTTTATCCCCATCGTTCTTTTACTCTCACCTCGTTTCACGCAAACGAGTCTTGTCTCCATATTCCCTCTGAACAGCCCTGCGAGACACCTTCCAACTACTCCTCTCAGACGGAACGGCTACCCGACTCTGGATCCTAGACAACAATCTTCTAATGAATCACGTTCCGCCGATAAACGCCGACGGTCACCACATGTCTATCTTCAAGAACACCCGAAGACGGCATCGCAAATCACGAAACGGTATGTAAGAGCACAAAGAAATCGCTATGGCTCGCAGTACTAACCCCTCTAGGTTGCAAGCAATGCAAAACTGCCCGCGTCAAGTGCGACGAACGAATCCCGCGATGTGGCCTTTGTAGCAAAAAGGACACCCATTGCAGCTATCTCGACCTCACCCGGGACGAGTTGGAAATATTGCAGCGGAGCAAGGTCTACAAAATCGACTCTGACCGCCAGATGGACCCACTAGGTCAAACCATCGCATCCCTGTTCATGAAACCCACCCCCAGTGACTATATGAATGAACCTCCCTCCCTTCCGTACTCCGTGTACCAAGGGAGATCACCTACCGGGCACCCTGGACTGGACTACTTTACCCCGAATGTGCCGTTCAACCACTTCCAGTCGTCTATAGGCACCCTGGGCTATCGAATGGCCCCACAGCAATTTCTGCAGCCCCAACGGCCGTCCGCCCAGTGCCAGCCATCTTCAGAGCTATCCTCCTCCTCTCTCTCGGCAAACGCTTACGGAATGGGGCCGCCGCCCCAACACCCCCAGGTGTACGTCCAGTATGCACAGCCCCAGTACGCTGCTCCCCCGCTAGGAACACAATACTTGGAGTCGCCTGGCCACTCAGCTTCCACACCAAGCACCCTGCCCAATCATTCAACCGGGAGCAGCTACTCTTCATCCGCCACACCCCAGTACCCGGCCCGGAGCGATCTGTCCTTCAGCGTAGTTCTGTCCAGCCACCTGTCCCAGTACCCGGCCCGGAGCGACCTGTCCTTCAGTGCGGTTCTGTCCACACCCCTGTCCCTGTACCAGTTCGGTACACCCGGACTTACTGCGAACGACCCCGGGAGCATTACCAGTGTACTGTACACCAGTGCGTCCTCCAACTCCAGGGAAGGTGACTCGAACTCTGCTTCCGGTTCCTCAACATCACGCCATTCATCGCACAACATTCGCCTGCGGATCAAGCACTCGTTGAAGTCGAAGTACCATCGAACAAAACCACAATTACACGGATTTCCGCCTCAAGAAGCTTTAGATGGTGGGTATGTAGCGGAAACCAGTGGCCAAGACTGTGGGTCACCTCCGCCGGCCATTCCCCTTTCTCAGCAACCGCAATTCAGCTCTTCTGCCCCTGAGAAGGACAATGTCGCAGGTTTGACTTATTTGTTGAACAACGAGAAAGACTCCGTAGGTGAAGGATATAACGCCCGTGTCCTGTCCAAAAGTGAGCTGTTCTGTGTAGATACAGCTGTCTTGGGGCCTGACTCAGACGAAGCACGAGGGAGCCAACTCAAGTTTCTCTTAAATTGAACCTTGAGTTATATTGGTGGTGACTAACTTTCACTTCTGTTTTGGTAGAATAGCGTGGATGTGTACGGTAGGTATGCTATCTGAGATTTCCTGGCTAATGCTTATACGCCTGTGCTCCAGCACTGTATGCGATTCTGATTATGCTTTTTTCTTCCTGTATTCCCGTGTACGTACTCACTCCCAACATACTGTCCTCGACACCCCTTATATGTGTTATGTTTTGATAGATGTGTTGGTTGCCCTGTAAAGGTGGGCATGGTTGAATGACTTCTCTGCTAGAGTTGGAACGAGGAATCATCGTGTTGAAAGTACTGCTCGATCTAACTTATTATGCGTGAAATTGTAAGGGTGGTGTCGATGGAAATGAGAGAGCTGAGTGAATCAAGGGATGGTAATTGTGTAGTAGAAGGGACGTGGGGGGAGTTTAGTATGCGTGAGGATGATACAGAAGAAAGAGCAGGGATTGATGTAGAAAACAGAGGTTGGTTTTGGTAACATATCGATGTGCACAAAAGGTATGTATTGTTTCTGTGAGAGGGGGTCTTCTGTGCCAGGCTCAAACTTGAGCCAGGGACGTTGGTTTTTTTTTTTTCAGCTTGAACAAAGTTTTAGGGGATGTGAATTTCGGGCATCGAAATGAATGAGTAGACGTATAGAATCAAAAGTGAAAAGTTAAAGAGTAAAAGTTATCAACGCTGCTAAAAGAACGCTTCGAATTACTCGATTCTCGTGCTATCAACTTCATACTTGGATGAATGAGGTATGTGGTAATAGTGAGATTTTCCGACAAAGTTCATGTTCTGGATTTTTGTGGACGTTGGAATCTCTTCTGGCATGGAAGAATGGGTAGTGGATGCCGATGAGTTTAGGAAAAATCTTCTGTTGGGTAATGACATGGTAAGTAAATTTCAATATTCATGGTCCCAATTTATACTGGCTGTATATGTGTACTCGCTGAATCTTACCCTTTTCGTTTCTTGATCTCCGTTCGTAGGCCTTTGCTCTCATAAACCGTAAAAATTCCTGCCCCTAAGTGCTAAAATACTGTCTTAAAGCATTCATTAACGATATTTGAAACGCACAACTCGTGATAGGGCCCCAGTTCACGTAGATAGTATCTTGCGTGTGACATTGCAAATTGTTTTAGTGAAGTAACTCCCAAAGAAAGCTGAGTGATGACTATATTTGATTTTGGACATTGCGAAATGCTAAAATATAATAAGAGGCACGGGGAAGGTATTCGAGATTCCTCCCTGTTAGATAGTTCCATAGCCACGTCGGCTTCCCAGAACGTTACTCTAGGTCCATCGTACGTCCTGGGAGTGTGGTAAGTTGCCTTTTAATTCTGAAAGTATCGTTTTACCTTTTCATTGACGTATTCATCAATATCCTGGACACTTTTATTCAGAACAACGTTCATTTCTGATTTTTTGAAACAAAACATGCCCCGTTGAATCTCTCTCAGCCATCGACAATGCTCAGTTGCAGCTCTGCGATTCGCGTACAGAAAGTGGCTCAACGAGACTAGAAAGTTTTTCATGACTCTGAAATCCCTCATAGTGATCTCTAACCAGCCGCTCAGATAGTCGAACAATTCCACCCCCATGTATCGGATTAGCGGGATATGGGAGTTTTGTTCGTTCTGGTTAGAATAGCTAAAGTTTAGATCTCCGTCTAATAAATCAGACGGTGCGATATTGAGAGAAGTGTACTGTCGGAGGATCATCAAGCCATATACATCACTGTCTACGAACGCGAATATAGGCACTTGCGGGAAGCTAGTGGCCAAGTTTCGTATACAGCGCTTCGTAAGCTGGTCGGGAAAGCCCTTACCAGTAACGATGATACGGTTGTGTGAAACCCCTTCACCATCTCGGCCAGTTTCCAAATCCACCAACGTTTTAAAAACGGCTTCCTTTTCCACTACGAGAATGTATTCTAGGCGGTGCGGCGCATTTATGTCGTCGTCAAGGAATATCTTGGCCTTCTCCGGGATTACGGGTATTAATCCTGATCCCAGCAGCTTAGAAAATGTGACGTGATGGATGCGTTTGCTACCAGGATTTGCGAACTCCATACGAAGATCGCCGAAGATTAGGCCTTTCTGAGAAGCAATCACTCCCAACTCGTAGCAAGGCAAGCCGAGACTGTACGATAGATCGTCTATGACGCCATCTACTGCAGTCTGCCTACTGAAGAGTCGCACATCCCGGTAGTAGACGTCACGTCGGGTGATCGCCCGAGCCTGGGATAGGGTTTCCACCAATATCCGAATAACAACAACTTGAGTCACTGGAGAAAAGGGTTGTTAGCCAACTATAAACATACAAACCGTTTTAGCCTCAAGGTACGAGTTTGTCATATTTTCTCGTGCTAGGGTAAACGTACTAAACTTTTTGGCTTCAAGGTATGAGTTTGCCATCATTGAATGTTTTACGGTTAAGAAAGCATTACTGTTTGGTTTGCTCTTAGCCAGAGGAGATAGCTTAGGCTCCTCCTCGGCTTTTCGCTTTTGTTTCTGCTTTCGTTTCCAAATCAAGTTGACTACACTCGGGGATTCCATCTCGTCGTTGAAACAGCCTTCTATCGTACATAGGATATTCTTCAATTTTGACAATGGTGAATGACTGTAGATGTTAGTATCTATGCTTTCCTATGTTTCAAGGGGGTATCTGTGAGGATGTATTAATGGGAATTCTTGGGAGGTCGGTTTGTTCTTACCTGTGAGCATTCGGGATGTCTTGTATGAAACAAATATCCCTCGTTTCAGTCTTTAACTCTCGGTTCCATAAAAAACTCATGTTGAGTAAGTGTTTGTGGAGTTTAAGATGGAATAAGGCTGGTGTGAGATGAAGTGGTGACAAAAGGGAGGAAACGTAGGGAGGGAATTTTTAAAATGTGCGTTTTGCGAGTTGACGCCGGGTGGTGATAAATTCATACTATCGAACTTTTTGCCGGGTAAACTTTAACGATGGTTTAAGCGGCTAAAAATGTTTTCGATATAAAACAGACGATTCCACCCGTATATTCACTTTGAAATCCACTTCCGCAAATCAAAACTTGATGGTTTCTAAAGGAAGACGATGCGGGTCCGGAGATTTACGGAGCAACACGTTGCAGCTCCGGGCGCTCTCGATTCCTTCGGAATTCACTCGGCTCTTCAAATGTAGACGATCTATAAAAAGAAAAATAAGCTCCATTACTCGCACGGTTATACGTCTAAACCATAAAAGATGCGTATCCGTAATAAAATATCTCCTTATGCCAGATGCTGATCCGCATGGGTTGTGCTGCAAGATCTACATGCTCATGTAGGGCCAATGACAGCCGCTTCACGCCAGGGATTTTAAGCCCTAGAAAATCCCTTTAGCTGCAAATTCTAGCAATTCGCGTTAAGCTTGAAGGAATGGGTGATCTGATCTCCTCCTTTTAAGGCTTTGATAGTGCTATTTCTAGATCCGAATCAATCGCATACCTTTCTGGTGTAAAGCTACTTTATTATACCATCCATGCTTTAGGTATTACCTCATTCCTTCCTTTGTTTTAAAAAAGGAGAAGTACAATTTTGGGTCACTGAATTTTACGAGAAAATCATGCCACTTAGCTTTAGTCAGGCGAGAGTCTCGTCCGTCTAAGCTGCGGTTTTTAGCCGTATGGCCTGATTTCACGTATTGAAGCTTGATATGTCCGTCTAACCTAGACTTTCTTTTCCTTCAAATAGTCGCAAAGACTTCTATTCATCACTCACGCGAAGTACACTGAAATTTTTCATTTTAAAACCCGCCGCCCACTCGAATTCTTCAATAGGCATGATCTGAAATTTCTCGTAATGCACATGCACACTAACTACAGGTTCGTAGCGGCACGTAGTAACATTCACATGGACGGCCCACAGTACCAGCCTTTATCACTCAGCTTTACTGCACATTTTTGGTAATTATGGGTACGGATAAGTGGTAATATAGAGCCATGGAGCAACCAATATTTTTCTATCATGGTTATGGTATGGTGAGGCGAGATTGGGTTATTTCATCCACTGCATAAAATTTGCAGGCCTGCACGTCTGTCTTGTTCAACTAATGTACAGCATTCTGCAGGAGTCTTCGTATTCACATTTGGGAAGTTTTCCCGTCAGCAACGTGTTAATAACTCCATAGGCTGAAGAAAGGTTGAAGACATAACCGCTTTCAAGGGGAAATTTTATTTTGAAAAGAACTTCCAAAGGAACGATTGCGTCCTAGGAAAACGTAACTGTATGATTCATTCTGAATGAGCCGGCCAGTCTAAAATTCCAATATATCGCTGACGCAGAGTATTGTCGACAATAAAATTGGAATTCGGTAAATCAGAGACGTGCATGCTGGAGTGATTCATACGGAGCCTTAAATATATTACAACTCCTATACTAGCGTCTAACAGAAGTCACTGAGTTCTTTGGAAGGCTCAAAGTAACAAGCAATCTCGAAACACAAGATCTGATATCATCCGAGCTTGTAGCTAGTAAATTTGGGAGCGGAAAAAAAAACTTCTTTGACTCGATATTCCAACACCCTAACATTATTAGTACCTACAGAGATATCCACAGTGCTGAAGCTTCTAGTGCCACGAGAAACGGCATAATAGAACGCGAGAAATCAATATGAATAGTGTGTTTTATATCACCTTGGGTACTAGAGGGGTTTGTATCCATACTACAAAAGGCGATAATTCCTACCACTCTCGCTCCAACTAACGCGTGCGCTATGGTGCAGTGAGTCTTACTTTCCATTACCGTTCATTCTTCATGATATAAAGCATTTAAGCGATCCATAGAACTTCCGAGGTACATTACCATGGCAAATTGAAATGATTAATTACACGCAGCACCGGGAATATATGGTTCGGGTGTACATAGAATCGTATACGTAATACCAAACGGATTCCTGGGCTACATAACAAAGCATGAACATACCTGCACATTACGCGCATTACAGCTCAGGGAAACGTTTAGTCCATCGTTTACAAAGTCTGGTTCCACTTTTTCTAGCTTAAAGGAATGTGCATTTGCCAACATTTAAAAACGCAAGCCACAAACTATAACCGTCTTCCGTGGATATCGCGCAAATAACTGTCTTTCTCTAACAAGTAGTACTCCTTCTCTGTCATTCCAATCGGAACTTTGGGAGGCACACCTGGCTTGGCATCAGCGTGTCTCTCCGTGTAAGACGAAAACCCTGCTGCTGCTGCTGCTTGCTGATTAAACTTTGGCGGCGAATATTGCGTCTTTCTCTGTATGTATTGCTCATAATTCTCGTCTTGACTCTCCTGGGCCCAGGTACCATTCCCCTGATATCCTGATTGGCCATATTCCACCTTTAAGTCGTTCTTCCGCACATACTCGCGACCCATCTGCAATCGTTGCGATTTGGTGAAATGTTCCATTGGCGTGGGCGCGAAATGGGCCGGATCATACACGTCTGTGTCGTGATTGTTGTCCTGGACTGAGTCGTTGAGCTTGGACCCAAGGAAGTAGATATCCCCGGAAGTGGGAGCCGTTTCTCTGCGCGGGGTGTTCCAGCTTTGTCGTTGGGCACCTCCGAAAGACGCAGACACAGGGAGCAAGGAATGGCGCTTTTGCACCAGCCCGATCTCTTCTGCTGAGTAGGGAATTTCGTTTTCAAGGCTAATCAAGTTGAGCTTCTTCAGCAATTCCGACATCGGCGTGTTTGTATTAGCACCATCGTGTGAGTGACGCTGTTGCGGGATAGGCCGAATACTGTAATCGTCACTAGGAGGCTTGCGGCGAGCACCCCCGGTGCTGTGCAGCGGTGACTTCTGATCGATTCTAAGCGAGCTTGACGATTTGAACCGAGGCATAGCGTTACGTGGTGGCGGTGATGGGAGACTTTGATAGGTATCGTATTCATCGCTGACAATATGAATATTGCCGTTCGTGTGGCAAGCAACGCTCACGTTGACGTTGTCGGGAAAGCTTGTAGATGGGACGTTTATAGAATCAGTGGTGAAAGCATTTCTCGAGTTTACATACTGAGTTGGGTTTTGGGCTCTCTCGTACTCATTTCTTGGATTTTGGGTTCTCTCGTATTGATTTATCCAATTTTGGCCTCCGGAGTTGTGATCTCTCTCAAAGTCATCTTTTGCATTCCCCCTCCCATATCTATTTTCCAGGTTAGAAATTCGGTTCGGGTGATGTTTCTCGGGCATTGGAGGGGGTGGGGAGAATCTCTCCTCCGGAGAGGCTGATAACGAGGAGTCACTGGTAATACCTCGCTTCCCACTGTAATTTCCCTGAACCTCCTTCTCTAGCAAATCTAATACATCTCTCTGCGATGGTGGCAAGGGAGGTTCACCGTCGTTGGAAGCCAGTACATTGTCTTTATTCCAGACCCTCTCCGATGGCTGGGTCCACTTCTTGGTGAACTTGGAAATGATCTTGGCACCCTTTGATTTGGTCTGAGTACTCTCAAACGTGTTATTCAAAGTCTCCTGATTGTTGTTTTGGAACAACGACGATGCCGGCGAAACAGTGCGAAGGGGTTTCTGGGAAGTCCCGGCACATTCATCCATGAGCGACGGAATATTAGGTCTGGGAAGCAGCTCTTTATGATAGTTTGACGATAAGCCCTGGGATCGGCCCTGAGAGTAGTTGAAGCCTGGGGGGGTTGAGAAAACGGTCGAGCTTCCGCCGTACGGTGGGGAGACAGTTTTCTGAGACATTCCCCCGAGTGAATTGTTCATGGAAGTGGGAATACTACTTGCCAGTGGACCCTTCGGGGGAATAAGAGGCACCAGAGGGTAGAAGGTCATCTCCAACCGGATAATCCCCGCGGGCTTCCCGAGAAGTGAGAGCTTGAACCAGTCGTCATAGATGTATCTTCCGTCTGGGGATCGACTGAACACAGGGGTACAGTCGATTTCAGCACTACCAATAGGCGTAGGCTCGTCCTTGGTGTCATCTAGCACGTCTAGTTTCATCAACGGCGGCCGGTCGGCGGTGAGCTCAAAACGTGATTCGTGGTTCCATTCCGGCGTTTGACCCCCTCTGAAATCATAGCTAGATCTATCAGCAATGGAGCCAATACGGAGAAGCACATAGGGGTTCTGCTTCTCGAGCTTTCGTCTGTTCGGCAAGTGCTTGCCCTTGCACGATATGATAATAAGCGTCCCATCGGCACTGGATATAGGACCGGTAGCTCTAAAATTAGCTGGCATAAGGACGGAAGAAAGCTGTGTAATTCAGGATACGAAGAAGTGTAAGCAATTAAAGCCTAGCGCGCTCTGGGAGCCTGACACCGACGGTGTTGATCTGGAATAAATACGCATGAGCTTGACACGATCACGTGAGTGAATCACGTGTGAAAGTCGCGTGGCGTAGCTTTCTACGGGCTATGTCTAGGGCTGTGGTATACGCAAAGCATTATGTTTCTACTTTTTAGTGAAGTTGGTATTAGCAGATTGGCGGAGTTAGGGTTTGAACTGTTTGAAGGATTTCAGAGGCAACAGAAATTATGTAAGTTATTAACCAAAGTTGGCAGTCCGTCATTGGATATTATTTACCATGTCCATAAGCCACATATACTGAGTATGTATGGTGGCATTGCCTGAGAGTTTCATCAGTACCTTAACTTCCTTATTATTGGAAGTACGCTATCTTTAATATTTTGAATAGTGTCAAACTCAGTTTTAATTAATTATCGAATACGAAGTATCTTTTGTCGCACCTTGCACGCGCCTATACGCTGGTGTACTTATTTTGTTCCGGTGCTTACATAACCCCTTTGGTCAACAGTGGGACTAGATATCGGCCTGCCGACGTCATGCCAGTTTAGCGCGGTTCCTACCCCCCCAGTTAGTCTCCTTTGCGTCCGGTGGTTTAAATTTCAAAGCCGTTTCACATGATAATTAAGAGTGATAGACATCCATGCCGCTTGGTCTAAAGGCTTCCGTCTAACCCCAATATATAGATGCCTAACTTGCATAATATCTGCCTGTCAAGTCATGTTCATACAAAACAAGAGGTGAACTGTTAAATAAATGCAATCCTTTCCGAGCCTTCATCGACCCATATCAATTTCCCCGATAACGACTATCTTAATGCGTTGCATAAGTCATTCACCTGTCGGATCAATTCCATCTTTTCTAAGCTAACTTATCCACGAATAGGCCCTTCCAGAGACAGATATACTTTTCCACCTTGTCACTAGCCGTACTTAGACTTTCGGCACTTATCTTCCCTGTTCGTAGACACGCATATCTATTTTGAACCCGCATCATCATCACCCCATATAACGCAAATATCGTGGGTTAGCTAGATTTGCAGAGATTTTGGCGAAGGAACGCTGGGGAGGCTTGCGCTGTTTGGGTCATCATCTGCAGGAAAGGTTTTAATAGAACGTGCGTCAGAATTCCAGTTATGCAGTCCCTGCTGCGCTGCGATGCACTGCATTGCTACGGCAACGCACATATTGGCTGCGCCTCGTTTTACAACATATACCCCGGATAACTGGCCGAAAACCGCAGAGCTATTGCATACTATCAAAGGAGTACCGTACATTTGGTAGGGCTTGGAAGATTATTGGCCATTCTAAGGGGTGCTGCGCATCTGGGAAGATGAATAAACAGGATCTGGCGGAAGTTTGCATAAACAAGATCCGAAAGCTGGAATTTGTGCGTATATACCGGTACGAGGAGTCCAGCCTCCGTGCCCAGCGCTGGCTGAATCACCGGCATCGTCGGTAACAAGACTATAGACTAGAAAGTCTACAGCGCTGCTTGGTTGGGTTAGTACATAACTCTAGGGATCATACGAGGGGGATGTTGACTGAAAAAAAAGGTAATTGACCGAGAATCTAGTGAGATATAAATCCTAGTCGCCACCAGGTAGAGAAGCAATCCTAGAAGTTGCCAAGTAGAAAATCGACAACGGCTCAGAACAGGTTTCCGTGCATAGTCTCAAACCTACGCGCAAATGGCAATTAATAGGAAGTTCTCCACATGCTGGAAAATACCCACACAGTCCGTACTCTCCTGGCCTTTTAAGCTAGCTTAATTTAGTACACGGCAATAAATTGAACCTTATTGGTAGTTCTGATATATAACTAAGAACGCATCCCCTTTAAAACGATATTCCAGTCATAATTTGGCCCACGTACTATTAAATCCTATTACACTATGAAGCTCAATATGCAACTCAAGCCAGAGGCCCTCAAAACGGTCTGGTCTCCTCACGACAACATTTACCTCGACGATCTGGGGGTTCCATTGAAAGCTCCAGATGCTGCAAGAATGTGGCGGATCAGAGCGGAAGAATTGAAGGCGCGCGAAGACGCGAAGGAAGCGGAGAGGGCCGCACGGGCGAACAGCAATAGCAGAAAGCACAGATTTACAAGACCGTTTCGCTCCTCCAGATCAAGCACTGTTGTTGGCTCCAGCGCCTGGAACTACGCGAATAACCCGCTTTTACACTACGTGCCCCAAGAAGCAGTGGGCCAAAGCAGGAGACGCACCAGCGATGCGACCCAAGTCCCCACTGGTAGTACCAGACGTGCTCTGAATGTGTCGAACTTTGAGAATTCAGAGGCGCGTTCTGTGACTTCAAGTGTCACTCTCGCACACAGATAAAAAGGAGCACTAATATAACAAATAGAGTTGATAACTTTGATTGTACTGGAGTCCCTGTTGGCTATGGGTGATGGATTAGTCCGCTCTGGCGTGGGTGGAGATACCCCAGATTTCGTTTTATACCTTTTTGGTATGTATGGAAAGTGGAATGATATACGAACTCTTCCGTATACGAGCTCTTCCGTATACGATATCGATTGAATGATGAAATGCGCGACTTATAACCCTAATGATACTAAATGTTTCCTCGGGACACAAATATTGCTGTTTTTCCGTATATTGTTGCTTTAAATTGTTAAACTTTCATTTGTGGATCTGTAACTTCCTCTCGATAACCATTTCTCAGCAGGCTGTGGATATAATATATTCTAATATCACTATCTACGGGGGGAAAAAAGACAAGACTCGTATCATGTCAGTTTAGTCATGAGTCCTCAAACGCTTATTACAAAACTCAGTAAGGGGTGAACAATATGGTTTACTGCGCCTTGGCCTAGTCTCTCAGGCGTACGGCAGGTGCAGAGCACAATCACTATTGAGTGCGAAATTATTCCGTATTAGGCAGTCAACGAAACTCAAGAATGACATCACGCTAAATTCTCCAGACCGGTATAATTACGGATCACACACACACTGCATGGCTGTGCCAATCATAGAGAGTTTTTAATCTCGCAATCTTTGACAGGTCTCTGGATCCGTAAATAAGCTGATACCATCACTTTTTCTTTGCTGTATAGACCAATCTCTTCCCTTCAGCTGCGATTTAAGAGCATAAACAGACCCAACCCCAGTGCCAAGACATACGCCTCGAAACCTTACCCCTCAACTTGTCCCTCAACCGATCCTGGACATACAAGATCAACCAACAGGAGTCAAACTACTGCTTCAGTCAAACTACCTCTCAACTCTAACCCCAATGCCTGCTGTTAGACACTTTTACGCCAGAAGCAACAATGACAACGGTGACATCTGGTTTGCTAGCACCAATAATGGAGCCAGATGGGCGTACTTCGCCATCATCATTGCTGTCATCCTTGTCGTTATCTTCTGCACAATAAGAGCCAACAAAAGGCGTTTAAGAATCGGGAAGATTCCCCTCAGAGGTACTGCATGGATGACGCCACCGCTGTACTACCAGTCGCAAAACCTGTACAACCAACCCAGAGAGGGTGGGGCCTACGTGCCTCCGTACTCTGCAACCGGGAACGCCACCGATGTTGGGTATTATAACAACGACGGAACGTTTGTTTCTTATGTTACGCAGAGCAATGACGGCCCCAAATTCCAGCCCCCGACTGGAGCTCCCCCAGGCAGTAATATGCCCGTAGTTAGCGACGAAACCGGTACCGGTACCTACTCTGTGAATCCGCAGCCCCCGCAATCCGCACATGTTGACCCAGACCACCGGGGAAATGAAGAATTTCCGTCCTACTATGGCGGTCGTGATTCCTACGAATTGGGTAGTGTTGCTAGACCGGCCGGTCCCCCACCAGGACATTCCTCCAGTAACACCGCGAGGACCGATATGGATGACTTGCCTGACTATACACGCCCGGAGCAGCCAATGCCTGTCGTTAGAAAAAACTAATTAGCCGTTAATAATAGGGGTTTATCCCTGTACCAGCATTTCCCTTTCTTTACCGGCAAGCATTTTTCTGGCCCATACAGGATCTGAACAACCTGTTTCCATGCTTGTGGTGCACCCTTGTCACGCTCACTTTGTATTTTATAATCGAATGATATTGCTCCTTGTGTCATGCTACTGAAAAGTTGATGGCCCGTAGCGAGAAATAGAATGAGCCCCTGTCTTTTGAGTTGCATATCTTATACAACTATCTCAAATGGGGCTAATGTACGTATTCTGCCGTGGTGCCCTCGTTATCCCATTCATATGAGTTGACCCATGTCTGGAACTGTTTAGTCATAAGTAAAGCGCAGGTAACTGACAGGGTGGACTTCGAGAATCTCACAACTGCATCAAACTTACATCCACCTTTCTATAATACTTTATCTTTACATATAGTATACACATTTACATACCGCTCATCGGCTATTGACGACGTCTCTTACGGTCACCACCGTATCCACGGTCGCTACCCTCCTGCCAACTGTCCTTTCTAGCATCCCTTTCAGAGTTTCTCCCAGAATTCCCCGAGTCTCCAGATTCACTTCGTCCGTACTCTCTGTATGGTCTGGAGTTCGGAGAGTCCCTGGAACCACTGGACGAGGAGCTTGTCCGGCGCGGAGGAGGCGGAGGTGGTGGTGGCGGTAACGAGGCCGCAGCGGTCACAGATCTTTGAACTGGTTTCGCAGGCGTCGAAGGGAGATTATAGCGGGAAGCGTCACGGTTACGTTGACCATCACGGTCGCGCTTGCTTCTCGAATCTCGCTTATCATGACCTGAATCGCGTTTGTCACGACCAGAGTCGCTAAGTCTCGAGATGTTGGTATTAGGCGGTGGCATCTGGGCACGGAATCTGTCACGCGGGTTGGCAAACTCGGCACCACGCGGGGCTGGTGGAGGTAACGGAGGAGGGGTGGAAGAGGCGGAGTTTGGAGCTGTTCTAGACTTGCCATCTTCACCCTTGCTCTTAGCTCTCTCCTGCTCGATTCGAGCAATGAGAATGTCCTTCACGGACGTGCCCGTGTTTGGAGGTGGAAGAGGTGGTAAACTGGCGGCGCCCGTTTTAAGGGTATGTCTCGGGGCCTCTGTTTTTCTTGGACCAGAAGGCAACGCCCGCTTGGAATCGTCTCTGGGAACTGGAGTGGCGCCTCTTGGCCCGGCGGGACGAACAGGGCTATCCTTCTTCTCCTCAGATCTCTTCTCTTTCTTTTCTCTCCTCTCTCTCTTCTCTCTCTTCTCCTCAGATCGCTTCTCCTCAGATCGTTTCTCCCTCTTCTCAGATCTTTTTGACTTTTCTTCAGATTTTTCCCCAGACTTTTTTTCTCTCTTCTCTTCGGACTGCTTGGCCTTTTCTTCCGGCTTCAGCTCCTCGATTTTTTCAGCCTTCTCTTCGGGTTCCTGTTCAGCCTTCTTTTCTTCAGAGGCCCTTTGAGAAGCAAGCTTCTGTTGCTCACGAGCCTTCATGAGCTTATCGTAGGCCTCATACTCTCGCACCTGCTTTTCGCTCGCCTCCCTCGCCTTTTGAGCCTTTATCTTGGCCGTCTCCACCTCGACCTTCTTGGTCTGTAAAACGGTGTACTGCTCAGCCTCTTCCGGGGACATGGCGTAAAACTCAGGCATGGCGACACAGTTCTTGCGTCTAGAGCGCACCTGGCCCAACAACCCAGTGGCGGCTAGCTTAATGTCTTCCCGCGGGTCGGTGGTGGCAATGGTGTGGATGATAACGGCCAAGATCTCACAGTGACTGTCAATGGACGGATACACGACCAATAACTTAGAGAGGAACGTGATTGCATTGCGGCGACAGTTGTAGTCCACAGAGTTCAATGAGCGTGAGAGGTCAGAGAGCAAGGCATTGTGCCAGTGGAACAACTCCGCGCGGAATTCGTCGAACGTCAACAGCTCAGTACCGCCCAACGGAACTAACCCGGGTAAATCCTCACCTCTGGCAGACTCCGCAAACACCACTTCGTCACGCCACTCGTCAGCCTGGCGGAGCACCTGGGAGAAGAAGATCCCCAAGTTTTCGGCCTCGTTTCGAGAGCTGGTAAACAACGTGCGGAGGAGGAACTGACTTGCAAATATCACCTTGAAGAGGGCAAGCGTAGAGAAGTGCTTGGCCCCGAGCAGATGGAGCATAAATACGAAACGCGCAACGTACATTGCATCCAAGGACGAGTGGCGCGCTCGTGGCAAGAGACAGTGGCTGAAAAAATCGCGCATCTGCAACTCGCCCTCCCCGCTTGGGAACCAATGACCCTTTTCACGGTTCATCCGCACCATCACCGCGGAGTGATGGATACGGTGGGCCGCGCTGTCTCCGGGGATCGCGGCAACGATCTTGGCGAGCGCAGCCTTATGGTCCTCCTTCTCACTAATCTTGTCATAACTGATCTCCTTGTCGCGATATGACATACGGATGTCGGAGGCCAACCCGTTGATCACCCCGGTCAAGCGCTCGGTCTCTGTGGAATATAATTTTTCGGGAAATACAATATCGTAAAGTGAAAGCTGCCAGAAGGTCACATATAAGCCTTGGCTGAGGAACTGCCAGTGGGACGGTAACGCCTGGGAGATCAGCTCGACGATTGGTAAAAGCACCGGGTTCCAGACGGAGGCAGTCTCAGCGGCAGTCCCTTTACCAACAGCTTCGTCTTCAGCAACGAGTTTTCCCAAAAACTTCCTCCATATCTCAAAGCTCCACTCGACCGGAACATCATATTTTACCACCAACTCGCACACATCTGGCATCTGCTGCAAAAACGCGTCGCTCCGTGTAAAGAACGCATTCGTCTCGGTGAATATGTGCAACAACGAGTTCAACTCGTCCTTCTTGTTGCAAAGTATTTTCAAGTGGCTCTCGTTGCTGTTGAACACCACCTCCTCCTCTAAACGGCACAACAACACAAACAACTCGGCCAAGCCGTTGATCGCGGTCAAGGCGTCAACAAACCGCCGCGACGACCGCGCGCTCTCGTACCGCGTGTCTTTAATCACTCCATGGAGTCCGCGGATCAAGCTGGGTCCGGCACCTAAGAGCTCGATCTGCTGCAACGACAAGTCGGAGATCGGCTTAATCCCGCTCATCTCAGCCAACACCTCACGCAAGATGGAGAGCCCGGAGATGTCGTGCTGGCGGAACGATTTGAGCAAGTAGGTCATCAAAATCTTTATGTCAACCTGTGGATAGCGCTTGCATAACTTGCCGATGAATGACGACAATGACTTGACCCAGTGGCGGTCGTTTAAGCCATCGCTCTGAAGGGCGCTCCGCTCGCTGGTCAAGCGCACTAATAACGTCATCATCAAGCAGTCCCAGCCATACGTGTTGAAGTACTTGGCCGCGTCCACCACTAACACCGACAAGTTGTCAAAACTTTCAAGACGCGAAACCACGCCACGGAACACAGGAATAGGGTTCGCGTACGAGATTTTGGAGAGGCGACGCATCATGGCTTTGATGTTGGACGTCAGAAGGCGTTTCATCACGTCCTTGGTATCCTTTTCCGCACGCCCGTACGCCCATTTGATCTCCAAGTTGCTTTTGCACAACACCTTGTCCATCTCGCTGTACAAATTGTATCGGTCTTCGAGGGGGAAAAACGCAAGTACGCGGTATGCCTCATCCACAGCCTGGCCATTCTCGCACAACGTAGCCATCGCGGGGAAGAGGAATGTGCGGAAGTACTGGAACATGTCTTCAGAGCGGCGCACGCGGAAGGCCGCGTCAGGCTCGGCTACCGCGGCGCGCACCTCGGCCACGACGATGCGACACATCTCGACGAAGAGCGCCGGGTCGCGCGCGACACGTGTCTTGTTGAACTTGAGCAATGCGCGAGAGACCGCAACAAACTCGGCGAGCGTACGCACAGCCGGCACACCATCGCGCCAGTGGTCGTAGAAGTAAGTGAAGCTGCGCGCGGCCGATGGCGCCGCGAGCGGCTTGAGAGTGTACAAATGCTTGCACTTGTGGTCTTTGAACAGGAGACGGTTGTCCTTCTTGCCGGTGGCAAGCTTGCGCGCGACCTGGAGCTTCTCAAAGAGTTTGGCGCTCTGGATCGGCTGAATCTGTGCGTAGAGCGACGCGATGGCTGCGCGTACCAAGCGATTGAGCAAGTCCGCAACCGCATCGTCAACAAACGGCAAGCAGGGGAACTTGAGGAGAATATAGACCGACGGCCAGAAAAGGCCAGCGCCAAGGAACGTCCTGAGGAGCTGGATCGTCGGTGGCAGCACCGTCGCGGTCTTCTTGACCGGCTTTGGTTCCTTCTTTTCCTTCTCCTGGAACTCGTCGTCAGAGTCGCCTAATGGTGCGGCAAAAACCAACTCGTTCGCGCTGGCCTTGAGGATCTCCGCATCCATGCGTTGCTTGTAGTCATCCTCAAGCGTGGCCATGGTCTCCCCCTCGGGCGAGAAGTAGTAGAAGATGGAGCCGAAGGAGACAAAGCCCTCCTTGACAAGTACAGCTACAAGCGCCTTTAGTGATTCGGGCAACTCCTTGCTGCGATCGTGTTTGGAGAGCTTCAAGCCGATGAGCTTCGCGGCGGTATCACTGCCGCCACAAAACAATGTATCAAGCGCCGAATTGTCCGCCTCGTTGCCACGTGGCCACCACTGCGATATTCGGAGAAACTGCACTGCAAAGCGCCAGTTCTTGACAAGACTCGCCGCGAACACGTCAAGGAGAAGGTCTAACACGCGCGTGGAGTCGAGATTGAAGTGGCCGATCAACTTGCACACAGCACGGTGTGTGCTCTCGACGCGCGCGAGACAGTCATCTGCAGCGAAGTTTGCGTGCACCTCCGTGAGGAGCCGCGCGTAGCCCTCGCTCTCCTCGTGGAGGAGATTGAACTTCTTGGACGTATAGTTGCGGTCACGGAGGCGCTTCTTTAACTGGCGGTCAAAATCCACGGGCACGACGTCTAATTGCACTAGCATCGGTGTTGCAAGATATGCCACCAAGAGATCGTCGTCAAGCTTGAGCATCCGAAGAAGCGTCACGATTTTGGGGTTGGAAGGGAAGCTCGCAGCCACGCTCAAAAACGCGGCCACCGCGCCGTCGGTCTCGAAAACCTCATTGAGAAACATTACGAGGATGTTGAGCGGGAGTTGATTAGTGGAGTCCCGTGAGTAGACGTAGAGGAGTTCGTAAAATGCCTCCGCCGGCGCCCGCGCGACCGTCGTGGAGAGATCGCTGAAGGTTTCGCGGAACGTCGAGAGGCAATCGTCCGTAAAAAACGTGAATACGGGAGCGGTTGGTTCCACGCTGAAGGCGTCCCATGGGGAGCCTGTTTCCGTCATGAAGTGTATGGAGTGGAGAAGTGATAGAGAGGAGGAGGTGAGTATAGTGGATATTTTGGAGTGGTACTTTATTGAGGTTTGCGCCGCACACGAAAATTTGGTGTATGGAGGCCTCGTTAGCCGACCAGATTAGGGGTGGTATATCCTATTTGATGGTTGGTGTAATATTTATCTATAATTTAACTCTAGAGGCTACTAGTGTATTTGGGCGGTGTAAATCTTGTTGGTTATAAATTTTAGACCTATCACTAAAGTGATTTGTTGGCCCCAAGCCTGTTACTGGTGTGCGTTTCATTGTATTGGGCTCGTATCTAGGGTTTCCGATTTCCTTGCTACTATTGTGTGACCACCACAGATCAGTGAATTTATATTTGATTATCTAGACAAATTTCCATGTTTTTGTCTCTCTCTTGTTAACCAGTATAGCTGTAGATGAGAGCAGAAATATCGATGTGCGCTCTACAATACTTAACTATGCGGCTAACATGCTTGTAACAGAGAAGCTCAAAATAAAGACTTCTTATCAATGGTAATATGGTTGATTATTCCGACAAAATACCAACACCCTATAGCAAGTCATTGCTAAATTTGTCTCTTTCGGCAATTTAATTCCCTCCATGGCTAGCGGTAGTCTGTCAGTGGTGTCCGCCCTCACTACATACAGGATATCAGCGACATGCAGAATCAAATATTTGAGAATTCCTTAGCCATCTCATCTTCTATTCCTAACTACAAGCTCAAACAATGGTATGCAACCGTTTATCCATTTCACATATATATATACTAACCTCTCTAGGCTGACAAAGTTCGCGAACAGCGCCAGTATGATCACCTCAAGGCCCGCCACATCGGGCTCGGAAACGCCGACACCACCAAGCTGTAAGTAGCCCTAAGAACTCCGACGGCTGAGTACTAACAAGTTAGTGAATGGATGAGCAATGTACACAGAGATACATATGCAAGTTTTGCAGGCAACGCGGCCTTGTGTCTGTATTACAGTGTGGCCATGAACGAGTCACTGAGTTTGACGCGGACTCGCTTTATCGAGGTATGTTTGGTATAGTTTCGGGCTTAAATAATACTAACAGACGTCTAGAAAATGATTCAGCCATGTGGGCCGAAGCCAACAGAGGAAGAATGAGTAATTCTACGTAATGGGCCCTAGGGTCCCAGCAGTGTATGCTACTGTACAAGGTTAATTAAGGTTAGTTTTGATATAATAAGCATGTATGAAAGTAATGCGGTTGTCTAATAAAGGAGAAAGCTTTTAAGGTTAAATAGTGATGTGTATCTATTCCCTTTGATGTAGGATTCTTGGCTTTCCAGTGAGAGCTTTATCATCAACTTTAAGGGGATAATGTGCTTCGGAAGAGTCGGCATCTAATTCATGTGAATATTTTATGTCAACTAAGTAGTTGGCCTGGAACCTTACCAGGATGATTAGAGTGTGCAGGGCTTTTATATCTTGTCTAGATGATTACAGAGACGTAATTCCTGGTCTGTTCTAAGTTTTTTCCGAGATTTTATCTTCTGCATGCTCCTCATATTTGGATAGCGACTACACTTTTTGGCAGCACAGCAACGTTAGGAGTTGTCGCAGTCCTTGTATGGGGTTTCCGTGTTTATAGGGCGGAAGTATTGTAACTAATGATGGTATACCAGCAAAAAGTTAAGGTCGTACCCGGACTCGAACCGGGGTTGGTCGGATCAAAACCGACAGTGATAACCACTACACTATACAACCCAACATGTAGACTTTTCCAAGGCAGTGTTAAATGGAATCCCAGGATAAACTAGAACACTTAACCTAAAATCTTTGAAAAGTGGCATAAGCTCGTGAGAGGACAATACTGTGAACTTACAACGTTTTAGAACGAGAAGAATGTTAATATTAGGCTGGTAATTTTAGTTATTATGTTGCAGCGTATTTAACTTTGGTGAAATATATATAATATATTTCATTCATATATATTATATATCATTCATATATTATATATCATTCATATATTATATATCATATGTATATGGAAAGAAACCATTTGTGAAATGTATATAGGATGTTAAGCTGAAAAAAAAAATCTTTCGAAAGCAATTTTTCCCTGGCTAAAAAATATTAAGGATAATTTAGCTCCTTAAATAGAAAATGACCGAATTATAATTTGTGAATGAGTGTTGCTGTACGTGACCCGTGACGCACGGAGATCGCGATAAGGACCTGACTCACTAGTGTGCCGTGAAAGCTGTCAGTCACTCAATCCGCGAGATAAGGTCATGGCAACACCCCAAGAATAAGTCATATTGAGTCGCGAAACTAACTCAACAGCGGGAAACCGCCTCTTTAAATAATCCTACTTGATTATAACACTTGTATTTTACTCCGCATGGTTCGGCATTCGCTTCACTCGTGCTGGGGACAGGCTCTGATAACCACACTCACCACTGGGAACCACACGCTATGCGACGCACAACCTCAGAGGCCCCTCTAACTCAGACATTTAAATGCAGGTGCCGCCCCAGCCACCCCAGAAATCCCAGAGACAAACGATGTAGGAGGCGTTCGTGGGATCTGCCTCAAGATATTGATAGAAATGGTACCATTGGTTCATAGCAGCCTAAACCGAAAGACAGAGTGTTAACCCTGAGTTGATTGGCAAGCCGGCGCAATTGTTAATAAAGAGATAGAGCCTGTTTGTAAATTGAAGCATGTTCGCAAATTAGGACGAGTTCGCTTTCTATCTAAGTAAACTTTAGCCCCTTAATAGGTTTTAGTTTTTAGAGAAGTTTTACCCGATAATTTACAACCTTATTTCTCTATTCACTATTCTGCCTAAAACCCAGATATAAGTAATATATTGTCAATCGACAAAGCGGCACGCCCAGACAAAGCTGGGCTAAATGTAAATTAAGAAAAATATAGTATATATATACATAAATGAAAAAAAAAAGAAAACGGAAAAAATATGAGAAAGGAAGGGGAGAGTGAAAAATGTGAGACAATAAGTATTTCTACACGTGCCTGCTTTTTATTAAGCATGCTACAGTGCCTTGTTTCACTAATGCGTCGTATACCTACACTAAATGGTTGTCAAGAATGCTATGGTGCCTGTTTCGCTAGTGTGCCAGACATTACTCTTAGTGACGTGAAATCATGAGAGCTGCTTAATTACTTGGCTGGCTCATTTTATGAGTGGTTGCTGCCTTGCATAGTATTGTTCTAGTCGGATGATCTGCCTTTAGTTTCAAATTCCAAGCGGTTTAGCTGAACCTTTCGGTTGATAATGAGCAAGTATAACCGGTGTTAAAATATTAGACATCACGTCTGAACTGCATCCAACAAGGAGTGATGGACAGCAAACAATTTGTAACAGCGCATCACCCCAACCCATTTTAAGCCTACTAAATCCATATCTTAGCCTTACAAATATCCGTTTCGGCTGTTATTGAATTGGTAATACCTGATTGGAAAGCCAGTCTGGTTTGAGTCAATAGCGGACAATGTACTGACATTGTAACAAAGGGTTTCCTGCATATTATAATTTTTTTCTGGCATATGCATGCCAACAATTACCATGTTGCCTAGTAAACCTAACTATTTTCTGCAGGCGCGCGTTGTCGGGCATTACGGATGCATACCCTGCGCTTTTCTTGCAGCATGCAGGCTTAAGAACTTGGAACTGCGGTTTAGATTAGTCTGATCAGGAATTATGCCAAAACTATAGTGTTTCACGGGCGGGTCAAGTACGCAACGCATACCACAGCGATTGCATTAAAAGACAAGTGCGAGAGGGAATGGCATCTGCCACGTCGCATTAGCGTTACGAAGGAATAGTAAGCAGGCTTCTTTGTCTGGCGTGGGAGACACCTCTGTAGGGACCTGAGGTAACTCAGGCTCAATCTGAATCTTCAAATTGTACAGAGCGCCTTTATTTTGAAACTAGGGTTTACTTAAGAGGATATCAGAGGTTGAAAATTCACTTACAGTCAGCTTAGAAATTAATTATTATTAGAATAGATAGATCTCAGAATAGAGAGATCTTAGAATAGATAGATCTTAGAACAGATAGGTCTTAGATCATTGCTTAATCCTCGTGGTCGTTGTCCTGACCTGGGTTACAGGTCTTGTAGTCCAAAATTTTCAAGAGCTTCCAGATGGAAAATGCAACAACGGACCCGATGATAGGGCCAATCCAGTAGATCCAGTGATAGTCAGGGAAAGATCTAGCAGCAACTGCTGGACCGAAAGATCTGGCCGGGTTCAAACCGGCACCGGTGTAGTAAACACAGATCATGTGGCCAATGAATAAGGCAATACCAATGACTAACGGCGCAATGAAGGTGGCCTTGTGCTTCTCAACGGCCAACAACAAAACGGTCAAGCACAAGATACAAGTACCGAAGGCTTCCAAGAATACACCACGGGCCTTGGAGCAGTCACCGCCCAAGCCATTGGCAAATGTGACTGGGCCAGGGGTCATAGCGGAGGCAGCACCGGCGGCGGCCATACCAGCAATCATCTGGGTGACCATCATCAAGGCACCTCTCACTGGAGGAATGGCTCTGGCAAGAACCAAGGTCAAGGTCACAGCTGGGTTCAAGTTACCACCGGAAATTCTGTAGAACATGAAGACACCAACAGTAACACTGCAGCCGAAACCAAGGGAGATCATGATCAACTTGGCCGGGTCAGACTCGATGCCAACCCCCTTCGGAGCCTGGTTGGCAATCTGGGCGATAACAAAGGCGGACCACAAGAAGATGAAGGTACCGAAAAACTCACCGATGGCAGCGATGATGTGGTTTCTCATGGTGTCACCTCTTAAGCCAGTCTTGGCCTGACCGGACTTGTAGCTGGTAGGACTAAGGTTTTCTGGGTCTTGGGAATCGTTCATTTCCATGATGGGAAAGGTTTAATATGCGTGGGTGGATAAGGAGAAAAGAGAAAGGATTTGGACCACAAACTGGCGGGGATGACTGTATTTATATGGCAAGAGTATGAGAGGTAATAAAAAAAATTCCGGCACCCCCCTGGTAAAGTAAATTTATACAGCGCTACAAAAACTCATGCAAGAGGGATAAGCAAAGGGTTGAAATTAGGCTTTCTTGTCAAAATTCCCAGAAACTGAGATGTGCGTAAAATGTTATGCTTGCAGCAATATGCGGGTTACCTGGGCTATATGTATGGATGATTTGCATGGAAGCACTATCGAATTTAGGTGTTATAGTCTGATCTAGCATGACCATCCCTTGAAGCCTGCAGGAATTGCGTTTAGTATCTAATAATAGAACCCACTCTTCGGCTATCCTATTGTCTGCACTTGGCTCTATAACTAGGTGTTCCAGGTAATCAAACCGAAACATTTCCGCCTTACCGTGAAACCTGTTCCTTCCATTCTCGCGGCTGCCGCCCAGTACCCGAAGTTAGGCCGAGCTGTGCCGGCCCGTCTTCGCCCCACAGCCTTCTGACTGCGCATGCATACAATCCCGGACCGTGACCTGGCTAGCCCAGCGGTGGCAACATTCAGTATCTTTCACTCAATATGGAAGCCTTGTTTTGCTATGTACAACGATTTAAACGAAAGTTAAGGCACTTGCGTCATGTAGGTATGGTGGATTAAGGTTTGTCAAGAATGGACATACCCTGGAAATGACTATGGCTGGCTATGTCCGTCCGTCAAAATTTACCGATTTAGAGGTGTGAGCGGCACTTAGTTCATCAGGAGATTCTTAAGCCTTGCCAGAAAGAAAAAAAAAGAAAAAAAAAAAGATGGATGGTTCACAGCTGTGAGCACGGTCTAGTTGCTGCAGCGACCGGAGATGACGTAGGCCTATTGAATAGGTAGAAATATGCTGGTCCAAAAGGGTTCCTTGACCACCGATATCCGTACCCAATACATGACCAAGCAACTGACTATTTGCGGATCCTGTGAGAATAGGCTTCATGCACTTTGGAAAGATTACACGAGTTTGAAATTGCACATTTCAATTACAGATACGCATGTTCGTAGAACGATCCCAATGCTGGGCTCATGCATGAGGTATTTTCACTATATCCAGCATTTGGCAAAACAAAATAGCCTTACGTCAGCGTAAAAAATATTCCACTTGCAGAGAAAATCCTTGTGGTCTACAGCTACGGGCATCGTTGGTCATCGATACTTATAGAACTTGGTAAGTATGCCACTGTGCTGCCCCTTCTCCTGGTCAGGCCGATCGTAACTAGAAAGCGCAGATCAAAATCTTTCGTGTCAACGAGTGCCTGGCACTTGACGCATGTAACCTTAAAAATTTTCCGAAATTTCTTTTCCTCGCCATAAGCTGAAATTTGGACTTGCGTTTTCCAAACAGGTACAGCTTCAATAAACGGTAGTGTGTCAGGTCTAAAATACTATTAGAAGCAAGGCAGATTGCGCATATGGAACCACGGAACATCTGTACTACGCCAGCTTCCATTGCGTAAGCGCCCCTTAAATTCGCTACCGCACTAAAACGTTAGTTATACGGTATTTGAGGCGGCGTAACAAACCATAAATAGCTACCAGCCCCAAGACGCGTGACGACCAGTTACAACATCCCTGGTCTCCTGGTCTGAAATCGCCTGATTCCACCTCAGCCCTTATGCCGCAATATGCATCAATCTAGTAAATAAAATGCTGCTGCGTGTCTAGATTTTTCTCCTTTCGTCTAGGTAAGCCCCTCTGTACGGACGTTTATTTGCACATGCGATTCTCATGCATACTGGGTGTCAACTCTTCTATAGAGGTACGAAGAGCCATCATATCGTGCATTTCAAATAATCACTTACGGGAATGTGTCAATGGTTTTGTCTTAATTCTGGTGGTAGGCGCCTTAGAATGATTCAAGAGCTATTCTGGGGCCCAGATACAGACACATGCATGTATCGTTCTATTAATTGGGACAATCACGGAAATAAAACACCGAAACCAGAACTTGGAGTTTGTGTGATACGTCCGCAATTGGGCAATAATATACGTTATAATCTGTATAGTGTATTTATTATGACGTATGCCGTCTAGCTACATTTACCGAATACCACAACGTACGCACGGGCATTAATCATACTTCGCGCTAGTCATCTATACACCTCATTACCTATATACACAGCTCTTTATATTTTTCTCCATAGCTAGATCTATCGCCAGCACATACGAACAAGCAAGACGATGAGTCCTATTTCACCCACAGTATATGTCGTTCGTAGCTACCAAGTCAATACCTTGAGATCTGTCCCACAACTGACGATACGGTCCTCACCAGCATGTTCATACACATCGAAACACTTCAATTTCCCCTTGTGCTTGACAGCATCTGTAAGATTTCTCCCAATCTCCTTCACCTTTCCGGTCAAGAGATTAATCAAGCGGAGCAACCCGTCGTCGCAGTTTCCGATATACACATGGTGGTAGTGCTTGTCAGTGAGACGGACGGACGGAGAGAACTTGATTGAGGGCGAGGAATACTTGTCCTGAGAGCACATCGTGTTGTAATTGTGGATGATTTCTTGGCGAGAAATATTCCCCGCGTTGGAGACTAAACTCTGGGCTTCTTTACTCACAGGCTGGGAGATGAAGGCGTCAAAGTTTTGGAGCGATACCACGATCATTCGCATGTACGGGATGTGGTTTGTGCCAACCGCAAGCAAAACGTCAGAACCAGCGCTGGTCGCGGTAATAGACATTGGGCTAAAGTCATTGACACTGAACTCAGCGTCGTTTAAGCTAATTTTATAGACCAAAGGGAGGGTTGTGTCAGCGGTGCCGGAGTAGATTTCAACAAAAGTAGAATCCATGCGGCACACGCACACCACCTGGTGGCCCTTGTGCTCCACAAACTCTAAGCACGTTGGAATAGACAAGAGTTTGTTTGAGGCGACCATCACAATGTTCAGCTCTGTGAGATTCAAGGTCCACTGGTTGACAAATCTATCCCAGCCAATTGAGGCTAACGAGTAGATAGAGCCCCGAAGCGGGATTACTTTGAAATCAATCACCAACCGTTGATGCAATTGTTGCTCAAGCTTCAATATCGCCAGGTAACCCTGCTCTTTTTCAACTTCATACAACCTCAATATACCATCCATGCCACAGCATACAAAGCTGTTTGTCCCTGTGATCCCCTTGGCCACCTTTGTAACACATGTACTAGCCATGACGAGCAATTCTTTGTTTGTGTTCATATTGACCAACACTGTCTGCTTGTTGGCGAGGGTTAAGATCATGACCGGGAGTGATTGCGCATCGAGCACCATTTGGGTGACACTGGCACTGATAATGAGCGCCCCAAATTCCATTCGGTGCAACGGTTCGGTGTTTGAATTGTACTTGATGACGGGTTGGTGCTGGGACACACTTGTAGCCATAGCATTGGTTCCGAAGAGCTTGTAGGCTAATGGATGGAGTTTAGCCGATACCAGTAATCCAACAACATCATCAGATAACGTGGTGAACATCTTGCGGTCGTGGATAATGGACTCTAGCCGCTCAAAGGCGGGGTTTGCGGAGATCTCTTCAAAATCGAAGTCGATGTCAGTTTCAGCCTGGTAAGCCGCCAAGGTATGAAGGAGGTTCTTCTCCTTGAGGTAATGTGCCACTAATTCTTCAAGCGAAGACATATGTGATAATATATTATTAGGAAGATGCGAAGGAAAGACAATGGCAAAGTGATGGATGAGATAGATTTGTGGGGCGGGACATTGAATTTTTCAGCGATGAGCGCGAAATTTATGTATCCCTGTTAAAGTTGAGATAGATTGAATACGTAATTTTTTTGTTAACGAAATAAATACAACCTGTCCCACCTTCATTGACTTTTAATTCCCAATAATCTCGCTAGTTCTAAATTTAACACCTCGGTTGAAGCTTAAAATTTAACTCTTATGTTTAAATTATACTTTCACCATTGATTCAATTCACCATACACAAGCCTCTTTTCAGCAGCTAAGCTCTGCATTCCTACAAACAAGACACCTTTTTAACGTTTTAATATACACTATAATCACAAATCAGACAAACCTAGCGTCTTCCCCCACGGCCACCGGGGGTGGGGAAACCTCTACTAGCACCGCCTCTGCTGCTACCTCTACCACCACCTCTGCTGCTGCCCCCACGACTACCGCCCCTACCACTCTTGCCCTTGGATCGGTCTGGTGCGTTGTACTTGGCGATTTCCTCCTTAGAGATAACGATACCGTTTCTGGTGCTTCTCCCTACACTGTGAATTTTCAAGCCTCTGTCTCTGAGCTTCTGTGGCTTCTTGACCCCTTTCCCGATTCTGTCGGTGACAGACGTTGAGCCAATTCCTCTCTTTAAGTCACGGAACTCGCCTTTCTTTACTCTGGACAAGATGATTCCACCGTCCTTCGCCTCCTGCTCGTATTTTTCGATCTTGCGGATCTGCGACGTCACCATCCCCTTACGCATGTGCATCGGCATCTTCTCCAATTTGGACGGCCCACCCTCATTTTTACCGTTGCTCGCGGCCACTGTCTGCAAACGCGAGTCCAAGGTGCGCTTTCTGGCCTTCCCAATTGGCATTTCGTAGTCAATAGTTTGCATTGTCAATTCTGCACCGGAGTACTGGGGCGCACTGTTGGCCAAAATGTGCGACTCAGACAACAAACGCTGCAACGCCACGTCCTTCTCCACGTTGTCGAGTTCCTCCTTGGTCTGGGTCCGGAACTTGGCCTGTTTCTGGGCCAAGTACTCCGCCTTCACCCGTGCCATCTCCAACGACGGAATCTTTCCCATCCGGGCGAGCTTTTCGTCCTTCTTCGACATGACGGGCTGGAAGTCGAACGACGAAGCCTCGGAGAATTTCACTACTACCGGTGTGCTCTCTTCTTCCGAAGCACTCAACTCGGAGGCAAACTCACCCTCGCTGACATTGTCACTATCGTTTTCCCAGGCGGCTTCTCTTTCACCCTCCTCGGAGTCTTCGCCGACAGATTCGTCTTCCGCATCCACTCGGGATTTGTCTTCAAAGCCCATATCCTCCAAAGACCCAAACTGGGCCTCGAAGTTGCGTCTTTGGATCTCCATCGCCTTCACGTACTCATCGTCGGACATATTGTGTATACTGTAATAGAGCGGCAAGAGTGGCTTCGTAACGCTGCTGGTATGCCCCGAAAAATTTCCTGGAAAAGAAACCAAATTTTCGAGCCGCATGCAGATTACAAGCGTCGTACTATCAAAGTTGCCACTTCTTTTGTACACACTCGATAAAATGCTCAAACCGTTGGGATCCGTAGGATCTGGAAAAATTGTTTCATCGCAGCAGTTGAATCTATGCGGACTATGCCACTGCACTCTAGCCAACTACACATGTCCCAGATGCGCGGAGTTGTACTGCTCACTTAAGTGTTACAAATCCGAAGCTCACGTCGCGTGCTCTGAAAAATTCTACGAAAAGAGCGTGAAAGAGGTCATGAGAGACAAAAATGAGGGGTCAGAGAGAGACAAACAGAAGTTGGTCGGCATCATCGACAGGTTTGACCAGTCCACAGATGGGAGCTGGAAGTACGAATTACCGGAACCACTCCAGAAGCTCAGGGAGCAGGTGAAGACCGAGCTACCGGAAATAGATGACTCCGACAGACCGTTGAGTAGAGAAGAGGAGATGGAGCTTGAGAGATTGATCAATGATGCAGATACCAAGAAGTTGTACAGTCTTTTGACAGCGGAGCAGCAGAAGGAGTTTGCAAATATGCTTGCTGAGAGTAACTACGAGGTTGACTATGACTAAGTGAGGTATATGTACTTTTAGTGACTTATTATGAACTACAATAATTCCTTGAAGAGAGTTCTAGGTGGTTCATATGGTATTTACCCAGAGAAGATACCAAAAGCCAAGTTCTATCTCTCGGATTTCCCTAGGAGATAACCTGGAGCCTCCTAGGAAGTTATCGTTCGAGACATATACCTATACTGCCTCGCTGGTATAAGCTGATCTTCAACGTTGCGGAACACACGGCTACACCTACCAATCTAGATAATGATGAAAATTTCTAAATACTATACGTTACATATTTTAATATTTGAATGTCAAAGTACCAACAAATCATTATCTATCAAAATATCAGCCTCTGTAGAAATATCCATTCTGAAAGGCAGCTGCATGCCTCATTATCGCCACGCGCACACGAAAAATAAACATTGTTTACATTTTAGCCTCACCATGTACAACCCTTTCCACCCTTCCCCTCCATCTCTAACGCCACAACTATCAAATACTAATTCTCCTACGTACAATCCACTACCCATTCTACCATGTCGCACACCCCCCTTGACGAGTTTGAGCTGTTTGAGCTGTTGAAGCAGCGGCTTAGTGCGTTTACAGAGACGTTTGAGGCCCGCCTCCACATGCAGTCCACAGCGCTCTTAAACCTGAAAAACGACTACCAGTTGAGACTAAATGATTTGAAAACACAACAGACACGGCTCCTCGGCGCGATCAACAAGTTGAAGGAAGACGATGGTGTTGTACGCGCTAACTACACTCAGGACCTCGCGGACCTCAATACCTCCAGGCTTAAAATTGAAACGCTTGCCTCCAACCAGACTAAGCTCGCAGACTTGAAGCAGAAGTTGCTAGCGCAGATTAGCGAAATTAACACCTCCATCCGGGTGAAGAGCGAGATGTTGCTGAAAACGAAAACGTTTCTCAAGCAGCAGAGTTTGCAGAACCCCAACGAGTTGTACGCGTTCGAAACGGTTTTGGCAATGCGGATTGACGCGCTGGCGAATGACATAATCACGTTTGTGTGGTGGAACATTGACCCTGACAATTATATGCGCGAGGTGTCGATTGGCTTGGACTTGTCTGAAGACCAGGAGCACGCAGGCTACAAGATTAGCGAGTCATCGCCCCAGTTAGACACAGAGACGATTTCCGGCTTGGAGTCAGCATTCAACCACCACCGGGAGTTGAGTTTGTTTTTGGCAAAGGCTCGAGGAGTGTTGAAAGGGAAGTTATTAGAGTAGAAAGTCACTTGGACTGCGTGTTGCTACAAACTTGAAACTGTCATACCAAGGTTTAAAACCCAGTCCGACGTCTGGGGATTCAAGTTTGTAGCAACTTCTTGAAAAGGTTATATCTTTGCTCCAAACCCCTGTGTGATGAAACATTAGAATTAATATGCTTGTTGTCCCGGGGAGTATTAGCACTTGTAACGGATTATATGTCAAATAATATCGGATTTTTTTTTTCTAAATAGTAACTAAGCTGCCTTGAGAAGTTCCCAGTGGTTACGCCAACTCGCAATTCAGCTTCACTACAAGCAGATATGTACAAACCTATATACAAGGGTCAGGCTCCAGTACTGGCCCGTCTAATACCCGATGAAAACCCAAATGAGGCTTCCCTCAGCATGCTTAAACTCCGCCAACCTTCGCCATCAACTCACTCTCCTCCAAGTGGGCCTGTAACCGTCTAATGGCCCAGTTCTTACCGATAAACTTGATATCCGGGTCACTGGCACCCTCACTAAGGGTGAAGCGTTTCCAGAATTCCGGCGATCCCAACCGCGGGTCTTCCGGCTTGAAGTAGCCGAGTGAGGCGCGCACCCCCGCAACATGTGCTCTGACGTCGGCCATCACCTGCGATCTGAGGCCCTGAACGACACTACCAACCTTCAAGTAGGTGGATAAGTCGCGCGGGTTTTCACGGTCATACTTTTCTTGGCACAAACGTCGCCACTCGGCTCTGTACTTCTCGATGACCTTGTCGTCGATAGGGTCGCCAATCGTGATTCTGATCTCGGCCCCACGATTAGGGAAAATGCGGTCGATCCAGTGCTCTGGAGCCGGTGTGTTTTCGTCCTTTTCCGGTACAAGCTTCTCGAACCCGTGGGAGAAGATGGGTAATACAATTGGCGCGCGCGTCGGCTCCAAGATCATCCGCGAGACACCCCAGTGGAAGTACCGCATAGAGTTGTTGTGTGGCGGCTCCAACTGGAGGACAAACGCCTCCGGAAATACGTGGATCCACGATGGCTTGGATCTTCGGAAAGGTAAGGTGTCCGGCCGGTAGAAATGGGTCTGGGGGTCGATCACCGGAATCGGATCCAACTTTCGGATGCGCGTGTGTGCTAAAAGACGACGTAAAAGCGAGGGCGATGCAGGAGGATCAGGCACAAACTGTTCCTGGAAGGTTCCCTCCGGACACAAGAGGCGAATTCCGGCGTCGATGGAACCCTGGAATGGCCCGCAGCCAAAGCGTTCAGTGGAAAGAATCTTGCCTAGAGAGAAAAAGTAGGAGAGACCTGGAGATGTGAAACATACGTTATGGGCCGCTAATCCCCATCGTATGGTGTCAATATCCTTGAAGTACTTCAAGGGCAAACACCCCCACAAAAACGGGTCGTCGCACGTGGACATGTGGTTCATCACGGTGATCAAACCTCGATTCTCTGCCTCAGACCGCGCTAATGCGAGGTCAAGTTTGTCTAAGCCCACTACCATGGGGTTGTAGAGCAAGTTGGCGATAGCTTTGGAGCTAATAACGGCAAATAAGCACGTGGCTTGGGAGAAGTAGTTCCAGAGCTTGCTGTTTCTGGGATACTGCGAGAGGAATTCATCACCACGTTCGAGAACCGCTGGGAAAGACATGGTGACTGGCTCAGCTATTACACCCGTGCTAGGTTAGATGTGTTGGTGGAAGCAGAAACGACCACTGTTTATGCCAATCAGAGCTCATGGCTGAAACTTTTTTTTTATTTTTCATTTCTTTTTCATGACGTAGAAATCTCGATAGTATCGTAAAGTATATATGTCACGTGACAGGCGGCCCATGACCTCCGGGGCTGTTGGGTATAGTCGTGGGAATGGCGAGGTGACACATTTGGTTGTGTCGATAGTCGTTTGGTTAGGGTCCAAACACGAGCCAGTGAGAAACGTGGGCCTACCCCCCTTGCAATTATACTAAACGTGCGAATTCAAGATTCCGAGGGATACGGACAACCTGAGCTGAGCACGTTTCTCATCTAAGTTGCTTCGTTAATTTCGCAAACTCCGGAGTTGCCCCACATTCCCACAACGTGTACGTAAGAATCCACCATTGTGGTCTGGGTACCAGGAGATATGCATGTCAGGTTTGAGGACTCGGCCCATTTACCTCGTATAGCTGTGTGTAAGGCGTTTAAGCCCAGACCAATTCCTCAAAAATTCGGTCCACGAGAATCCGAGAAACGGAAAAACGCGTATCCGCTAAGTCGTCTAGTGGCAGATCTGAGATGCACATGCGTGGACATATGTCAGAATGTAAGTGCTGACTCCAACTTTATCTCAATACGGGCTTAAGGCTTGGCTCAAGTCTTTTTCGTTCCTTAAAACAACGCTCTTCGAGTTTTAGGTGTAAAGTTTGGCTAGTTGGCACCCTTTTCACGTATTTACTGTTGCGTATAGTGCATTACTGCAGATCCCTTGTCCTTGCAGAACCCAGATCACACACCAAAGCTCAAGCCAATTAGCCTTACGCCTATTGGCTAAACCCTTCTATGGAATGCCAATCAATGAATCACCGCCTTCGCCTTTTGACCGATCGTGTTTACGCCGAACGGGTTTGTAAAGGACAGAGATACTCGCCAAGCCCTCCCCGCCATAAGGAAACACGTGGGACGGTAAAAAGCCAATGCCATACAATTGAAGTAGATATGACACTTAGGCCACGGCAGCCTCTACACATTTTTACGAGAATTTTGATTTTATACTTGGTAACGAATCGTGCTAGACGGGAAAACGAAATGCGGTAAGAGAACCGCTTAAGCGGTGAAGGTCAAAGAGGCACCCAACTTGTGGACTGGCTCAGCCAACTTCAAGGCGTTGAAGGACGAACCCAAGCCCAAGGTGACACCTGGTCTTAAGGCCTGGGAGTAGGAAACGGCAGCGACACCAGAATCGGCGAACTTGGCCTTCACGAAGGCAGACTTGTCCAACTTGTACTTCGCAGCGAACTCGACATTTGGAGTACCCTGCTTGACAGAGTCCCAGGTGGCCTTAGCACCGGCTTCAACCAATGGGGAGACCTTGTGGTAGTAGGCGGCAGAAAAGACGGACAAGTTGTTGAAGGCAATGGCGGAGACGGTGTAGTCGAACTTGGAGTAAGCAACACCGAGGGAGTATCTGTCAACCTTGGCGGAGGCAATGTCATAGCCCAATTCACCACCAACGGTGAAGCCTTCCTGGCCAACGGAAATGTCCGCAAGGGCCTTTGGCTTGATCAAGTCGAAGAAAGCTCTACCGTGGACGTTGGATTGCTTGAAGAACAAGTTCAACTTGGCGTTTCTGGCACCGTTTGGAATGACAGAAGTGATCAACTCACCCTTGAGGCCTGGAGCCAAAAGCTCAGCCAATTCCAACTTGGTGTCCAAGACGTTGGCGTTGTTCCAACCCTGGGTCAAGGTGAAGCCGGAGGCCTTGTCGGAGAACTTGGCTTCGATGTTGGCGGCAATGGATTCATCCTTCAAGGTCTTACCCTTGGCAGTGAAGGCAACACCGTTTGGAGTAACGGTCTTGACTTCAACAGCGGCGGTGGACAAGTGGAAGAAGTCCTTGTTCAACAAGTCATTGGCTGGCTTGGCGATGTCGGAGTAGGCTGGAGGTGGGGTTCTCAAGGCTGGGGCTGGAACGACTATGATTTGTGGTTGGGCGGACATTGTGTGTGTAAACTGGTTAACAATTGAGGAAGAAAAAAAAGAAAAAAGGTGGACGAAGAACGGCGAAAAGGAGCAACGTGCGCGTTTATATTTACAAGCCGAGCGGGAAGCAATTCTGCGAGAAACGGTTCATCCAGTGCGCCACTGGCTGCCGAACACTGTGGAAGAAATGACCCCGGGGTGGCGCCGCAGCCCAACATTAATTGAGCAGGCACGTGTAGCACGTGCAAAACGCGTGATATCTGACCGATCGGAGATGTACGTCCTGGCAGATGACGTGACGTACTAAAGTTTGGCAGTAAGTGCACAAGGTTTGAGATCAGGACATGGTCACTGAGATATATCAAAGCCTAACTGAGATACTGAGTCACGCCAGGTTTGTTTTGAGTGTGCGAGGCATATGGCTTGGGATTATTCCGGCATTAATCTGTGAAGAAGAAAGCTGGAGGTTTTAGCAACAATCAAAGGTCGTTGCTAGGCAGAGCACCAGTACCGTGTCGGATATTATTTGGCACTGTGGGGGAAGTGGCACAGGGTTCTCGGGCATAAACGGCAGATATGTGTGTGTGTGTGCCGGGGTATTGCAACAACGAGGCTAGTTGTTGTTGATTCCATGGAGCTGTTAAATCGTTCTCCGAGTGATTGGAACAGCCATTAGAAGCCATTGATGGGTTCCTAGCATGATTAATATTGACTTGACACTACAGCTTGCGAAAGGGCGACTAGGGGTGGCCTGTGCCACAGTTAACGGGGGTCTATAATCCTTACTTTAGCGGTAACGATAAAGGTGGAGCCTTCATAATTCCCAATGAGGGGTAGAAATGCTACTAATTCATTAGGGTAAGTTAATATTATTGCCAAAAGTTTTAGTAGTAACCATTACTTAACGCGTTGGTCAGATAGCCCAACTAGCCATTGGTTTTACGACATAGAGCCATACTTCAAGGCTGCATTCGGATATCAACGACTTTCTCTTTTATGGTACTCTGTGCATATAATTTATACAGGGAATTTCAGGATTCGTGTAACCTTTAGTGCACCGAGACTGGGATCAGGAATCACAGCTTGTGAATCCTCCACTCTGCTACGTAGACTTTGCTTTTAGAACATTACTCCTTCCCGTAAGATTTGGGCGGAGGAATCATCGTAAAGAAGCGACAACCACTTTTATACAACATCAAGTTAAAATAACACTGACCCCAATGGTTCCTTCGGTCTTTCTGACATATCCCACCAGAACAGTTTCTCAATAGTGGTGACTTGCACACAGCAGACTCAGATTATTCAAGCAAGAGCGTGCGACTGTCAACAGAGATTCTAGCGTCGCTTTGTACTTCCTCCTGGATAGATACCAAAGCGGAGCCACCCAGCGAGGCACGCACTCCAGAGGAGCTTCCTTCCGCTTGTGGTTGGTCCGAAACCGTCTGGTATCTCCCCTCAGTAGCCGTACGTTCAAGTGAGTACTTCCTGTAGACCACTCCAACGATCACTAACCAGTATACGATGTACCCCGATACGCTCCCATATGTCGCACTATTGGTCCACCCAAAAATAGCAGTGAACATCATCCATCCGCCGTCAATCTCACCGTTACAACAGTTTACGTGCCACACCGAGTTTGTGATGTCATACGAGCCAGGACCCGAACCCACCTCACTCATATCCTGACCGTTGCACAAATTAATGTAGCGCTGCAACTCGAACTGCCAGATGCCCTTGCTGAACAACCCGGCTGCCACCAAATAGAGAAGACACGTGGAGGAGACGAGAAAGTATTTCAAATGAACGGTGGTCCCAAACTTGTAGATCACCACACCGATCGATAAACCAAGAAGTAAGGCTAGTAAAAAGGATAACGGTAAGGTGGTGAGGGGATCAGACATTCCAACCCCTCCCACAAACACTACCGCTTCAAGCCCTTCACGCAAGGTGGTGATGAAAGGAAGAATGAACATGGTGTGCCTTTTGGCCCAGGAGATCTGATTCTCGTCAAATAGCCACTGGGGATTCACCGATGAGCGGAGCTTGTGTTCCCACTTTCCCTTCCACCGCTCGACACGTAACATACCAAAGCCCATGACACTGATGATGATGGCCGCAATAATGGAAAAGATCCCTTCCCAGTAATGCTCAGTTAAGGACCAGTAATCAACAGAGACTCTGTAGAAGAGGTAAATGATAAGTGCCCCAATCATGAAGCATACTGATAGGCCTGCAATGGCCCCTAAGATGATCTCAGTCTTGAACTTGGAGGCTAAACTGGATGAAGTGTTGGCAGAGAGAGGGCCAGTTTCAGACTGTTTATTAGGGATAAGAGGGTTGGTGTTTGTCGGGGTTTTAATGGCATCGGCCGTGGTTTGGAAGGACTGGTCAATGAAGGCTAGCAACACCGAGATGATGATGACCGACTCTAACGTTTCCCTGAGAATGATGAAAAAGACTTGGGCCGAAAAATATTGTTCAAATTCAAGCATTATAAAAGGTGAAATCTCCTAACTTGGAATAATTTGCTCAAGATAAGACTTAGATCAACGGATAACTTTGAGGTTTAGAAAGGCAGACTCTGAACGTTTGTGGAGAAATCCTGCAAGTATGTGCTATATATACCACAGCATTAGTCATCTTTGATCCGTAGTATATTTAATACTTCTTGAATTCTTTGCCGTTGCCACTGCGAAATTGCTTCCGCGTAGTCGTGCGGGTTCATGTAATAGATGTGTACAGACTCGTGGGGGCTGTAGTGACATCTCGGACATAAGTGTTTTGTACCCGCGCACATATCGGAGATTACCGCCAGGTAAGAGCGGAGTCTCAAATCGTACCGGATGTCAGTCCAAAAAAGTAATACTGGATATCCCTTGAATATCTAGCTTTGATTTCATTTTTATTGCTTATCTTACGTCGTCATTCACATGCAGTATTTTCGACTTGCTTCAATTCAGGATGGCCTAAGATTATCCACATTTCACCGCATCACTAGCGTGCAGCTTTCTTGGCTGCAATCGTAATACGAGCCGCCTAACTAGGACCGTTGCAACCCCGCGTTTTCCATATTGCACGAGTCTTATTTCCAGCATACGAGTCGCGCTATCTCCGGCTAGGAACTATACGATGGCAAGTAGGGTATATACCGTAGACGGATGTTAGGGGGGGGAGGTTTTTTTTTCTTTTAATAATTCTGTTCAAGGGAATATATGGCCCTGCGGTTATCTGGTACTTTAGGAGAGTATAGCCGTAGCCGCCAGAACGGGTGCTTTCCAATTAATCTTGGAGGCACAACACCATGAATGTTGTAGGTGGAAGGTACGGGCCTTTTTGCGTTCCAGTCTTGATTGAGTTGTGCTTCAACCACGCATTTTTTTTACCCTACTCTATCGATATTAGGTATTTTCCTGGACATACCCTCTGCCTTTTAATTTCTAATACATTAGCCATATGCCAACCCCGGACAGAATCAACCTGCTGCTCGATTTGGCCATTGTAAGTTATACTCCCTGGAGTTTCGCAGACGTCTCTTAGACACATACTAATACACTTTCGAGGCAATATCACTTATTAGAACCAGAAATACATTACATGGCAACAGGTATTCCTTGGACGGTACGTTATTTATCACGAGAACTTCTAGTATTGAATGGAACTAACAATACTAGCCTTCGTGGGCGAAATTTACAAAGAGCTAAAAAAGTCCACGGCCCCACTACCAAAGAAATCCTTAATCGTAACGCTTAGCTTCACACCAAAGAAAACCCAGATAGCTCTTCCAGCCTACGTAATCCAGTCTCTCCAAGAAATAAAGATTAGTGTAGACGATGTCTCTACTATCCATCAGTTTGACATAGAAAAGGTGAAACCCCACTTGAAATCCCTCACTCCTCTGTGCCTCGCTGGTTTAGTGAGAGTTTTTAACTACGTTGGAAAGCTTCTGTCCCATAAACGTTTGTCCTCCAGTAGCCATGGAAAGTATGATGCCATTTTGCTGCACCGAATAGAGATCGCAAGGTGTATTCTCAAGGTTTTCAAAAACCTTCCAAAGGAATCCTTGTTGGAAGATCAGTCATGCAGAGAGTTGGAATTATCCCCCATCCGGTTGGAACTCCAAGAACTTATCCTAAATCCGTTCAGAGGAAATCGCGACCTCTCCAAAGTTACAACCAAGAAGCTCCAATATTCCATTAACTTGTACGCAGTAATTATGGAGAGACTACTCTTGGATGAGCGACAAAACGAAGAGATCCTCACCAAGGAAGTTTGCGAGATCAGTACCAGGCTTGAAATGTTACTCCACACAGAGATCGAAAAGACAAGTGATGTACAGGCTCCTTTTTTGCACAATACTTACGCCAAGAACGTGTTTTACTCCACTTTTGAACAACGTGCAAGATCGTTAAGAAACGAGCGACTGAAATTTGTGAATATGAACTTTGAATATGATGTGTCGATGCTGAAAGGTGCTAGTACTGCTTGTTCCACTAAGATCCCCTCAGAGATGGGATATTCGGTTATCTATTACCATTTACATTTACTACTAGCCATGATGAAGATCTACAGGAGGTGCGTTTATCCGGTCAATTGTCGATTGAATCCAAAGGCGAGCTCTGCAAACGCCAGAAGAATCAAAATGTCAAGAATGAATATGCTAAGCGTGCTAATTGTGTATGCGAACGAGGAGTTACTTGAAGTTTACCAGAAAATTGACTGGGGCGATGTATGAAGAATGTGGTTTCTAGGATGGTGGTGTGGCCATATTCAAGTCTTTAGAGTATATTTCTACCAGTAAAGGCGTTAAAGGCTTGAAAACATCTGAGTTCTCTAGAACTAACCTTTGGAGGGAAATACCATAGATACCCGACATAGTATGTGAAAGCTCCCTAACACAATTCGTCCGAGTTAGGACTAATATGCTGTTTTACTAACCTTTCGCTATCAATCATCCTTATTCTGTACTACCTAATTTCGGATCCTGTAGATTTCACCTATACTAGCCATAATACCATACGCCTTAAATTTCGCCGTTTCCAGTTCACAATCTTTGGATATCAATCACGTTGCATCAAAATTCAATAAACAAGTATATTTATACCTGCCCTTAATCCCATACAGGGTACAGCACTATCGATTATCGGTGCATTCAAACATTCGCCCCCGCGCTATGTGCGCGACACTGGCTTATATCAAATTGGCAACATCTTGCTCTCGCACCGGCCTGAAGTAGTCATGCTGCATGGCCTCCTTGGCGGTCAACCGGTCCATATGGTCATACCGCAAGACCTTATCCAAAAAGTCCAAGACGTCGTCGCTCACCAAATGCTGATTCTTCTCGTCGACAAAGCGCTTCCAGGGTCTTCTGGCATGCACTCCAATTAACCCGTCATACTCCAGGGGAAGTGTAATGTTGTACTTGTCCAAATACGCGTCCAAGCCGTCAGTTCCCAACACACAGGCGATCTTGATAAGTTGGTCAGGGTTAGACTTACCGTAAAAGAACGGCTCCTTCAAGAACACCATGGATGCAAGCATTGCACCTAGCGACCACATGTCGAGTGAGTAGTCGTAATAGCGGTAGCCCACGAGCAACTCGGGGCCTTTGAAGTAGCGCGACGCAACACGTACGTTGTAGTCCATCTTGGGATGGTAGTACTCGGCCAAGCCCCAGTCGATGAGCTTCAACACACGATTCGGGTGGTCAATCATCACGTTGTGCGGCTTGACGTCACGATGCATGATGCCCTGCGAGTGCGCAAAGTCGAGTGCTTTGAGCAACTCGTACATATAAAAGCGGATGTCAAAGTCGGTGAAGGTGGGGTATAAGGTGCGAAAGTCGGTGTTGTTGACGTACTCGAACACAAGTGCACGAGTATTGGACTGCGGATCGCGCACAGTGTCGAGGATCTCGATGACATTCGCGTCCTGCCCCGAAATGTTGCGCAAGATGGAGATCTCGCGTTTAATCCTACTCTTCTTGATCGGCTTCAACACCTTGATCACGCATTTGCGCTGGTCTTTGGACGTCACGTCCGTGCCGAGAAACACGTCCGAGTACTTGCCACGCCCGATCTTCGAGATGAGCTGGTAGCTGTCCTGAGGCCACCACTTGAGCATGTTGTTTTCGTAGTCCCAGTAGCTCTTGGGGTGGTGGGAAAGCGCGTCCGCGTAGACTCGTGACTGGGTGATGACTACGGAGCTGGCAACGGACATGAACAACAAAAACGAAAGGAAAAGGGAACTAAGAATGGTGACTGGCTGAAGGAAAACCATAGCTCGATGTCAAGTGTAAGCGGGCTGCGCGATGAAAATAGACGGCTGCATGAAGCATCAGAAGAAAAGTTTGTACAGGTGGGGGTGGTTTGACTAAAATACCATTCGCCTGCATATGTGGCCAGCGTGGCTTTGCTGCGTCACCAGGCATAAGGCTTGGGGATCGACAGAAATGGACTAATAGATTTAACATGATAGGAAACCAATCGGCGGTTTATTTTAATTATTACATTGTATGCAAATAGTTGATAATTAGAGTTATAAGTCATACCACCCTTCAAATCTGAAACCGAAGTTCATGCGAATGCCAGTACCATGGAAGATGAGTGCCCCCAATATATTACGTTGGCCATTCTCGCTAAAAATCTTGAAGGGTAAAAATTCTCCTGGAAAATGGAATTGGCAGCATTTTCGCCGAAAATATGAAACCTTTATTTTTTTTTTCCTTTCATTAGAACTATAGGAAATGCAGTTATCGCTCGAACAATAGGATCAGCTAACTGTGTAGCACAATATTTAGGAAATTTTGTGGAGCACGTTTTCCCGTGATTTGTTGCTTCATGAACTATGAGACAAGATTTCCGCTGTGCGACCCTTAACGGATTCCAAAATGATCCTTGAACATTTTTTGATTTCGGCGACCGGAAACCTTTTATAGCCGTGCCTATAATCAAGGTATATGCCGTTGTCCGAATTGGTCGCCAATAAACGCAGTTATACCATTTATTATACTGATTTTACACCATAACATACATACAGATAGACCAATTAATAATTACATTAGTAATCAAGAGATTATCCCAATTATTTCGGGTAGGAATCGTATATCCTATTCTAACAGTAATGTACCACTGAAAGGCCGGCTAAGCCGCACGCCTGGACCACCAATGTGACACGTGCACGTGAGCGGTCGTGCTCAAACCCGCCTTATCACCAGCTGAGACTCACCAAAGCGGCTATTAAAAAAAGCTGACTAAAACACGAAGGTGGTTTTGGTCACCAACATCGTCCCAGTTGCTATCTTGTTGTTACCAATACAAAGCTTTGGCCACTGTTTCTATATCAACACTTTGTTTTGAGACCGTGCGGTTCCGTTTGTCATCAGTCATTCAAGATTAACAGTCCAAACAAAGCTTGCCGAATTCACACAAAGGCCGCCATTGAATCATTTCTTCAACTACATTTGAACACTCGAGCAACAATTGATCACCTGATCCTGTACCTCGATTGAGCTGCCCAGCGTCCCAACTAGGTTTGAACAACGCCATCACGAACCACACACTAAACCTGATGACCGATACCCAACTCGCTCCGCTTGAGGGTTCTCCGCTTAAGGATTCGGCAGATCTTGCTTCGCTCGTGGAGAGCCTTACACAAAAGCTAGAGCGCTCGACAGCGCTGGAAGCCGCCTTACAGACCTCTCTCACAGAGTACAAACAACAGCTCACAGTGGCAATGGGCGCGGACGCAACCACCCATCTCACTGCTGAAATTGCGCAGTTGAACATACAGCTCGCAAAGGAGCGACAGTTGCGTCATACGGCTGACACTGAGTGTAACGGATTGCGCAAGGAGATTCAGGATCTCAGCGAGTCGCTCTTCAGCGAGGCCAACGCGATGGTCTCGGACGCGCGGCGTGAGGCGTACGACTACCAGGTGCGCAACACGCGCTTGACGCAAGACATGGATAATAAGAAGGACTACATTGAGATGCTCGAGTCGCAGCTATCGGACTTGAAGGATACATTCCGGCGTATGGAGGATGAGTCGATCCTGAACCTCTCGGGGTCCAACGTGCATCTTGCACTGGTATCGCGGCTCTCGGTGGCAGAGGAGGACGAGCCGCGGCCTGAGACACGGCCCGAGGGCCCGTCAAACCGGAATTCTGTCATGTCGATTCGCAACGTCCAGGACGATGACGCGCACAAAGCCACGCACCATACCGCGATATACGCACCGTTACTCCGTGGCGTTCGCTTTGATCTCCCCGGCTATGACGACTTCAAGTGGTTCGTTACAATGATTTCTGATCCTGGCTTTGTGTATGAGCTCTCCGGCTTGAATACGTCCATCTACTTCAACCGCATTTACAAGCAGGATGTGGAGGCCACGTTGAACCTTGCGGCGGCGCCGAAGGTGTCGTTCTTCACGCGCAAGACGTTCATCAAGCACCTTGCGGATGGTAACGTTATCATCGAGCCCATCTCCGGTATCAATGAGACCTACCGCCACAACTTTTCCAAGAAAAGCACCATCGCCGAGGCTGATACCGAGTACGTCACCACCAACATGTACCTGTACCCCAAGGATTCGCCGCCCATTGCCACCAAGGAGCACTGTGCCTTCTGCGGTGAGTCACGCAACGACGTTTTGGAGCACTCGCGCTTGTACTACCTCCGTATTGTCCCCCAGAAGACTGAGGAGACCTACCCGATGTGTCAATACTGCCTCGGGCGTATCCGCGCAGTGTGCGAGTTCTTCTCGACCGTGCGCCTGATCTCCAAGGGTGTAGTGGTGAGCTTCCGTAACAAGGACGATGTCGAGAACAGCTACCGCAAGTGCTACGTGATGTTGTTGAAGCTCCGCGCCAAGATGCTCTGGGCGAGGGCTGGTATCTGGGATAACGGCGAGAATGTCATTCTGCTCAGCGATGAGGACTTGATGACACACTTGCGGAGGTTGTATCCGAAGCCATAGGAGGGAATAGTGGCTAACATGGCATTTATACGCGAAAGATGTAGCTTAAATAGATACGCTTGCTTTGCTGAAGTAATTAATGTCTGGGAGTTATTCTCATTGCTCACCCAGCTGAATTATGCCTGTTTCACATTACTTGTATTCTTGATGGAACACAAACTGAGGGGCTTGGTTTAGGTTGGATGGCGATTAGGGGCTAGTAAAGTAATATCCCTAGAAGTGGTATTCCTCGTAAACATTGGAAACCAGCCGAGGACCGGTGAGGACACGGACGTGTGACCGGCAAGCTTTCCGTCAGCTTTATTGACAAGACATTTACAGCACCCAACTTGATGGATTACGAGTCTTTGGGTCTTTTCACGCCAAAACAGGGTATACTAGTAAAAAGTATACCATCCAAGTCTTTGATTAAATGGGCGAAGAGTTATATGCAGGCACTCTGGCACGTTCTCATAGCGCCATAAATGGTCCAACACTCGGATATCGATATTAAATACACACCAGGTGCACAATGATAATCAGTGTGGTTTCATTTTCATCCGTTTTTATAAGCTGTCCTATTTCTATCAGCTGTTAACGTATATTGTATCGATCTCTATCAGACTACTAATAATTGGGAAATATTGAGTTCCGACACCTACCGCACTGTACACCCAAAAAGGTTAATAATCACTTGACATACAAAAGTTCATAAACATCTGACATAAAAAGGTTAATAAATATTTGACTCAGAAAGTAGTAATAAACCCATTTAAATTACACTACCCTACACCAGGGATTCTTCGGAAAGAGAAACTCATACAGTAATAGGTGGAAGTTAATGTCCTAATCTGGTCACGTGCAGAAAGAGATATCGAGAGACCAGAGTATCACTGGAACTTTCCATAATGTCTATGTGTCTGTTAAGCGCGGTGGTAACCCATACGCTAGCAGAGGACCACTCCCGCACTCATTGCTCTGAAACAAATGCAAACGATTAAATTACAAGGTTAACGCTTCCCATCCAATAGCAGAAATTAAATTTCTCTATCACTAACTGGTAACGTTTCGTTACACTCTCCAAGTGCGGCCCCGCTCGTGCTCTGAACTCTATAGTATCACGTGATGGTTACGCAGCCCGGATATCCGAGATGGCGGCGAGCTGAAAAATTCTATCATGACTGCTCAGCTCCACTGCTTAGCTCTACAAAAACACTTGTACATATACAACCATTGTTGTTTTCAATATCAAATACGATGCTCCGCACTAACATCACCAGAGCCGCCCGCGTCAGCGGAATCCGTGCCTTCCACGCGTCCGCCGCTGCCCGCGCCCAGAGCCCTAAATCGCCGCTCCAGGTCTTCTACGAGACGTTCAAAACGGAAGTGAAGAAGTCCAACGAGTTGAAGGACTCCATGAAAGCGTTATCCGACGAAACGGGACGTATGGCTGAGTCTGACTCGTTTAAGAAGGCCAAAGAGGCGTACGACAAGGCGCAGCAGGGTCGTTCCGCTGCGGGTGAGGTCCTCAAGAAGACCGGTGAGGCCGTGGGATCCGCCGCTGTGAAGGCATGGGAGTCGCCGGTGGGTAAAGCTACCAGAACCACCGTCGTCAAAACCGCCGAAGTCGTGGACAAAGTCATGGAGCCGGTCAGACAGACGCAGGCGTACAAAGACTTGTCTGAGGTTATCGATGATGGGTCTTCCACCGCATACGGTGGGTTCGTTACCAAGGAACAAAGAGAAAGATACAAGGAAACAGAGTTGAAGGAAAACTACAAGCGTATCGTCAAGGCGAACGAAGAAGCCGGTAACGCGTTGGTCGCCACGGATATCAAGCCGGACGGGCCATCTACCAGCGAAAAGTGGGAGGCGTACAAGGTCCAGACACCCGTCGGGAGATTTGTGGCGGATACCAAGATGAAGTGGGACGAGTCTGAGAACGGGCTAATCTCGCTTGTCAGAACCGTCGGGGAGAAGGTTGGGGGCTTCTTCTCCGAGACCGAGACTGCACGTGTGTATAGACAGTTCAAGGAGATGGACCCAACCTTTACCATGAACGGATTTCAGGAGCACTTGCGTAACTACATCATTCCGGAAATTTTGGATTCTTACGTCAAAAACGACGAGAAGGTGTTGAAGGAGTGGTTGAGTGAGGCGCCGTTCAATATTTGGCAAGCACAGACCAAGCAGTTTACTGAGCAAGGCTTGTTCTCTGACAGTAGGATCTTGGACATCAGAGGGATCGACATCATGTCCGCCAAGCTCCTTCCGCCTAACAATGTGCCGGTGGTTGTGGTGTCATGCAGAGCCCAGGAGGTTGCCTTATACAGAAACGCCAAGACCGGCGAGATCGCCGCGGGAACCTTGGGAAACATTCAGTTGAGCACCTACGCCATGGTGTTGACCAGAATCCCGGAGGAGTTGGACAACCCGGAGACCGGTGGGTGGAAGATTATGGAGTTTGTTAGGGGTGGCTCTAGACAGTTCACCTAAGTAATGTTTAATGAGTATGGAATAAATGTATATAGTGAGTGAACGTAGGAGTGTCAAATAAAAACCAGGTATCACTGGCCAGATCTTTCAGAATATAGTAGCTGCCACAAATCTAACATCCAAAGAGAAAAAGTAGGTGAGCCCATGACCCCAAGATATTAAGCGGAAGCTTTGGCTGAAAACACTCTGCGGATATTCGTCATTAGTCATAATGAGAACGGTAGCTATTGAGGCATATAACACATCTTAGAGGTGTGGATGTAGTATGACCGAAAGTCTGCCTAACTCCCAGACAGAAGTCATCCGTAAATTAGGTTACAACTGATAGTAACAGGGCCGAGGAAGCCCTCTGAGCTTTACACATATATCTGATTAGCTCGAAAATAATAACCTGGTCCTGATGGGGCTATAAGGTTATTAGGTGGAATTTATCTTTTGCTATAGAGACATAACTGTAGACGGAAGAAAACGGCCGGTTATGGTGTAAGTGATGATTCCTAATTTTCCACTCGGAGATTCACCAAACCGTACGTTATTACCGACTTCAAACAATCTACGTAGTTTACTTAGGCACGCTACAAGCTTTCGGCAAAGGATTTTGACGCCATTTTCACGGCGGAGGAAGGGGTCCCCAATTTGTACCGGAGCCGCTACATGAAAAAAAAATTAACAAAACACTTGAGACATGGTAAATATTCCCTTGAGGCAAGATCCAATATAGTGAAATACTATGCTATAATCGTCTCCTTGGCGATCAACGAAGTACAGAGAACCTCAGGAACGGCATCCCATCAATGGGTGATCCTCTCTGGGTAATATGCTTAAGAGAAGAGGATGATAAAATTAGTAGAGGCCGAATATCGAGTTAAGAACTCCACAAGGCTTCCGCTCTCACCCCCATCTAAAGCTCACTTAGCCCTACGTAACGTTTGACTCACAATACTCTGGTTACTGAACGTATACCCTTCACTTTATTTCACCAGATATAAAGGTTAACGCTAACTTCACTCAATGATTCAGTTCTCTTAACCCTTCACGAATCTATTTCACTGCCCTTTGTGGTTCGACTTTCATATTGAACTCGATATCCTGCATCGCTTACCACGGAAGTTTTTGCCACTACCTCGGAGGATTCTCGGGAAAGGAAATGTACATCACACGGAGGTGTACCCCGAACGAAAAAAAAAATACAATGCAGAAGGTACATAACAGCTATATTTCATCGCTTTGCCACCTTTTATTCTCTCCCCCCGCACATAACCATGTTGCTGAACATAGCTAGAGGAATACCGGGAATCAGGGCCCTTAGAATTGGCAGAACCCTCAGTGTCCGGACAGCCCCAACTGCCAGACTGCTCAGCATCGCCAGATACAACTACAGCTTGAACACGGTTTGGTTGTGCCAGAACAGATATAACTCTTCTGTAGCCACACCACCGACCCCAGAGCCAAAGGAGTCCAAGCTGACACAGATTTGGGCGAAAGTGAAGCATGAGGCCCAGCACTACTGGAACGGGACCAAGTTGTTAGGTCTTGAGATGAAGATTTCGTCCAAGTTGGTATTCAAGATGGTCAAAGGGTACGGGTTGAGCAGAAGAGAGTACAAGCAATTGGAGAGAACCACCACAGATATCATCCGATTAATTCCATTTTCCATGTTTGTGATCATTCCGTTTGCGGAAATCTTGTTGCCGTTTGCGCTCAAGCTTTTCCCTAACTTATTGCCGTCAACCTACCAGACCGCGGGCGAAAAGGAAAAGAAATTGGCGTTGTTGAGAAAGTCACGGAAGGATGTAGCGCGTACATTGAACGGAATTTTCCAGAAGACCAAGTTCCAGTTGCCGTCCACCGTGACCGATGCCGAAAAGTTGGCATTCCAACAGTTTTTCGCCACCGTCAGAGACAATGACGCGAACGTCGCCTTAACCCAAGACATTTCCCGCGAGCAGTTAATCTTGGTTGCCAGATTATTCAAGGACGATGTGGTTTTAGACAACTTGTCACGCGACCAGTTGGTCGCGTTGGCCAAGTATATCCAGCTTAACACCTTCGGGTCCCAGCCGCAGTTACTCCGCTACAGAATCCGCCACAAGATGTTGACGATCAAGAACGACGACAAGGCTATCGATTACGAAGGTGTGGAGTCTTTGACGCTCGCTGAATTGCAGGCCGCCTGCGCTATGAGAGGCATGAAAGTCGTTTCCGTCCAGGCAGACAAGTTGAAGGCCAACTTGCAGTCGTTGTTGGACTTGAGATTGCACGAGAAAATTCCGTCCACCTTGTTGCTTTTGTCCACCGCCTACGCCTACCGCACGGACGGTCCCACTGCCTCTACTGAGGACGTTGACACCCTGTACGACGCCTTGGCCGCAGTTTTATCCTCCATTCCTGTGGAGTTGTACCACGAGACCGCGTTGAATGTCAACGAGGTTGGTTCCACCGAACACACTGCCAAGAAGATGGCTGTTTTGAAGGAGCAGGAGGAGTTGATTAAGAGCGAGAGCTCCCAGTCCAGCGACGATATCCATATCCAAGTAAAGGACAAGTTGAACTTGGACGAAGAGGTTGAAGCGAAGGAGGTGGAGGCCCCAAAGGAGGAGAAGTAGACGTGTATTTATGATTCTGTAATGTTAACCGACATCTGTATATAACGATTTATGTAGTGTCTCTCGAGAAAGCGGTGTCATGCATGGCATTAAGCGACTTGTATCGTAATTGAAGCTTGGGAAAATTACACCTAAGTCAAAAAAGTAGGTATGGTTTGGGAAAGACATTGAGGAGCAGAGAACGGTTAGTTATGGAGTAGGTAAAGAGTTATGCACGACTCTATCTTTTTAGCTTATCTCTGTTTGAAATAGGATTTCGCGGTAGTGAGTCCTGTCCACCGATATCCCTCTGAGATTCCTTGCAAAATAGCATTTTGGCTCCACAATCCATCCACAATTGTTTAACACCCTACATCTAGGTAGTCCAAATCTCAAGTTAAATCGGTGTATAATCTATATAATCGCAATAAACGGAAGGCCATGCTACGGTATGTTCAAGTAATCATTCAACCCTCGAAGGCACAAAATAGATCCTAGCTGTATCTAGAATGTATTCTCCTCGTAATACTTGATCTGGGCGCTGATCTCATCGCACAACTCCATCTTCTCGACATCCTTGAACACCTCAAGTTTGACGTTCATCTCGCAGAGTAAAAAGCGCATGTTCTTGTATTGGGTCAACTCCACATCAAAACCGGCTTGGTCCTCGCCGAAAATGCCATCCCCATACAACCTAACCCTCTCACCCTTTTCGTTGATCACCTTCTTTTCAGTGAACAAGGACCATGGGTTGAACTTCGGGAAGTTGGCGTGGATGAACATGAAACGCGGTTTCGTGATGGGGCGTCCATGAATCGGCGAAAATACTGGCTTGTATTCCGGCAACTTATTGTTCACTCGCATGTTGTATATGTGATAGTCCTCGATCGGGTCGTACTGGCCCATACCGGTCCCCACATAGTTGTGGTCCGAGTCAAAGTAGCCCAAAGCACGGAGGAAGGTGCTAACTTGGTAGTACTTATTCTTGAGCACTACGGAAGCAGCCACAAAGGTTTCCTTGTCACCTTCGCCACTGACCCCCTGGGAAAAGAGCGGATAGTAGTGCGACGGCCCGTACAAGTTGTAGTACAAAGCCAAGAACAACTCCTTCATGTGGGAGTTTTTGGAGATCATGACCTGCCCCGACTCAGAGGACGGGTTCGGAATAGCACCCTCATAGTCATGGAGCGGCACGTCCTCCTCGACCTCACCACTAATAACCTTCTCCATGTAGTCAGGGTACTTGCCAAAGACATTGAATCCGAAACGCACGCGCTTAGTCTTGTCGACCTTGACGCCAGCAATGTCGTAGAACTTTGGCAGGGTTGTGCGCTTCCAGAAGTCCGGCCAAGAGACGAGCCCGTGGTTGGTGAACGGCTTGGTCTCGAAAAATGCGTCGGGGTTGTGCATTGGCAAGTTGTCAGCGTCCAATAAAAGCACATTCTCGAACGACGACACAAGAAGTGCGAGTGACTTGTACTGGTAGCCCTTGAACTCAAATTCTTCGGAGATTTTGGTGCCCAACGCGCGCGGAAGAAGCACACAGCGTGCGTTCATAGCCGGAAGCACCTTGCCACAGAACTCAACTTCGTACTCTTCCAAGGTGGGGATGACGACCTCGATCGGCAACTGCGCACCAGTGGATCTGAGGTTCTTAATGGACAACAACGCGAGCCAGTTGAACTTACCACCGCCTACGTACACGTACCCGTTGCCTTTGTACAAGCCCGCAGGCGCTTTGTTTGGGAGTGAACGCACAACCTTTTCGTGCGCCAGTCTCAACACCTCTAGCGATTCGTCATCCACCTGGAGGAATTCGTTTAGATACTCCTCCGTGAGCTGCCGCCCATCCTTGGCTTGTGCATCATAGCCTGGCTGGTAGATGCGGTCATCGGACTTGTACGTTCTCAACGGCTCACAGTTCGGCGCAGCGTCTGCCAAGAGCGTGAAGTAGTCACTGAAGAACTCCTGGCCAGCCCTGAGGCGCGAGCCGGTGGCATCTATGTCAGGGTTTGCAATGATGAGCTTGTGCTTGTTTTCCATTGTGTTTTCGTAATTCGTCAGCTGGCTAAACTTATACTTGAGATCCGAATCGCCGAAGGGAGCAGTGGTGGCCTTTGGCGTAAACGCAGGCTTTCCGCCCGAGTTGATGTACGAGTGTAATGTCTCGTTGTCGTGGTGGAGGTAGTATAGCACCGCGAGCACTGCGAGCAACACTATCGCAAGGAACCGGATCTTGACAAACCGTCTAGGGAGCATAGTATGTAGAGTAGCGACGATGGATTCTGAGAGAAAAGGCCAAATGGGAGGTACAGCTTAAGTTCGGGGGCGGGGGGGAGGTCTCGCCGACTTAATGAATAGACAAATTACTTTGAGGATAGTAGAGAAGGCTGTCTGTGAGTCTAAAGAGATCACAGAGAAGAAATCTCAATGGAGTTGTCGATGGCTAAAAAGGAGAGGTTTGCAAGGTACGCAGTGACGATTATTTTCATTTTCGCACTGGAGTCGATCGTGACAAATGTACAAGGCGTTGGTTGTTTGTTATATGCCGGACTCACAAAATGGCAAAGGTGCCTGATGGCTGTCATGGCCTGATGCAGCAGACAAACAATATGCGACGCAAGGCTACAATTTCAGTACTGTTATAAATAGAAGAGATATGTAAACTCGGAAGATAAGTAGAAATCACTGGAGAGAAGTGACGTCGAAGGTTTTAGAAAGTTGACAGTTAGAAATATAGAGGTTCTCAGACCCTTTAATACTGCCAATTATTTTCTGTTTCCATGATCCGCGTCTAAGTTCTTTCCTGCAGCTCCCTGGCCTGAACAATACGTTTCCAAAAAGATGCGTGTGCAGCGTGGAACAACGATTAGCATCCGACATGTAGACATCCTCCCCTCGACCTTCAATGTCTGATCACAAAAGTGGAAAGTACTTAAGGGGAGATCGCATTTGCAGACCGCCGAAGTATCTACAACTCATATGCATGGGGGGCAAGCCACTAACAGCAGTCTCTCTTCTGGCAGCTTCGAGCTAGTGATTATTGAGTCACGCAGGGGCAACAGGCCCATGACAGATGTGGGTCAAAAAAAGGTAGTTATGCATAAACTGTATATTATACACCGCCTTATTCCTACCTTCTTAGTTATACTAGCTATATTTTAGACAATCTCCAAGCCAAATTCAATAAAAGACTGTCCTATATGTTTGCTTATCTTGTTCTGATTAGAATACCTTTCGACAAATAGCTGAAAATTTGTGTTGTAGTATCCGGAAATCTGCACCATCTATTACCAAGCGCCTGTGAGGACACCTTTATCAACACCTAACTTTGAACCTCGTGTCATTATTCCAGTAAAAGGTTTTGAGTAACGGCATGTTGACTCTGATCGGTGCACTGGCTGAACCTGGACTACCAACCAGATTCAATGAGTGGTTGGATGGTATTATGAGATCCAGAGCTGCCAACATTGCTGGTACAGTAGCTAGTTCTTCTAAGGCTGGTAAGACTACTGTTACCAATCCTGTGTCTGTTACCATTTCTGCAGCCAGGAAAATTTTGTCTTCCACGTTTCCAAAAACCGTTGGAAAATCACACCGTAATATATCCCAATGTCATGAACAAAGGCAGCTTTTCTCTGTCCACCTCAGGTGTGCCACCTGGGCTCCCGTTGATACAGTTTGTACCGAAAACATGATCTATTGGCATATTTTCCTGGAAAAAAAAAGGCCTACTGTCCAAACTGGAGGGATATCCGTATATAGCAGTTCCGGGGTTTACTAAAATGGGCATTTTCAGAAGCTCAGTCAGAACCAACTACATGATAACCCAATTTCCGAGCTAAATAGCACACGTGACAAGAAATCAAACCCTGCCCGGACACTCCCCGATGGACTTTGAGCTTACCCTTGCAGCTTCTTTTGCATATCGATGTTACAGAAAATTAAATATCATGCGTGTAAATACTTTAATTATATCAGTGGGTTACTACAGATCCTCCTCAGACGAGTCCCCAATCTCTCGCTTGTAACGGTATACATCCAAATTCAGTAAATCGCCTATCAAGGTCCGGCATCGGCGACCCCCACAACGTATGGTCTAAATCGCAATGCGCGCGCGTGGGGGGAGGGGAGACTTTTCAGAGCTCGTCTGTATATAACTGGTACGACCTCCACCCCTCCCTCCGTCTCTACATCCCAACGACAAACCTATAAATGTCTTTTCCATCTGTTTTAATCATCGGCTCCGGTGGTGTTGGCACTATTGCCTCCTACTCGCTCTGCTTCAACAAGAAGGCCACCGTCACGTCTGTGCTCAGATCCAGCTACGACATTGTTACCGAAAAGGGCTTCGAGATTGATTCAGTGGATTACGGAAAGGTTACCGGTTTCAGACCACACAACATTGCCAAGTCCCTTGATGACGCTGCGCAGTATGGTCCGTTCGATTATGTGCTCGTTTCCACCAAAAATGTCGCCGATATGTCGCCGCTGGTTGCGGAGGTTATCGCTCCGGTGGTCACCAAGACCGCTGGGGCCAACACCACGGTGGTTTTGTTGCAGAACGGGATAGAGATCGAAGACCCTATTATCAAAGCTTTCCCAGGGCATGTCGTTCTCAGTGGGATTTCCATGATTTCTTCCATTTTGTCTGGTGGTAACCACGTCGAGCATTCCTACATAGAGCTGGCCACTATTGGATACGTTGATAACAAAATTACCCCGGCAACCGATCAGGAAGCGATCGCCAAAAAGTTTATCGAGATCTACTCCACCCGGAACGCCAATGGCACCCCGATCAACCAGATCACCTACAACGACAACGTCCGCCTCGGCAGGTGGAGAAAGTTGGTTTACAACGCATCCTTCAACTCCGTCTGCGCTATGACCAGACTCGACACTACCCGTGTGGCGCTTTCTGGCAATCGAGAGCAGTGGGTGATTCCAATCATGAAGGAGATTGTCCTTTTGGCCGAGGCTGACGGCAACAAGTTGCCGGAAACCATCATCGACAACATGGTGGAGGGCGACAAGGAAGAGGAATACTACAAGCCATCGATGCTTGTAGATGTGTTAGCTGACCGTCCCATGGAGGTCGAGGTCATCTTGGGGAACACCATCCGCATTGGTGAGAATTTGGGATACGGTGACCGAATTCCTTACTTGAAGCTTGTCTACCGTGTGTTGAAGGGCACCCAGTATGGAATCTTGGAGCGCATGGGTGGGGCCTTCAAGTTACCGGAATCCAGAGGACTGACAGAGGGAAAGAGCTACGAGGATTTCAGATTGACCAAGTAGGTGAGGTGATAATAAATACCGAGATGGGTTCTGATTTGTTATTCATGTAGAAAGGTGGTATATTGAAGGTGTAGCAAAAGTAAATCAGTAGACATTGGTATATATATCTGGTATGGCGTTTGAAAATGGCCCTGGATCCAGGCCACGTTTGAAAGGTCTATAGAAGTCATGCCCTTGACCAAGGTTAAAAGTATCTACTCCAGTTGCGTTTACCAGTGAACTGCGATACCCTTATTAAAGTAATGAAATAAATAAGGACAAGGACTATATTTCCTTTTATAAGACGGTTATTGGTTCAGGCCAGGCTGATATTGCGTGACATGGTAGCAGGAAATTATACACCTAAGAGATTGAAGTACGGCTTTACCGCAGGACTATCCGCGATATTTTATAAGTGGACACGTAGGAAGGAGTCTAATGCAGGGTGCAGATCAAAAATTGCAGCATGTATATACGGTTATATTCGCCACTTAGCTAACATATAAGAAACATGTCCAATCCTCCGGCTACTACTCCACACAAACCCGTACTTCTAATCAACAGATGACAAACAAGCGAACTAAGAGCTTAGAAAAAGAATTGCCAGCGGATACCCCCCCTGGCAAGCCAACTCAAGACTCATACTATCAGCTAATCAGGGACGGTGCCTCATGGTTGTGCAATTGGAGTGATTCAGCCAAGAACACTCTCGCATGGACTGTATTAGCATATTGCCACATTTTAAGCTTGACCCATTTGCTCCTGGTTTTCTCTTTTTGCTTGGGAAGCAGCGGTAGCAAAGATCTGTGTGATGGCACGTCCAAGAAGTTGGCTATCACTATGGCGAGTGAATTTGCGTCGGTGTTGTACCTATTCAAGAACGGTTTCTGGGTTCCAACGAGGGGGGAAAACAAGTTCACCATAATGGCTGTGTTGGGTAGAATTGTCATTATTTTGCTTATTTGTGCCTTATCCGGGTACTCAGCCTGGGTGTTTACGTGGTGGGTATTGCGCAAAACCTCTGACCAAATTTCAATGATCTTTACCCGTGTAACCGATGGAGTTTTAATTGGTATTACGAACTTTATTGAATCTCTTTTGGAGAGCGAGAGTTTTATAGGACTCACTGGTTCCATGACCGAGCTTTTTAATAGAACGGGTAGTCTTGAAGATTGGCTAGATTCTTTCGTGATGCGTATCGGTGCTAACGATTATATTGAATCCTTTAATGCCAGTGGGGGTTTCCAAGGCATCGTTGACTCCTTTTTTGGAGAGGCTAATCTCACTCAGATAATGGAATCTTTTGCTGAGACAAATAATTTATCCGAGTTAGTCGAGGCCTTTATTGACAGAAATAGCACATCGAAGCTTCTTGAGGAGTTTGTGGAGAAAATTAATGTCACCCAGTTGCTCGAACACTTTTCCGAGCCGAGAATTATCACGAACACGGTTGAATCCTTCATGAAACTTGACAGCACAACCATCCAGCCTTAACCGGTACCTCTCGGGTAAGCGTTCGAATTCCATTTTTGAATCCTGATATTCCTGATGATCTGAGAGGTGAGCTAGTCGGGCCTAAACTACCGGAAATCTTTTTGTAACTGGCCTTTCAATTCGGTATCTCCATATTTTCTTGTGTAGCTGGTGGGAACTTTATTATTAATGTATTAGCTTCAGCTTTGAATATAGCTCAAGTAAATCATAACGCTAACCTACGTATGTTGTAAAGGTGTCGCACAAGCTCTGATTTAGATCATTTAAGATTGCTATAGACGTATACCGTACACACTAGGAAATGGCTATTTTCACCCAGTTGTGGCATCGGGCAAGGGAAAATGGACCAAGGTCAGTTTTGTCCTTTGCATTGGTGCATGACTAACTTCAAACTTGAATTAATGCCAGTATTTTATGGATGTGTTAATGAGGGATTTTACTTGAGTTTTACTTCCCCGCATAGAAATTAAGGCCATTGTTTGTCAGTGGTTGAGATAAATTTACGGAATATTTCATTCATTTTAGGGCATAAATCCGGCACCAGGAAACAATCAGAGCTCAACGAGGGAGACTATATTATGCAATTTGCCTGTGAATTAGTTAGATGGACGTTCCCTGCGATCTCAGAGATAATTACTAGAGTGATACGCCAAACTTCCATGACTCAACCGATGGTTTAGTTTTATCCGGCCTGTGTACTCCGTCAAGGATAAGCAATTAATTGATCTTGGGTTACTTTTTTGCGCTTGTCGCTTTTGGACGTCTGGAGAACCAAAAAAGCGCAACCATACGTTTCACTTTTGTGCAACTTAGAAGTAATCTCTAAACAATGTACCCTAGAGTATATACACGAGCTTTTTTGCGTAGGTCTTGATCTGAAAAATAATCTGTTGGTTGGGTACTAAATATTGGCGATAAATAATAAAGTCATATCGAAATCATGAGGAGTGATTAACATAGAGGATGTGTTCTTGTTCTTCGATAGGTTTACAGATGAATGCATTAGAGTACCTTGAAAATAATGTTAGACACCTTTAGTTTTCAAGGCTAATTGGTCAGCCTAAGCTTTAATATGGAAGACCGAGGCGTGTGGTTCGTTCAATGGCATAACATTTAGCCGAAAATGCGGGATGAAACGCATCAGCGGCAATAACTCTTTAGTGGGAATCCAGCTCGGAGATTGAATATATACTTGTACATCTTCCGGTTCAATAGCTTTTATTGGTAAACTCCGGCTATAAATATCCCCTTTTTCTCACTAAAAGCTGTGGTGGCTCTGGATATCCATACGATACCAGCCAAGGAACCTCCAAAGAAACTCACTGACATTTATTTCCTCCTTCTCGACGGATACAAGATCTCAGCCCTACGACTTGGGTACCTCCAACAAAGGAAAAGAGAAGAAGCAGACAAATGAGGCGGTTATCACTGCCGTGGAAGCCGGTTGTCGTCACATTTATTGTGCCCGCTGGTACGGAACTGAGTTTTACATCGGACAGGGTATCAAAGATGTCATCGACAGAGGCATTGTTACCCGTGAAGAGCTGTTTATCACCACTAAGGTCTAGCCGACTTTCCACAAGAACTCCTAAAAATCACTTGGTATGTTGTTGGAGGCCATGGGGTTGGACTATGTCGGTCTTTTCTTACAGTACTAACCTTTGTGCTTTGAGACGGAAAATGATGGTACCCCTATCCGAAACAAAGAGGGTGAGTTCATTATTGACAAATTGGGTAATTATATACAGTTATACCAAAGAATTGAGGAGATTTACCGGGATACCAACAAGGTCAGATCCATCGGTGTTTCCAACTACACCAATGAACAGCTCGAGGTGTTGTTGAAGGTGCGTAAGGTGAAACCAGTGCTTAACCAGGTTGAGTTGAACCTAAGATTATCACAGAAGGATGTGATTGCATTTAACGAAAAATTGGGCATGGTTATCACCGCTTACTCGCCCTTAGGTGGCATGGGTGCCCCATACCTCCAACTTCCATTAGTGAAGCAACTCGCGGAACTGTATGGCGCTACCGGAAGCGAGGTTTTAGCCTCTTACAAAGTCCAAAGTGGTCGTGTTATGACCACTAGATCCTGTGACTATGGAATCACCAGGGGGTAACTTGAACTTGGTTCCTTTGACCAAGAAGGAGTTGACTGCTTTAGATCAGATCGGCGTCGATGACCCACAATTGGAGAGAATGAACCCCCGCTAAGCATTGTGGGAGTAGCTATGACATAGTGCCACAGATAACAGGACGTTTCTTTTTGAAATTTTGTAAAGTCGATCAATGCCTAAAAGAATTTCGTTGTAAGCACTCATGATCCCGAATTAGTTAACGCTAAGTTTTAAGGGTATCAAAAGCTCTGCATTTCCGAGGAGGTACACTTTATGAATTGCATACGTGTCAGATTGACTAACTGCCTAATCGTGCAAAAAAAAACTTATTCTGATCTGAATAGGTATTATAAGCCAATATTTTTAAAAGAGGATAGATTTCTGGTTGAGCGACTTATCTCCGTCTAGATGCCTGCACGTGATACTGGCAGATGCGCCTACTGGTGCATTGATTTCTGCACGACAACGCGTAACGCGACGCGTGCGAAAAGTCGTCGCTCGTATTAAAAAGCAAAACGCGGCGTTTCCATTCACTTCACTTTCCGCTTCACCACCATGACATCCCAGCCTGCCATTCGAGACGTGTTCTCTAAACCTCCCTTGGTGGCCTTCTCCCATGCTACCGCCAAGCTCATAGCTGCTTCTACTAATGGTGTGATCCGCTCCATCGACTTGAAAGATACGACGAAACAGCCCATCACCGGAGACATAATCGAGAACCTCACATGTTTGACGGTTTCCAATAACGGTAAGCTTGTCCTTATCACGAATATTGATGGTGAGGTATTTTTGGCCCGTGTAGACCGACTCGACGAGCCGGACAACGGAAAGAAGATCTTCCGTTCCGAGTTGCCGCTCCGCTCAGCCGTCTTCACGCACGGCGACACGCGCTGTGTGGTCGGTGGGGATGATAACTCGCTCGCCATTATCAAATTACCAATTTCTGAGGACTCCCAGGACGATGAGGATGATATCGCCGCTCACGTGACTTCGTTCTCCCTCAAAGATTCATGCACCAACCTTGCATACAGCGCGATTGGGGACAAGTTGGCCGTTTCTTTGTCAAGTGGTAATGTTGAGATCTTATCGTTGACCTCGGAAACACCCCAGTGGGACCATACGATGACAGGCGCACTCGCAAAGGTCGCGTACGACTCGTTTGTGGGCGAAGATGCGTACATCCCCATGGACGCGTCTTATGCGTGCACAAAAGTGGTGTGGAACGTGTCTGGTGACGAGTTTGCACTTCCCAGCCTGACCGGGGGCGAAATCCAGGTCTACGACCGTTCCTACGCGGTCAAACGGACCTTTAAGGGCGCCCATAACGGCCAGATTATGGACCTCTGTTGGTCTTCTTCCGGTGAGTTGGCGTCCTTAGATGCGGATGAAACGTTAGTAGTTTGGAGATCCACCGGGCCGCAGGTTTTCACAGTAGAGGCCAAGGAAAAGTTGACCAACATGACGTGGACTGCGACTGGACTCGCCATTGGATGTGTATCGGGAGAGCTCATCACGTACGACGATATCCTTCAATCTAAGACTGATGGTGTTGAATTCACGGACGATGATGCCCCAGTCAATCTCTTTGACGATATGGCTGGAGAAAGCGATGAGGAGGCGAGACAATTCGATATCGAGGACGATTTTGTGATCGATGACGATGGAATCGGCTACGCTGAGCCATCCAAACGTGCTTATGATGATATTGAAAGCGGGTATGAAAGCAAAAAGCCGAAATATGTCCCAAAGGCGGTGGGATACACCCACAAGCCATACACCCCTGGCTGCACGCCTTGGAACACGGACAAAAGACGTTACCTCACAATGAACACGGTGGGCTACGTATGGGCGGTCAAAACATCATCTTCTTTGGACTCCACCGAAGAGCAGATCATCACTGCAACCTTTTTTGACAGAAGTGCCAACACTGAGTACTACTTCAATGACCTGAGCCAGTATGATATGGCCTCCCTCACCAGCACTGGTTGCTTGTTTGCCCTGTCTTCTCTCAAGCAGCTCTACTACCGTCTGAACAGTTCCAGCGACTCTTGGACGCGCAGCTTGCCGTACATCTTTGCCGACGCGACAGTCACCGCCGTGACACTCGCGGGAAAGGTTGCCATGGTGGCGCTTTCCAACAGTTATGTGCTCGTTTACACGGTGCACGGCCAGTTGGAGGACGTTATGAAGCTGGATGGTGCGGTGGTGGCGATGGTGGCGGATCCAGTCACTGATTTGGTGTTTATGGTGCACTTGTCCACCTCCGTAGTGACTGAAAACGGCTCCGGGAGCGACCTCAGATACACTATCTACGATCACTTCGATACCAAGTTCTACCAGCGCGGGCTCAGCTTACCACTCACCGGAGAGCTCGACCGAGACCTCCTCCGGGGTGTTTTCTTTAGTGAGGAAGGTGATCCATGTGTAGTGGGCCAGGACCATGTATTGTTGGTGTTGACCAAGTGGCGCGAGCCCCAGCAAGCGGTGTGGATCCCACTTCTTGACACAAAGCAGGGGATGGTGGAGGAAGTTGGCGGTGAGGTTGGAAAGTTGAGCTCATGGCCATTGGGGTTGTTTGGCTCTACGTTCTGGTGTATTGGGTTGAGAAATAACTCCACAAATATCAAAAAGGTGATGTACCCGAGTTTCCCGCTACCTGCAAACATGGAGATTTCGATCAAGATTCCGGTTCTGGAGGCCAAGACCGATCCGGAGGAGGAGTTTATTCGTGCAAAGGCCATGGGCCAATTGCTCAACGCAACCATCTCCGCTAACACGGTGGAGGAGAGGCAGGACGAGTTGGAGGAGAAATTGAAAGAATATTCCATGGTGTATGATAAGTCTATCCTCCAGTTGTTCATCGTCGCGTGCCAGGAGTCGCAGATGGCCAAGGCGGTGTCGTTGTTGAAGCTATTGAGGGATGACAAGGCTTTGAGTGCCGCTGCGAAGATTGCCGAGCGTTTTGGGTTTCTTAAGCTAGTCACCGGGATTACCAAAATGCGTGAGAACTTGATGAGCCTTGAGGATGAGTGAAATTGAAAGCGGAAATGTGTACGATAGGTGTAATAAAGGTAATATCAAGAGTTTTGATGAATAAACAAATTTTAAATACATATGTATCAGTGAGGATATAGTTGGAGCCAAAATCGCTTTGACGGTGGAAATGGTTTTAACTGTTCAGAATTCTGGCTGTGTTGGGTACTGTACCTTGATGTCAGTACGGCCAGTTTATAGCAGCACGTATGTGACATAACGACATCCATACTATCCAATTTACCATTGAATAAATCTTTCCTTCCTAGAGGCTTACCATTATACCAACAATCTGATTAGTTCGGAAGTGAACGTCATGTGTTCCTATATATAGTTTTGGACATGTCGTGGTGCGAACAGTTAAAGTTTGGATAAATAACGGATACCTTGGCTCATGGCAGCTTTATTTCAAATGCAATAGATGCTTTCTAAGTATGCGTAGCCAGATTTGGGAGGCTATAAGTAGGCTGGTCAAGAGGTTTCTTGGAGATTCCCAATGTTACCCGATTGCTTGCCACTGATTTCGGAATTGTCCACTCATATGTTTGTTGTGAAATAGATCTGCGAATCTCTGAAAACCTTCTATATCAAGCTTCTTCCTCTCGATAAATCTTCATACAACTTCTTCTTTTCGATATTGCCTCTCGGCCCGTAAGGAGTCCGTTTAATGCAACATTCTCGATGTCATATATTCGTGCGGCAAACTTACACCGCGAAATGGTTGCGCGATAAAAGCAAAACCGCCTGGGAACCCGATGGCCCAGTGTTTCGAACTCCTTGATCTATTCTCCAGCATGATCACCAACAAAGGTTTATAATGGCTCAAATTAATAAATAACGTGTGTTCTAAGAACTCCCTTTATCTAGATCGAGATATTACGGCCACACGCCAAATCGAAAAACAGATTGAAAGACAGATTCTAAGCCATTGACGTCCTGAATCTTCCTCTATCAAGTCTCGGATCTGAGGCATACCAAGCCGTTCGAGCAACTGTTGAGGCTTATTCCTTACTCAATCACAATATCATTCCCTTGTCGCTCGGTACGGACACATTTGATTCCTAAAGCAGCCAGCTATCGCTAATCTCTCCATAACCGCCAAATAGATCGTGACGTATACAGCTTCGTCGTCTGTCCATCAAGTTAGCTATTAATCATACTGTTCGGAGGCTACATCCATTTTGGTGACCCATAGCTTTGAAATCTCGAATACCAGCTCAAACACAAACCCGAGCGTATATGAATCTGAACTTTAACTCAGAGAAGCGACTCGCGGGCGCGTCCAAACTCGCGAACCTCCCACCGCTACGTGACATCTCTCATTTACTTGAAGTCGTCAAGACGAAACAGCTCCGCCAGGTGATGGACCGCCGCGGCTATGAACGAATGATGGATAAAAAGCGCCGCTTGCACGAAGAACAACATCTTCTTCCAGAAGCCACGCTGTACGAGTTTGACTACGACTTTGTCGTTGAGAATCAGCGCGGTATGACGCTCTTCGGGATCCCAATGTTCTCCAAACACTCATTGCTTGAGCCTTTAGACCCACCCAGCTACCAGTCGGTCAATACCAACAACGATGTTCTCCAGGGGTACCATCGGGCCATCTTGGAACTTTACCCACTCCCGGACCTCCTCTGGGACTGGGCCTGGGACAGCTGGTGCATCTTGATGAACAACGACGTGGATGACCAGGGATGGATCTATCTGCGATTCTTTTTCCAGTCGTCACTGTGGCACGGCAAGTCCAAGCTCGGGAACTTTGTCCGGCGAAGGATCTGGGTCCGACTTCGTGTAAAACCCGTGTTTGAAGGCTCACATCGACTTCCGGTCATTTCAGAAGGGAAGCCATATGGAACCTCTGTTCCAGAAAGCACCACGATTTCAGAGAACCCTGGCCTTCCGGTATTCAGGGTCGCTACTGAGACCCAGAGTGTGGTAGACAAACACTCTGGTTCTATACGAAAGTACTCAGCGATCCGTGCCCCGCGGATAAACCGGCGCCAGAAATACGCAGCCTCTAGTATTGCCTTTGAGAACAACGACCCGACAATTGACTTCTTGGCTACGGGCTTTAGTGATGAGTGTCTCGGAGAGACTGAGACAATAGCTGACTCCGTCACCTCTTATAGGGCTTTCTCACTTGCCAGCAAGAATGGTTCGGTTGTCTTTGACTTTCCGTCATTTTTGGATGCCGTCCAGGCTATGGATCTTGACCGTGAGAAAATAAGTTACTTCTTGGAAGCCATCCGAGAGGGTGTAATGCTCTCCGACTTGCGTGACGTTGATTTGCTCACGCAGTACCTTAGCTTGCTCGAGTATGATGAGTCGAAGCTGTTATTGTGTGACAAGTTAGTGCAGTGGAGGAAGGATGGAGAAGCGGATGGAGAGTTTCTCGACGAGTTGATTGAGAATATGGTGTTGATCACCACCGACGCTGCCTAAGCAATGAGATCATAATGAAAGCGGTATGGGCTGAGTGCCAAAAACAGAGGTGGTACAGACTGGGAGGGCAGCTAAAAATTAAGATTTTTGCTCACAGCCCTGAGATGATTATACTCGGTGCTGTGTAAAAGGGATATTCTCAATTTCTTGGAATGCTCTTTTTTCAATGCCGAAGAAATTTATTTGTGCAAGAATAGGTGATGTTATATTGGTAGGTGGAAAATGTATCAGACTGATTTGGCCATTCATACAAATAGATCTTGTGCTGAGCTTTGATACCCAACTTTGGAGCCACTGGGCAATCAATTCGGTGTATAAAGGATATTAACGATCAATATTATTAAGAGATGATGTATAGAGAGTTGATTTATCTCGGTGTCTATCTGTCTAGGAATACCTATGCTGTCCAAGATCTCATTCTTGGGAAAGACCTGATAAATATCTCTATCGATATTCATGTTTAATTTCCGATCCTCATTCCTTCACTTTTTTTCTCCCCTCATTCAAGCTTTTGTGAACTAGTCCAAACTTACAGAAGTCATTTCTGGATATGGAATGGTCAGCCAAGTTCCAGCCGTCATTTACAGATTAGGACTCGAGATAGTATAGTACTTTGACTATAAAAATGATCTGTAGTCTTTTTTTTTTAACCTGAATTATTGCCTTTGCCAATCTCTAAGAAGCTCCGTGTTGCAGAGTATATGTAAAGTACCGATCTAGAAAATGTATTGAATACATTATTCCTTCAGTTATAGCTATGAAACATCGTGATAAATACAAGAATTATCAATCTAATATCATTTTTATTGCTGGAAAGGTAGTATGCACGGCTCCGGGTCTAAATATTGTATACGTTTCAATGACTACGGTTTCCATAATATCATACCCACCCGCCTGCTAGGTGTCGATATCGTTAGAAATTGTCCCGTTCTAGCCGTCACCTTTTGGCACCTCGCCGGACAGACCCGACTCATCAGCTAATAAATTATCCACGAAAATATTATCGATAATATAGTATCACACCTTATCGCTACTCTTTAGCATATTAATCCACCCTAACAGTAGCTTACCTCTCTAGTTGTGTCCCCACATGCCCGTGGGTGTGCGACGCCCAGTTCCGCAACCGAAAAGTTTGACCCAAAGTACACAAAGCCTACCCTACCCACTCTATACGCTCTCTCCAGATTATCCACTTTGCTATGGCTTTCAAAACACTCCAGAGGTAAGTACTCTTCTTCCATACCCTCTCCGGTGACTAACCCTCTCAGCGATATCGACCTCTGCTTTGCAAGCGTAGCCGCAGAACCAGCCGCGGTGCTGCGACTCTTGGACACGCAGCTTCCCGGCGAGAGCCCCGACTTGGACCTCGCCTTAAAGACAGGAATCCAAAATCTCGAGACATACCGTGATCACATTAAAGGCTGGCACGTAGGCAGCGACGTCAAAGACCGCCTCACAGCTGAACCCCGGGCGAATACCGACTCAGACATCCTCAAGCTGTTGAAGAAGAGCCGCAAGACCCAGTCCAAAATCCTCTCGCGGCGAGCACTCAGCTACGACCTCGCCGGAACAGAGCTGGAGCCTGAGGAGCCTGAGACAAGATCCGCACCTGCCACACACCCCGTGCCCATCACACACCCCGTGCCCGCAGCGAAACCACGCTTAGCACTGTTCCGCCCGGCACTGTCGCCGCTCATGGGCAACTCACTTTTGAAACCGGCCGCCGCACCTGCAAAACCCGTGCTTAAGTGGGCCACCGCTGCCGCACCGCCCGCGGAGGTACTCCCGGAAGTTCTCGCACCGGAAGTTCTCGCATCGCCCGTGGCCGTGCCGCAAGCCTTTGCCTCACCCGTTACCTCACCCGAAGTTCTCGACACACCCATGGCCGTGCCAGCACCGGTTGCCCACACATTCGTGCCGTACCAGCCGCCGGTGCGTGCGGCGCCATATGACGCACTGCGTCTCTCCGCGCCCGAACGCGCGTTGTGCGAAGACCCCGCAATGGCCAGGGTTCCTCCGGGGATCCAGACATTCCTCGCGTCTTTCGTACACTCGTCCTCACTGCTGACCTCGCCACTGGATCACTGGACGCATATCCCGTACCGCTCCGCAGAGCTCCCAGCAGAGCTCGCCTACGGGTTCCTCCCAAAAGCTGATTTGATTCCCCACCAGCACCGCTGGAACTATGCACGCGGCCAGGCAACGAATACACGCCTTACACAGTTCGCGACGGCACCACGCGCACTCGAGGATCTCGTTGCGCTCTTCTATGGCTACTATTACGCTGTTGCGCCCGTAGAACGCCGTGTCGCGGCTGACTGTTTGGTCCAGGCAAACTGGACCTTGAACAACAACCACACGTGGTTCCAGCGAATTGGCCAGGCCCAAACAATGCCCGGCTTTGAGGTCGGGAATTATCGCATGTTTGACGTGGCCAGTTGGAATGTTGTCGAACGGCTCCACTTTAAACTCGAGTACCCAAAAGCGTAAGTAAAAGTTAATAAATAAGCTGAGTTTGAACAAGTGAGGTATGTTGGCCAGTTTTAAATGGTAGGAAGTGGTGATTGTTAAGCAATGGAACTAGTTAGGATAAGAGAGTAAGGGCTATTATAGTATAGGTGCCCCGTCCTACGGGAAACGCTGATAACGTATCAACCTCGGTAACACGTCTGAAGACTGGCACAGGGGTTTTGTCAGTCTGTCTGTATAAAAACCGACAGGCCTCTTCTTTTTGTACTTGGAGGATTCTCTAAAAAAGTCAGACATTGTTCCTCATCTCCTGATAACTGTGTTGTGATTCTTCCCCCGACAAGATTCTGTTCTCACCGTCAGTCCTTTAAGCGGCCCACTCACACGTTCACTCCAGCATTTATTATAATCCGTTATTCTACACTTCTTCTTCTTCCTGGCCCTCCTCTTTCATATCCACATCTGCCAGAAAATCCTCCTCGTCCTCCTTCTTCACAGACTCGGCGTCCAGACCAGACGCACCATCGCTGTGATGGTCTCTGCGCGCAGGGTCTTCACCGCAGTCCTCCATCGCGAGCTCGCCGCGCAACCAGCGAATATAATCGCACGCCACCTCAACAGTCGTCGCCTTGCTGGGGATGATCACCTCACCTTTGTCGGTTTTGTCTTGCTGGTAACGGTGAATAAAGTCCAAGGGAAGCAATGTGTATAACTCCTGGATGGCCACATTCATGCGGTTACGGCGGCCCTGCTCCGCAATCTTGTGTGACTGCTTCTTCGGGTCCGCCTGGTGACGCGGCGGCGCAAGCGTCTTGAACTTGACGTTGTATTCACTTTTTGATGCCTCTAGGGTCATCTTCTCGCTCTCGTTCGACGACTTGCGACGCGGCCGCACCGGCGGCTTTACAGACGTGGATACCTGTTTCGGCGGAACCGGCGCTACAACCAGCTTGTTGGCTATTAACTTGCCCATCGTGAAGTTCATCAAGCCTGTGCCCTTCACTTCCTTCTGTACTGTGAACATGGTCTGGCCTGGGGCACTGGACGGAGTAGATTGGTCAGAGGCGCTACCTGGAGCACTCGACGGAGATGGCATCACAACGAACGTTGTCTGGCCCTTTTCCATAAGTGTCTTCGTCTCCTCGGGCTCCAGGGAAGTCTTGCGGCGCGGTAATGGCACCATGAAACCATCCTCCGTGGCGGCGGGCGTCGAAGTCAACGAGGACGCCTCGTGGCGCGACTCAAACGCGGCACGCAGCCGCGGGCGCATCATCGGGCTCTGGGACGTGGCCTTGCGCGCTGCCATGAGCGGCGAGCTCGACGCGGAGAGGTTGGAGAACGACGTACCGACGGTGGGCCCAAATACAGGGGTCGTAGACGGCGTCGCACGCCCTCGTTTATTCTGCGCCGCATACGACGACTTGCGCTTATTGTTCGGGGCGTCACTCATAATCCCGGTGGCTGAGACACTGTTTTTGTTGGGGTCGTTTGGCTGGCTTCCCCTGTAGCTACCGTTTGGTGTTTGGCCTGGGTACGGTGCAACCATGGGCGAGCTGCGGGTCCCCATTGTCGGCAGGATTCCCACAGCAGACTTCTTCCGCGGCACACCCTGTGACGGCAACATCATCGGTGACTTCATCAACTGTGGTGGTTGGCCCAGGTAGGAACTGCGGGTATGGGAGTGTGTTTGACTGTGGGTACGCCGGGGTGTCGGAAAGGGACGCGCCTGGATGGCCTCAAGAGCAGGCAGGGTTAATGGTTCGAAGGACGTGAACGGATGCGTCGCGGGGTCAACCTCGTAGTGCACTTGAGTTTGTTCGCGGGGTGTAACGGCCGGCGAGATTAACGGTGTGAAGATGACCTCCGGGCGGACAGTTCCCGAGCGCTCTTCATCGTAATACTGCGTATGAGAGCTTCCACTCTGGCTGTAGCTGGGGCGTGTGGGAACCTCGTCGTAGGACATCATCGGGGTATGCTGAGGCTGGCCGTGAGACTGGCCATGGGGTTGACCGTGAGGCTGGTTGTGGGGCTGGTACGGGCCGTTAGCGTAACTCATCAACTCCTCGAGGTTGAAATCAGAAAGTTCGACAGCAGACGTGGCGGCCCCGGGCACACCATGGTTCTGTCCTGAAGACTGCGATGGGTGGTGAGGCTGACCGTGCTTCTGGTTCTGACTATGGTTTGGAATTTGTTGGCTGCGAATCTGACTCGGACTGTAGTTCCGACCGTGGTCTTGGCCATTGTTATGGCCCTGGCTTTGGTTCTGAGCCTGGTTCTGGTCATGACCCTGATTTTGGCCATGGTCATGGCCTTGGTTCTGGACATGGCTATGGTTCTGGTTTGAAGCTGGGTTTGGGATATGGCTCAAATTTTGGTTTGTGATTCCTTGGTAGTTCAGGGTTCGGCCTTGACCTGGTGTGCCCTGGTTATGCCCTGGGGTTCCGTGGCTATGTCCATTCAGCCCGTTTAACTGGCCGTGCAACTGGCCCAAGTGGCCAGCGCTCGAAGTCCCGCTTTCCGGGCTCTGGAAGTGCGTGTGACTTAAGACGTGCTCATACGGGTCGTGGTGGTTCGGCTCCATGCCGTAGAACTGCGGTGTATGAGTAGAAGAGCTTATATGACTATTTTGCGGCAGCTGTGAACCTTCCCACTTACTAAAGTCTGGCAAGTTGTCCAAGTCAAAGTCTATAGGCGTGGCAGAAGTTGTTAGGGGCTGTGCGACGCTGTTGGGCATAGAAAGAGGTGGTATATGGTAGGGGGTGGTGGCTAGATGGTACAGTGGTAGCTAGAAATGACCGTAATAAGATGTGTGAGAGTATCAATAACGGCTATAAGTGATTATGGGAAAAAAAAGTAACTCCCCGAGGGATGGCACAAACGGTTACAAATGGCAACAGGTTGTGAAAGTGGGGCTAATCGTAGCAGTAGCACTAGGGCAATGTGAGCTGATAGATAGCGAGCCAGATGAGTTAACGGCAAAGTTAATAGCAGGGCAGGCACTTTTACCGGAAAAGATCAAGTTATACCTATTTTTTAGCCGTTGAGCCGTTGACGTTTCTTTCCAGTAAAGTCGCCGAACGGAAGCCCCTCTCTGGCGCGTGCTCACTTACACATGCACCTTGCTTTTACGAAAGCCAGAATTTTTCGTGCATATACCGCGATTCGAGGGGGTCTGCGTGGGGCGCCGAGTCCGAACGGCACGCACCTTCGGATGTTGGGTGGTGCTCTAAGCCGTGTATGATGTCGAATGAGGAGGGGATACAGTACGCACAATATAGGGAAAGATTAGAGGGTTCGAAATAATTGACATTCCAAGGGAGGTCTTTAGCACACGCGATCATTCAACCCCGAGCTAGCGGCATTAACGGATGCACTACATATTGCCTAAGTGGTCGTTGAGCTTTTGATTCCGTTTCCATGTGACTCTGGCCCATGTGGCTCCGGTTTATTTGTGCGTGTGGTACGGCTTGTAGATCGCACCTTACTCCACCAGTGAAGAAAGAGGTGAAGCTTTTCGGCGTGCGTCGCACACGCGCATACATAGCTGGAGGAGCAATTTCCGTCTATATAGATCGCGATAACAAGCCCACGTTTTTGCCTAATCAGGTCACATCTGCACGCTCACAAATTGGTGCAGTGCTAGTATCCAGTCCAGTCCTGTGATAAGTGGAATAAACCGTGTGCGGTCTGGTTCTTTACATACTAAGGCGAGAATAGTGCGGTTTATACTATTACTATCAGGATTCCAGTGCCTGCTGGAATTTCGGTTAGGGAGTTGTTATCAGTCATCTTGTCACTAGATACCAGGATAATCCATTAAATACAATCATGGTCTTCCACAAGAATAAAGATACCTCTAAACTAGACATATATTCCATCCACTGGAAACCACTTCTATATATAGCCCTTCTGGACATGAGTCACCGCGGTGGTTCAATCCATCGGAATCACGATGTCAATGTAACCTCGTAAAAATGCAACGTCAATGTAACCTCGTAAAAATACAACGTCAGTGTAACCTCATAAAATACCACACCGATAGAGTCTCTAACTCCGATAGTTATGGGTATTGGTCTAGCGCGGGATTGGCGAAAATTACCAATGTTTTGGGAGGTGAGAGGGCTTTCATCACCCGTCCGGATTATGTCGTTTAGCATTCTTTTCTAGAGGTTGGGATTTATCTGTAGTGTCATTTCTGTTCTTTTTGGTGAGTGTGTCCATCCCTTTTTCGTTACAAGTACGAAGGACATTTCAGAGGAGGTTTTAGCGAAAATGGGTATTTTAGTGGTTTTTTATTGGTCGTGTGGCCTTTCTCCCCTTATAGATTGACTTCTGAGCTGAAAAAAAAACTGATGCCTGTATAAGTAAGGTTTCACTATGTCAGACACACGGTTAACTGTCAAAGTTTGCTGGCTGCATTAGGATCAGAGAAATAACGGTATTTTGGCTGTTAGACCATGTAAAGGCTATCGTAGATGCCCCCTGGTAGTGCATGAGAAGACTCATCTGCTGTATATGGGGTAAATTAATCAGTGATCCCACGTGAGCTTGAGATATGTGTAAACGTCCGGCTGTGGTGTTATTTCTCTCCTTCCAGGTCGACTTCCAAAATACGTTTTAAACAATTTTTTGGGATAAATGTACCTTTCTGCTATCTCCCGACGAATGGGTACACAATTTGATGAGGACCTCTACCGTCTCTTTTTGAAAGTAAGCTATGCTATAACTCGAGTATGGAAACTAACTAGGCATGTCGGTATTACGCTTCCGCGCTCTCTGGAAGCATAGCCACAAGGAGGTTTTATATTGAAGAGTATGGGTGATCCGAGAGAATAAGGTATTTATTCAACAAACATGGTTCAGACAAGGATCATTCATTTGCCAACGTTTTTACTGAGGTTAATTTCGTCAAGTTCCTTTCTATAATAACGTGAAGGGATGAGTCTTAGTCCTTGTGCACGCGCTACACTTAAAATCCAATCCCTTTACACGTAAATGGTTTATCAAAACCTCAAAGATCTATCGAGAACTAGTCCAACAAGCACATATGAACATTGAAAGCAAGCCTGTTGAAACTTTTGGAAAGGTGTGTGCGCTTCCTATCAAGGTAAGACCAATATAAAAATGCAAGGAAGATAAATTCACTTGTCTAGTAACCTTGGCCCACCACAACTCTATTTGAGCATCCAGTGTGGTTTCAGCACTATCTTTTCTGAGAGTCGAGAGCCGAACATCATCCAGGAACAGCTTGTAATCTTGTGAAAACCGAATTGTTTATATTAGGCATCATGATTGTTTGACACCACAATTAAGTGGTTCTAAATATAATCACTCCAACTGAGAGCTCGAGCTATCACCATTTCCTGAGTTTTTATGGCAAGTTAGATTAGGACGCTTGTTCTGGCTACGGGGGTGGAATGAGGATAGCTACCTCAAAAGTCATGTATTATCTAGGCTTCCAGATGAGCTATATGTGTCTTACAGATAGATTCTCTCGGCTTTTATGAGTATTCATAAGGTAGGCTATCACCTTATGCAAACCAGTAAAACTCTGGTATTTGTAGAACGAGACCGTGTGTCAATCATGCTCGAGTCTACTTCAGTGCATATATAACTGTTAATAGCCCTCAGTCTGGATCAAAATTAGATTACATATGCACGATATAAGATCTTGTTTAGAGCTGTCTAAAATTCTCTACCCTGTAATGTTGTAACAGTCTCTGTGCGTTCTTGTATTATAACCTTTCATGTATTGTCATTGTTTGGTAAGGTTGCAGGATGTAAAAAAAAGTAGACGGTCCGGTATTTGTATGCACCTTAATCGCTACATAAGGGGCCTGTTAATATCAATCCCAACCATCTGAGAACCTTAATATCTTGCTTAAACAATCGAATTAATTGTGGTGGATCGACTCCTAGGCCAAATTGCCCCTTTTAGAGATAAAAATCGGATATCACACTGATCACCTTGGTATAACACTAACAATGTGACATATGCATGTCTATAAAAAAACAACCAGCTCAGAAATATCAGATCCTTTCCACTGAGCTATGTATACAGTATGTGCAGCTCAGTCTCGGATTTACCCAATGATTGCTCGCATTTCCTGGTATAGCCTTCATGCCCTTGTTTACCTCTGAAGAGTTAGAAGGATACGCACATTGGCCCAGATACAGTTCGTCCGGGCAACGACGCAGACACCGCCTATCCAACCACCTGTAGGTACCGTACGTCAGTTTTCCGGCCACGCCTATGGGTTGGTTCTGCATTAGCGTGACATAGGACTGCAGTTTCACGTGGTGTACCATTGCTAGAAATATGCAGTGTCCGAATAGACCGCTACATCCAGACGCTTGTCAGCCAGACTCCGTCTCAGCCGTTCAGGCCAGGGATCTCCTTTCCTTAAACGGAGATATCTCTATATCCGCACAGCGCCGACTACTCGCCATCGAGGAACATCACCCCATGCCTGTAATTTCTGTAGCCACTTCTAAAAAGCTGCTGCCCAGCATTCTAAACAACGCGTTATGCATCACGGAAGAAACTTCAAGCGGCACTGCAGAGCTGCAGCTCCGACGAACCTCAACCAGACCAGTCTCTATATAAAAACCACGGCCCCTATTTTAAATTAGCTCTATTTTAAATATCGACAACTGATGACCCCAATGCCACCAATTGTTTTCCCTCAAACGTGTCCACCCGGTGTGGACAGCTCCATGTCTGTTCTCGAGGTGATCAACAAGCGTACTCCTATGGACCACGACTTACTCGACGGAGTGTACACGGTACCAAACTCCCAGTCCAATAACGGATCGCCGGTGTTCCGTAGCAAAGCCTGTAACCATACTAAAGATAACAATTTGGTGACATCTATCCACCCCAGTCTCCAGACCATCCACGACTACTTCGAAATGGCGGTCGAGCTGTACGGGAAGAACAAGTGTTTTGGCTTCCAGAGGCCTCTGGACACCAGCTACCAGTTCAGAACCTACGCAGAGGTGGCACAAGCGCGTGCCAGCTTTGGTTCTGGGTTGGTACGCTTCATCCGTTCATTGGGATTCGAGCAGCATCACCTTCGTCTGGAAGACAAAGACTTTATTCTTACGGTATTCTCCCCAAACACCTACGAATGGCTCATCACCGACTTGGCCTGTAGTGCCTACGCCATCTCCACCACCACTTTGTATGATACCTTGGGGGCCGAGTCGTCAGCTTACATTTTGAGTGTCACCAAGTCCCCCGTGGTTTTGCTCACATCTGAAAAGGTCGAGGCTTTCTTGCTCATGGTGAGCAACGCAAAATTGGCGTTCATCAGGGCCTTGGTCATTATGGATGAGGAATTCGCCACTCCAATCCCCGGAGCTGCCCGGAAATTGGCCAGCACGTTGTCCGTGCAATTAGTATCGTTTTCCGAGCTCACAGCGAGTGGAACGACTGATCTCCTCGACTATATCCCACCTACACCCGACAGCTTGTACACAATTTCGTTCACCTCCGGTACCAGTGGAAACCCCAAGGGTGTAGAATTGTCTCAAAGAAGTGCTGTCGCTGGTCTCACGGCCATTTATGCCTCCATAACCAAGCCAGACTTATTGCGCACCAACTCGGATATCTACAAGTCGTTGTGTATCTTGCCGTTGGCACATGTGTACCAACGTTTGATTTTCTACTTCGAGTTGTGTATCGGGGGTACGATTTTTTTACCGTCTAATCCACGGGACCCAAAGCAGATTATGATGGATATTGCTGCGATCAAGCCGACGCATTTGGTGGGGGTTCCGCGTATTTTTAATCGTATCGACGCTGGTATTTCTAGTAAAATCGAATCTCTGAACATTATCACTCGGTTTTTATACAAACGATGCATGTTATACAAGGAACAACAATATAAGGTGGGAGTACATGTCACCAACCACTGGCTCTATGACAAGTTGTTCACCAAAAAGATCAAGGCCGCAGTAGGTCTCGAAAACTTGCAGTTGGCCGTCACCGGCTCCGCTCCCATGTTGCCTGAAACCATTCGGGACTTGCGCTACATCTTGAACACCGAATTTCTCCAAGGATACGGTTTGACAGAGTCTTTTGCATGTATCTCAGTACCGTTAGCCGAGGATGAGTTACTTCCGCAGAGCTCCGGGTACATCATGATCTCCACCGAATTCAGATTAAAGGACGTGGCGGATATGAAGTACACCTGGGCCGAAAATAGGTCCGGAGAAATCTTGTTACGTGGACCTCAGATGTTTGAGCGGTACTACCAGGACCCCGTTAAGACCCGCGAGAGCGTAGATGACGACGGCTGGTTTCACACGGGTGATATTGCGATGCTCGATATGGACGGCCGTATTAAGATCATCGATCGAGTCAAGAACTTCTTTAAATTGTCGCAGGGCGAATACATCTCGCCGGAAAAGGTGGAGAACGTCTATATGCAAGCCAATCCACTGACATTGGCCCAGGTTTTCGTGTATGGCGATTCTTTCCAGTCCTTTTTGGTGGGTGTAGTGGTCATGAACGAGCTGGTGTGCCGCGACATGTGTAAGGCCTCTGCCTCTGCAGAGTTGAAGTTATTAGCCTCGCAGACTGGTGACGTCTGGGCCGGAAACGTGGAGCTCAGAAAGGAGGTGTTGGCACAGCTCAACAAAAACGTCCGTACTACCGGCTTGCTCAACGGGATGGAGATGTTGAAAAACATCCACCTCTTCTTCAACAATGATATCGAGAGCGGCCTCAACTTGGGATTCACCGAGGCAAACGGCTTGATGACTCCGACCTTGAAGATCAAACGTTACAACGCCAACCAGTATTTTGAAGTTCCGTTGAAAGAGTTATACACGGAGGGTGACTTGACCGGTCCTCTTAAAGCGAGCAAATAGTTTGAGAATAAGATATATTCCTCATAATTTAAATCCAGATATAATATATGACCGTATTATATAAATCTAAAAAAATATTTGAGTTTTACAATATATGGGTGTAAACACATTCATATATGGATAATAATACGGCTGAGAATTCAATTTGAAGGTCCACGATTCCGATACCTAGATAAGAAAAGTTATAATTGGAAATACAGCTAAGAATAAATTGTCTAGGTTAAACAGGCTTGTAAATATCTTATAAATCAATTGATATATGAAACGAGTTGAAAGCAAATACTCTCTGCGGTTTATGTAAACACCTAGCCACTTGCAGTCAAAGGTGTGCATAATTCTGGAACGTAATCCCTGTACATGAATCGTGTGCAAATACCTTGCGTACAGGTTGACCATGAATATTGGAGCCGTGTTCGCTTGAAAGAGTTTCCGTAACCTGAACACATCTGGGGTCTCAACAGCCGATTTCTTTCCTATTTTGTCACTAACCGGCCGTAACTACTCATATCCGATACACGGGTACTTTATCACTACATCTCGCAACCTCAGCAGTTGAAACGAACCCTACAAACACCAGACAATGCATCTACCTCAGTGGAACCCTAAAGCAAATCAACGGCTGCCAGGGCATAACGGCGGTCGAATCACGTTGTATCTCTCAAAGATGCCATTTAACCGTTACTTTAGACGTGCCCAAAAGCGAGTGCTTCTAAAGCTCGGACTATTGATGTTTTGCATACTCCAGATCAAATGGCTATACAGCCGTTTTACTCCCATCTCGAAGAATCCCGTGATATTCGAAGCTGGGGTCAACGATGATTCTCCCACTACATTCAAAAACCTCCTCGTAACCTCCATGGACCCCCAAACCAAGCGAGAAACCTGTCAACGGTATTTCCAAGATTTGTACGTACAAGACCCCCAATGGGCCTTCCAAACGTTCAATATGTATGATCCCCGCGCAATCGACCATGATAGGTTTATCCGGGAGGATGTCGCAGCCTTGCAGAAAGCGTACTACAAAGACATCAACAAGCTCACGGATTTCGAAATGTGGAATGCACCGCACAACGTGTACCCTGAGCCTTGGAAGAACATTCGCCTCAGCGACAAGGAACACCAGGATATTGAATCGAACTTTAAGACACAATTCCACCTCATGACTGGTACTGAGCAAGGAATTGTGGATACGGTGGCTAATTTGAGAGCCTTTGGTGCCTGCCATCTTCTCCACAACCAAGAGTTCAATGCGCAGAAAGACGCCCAGGTCGCGCTTACCAAGGCTGTTAAACAGAATAAAAAATTGGCTAAAGCAGGGAAGCCGTTGGTTGATGTGTCTTCGCTTAATACAACGTGTGAGGCATTGCAGGAACGATTGTTTCCTTGGATGACCTCCAAGTTTCCTGTATTCACCAGATGGGACGGGAAGGTTGTCACAGGTAGACTTCCGGTCATGTCAGACTATCTCAAAGATCAGGCACAGAAAGTGCGCACCAGCAAGAAGGCTAACCGGGTAGAAAACTCGTCGTGCTACATCCTACGCCTTTTGCAATCGTTCAACGGTAAGGGGATAGTTATCTCTGCGGCGGATAAATTCAAAGATGACCTAATCAACTTGATAAGAGTCTTGCGAAGCCTCCAAAACGAATTGCCTATTCAAGTCTTTCACAGCGGTGACTTGAGCCTCGAGACCCAACGCGAAGTTGTTGCCGCAGCTAGGGCGACGTTTGACATGGATTCATTTCCTAAATCTTACCACTCCATGGTGGAAGCGTTAAAAAAGCAACACAAAGTACCATCGTTCCCACAACAGGAGATTTGGTTTGCGGATGTCAGGGGGTGCGTAGTGCCGGAGTACGAAATGTACTTTAAAAGGTTTTATAGCAAACTCCTCCCACACGTGTTTGGCTCGTTTGAAGAGACCATGTTGATGGATGCCGATACTGTCCCCTTAGTTCCCCCAGCTGACTTTTTCCAGTCCCGGGGCTACTTGAAAACAGAAACACTATTTTTCAAAGACAGAGAGACCCACAACGAAAACGCCGACCACACACGGGCGTTCTTCAGAAAGATGATGCCTACGGTGCTAGATGAGCTTTTCTTGGGGCTTCCAGCTGCAACCAATTTCACCCTTGACAATGCCTTCTTGGGTAACAACAAGCGCCATGTGCATCTCATGGAGTCGGGGATCGTGATGTATCGGAAATCCGCCCATTTCACCGGGATTCTTATGACTGCATGCATCAACTTTTGGACACTGGTCAGAACAAGAATCGGCGGCGACAAAGAGATGTTTTGGCTTGGGATGTCCATGGCGGCAGACGAGAACTATAGCTTCAACGGTAATCACGCAGCGGCGGTGGGAACCGTCACCCCGAAAGAGTTTCTCCCAGCAGCGGCCAACGAAATTTGTTCCACCCAGCCTGGCCACGTGTCGTCTGATGATGACCAGACGTTGATGTGGATAAATTCCGGATTTAAATTCTGCAAGAAGCCAGGCTCGTTCGAGGAGTCCAAAAAATCGGACAAATTGTTGATGTTTTCGGGTGCAAAGAGCTTAACCGAGCGAGAAGGCTACAACGAGAACGCCGTGAGATCAATGTACTCGGAAGCCATCGATATTCAAGCCGCAATAGTCCCTCCTGAAACAAGGAAGCCGCTCCGTGATCCAGCCAACGCTCATGAGCCACCACTTGGGTGGAAGTCCGAAGGGTCTTGCAATGCCTATTTATGGTGTGCCTACGATCGTGTGGGGGCAAGCTCAAAGCCAGAGCACCAGGGGAAACTCATCGAGTTTTCGGCTGATCACAAAGCTCGGTTCAAATTCATTGGAGACTTGTGGATGGGCTATGGTATCCAGCAAGAGGGAGTTCCAATAAGGGGAAGAAAAAACGTGATTAGGGCGTGACAAATGCAGAGATTTGTTTCGGGAACCAGGTAACTCCAAGAATAACATTTAGATTTTTTTTTAGAAATACCTAGGCTTAATAGTGCATTATCTTATGCATTACTATATAAGTCATTTCTGTGGCATAGCTCTACCTCGAGGATAGAATATCTACTTATGGTAGTATACTGGTTAGTTATATAACTTATATAGGATACAGGAAGGATGGATCGACCTCGCTATATAAGGTATCGATTCCTATCACGTGAGCACTACATACAACGATTTCGCTGCAAAACTTCTGTGGATTTAAGTCTAGTAAATCGACGATTCTCTCATAGTTTCACCTTTTGATTCAATTTTTGGCTTAATTTATTTTCGAGACTGCATCTTTACCCGGACTCGGGGCTCTGTCTGTAACATACGCTACAGAGGATTTGGCAATGGTGATATTATCCGAGGGTGTTACATTAATGCAGAGTCATACAGTAAGCAAGTAAACCCCACATCTGTGTTCTCGCCACATTCCGCTATCTCACACATCCTGCGTCTATTTGATGATCACAATTCTCTGCATGGTCAATTTCTCGACTGTATGTCATTCCTGGCTCGAGCTGCGAAGAGTCATTACTTGAAGACGTCACAGCAAACGCACGTGTAGATCACGTGATCCACGAACCCTGAGATTGCTGTCCGACAATCCAAGTCATACAAGAGTGCCACCCCACAAGGGCTATTCGCCACAAAAAGGTCTAACCTTTTGGATCAGGACCTCTTATGGACATCGTTTGCCCACCCTCATGCCTTATTACCTATCCATGTATTGGCAACAGCCTCCTCTCAACCCGAAAGGCAATCCTGCATTCAGCTTCCCCGCCGCACACCCTCTGCGTCATCTCCCCCAGCGAATCCTGGCACTTTGGTTGCTAGAAGAACGCTTCTTCCTCATCTGTAGATATTACCAATAACCAGAAATAATTATCCAAATATGTCAGACTTGCGCCGCCAGTTATTTGCTGAGTCCCCCAAGACATCGAAGCCACTGTCACGCTCGCAATCGCGCTCGCGCGTAAAGACGCCGGCGTTGGTTGACGCCGATGACACCGAAGGCGAATTGAACACGCAAATGCTCGACGAATTGCTCTTGGCGCGCGTGAATTCGTTCCAGGCGCAGTTTGAAGCTGACGAGACCAAGAACACCGAACGGATCAAGACGTCGTCCGTCAGCGAGATCATCACGTCGCTCCAGTTGCCGTTGAAGACGGTAAGCGTGGAGTCACGTCAGCTACTTCTCGCACAGTTGTACAAGTTGACAGTATTCCAGCCGGGCAATCCGCACGGTGAAATTAATGACGTAAACTTGGAGCTGTTGGTGCGCCAGTTTGTGACTTTGTCTCCATCTAACGTTGAAGAGACATTACTCATAACCCGTGCCATTTCCAGCTTTGCTGCCAGCGATATCGATGAGTGCGCCACAGGAATCTTGGAAGACTACTTTCCCCGCTTGTTGAAGTTGTTGTTCGACTACCGCAATGTGGAGGTGGTTGTGCGCTCGCAGTTGGTCCAGTCCTTCATCGTTTTGCAGTTGTTCATCTACTACGACGCAGGCACCAACACCAAGACGAAGGAATACATGACCCGCTTGCTCGAATTAGCCGAAGACTTGGTCGTCTACACCGGCTCGACCGATATCGGCGGTGCCGAGGAGGTGGAACACTCCACGTTCATCACGGACGTAGATAACAAGCAGTTACAGCAGCAGTTGCGCTCGCGTGATGAGTCGCAGGCAATCATCGGGATTCTCCATGGGCTTGGAGTCTTGTTCACCATCATTGCGGATGACAACGACTGTAACGCCATCATCGAGGAGTTTGTTCCGCGACTCCTTGTGTTCTTGGAGAACTCCTCTGGCTTGAACATTGACGTCCAGAAGGCTGCCGGAAGGGTCATTGCCTTGTTGTATGAGATCTTTGACTACGGCGACAGCTTCTCGCCGAACGATGAGGACTATTTTGCGTCGCAGAGCCGTACTGGCGATGGGGAGTACGAAACCGAGGATGATGACGATAACTTGCCATTCTACGACTCTGATTACATTGTGCAGCTCTGCGCCGAGTTGGCGACCGCATCGTCGAAAAAGATCTCCCGCAAGGACAAGAAGGAGACCCATTCGGTGTTTAGAGATATTTCCGTAACATTGGAGACGCAGACATCGAAGCGTAATCGGTTTGCTTTGTTCAAGCAAGTGCTCAAGAAGCTGGAAAACGAGTTACCTGTATTAGGCAATATCGCGCTCACCAAGAGCAAGTCGTTGCCGATTCGCCACTGGTTCACGTATGTGCGCTACATCGTCACCAAGTGGTGTTTCGGTGCTGGCTTGCAGACACAGATGGTTGGTAACAGCGATCTTAAAAAGATCTTGCGCGCCACACCACCACAGCACGGCAACGAGGGCAGCAGTAAGTGGGCCCAAGAAGACACTGAGGAGGGCCGTGAAGGCCGTTGGGGCGATGATAGCGCGAAGAGAGGTGAGGACAAGAAGAAGCGTGAGCAACAGTTGAACAAGGACCGTTTGGACCGGATGCGGGAGAAGATTGATGTTTTGGATATCTAATTTGTATGGATTATTTATTTTTATTTATTTTTATCTAATTTTATTTATTTTTATTTATTTTTATTTATTTTTATTTATTTTTATTTATTTTTATTTATTTTTATTTATTTTTATTTATTTATACAGAATTAGTTGCAAGATAAAGCAAAGTGGTATCAATAGTTGTTGAAATGTTACGGACTTGGTTTGACAATATCGTAAACACAGACCATAGCTACGCACATATAGTTCTATTCATTAATTCATTATCTACATTAGATTGGCTTCACTAAGCAGTGCTTCCCCTGTAAACGGATGTAATCGTTCATGGCAGTGATCAAATCCTCGCCATTCTCAGCAAAGATAATAATGTACTTTCCATCAAACGGAGCCTGCTTACATCTCCCATTACTTCTTTTTCCCCAAATGTTTTCATCCTTGAAAGTCACAAGCTCCAGGCCATACGGCTTCAAATACACCTCGCGGTCCCAGGTTGACTCTATATCCACGACCTTCGCATACGTGTTGGTGCTCTCGCTGATGCGCCTGATCTTATTGACAACTTGGGTCGGGATGAACATCGGGTAGTTGAACTCATTGAATGCGTTGATCCGGAGCTGAACCACCTTCACCACTCGCTCCACCTGGCTCGCGTCCCCATACACCGAAAGGGTGGTGAATGCTTTCACGTCGCGTTCTGACTGCGGCGCCGCAATTTGAATCACCGTATCTGTGAGAAACTGTAACTCGGATATTTTGTTGATTCCGTTAGGGTTCGATACCTGGGAAGAACCCACTAGCGGTTCGCAGAACCTCACGGGGATCTGGAAGTTATGGATGTTGGCGAGAAGATTCGAGTATCTCAACTGGAGAAACCTCAACGCTTCCTGAACATACTCCTCTTGCGGAGCGGTAATAGCAAGGGAAACATAGTTTATAACATTCGCACAACTAGAGTCGGGTGAAGGCGATTCGGGAGCAGGGGCCTCCATCCGGAAAATTCTTGAGTCTGGGATGTTTGAATACGAGCGGTCAATGCGAACATCTGTCTCGGTGGCGCTGCTTAAATTGTCCAACTCAACGCCTCTAAATCCCACAAAGAAAGGAGCGTAAACTTCCGGAACTTGGAAGAGCAAGATGTTGCGCACAAGAGGATCCACTGTGTTCTGGATCTCCCTTACCGCTGCCTCAACCTGGCTCAACCTTTCATTTTGGAAAGTAATGTAATCAATACCGGAGCCTGGCACCGAGGCTATTTCCATTTTCGTTCCTGTCCTGTGTTGTATTGTTTCTATCACACTAGGACCATTGGTTTTGTGTGGAGAGTTTTCTGGCTTTGCGAGAATCGGTGAACAAAAGGCGGGAAGCTCAATTATCTGGGTATTCAACCTTCTCATCTCGTCTAGCTTCGACATCACCTTCGAATAAGCCTTAACGTAGCCCATGCGGTCCTTGGCGGAGATTGTTATAGCGGTACCTTCCTGGGAAATAACACCGGTCTTAGAGTCAACATAGATATGTGCCTTTGTTGTCCTCACAAGCGTGCTCATAAACTCGTGAAGTCTCGGTCTACCATTAGATTCACGCCGCTTATCCGAGGAAATCGGCAGGTACAACATGGCAAAAGTGAACTCCCGAGGGATCGTGAACTTGCGCTGGAACGTGCTAAGAAGCATCTTAGCCCTATCAAGAGCCTGGAACAATGTTACTGCTGTTTCAGCAAACACATAGACTTTGGCATACTTCTCCAGAGACACAACAATGTCCTCCAGCGGGGCATGATGATAAAAAACCCCGGCAGTCTCATCGAGCCTGGTCTTCACCGCAGAAAGCTGTCTTTTGGTCACGGGCACAAGAATATAGTCGTAGTGGTCTGAAAACTTCTTTAATCGCTGGGAAAGCATTTTCAAGCAGTCATTGACTGCCTCTTCAGAGCCCTGGACCGTAGCCTCTTGCAGGGCTTCGTCGAACTCAATCTGTGTGGCAGTACTCACCTCCGTGGTCTGTTTCCAGGAGCCTCCTCTCCCTCGAAGGGCCTGGAAAAACATAGGCGCGACTGCAAGTGACTGTTTGTGCTTTCTGGGGATATCGGCCTTTGCTAGCTTTGCCACAAATTCGTCCATGTCATCGTCAAGTGCATAGCTGGATAACCATCGGGTCTGGCGCGAAGCGGAGAAGAGTCTGGTACGAGAAAGCACAGTCACACTGAAAAGGGATCCCCAGTGTTTTGAAATCATTGAATTTTGCTCCGTGGACTAAAGTACCAGTAATCTCTTTGGCTCATTCTACCACATTAGTTCATGAATAAATCCTGCGGTGCGGCGTATCCATCATGCAATTTTCGGATAGATTTTAAGTTTATTGCCCGTGCTGTGCGGCTTGCGCAGCAAAAAAAAAAGCGTAAAGATATGTTTCAAACAAGGTCTAGTGTAATCTCAAACTCTCGGAATATATCCAGAATCAGCTATTTAAAGCGACTACAAAGCATTTATTACTCTTGTTGCTATCAGAATCCACCAGAGGCTCCCTTTTCAACCCAAATTTATTCTATTCAATTACTGTCCGCTCCAGGTTCCAGTCCTTGATATCTCCGTTCAAACCTCTTCCTTACATCTATTGACACCGGTTGTCTTTGCTTAAAGTTATCCCCAAATCCAATATATTCCATCTCTAGTCGTCAAGTAATGGAAACTTCTGCCTCCGTGGAAATACCCACAGTGACGATTTCCTCCATGGAAATTCCTGTGTCTAGTATCCCCACCAAACGGGCACGTTCACGTTCCAATTCTGTTTCCTCCGTCACATCCACCGCGAGCAACCGAACACTCAACTCGACCACTACAACTGGCTCCTCCAGGCCGAAGAATCTCTATTGTGACTTTCCCGACTGCAACAAAGCGTACTCCCGTCCGTCTCTCCTCACCCAGCACCAACGCTCCCACTCGGGCGACCGGCCCTTCCAATGCACCCACTGCGATAAGTCATTTCTCCGGAACTCTCACCTCCAGGCACACCTCGTGTCCCATAGCCAGGACAAACCCTTCCACTGCTCACTATGCGGGAAAGGTGTGAACTCGCGCCAACATTTGAAGAGACATGAGATCACCCACACCAAAACCTTCGAATGCACTTACGACACATGCAAAGAGGTCTTCTACAAGCAGCAAACATTGCGACACCACATCAACACGGTCCACGAGCCCGATCGCTTGACGTGCGATGCGTGTGGCAAAGTGTTTAACCGGCCATACCGCTTGGCCACCCACAAACAAACCAAACACGGCGCCTCGCCTGCATACCAGTGCACGCAGCCGGGCTGTTTCCAGAGCTTCAAGACGTGGTCCGCAGTAAACTTCCACGTCAGAACCGCCCATCCCAAGTTGACCTGTTCCAAGTGTGGGAAGAAGTGCATCGGGATCCAGGGCTTGCAAATGCACATGATGGTGCACGATGAGGAAAAGGTGATCAAATTGTGGAAGTGCGAATACTGTGTGGAGAGTTTTCTCAACAAGAAACTACTTTTCTCGCATTATGATGAAGTTCACGACGGGAATGTCCCAGCAGAACTTTTGAGCAAGAAAGGTGATAGTGACGATGAAACCCCGGCGTTAAGCCACGCGCTGCTTCAGGAAGCAGGCAAAGCAACACAACCTTTGGCGGAGGCTTTGGAGTCCGTGAATCCACTGCTGGAATCGCCAGAACCACCGCGGAAGCAAACTGCCCGCTCTAGTTCTCCGTTATCCACGTCTTCGGTGACGTCTGTGATGGACCTTATTGCCGGTAACGTCGCCTTGGGGAGCCAGACTGGGATTATTACCTGTCCTAAGCAGAGCTGCGATCGATTGTTTCGCCGGGAGTACGATTTGAAACGCCATTTGAAATGGCACGACGAGCAGTTGGTCAAGGTGGAGCGGTATCTCAGTGGCTTGCCCGTCTCCTCTCGCGTAGAGGAGCAGTCCACAGAGCACGATTTGAGCATGATCATCGGCGAAGATCAGATTTCTACGCCAGGATTTGTGCAGGCCTCGGAAATGGCAGTAGAAGAAGTATCCCAGGGGGGTGAATCCCCGGATGACTTTGACGATGCTTCTTTTAACGATATTCTAGCCGAGGAACTCGCAAGGACGCCGTGATCGTTCTTTTGCTAGCATAATCCAGCTGATCAGGAGATCGCGAATGTGTATATAAATGTCGGGTGATGGTGGAATTGAGGGCTTAACTTAATAGTGGTACAATGGGTAGCTCAACATTAACGCTATTGAGGAGGTATTTTGCAAATTGAAGGTTTATAACTTCAAGGGCCCTCGCTTCAGAACTCACTCAATCTGACGATTTGTATACTGTCTTGGAAATGATTGGGATAAAAATACCAGGCAATTGATTTATTTTCCGTTAGCCTATTGAAAGTACTATTATGGACAACCGATCGACATAGCTAATCCACTTGGTAAACGACACTGCGCATAATTTCCTGTAGATTATTTGCCAGTTGTCTGCATCAGGAGGGTGTCATATTACAGCCGTATATCAAGAATGCCTATAGTTAAGTACATTACTCTCCTTATGCTTGAGTTCTTTTAGTATTTCTATGTTAAGTATCCCTTTACCGGTTAATATAAACCGGTTGAGTGAACGAAGGAGGGTGAAACAGACGATAACATCCCGCGCAAAGTCCTACACACCATCGCGGCCTAACCTGCAGGACACCTCCTATCGCACCGTGTGAACCCATTGAATCCCACAATATCGGTTTAAATACTAAAAATACCTCATAAAAATATATACACTTAAGTGATATTATATTACATCTCAGTTGAACCCTCATCCCAAACCCAAATTCGGGCTCTCGGGTTATGCGCCCCGTCCGGCTTTCCGTGCGCTTTAAATAGTATGCCAATTTTTCTTTTCTAAACTTTTTCACATAACAAAAGAGGTTCTAACGGCCCCTACTTTTCGCCACACACAATACTCAACTACCATGTCTGATTACGGCGACGACGGTTTCAACGACAACACCAACGAACAGTACGAGGACTTTGACCAGCCGGAACACTATTCCGACTTGGAAAACTTTGACGAGCCAGTAGTGGAGGGTGCTGAAGACGACATTACCGTCGATGGCCGTCAGATCATCACCGGTGGATTCGGGCACGAGGACATCCCAACTGGTGCTTCCACCAAGAAGTCTGTCAAGCAGCTTGCAATCCCGAGAGAGGATAGAACCACCACCCCATATATGACCAAGTACGAAAGAGCCAGAATCTTGGGGACCAGAGCCTTGCAGATCAGTATGAACGCGCCAGTATTGGTCGATCTCGAGGGCGAGACCGATCCGTTGGCCATCGCCATGAAGGAGTTGGCTCAGAGAAAGATCCCGCTTGTTATCAGAAGATACTTGCCAGACAGCTCCTACGAGGACTGGGGCTGCGACGAGTTGATTGTGGACAACTAAACCGCATAGAAGAGCACGCTCTTTGCCACTGTACATTATCGCTTTTGGGTGCTAGATAAATAATGAAATAAAATGTATTTGTTCTGAGAGTTATCCGGTGTTGGAGAACATCAGTGGGTTTTGTAAAGCTTTTTATCTCCGAAAGTCAAGTGTCTGGCTGAATAAGGATCTCTGCTGTCTATTTAGTATACTGTCTACCCAGTCTCGGAATCTAGGAAGTGCGAACATGTATATTTCTAGCAGATATCGATGTTCACGATGAAAACATAGAGGTGTTACCTAATTTATAAATTGTACCAATCAGACAGAATATTAACTACGACGTATGGCTCTTAATATTTAGCTAAAATATCGATAATAGACTTTGCTCGTCAAAACTTTCAGTCCCCCAGCTACGAATTGCGTTTGATGAGAGATCTCCGAGTCCCGTTCTTGTGGCAGCAACATGTACCTGGCAAAATTTTGAGGCTCACATTCATAAACATTCTAGTGGTGCCTTTACCATAAATATAAAAACTGTCATCTATGCCATTTCCTTGGTTAAAGGAATCAGTAAGCGATATCTTTGATTAGATTACTCTAATACATCGCCGCTTTACGAGGTGTCAATGGATAAACGCTTACCAGCACACGTATCCCTGACATACGCGTGCACTGGGAGAATCACTGTCTCAAAGCGAACATAGAAAACTGATCCAGAGCCTTACAAAAAGCGGGCAATTACTTTTGTTATTTTTGGAGTATCTTGCAAGCTTAGTCCCTTTCGGTTTGGAGCTCCTGAGAACCACTCGCTATTAGGGCTGCCGATTTTCTCTCCCATCTATCAACTAAAACTCGGCATTCCCCTTTATCTTCAAGAATCTCTTTCCCTTATCACCAAGGTCATTCCGTTCGATTTCTATTCATTTTGACACCATTTCATAATATTAGTCCCCGCCTAGTCAGCCGCGCCAGGGCTCCCATAATTGCCAAACAGCGGGGCTGTGCGGCTCGGATCGCAGGTCAGCCCACGACATTGTTTCGTAAAAGTAACGCCTGTATACGTAAGATTCGAAAAGTAGATAGTACGGATTTGGAATTGTAGCTTAACCCAGATTGTCTGGGCAATATGTAACTTTTAATATGACTCAGTAACAAGCCATCCAGCTACCGCTCCGTGTTTTTAAGCCACGCAACAACCTAATATCAAAAATAAAAGCAATACCACTATCGATTATAATTACCATCAATCAGAATTTACTGATAATCAAGGCTTAGAAGACCGAATCTGTGGATTATTGACAAACTGGCAATCAGTTATATTTAGCCGTTTTAACTGCTTGCATACAGGTCCGGCGCCTCGATCTCCGGGACTCATAACGTGTTACAACAAAACATTACTGCTTGTCATTCCCTTACCTAGCACATCCTCCTACATCAAATCCCTGTTAGATTGCCAATAAACACATACCACAACCGATTCAGAACTACCGTCACCATTAGTTCTATATGTGGTCAGGACAGGATCCGTACCCACCGTCGCAAGATGCCACACGGAAGGAGGCGGACACAAAGCTCCGCCAGGTAGCGCACAACTTCTTTCTCAAGGCGGCTAACGTGGTACTAGCGTCACGATCCGAGCTCAATGCAGCTAGTGGTGCCACACGCTACAATAAATGGTTCAATCTCGAGGCCATTGACGGCGATTTTCGCTTTGCCAACCGGCCCATCCTCAAGGAGCGCGTACGGCAGTGGCGGCCATCGCTGCCTAGTAGTTCACAGGGCCCAACGGAGGCGATTCCGCCAATGGTAATCGAAACGTACCTTGATCTACGGGAGATGCACCAGCACGGGCTCCAGCTCAGTTTGCACCACGAGGGTGCAGATATTGCAGTGACCAAGAACGCCAAAAAGTCTGAGGTGGTGCTCGAGCGCTGGCTCGTGGAGTTTGACCAGATTACGCTGGAACCAGAGCTGCTCCCGGCGATATACAAGAAATGCATTGTGCTCTTTCGCGGGTTGTACACCTACGCCCGCCTCTTGCCCGCCTATTCGCTCTACAAGCGCCTTGAGAGCCAATCATCGATGGGAGAGCCCGTTTTGAGCGAATCATCTGGAGAGCCTGGACACTTTCTAAGTGTGGGCTGCCGGATTCTTGACGGAAACCAGCCAATAAATTCCAAGGGCCGCATTGGCTTGAGCAAGCCCATTATCCCCGCAACCAACAAGCTTCGTGCGAACGAAACGTTGCCTTTTCACATGGACCAGTACAAGTTTGCGCCGATTGCCACGCCTGGGGGCAGTCTCCGGGTGTCAGTGTCGTTTCGCGAAAACTGCGCGTTCCACATCACAAAGACCAACGCCAGGTTCCGTGAGACCGACTCCACTTTTGCAGAAACGGAGATTACCCGATTGGGTGCAGCCACTTCGTCCCCCATCAAGGTCCAGCTCCCCAGCGGCCACACCTCGGACTCTCTCCGTCGCTTCTCGCTTACAAGCAACATGTCGGTGTCGCCGGCCTACTCGTCCTCGCCCAAAGCCGCCAACCGCCGCCTCTCCACTCCGAACCGCATTCAGGTGTTCAAGTCGGGATCCGTCACCGGATCGCCCCCAAGCGGGGGATACGGCCCTGGAACGGTCAACCATGGACCTAATGACCGCCGCGGCAGCGTGACGCCCGTGGATAAAGACCGCCGCGGCAGCGTGGCTTCTGAGAGAAGTGTCGATAGAGGTGACCGCCGCGGAAGTGGATCCGCGCTTGACCGCTCCAGCTCCAACGTATCGCTCGCGGCGGTGCTCCGGAACCCGCGTACGGGCAGCGTGACCTCTGTGAATCAGATTCCACAAGGGTTCATCCCCCACAAACGGCCGGAAGCTGGAATTGTTCCAGCCTCCCTTCCCTCCTCTGCCTGCTCCTACACCAGCCTGTCTCCTGACGCTGTTTCCGGAAAGTTTTCCTCATCGTTCAACTATCCGCTGTCGCGGCGCCATTCGTACGTGCGGCGCCGCTCGTCATCCGTGGCGCGCAGACCGGCGGCTTCAATACGCTCACCCGAACCAGGCTACTTGTCCACTGCAGGCTCAGATATGGACCCCGCAAGTGGGCTCTATGTGGATGATGACATTGGCGAGTTTGTCAAGATGATTGATAGCAAGCATGATTTGCGGCTCATCGACACGGCGCTTTCGTCATCCTCGTTGTTCCAGGAATCGAACCGCCACCTGGGCGAGATGGACTTCCAACGCTTCCAGTCGATGAAATCGCAGTACGACGATCTTGGCGACAAGCTCTCTGCGCTGTTGATCCGTGTGTCTGACAGTACGCGTGCAAGTCCGCGGCTCGATACTCCGCCCATGCCCTCCATTCCATCCATCATGGGCGAACACAGGACGCGCGCAACCCCTAGCTCACCCAAGCTGGATTCGGTTGTTCTTCGCGGCTACTACTCCCTCAGGGGCTCCCCCAGCGTTGGCGCTTCCGCTGAGTACGCCCATCGCGAGGGCTCCGAGCCGGCGGCCGGGTACTACTCGCTCACCAGCGAGATCAGGCGTAAACACGCGATCACGAGCCAGTATGCGGATGTATTTGACGACGAAGAGGATGAGCCGAAAAAACCTCCTGTCAGGGCCCGCGAAGAGGCGGACGAAGATGACGACTTGTTGTTTGAGATGAGCGACGTTCATTTGGCCAAAGGTAGTGGGTTTGAATGATTCTAGCATGGTTTGAGGAACTGCTGCATTTGCTTACGCTTGATTAAGATCATTGGCCTGGAAACTATAGGTATATACAAGTATGGGAAGGGAGGATTTAAAGAATAAAGTTTTATTGGTAATATCACGGGCAAAGTACAAAGTCCAGTTCGGTTGTTTTACAAGACAATTGTCCTGCTGTGTCGGTATTAACTAGCGTGTTTAAGTAATTAGCATGGGTTTTATCTCCACGTAATATGCGTTCTGTGGAATGTTGTACCATATTTCACATACGGTAAAGGGGAGAACAACAAAAACTCGTGGTTGAGAATACACCCTTATCTGGGACTCACAAAAGGAAAACTCAGTTTTCATATGGTACTAGAATATACACCATTTTTCTGGCTCGAGAATTAAAGACAGAATAGTATGCCCTTTAGACGTACAGGTTTATATATCTTGTTATATGAACTTTTACGTGTATCGATCGACCTCAACTGTTTGGCGCTCCTAACTTGAGGCGTTATGTAACTGCGAGAAGAGCTGTGCCCTATACAATATCAAGCAACCTGCCAGCTTATATCGATGCCATATTCAGACACTTAATATCTCGATCTCTCCTCTGGTTGTTAATCTGCCATAAAACTGACTGTCAAAACTGCCATTGAAATTACCATTGAGACTTCCATTGAGATCGTCATTGAGATTGCCGTTATTTTAGTTTTACGTGCGTCTAGCATAAATATGCCTCTTGGTACAACCAATTATTCCCTATAACTCTCTGGGGTACCACGCAGGCACAGATGAGCCGTCGTGCTGCAACTAAATAGACTCATGATATTACAGATTATAAAAAGATAGATCATTCGAGATAATAGCTTATCGAGTTTCCGTCTAAATACGTTAAACAATGGCTGCTCGTTTCGATAACTCCCGCCCACTTGCGTTCTTCGACGCAATTCCGGACACCTTCCATGCGCCCAGGGGGCTTGCCTATAAGCAGCCCCGCCCGAAAAACTCCGCACCTTTCCGCAATATAAATTGCCGCCCATTATGGCTCCCGAAATAAACTGACGCCAGGTTTCTTTTCAAGACTCTTTCAAACCCTTCAATAAACTCATCCATTCAATTGAAGCAATTGTTTATAGACAACTCATCCAGAGAAATTCCCGCCCGCTTCCATCCATAGTCAACAGCTAAACACTGCCCTGACGAACATCATTTCGTACTACACACCCCAGTACTTCCTCAGTCTGACTCTTTCTATTTGTCAAACTCTAGCCGAATTCATTGTGCTATTTTCACTCGCTAAGCAAGCCAGTCTCTTCTCTATCTCCACTTCTGAGCTAGACTTGCCAAGTTCAGCTTCTTATTTGCAATTCTAGAACATTTCACAAGTTTCGCCGCAGCTTATCTCATCGGCTTCATTGTCTGCTCATCCGCTTAGCTGAAGCTTGTTCACCTGAGACCCACTATGCAAACCGTCCTCCTCCGCCTTGCCTCCACCGGCGAACCGCTCGTCGGCACCGGTATTCTCAGCCTCCCGTCGGCACCGCCACCGCGCGACTTCCGTGCTGGCGATGCGCTCTACCGCGTGGTGCTCGCAATCCCGGCATCAGCGAAAATTACCCGCGGTGGTGTCGTCTGGACAAACGCTCCGCCTGCAGGAACCCCTTTCGACCGCACGCGCTTCTACAAACACCCGATTAGCGGCTCTTTCTCCAAGGATGTATTCCTTCCCATTGACGTTTTCGTTCCAGGTGCCTACTGCTACTATGTGAGTTACCTCGCAGAGCAGCCGGAAACCACGCGCAAGTTCTACTTTAACGCGCCGTGCGCGCTCACCCTCAACGGCGAGTTTCTCCCCTTCAACGCCATCTCCATGGAGAGCATCATCTCCAAATGGATGGGTCCAAGGTCAAACTGGGACGAAATCTTTGGTGAAGTTGCCCATAAGGGATATAACATGGTCCACTTCACACCGTTGCAGACACGTGGCGAGTCAAACTCACCATACTCCATTGCTGACCAGCTCACATTTGACCCGGAACACTTTGCGGACGTCGCGGATGTGGAAAAAATGGTCGCAGACTTGGAAAAGAACCACAAAATCTTGTCCTTGACCGATATCGTGTTCAATCACACGGCAAACAACTCGTTGTGGTTGCAAGACCATCCGGACTCGGGGTACAACGCGGTGACGGCGCCACATCTCCAAGCGGCAATTGCGTTGGACGGTGCGTTGCTTGCGTTTTCCGCACAGCTAGATGCGTTGGGATATCCTAGCCATCCGCGCACCGCACATGATGTGAGTGCTCTCATGGCGGGCATTCGCACCCATGTGATTGCAGAGCTCAAGTTGTGGGAGTTCTACGCAATCGACGTCAAAGCTGCGCTCGAGGCTACAGCCGCGGCGTGGGGCGCGGAAGCAATTGACGTTCCGGAAGAAGCCAAGTCTGATTTGCCGAGATTGGCCAAGTGGGTCGTTTCGCAGACAGCTGCGCCGTTTGTTCTTGCCGGAAGAGGCGAGTATAAGCTTGATGCGGGTAAGTTTGCAGGGATTTTGGCGAGCCTTGTTGGCGATGCCGCCACCGCTAGCGACTTTGCCGCCGCCTCTGCCGAAGCTCGCCGCATCCTTGATGAAATCAACGTTCCCCTTTATCGTACCTACGACGAAGATCTTGCGGCCATTCTTTCCTCCCTCGAAAGCCGCATCCTCTACCTCCGAGTCGACGAAAACGGCCCAAAGCAAGGTCCCGTCACCGACGAACACCCCTTGACCGAGCGCTATTTCACACGCTTTAGTGCGCACGGCACGGACTGGGCGTTGGCCAACAACGGCTGGATTTGGGGCGGCAACCCATTGGTCGACTTCGCATCCAACCAGTCCAAGGCGTACCTCCGCCGTGAGGTTATCATTTGGGGCGACTGTGTCAAGTTGCGCTACGGCACGGGGCCAGAAGACTCACCGTATGTGTGGAAGCGGATGACCGAGTATACGCGCTTGTGCGCGCGTGTTTTTCACGGGCTCCGGATTGACAATGCACACTCCACACCGCTTCACGTGGCCGAGGCTTTGCTCGACGTTGCAAGAGAAGTCAACCCGAACGTGTACGTGGTGGCGGAGTTGTTTTCCGGTAGCGAGGAGATGGACACGATGTTTGTGGAGCGTCTCGGGCTCAGTTCGTTGATCCGCGAAGCGATGCAGGCGTGGTCGGTCGAGGAGTTGTCGCGGTTAGTGCACCGACATGGAGGGCGGCCAATTGGGTCGCTCCAGTGGTTGCCATTGGATGAGTTTGCGTATCCCGCGATGGATGAAAAGAGGGGGGAAGCATTGGTTGCAAGGGACGAACACAATCTTGGCGTCGATGCCACGCGCGACAGTGCATCCGAACTTGCTATTCCCCGCGTCCTTCAGGCCGAGCCCGTCCATGCCCTCTTTATGGACTGCACCCATGACAACGAAATGCCCGCGCAAAAACGCTGTGTCGAAGATACCCTCCCCAATGCCGCGCTCGTCTCGCTCTGCGCGTGTGCGGTCGGTTCCGTCTTTGGCTACGACGAGTGCTACCCTGCGCTCCTCGATGTGGTTAACGAGTCGCGCACGTACTCCTGGGGCCACGGCATCGGTGAGGTCAAGCGCTTGCTCCTCCAGGCGCGCGAAGAAGCCTCTTACCAGTCGGTCGGCCACCTGGAGGACAACGAGATGTACATCCATCATGAGGACCAATACATCACCGTCCGCCGGACCAACGCCAAGACCGGCAAGGGCTTGTTCCTTGTCGCACGCTCCAAGTTCCACAATGCGGGCACACAAGAATTAGCGCCCATCACGCTTTCTGGGACCCGTGTCGCCGCGATGTTTGCGTACAGCTTGGTCAGGACAGGAGACTATGTCGAAGACAAGCGCACCTTGGGGTCCATCCCGGTGGAGGTTATCAAATTGGATGATCCCGCCATAAGCTACGATGCTGAGAAGAACGAAACAACCATCACTTTGCCCCCAGGGTTTTCTCAGGGGAGCATTGTGTTGCTTTCTACTACCATTGACGAGGCGAACCTGGAGCTCGATGAGTTTCTCACTACGGGCGCAATCTCAGCCTCCAAGGACTTGGATCTCTACGACTTAAACGCACTCTTATACAAGTGCGAGCAGGAAGAAAGAGACGCAAGTGCGGGCCGTGAAGGGGTCTACAACATCCCGGGGTACGGGCCGTTGGTGTACGCGGGACTCCAGGGCTGGATTTCCGTCTTGAAGCCGGTGATTGCCGCGAACGACTTGGCGCATCCATTAATGGACCACTTGCGTCAGGGCCAGTGGCCGCTCGACTACATTGTGAACCGCTTGGACAAGTATGCGGGGTCGCGTGGGGTCGCGGCGTTCCGCGACTGGTTGCACGCGCGCTTCGCGGCAGTCAAGAAAGTGCCGTACTACCTCTTGCCACGTTACTTTGCGCTCGTGGCGGGCGTCGCGTACGAGGCATTGCGCTTCCGGGCGCTCGCGTTACTCCCGCACCATATCCAACACTCTACCGCATTTGTGCAGAGCTTGGCGATGTGTCTGGTACAGATGATGGGTGAGATGAACAACACGAGCGTGCTTCCCTTTGCAAACGTGCCGTGCATGGCCGCAGGGTTGCCGCACTTCAGCAACGATTACATGCGGTGCTGGGGCCGTGATGTGTTTATCTCGTTGCGTGGCTTGTTGCTCGCAACGGGGCGGTTTGAGGATGCCAAGACACACATCTTGGGCTTTGCCGCGACGTTGAAACACGGCTTGATTCCGAACTTGTTGGATGCGGGGCGCAACCCGCGCTACAATGCGCGCGATGCCGCGTGGTTCTTCGTGCAGAGCGTTCAGGACTACGTGACACACGCGCCGGACGGGCTTGCGCTCTTGGACACGCGCGTTAAGCGTCGCTTCCCGCTAGACGACACATGGGTTGCGTACGACTCCCCGGAAGCGTTCGCCTATGAGTCGTCCGTGCGCGAAATTGTCTATGAAATCCTTGCACGCCACGCGCGCGGCATTGCGTTCCGCGAGGCCAACGCGGGCAGTACTTTGGACTCGCAAATGCGTGACGAGGGCTTCAATGTTGCCGTCAGCGTGGACTGGACCACCGGTTTGATCCACGGCGGTTCCCCGTGGAACTGTGGCACCTGGATGGACAAGATGGGCGAGAGCGCACGTGCGGGGTCCAAGGGTGTACCGGGCACACCCCGCGACGGCGCCAATGTTGAAATCAACGGGTTGCTCAAGTCGTGTTTACGCTTTGTTAATGGGTTACACTCCAAGGGGGCATTTGAGCATGCCGCGGTGGTCAAGCCAGACGGCGAAGAGATCTCGCTTGTGGCATGGGAGGCGTTGGTCCAGGAAAACTTTGAAAAGAAGTTCTACGTTCCGGAAGACCCGGAAGAGGATTCTCAGTTCGACATTGACAACAGCTTGGTGAACCGTCGTGGGATCTATAAGGATGTGTATCGCACATCGAAGCCGTACGAAGACTACCAGTTGCGGCCAAACTTCCCGATCGCGATGTGCGTTGCGCCTGAGTTGTTCGCGCCGGCGCGCGCATTGCGCGCGCTCCAGATCGCGGACGCGGTCATTCGTGGACCGATCGGTATGCGCACGCTTGACCCGTCTGACTACAACTACCGTCCAGACTATCACAACTCCGAGGACTCTGACGACTTTGCTACGTCCAAGGGCCGCAACTATCACCAGGGTCCTGAGTGGGTCTGGTGTATGGGCTACTTCTTGCGTGCGTTCGCAGCGTTCCACGTCGTGGCTGACCCTAAGTGTGTTGCGGATGGCAAGCCGTCGACGTACTTGTATCAGATGTTGTCTGGACGCTTGGAGGGACACCGTAAGTGGATTCTGGAGAGCCCGTGGGCCGGCTTGACTGAGTTGACAAACCGAGATGGTGCAGAGTGCTATGATTCTAGCCCAACCCAGGCCTGGAGCTCGGCCTGTTTGCTTGACTTGTTCTATGATGAGTGGAATGAGTAGATTTTGTAATGTACTTTTTTTTGTGCTTGTTAATGTAGAGAGGGATAATGTTTGTCTAACGAGATGGTAATTGCGTTACCGAATGACAGATCATAGTTGAAGTTCCTGAATGACGGATTTTTATTTTTTAGCATTACCAGCTGGTAGACTGGATTTATCTGCTTTGTGCTCGTTTGTGGTCGGGTTTCTTGCGGTTGAATACCATGTGGCACGAAAAAGAAGGCATATGTAAGGAAATTTATTTCAGCTTTCAGGTTTGATTTCGGTGGATTAGCTCCTAGACGGAGACGTTCACAAGCTCAACATGGCATATACTGATTCGAGGATGTCGTTTAGTTTTCATTTATCTATTCATGTACTGTGGTTCAGGACTGATGCAGTTACAGGTTAGCGTCTAGCGCTTCTGGCAGATTACTGGTACTGAGAACATGAATACACTGTATATGTGGACTTTACCCTAGTGCTTCCAGTACGCATATAGATATATATCAATGGTATACTAGTTAGGAACTCCCCCTAGGTTCGTCTTCGGTCCTGTAATTGTTCTATCTGTCTGATATTTAAGTTCAAGGAATGTCACGCTTTTTGCGATGACGCCATCGATCTCAAAACCTATAATTTCCATATACTCCTAAACCATAGTTCAGCAATTTCCCGGACAGGGAAGAAATATCCGTTAAGAAGTTATCTGCTTTACCAAGTTGGAAGTGAGCGCTCGCCAATATAATAGAGACGGGGTGCGCTGTACATGTACTTATGTTCTTCGATCCGGAACCATTACAAGCATTTCCAATCACTGATGAGTCCCCAGCAGACGGGACGGGCAAGTAGAGGAAGCCAGACACGAAGTGATTGGATTGAATCCCTATTGTTGCTTTCAGTGTTTAAGAGTACCGTAGTGTGTTATTACGGTAATTTTCTGGGTCAACTCAATACGTATCTGCCTTACTACTCTGATGCCGTCTTCACTATTTCAGCCGGTATCCGGAGTACAGGATACGTATAATTTCCACCTGGTAGATCAAAAACCGGATTTTAACCGCTGGGAACACAGATAAGGACTTTATCTTGGTGGATCCAGAAGCTGAGACCGCAAACCCTACACCAATACCCTTTATAAAACGTACAACGCTAGTCCACTCTTCACCCCATACGCCACAATGACGGATGGTATTTTTTGAAGGCGCTATGAAAGGGGCCGATAGGTTAATGATAATCAAAGTTCCGATGGGCCGGCCGGAAGAAGGATTGCTAGAAATTAAAATAGCCCCATTGGGTAGAAAAGCTTAATGACTCGGAGCTCGAGTTGTGAGCTAAAATAAGGTCACCCCTCGACTTACACCATTGGTGAACTGGAAAACCTAAATCAAGAGCACAAATTTAGAATGCTGGCAGGAACTGAATCTTGGGACTGTTGTTCTCCTTCCATATCAACCAGTCGCTCGTTACTCGCGTAAATCTCGCGGCGTCGGACTTGTGGGTCTGTTGCGATCTTCCGACCATGTTTCCTTCCCTCCGACTCCGTCTCCTGCACACACTCCGATGCTCCTCAGGCGTCTGCATGACCACTATCACGTGCGATTCTTATCGCAAACTCTGGTAGTGCTTCCGTCTGTCCTCAGTTTGGTCATGCCCTGCACCGTGTGACGTTATGTGCCACGAACACAGGGTAGGCACGGGGCATCGGCCGCATACTCTACTTATAATGGCAGCGGCTTGATTGGCGGTAGCATAATTGACAATCTGACACCAACGGCAGTATATAACCAGCAAACCCACCATCATTTTGTTTCTGGATATCATTAATAACCGACGTATATCTCTCACAGCTAAGTAACGTATATCTCGACTACGGAGTAACGATATCTCGCCAATCTATCCAAAAAGCACCTGCCTCAGTCATTGCTGGTTCCGCAAGCCGTATTTTAACCCTTTTGCACTTTTTTTCGGCTCAACCCCTACTCAGCATCCCATTAGTCAGGACACGTTCGCCAGTCACTCTGATAGCCATTGTTTCGTCATTGAACCCTTTGAGAACTACCCCTCCTTTTACCCCACCTCAACTTCTCACTTTCGTTCAAGCCCATGACCACCAATAAACCCTCTGCCAAGCTCCCTGTGCCGCCGTTGTCGTCGACCACCGCACAACTCTTGACAGCGCTCCAGCCACTCATCCCATCACAGCCCATCTACGACCAGTTGCACGACGCGACAATCAACTTTCTCCACTCGCGCACGGCGCACGTGTTGCAAAAGCACTTACTCGCGATCGCAGAGCGCGAGGAATGCTATTTAAACGACCGCAAGTATATTGCTAAGACAACGCCGGGAATTTATGGCAAATTACGCGGTGATACGCTCCCGCGTAATCCGTTCCTCCTCTTGGAGAAAGACCCGTTGTCGTTCACCATTAAAAATAACCAGCCCATCAACCAGCAGGAGCGAGCAGCGTCGCTCGTCTTCTCCGCCGTCAAGTTCATCGGCGCGGTGCGCGACGGCGCGCTTTCCGGCGATGTCACGCGCAACTCCAGCGTGCAGTTGGATATGGAAAACTACACCAAAATGTTCAACTCGTGCCGCGTGCCCAACGCCGCAACCAAGGATATCGATGTGGCTTTCTTCGACAACAATACCGCGCGCCATATCGTGGTCGTATGCAACAACAACTATTGGAAGGTGAATGTATTTGCGCCGACGACCGCCGAGTCGCCCGACCGCCAGAGCGTGTACTACACCGAGGCGGAGTTGTGCACGATCTTCCTGACGATTATCGTGCGCTCACAAGAGACTACCGCAATGGGCATCGGCTCAGTCACCACTGAGACGCGCACGGAGTGGGGTCACCTCATCCCTGAACTCACTGCACAGGCGCCGTGCGCGATGCAGAGCATCAACCTGGCATTGTTTCTCCTCATCTTGGACGACAGCGCGCCAGAGACGGATGCGGAAAAGCTCGCCACGATCCCACACGGAACGTCGAGCATCGTCGGTGGTATCCAGCGCGGTTCGTGCACATCGCGCTGGTATGACAAGTTGCAATTAGTGGTGTGCGCGAATGCGGCAGGTGGCTTAGTGTGGGAAAACACGTCGATGGATGGTAACTGCGTGTTGCGCTTCATTGGCGACGTGTATACTGACGGGATCCTCCGTCTTGCAAAAAAGATCAACGGCGGAGAGTACCTGTTGTTCCCCAACATTCCCGTTTCCTCCGTGCCCGACGATGAAGGCGTGGTTCGTTTGCAGTTCAACATCAAGAACGAGCTCTCCTACATGATCCACCTCTCAGAGACACGGTTGGCGGACTTGATCCACCAACACACATTCCACACGGCGGAACTCAGCGTACAATCTATCACGCACATCCTCAAGTTCTTTGGCATCTCGCTCGACTCTCTCGTGCAGATCGCAACGCAGCTCGCACACTACGCATTGTACGGCAAGCTCGTCAACTCGTTGGAACCTATATCCACTCGCAAGTTCGCGGGCTCGCGCAATGAGTTGATCGCGGTGCAGTCGGCGGTGGTGGAGGCGTGCGCGCGCGCGTTCATCTCTAAGGACGTGGCGGACGCGGAAAAGTGGGAGCTCTTTACCAAAGCGTGTGCGCAGCACAAATTGAGCTACAAGAATGCCATCAGCGGGCACGGTTGGGAGCGCCACTACAACGCGTTGAAAGCGATCTACCTCAACCGCGAGGCCATCAACAGCAGCCCGGACACCGTCGACGCAATGAAGATCCCGCTTCTCGACCCGAAGATGGAGGAGTTCTTTTTCGGCAACGAGGTGCTCGCAAAGATCTCGGAGCCCGAGATTATCATCGCCAATTGTGGCAACCCCGCCATTAAGTACTTTGGCATCGCACCCGCCGTCGCCAACGGCTTTGGTATTGGCTACATCATCAAGCCGAACAGTCTGAGTGTGTCGCTCGTGGGGACCTCCCAGTGGCGTCAGACCGACCGTTTGTTCGACACGGTCCAATGGGTTGTGCAGTGCGTAAAAACGCTCGCAAAGGCTGCCTTTGCAAGCCAGGCCACCGAGTCGCTCTTGCTCTATGGCGAGCCCGGTATGGGTAGTGCTGACGCCTTGGGCGCTGTCGCCATGACCAGCGTCCAGAGCGATACCACTGCGCGTCTCATGGAGGTGTCACGCATGCGCTCCTCCCATCGTCGCCGCAGCGTCCACGAGGGCTCATCCGCGAACGCCGTCCCGGGCACTGCCAGCGTGCTTGATAAGGGCGCGCGCGCGGCTGCACTCCCCGCATACTTGAACAATGAGATTGCGTTGTCCGCGCAGGACATGCACCGCGACAACACCAGCGCATCGTCGCACGGCACCGCCACTGAGTACATTTTGGGCGGCTACGGCTTCTTTGACGGCGGTGACTTGGACTACTTGAAAACGGACTCCATGTCACGCCTCAGCTCCCACTTGCAGTCTGCCGTCACTAGCCGTCTCCACTCGCGCTCTACATCCGCGCTGAATTTGTACCAGATGGCGCGTGGGTTGCGCTCACGCTCGCGCACGCCGCTCACGCAGCCCTCCACCGCCGGCTTGGAGGAAGACACCGACGGCGCCCACGCAGCCTTCTTGGGTGAGGTCATGGAGAAAGTCGAGCGCTTGCGCGCTAACGATCTGGGCGAGATGAAGCGGGGGTAGCTAAAATGACGAATGTGAGCAATGGTAGCATTGCATAGGATAATAAACAGGCATTAGTATATTTGCAAGGCCGGAGATGGTGTTGTTCTGGTTGGGGCTGTATACTTGATTGTCTAAAGGTATATTTCGTGTTATCTGAGATCGGGAATCACGCCGAGAATCGCCATTAATTAAGACTAGGGTCAGTTGTAATTGGTGCTAATATAGGATTAGTATTTATCAGCTTACAATAATGGCTATAATATATTTGATGCATATATGTTAAAAACCTTTTATTAGATTTTTCACCTTTACACCAAATTTAATGTACAATAAATAAAATATAAAGGTATGTCCGACAATTTTTCCATAACAATAAATATTTAACATCTACTGACGGATAATATGTATAAATGTGTAGTTAGTAGTATATATACAATTATAACTACTTAGCACTCAAAAAACTTGAAGCATTAGAAGGAGCAATGACATATATAGGTATATGTAAGTATTTGCCAGACCACGTTTAAGAATGCACACTACGGCATTCTCCTGGCGTGCAGATATCACCCCACATCTCAAATAACTTTGAATACAACACTGCATATGTTGTTAGGCTATATATATTTTTACTTGGTGTCTGACGCACGCGGTGGGTTTTTGTAGCGTAATTTTGGTTCCGGTATGGACATTACATTTCCTAATTGGGCCGATGAAGTAATTCCATCGATAAAAACTTTCAAATTACACGCAGGATAAGATTAGCTGGAAACTCCGAATTTTTGGATCTTTCAACCGGAAGAATAGATGTCTCATGTCCTTCAATTTGACTATGAGTTTGGTGAATTGTAAAGCTATAAGCAAGGTATAAAGCTATACCAAATTTATAGGCAAATTAACCCGAAAATCACCATTTGATGGGGAAAAAGCTACTTTCGAGGTTGATCTGAAATATCCGGCATATAAGGGAGATTATTCTTCCAAGCTTGTCATGTTCTCACCACAGTCACGAAAAAGTCAGACTTGAGGACAGAAACAGCCTGCATGCTAGGATATTCACTACATAAGGCAGGAAAAAGTAATCTTCAGCATACATAAACCCTATATTAGGGCTTTTATCATGAAATTTTCCGGTTTTTTCGCCAGATTCCCAAGAATCGAATTTTCACCTTACTGATGACGAACTTTCCTACCACTTTCTTCCTCTCTCTCTGTACCCGCTAACTACTACTCCCCCTTACTACCATTCCACATAGCGCCTACTACACGCACACGCTAATTATTAATATCACCACATAACATCACTCGTTTAGAACACGCTATTTTTTCCCTTTCAAGAACCATCTCTTTAAAATGTCCGACGTCGAAGAACAGTACCAAGAAGAACCAGTCGTCCAACAGGAAGCTGAATTGCAATTAGTTGAATTGGCCACCCCAATCCCAGCTGATGTTCAGGCCGCTCAGCAGGAAATCAAGTTGTTCAACAAGTGGACCTTCCAGGACATCTCTGTTAAGGACATTGCTTTGACTGATTACATCCAGGTCTCCAAGCCAGTCTTTGTCTCTCACACTTCCGGTAGATACGCTGCCAAGAAGTTCAGAAAGGCTCAGTGCCCAATCATTGAAAGATTGACTAACTCCTTGATGATGAACGGTAGAAACAACGGTAAGAAGTTGAAGGCCGTCAGAATCGTCAAGCACGCTATGGAGATCATCCACATCTTGACCGATGCCAACCCATTGCAGGTCATCGTTGACGCTATCGTCAACTGTGGCCCAAGAGAAGACTCTACCAGAATTGGTTCTTCCGGTGCCGTCAGAAGACAGGCCGTCGATGTCTCTCCATTGAGAAGAGTCAACCAGGCTATCTCTTTGTTGACCGTTGGTGCTAGAGAAGCCGCTTTCAGAAACATCAAGACCATCGCCGAATGTTTGGCCGAAGAATTGATCAACGCTGCCAAGGGTTCCGCTACTTCTTATGCCATCAAGAAGAAGGATGAACTTGAGAGAGTTGCCAAGTCTAACCGTTAAGAACTTTATGTCACGTTGTCAGCGTGGTTTACACGTGGCTTTGTATATTTGGGGTTTTTAATGTTTAGTTAAACGTGTACAATTTGTATCAACCTTTTTACCACTGTGGGTTGTAGATACGCCAGTGATGTCGGACCTGGGCCCCAAAATATGTAGTGGCAAAACGGCTGAAATGTCGAAAAAACTGGCATGGTATTTGTAAAAAATAGATAGAAATAATGGTCCCTAGCAGGATCGAACTGCTGATCCCCGCGTTATTAGCACGATGCCTTAACCAACTGGGCCAAGGGACCAATTACTTACGATTTTGTAGAACTAGGGAGGCTGTCCCTGAGGATGTGCGTGGCCACCAGTGCGGGTTTGAGTGAATGGGATCACAAATGTTGCAATCTCATGGAATTATATAAGGAAGTGGTATCCTACTTTTAGGATACTTTCAGGTTAAAGTATCTGTCATTGTGGATTATTATAACCGCATCTTTATGTGGATTGAACGATTGACAATAGTTCCCTGATCGATAACCCAACTGGCACCGGAACTCTGATAATGTCAGATAGCAGCTGGTTAAGTGGCCAGTACACCCCTCTGTGATGGAGAAACCCAAGTTAGGTTTTTGGGGGTAGGCATCGGGAATTACAGGGTTTATACGCTGAACTGCCTTAATAACCCTCAGGTTGTCATTTATCTGAGACCTTTTTACCATACATCCATGAGATTTAGCCCTTTTTTTTGTCACTTTAATTTACTTTGACGGTTCTGGGGCTGACATGAACGTGCCCCTCGCTTTTTGATCCTTCAAGGTACTGCACCCTTGTGTCCTTTCTCTGGTACCGGAGACTGACAGCAACCTCGTGCCACAAACCTGCCGCGAGACGTGAAGTGAGGCACTCTTGACTTAGAGTTGATCAACCAACTGGATTTAGTAAGTTAATAGCTCGTCTATAGCCTGATGTTACTCTCAATAGGTCTGACGGATTAACCCATCATGCATATGGAAAAATAAAGGTAGCCACAAACTAGGCGTGTAACTATACGAACGTTAAAGATATCGACCGAAGTGCGTATCTGGGGCTTGAAGGTGCGGGGAGTATAGTCCTTATAAAATGAAAACTTGTTGCAAAATGTAATTTTAAACTCTAATCTTAAACGTCTACGGAAATCGGTCAATTGAACCCCGCATCCAAAAAGCTTCCGGCGCAAACCCTTCGGCCTCCGTATGACACGTGATACAAAATTTCGATGGTGTAGCAGCCTGTTGCGACTGGGCCGGCTAAAAAACATGTATGCGCCTCACACGTTCCCTGAATCCACAAAGAGCAGGGAACTAAATGTAATATCAGCCTATTTCTCTGAAACATCTGCAACCTGGCCGCTTTTCCAGGCAAAATTTGGTTCTCGACTCAGTGATACGCTTTGAGAATGCAGTCATGCGTCTAAGGCACCGGTTCCGGGCTTGCAACCCTGCTTTTCCTGTAGGAGAAATTTTCTTGCCCCCCGCTACCGCCAGGAACCCTAAATCGTGCATAATTAGCGGGGAAAAAGCATATAAATTTACATACACGAGTACCGAAAAGGAATCCCGGGAGCAGTAAGAGTCATGTTGCAGAGGATACGCAGCAACCGGTGAAAAATCGCGGTATTCTGTAGGTGATTTCTTTGCCCCTCAAGCAGGTATGACTAATGGAGACTGGGATAGATGTCCGACTTCATCCTGCAACATAAAAGAGTTTCAATCCCCTTTCCCCCTAAAAGTTGTGCTCGCCCGCTACACACTACCTTAGAATAGCTTGGAAATATCTTCCACGGCTGAAAAGAGCTATACATACACATATATACCTTTCCATTCCCTATACAAATGTCTGACTTACACCAAAAGGTGTCGGAGGAACACTCCTCCTACGCGGGGGAGAAGGAAGATTCTGCAGAGGTTCCGGTTTACGGCTTCGAATCCGATGACGAAAAGAACGCCAAATTAGATGCGTTAATCACAGCTCATGGCATCAACCACACGAAGTTGATGTGGAAGATAGATATCTGTGTTGTTCCACCCTTTTGCTTGTTGTATTTCTTGGCCTTTTTGGACCGTGTCAATATCTCTAACGCCAAGGTCTACGGTATGGCCGATGACTTGAAATTGACAGGTAACCAGTTCAACACTGCTTTAACTATTTTCTTCGTCCCTTACGTTTTCTTCGAAGTCCTTTCCAATTTCGCCATCAAGAGAATTGCTCCACATATCTGGTTGTCCGGCTGCATCCTCTGTTTTGGGGCTGTCTCCATCGGTATGGGGTTCGTAAAGAATTTTGGCGGCTTGGTGGCTTGCCGCTTCTTGTTGGGGATTTTTGAATCCGGTGCTTTTCCAGCTGTTTTCTATATCTTGTCCAACTACTACCAGAAGCAAGAGGCCCAGAGGCGTTTCAGCGTCTTCTTCTCCGTTACCTGTTTGGCCGGTGCCGCTGGTGGTGCCCTTGCCGCCAAGATTATTGAATTGGATGGTAGGTATGGTATCGAGTCGTGGCAGTGGATTTTTATCATCGAGGGTGCTTTCACCGCCGGTTTAGCCTTTGTCTTGTTCTTCACCATCTCTGATTTCCCAGAGACTGCCAGGTTCTTGAACGAAAACGAGAGAGCCTTCCTCAAAGCCAAGTTGGAGATCTTCAACGGTGCCTCTGGCTTTGAAGAGAAGACCACTTTGAAAGATACCGGTGGGGTGTTCAAGGATTACCTCATCTGGCTACCAGCTATTGCTTATTTCGGTTTGATTGTCCCAGCCTACGGCTACGCATACTTTTCTCCAACTATTATTAAGCAAATGGGCTACACTGCTGTTGCCGCCCAAAACCACTCTGTCTACCCATGGTTGTTAGCCTTTGGTCTTTCCATTTCCGTCTCCTTTGCCAGTGACCGTCTCCAGATGCGTTTCCCTTTCGCTGTTGGTGCTATTCTCTGGGCGCTCATGGGGTTGGCCTTTATCCTTGGGGGGACCCACAATCCTCGGTTGCGTTACGCTGGGTGTTTCTTAACCGCCTCGGGTATCTACACCGCTATGCCTATCATTGTTTGTTGGGCTTCGTTGAATTTCTCTGGCCACTTGAGAAAGTCCGTCGGGACTGCTTGGCAAATTGGTTTCGGTAACATTGGTGGTATCATTGCCACCTTCATTTTCTTGGCTAAGGACTCTCCAAGATACGTCCCAGGTTTGAGTGTTTCCATTGCCTTTTCCTGTCTTGCTCTCCTCTTTGTCTGCATCTACTTCTTTGCCGTCCGCAGATTGAACAGGTTGAAACTTACGGAGGCTTACCGTTCTAAGTTCAGTGTCAAATCTCTGAGAGACCAAGTATTGTGTGGTGACAGGAATCCCAACTTCAAGTACTTGCTTTAGAGAATTACCTCTCATTCTTGGATTGTTCCGTTTTATGCCTCTTTTCCCACTTAATATTATGAACGTAATTACCTGTTAAGACCTAGAAATTTGTCATAAATTAACGCTAGTAGGTATCAAACAATAGGATAGAATAACCCGACAAGACTTCTATGGGATACAGCTGATTAGTATGATTACTCATTGATTGGCAAAATCGGGTACTACAATGCTCTTCCAATCCCCCAGGAAATTTGTATTTCTCATGACCTCACAAATATTGAATATGGTGCAAAAGGATGTATTAAAACAAAAACAAAACCAGTCCAATCCAATTCCTTACGGTGCTGCTTTGACAACAAAGACACTAAAACCTCTTTCATGTCCCATAGACACCAAAGAACCGGCCCGCTCACTCAAGAACCCAGCACTTCCAACTGGAATGTGGTTTCCCGTAATGAACAACACATTCCTAAGGCTATCCAGGAGATGCTCCTGGGCCACATTTGCCACCACGTTTTCAAGCGCCTCGGCTTCATTGCTCCATGAAACACAAGGGAGACGGACCACAGTGACCGGCACTGACAGTTTGACCCGCTTCACCATGCTTTCCAAATCAGCAACCGCAGCCGAGCCGGCCGGGCAGTTGATAAACATCACCTTGATACCGTGCAAGTAGTTGTTGTTGCTGAAGGCCATCTTAACAGCCATGTGCAAGGCTAACAAATCCGTCTGGGTGATATCTGCCGCATCCATGATTAACACCGCTTGGTGGATGGAACTGTCAGGAACGCGGAAATGAGCCGGCTCAGCAGGCTCAGAGAAGTCGTTTTTAACATAAAACCCCAAGTGACAGGCACTGTGGTCAAACAAGTATTTGAAGAACGCAAAGTCATCTGATGTGTTTGCTTCGATGACACTCGACGTATCACCACGGGCAACCGCACCGGCTTCCGCTGCCAACCAGCCATGAACCTTTGACGTGGTCGCAGAGGTGAGTAAAAGATCGGAGGTTTCGATGAGGTTATCGCAGACGGCGTACGCACGGTTCCGGAGAGTAGTGAGAATAGTTTGGGAGCTGTAGTGGATGCCGTTCAACTCGGAAAAAATTCTCAAGATGTTGAGAAAGGATGAGTCGTCAATATAGTTCGGGTTGTACGTGTCCTCATCTCTGGTCTGGTCCGCGGTTGATGCCTGAATCAAGTGGGACGTTCTTTCGGTAAACTCCTTCAAGTGGATGGCGTGGATACCCAAGTTGTAGTTAGAGGCTACCGACACCGACTTGGTGTCCACACTCTCGTTGTCAGCATCAGATGTATCGGTGAAGGCCAAGTTGTGCAACAAACGCATAATGTTGGAGATGGAGTCGAGGTTTTCCAACACAACCACCACGCGGGACACTCTAAACTTTGGCAAGGATTCGACAGTGAGGCAGCCGGAAGGCGATAGGAGACGCAGATCCGCTTCCCCTAAACCATTATCACTCTTTGCCGTTTTGTCGTCGGCGATGAGGGTACCATCCCAGTTGATCTCCCCTGCTGTGAACTTCTTCACCTTTTCACGGTACCAAACCGGATACGAAAGTAAAGTCAAGGGAGTGGTCAAGAACGTGGTTACAAGTGCCATTACGATAAACATCGAAAACACGCGTTGAGTGATAATCCCGGCCTTGAGCCCTGTAGATAATACCACAATCTCGACAATACCCTTGCAGGACATCAACACTCCGACACTAAGCGATTCTCGCCATAGCAAACCGTTGAATTTGGCGGCGACGAAGCCACCCGAGACCTTCCCCACGAGCGCGATGACAATGATGCCGATCACATAGCCCCAGTCAATGCCTCGGTTAAGCAACCCCAAGTTGGTATTGAGGCCTGAAAGGGCAAAGTAGTTTGGGACGAGAACCACGATAACCAAGTCCTCGATCTTTTCGGTGATTTTGATTGCAAACCCGTTTTCACGAGGCACGATGACCCCCACCATGAAGGCACCGAAGATCGGGTGTACGCCAATGATGTCGGTAAAGAAGCTGGAGACAAACACTATCATCATAATGACCATGATAGAGATCTGCGACGGCCCCCGTTCCAAATCTTTGGTGTATTTGGTCAACCAGAAGCGCAAGACCCAGGAAACTGGGTACAGCAAGAAGATGAACCAGCCTGCCGCCAAGAGAAGAATATAGACGGTGGTGACCCCATTGGCGGAGTTTGCTAACGTCACGCTGAGGGCTAATAAGATCCAGCCCAACAAATCGTTAGTGATCCCAGCAGCCAAGACGGTGGTCCCTACCCTGTCGTTGATCAAGTTCAATTCCGTCAAGATACGCGCCAACACGGGGAATGCGGTGATGCACATGGCCACGGCGATGAACACCATGTATGTGGTGAATTCGATGGGCGTTTCACCAGACGTGACGCGGTACTCGTTGTACAACCCGACGGACACCGCACAGCCGAGCCCAAAGGGCACGGCCATATTGACAACACCCACGGAGAGGGCAATTTTGAGGTGTTTGCGGATGAAAACCACATCCACCTCAAGCCCGATGAGAAACAAGAAGAGGATGATACCCACGTTGGCGATCAAGGTGAGACCAGGAATGGACGCCGGTGGGAAGCAGGTGGCGGTGAAGTTGGGGATATGGCCCATTACCGTAGGTCCAAGGAGGATCCCTGTAAGAACCTCGGCAATCACTTTTGGCTGTCTGATCTTGGACAAGGGGTAGTGTACGATTTGGCACAACGTGATGATGAAGAAAGCTTGAAAAAGGAAGAGGGTGTAAGGAGAGGAGGCCTCGTAGGTGAAGGGATTCATCCCCGCCACAATACCGGCCACTGTAGGTGTTTCAATAGCCATAGTTGTATGGAGGTAAGAAGGAAGCAAGACCAACGTAAGTGGATATGTTAAACGACTACCTTTTATCCCCTAATGTGTAGTTTATGAATCACATGATTTATAAGATTACTGCGCCTTAGACTTTGCGTTCCTCGCAGAAACGCTGTCCCCCCCCAGCAACCAGATCTGACGCGGGGGAAAGAGGCATGCTGCACGGTTTTAAAGTCCGATCGGCTGTGCTTATAAAACGTGCACGAATGCCCCTGACAAACATAACCAGGCTGGTTTCAGAAATTAACGAGGTGTGACCGAGCAACCGGCAGGGGCATAGCTGTCTTGGACTGTACTTGACTGTCAAAGTAGACTGTTGTCGTCATCCAGAGTATACATTGAGGCTATGATACCGTGCCAGGAGGACGTTGATATATACAACAGGGAGCGATTATACACGATAAAAAAGAAATGGAAAGAGGTATAGAGGTTCCTGTATATTCAATGTCTAATACAATATCAAGGCTTTGGTTTTACGTAGTGTACACCCAGGAAGTAATTGCAAGTTCAAGGGTGGAATGGGGGGCTACACGGTCATTGCTTTTGTAAGGTTCAAGCCACAGCAACGCGCATGAACATAAAAGAAAGGACGAAAACCATAGAAACAGCTAGATGACCTGATGTCAAGACCCTAAAATTTCAACCGATGCTAATGCGAGGAAGGATATTTAATAGAGCTGGAAACTAAAGGCATACCCATCTATACGTCGGACACGACTTCCAAAGCTGTCGTGTAGGGGTAGATTGGGTACCACAAACTTGGAAATAGAAGTAGGGCATTGGAAATGGCTACCGGGAATAGTGAAAAAACCGACATCTAGATCTCTGTATAGCGGTAAACCTTGGTGTTATATGTTGAAGTTGTGTGTCCAGCCATAGTGTGAGTTTCTCGTATTTGACGCACAATAGCCGTTTTACCGTTTAAACCTGGGAGAATATTTGAGAGATACCTGGGTTAATGTGGACCGGCCACTTGCAGATACATATAGCTCGGAGGCATTCTTCGGTTTGGGAATCACGCTGGTTTCGATAAAATCTTAGAGCCCTCCCCTACAACAATCAAAATGGGCGAGTTGGGAGTTTATAGAGGTTCATTCTATCTACTCTGGGGTTCCCTCCACAAAGACCTCACCATACTGTTAAAGATCCACACCCTTCCGTCTTTCTAGCTCTTACCAGGCTAGTATAGCTTTGTTTTAGCTATGTGTTACCTCCATACGAACACAGCGGTCAAATCCAACATGAAAAAGACAGTCGTAAACACATGGGCGAGATAAAAAAAAGACTATAAGGGGCGAAGATATTCATGGTGGAGCCTGTTGAATGTATACATCGATGGTGAAGGGATGGAAGCCCCTTTCTGGCTTTGGAAAATAAGGAAACCAGCACATGCACTAGGCTCTAAGGTCACATATACCGGCGTCTCTAGATCTACGGCAGAGGCAATCCCTGTACCAAAACTAGCAGGTTTGGTAGAGATTGAATAGAGGAAAAATAAAGTTTTGAAGCTGGGTGTAACTGTTTTGCCCTCAGAAACACTTGCCTCTAAGAGTCTAGTCGTGCCATCCAGTATATTATTTCCCATGACTACCACATCCGGGGATGTGGACGTGTCCCATAAAGCGCCTTTATGTTTCCTAGTTATACTCTCGGACCGAGGACATGATATGCATGAGGTGTGACGCAACTAACGATCCCTGGCTTTGCCTGCTCTCGGATAAACTTTATATATACACCTCTCTTCCAGGTTGCGTAAACACAATACGTCATATTGGAAATGATTTACTTGTGGTCCCTCCATATCGGATTATTTTTTAGCCTTGGCCTCAACACAACCCAAAAACACCAGCGTAGCTTAATGACTACAACACACCAATGAGGACATGTCAGGATTATAGTGTCACTATCCCCACCGATAGAAGAGCGACATTAAACAGCGCGTCTGGAGAGCCGCACAAGGTTAATGCGCGCATCACAGCAACGCGTTTCTATCTACTTGCATACCCGGCCTTCACTCAGCTCTGAACCACTGTAGAGTAAACAGTCAAAACAAATGAATATAGTAAAAGGGTGAAAATAGATGAAGGGGGTTGATATCACAACCATTTAGAAATAAGACACTTTCTCTCGCAGCCCAAGTCAACGGGCCCGGATAACAAGGAATGATGCGCTCGAGACACATGAAGGGGGAATTATTTTAAGAAGGAACTGGGATCTGCCTTTCGCTCGTTCAGATATTTCCAATATTACTGTTAAGGGTAACTTCCCATTAAATTTGGCAACACAGAGGGTCGATTTCGTCTCCCACGGTGGTTTTCATCAATCGAGTTGTAAGTATTAAGGATGATGTCTCGAATAGGGGCATAACAGGCAGACTAAGATCAATACGTAAACTGCCGCGCGTATTGTACCACACTAACAGGGTATATTTATACCGGACAGTCCCCAATGACTAATACCACAATAGATGGCTCACCAGCCCGAGTCGTTACGTACAATATAAGGAAATACCTCCCCTACCCTCATATAAGTATATAGAATGGAGCTTGACGGTCTGAACACACTATTGCTAGACCACACGAACTCCGTTTTAGTTGAGTCCGCGCTAAAACGATGGGACAAGCACTGGAAAACTAAAAACGACAAACAGGTAGGGATAAAGCCTTGAAATTCCAATGGTACGTAAGTAGCAAGGTGTGGAAGTACAAAAGATGACTCGAGAACCAGTGTGGTATACCCTGAAAATTTTTCCTTGGCAAGATTGGGTGAGTATTTTTTACGAGAGTGCGAAAACCAAATTCTCGCCCATTAGGATTCTTATGCGTATTTCAACAAGGAAGGGAATTATTTTGCATGCGAAAAAACAAAATCCGTGGTGTGTGTGCAGGGATGAGAAAGAGCGACAGGGATCCGGCGACTGGTTCAGTGACTAACGGAGGAAAAACTGGGAGTTTTGCTTTAAGGCCTCGGTAGAATATTTTCCACTGTCGGGTACGAATTTTACATCAATTCCGATTGTAAACCTCATTCATCTTATGTTAGAGCAGAGATACCGCTTCTTATAGCTCCACTCGAAAAAAAAACTGACCCTAGCCGTTTGCAGGGATTGAGAAAGTAACAGGGATATTTTTCACGCAGTCTTTCAACTAAAGTGTTTATGCAGGACGGAAGTGCAGGGGTAGCCATGTTTTGACAGGGTTCGTTGTCCTAGCCTCCAGATCGTAAGCCAGGTTGGCAGTCTAGGTCTTTACCCGTTTAGCGTTCAGAGCAATCGCGTAGGTATAATTTCTTCTTAACCTATGACGGACTCCCTTAGCCCGCTTCCTGTGATGTTTCATATATGAGGATATGGTGTGAAAAATATATCCAAGCAATAAACCTTTTTAACTTTTCGAGACGAGAATCCAGGCGAATTTTAGACAATGATCCTATCTTACTGAGATATGTCCTTGCCAGGAGAAGGGCTTGCAAGTATGTGCTTAAAACACTAGATCTGTACTCTTTCTCAGAATTGCTAGACTTTTAGTTCTGCAAGCTATGTTTCCCACATGAAATAATATGCGACATTGCCCGTGATCTATTCCAACTCGGTGCGGCACATTATGTCCTACGCGTAGATCTCCACTAGCACGGATGAGCTGCACCGTGTAAGTGACTAAAGCTTAAATATCTCAATACTGACTGCGGATACCGGGTTAGATCCATTATCTCGCAGGGATAAAAGCCTCTTTGTCGGCAATAAAGGTGTGTCACCACAGACCTCCAGGCCCCAGAATTGCGGTGAAATTCTTATGGCGTTAGGTTGCATTCCCTATAGATTAAGTTTCAGGTTGATAGGTATTGATAGCCACATGGATATATTCGTATAATCCGGAGAAGGGGTTATATAAGGGAGAGGGTGCCGCCACGAATATGAGAATATCCGGCAACCATCCACACCCATACCATCATGAGACTCTCTCCGTTGCTTTTGGTCCCCTTCTTGTTCCAGGTGGCCACGGCCGTCATCAACATCACCACTGTTGTTACCAGTATCACCAACACAGTCCCAACTAACCTCTGTAATTCTTATGTTACCTCCGGTGGTCTGGGTCTGCTTGCTTGGCTGGCTACCGCCGATTTCTATGCCCAATCGACTACTGATGTCGCTGTCTTAGGAACTGGGGTGAGAACGTACACGTACATTGTGCAATGGTTCTTTTCCTTCGACGATCCATTGGAGGCCACTGGCTTTGACGTCAGTTCATTGACCGCCGCTGTTTCTGCGCTTACCACCGTTAATGTGGTTGTTAACCCTACCCAGGGTGGTTTCATTCTTTCTTACAATGACTCTGTCACCGATCCAATTGTGGCCGGCGTGGATCTTCTTGATGGGCTTAACTGTTTCGATTCCATTATTGGTTACTCCACGGACTTCACGGGTGGTCCAAATCCTACCACCGTTATTTTGGGTTCCTCCG